CCCTCATCCTCTCCCTCGACCTCAACCTCAACCTCCATGCCGTCCTTCGCCCACTTTGCCGGCCGTGTCCACACAGGTCCACACCGCACGAGGACGTCCATCCGCATGGAGATTAGAATTAGGGGGTCGCGGCGATGTACCGCGGCCCTTGTTTTGGTGAGTCCCCCGCTCCGCCCTCCTGCACTCCCAATGCCCACCTCTCCTCTCCGGCTTCGCCCATCCGGCCTGCCGCCAGCCTTGACCTCCGTGTCCACCTCGCCCACCTCGCCGCTGCCCTCCTCCCCGTTGCCCACCTCCGCGCTGCTCTCCGCCCACCTTCGCGCTGCCGCCTGCGCCCGCACACCCTCCTCCGCCTCCCGCACCTCCATGTCGCCCTCCTCCGCGTCTCGCCCGCCTCCACGCGGCCCTCCTCCTCAACGCGCGTCGCCCACCTCCGCGTCATCACCCACCTCCATGTCGCCCGCGTCCGCGTCCGCGCCGCCTCCCGCCACCCGCATCTATGCGCCTCGCTAGGCTCCCCCTCCTTCGCCTCGTCCCGGCCCCCCGCGTCCGCGCTCCTCCTCCTCCTCCTCCTCCTCCGCGTCCTCCTCCTCCGCGTTGCCCGCCTCCTCCGGCTCGTCCACTTCCGCCCGCGCTGCCCTCCTCTGCCTCCGCCGACGTCACCTCCTCCGCCGGCGTCGCCTCCCCCGCCGGCGTCGTCTCCTCCGCTCGCGTCGCCCGCCCTTGTTGCTCTGCGCCTCCTCCCCCTTCGCACCGCACACCCCCGCCCGCGTCGCCCACCACCTACTCCGCCTCGTCCCAGCCCTCCGCGTCCCTCTCCTCTGCATCGCTTGCCTTCGCGTCGCCCGCCTCCGCGTCTCCCGCGTTCACGTCGCCCACGTCCTCCGCCTTGTCCCGAGGGGCATGGTATTACTTACTAGCACACTTATGTAGTAGTTTACTAATAAATATATTTTTATCACCAATCATATACAAGATGTGGTGTGAAGCAAAGAGGGAGGCGAGCTCACTGTCGGAGACAGCGAGCTCGGGTGGCGGCGCCTGAGGCGCCGGTGTCCGGACATCTGGGTGCGACGCTGTCCCAAGGGTGCGCGAGCGCGCTTGGGGAAGGCGGTGTCGAGCGCAACCGGGCCGGCCGGCACCAGATGCATCCGCACCGGCTGTCACAATGGATGCACCTGGCAAATCACTACTGTAGCTCCCATCGACCTGAGAGATCCCGACGAGTGATGCGCGCATTGTGTCTCCGTCATTGCGGACACGAATCTTGCCCCATTCTTCTACTTCATCCGGGATTGCTTGTCGAAGAACCGCGTGGGTTGCTGAGCCGAATCGTGTCACGAGAGCGCCAATGATCTTCCTGAGGGCGCCCTCGTCCTGGCGGATAGGGATGATGCGGCGTGAGGGGAGTAATACGTAGTCCTCATCTGTAAAGACGGTGTTTTATGTAGCGGTGTGGTGTATGGGTTGTGGGCGAAACAAAGGCTTACATCCAGGAATATGTACACCAGTCTCCGGTTGCGGTGCATTCTTGCGCAGCTGATTATGAACGCCTTCGCCATATATAAGGCAGATTTGCGAGAGTCGGGAGTGGTCGAGGACGTATCGATTCAGGCTAGAGTGTGGATATCGGCGGTTCTTGATTGCGGGACCGAGTGCAGAAGTGTTCCATGATGAATGCCCAGCTCGTCCAGACAGGCCCGACGATGGAGATACTGTCTGCAATGTGCAAGAGAGCGTGTATGGTGAGCGTACATGTGCTTAGCCTCTGTGGATCGTGCTGATGATAGTACCTGAACTATATTCAAGTCAATGTGACAGTACTTGAAAGCGAGGGACAAGCATAAGAACTGCTCATACTTCAGAACCCATTCAACTGAGCACAGGTGATTTCCTTGGTGCATCCGTTGCGATAGCCTATCGGCAGCTACAGATGCATCTCTGAGGCGCAGTGCATGCCCTACATGCAGTGACGAGCTGCAGAGCACCTGTGGGCCAGGGGATGTTGGCTGGAGCACAACGGTCGGCTGCTGGCCAAGATTCTGGGGCCCAGAGCACGGTTGGTGGGGCATCGGTCGGCTTCTGGTCAGGGCTCTGGGGCCCAGAGCGCCGTTGGTGGGGCATCGGTCGGATGCTGGGCAGGGCTCTGGACCTCAGCACACCGTTGGTGGGGCATCGGTCCGCTTCTGGTCAGGGCTCTGGAGCTCAAAGCACGGTTGGTGGGGCTCCGGTCGGCCTCTGGTCAGGGCTCTGGAGCTCAGAGCGCCGTTGGTGGGGCATCGGTCGGCTTCTGGTCAGGGCTCTGGAGCTTAGAGCAAGGTCTATGGGATGATTGCAATTTGCCAGGGTGAGGCGCAGTGCATGCCCTACATGCAGAGATGAGCTGCAGAGCATGTATGGGCCAGGGGATGTTGGCTGGAGCACAACGGTCGGCTGCTGGCCAAGATTCTGGGGCCCAGAGCACGGTTGGTGGGGCATCGGTCGGCCTCTGGGCAGGGCTCTGGAGCTCAAAGCACGGTTGGTAGGGCATCGGTCGGCTTCTGGTCAGGGCTCTGAAGCTCAAAGCACGGTTGGTGGGGCTCCGGTCCGCCTCTGGGCAAGGCTCTGGAGCTCAAAGCACGGTTGGTAGGGCATCGGTCGGCCTCTGGGCAGGGCTCTGGGGCCCAGAGCGCCGTTGGTGGGGCATCGGTCGGCTTCTGGTCAGGGCTCTGGAGCTCAAAGCACGGTTGGTGGGGCTCCGGTCCGCCTCTGGGCAGGGCTCTGGAGCTCAAAGCACGGTTGGTAGGGCATCGGTCGGCCTCTGGGCAGGGCTCTGGGGCCCAGAGCGCCGTTGGTGGGGCTCCGGTCCGTCTCTGGGCAGGGCTCTGGAGCTTAGAGCAAGGTCTATGGGATGATTGCAATTTGCCAGTGTGAGGCGCAGTGCATGCTTTACATGCAGAGATGAGCTGCAGAGCATGTATGGGCCAGGGGATGTTGGCTGGAGCACAACGGTCGGCTGCTGGCCAAGATTCTGGGGCCCAGAGCACGGTTGGTGGGGCATCGGTCGGCCTCTGGGCAGGGCTCTGGAGCTCAAAGCACGGTTGGTAGGGCATCGGTCGGCTTCTGGTCAGGGCTCTGGAGCTCAAAGCACGGTTGGTGGGGCTCCGGTCCGCCTCTGGGCAAGGCTCTGGAGCTCAAAGCACGGTTGGTAGGGCATCGGTCGGCCTCTGGGCAGGGCTCTGGGGCCCAGAGCGCCGTTGGTGGGGCTCCGGTCCGTCTCTGGGCAGGGCTCTGGAGCTTAGAGCAAGGTCTATGGGATGATTGCAATTTGCCAGTGTGAGGCGCAGTGCATGCTTTACATGCAGAGATGAGCTGCAGAGCATGTATGGGCCAGGGGATGTTGGCTGGAGCACAACGGTCGGCTGCTGGCCAAGATTCTGGGGCCCAGAGCACGGTTGGTGGGGCATCGGTCGGCCTCTGGGCAGGGCTCTGGACCTCAGCGCCGTTGGTGGGGCTCCGGTCCGTCTCTGGGCAGGGCTCTGGAGCTCAAAGCACGGTTGGTAGGGCATCGGTCGGCCTCTGGGCAGGGCTCTGGAGCCTAGAGCAAGGTCTATGGGATGATTGCAATTTGCCAGGGTGAGGCGCAGTGCATGCCCTACATGCAGAGATGAGCTGCAGAGCATGTATGGGCCAGGGGATGTTGGCTGGAGCACAACGGTCGGCTGCTGGCCAAGATTCTGGGGCCCAGAGCACGGTTGGTGGGGCATCGGTCAGCTCCTGGTCAGGGCTCTGGGGCCCAGAGCACGGTTGGTAGGGCATCGGTCGGCCTCTGGGCAGGGCTCTGGGGCCCAGAGCACAGTTGGTGGGGCATCGGTCGGCCTCTGGGCAGGGCTCTGGAGCTCAGAGCACGGTTGGTAGGGCATCGGTCCGCTTCTGGTCAGGGCTCTGGAGCTCAAAGCACGGTTGGTGGGGCTCCGGTCGGCCTCTGGGCAGGGCTCTGGACCTCAGCGCACCGTTGGTAGGGCATCGGTCGGCTTCTGGTCAGGGCTCTGGAGCTCAAAGCACGGTTGGTGGGGCATCGGTCGGCTTCTGGTCAGGGCTCTGGGGCCCAGAGCGCCGTTGGTGGGGCTCCGGTCCGTCTCTGGGCAGGGCTCTGGAGCTCAAAGCTCGGTTGGTAGGGCATCGGTCGGATGCTGGGCAGGGCTCTGGACCTCAGCGCACCGTTGGTAGGGCATCGGTCGGCCTCTGGGCAGGGCTCTGGAGCTCAGAGCGCAGTTGGTGGGGCATCGGTCGGCCTCTGGTCAGGGCTCTGGAGCTCAAAGCACGGTTGGTAGGGCATCGGTCGGCCTCTGGGCAGGGCTCTGGGGCCCAGAGCGCCGTTGGTGGGGCTCCGGTCCGTCTCTGGGCAGGGCTCTGGAGCTTAGAGCAAGGTCTATGGGATGATTGCAATTTGCCAGTGTGAGGCGCAGTGCATGCTTTACATGCAGAGATGAGCTGCAGAGCATGTATGGGCCAGGGGATGTTGGCTGGAGCACAACGGTCGGCTGCTGGCCAAGATTCTGGGGCCCAGAGCACGGTTGGTGGGGCATCGGTCGGCCTCTGGGCAGGGCTCTGGACCTCAGCGCCGTTGGTGGGGCTCCGGTCCGTCTCTGGGCAGGGCTCTGGAGCTCAAAGCACGGTTGGTAGGGCATCGGTCGGCCTCTGGGCAGGGCTCTGGAGCCTAGAGCAAGGTCTATGGGATGATTGCAATTTGCCAGGGTGAGGCGCAGTGCATGCCCTACATGCAGAGATGAGCTGCAGAGCATGTATGGGCCAGGGGATGTTGGCTGGAGCACAACGGTCGGCTGCTGGCCAAGATTCTGGGGCCCAGAGCACGGTTGGTGGGGCATCGGTCGGCCTCTGGGCAGGGCTCTGGAGCTCAAAGCACGGTTGGTAGGGCATCGGTCGGCTTCTGGTCAGGGCTCTGGAGCTCAAAGCACGGTTGGTGGGGCTCCGGTCCGCCTCTGGGCAGGGCTCTGGAGCTCAAAGCACGGTTGGTAGGGCATCGGTCGGCCTCTGGGCAGGGCTCTGGGGCCCAGAGCGCCGTTGGTGGGGCTCCGGTCCGTCTCTGGGCAGGGCTCTGGAGCTTAGAGCAAGGTCTATGGGATGATTGCAATTTGCCAGTGTGAGGCGCAGTGCATGCTTTACATGCAGAGATGAGCTGCAGAGCATGTATGGGCCAGGGGATGTTGGCTGGAGCACAACGGTCGGCTGCTGGCCAAGATTCTGGGGCCCAGAGCACGGTTGGTGGGGCATCGGTCGGCCTCTGGGCAGGGCTCTGGAGCTCAAAGCACGGTTGGTAGGGCATCGGTCGGCCTCTGGGCAGGGCTCTGGAGCTCAGAGCGCAGTTGGTGGGGCATCGGTCGGCCTCTGGTCAGGGCTCTGGAGCTCAAAGCACGGTTGGTAGGGCATCGGTCGGCCTCTGGGCAGGGCTCTGGGGCCCAGAGCGCCGTTGGTGGGGCTCCGGTCCGTCTCTGGGCAGGGCTCTGGAGCTTAGAGCAAGGTCTATGGGATGATTGCAATTTGCCAGTGTGAGGCGCAGTGCATGCTTTACATGCAGAGATGAGCTGCAGAGCATGTATGGGCCAGGGGATGTTGGCTGGAGCACAACGGTCGGCTGCTGGCCAAGATTCTGGGGCCCAGAGCACGGTTGGTGGGGCATCGGTCGGCTCCTGGTCAGGGCTCTGGGGCCCAGAGCACGGTTGGTAGGGCATCGGTCGGCCTCTGGGCAGGGCTCTGGGGCCCAGAGCGCCGTTGGTGGGGCATCGGTCGGCCTCTGGGCAGGGCTCTGGAGCTCAGAGCACGGTTGGTAGGGCATCGGTCGGCTTCTGGTCAGGGCTCTGGAGCTCAAAGCACGGTTGGTGGGGCACCAGTCCGCCTCTGGGCAGGGCTCTGGGGCCCAGAGCACTGTTGGTAGGGCATCGGTCGGCTTCTGGTCAGGGCTCTGGAGCCTAGAGCAAGGTCTATGGGATGATTGCAATTTGCCAGGGTGAGGCGCAGTGCATGCCCTACATGCAGAGATGAGCTGCAGAGCATGTATGGGCCAGGGGATGTTGGCTGGAGCACAACGGTCGGCTGCTGGCCAAGATTCTGGGGCCCAGAGCACGGTTGGTGGGGCATCGGTCATCTCCTGGTCAGGGCTCTGGGGCCCAGAGCACGGTTGGTAGGGCATCGGTCGGCCTCTGGGCAGGGCTCTGGGGCCCAGAGCGCAGTTGGTGGGGCATCGGTCGGCCTCTGGGCAGGGCTCTGGAGCTCAGAGCACGGTTGGTAGGGCATCGGTCCGCTTCTGGTCAGGGCTCTGGAGCTCAAAGCACGGTTGGTGGGGCTCCGGTCGGCCTCTGGGCAGGGCTCTGGACCTCAGCGCACCGTTGGTAGGGCATCGGTCGGCTTCTGGTCAGGGCTCTGGAGCTCAAAGCACGGTTGGTGGGGCATCGGTCGGCTTCTGGTCAGGGCTCTGGGGCCCAGAGCGCCGTTGGTGGGGCTCCGGTCCGTCTCTGGGCAGGGCTCTGGAGCTCAAAGCTCGGTTGGTAGGGCATCGGTCGGATGCTGGGCAGGGCTCTGGACCTCAGCGCACCGTTGGTAGGGCATCGGTCGGCTTCTGGTCAGGGCTCTGGAGCTCAAAGCACGGTTGGTGGGGCTCCGGTCGGCCTCTGGTCAGGGCTCTGGAGCTCAGAGCACGGTTGGTAGGGCATCGGTCGGCCTCTGGGCAGGGCTCTGGGGCCCAGAGCGCAGTTGGTGGGGCATCGGTCGGCCTCTGGGCAGGGCTCTGGAGCTCAGAGCACGGTTGGTAGGGCATCGGTCCGCTTCTGGTCAGGGCTCTGGAGCTCAAAGCACGGTTGGTGGGGCTCCGGTCGGCCTCTGGGCAGGGCTCTGGACCTCAGCGCACCGTTGGTAGGGCATCGGTCGGCTTCTGGTCAGGGCTCTGGAGCTCAAAGCACGGTTGGTGGGGCATCGGTCGGCTTCTGGTCAGGGCTCTGGGGCCCAGAGCGCCGTTGGTGGGGCTCCGGTCCGTCTCTGGGCAGGGCTCTGGAGCTCAAAGCTCGGTTGGTAGGGCATCGGTCGGATGCTGGGCAGGGCTCTGGACCTCAGCGCACCGTTGGTAGGGCATCGGTCGGCTTCTGGTCAGGGCTCTGGAGCTCAAAGCACGGTTGGTGGGGCTCCGGTCGGCCTCTGGTCAGGGCTCTGGAGCTCAGAGCGCCGTTGGTGGTGCATCGGTCGGCTTCTTGTCAGGGCTCTGGAGCTTAGAGCAAGGTCTATGGGATGATTGCAATTTGCCAGTGTGAGGCGCAGTGCATGCTTTACATGCAGAGATGAGCTGCAGAGCATGTATGGGCCAGGGGATGTTGGCTGGAGCACAACGGTCGGCTGCTGGCCAAGATTCTGGGGCCCAGAGCACGGTTGGTGGGGCATCGGTCGGCCTCTGGGCAGGGCTCTGGACCTCAGCGCACCGTTGGTAGGGCATCGGTCGGCTTCTGGTCAGGGCTCTGGAGCCTAGAGCAAGGTCTATGGGATGATTGCAATTTGCCAGGGTGAGGCGCAGTGCATGCTTTACATGCAGAGATGAGCTGCAGAGCATGTATGGGCCAGGGGATGTTGGCTGGAGCACAACGGTCGGCTGCTGGCCAAGATTCTGGGGCCCAGAGCACGGTTGGTGGGGCATCGGTCGGCCTCTGGGCAGGGCTCTGGACCTCAGCGCACCGTTGGTAGGGCATCGGTCGGCTTCTGGTCAGGGCTCTGGAGCTCAAAGCACGGTTGGTGGGGCATCGGTCGGCTTCTGGTCAGGGCTCTGGGGCCCAGAGCGCCGTTGGTGGGGCTCCGGTCCGTCTCTGGGCAGGGCTCTGGAGCTCAAAGCTCGGTTGGTAGGGCATCGGTCGGATGCTGGGCAGGGCTCTGGACCTCAGCGCACCGTTGGTAGGGCATCGGTCGGCCTCTGGGCAGGGCTCTGGGGCCCAGAGCGCCGTTGGTGGGGCATCGGTCGGCTTCTGGTCAGGGCTCTGGAGCTCAGAGCGCCGTTGGTGGGGCATCGGTCGGCTTCTGGTCAGGGCTCTGGAGCCTAGAGCAAGGTCTATGGGATGATTGCAATTTGCCAGGGTGAGGCGCAGTGCATGCCCTACATGCAGAGATGAGCTGCAGAGCATGTATGGGCCAGGGGATGTTGGCTGGAGCACAACGGTCGGCTGCTGGCCAAGATTCTGGGGCCCAGAGCACGGTTGGTGGGGCATCGGTCGGCCTCTGGTCAGGGCTCTGGAGCTCAGAGCGCCGTTGGTGGGGCATCGGTCGGCTTCTGGTCAGGGCTCTGGAGCTTAGAGCAAGGTCTATGGGATGATTGCAATTTGCCAGGGTGAGGCGCAGTGCATGCCCTACATGCAGAGATGAGCTGCAGAGCATGTATGGGCCAGGGGATGTTGGCTGGAGCACAACGGTCGGCTGCTGGCCAAGATTCTGGGGCCCAGAGCACGGTTGGTGGGGCATCGGTCGGCCTCTGGTCAGGGCTCTGGAGCTCAGAGCGCCGTTGGTGGGGCATCGGTCGGCTTCTGGTCAGGGCTCTGGAGCTTAGAGCAAGGTCTATGGGATGATTGCAATTTGCCAGGGTGAGGCGCAGTGCATGCCCTACATGCAGAGATGAGCTGCAGAGCATGTATGGGCCAGGGGATGTTGGCTGGAGCACAACGGTCGGCTGCTGGCCAAGATTCTGGGGCCCAGAGCACGGTTGGTGGGGCATCGGTCGGCTCCTGGTCAGGGCTCTGGGGCCCAGAGCACGGTTGGTAGGGCATCGGTCGGCCTCTGGGCAGGGCTCTGGGGCCCAGAGCGCAGTTGGTGGGGCATCGGTCGGCCTCTGGGCAGGGCTCTGGAGCTCAGAGCACGGTTGGTAGGGCATCGGTCGGCTTCTGGTCAGGGCTCTGGAGCTCAAAGCACGGTTGGTGGGGCACCAGTCCGCCTCTGGGCAGGGCTCTGGGGCCCAGAGCACTGTTGGTGGGGGCATCGGTCGGCCTCTGGGCAGGGCTCTGGAGCTCAAAGCACGGTTGGTGGGGCATCGGTCGGCTTCTGGTCAGGGCTCTGGACCTCAGAGCACGGTTGGTAGGGCATCGGTCGGTCTCTGGGCAGGGCTCTGGGTCTCAGAGATAGGCCTGTGGGAAGGTACTCACTTGCTTGTTTTTCAGATACTATAGCCTTTAACATGAATTCTATTATCTTTTTTCTAAGCACAGTATTCTGTCGTGGGAAAACATTCGCCCACAACGTCAACTTTCAGGATACTCTATGACACACACAAACTAGACATACAAGTTTGCCTTTCCCACCCTTTTTCTAAGCCTTTTCGGGCTAGAAAGCTGTGAGGTCGCCGCCTTGGTGTAGTGTCGAATGTGTCGAGAGTGTCGAGAGTGTCGAGAAGAGATGCTGGTCGAGGCGAGGCGAACATGTGAAGAACGAGACGGCACGGGACAGTGTGTAGGAGACAGTCGTAACCCGAAAAGCTACCTACTACAGGTCGGAGCAGATGTCCATATATACGAGGTCAGCGCCAGAACTGTATAGTAGGTTGTCATGTAATGAAGCCGTCCTCCAAATAAACAAACACAATGAGATCAACGAGAAGAGAGGGGAAGAGGGAGCGCCGGGATAGTCCGGCGTGAGCGGAACAGATAGAGGCTCGGCGTGCGCAGCAAAATGCGCGCGTGCGATCGCGGAGGCATCGCATTGTGCTTGTATCTATACTCGAGGCTCCGAACTGTTCCTGTACTTGGTGTGTGAGTCCCAGTCCTCACAAAAGCTGAGCCGTTGCCCGTCGTAATTGTTCCAACCGATGAAGACAGACTGATGTCATCTGGCTGTCCAAAACCATTCTGAGAGCACTACAAACAGTTTCTCATGCCTCCTTTTGCACCTGTAAGGCCATCCACTTAAGCCATACAGAGTCCTTCACTGTTCTGGTGTTGACTCCAGTGCCTATTTAGCGTGAGAGACCAAGATCCCCAGTGAGGCCTTGAGGATGCTCAGGTAATAGTGTCCTTCCATCTGTCCCAATTTGAATTAATTGATAACAATTCTCCATGCTGTCTTATTTGAATCACAAACAACATTGGGACTTTTCTCTGCCATAATCCAGTGATAGTGGGTTACAGGTATCTCTATTTGCAGTCTGTGAGTGTGTGAAACCCCTCTTTTGCTGGACTGGGGTTAGGGTTATTAACATTAGGTTTAGCCTGGAGGCTCGCATGGCTCGCACCAGGCTAAACCTAATGTTAATAACCCTAACCCCAGTCCAGCAAAAGAGGGGTTTCACACACTCACAGACTGCAAATAGAGATACCTGTAACCCACTATCACTGGATTATGGCAGAGAAAAGTCCCAATGTTGTTTGTGATTCAAATAAGACAGCATGGAGATTAGATTGTGAAAATAACACATAGTTATAATGAAGTGTGACAAAGGCCTTGAGGGGCACAGGTAAACACCACCACAGTGATCTTGTATATCTGAGGCTGTGCAGTTGGGCACCAAAACCAGTACCAGACCGCTGGTGGAGACCACTCCACCAATTTACAGGGATAGCACGGATTGTGACTTGTGAGGTGGTGTGTGAAAGAGGGGTTCAACACACATATGCAAGGGGATCATCACATCCACACATGCTCAATTAGACGGACAACACGGTGGGTGCACGCCAATGGCCGGCGCTGGTGGCTGTGCGCGATCAATAACGGGCGCTTAAAGCCGCGACAATGACCAGCTCGTATCTCGACAAGCCTTCCGCCAATTTCGTTCAAACTTGGGGAATCAGTAGACATACATGTTAGCTTTCTGTGTGCGAAATATGATGCAGAATAAACATGTCTAAATACAGATATCCCATACCAAAAGGGGGGTGGTAGTGGTGCGCGTGCACGTGAGGAGGGGTCAGGAATTGCATGGCAGAGTGGATGCATGGGGCACTTACTGTTATGGTCAGGGCCACGCCCACGTTCGCGAGACCCGCGAGAGATGGGCGAAGCGGCGACCATCCTCAGCTGCAGGACGGCAATGAGCGGGGCAGTAGATGTGGGCAAGGTGAGCGAGATGGGTGACGTACGACACGAGAGCGAGGCAGGTGAAGTGGGCGACATGGATAACGCTGGCGCAGACGGGCGAGAGCGGGACGGGTGAGAGAGAGGTGGGCGAGATGGGTGAGGCAGGTGAGACGAGCGCGTGCAAGATGAGCGAGATCCGGGGTGACGTGAGCGAGGTGGGCGACACAGGTGAGATGGACGAGGGCCCAGGGGGTTGAGACAGGCCAAGCGGACGAGACGGACACGGCGGGCGAGGCGTGGGGCGTAGGCGAGACGGGTAAAGCTTGAAGTCGGCGACGTGGCGACGCAGATGACACGGATTGACATGGGCAAGGTGGCGGGGAGGGAGAGAGCAGAATGGGCGAGGGCGAGACGGGCGATGACAAGACGGGCAAGGGGAGGCCAGAGGACGACAAGGACGATGAGGACGACGACGACGAGAGTGCTGGCAGTGCCAAGCGCTGGAGTCCACGCAACGCGCGTCGTTTCCCACGCGTCTGGACCTGCCAGCGCGTCTTTCCCTTCGTCCACTAGCACCCTCCCCGTCTTTTCCTCCTGGCGCAACATCCGATGAACAAGCCAACACTCTCCTCACTTGCCGCTTCCTCGATGAACTGTTGCGGGCCCCTAGGTTTTGGTGAGTCTCCCGTTGTGTGGCACTGCCAGCACCAGCTTGTCGTCCCCATCGTCCTCATTGTCTTCCCGTTTTCCAGTTGCTCCTCTTCTGTGCCGACCACACCAGCCTCCCGCGCTACATGCGTACAAGCACGCATTTGCCGTCGCACTCACCCACTGGCTCCCCACCTCCCTCCTCTCCCTCAAGGACATCTTCGAAGGCGCTGGCTATGAAGTCGTTGTTTATTACGGTGAGCTCTCGTTTTTCCCTGCACATCCTCTCCTCCCCTGCCCATCTCCCGATCACATCGTTCACCTCGCCCGTTTCGCCCATTCCAAGCACATCGCACGGGTCACATCACGTGCGTCCGCGTCGCCCGTCTTGCCCCCACCTCACCCACCTGGCCTGTGTCACACGTCACCCCACCTCGACAACCTCGCCCGCGTCGCCCCGCCTTACCTGCATCGCCCATCTCGCCCATCTCATCGCGCCGCCCACCTCGTTCCCGCATTGCCCACCTCGCCACCTCACCCTGTCTCGCCCCCGCATCCGCATCCGCGTCGCGCGCCTAGCCCATCTCGTTCGCGTCATTCTTGCTGCGCCCTCCTCGCGCCGTCACCCAGCCTCCCGCTCCCCGCTCGCGCCTCCAGCTGAGCTGCCCCCCAGTTCGGCGGTGCGCTCTAGCCTCTGCCTCCTCGTCGCCCTCCCGGTGCTCAGCGACCTCCGCGCCCTCCTCCGGCGGATCCGCGTCGCCCGCCACCACGCTCACGCTCCACGACAAGGCCGCGCGCTGCCGCCTCCAGCGCTACTACCGCGAGGCCTACTACGACCGCGAGCACCCCCGCGCGCTCCAAGGGCTGCGCGCGCACCGTCGCGAGCACCGTGATCATGACAGTCCCCGTCTCTGCGAACCCGAGCGCGAGCGCGAGCACGAGCACGCTGCACAGTGGGACCGTGCGGACGCCCCCGCGAAGCCCCAGCACACGATCGCACCTGACGGCGCGGGCGACGGCGTCGAGCGCATCTACACGCCTGGCGCACTCTGCACGCTTGCCGCGGCGAGCCGCGAGGTGCGCACCATGATCATGTAGATGGGGCGGGAGGAGGGCCAAGGACCAGGACAGAGATCGCAGCAGGACCCGCCAAGATACAAGAACATTGTCTCCCACCCCATCTTGACTCCGCCTCGCCCGCGCGAGGTCACTACTGGGACAATGTCTGCAAGCTCTCGCAGGAGCGGGCTCCGGAGCAGGGTGCGGCTGCCGCCCGAGCAACATCCGCACCTCGCGTCCGCAAAGACGGGTGAGGGCATCTGGGCCTGTTCGAGTACATCGCCCGCGTCGTCGTTCGGCAAGCGGTTTGACGACGACTTAGACATGTAGCTCGGTCCAGCACAGTGCACCGTCGCTCTTGCAATTCACCAACTTCACCACCTGTTTCGGGATTCCCCTAGTGTCTGAGGCGCACGACGAGTAGCTAGACATTAGTTCAGATCCGGTACAAATAGATTTGATTTAGATCCACTAGCTGTGGCAGCAGAACGACTATCTACATAGTTGCGAGAGGCGAAAAATAGTAGTCAAATAGTATGACTAGCTGTTCATAGTGTGCTAGTGTGAATAGCTAAGTCGATAGTGCTAGTGCTAGTTAGCCTAGAGCTAATTAGCTCGTTAAGGTTTTCCTGATGAAGCCGGGGAATGGCGAGGTGGCGATGTGGACAGGGTGAGGTGGACGAGCGCGACGCGGATGGGAGCAACGCGGACGAGCGTGAGACGGGCAAGGACGCGGGGAGCAGAGGGGGTGAGAACTCACCAGAGGAGATCAGGGCCGCGTGCGTGAGCACGATGACGCAGCGTGGACGGTGGATTAGGCAACGTGGGGCAGGTGGAGGACGTGGGCGACGCGGGCTGCGGGCGACGCGGGTGAAACGCGAGACGCGGGCGACTTGGAGACGGGAGATGCGGGAGAGACGTGTCGCTGGGGACGCGGAGAAGGTGGTGGGCGATGCGAGGCGGATCCGGCAGATGAAGCAGAGGGCAGGTGGGCGGAGGGCGATGCAAGGTGGAGGAGGCAGAGGACGAGGTACAGGACGAGGCGGAGCTGGAGGACGAGGGCGAGGAGGACAGGTGAGCGAGAAAGACGCAGAGAGTGGCAGAGGAGAACCCACCAAAAGGTATCGGGGCCGCGGGAGCTCACCGCCACCCTGGGGCGAAACGGACGGCGTGGGGGCTGGGAACGACGCCCGCGATGGGAGCGAGGGCGATTTGGATGATGGCGTTGCGGGCGCGGCCGGAACCTGGGAGGAGAATGCGACGCAGGGAAAGTGGAGAGGGTGAGAAGAACTCACCGAGTGGGACCGGGGCCGCGGGAGCTCACTGCGACCCCACAGAACGGCCGCGAGCGCGAGCGCGATGAGGCAAGGGCGACGTGGGGGCAAGGGTGGGCGAGGGCGTGGCGGGCGACGCATGCAACACGGTTGACGTGGGCGGGTGCCGTGAACAACGTGGACGAGGGTGAGGCGGGGGATGTGGGGGCAACATAGGCGAGGGCGAGGTGGAGAGGTCTAGAGAGGACGGGAGCGCGAGAGGCTGCGTTAACGCCGCTCGAGCGGCATTGAACGCGCCCTTCACCAGCATGAATGGCATAGCTATGGCAGCGGTACGGCGTGGCAAAGACAGTGGCATGTAGTAGTGGAGGAAGCACAGCAAGCACATTGGAGGATGTCTTGCCGGAGTTCGTGAAGCGCATGGATCGCGACGCGCAAGGCAGCGTTCGAATTGGGAGGTCGACGCGCACATACGCGCCTAATTGCATGGTAAATGGACACGGAACGAGCGAGAGGCGAGGGCGGGACTGGGGGATGCAGGAGGAAGGGAGAAGGCGAGGTGCACATACGCCTGAGATCTCGACACCACCAACGCAACCCCTCTCCGAATCCTACGGCCAGACAGGCGTTCGAAAGGTCTTGACGACGCGCGTCGAGCGGTCCCGGCTACGTCTTCTGTGGTGGCGAGACGGGCGAGATCGAGCACCGGAAGGCGGGGGAATGGGGCGCCAGCTGTGGGCGCTCTTGCACAGCGCACAGCGGGCGAACGAGCGCGGCGAAAGAGACGGCGGGGAGCGCGATCGAAAGGGATTTGCGAGGGCTATCAACGCCCCAACTTGCAGCGCGATCAGAGCCGAAATGGTGGGGCGGCGCGTCGAGTTCATGCCTGAGGATGCCTGGAAGCGGTGGGGAGACAGAAGTGGCTGCCGCGGGTGAACGGCTGCCCATCTTGGCGGCGGTAAGGACGCATTCAATGCAAGATGACGAGGGGAGAAGACGTACCAAATCTCGTGCATAACGGATGGGAGACTCCGCCGTGGTGGTCAAAATCGCCAGCGTCGAGGAGGGTGCAGATGGTGTGGAGGGCGATGATGTGGCGACTGTCGCGAACGAGGGACTGGGCGTACCTCCACGCGCGAAGGTGCGTCTGAAAGGCCTTGACTATCGTAAGAGAACGAACCCGGCCGCGTCGCAAACGGGCTCCAAACCGTCGGGGGACGAGGGCATCAAGTTGGCAGTGGGATGGGTGCTCTTCTGTCGCGGGGGACGACGTGCAGCGGGACGATGCCGGGGCGTATCTCAGCACGGAGCGGCTCGTAGGGAAAAGGTGAAATACACGCACAAAACAAGCCCGTACGGCCCTCGAACAGAGAAGAGCTCGTGGAGGGACGGAGTGGCGGTCCGCTGGAGGGTAATCTCTGTGTCGAGGGCGGCAGTGATTGCAACGTAGGTCAACGACGACGGTACGCTCCACGACGCGGAGAGGCGCGTTTGAAAGCCACAAATAACGCGCATAAAACGAGTCCGGCCGCGCGGAAATCGGCCGCGGCGTCACATACCAATTGGATGGGAGATGTCGGGATGGGGAGGAGGGGGACTGCGTCTTCGACCGCAACGTCCTGGAGCGTCCAGCCGCGTGAATTCGTCGCACTTGGCACGATAGAACGGGGGAAATGAGGACTTTCAAGCGCAACAAGAACGAAGAGCGTACCATAAAAAACAGCGGAGATACGTCAAGGTCTTCCATCCCCTAGCCTCCCTGGGTGAATCTTCGCGTGCTCGGACCGTTAAGTGGCGAGTTCGTGGCGCATCGACATGTGAGGGGTATCGATAGAGAGGGGGAAATAAGACGGATCGAACGACACCGAGATCGCAATGAACGGACGGCGGGAAGGGGATGGATGGCACGAGGAGTGGGTGGGTATATCTCTGACTGCCCAGCTGGATTACGCGTGGGCATCCGCGCGCATTCCCACCTGCCCCTTTCGGCGGCACCTGGCTCTAAGTACGGATGTCCGCGCGCACAGCACGATGATTCGCGCGCACCGCCATAGACGGTGTCTCAAATGTGCGCGATGGTTCGTGCACGTATCGGTGGATGCGACGTCCGACGTGCGCGATAGATCGCGGACGTTTGAGACGCTGTCTACAGATGTGCGCGAACCATCGTGCAGATAACAACTATGCTATGCAAAGCACCCACAGTCCATGTGCCCGATGGTTCGCGCACATATCAGTGGGCGCAACGTCCAATGTGCACAATGTATCACAAACATGTGAGACACCGTCTACGATGATGGGCGCGAACCATCGCACACATTACACCCTAGTACACTTCACCATGTGTGCGATGGTTCGCACACATTACACCCTACACTCCACCATGTGTGCGATGGTTCGCGCACATCACAACTATGCGCCATGTGCGCGATGGATCGCAGACACTGTCTACGGATGTGCGCGCACCATCGCGCACATGGCAACTATGCTGTGTGAGGCACCCACAGTCCATGTGCGCGATGGTTCGCGCCCTTTTGGGTGGGCGCTAGTTCTACCCCTCATGCAGCTCTTACCCTCCGGACCTAAAAAAAGGCCTCTCTTATGCAGTAGTCCCATAGTGGGGTACTGGGTGGGAGCGAGGAATTTCACAAAAACAATTATACAGTGAGCGTGGGTGTCGGCCAGGACCAAGAAGTCGTGAATGTCGTTATAGAATCGTCAAGGAAAGCAAATAATCACAGACCTGCCGGCGCATCGAAGTACAGACAGTCCATATCCCTACCACAAATCGATGGGGGGACCTGCGCTCGAGCCGAACCCGTACAACAGATCACATCCCCGCATCTCCCCTGACGACGACGACGACGACGACGACGACGACGCCAGCAGCCCTCCGCCGGCGTCGCGCATGAGGCCCTCGTTGCCATGCTGGACCTTCATAAGCTTGCGTGGGGACGACAACACCGCGCTTCCCAACTCGGTCTCGTCGAACTCCGGCAGGGGAGGGCGCTTGCGCGGCGACGGCGATGCGGTGGGGAGCGCGGCGCGCACGTTCGGCATGGAAGAGGCTGCACGGATAGTGGCATCCGGAGAGGAAGGCTCCTCGACGATGCCAAGCCCCAGCCCGAACGCGAGCGCCGCGCGCGGGGGTCGGATCGTCTCGTCGGTGTCGTCGTTGGTGGACGTGTCTGCGGGGAGGGAAACGCCCGGCGTGGTCGGAGACGACATAGTGGGGCTGTGCGGGGGACGGGTTGCGGTACTCGTGGACGCGGACAAGGAAGGTTCGGGCGTCTGGTTGACGGTGCCATCGTTCCCCATAGGCGTCGAGGGCTCCGACGACGGGTCCGAAGGCACGAGGTGAGCTTGCAGAGCCGACGACGTTCGATTCTTCGGAAGGCTCTTGATACGCCTGCTCGCCAGGGAAGGGTCTACAGGGAGCATACCTGTGCTCGAGGAGGGGACGCCAAGTCCGAGGCTGGCTTGACGGTGCGAGCTCGACGTCAACGGCGCGAGGATTTCATGGATGGGGGACGCAATGGGGGTGCACTCCGATGTCGACTCGGAATTGAGAACTGGCATAGAGCAGGTGGCGGAGACCTGCGAGGGCGGAGGAAAAGACGGCGGGGCGAGCGAAGGTGCGCTGGAGAAAGTCGCGAGATAAAGCAGGCTGCTGACACGAAGTGTATTCTCGTCCGTGTGAACTGCGCGCGATGACGCTGGGCCTGGGCGGGGACTTGAGTACGGCGTCGGAGGGTGTGCAGAGAGAGAGGAGTCGAGGAAGCTCTCCTCGAACAGGCGCCTCGGCAGCGGGCGGCGAACGCGCGCGTTGCCTGGGCTTGAACGCGAAGGGGGAGTACGGTATTCGTGGGAGATAGCTTGCTGTGCGTGCTGTAGGAGGGATAAGAACACGAGTGTATGCGGCAGCGCATATACGCACCCATCGCAGAAGGATCTGGCGAGCATCGGGGCTCTCCCACGACAAACCGTCGAGGTCCGAAAACTCGGTCCTCACGTCAAGGAAGGCAGCCTCCAGACCGTGATGCTCGCGCTGGGCCTGGGTTGAGTTGGTTGATGGAGAGGAAGGTTGGACCAACGCACCCTAATCGCCCGAAGAGCCTCACGATCCTCCTGCTCCTGCTCTTCTTCAATGCGCTTCTGCCGGGTCATGCGCGCCTGCACTCGGTCGCTGTGGGTGGCCAAGGAACGCTTGATGGGTCGCGGGTCACGGCCACGGCTGGGGATCTCGACCGCGAGGCCGGGAGGGGTTACAGGAACGACTTGAGCCATGAGAAGAATAAGCGAGGGAAAAGTGGCCAGCCAGCTGGTGAGGAACAAGGCGCGGTGAGTGGGGAGAAAAGAGGACGAGACGGCGGCTGACTCGAACTCACACGAGCAGCTGGATCGCGCTTAGAATCGGGGCCAGGGTGGCAAACGTTTCCGAATGGGCTGGCCTGGAGGGTGGCAATCCTCGATGTGGTGGCCGTGCTTTTGTATGTCGTTGAACGGGCGCGCCCGGCAGCACACTCCGAGCCCGTCGGAATCGACGGTCTGTGGTCTGTTTGACCTGGGCCACAAGTCACGCTGTTCTGTGGTCAACAATAGGGAACACAAAGACGCGGTTTATGGCCCACTTACAATGGCGAACACTGTTACTCCACTTAGAAGAAGGAGCTGTGGACTGTTCCCGGTCGCTTCGAGAATCGATGGGTAAAGTTGAGTACTACTGGCCGCATGTCGATGTCTGCGAGCGCTGTGCGTTTAAGTCTTGACTGTGCAGGTACTGAAGTCGGCGCCGAGCGTTGGATGAGTGCGGACTGAGCCTGAGGCCTCAGTATTCACGCTCATTTGATGGGGGGACGACATTTGATGATGCGCGCGGACGTTGCGATGGACGTGACCGCAAGCCGCAAGGCCGCTGCGGCACGCAGGCACGCTGCTGGTCATGTCAGGCTCAGCGCAGAGTATTTTGCGGGTAAACGGGGCGGATGGGAGAGCGGAGGAGGTGAAACGCGCGCGGCGGCCGGCGTTTGGGGACCAATGGTCGAGAGACAGTGAGAGACGTCGTGACCGTCACGGCGACGCGACAGGCGCGCGTGGTCTTCGGGGCATGCGTTGTCCTCTTGCTCACTGCCTTCCCTTCTCGCTGTCCACCACCTCCTGCTTTATGTCGCGCCCGCCCCCGGCACGCACACATCGCCCTCATCCCACACACCGCCTCTGACCATCGACCCCATCTCCCGCATCCCCCATGAGCGTTGTTGTACCAAAGCAGCCAGGTCCGTCGCGTCTCGCCTCGCTATATGCGCATCTCATTCACCCTCCTTGCAGATCCGGCAGAGAACTGGGACGAGGACTTCGAGTTCCACGCCGGCGCAGCAGCACAGCGCGCGCTCCATCACGATAAAGACGACGACATGCGAAACCCAGCAACCCCGACGAACGCGATGCCCTCTCCGCCCACGACTCCCCTCCGCGAAACACAGAACACCCTCCACAACTGGGCTGAACCCGGTCCCTCCACTCCTTTGCGCCGCCTCCAGCACACTGAGAATTGGGACGACGATTTCCAGGATGCCGACTCCCCCGGTCCCTCTCGTCGCGGCACCCGCCCCCCGCCAGCCACACGCGTGAACGGCTCCGGCTCCCCCATCGAGAACTGGGACGACGAATTCGAGGACAAGTCCGACAAGGGCCCATCCCCTCGGAAGCGCACCCCTCGAAAGCGACAATCCTGGTCCGACGAAGAGGAGGACTACGGCTTTGCGGATCGGGAGGACGACCGGACGGTGACCTCGCGCCGCGTCGCAGGTGTGCCCTTCATCCTCTCCAGCGACGTCCCCCCCGTGCCCCCACTCCCGTCTCCCTTCCCGCGCTCCCCCACCGCCTCCGTTTTCTCCGTCCCCGTTTCCTCCAACGGCCGCGAGTCCTCCGCCGGCTATTCTTACTCATCCACCGCCCACTTGGCACTTCGACCCACCGTCTCCGGGAACTCCGCTATAGCCGCCCGGCTCGCCCTCCTCCCACCCAGTCCTCCTCACCGTGAGCGCCGCCGGCTGCGGAAGAAGTCTCGACCTCCGCACCAGTTGGAAGAGGAGGGCATATTCGAGCTCGACGACCGCGCCGAGCTTGTAGAGCAAGCCCGCCCCGTCACTCCCGAGACCAATGGAAGGCGTCGCGAGCCGCCCCCCATCCCGCCCGACGACCCTCCGCAAGACGTCGGGAATACGTCGACGACCCGCACCCCGCTTCTCTCTCGTATCGGCTCCGTTGGCAAGAAGTGGAGCGCGCGCAAGAAGCGTGTCAGCAACGGGCCCTCGGATATCGCGCTCCGGGAGCGCAACGAAGGACCGTCGTCGCGCGAACGCGGCACAAACACCGACAGCGGCGGCTCGCGCCCGACGAGCTTCATGGCGTCGAGCTCCCCCGGGCACGGTGGCGCCAAGGGCTGGTTTTTTCGCGGTGGTGGCAGCGGTCAGGGGCCAGGTTCGTCACCGGGACGCGAGTCGGCGCTGAAGCACGAGAAGAGCGTCGAAAGGCTCCTCCACCTCATGGGCGTCGAGCGCGGCCGTGAGCGGGAACCGCCCGGCTCCCCGTCCTCCATCGACCGCAAGGGCAAGATGCGCGGGCACTACGGCGACAGCTCCTCTGCGCTCCCCGCCGATCTCGAAGCCGCCGTCGACGGGAGCAAGGCCCCAGATTCCGCGCTCTTTGGAGGCACTCCCAAACGGCCGCAGTCGATGCAGGTCTCTGTGTCAAACTCCTCGTCAAATTCGGGTTCAGGCTGGCCTCACAAGCCGCCGAGCAACCCGCGCCACGTTTCGTACTCTGAGAACCGCCCTCCTCGACGACCGGTTACGCCCAGCAGTCGCGCCAGCTCGAAAGGACGATCCGCATCCGCGAGCGTTGAGGACGTCCGGCGCACCAAGAAGAGTTCGACGACTTCAGGTCGCGACGTCTCCCGGGAGGTTTCTGTCGAGCGGTCGAACAACGGCCATCCGGATGGGGAATCGAAGGGCGGAAGACGGTTCATGGGGAACATCCGCCGTATCAGTCTTGGGGGTAAGCACAAGCGCAACAAGAGCATCGCGGCGGAGGCTACGAAACCCGCGTTGCTCGCCGCGGCGATCATTCATGACTCTGAGACGCAGGACCAGAGCACGCCCCGGCCACCATCGCGTACAATCCGGTCGTCGATCGACGTTCCCCTCTTGCCACCCATCGAACTGCAGCCCCCATCGCCCCCACATAGACCGGGCGAACGCAAGGTTCCCCGCCCGCTCGAAGCCACTCCGACGCGAATGTCCGTCGAACGTTCGATTGAGCCATCGCGCTCGCACCCCACGCTCAACCCGCGGTCATCACAAGCCTTGTCGTCGACCTCGCAGGAGACGGCGCTCCCTTCCATCCCCTCCCCACTCCCTTCTCCCACACGCACGCGGCCATCGACTTCTCCCGTCCAAACCGCGTCCCTCGGTCGCACAGCGCAACCACCGAAGACGACCGAGACGCCGATTAACTCCGCGTTCCCGCGACGGAACTCGCTCGGCGACCTCAAGATCCCAGCGCGGATCAGTCAAGCTCAGGTTGGATTGCGAAGAGACCTTAGCATGGTGCGAGACTTCGCGACGAGCGTAGATCGTGAGTCTCGCGATCCTTTTTGTCCGTTCTTGCGCTCATCCTCCTCGTGCAGAGCTCAAGCAGTTGCAGCTCACCTACACGCTGCTTGCCGGCCAAGTGCGCGCCATATGCCATGAAGCTACCGAGTCACAGTCCCGTCCAGTGTCTCCTAGCCCCATGCATCACTTCCCGCGTCCCTCTTCGCGCCTCCGCTCATACACCAGCCCAACAGCGGTCCACGCGATGTCTCGCAGTCAGCTCAACACCGCGTTCCTGCTGCTCGAAGCCAAGTATCGCCTCTCATGGGAGTGCGCGGAGCTGCTGATCGATCTCGGCGGAGGCGCGCCCACGCAACCTCAAACCTCCCCTCCTCCATCCAGCCACTCCGTCCCTGCAGTCCCTTCCATTCCAGAGGGCAAGAAGGGCCGCGAACGCGCCATCACGCTCGGAGGCGACGAGTCGAAACCATCTCTCCCCGGGACGCCGCAGGGCGTTTCGCCTCCACTCGCCAGTCCTCCTTCGCAATGGCGCGCCTCAACCGGGCGTCATGATCTCTCTCAGCGTCAACTCCACCTCCTCCGTGAGATGCTCAACAACCCCGACCCGTCGATGACGATGACGATGGAGCCGAACATCCCGGAAGAGGATATCAACCGCAACTGGCGGTGGGGCGACGCGATGAATAGTACCATCACCTTACCCAGCGAAGAGTCTGCGGGCGGCACGGGCCAGCCATCGCCGTCGAAGAAGCGTCGGACGAGTCGCCTCGGGATGCGGCACATCCGGGACATGCTCCGCTCGCTGAAGAAGACACAAGGTCAAGGGATCGTGATGCCTCGCCTCACACCCTCCTCGTCAACGTCAGTCTCGGCAAGTACGGACTCGTCACTCAACCTTCCGCGCGAGACGAGGCCACAATCCGTCATCCACCGGCGACGGGCGAAGACGAGCACAGGCCCCGCCTCGCTCCCCCGCGACGTCCATCCGAACTCGCCATACGCGACCACCTCCGCGCTCTCGCACAAGGCGTCCCCGCGGCGGCCGTCGCTCGCCAGCATCTTCCGTCTCGGACAGAAGTCGAAGTCGCCAACACCAGCGACCGGTCCGTCCGTCGACGATCTGTCTTCCACGACCACGTCTGGCGGAGGGATGACGATGAGTGGGACCAGCCTCGGCGAGGACTGGGATCACATTGACTCGGCCTCGGAACTCGACCACGCTGCTCGCTCTTTCGGTCTCTCCGTGGACGGGACGGCAACAGTTCGCGGAAAGAAGGGCAAGTCGCCTTACTTATTTGGGGGTGGGTCCGCGTCGTCGCACCGCGCGCTCCCCGAGGCGTCGTTGTCGTCGCTCTTCAGCCCCACCACGAGCGGAGGTGGGGGCGAGTCACCAAAGAAGCCCGCGTCAGCGATCCCCCCGTCGACTCTTCAAGCGTACCAACGGTCTATCAAACTCTCGGACGTTCGCGAAGTTGACACAGGCGACGAAGGCGCAGGGGGCCATGCGCCCCGCGCGCTGTCGCGGACGAAGAATCGACAGTCTGCCCCAAGTCCGTCGCCGCGACCATCATCTTCACGGGGGAAGAAGACGAAGGACTACTCGGGCTCTGTGCGGTCCGCGCCGCCGCAGCCTCGGGGCCCGGGGGCGAGCCCAGACGTGAGCACGAGCGTACTGCCTGCGGTAGACATCAAGCTGGCGATGGCTCCGGAGAACATCAAGCCGCTGCTGGAGAACGCGAAGGAGGTACACGTGCGGTGTGCGGAGTGTATCGCGGAGCTCGAGGCGCTCCTCGGGAGCGGGGTGGGCGTGAGCCCGGCGTAGGCTGGGGCGTTGTGTACATACGTCTGCATTGCGTTCGTCGTTCTCCGTTCGCTGTCGCTCGTTGTGCTCTGCTTGTTTTGTTGTTTGACATGTGCTGCTTTCGCTACGCTATCACGTTCGTCATGTGCTCGTACGACGCATCTCATCTACGCATTTACTATTTCATGTGCTTACGACCAATATAATCCATTCATTACGACCTCAGACTGTGGGAGAACGCTGTCTGGATGCGCGAACCTGGCCAAGTTGGTGGTCGTCGCGCGACACGTCACGAGCCTGGCGAGAATGACGCCGCGGCCGTGGGCGCTTTTAGCTCTCTTCTCCGTCCACCACCACCACCGCCGTCCCAGCGGCCCGCCTGCTCGTCTGCTCACCGGCCGTATCTTCTGTCATCTGCATCGAGGCGCGATCCCCTCTGCTCCACTCAAAATGAGCCTGCTTTCCACACTCCCGAGCCCCTTCGCCCGCTCGCCCCACCTCACCGTGGCGCACACCACCATTCGGCTCGCGTCGACCACACCCACCTACGGGCGCACGCACGTCTGGAAGCGGCGCGCACGCAAGCTCCCGAACCCGTTCGTGCCCGTGTTCCCGCAGCGGCTCGTGCGCGTCGACGGCTCGACGATCGTGCACCACACGTCGTCGCCGCGCGCCGCGCTCCGGCTCACACGCGACACGACGAACCACCCGGTCTGGAACGCGCTCCGGTTTGTCGGGCAGGACGCGGAGGAGGACGAGGAGACGGGCCGGCTCGGGCGGTTCTCGCGCAAGTTCGCGGAGCTCGGTATGGGCGGCGGTCAGCGCCCGGACTTGTCGTGGATGGAGGACGCCGCGGCGGCAGGGGGTGTGAGCGCGGGGGAGCTGGCGAGGGAGGAGAAGCAGAAGAAGGGGAAGGGGAAGAAGGGGAGGTGAGCAGAGAAGGCGGGCGGGAGAGTACTTTATGGTGTGTGCTGGCGTTTCTGCTCTTGTTCTGCGGCGGGCTCACGAGTGCGACAGGTAGCTGTTAATGGCTTGGACTGCGCTTTGTCGTGCTATGAGACTGGTGCATTATGAACAGGCTTGCTCGACTCCGCATCGTGTACGACAGGAGTGCGGCGTGCGCGTCAGCGAATGTACGAAGAGATGTCAACGTCTCGCCGTCTTTGCCAATATCGCCAGCAAGGAGATGCACGCCTGTCGAAGCCGTGTCGACGGATATCGGCGTCGTGAAGCTCGTGGACCTATGTTCCAAGACATGTAGACCTCCGTCTGCTCGCTTCGCTGGCTCTCGTCGCCTCTTGAATATGCTCCGACAACCGCGGATAAGTTGCGCGCTCCTGGGCCCGGGCTGCACGCCCCCGTGGGGAGGGCACTTAGAGTTCGGTGGAGTAGAGGGGATTGTGCTGCGGTAGGCCTTGACCCTCGTCCTTCCGTGCCCCGCGTTCACCATGGTACGCAAGGCCTCGCGTGCGTTGTCATCCTCCCCCGTCTCCGCGTATCCTCATTCAGTCACAGGCACTAGCAGTGTCTCATCGGAGTCCACAGCATGCTCCTCCGCCACGGAAACGCCAGGTCGGATCTGGTTCGAAGACGGGAACGTCGTCGTCATTGCCCAGAACAGCTCGTTCCGCGTCAACGAGGGCATCCTAGGTCATCGATCTAGGGAGTTTCGCAGGTTAATCAAGGAGGCGAGGAGGGCCAACCGGACGGGTGTTGAGTTGCGCGTTTCCGACTCTTCACACGATTTTGAGCATTTGCTACGCATACTGTACGAGGGTTTCGAGTGAGCTTCCCGTTCCTCTCTTACTCCGCTGTTTTGACCCCTGTCAGGTACACAAAAGCCCACAGGCCGACGACGTTCAGCGATCTTGCTTCCGCCACACGCCTGGCGCACAAGTACACGATCTCCTCTGTACTCGACCAATCCTTCGAGCGGCTCCGAACGTTCTTCCCCTCCACCCTGGACGAGTGGGATGAACACGAGGCCCTCCGCGCGCCATCTTCGCCCTCGTTCTCACCCCAGAATGCGATCGAGGCCGTCATCCTCTTCCGCTCCCTCCCTCCCACCAGCCCAGCGGTCGCGATGCTCCCGACCGCGCTCTACCTCGCCGCCCAAGTCCCACCCGCGCTGCTGTTCCGCGGCACCTGGCGCGCGGACGGGACGCTCGAGAAGCTCGGAGACCACGCCGGCGTCGCAGAGGAGGTTCTCACGCTGCACACATCCCTCATCCGGCACGCCGTCGCCGCGCACTCAGCTGTGTACGACGGCGCCCCGAAGGCGGGACTCTTCCACTCCTGTGGTGCCGCGCTCGAGCGCGCGGAAAAGGACTTCCGGCAGGCGGCGGTGCATGGGGACCCGCTTAGTCGGGCGCTGCGGGACGAAATCGAGGGGCTGGCGGGGGACAAGTACAAGATCTGCGAGTTCTGCGTTAAGGAGTTGAGGCGGCGGGAGCGGGAATACAGGATGAAGATATGGGGAGAGCTGCGGGGCGTCATCGATGAGGAAAGTCCGGACAAGGGAAAAGAACAGATGGCGGATGTGTTGAAAGCGGAGAAGACGGCAGGCGAAAAGCCAAGTAAACGATAAGCACATTAATGGACTGGTGCGCGTTTCTTTCATGTATACTACTGTTCCACTGCCACCGGCATTCGTGCTTGTGTGTAATTGGCATCGAGTGGCTGGTATTGTTCGGTGCCGTCCGCCCACCTCGCGAGCGCCGAAGGACCCTCTTATCACGATGTCTTGCAAGCTTCCACCTGAGCCGTGCGACATCATCATCAGCTTCATCTCAAATCTTTCTACCCTCAGCAACTTTCTCTCGCCAATGGCGAACCAGGTCCCAGTTACGCCTTTCCGCAACATCACTCTCCGTCGTTCATCCATTCTGGATGACCCCACGCGCACGCTGCTACCCTCGTTCTCTCCCCTTTCACCATCAATTGACGCACTCCTTGATGTAAAATACGCACCGCCTCCTGGAAGCGACCACCAGTTGTCCCCGCCTGCGCGAGTTCCGCGTCGTCTACCGCGAACCCGAGTTCCGCCTCATCGTCTCTTGGCGTAGCAAACATCTCATCGACACCCTCCACGCCTCCTCAAGGCCTCACGACCCACTTTTCCTGCACGCACGACCACCCCCCACCTCACGACGCTCGCGTCGCCGACCTCGCTGTACGGGGTCATGCTGTTCGATGAGGAGAAAGTTGGAGTCATTCGCAGGCGATATGATGGGCTCGATCCGCGGCAAACAGTCTCTACGGTTGGGGTGGGTCTCAGCCGCTTCTTGCGTTACCCCCGCGTCTCATACGATCGATAGGCGGGGTGCGGCCCTCAGGCCTCAGCGCTTCGGCGACGGTGGGCGATATGCGCATTCGACTCTCGACGATACCACACGTATGGACGTCATCGTCTCTGGTCCCCTTCGTCATCATCCCTATCGCGCTCTGCCACAGATCAGATCAGTCGCCGTCTCTTAGATCTAGCACCGGCTACCCCCGTCTAAACATTCTCAACATGGCAGCGAGGACGAAGGCGAGAGAGAGACTGAAGAGGAGAGAATCGAGTGGCCGCAAGCAAATTCCGCGGTGCGTTCTCGTGATTCAGCTGCTGGCTTCTCGCTGACTCTCAGCGGTTCTGTCAGACTCGGACAAGCAACCTCATCGCCGAACGAATGATGAAGCGCTGACGTGCGGCCCCGTCAGAAATATCACGCTTTCCTCTGTATTTCCAAGTGGTACTCAGCCCCATGAACGTCCTGCCGACTCACCTGGCTTGTAGCTAACCCCGCGAGAAAGCATCACGCTTTCGACGCTTTCCTACTGTTCTCGTCGATAGACAGAGGAACATCACGAAACGCGCGCGAGATAGAACGGGCACGATCTCCAAAGCGCCTGTTGATCACGGCATGAACTGTTTTCGTCATCGATATTACGCATGATCATGGTTCGTCTGGTAGACGAAATGTGATCAACTATTGTCTTGAGCTGAAAATTTTCAATCATTTTGTAATCTACCTGACAATTATTAGATCTGTCAATGTGCAAATGATCACGGGTACACTGAGTGCAGAACATTAGATGATCAGTAAACGACCATTTGACGATCAGCTGCTGATCAAGCCCCAGTGACCGGGAAGTACCAGATACCACGTGATCTAATGCGCGTCGCAGTGCCTGCCTGGTGCTTCAAGACGGATTCCTCTTCTCTGTGCCTACATCTTCGCTCTTCTACTCTAGAATGGCCCCCAATCCTTTCACCAATGGATGAGGCATTTCACACGGACTCTTGATGCGACCAAAACCTGGTCGATGTCGTACTTGCAATTACGCATTACAGTTTATGATTGCAAGTGCTACTACAAGCAGCATGCTCGCGCGTGGATTCATCTATGAGATGCAGAAGAGGCTTCAACGAGCTGAGGTTGACCGAGACAAGGACTGAAGTGCAGACAAAACCGGCAGAACAGGGCGAGAGAACATGCGTGAACGAATACCTGAGGGTGTGATTATGAGAGACAGAGGGCGTGGAACAGCAGAAGATCTGAATCAGTGGCAGGGAAGGGCCCAGCCAGCGCTCGACCATGGCGGCGACGAGCTCGTCGACGTGCTCCTGCTGGCGCTGCGGCGCCTGCGTGAGCGCAGCGGACTTCTGCGGCGGTTCGCGCGGCCAGCCCTTGAGCGTACGCGCGTACGTGAGCGCATCATAGAACACCTCGAAAGGCACAAGAAACGCCGGCTTCTGGCTCTGGTGCTGCGGCCGCGCGATAGCAGGCTTGCAGAGGCTTGCCCTTCCCGCACGCATGGGGCGAATCGCAGGGCAGCGCGGCCGGCGCATGCGCGTGCCCGGGGACGTGTAAACCCGGGCCCTGCGATAATGTCGGTGGGCCGGGGTCACCGCGAGAGGAGAGCACACGGGGGACTCGACGTAGCGGAACTCTGGGCCATACCGCGCCCAACCTCGTGCTCCTTCACACTCGCGGAGGAAGTGGCAGCGATCGCGAGCCTGTTGAGAACCCACGTGGTGCGATGGACACGACCGCGATTGGGGGCCGCGATGAACCACTATCCCGCGTATTGTTGTGGATATATGAAAGGCACGGGCGTGTCGAGGGAGGAAGGGTGTCGGACACGGGAGACCACGAACTATTCGAAGCACAGAGTTTAAGATTGAGGAGGATGGCGAGCCACGAGCACCAGGAAGACGCACCAATCACTCCCAGCCTCCTTTGAAAAATGGCCCGGGACTTGTTCAAGCTTCGCCATGAGAGATGTAGCCGAGAAGCTAGTAACCGAGAGCAATGGGTCAGCATACTGTAGAGACACAACTCCTGCCCTTTCTGAAGGACTGTGGGCGCATAATTGCCGGTGTTGCCGAGGCCACCCAAGGGCATGCAACCATCGATATCCTCACGAGACGTCTCCCAAAACGCAAGACTCACCGGTCTGCGGCCAATCATCCTCTTCTGTGTATGCAGCTCGTCTGCGAGGTCCATATGCCACTTTCCATGTGACGCACACGATCTGGCTTGCTCGCTTAGGCTTCGGATACTGCATATACACACGGTGTGGAGGGTGAGAGTGCGAGTCGGAGAGGAGCCGTTCAGAATGACTAGCGCCTGCCCCCACGCGCGACGCGACGCGACGCGACACGGACTGGCGTGCGCGCTTAGCCAGCCCCGCTTTCTCCTTCATCTCATGTCAACGTTCGTTCTATACGCCAATAGCTGCACTTCTTATCCCCGTCCTCAACGAAATGCCAAGCACGTTCTGGGGGAGTTTCAACCTTAAATCTGCCACTGTACAGTACCTCAGCCTCACGATACTCTCCACCGCTGACGACCCATTCACAGCTTTGAATTGATTCCTCTCCATCCCCATCCTCCCTCTATACCACCATCATGACTAGCACCTCACGCACGCAAGGCACCTCGGCCTGAAATGCGCACCGCCGATTGTGCGGCTGCCTGCTTCCGGCCACACGCCCAAACGGACTCATACCAACGGCAACACGACTCGCATTGAAGCGACATCATAATTCGTCGGTTTCTTCGTGTACGCCTTTCATTTTTTCTTTGGCGTCTTCCCCCTCTTCCCCCCTTCCTATCGCATCCATCTAACTACGTCCGTGCACATGCTATGTAAAGATGCGCGCAACTCAGACGACCCGGACTTCCAGCCTCCGGCGCTCACCGGCGCCGCCCTCCGTACCCTCGAAGTCGCTATCGCGCATGTCTTTCACCACGCCGCGGTTCGACGGCCTACCGTGCCCATAGGTCCGCATCAACATCCTCATCGCACGGTCTCGCCTCATCCTCGCGCGCACCGCCTGTCACCCAAGATCTGCACTCGCGCTCCGCCGTTTCACACTCCCAGCCCCGTGCTCTTTCGCACTAATCCCCCTTGCCTCTTACCGCCGCATCTCCCCATCAATACCCTCGCTCAAGCCACCCTTTTGCCATCGACGACTTTCAACCCTTAGCGCGACCCCCGGGTTGCCCCGCACATCACCGAGCCATCGTCGAGTATGGCAGAGACCTGGAAGTATGGTGAGTAATACTTTATCTCTTGCATTCCGAATTACTGCACAACGTCGTTCAGCGTCGCTGTCACCGCCATGAAAGGCAACACAATGTTCCAGTACTGCGATGTCTTCCCAGTATGTGCCGGTTTGCTAATGTGATCTTTCCGCCTGTGAGCTGACGAGTGACAACAGAAAGATCTTCTCGCCCGTTACGGAGGCACGCGACGATGTCATGGGTGCTGATCCAGAGGCCGCCTTCGCTGTAATGATGGCGGTATGAGATTGTTATGAGTCACCATTTCTCTCCCTGTCGAGATGTGTTGTGTCCGTATCGCTCACCAATGCGCCCTTTTCCCACCCGTTCAGCTCGAAAACCAGGATCGATACGTTGAAGCACCGGCCTACGAGCATGGCGCCCCTGCCCGCGCGCACCTTCCGGCTCCCGAGCAACGCCGTCATCAGCGTCCCAATCAACCTACTGTGAAAAACCACACGGGCATGGGCCGGCTCCACCTCGTCCTCGTCGCTCTGCCCGGCCGGCTTCCACGAGCGCTGCACATGTCGTCCGGTGGGGTCGTTCCACCAGCGTGTCACGCGCGCGACGAACTCTGCCGTCGGATCGAGATTCGTTGGGTGTCGCTGCGCTCCGGGGTGGACTCGCCCTGCCATCGAGTTGCTCATGAACTACCCGGCGGTGCGCGTGGCGTCGTCGTTCGAAGCCATCGCCATCCGGAGCGGGTGTGGGTGAGGCACAGGTGCGGCTCACCCGTGTTTCTGTCTGCTACAGTCTCCCTTGTTGTCGTATCTGAAGTTCATAGCACACAGTCACACCCATTAGATTTCCCTGCCTCAGTTGGAATAACCCTGCTGCTGTCGCCCTGTCACTGTTATCATCTGTCTCTCGCTCGTTCGCATCCATATTGTACCTCCCATGCTTTATAGACCTGAATAATACCGGATTTTGCGCATATATGGGTGTTTGTGGTCGACCGGCAGCAGCGAAACATTTCAGCACATCTGAATCGGTCTTTTCAGGTCATTGCACCACCCGGAAATGATCATTTTGAAGTGAGCTCATGTTCATCTCATCCCTGTGCCACGAACTAGCCATGGTCATATCGTACCTCAGCATTGATCACTGCACACCCCGTCTCAGATCATCTATACACCCAAGAACGATCAGGCCAGATCGTCACTCTCACAGAACATGTTCATCGTCGAACATGGTGTCCCCTGCAGATGATCTGCCCCGTTCATCTTGGCCCGAGTGAACGACCGGCCCTGCTCAGCCCGACCCGGGTGGATGACCGGCTCCGTTCTATCTCCCACATACAAATGATAACTCTAGAACTGTTCCAAGCCCAGCCATGATAATGTCCTATCGTTTATCCCCTTACAAATGTTCGTCACTGCTCATGACCCCCGTCTGGGATGCTCGGTCCCGTTCTACCATGACGATTTTCTGTCATAAATTGACACTGTCCGTTCGACAAAGAAAGGGATGATCTCCACAGACTGCACATGGCCTGGCACGAACATCTGTCGTTCTGGTCCGGGCGCGTTTCGTGATGAAGGACCGAAGCGCTCGCGACGCGGTCACGGATTTTCGAGCGCGTCAGGGCGCCGTGACAAACGCGTTTCATCACGCTCACGGGGCGCGTGACTACGGCGGGAAGGTCTCCGGGAGGACGGGCTGAACGAGATCGTCCTAGCGTTCTCACCCATCGCTGCTAGTCCCCATGGTCCGCCCTCCTTATCGCACGACGATCTCTTGTGCTAGACCACCACTCAGCCAGCAACACAGTAGTCTGCGATGTCCATCCACGCCGTGAAGCGCGCCCAGTGTCACCTCGCCTGGGACAACAGCATCCCCCCCGCTATCCACATCGAGTCCGGGGACACCGTCTCGTTCGACTGCCTCGACGCCTCCAACGGTCAGATCACCCCCGCCGCGACTGTAGACGCCCTCGCGTCCCTCGTCTTCTCTCAGCTCGACCAAGTCAACGGCCCCGTGCACGTCGCCGGCGCACGCCCAGGCGACACCCTCCGCGTCGACGTCCTCTCCGTCGAGACGGCCGAGTGGGGCTGGACGGCCCTGATCCCTGGTTTCGGGCTGCTCGCGGACGAGTTCCCGGCTGCCGCGCTCAAGCTGTGGACGCTGAACCGCACGGAGGGGCAGGCGGGTTACGGGTATGCGTGGTTCGACGAGCAGAAGGGGATCAGGGTGCCGCTGCGGCCGTTTGCGGGGGAGATGGGGGTCGCGCCGGGGATGGACGGGGCGCACTCGACGATCCCGCCGTATGCGACGGGCGGGAACGTTGATACGCGGCATCTGTCTGCGGGGTCGACGCTGTTCTTGCCTGTGGAGGTCGATGGCGCGTTGTTCTCTATCGGGGTGAGTCTTCACTCCATCTTGCGTTATTTTCGCCTCTCACCAGATGGGTGCGCAGGACGGGCATGCGGCCCAGGGCGATGGCGGTAAGCTATATGCGCCGTATATACCCTTCGCTGAGTTTGAGCCTCGTTTTTAGAGGTCTGTGGTGCGTAGATGCTCGTCTACGTGTGTGCATGCGCTCATCTTGGTGCAGGTACCGCTATCGAAACCCCGATGAAGGTCACCGTCCGCCTGACGGTCGTCAAGGACAAGCCGTATGTTAAGACACCTCACTTCCACACGACCTCCCCGCATGCGAGCACGGAGGAGTTCTACTGCACGACTGGCGTCGACTCCGGTTCGTCCCTTGTTTCTTGCTTGCAAACCTCCACTTATCATCGTACGGTGTACGGCAGACATCCGCGAGGCGACTCGGTCGGCAGTGCGTCATATGATCGCGTTCCTCGGAGCAGAGCACGGCCTCGCTCCCGCGGATGCGTACATGCTCTGCAGCGTCGCTGGAGACCTGCGCATGCACGAAGTCGTGAGTTTACTATATACACTGACACCGACGCGCGCTTAAACGACTCACGTAGGTCGATATGCCGAACTATGTTGTAAGTGAAGTTGAACATTCAATATGAGATACACAGGCTAAGGCGTACGCATAGATCGGGATGATGATGCCCAAATCGTTGTTCACGAAGTAGTTCGTTGCCGATGGATCATACGCGAGGGTGACGTTCCAGTTTGGGAGAAGTTCTATCACCTGACGGAGGCCGAACGAGAGGTGGAAGACGCATTCGACCGAGAAGAAGGGAGGTGGAAGTAGGGATGTTTTGTTTTGGGGTATGCATATTTGTCCCATATCTACCGACATCCATGTCTGTCTTTGTATTTGATCGCCAGGGCAAACGAGCCCGCCCAGCCTCTGCTCTCTTCCGCTTTGATTGCCAGCGTATACAATATCATCACCCGAACGGACCTCTCAGTAGCTTGTCTCGCATGCCTCGCACGGGACTTTGGCGACGTTAGAAATGCCTTTGCTTCTACTTTCATCCACCACGGAAGGCCATCAACACGTCATTTCGAATACTGAGCGTTTTTCTATCTTGCTCAGACACTCACGAGACCCGAGTTTGGATAACAACCTGCGCACCGGATGTTGCTTCTCTCATTCCTGCTCCCGGTCCTCCACCGAAACTCTACTCCGCAGATCATACGTCGCGCAAGCTTGTGGATATTGCACACGCACTCACCTGTCCTCCACATCTTGTACGGCAAACCCGAAAATCGCCCTAACCAACTCATTTTCCGACGCCTCATCGCCCTCAACGACCATTTTCCCGCACACTTGCGCCCGACCCCGAGCTCCACACGCTCGCCAAGGATCTCATGCGGGCCTGGTCTCCGGCGGCGATCGTTCGCCTCGTGGATACGCAGCTGGGCGCCCGCGCGATCCCGCCTCCGCATCATGGGGATGCTTCAGGACTGCGTGAGCCTGCTCAATCCGCCTCGCGGTATTCACAGGCGTCCCTTCGCGCCACCCGCGGACATGGGCGTAGTCTGTCGAGGTGGACGTTGACGCGGAGCTTCTGGCCGCCGAGCCGGTGTCCGAAGGAGACGAAGAAAAAGGCCGGACGTCGGACGGTGAAGATGAAGCGGAGGAAGGATCGCTGAGCGCTGAAGGCGAGCATCGCCGGAAAAGGTTTGCTGTCAAGTTGGTGCCGTTAGCTACTAACTACCTCCTACACGACCGAGGCAGCTGCTTCACGAGTCGCCGCCAGCACAGCCCGTGCCTCGCGCTTTGCGCTCCGCCAAACGGGGACCAGAAACCCAGTAGACCGCAGGCGGGTCGTGCATACAGTACCTATTAAACAATCATACACTGGATTATAGACATGTGTCATAGAGGGCTCCACAGCGGAAGAGGTCAGACAGCACACGCCGCACGCTCCGACTCCAGTGTTGCCTTCCGCCGCGCCTTCACGCTCGCGGGCGGCCCGTGCGCGGCGGCGACGAAGACAAGGAGCATCGTGACGGGCACTGCGAAAAGAAAGACGCATCCGACGCGGATGACCGGGTCGGGCGAGTTCCACGCGGCGACCAACAACGCTAAATTTTTCTTCAGTACCATTTCGGCGGCCATTAGAGACGAGAAGCACGGACCGCAAACGCTGAGGAGCGCGCCGCCGCCGATGGAGAAGAACGGGTAGGCGAGGAGGGTGAGGGAGCAGACGACGCGGGCGCGGGTCGCCATGAGGACGTCGGCCATGAAGCGGGCGTCGCACGTCGCGAGCACGTACAGGTCGGCGGAGGCGACGATGATGCCGCCGAGGAGGATGCCGAAGGAGGCCCAGAGGGCGATGCAGGGCCCGCGCGCGGTGTAGTCGAGGATCGCGGGCGAGGGTGGAGGGGTGGTGACGAGCGCGGCGGCGGAGGTGAGGAGCAGGCCTGCCTGTGTGAGTGGGTAGGTGAGCGTGGATAAGGAGAGGAGGCGGACGACGGACGACGACGGTGAGGGTGGTGATGCGGTTGATGAGGGACTCGCGGTCGCGGGCGAAGACGTCGCCGCCGGCGGTGGTCGCGACCCACTTGCGGTCGAGGCTGGTGTGGCCGACGCTGATGGCGCAGAGGATGTGGAAGAGGCTGCGGGCGAAGGAGCCGCGGGAGCCTGAGTAAGACGCGGTCCAATGGGCGGGGATTGCTTCGGATTTCAAGGTGCCACCGGTGAGGGACGGGGAGGAGAAAAGAGTGGAGGAGGGCGAGGGGAGGGCTGGCGAGAAGGGGGAGTGCCAGGGCGGATGTGCGGAGTCGAGTGCTGGGAGAACGAGGTCGGAGTCGACAGAGGGCTGGCGGAACGGGACGATTGGGGAGGGGCGGCGAACTGGCGGGCGGGGGGCGGGCGCGGACAAGGGTGAGAGCGGGGGCGGAGAGGAGCAGGAGACGGGGAACATGATCATCTGCGAGCGCATGCTGGGATACGGGTGCAGGCGGGGACGGGAGGGGGCGGGGACGAGGGCATACTTATAACCATCGGGCGGGAGAAGGATCCAAAGTCGAGTGCAAAGAGACGCAGCCACTGTTCGGGCGGGCAGAGGACTGATGCGGGCTTCGGTAGACTAAGCGGCGACACCGGGGACGGTCCAAATGTGTTGGCAGAGCATGGAAGAGAGCGTAAAGATGGCGAGGTGGTGCGTCGGGAAAGCCTGGGATGGACGACAGCCCGCCTGAGTTGCCGGCATGGGGGGCAGAGAGAGTGCGGGATTGGAGGCGGAAATCAAGCTAGTGGATCAGATCATGTTCCCTGCGCCGGACAGAGCGTTGACCGGGCGGCGAAGATTGGCGGGTGCGTAACGCGTCTGGGGAGGAGACGGGAAGTGGCAAGAGCGCGGCGGAGTTTCCCGTGACAGCGTCGGAGATGCGCTCATCTTCGCACTCCGTCCGTGAATCCCGGGCTCACTCGGACCGAGCCGATATCCCTCCCTTCCCCTCCAGACGTCCACCATGTTCTCACCCTGTCCTGCTAGCCCCCACTTTGACCACACAATGCTCTCGTTATCAGCTGAGGAGAGGGTGATAGGACGGCGGGAGCGACTCGAGCTCGCCTCCTTTGATGTTCCCTGCTCCCTGTCACTCGGCGTCCTAGCTCATAAACAAGCCGTCCAACTGCCGTCCTCCGAAGCTCTCTCTCCTCATGACTCCCTCGCCCTCGACGCGCGAGATTGTCTCTCTCGTGGGCGTCGTCGCCCTGGTGAGCATCACGTTTATCGCCCGAGTCGATTCATTCGCCTTCTCACTGCCCTCCTACGTCTAGCTTGCGCACCAAGTCCTTCGACGATACGAGCCTCGCACTCCTCTCCATCATGCATCCTGCCTGCTTCTCGCTCCCACAACCATCTCTGTCGCCATCATCCTCAACCCCCAATGCACCCGTACTCTCGTCCACACCTTCCTTCTCGTATTTCCGCTTTACATCTCCACCCTTGTCGTCTCCATCGTCATCTACCGCCTCAGTCCGTTTCACCCCCTCGCCCGTTACCCGGGTCCCATCCCAGCCAGGGTCTCCATGTTCTGGATGGCAGTCGTGAGCACCAGCGGCGACCAACACAAGTATATCAAGTCCCTCCATGACCGCTACGGCGACGTCGTCCGCACAGGTTCGTCCTCAGATCCCCCAGCCTGCGCGCGCCCATCGTGCTCACACGCTGCAGGCCCCAACGAGCTTTCGGTCCGCGATCCGTCTCTGGTTCCTGAGATCCTCGGAAGCTCAGGTCTTCCCAAGGGCCCCCGTACGTCCCCCGCGTCTAAAACCGCGCACTTCACTAACTATATGCGCAGACTTCCACGGACGCATGCTTCAGTACGAGCCACGGATGCTCGTCGCCGTCAGCGACATTGAGGAACACGCCCGCCGCCGCCGTCCGTGGTTGCGAGGCTTCGCGCCCGCCGCGGTGAAGGAGTACGACGCGCTCATCGCGCAGCGAGCAAGCCAGATGCGGAGCGCCCTGGAGGAGCAGAAGGGTGTGGTGCAGTTGGGCGAATGGATCGATTTCTTCGCGTGCGTATCTTCGTCTCCGTACTTGCGCACCCAACCCAACCAACGCTCGCGATCATATAGCTACGACTTCATGACAGACATGGCATTCGGCGGAGGGTCCGAGCTTCTCAGTGGGCAAGGGAAGGACAACTTCTGGGCGGTTTTGGATGCGCACTCACGGTATGTGTCCACTCTCTTGCTCTGCATATCTCGCCTCTTATGCGTGGCCGTCCCGTAGGATGGCGACGTTCTTGGGCCGTCTCCCTTGGCTCGGTATCCTGCTGGGGTACGTTCCGGCCGCCAGCAAACCCGTCGCTCTCCTCATCAACCGTTGCGCGGAATTCACCGCCGCACGCGTGAAGCGTGGCGCATCCAAACTCGACCTCTTCCACTACCTCGTAAGTCTGGTCGCTCATCTTCTTCTGCACATCTCACTCCCCCGTCGGTCGTTGCAGAGCGGGGAAGACGACCCGTCACGCCCTCAAGCCCCTGCATCACAACTCATCGATGACGGCGTCCTCGCGATCGTTGCCGGGGCGGACACGACAGCATCCGCGACGACGAGCACGTTCGCGTGCCTACTAGCCCATCCTGAGGTGTATGTACGGCTGCAACAGGAGGTCGATCGGTTCTACCCACCAGGCGCGGACCCAGCGGACTCGCGCCACCACAAGGAAATGCCGTACCTCAACGCCGTCATGTAAGTCGCACCCGCCACGATCGCATCTGGACGTGGGCTGATATGTTTCCCTCAGTAACGAGGGCCTACGCCTGTTCCCTCCCGTCCCTGGAGGCACGCAGCGCATGGAGCCCGCGGACGGGCAGGGCTCCACGTTCAGCTCGATGTAAGTTTTCCTCTTTGCGACTGCTCGCTACCTCCGCACCGGTCTTCTGCACGTAGCTGACCCGAACGTAGGTACGTTCCCCCGGGCACGAACGTCTGGGTTCACACCTGGTCCCTCCACCGCGACCCGCGCAACTTCCGCCCGCACCCGAACGGCTTCTGGCCCGAGCGCTGGCTCCTTGCTGCTGACCCCGACCTCGACTCCGCGGGCACGGCGAAGGTCGAGGGGGCGTTCACGCACAACGCGGGCGCGTTCGTGCCCTTCTCGTATGGACCGATGAACTGCGTCGGGCGCGCGCTCGCGGTGCAGGAGATGGGCACCCTGCTCTGCACCGTTCTCCAGCGATTCGAGGTGCGCGCCGCGCCGGGGGCCACGGTCGACGGGCGGGAGGGCGGAGTGTTTGATCTGCATGCGTACGAGGAAAGATACAAGGACTTCTTTACGACGTCGCGGGCGGCGGTGCCGGTGGTTTTGGAGGCGAGGCGCGGGAGGGAGTGAGGGGGCGCCAGCGAAGGTCGAGTTTAATCGCAACAGTTGTCATTCTCATTAGATCTGATTCTATGCTGTACTCGATACACGTTCAACACGATGTACCACTCAACGCGCCTCCAGCACGACGCGCACCTTCCCCCGCACGCTCACAAAGCGGTCCCGGTACTCCCCCTCGTACGCCGCCATCCACCGCTCCGCCCCTCGCACGCCCTCGCCGCCCACCACCCGCCGGACCTCGAACCGCTGCAGCACCGCGCACGCCACCGTCCGGATCTCCTGCAGCCCGAGCGCCTTCCCGACGCAGTTGAGCGGCCCGTACGAGAACGGGTTGAACGCGGCCTCGTCGTGCACGAACCCGCTCGCCTTCGAGTCGTGCGCGTCGACCAGCCAGCGCTCGGGCCAGAAGCGCGCGGGCTCGGAGAAGCTACGGGCGTCGCGTTGCATCGACCAGACGTGCACCCAGAGCGCCGTCCCGGGAGGTATGTACCTGATGACGATCATCGTCAGCGCGGCCCGCGGGCGCATCCAGTCACCCAACAGGGACGCACTTGTCTCCCACAGTGAATCCAGGGCCGCCCGGGGCCGTCTGGCGCTGCGTGCCGCTCGGGACGGGCGGGAACAGGCGCAGCGTCTCGTTTCTGTCCGTTCGTCAACACCGTGCTGCCCAAGGAGTCGTTACACGAAGCACTCACATCGCGGCGCCTAGATAGGCCATGTCGCGGTGCGCGCGCGTCGCCGTCGCGTCTGTGTCGCGCGGGTAGTGCGCGTCGACCTCGGCCTGCAGGCGCGCGTAGACGGCGGGGTGCGCGACGAGGCAGGCGAAGAGCGAGGTGAGCGCCGAGGCGACGGTGTCCGAGCCCGCGACCATCGCGAGGATGCCGTCCTCGATAAGCTGCTCCTGCGCGGGCGGCGGGCGCGACGGGTTGTCGTCGTGGTTCTGCCGGATATGCGCGCGGGAGAGACGACAACGAGCGACGGTGTCGACACGTCAGAATGGGAGCGTGCGGGGGAGAGGGGACGGGGGCGCACGAGGTAGTGGAAGAGGTCAGGCGTGGCGGCGCCACGGTGCACGCGCTGCTTGGTGAGCGCGCCGCAGTTCACGTGCAGTGTGCTCAGAGGTTTGACGAGCACGGGGATTAAGGCTCGAACAAAATACATTAACTACTCATTATAACCGGTTATAATGATATTAACTACTCATTACTCATTAGCCCCGCTCGTACATGGAAGTAATCGGTTATAACCATAATACATACCCCATACACACGTGATATAAACAGTGATTGAAGATGAGGGTATCGTCCGGCCAGGGCCTACAACATGAAGCTTGAAGCCCGTGAGAGAGGCTCTTTTCCACAATATTCGTGGCCGCATGGGCTGTCTGATCCAGAGCTCCCGTTGCAACGCATGTCTGCACCACGCTCTGAGCATCACCACTGGCACGTTCACCCTGTCGCCAGGCTGAACTCATACTACACTGCTGAAGTCGAACCCTGGTGTGGATCCACCCAGGGCAGAGCAGAGGGCGGAGACAGATCGAAACAGGACAGCGGGTCACAGCCTTCAAGCGACCCTCACAGGCGAGACCTGCACGTCCTTTGCGATGATCGCGAGATTGACGATTGACCGGCTGCTGATGGTGGAATCCGTGGACTCAGACTCGATCCTGCGTGCAGTGTGATGATCATGGGTGAGCACGCGGGGCAGCAGCTGGGAGAACATGGGTGTGGATGCTTACTCAAGTCTCGACGTTCCCAGAGTTGTGGGGTTTGAAGAGTGCAAGCTGCGCCGAGCTGGGGAGTGGCTTGCGCACATTGTGGATGATGCAGTACTATGTACCGAGCATTCCGTTCTGCACCACGCGCGCACGCGGTGCATGGGACAGGCGCAGGAGGGGACAGACACAATGGATGGGGGGACGCTGATATGCTACGGTGGAGAATCGCTCGCGCCCCAGTGCGCGCTCGCGATGGTGCCCGACAGGTACCTGCCCCAGGACGTGGATGCGGCGCGGCTTGCGGACGTCTTCCGAACGCGTGCGCCGCAACCGCGAGCTCGCGGACCTCCATCAGGAAAACCTTAATGAGCTAATTAGCTCTAGGTCATCTAAAATAGAGCTAATTAGCTGACTAGATGCGGATAGATCACTAGTGCTAATTATTTTACCCCCAAACTAATTAGATCACTAGCCCTGTTAGCAATGAGGTAGATGGTTGGATAGCTGCAAGGTAGATGGCTGAATAGAATGCCTAGGTGAAAGATAGATGGTGTTAGAGTATCCAGCAATAGGTTTAAATCACACAAGCGTAAAGGAGAGGCAAACGAAGTTATATTCATCATACTACAGTACATACAACGAATAGCGACACGGACACTAGTGCAGACGACGTAGGCAACGAGGTTGAGAGGGAGACATGAAGGTGGCGATGCGGGGTCGACACGGCGGTGTCGGGGGCGAAACAGTCAATGTGGACCAGGTGCGTGAGGTACGCAAGGTGCGCGATTCGGGCGACGCGGACGATGCAGACGAGGCGGGTGACGCGGGGGCAAAGCGGGCGATGTGCGCGGGATACCTGAAGCGGGTGAGGTGAGTGATGCGAGCGCGATGCGGATGAGGCGCGAATAACGCGTACAAGGTGGGCATGACACGGGCGATGTGGGCGAGATGGGCGGCGTGGGCGACCTGAGGTGGCCGGTGTAGAGTTCTATTGGGTTAGCGTATGAGCACGGAGCAATGAACGGAGGGGGCAGGTGCGTACTTTTGTATGCGTTGTCGTAAGGACCGGGGCCTGAGAGGCGGGCAAAGACTGATGCAACGGACCTTTGACGCTGTCCCATAAGCCGGCGAGGAGGGGCGTCCCATCGGCACGCTCGGCGAGGCGCGGCACTCGCTCCTTGCCCTTTGTCTGCCACTCGTAGTACCTGCGCGACTGACGTGGTCAGCGACGATTCATGCAGGCACATTGGGCAGACGACGGCAGCGGTTCGTCGATGAGGGCCTCGCTGCGGGGGTCAATCGTCTTGAGCTTCCCGCTCGTGTCGTGCCTGCTTAAGTGTGGGACAAGGGCGGTGGATGTCGGGCGCATTCGTACGAGGGACGATATTGAATCTGCGTGAAGAGGTGGGTGAGAATGTGGCATGCATGGACAAGCAAAGGTACTGCGGGACAGACCGATCCATGGCGACCCAGCCGGCGACGTTGCCGTTGTAGTCGTGCATGTCCTTGATGGATTCCAGAGGTGCAGACGAGGTAGTCCGCGAACGCATGGCCATGGTCGCGTGTGAGATCATTATTCTCACCGAAATCCCAAGAGAACAGGGTACTCACCAGACGACCTTGGCGACCCTGCGTCATGTTCTACCCCTGCTCGTCCGAGCTGACGTCCCAGCTCATGAGCACGTCTCCCTCCCTCGTCCGCGTCTCCGTTGAGGTCTCCTCGAGGCTCGCGAGGGAGGAACCCCTTCGCGCGCGCGCGGCCGTAGCCACGCCCGCAGGCAGGCGGAACGCGGCTGTGAGCTGCTATGCCGCGAAAGGCCGGCTCGTCAGAACGGGGAGCGCGGCGTTGTGTGCGGTCTTGATGAGGCTGAGCGTGAGTGCCGCCATGGGCGCAGGGAGCTGTTGGAGGACGCTCACCTACGGGCGGTGGCACCAGAGGCCTGAGGTGCGGACGGCGAGGCCGACGAGAGTGGCGCGGCCAGAGAGCAAGATGGAGGAAGAAGAGAGAGAAGTGGCGACAAGAGCGTGAATCAGAAGAGACATGGGTGGAATGAGGACGATGTGCTGGCCGCCGGAGCCTGCGGAGGTGCTTTCGGCGACGCGTCATGCGTGGGAATGGACACGCGTCGCGCGGACTCTGGCGCTTAGCGCTGCCAGCACTGTCTCGTCGTCTTCGTTCATCGTCTTCTCCTAGCCATTTTTCGTCCTCTTTGACCCTTCTGCCTCACCACCTTCCAGTTGCTCTGCATCAACCTCCGCCATTTCGACCACGCCAGCCACTTGTGCCCCATGCGTACAAGCACGCATTCACCATCGCACTTGCCTCCCTCTTTTCGCCCAAGGACTCCCTCAAGGGCGCTGCCCACGAAGTAGTTATTTATTCCGGTGAGCTTTTTGTTTCTTCCTGCACATCCTCTCTTCCCCTTCCGTCTACCCGCATTGCCCACGTCTTCATCGCGCTCGCATCGCTCACCCACTTCGCCCATCTCGTGCATATCGCCCGCGTCACCCGTCTCGCCCGCGTCCGCCTCACCTGCGTCACCCGTCTCGCCCGCATCGCGCCCTTGTCACCCACCATCGCGCGCGTCACCTCCACCTCGCGCGCGTTGCCCACCTCGCCTGCGTCATCCCGCGTCGCTTCCATATCCCGCGTCGCCCACCTCGTCCGGGTCTCGCCCCCTGCCTTGCCCGCGTCTCGCCCAGGTATCACCCACCTCACCTGCGCGACGACGCCCTCGAGCTCGCCCGGGAACGCGCTCCGGAGCATCTCCCCACGCGACCAGCGCCCACAGTGATCCAAGCGGCGTCATCGCGCGCGCGCGCAGGGCTGTTCGTGGGGTCGCGGTGAGATCCCGCGGCCCCAAACTCCTTTGGTGCGTTCTCCCCTCCGCTCCCTGCGTCCTTGCCAACCTCACCCTCTTCCTCCGCGTGGCCCTCGCCCCCCGCCATGGCCCTCCTTGCGCCGTCCACCCCCGCGTCGTCCACCCTCCACGTCGTCCGCCCTCCACCCTCGTGCCCGCGCCCTCGCACCCACGTCGCCCACATCCGTCTCGTTCTCTGCCTCGTCCTCTCCGCCTTGTCCTCATCTGGGTTGCCCATCACCTCACCTACACCCTCTTATCCTCGCGTCTCCTGCATTTCCCATGTCGCCCGCACCCACCTCGCCCGCCTCCCCCCTGCGTCGCCCACGTCCCTCCGCCTGCTCTGCGGAGCCCACGTCGCCCGTACCCGTGGCCCCCCGCGTCACTGGCGTCACCCGCCTCAGCCATGCCATCCGCGTCATCCGCGTCTCACACAGGCTGGCCTCGCCCGCGTCGTCTGCGACTTGCCCCGGCCTTGACCCTCGGTTTTGCCCCACCTCGCCCGTCTCACCCACGCCACCCACTGCGCCCGCGTCGCCCGCCGCGCCACGTCACCACGTCGCGCCCACCATCTCCCACCTCATCCACTTCGCCCACATCTCACCCGCGTCCACCGCGTCCACTGCATCTCACCTGTCTCGTCCACGCCATCCAAGTCCTCTGCCTTCCGCGCCCTTGGCTTGCGCCCACGTCGGGCCCTCGCCCACTCGCCTCGCACCCGCATCGCCGTCACCCACCCGCGACCAGGACCTCGCCCACCCTTGTCCCCGCGTCACCCGTCTCACCCGTCTCACCCATGTCCCCTTAGTACTTTTGTTAATGAGATGCAATCAATATATTTGTCTAAACCTGTATCCTATGTGTGGATCGGCGCATCGAGCCACGAATGAGCCGGAGCCGGAGCCGTGACTCCGGCTCTTCCAGAGGATCTGACTCGCGCGGCTCTGGATCAAGCCTCCGGAAGGGCTGTGATCTGTGGGTTCGGATCCGGCTCAACTGCAGATTGATCTGCAAACAGCCTTAGGTCACTCATTAGTTAGACTAGAATGGACATTAGTTTGGACTCTGCACAAATAGATTAGATTTACATCCACTAGCTGTGAGAGCAGAACAACTAGCCGGATAGTTGCCAGAGGCGAAGAGATAGTGGTCAAATAGTATGACTAGTTCTTCATAGTCTGCTAGTGTGAATAGCTAAGTCGATAGTGCTAGTGCTAGTTGGCCTAGAGCTAATTAGCTTATTAAGGTTTTCCTGATGTCCTCGCGTGCGGCGTCGGACTGTAGCACGACAGTGTCACGTACCCAGACCGGCCCCTCAAGGGGGCCTCACACTCGAGCTGTACGCGGAGGGGCTCGTCCGCGTGGAGTCGTCGTCCCGCGCGACGCTACAGGGGCACGACAGTCGTCGCACTCAGGACGCAGGACGCACACGCGCCCGCGGGGCAGTAGCTGCATGAGTACCTGCTTCAGGAGGTCCTGCGGATGCAGGCCAGGGCGGTGTGGCACAAAGGCCGCGGCCGCGGCCGCTTCTTCCTGTTCTGCCACGCGGAGGGCAAGGACACCATCATGCGCTTCTTCAACAACAGGCTCCTGCTCAAGTCGCGCCTGCTGGAGACGGACGCGCTCTGGTGGTGGTGGAAGGATGACGGCGGTCACGTTCCTCGGAGCAGTGTCATGCTCGCCAACTTTGCGGACGTGATGGGCCAGCCACGGTCGAGGGGAGCGACCGCAGGCAGAGTGGATTGCTAGGTGTACAGGCCAGGAGGAAATTGTCCCAACAAATAGACTCACCTTCGTGCCACCGATAATCTCGCCAGCTTCCGCAAGCTCACCGAGAGTCAAGACGGGCCCACTTCAATGGCTCTTCCGATGTGATGCCTTCAACATGTCCTTCTGTGCCTTCACCCACCAGCACTCGCCTGGCTTAAACAGAAGACCTCTGCTGTCGACGTTTTTGAGGTGTAGCTTGCAATGTGGGTGGGGTGGACGCCGTGGACTGTTGAGGGGCCCGGTAAGTACATAGCCGGGGCATTTGCACGATCATTCCTTGCAATTTTTCTACAACAAAAAGGACCACAACATCGAATGTACCAACACTGTTATCTCCGGGTCTGTGGACGGTCGTCCAAGTTGGATATGTCGCCTTCGCTCAACATAGAAGCATTACCACCCCCCAATCACGTGTGTTGGCGGTTGTAATCGGTTTGTAACTGAATAATAATCGGTTATAACCTTATGCTACCCATTACAATTACATACAAGCTGAGGTGTAATCGTAATGTAATTGGTTCGAGCCTTAACGGGGATGTATCCCAAGTACACCCCCAGCCAGGGCACGTGCTCTAGGAACGCCGCAGGCCTGTTCAAAATTCAGCACGGGTGCTGTTTGTTTGCAAGAGCACTCACGTAGTCGCTGCAGTGAGGGCAGCGAAGAAGTTGTTCTCGTCCGTCCCGCTCAGTAGCTCCGAACCGCCGCCAAACCTGGGGAACATTGTGAGCGAGGAAAGCACAAAGGTGCATACACGGACACTCACGCCATATCTGACATGTAATCGCACCTGTATGTGTGTCAGATGCCGTCGACGACGTGGGATGAGCAGAGCACTTACGAGAAACGGTCGAACCACTCGTCAAGGCAGACCTCCGCGCCCTTGGACTCACCCAGGCGGTCGACGAGCATCCGAGCCCGCCGGGAGACCATCACCTCGTAGTCTTTCAGCGCCGCCTGCGAGAGCCCGCGCTGCCACGAGCGCCGACGCTGCACATGCTCGTCCGTGTCTTGGATCGCGATCATCGTAAGCGGCTCCGCTTTGAGGAGCATGCCCTTCATGTCTGGGCGATTGCCCAGGCGTGAGCACTTCTTTCTGATTGCGCGCGCGACGACTTACAAGGGCCCTTTCGATTCACCCCGGACGGACCCAGGACTGCAGGCACGGCAGTCGGGTCGCGGATCGAAAGTTCGTTGGGGCCTGCAATGTGCGAGCTTCCGTCAGCCGCGCACAGACGAGCAGTGGAGGAGCGCTGGACTGACCGATGCGCACGATATCCGACGCGTAGCGTTCGTGTAGGTGCTGGATGTACACGTGCTGACGACCTGTAGCACCGAGGAAGGCCATCCGGAACTTGGTCAGTTTACATCCCAGGGGCCCGGGGTATTGGGCGAGTGGGTGGAAGGGTGAGAGGCGGTAGATCAGCGTTGAGAGAACGAGCGATGCAACGTAGGTAGGAAGGACGAGAATGCATGCGCGGGTGAGCGTGAGAAAAGGAGAGGTGGCCGCGATGGCGCTGACGAGGGAGACTGGTGGGAGCAACAAGAGGGAGAGATTGAGACCGAGGGACACGCCGTCGTATCGTCTGAACAGCTGATGGACTATCTACGTGGAAATGTGGGTCAGCGCACTGGCTGATACGCCGTCATGAGGGGAACTTACAAGAGCAAGGCCAATGCTGGCTAGTTGAACGTGGCGCATGACGCGCAGGAGGGAGGGCTGGCAGCCAGAGGGATCGACAAGGGGACGGCGAGCGTGGTGGTACGAGTAGGCGGCGGGCGAGGTCGCGGTGGGCGTGTGAAGGGAAGGGCTTATATAAGTAAGGTCAGCGGGCGACAAAGAACACGTCCTTGTTACTTATGGAAGTGGGCAGTCTCTTCAGGCCGGCCCAAGAGTGGCCTGGACTTGGACTTCGCGAGGTGCCCACCGCCCACCGCCCACGGCCAACACCTCTGTCGTGAGCAAGCGGTTTCAAATGGCACTGACGCCGCCACTACACATGTGATGGCACAGACCACTGCGAGATCTCTTTCCCGAGTCTACATAGGCCCAAGCGCTCAACGCTCGCAAATTCGACGCATCGTGAATTTCATTTGTGGTTGGTGGAGTACTTGGCGACCCAACGCATGGGTGCACGGCGCAATCAAATTGTCTTTGGAGTCTTGTTCGGAGTCCCAAACTCTGAAACTGGTCCAGTCAGTCTCCATCGACGACATGCCCGCAACCGCAGACAACGCCGCGTCTCAGACCTCCAACCGTCCCACCGCCCCCGGCACTCTCCCCACTCCGTCTTCCGCCGTCGGGTCCCACAGCGGTCCTCCGAGTCCAAGCCGGCCGTCGCTCCCACTTCCGTCCTCTTCAATACCAAACTCCGCATTGATGCCCACATCCACCCCCGGCGCCACGAACGCAGCGAACAAGCGCGCGCAGATCCCGCGCGACATAAACACCTGCCGGAAGTCGCGCGACGCCGCGCTCGCGGGGACGATCACACGCGCGTGCACGAAGCGGAACGAGGGGTGCCGCCCGCGGTCGGCGAGCGTCGCGGCGAGCTGCGGGAGCGCGGGCGTCGACCAGGCGCGCGCGATGTCTTCGGCCCGGTACGTGAGGGTGATTCGGAGCTCCTCGAGCTCGGGGTGCAGCGCGGGCGCGCGCGAGAAGTGGTCGGCGAGGGCGCGGACGAGCGTGTCGGAGAGGGTCGGGCCCCGGAGGGATCGTGTGAGGCGGAAGTCGGGCTCGCCGTAGGTGATGTCGAGGACGCGCAGGCGCGGGAAGCTGGCGAGGACCTCAAGGAAATGGTCCGTACTTGGATCTACAGCGAAGCCGCAGTGAGCTGATGCCAACGTAAAGCTTGGAATGACGCTGATGCACCTGTACCGTCCTCGAGAAACCAGCGCGGGTGGCTGAGAAGCACGCCGAGGTGCTCGAGATTGACCAGAGTCGTATCAAATGTCGGCGAGTCGTTCGCGAAGTCCCAGAAAAGAGGTAAATCCAGTGTGACCAAGGTCTGAGGGGAGACGAGGCCGTGTCTTGCAAGCGTGTTGAAGAGCAATCTGATGTCTGCGCGGACGATGTCCGTGACGCCTCCGAGGTAGGTGGCATAGTTAATCTCCACGGTGATGTGTCGAAGGCACGGAGGGGTGCCGCTGGGTGTCGTGATGACGACTGGCGGGTCGGGTTCCCGAGTCGTGATATCCACGCCACGGAGAAGCAGGGTGTGGAGGCGGGGCGGCGCGTTCAAAAGGATGTAAAGCAGGGTTCTCAACGAGATGAGAGAAGGCGACGCGCCGGGCTCGATGAAAACAAGCCTCTCAAGGTTGGGGAACACCGACGACCATCCGACGATATCGTCCCCAGTCCAAGCGGAGATGAACACCCTGGAGTGCAAGCCTGTGCGAAGAAAGACGAGAGAGATAGTATGGCGAGCGAGTTCAGGATGGGCGTCGAGGACCAGCTGCAAGTTCTCCACTGGATCAGTCCGTTTGTATCGTCGTCCGGTGGTGGGGCTGCGGGTGACGTCGCCGACGGGGAGAACGATGGTTGAGAAGAGGTAGCGCTGGGCGCGAGTGCGCCACTGACGGCATACAAGGGCGCATTTCCGCAAGGTGGCCGCTGTGTCTCGTGCTCCATCTATGATGATGTCGCAGAGCTCAGGCGGCAGCGTGGGCCAGGCGCCACGCATCGATGTCATTGGATCTGGAGTGTCCGAGGAAGACGTGGAGGTCAGCAGAAAGCGGTGGTAGATGACAGGGCGAAGACCTCAGCTCACGCGAGAGATAGATTGTTTGGAAGCCGGGGCCATAGTAGCGGACAAAGGGACGTTGCCAGAACCAGCCGAGGTTCGTAGCAAGACCGTGGCAGTCGTGTTGTCGGACCCCGAACACCGATGCCGCAGAGAGTCCGAGGTCCTACTCGGAATCACCGACCTCCTGCGAAGCCTCCCATGTCCTCTTCTCGCCCTCCTCAACGTCTGCAGAGACGGACACTCGCACGCGTGCATACCGTTCACCGGAGAAGCGCGCGAGCGAGGCGGGCCAAGCCCAGACGAGCATCCAGATCAGGTCGACGATCGCGAACTCCAGTTCCACCAGTGCGGTGTTCTGGGGGGCGCGCTGCGCAAAGCCCGTCATCCTCCGAGTCTCCTACATATGTACATACGCGTCTTCGCCAAACATAAGTTCTACTTTCACCTGAACCCCCATGTCTGAGAAAGTTGACTCAAAAAGGCGCTTGACGCTCCCATACGAATCGTCCGGACTGGTCCCGGATACCAACGACCGCCTGCCGGTGGGAATACGCGCGCAGACGGACACGCGGTGGAGGGCAGGGTACCGAGTACGGTTTCTCAGCGTCGCGGCGAGCCGCGGGAGAGTGAAAACCCACCCGCGCTCGACGTCTTGCGCCCGGTACGTGATGGAGAGCTTGAACTCCTCGAGTTTGGGATGCGGCGGGACCGCGCGGGAGAAGTGGTCGTCGAGAATGAGAACGAGGGAATCGGAAATCCGCTCGCGGCGAAGGAGGTATGAGGTGCGCTGCATGGGCTCGCCGTAGATGATGTCGAGCACTCGGAGACGTGGGCAGCCGGTAAGGGCATCGAAGAGACTCCGGGTGTTCTGGTCTGGAACACGAGAGTTAGATACAAAGCGGTCAATGAGAACCAATTATCGCGTACGCATGACATCGTTGGCACTCGGGTCTTCATATTCGGAGTGACTGAGCAGAACGCGGAAATGTTCCAGATGTGGGAAGGTCGCGTCGAAATCCGTCAACGGTTGAGTAAAGTCCCAATACTGAGGTAGATCAAGTGTGACCAGGGTATGGCGGGGTACCAACCCGTTCCTGGTGAGCGTGTGAAGAAAGACATTGATGTCCACGGCGCGAGCGAAGGTCCCACCTCGGATGTACGCGCCGTCGTCGATTTTGGCAATCAGGTGGCGGAGGGCCGGAAGGGGATCTCCATGCCGGATGCTTGGAGGTGTGTCGGATTCGTACTGCGAATCTTCTAGCACAACGTGCACGCCTCCTAGGATGAGGGTGTGGAGAGAGGGCGGCGCATTCAAGAGGGAACGCAGGAGGAAACTGAAGGGAACGAAAGACGTTTCCGATTCGGGTTCGGCGAGGGTGAGTTTTTGGAGCTTTGGGAACAGCGACGGCCAGTGTACGATGTCCGCTTCCTTCCAACATGACAGACACGTGTTATAGTGAAAGGAAGTGTGGTGCAAGACGAGGGAAGTGACGTGGAGAGCCAGGGCAGGACGCGAGTCGAGCACTTCACATAAGTTTTGGCCTGGTTCGGTCCGTCTGGTGGTTTCCCCGGTCTTATAATGGTGGGTGACATCTCCAACGAGGAGATTTATGGTCGAGAACAGCCGGAATTGAGCGCGGGTTTGCCATCGAGCGCAGACGAGGGCGCACTGCTGCAGGGCGGCGGGCGTGTTGACCGCATCGATAACGAGATCCCACAGCTCAAGAGGTAGGGTGTGGGGCATCGGAAGAGATTGCATAGGCACAGAGGAAGCGAAGTTGAGAGAGAGAGAGAGAGAGAGAGAGAGAAGCCTAGGGTTGATGGAGGAAAGGGGTCGAGCCGCCTCTTCAGGGGTCGGATCCGGACCAACCGGACCGATTGTCCCGCAGCCTAGTGGGACGAGCGGAGATGAATATTCTCGGAACCACCGCTCTGGCATAACACCCCCGTCCTTTTTTGGGTCAAGCGTTTACTAACATCCCGCACACTTAGTGCAGGTGCGGTATATGGAACACCCCCGTCCTCCACAGGCACACCCTTCGACAGCGAGTGCTCGGCAAACCGAGCGAGGGTACCGGGGTCGACGGCGTAGAGCTCCTCGACCGCAGCCACGCGGTGGAAACAGTTGGACATCCGAGAGCGGGACTGATATGGGCTGATCGTGCATCGAGCCCTGCGTGCACTGCAGAGGCAGCACGCAGTCCCGGGTCTCGTGGCGGGCCGATCTGAACGCCTCCTTTTCGGTTTCTCAGCTCAACGCAAAGCACAGAGTCAGCGCTCGGGCTAGAAGCGCTACAGCTCGGAGAAGCTGTGCGGATCGCGATGAATCGACCACGCATTCAACTAGCAAGGTCGTCATAGTGGGAGAACGCTGTCTGGGGATGGAGTGCGTGAGCGATGAGCAAGTACAGACGGAAGAGCATTCGACACTCACAGCGCGCCGAGCGAGGCCGCGGGACCGGAGCGTGAAAACTTGCGTTGGGTACAGCTCGGGACGTGCGCGAAGAATGGCAACGCCTCAGTTCAGAGCAGCAGTCAGCGTGCAGTCTCAGAACTGACTCTAAGTCGAAAAGGACGAACATAGTCGTGTCGAGATACACCGTGCCATTGCTGCGATTGACCTTGAAGCGGAGACTTACAGTTGTGTTACGGAGCGACGTAACAGAATTCGGGACGGCATCCGAGTCGACGACAACAACAAGCATGACGTCCTCAACGTGTTGTAGGGTGGGGCGGGCACCGTCTGACCAGCCCGACGCAGCCTGGCTCCCAAGATCGGCGTGGCGTCAGCGCTGGCGGGCCGAAAGCGAGTGGGTACGTGCCACTACGGCCATGGCGAGGCATCTTTCAGTGTTTTCCAAAACGTGTCTTGCCCGGATGTGGAGCGAGGAATGGCGCGGAGACGAGACGGGCGAGCGAGAGAAAGCGCTGCAAGAGGGAAGGAAAGACGTGGCCGAGCATAAAAAAGGTCCAAGGATACTCCCAAAGCCGGGCCACCTTGAACGTGTTCACTGCGCAAGGTGATCCGGGACTCTGGCTCGGCGCCAGCGTATCGGTGGCGTGAGCAAGCAGCACCAAACAACAGAGTCCGAGACGGCCGGAGTGGCCCGGCTCCCCGAATGCAGCGCCTCCGGTCCACGACCGCACCTTGTTCACCACCGCGGCCGCCCGCAAGAGCTCTCTCGCTGGGCTCGATTGGCACCACGCCATATCTTCTTGCCATCGCTCTCTCCCTCTCGCCGCAGATGGCTCCCTATCTTGCACCCTCCATCACAGTGACCCTGGGGCCTTATCGGCCATTCGTTTAGCGCATCTTCTCCAGCCATCGACAGAGCCGAGCCCGTTGGGCAGTTTCCCTGGTCAGACCATCTCCAAGATCTTGAAGCTGCAGATGTGCGCCATTGTGCTACGCAATGGTCTATACAGGTGCACTGGGATCTTCATCGGTACGTTCCCCTCCATCTCTCGCACATACAGCTGGATCCATATACAGGATTTCTAGTAGGGCACAGCAAATTGCCCTTCCGTGATCTTCCGGTCATCCGGCCGTCTGTACTTGAAACATGACTCGAAAGCCCGCGTACGTCCTTAATAATCAGTAGATCTCTTGCGCATTTCCTCATTCCCGCTCAAAGAGCTGGGATAAATTTCCCTGACTACCACGCGCTCGACACGTATCGCCAGCATCGCGACGTGCCCGTGCGGAGGGGCTGTGCTATGACCGTGGGCGCGGTGAATGAACGGGTGAGCGGGGTACGCACAGGTCGCGATGAAGCAATATTAGCAGGGTGTGTCACGCACTGCGTTTCGTCTCTTCAGCGATCGCTGCCGACCTGACATTTTTCTCGATAGTACACGCGCGACCACTTCCGTCGCGTATCGCGGCTGCACTCAATCATGCGCACGGTTCCTGTCGCGAGAGTGTGGAGACGGACCGCGGCGTTGGCGGGGGACGCACGACCCTGTCTGTCCTCGCACGATTAGGGAGGTATGTGGAGGCCCTGGACCCCGGGATCACTGTAACTAATTTAAGCAGCCACCATACGCTGGGGATTGTGAAGGCGCGAACAATGTCCCTAGTATTGGGCGTCTCACCTGTACGCATGCGCGTGGCTAGTTTGCGGATGTATAGTAGACGGCACGGTCAGCTGTACGAGATCAAAGTGGCGTGATAATTCGCCATATCGCCCAAGCAGGCCCGCAGTGAAGGCAAAGTGCACATTTGCATGCGCGCTGTACAGTACGCGGTGGAATCTGTAGAATCCTAGACGCGGGAATGAACAGCCCGCTTATGACCAAGTGCTAGGCACAGTGGGAATGTGTATCTGCATATCATCGATCGTCCCTCGATGCCCTGCATCCCTTGTCTCGCTCTACGACATGCCAGCCATAGACCCTACACGGCCGTCCCCCCGGGTTCCTCCAGAGATCTCGGAAGAAATCATACGATGCCTCGACCCATCACCACATGAGGACAGAAAGACACTACTCCATTGCATGCTCGTCTCCAGCAGCTGGTTCCCCCCAAGCAGACAAATCCTCTGGTCTAATCCCATCCTTCAGTCGTTGGAGAAAGCCCATCTATTTCTTACCCTCATTGTTCAGAAGACGTCCCCACTTTCCATCCCTCCCCTCCGAAACCTTACCATCGAAGCAGGGAATTCCGAGAGTCGCTCTCCATCTCTGGGAGCAGTGCTTGTTTGTTTGGCTATCAACGCACCCGAGCTTAAATTCCTCAGGCTCAGCAAAGTCTCAACGTTGACTTCCAAAATCCCACCTCGGGCCTTCCAGTCTATCTCGACTCTCACAAAACTCACGAAGCTAGAATTATATCGGTGCAAGTTCCACTCCTTCCCGATTTTTCGACGTACGATTACCGACATCCCCAATCTATCCGACCTTACGACGCGTGGAGTTGAATTCCCTGTCTCGCCTAACGACACCATGTTCAAATCCTACATAAGCACCAAACCGGAGCTGCGCAGACTTGCCACACTAAGCAGGTATGACGACGAGGAGCCAGATTGCCTTGACGTCCTTTTGCACCACCTCGCAAACTCCTCCTCCCGTACTTCACTCAAAGACCTCACTATTGAGAAGCACATGAAGAAACCGTCGTCAATTCTATTCGCAACGCTGCGCACAGCCGCTCTTTCAACGTTGCTGTCAGCAGTGGATCACTTCGAGTATACAGATGACTTTCACGTTGGTACGACTCCTTCCCGCTGCAACTCGGCACGAATCCTCGCATGCTGACAGCGCCCGTACAGACACATCCTTCCTGCCGAGCTTGCAGAACGTGGTAAAACTCGACCTCTGTTTCTTCCGTGGTACAACGGATACTCTACTCGAGATCGCGCGCTGCTTGGTGCGAGGAGACAGCCAACACCTCGTTGATTTCGCACTCTCACTCTCCCTCGCCGCCCTCACCCTCGCAACGGAGCCGGACCTCGTCGAGCTCGCCGAGCTCACCTCCGGCAGGCCCTTCTCCAGCGTGAAAAATGCGAAAATTTCCCTGTACGGGGACTATGAGGATTTAGCGGCGTCTGGGGCACAAGCACTGGAAGTCCTGGCTCGGGCGTGGCCTCTCATCAGTCAAGACGCACATGCAGACTTGACTGTGCACCACGGTTCTTCGGAGATATGGGAGTGGAGCCGTAAAGAAAACGGTGCGAAGGCCGGAGAGAACTCGGATGCTGATGTCGAGGCAGAAACATCGTTTTGGCAAGGAGAAGGTTTGTCAAAATGCACCGTAGTAACACGTTCCCTGTTGACTAACCGGCGAACGAGCAGGGAAGTTGTTGGGTTTCAAGGCGGAACTCGAGGAAAAATGAACATGGTATCGAATCAACGTTTGGTTTCATCAGAAAGCATACGCGGTAGAGGTCTAGACATATGTACGACTCGGGACTCGGCTGTGTATACTTGAATACTTACGCAGATACAACTTTGCCTGAAGACACCGCGTCACCACGTTCGAAACCTACTTTTTCTGCTTCTCATAGAGACCGTACCGCGTGGTTTCTTTCTTTTGCAGTGAAGCTTTAGACAGGAATTCAAACGAGTTACGCATGCGATCATGCACTTTACGAACTTTGCACGTCGAACAGGCTGGTTGCGCGCGCGCCGCGGGCGGCCGGATCCCGCCTACGCGCCAGGTCAGTTCATTGCCCGTAGACGAGGCAGGAGGAGTCGTCATGCCGGGTCGAGCAAATCATCCGCCAGATCTGCAAGATCGACACACCAAAGGGTCTCGATCACGGGCGCGCTTGAGTTGTGCTTCTCCAGCACGAGATTGCCCTTCCACCACGTCCTGTCCATGCGTGACGCCCAAAGACGTGCGCGAAGTCCACCATAGCGACAATGTGCGCTGTGGCATCCTCGACGGCATCGGTGTGCGTTCGAATGATATCTCCGATCGCGTCCCAGACGAGGCGAAAGGTAGTCCCTGGTAGACAGGTGCGTGGACCGGGTAGGCGGTCGCCGTCGATCGCGAAGCACGGGACGCGTGAGTCGGCAGGGAGACTGAAGGATGGTGAGTGCGGTGTTGTGTGGCGTCGAGATTGGAACTTACATAGGCGGACAGAAAAGACGTCGACGGAGGTTGCGCCAGCGCGGACGCGGCGGGATGAATGGCAGACGCATAATGACCTTGGAAGGAAGAGGACAGGGATGGTCAGCGTGCTCCTGCAACGTTATTCAACGATACACAGCAGCTGTGTGAGCTATTGGAAGAAAGTGTTGTAAGAGCGTGCCTCTGGATCACCATGGAAGGACAGACCTCACCTGAACGTGTGAGCGCGACTAGGACTGGTGCGTGAGGTGACGGAGACGAGCTACTGTTATATGCATTGGCCACTTTGATCTCCGCACTCTACTTTGCACTCGCCGACACGCATTCAATCGGATGGCCAAGGTGAACGGTCATGCACGTGCAGCACCGAGGTCTACGTCTCTCCTACAACGCGTACAGTTGGGATACGCCGTCCGCACCGACGCACTTCGCCGACGTCCTGATCGCCCGTTCTTCACGGAGCTCCTCCAACGCCAGGTTCACCATCTCCATGTACGCACCCCACCGGCCCTCCTCCACCGCCTCGGCCCACGACGCATCTCGAACGGCGCGTGGACCTCCAGCCACGTCCACCGCGAAGTCCACTTGACGCAGCGCCTCGAAGCCCGGGGATGCCAACGCTGCGCAAAGCGCGTCAAAGGCGTCAGGCCGGGGCCGTTCGGGCAGCGAGTCTCCGGCGCCCACGCGCAGAGTCAGCGCGAAGGCCTCGAGGCCAGGAAACCGCGCGGCGCCGTCGGGGGCGAGCGCGCGGGCGAGCGCGCACACGAACGCCTCGCGGGGCTCCGGATTGGACGAAGACGTCGGCACGGGTGGGGGGCCGTAACGGATGGACAGGACGCGCAGCGCGGTGCACGTGCAGAGGTCGCGGAACATCGCGTCTGCCTCTGCGCGGACATCGCCGTACGTCAGCCAAACGAACGCGGGCCAACGCGAGGCCGCACTCACCCGTCTCGGAGGCGTCGGGGCCGATCGTGTCCCAGAAGGACAGCTCGAGCGACGCGAGCGTCCGCGCGCTCGCCGTCCACACCTCGTCGAGCCACCGCACGTCCACGGGCCGGTCTCGCGGGCGCACAGAGAACTCCGCCAGCCCGCCCTCCTCCCCCTCCGCGGGACGGAGACACCCGACCAGGGGCGCATACACCCGCTCCGCCGGCTCCCTCGCCCATCCGTGCTCCCTCGCTGGGAGCGCGCAAGGCACCCCGACACGCAGCGTCCGCAGCCGCGTGCGGAGCGCAGCGCGCGTGTCCACGGACGGCCCCGCGTCGGACACGAACGACGACCGGCCTGTACCCGTGCTCTCGCTCGCCGCGACGTCGTCGACCGCGAGGTGCTCGAGGGCAGGGAGCGCGCAGACGAAGCGGGCGAAGCGGCGCGGGAGCTGGATGGTGGCGTGCGCGACCGTGAGGGCGCGCAGGCCGGGGAGGTGGCGGAGGTCGAGGAGGGGCGGGAACGGCGCGCGCCGCAGGGGAGACTGGGCTGTGATCTGCGCGGAGGTCGAGGCGCAGGGAGCAGGTTCGGAGTTGAGGCGATCACTTGCACCGAGGAGGGTGAGGGTGTGGACTAGAGGGGCGAGAGGGGAGGACGGGGAGAAGCTGTGGAGAAACTCTTGGATATCGGTGTACGGGGTGGATGAGGCGTGCAGGCGAACCGTGACAGTCCCAAGGTGGAACTGCGCGCAAGGCCGCAGAGGGGTTGAGCGCCTGTACGCACACAGGCGAGCAAGGCGCGCCAGTCGTTGTGCAGGAAATCGACGATGCGATCGGCCAGTTCGGGGGGAAGGGTCGCCATGCTCCTTTCCTCCAGGACGGTTTCTGGGAAGAGACTAGAGTGAGTGGAGGAAGTCAGCAATTTTCGAGCGCAGAGCCTCGGGGCTGTCATCCATTGGCAGATGCTCCCACTGCGCGGATGGGCGTGCGGGCCTTTTTCCAACTCAATCGCAGCAGAGCCTCGTGCCCAATCAAGCGCGCCTGTGCGGCCAACGTTGGCCTGAGAAGACAGAATCAAAGCTTAGCAGCGCACTAGCCATAGCGGAACAGACACTCACCAGTGAAATCCGCTCTTCCAGCCGCGATGGAAAGCTGGACATGCCAAGTTCCGCGCCGACGGCGTTGACGCAATTGTCCCAAGGCGCACGGTTCAAACGTTCACGATCGTGACCATCGCCCAGGACACGAAAAGAGTCAAGTTCCAAATAGTGTAGTAAGCAGTGGGCGGCGGGAGAGATTACAATTAAGGTAGGCGGTAGACATTACGGGTACAAGTGGACGGAGCGGTTCGGCGGGCCAAGGCTACATAGATACAGTGGGATCCAGGGTCGCGGGAATAGATCAGCAGAGGTATTGGAGGAGGGGGGATGAGACGAGACGAGGTGCGCGGATGGCGAATAATGTTAAACCGGAAATCGGTAGTGGTTACCCGCGCACGGCGAAACGGCAGTGGGAGCAGCGCAGGGTGGGGCGGACATCCGGTGCACATGCAAGGTGCGAGGTGCGGGGGATGGGACTGGGACATGCGGCCTAGAAGTGTACGGACGGTCGGTATGGTGTATGCACGAGAGGGTATGTAGGTTCGGACGTGGAGTATGAGCGACGGGCTGGAGTGTAGAGCAAGTATAGATCGGGACATCGGCAGTGGAGAGAGCGCGGATAGCACGACAGAGCGGGCCCAAGTAGCGTGGCGGGAGCCCCGGGCACTCGTCCGCTCATCCTCCCGTGGCCTCCGAACGGCCGAGGTGGGGAGAAAGCGCGCGCGCACGGCGACTTCTTCGCGCGACTGGGACGCCGAAGGCAGAGCTTCGACTTCGCGGGGCGGTGCGAACCCTCTTCTCCCGCCCGTTCTTCGCCCGCACGCTGCGCGCTAGGCTCTTGGGCGTTCTCTCCGTCCCCACGCGCCGGCGGGGCGGGCGGTCTAGATGACGTTGACGCTCTGGAGGTGCGCGCGGAGGATGCCCTCGCGGACTGCACGTAACGAACGCGAGCGCGAGGACGCGAAGTCGGCCGAAGGAATGGGACGGAACGGGGAGAGCGCGCAGCGGAAGCGGAAGGAGGGAACCCTGATCAGCGCGCCGTTCCCATCTCTGCGAAGCCAATACAAATGGGAGTGCTCACCCCCGACGAGGATCGCCGCCGTCGACCGTGTGTCCTGCGCGCATGCATGCAGTCAGCCGCGATCCCCGGCGTAGAACGTCCGGGAGGGAACGTACGATGACCGACGTTTCGTGCCAGTAGAACGGCCGGGCCTTCGGCGACAGGCGTTTCTGTGCGCGAGCGGGACGTCAGCACCCAACATGCGCCCGCGGCCAGCCCTGGCGATCCCCCACTGTATCCGGTGGGCGACGCGAATCAGGGCAGGCAGACACGGTGGACGTACATGGTATCCCCTGAACTTGTCCCGGAAATCTACAGTCGGTGAAGACGGGTCAGAAATAGCGCTTACGACACTGCGGACGGCACGCACATTTGACCACACTGGGAACATCGTTCGGCTGGTCGCCGTACGACGGCACATACTTGGTGACGCGGAGGCCCGACGCCAGCGTTGCCTGGAGGATATCCATCTGCGCGCGCGCTGTCAGCCGGAGAACCACTGCTGACTCAGTGGAACGGGCAGCCGTCATCCCGCGGACGTGAGTCCGATCGGTCCAGCACCAGCCAGTGGCTCGGCAAGACTAGACGTGGCGGAGGTAGCCGGCCCCTATCCGGCGTACGCACCTTGTTCAAGAACAAGATCAATGTCGTCTTTGCCAGCAACGTATTTGTGCACACCTCCCGCCACAGTGTGATCGAGTCCTCCTGTGGCGCATTCGTCAGCGTCCGATACCCGCAAACGCCGCCAGAACCACGCACAAGACGGTTGACCTTCGGGTCCTCCTCGAGCACGAGGTTGAAGGCGAGGGGCGCAAGGAAGATGATCGCCTGCACGTCGTCGAAGTACGGGATCCAGTGTTGTCGCTGTGTGTAACACAACCATCAGCACATCCGCTCATCTCGCCAGCCGGCCAGCGCGCTCCGCGCCCGTGTGTGCCGGGCGGCGACCAGGGGGATCGGCGCGCATCTGGCAACGGAGCACAGCACAGCGGCGCGCAGGCGTGCCGGAGATATGGAGCATGAGGCAGCATGAGGCACGTACACAGCTGCGTGACCCGCCGACATCGTAGATGTACCATTCTGTGCCTGGGAGCGCACCTGTGCAAAGAACATACATTGTTAGATGCGCGATGCGAGAAGGTAGAGATGGTAGACGCAAGACGGCAGACCCAACACCGGAGTTGAGCGCGACGGGAGACAAGGTGCACAGGCCGACCGCGGAGGACGACATGTTGCGGGAATGCGGGTCCGACGCCGCGCCCGCTGTCCGCGGATCGCCGGCGGACTCCACATGCTGCGCAGGAGACGAGGACACAGAGAAGGTGGACAACATACCAGACTCCATTGTGAAGTGATGTTCTTCAACTCCGAGTGTTCGAACACGGGCGCGCACGATGTCATCTATCCGTTACAACCGCAGGGTCGTCAGCTGGGGTACACACCAACGGAGAAGGAGCACAAACCGTCAGAAGGCTCATACTGGAGCGAGGCGACGCGCGCAGCGTCGTTGAGAAAGCTGGCGGCATGTCAGCATCGTGCATTGTGCATCTATCATCCGCGCGGGCGACAATCGCGTGCACGCTCATCACGTCACGCTTTTGGTCGCGCAGCACACGCGACCCTACGTCGCGGAGGAAGGGGACGCGCAAGAGCAGAATGAAATACTCACAACCCCGGCATGTCCTGCAGTCGTACATTATGCCGCTTCAGCACCGCCCGCACCACCTGGTCCTCCCACAGCGTCGTGATGTCGTCTTTGCAGGCCGCGAGTACCGCGCTCGGGTTGTCCTTGTTGCGCGTGTCGCCCGTTGCCGGCCGGTTCGTGGAACCCTTCATCGCGCTCTTGACGGGCATCTGTGGAACTGGCTGGACGCTGACTGTACTCGTATTCGTGCCGAGGGCGGTGAGGATACCCTTCCAGCCGCTGCCCGCGCGGACGCATACGTCGCGCGGCTGGCCTGGGGTGTCGGTTCCACCACCGGGGATGAGCTTGGACATGAGCTCATGCTCGATCGGGAGCAGGGCGGAGAGACGCATGCGGATCTTGCGGTGATTGTCGGTTAGTGGGGAGGTGGAGAAGCGGACGCCGGGAGACGAGGGCGAGCGACCAGCGACGCCCTTGCCTTTAGCGATGGAGGACGCGGACGAGTTCTGGAGCGAGCTCTCGTACTCTTCCTGGAGGACCTCCAACAGGCGCTTCACGTTCCTGCATGGAATCGGGTGTGGGTGTGGGAGCGTGAAGAAGGAAGGCAAAGGCGACATACCGGATGAGGTTGAGCTGGATGATTGTCTTCCAGGCGGCGCGCTCCTTCTGGAAGTGGGCGGGAGAAAAGGCAAGCTGGAAGTCTGGCGGGGAAGTGAGCTCACGCGCGTGGAGAGGAGGTGGATATATGCGCACTCTTAAGCGTCGTGCTCTTTCCGGACTCGGCCTGGCCTGCGCGCGGCGATGGGAGGTGAGGTACAGGGAGGAATCCGAGGAGAAGAGCGCGTACCAAGGAGAAGGATTTTGATGGCCTTTTTGCGCCGTTCGAAGGCCTTCTTGGAGAGCGCGATCTCTTCGTCAATCTCCTTGGACACCCGTGCCGCGTCCTCTTGCTGGCGAATGCGGGCCTGACGGTCCTCCACACTCTCGTCTGGTGGGGGCTGGAGAGCGATGGACAACGGGTCGTCGGGATCGGGCGCACTCCAGAAGGACTTTGTAGCCACGGCGGCCATGGCTGCGCGACGGAGAGGAGAGGGGCGGGGAGGAGGGCGGTGGGGGTTGCGGAGAGAAGGGAGGAAGGAGGGCCGGCGTCGAGTCGGGTATGCATATGCTTGTCGCTTGCGGAGGCGGTGTCGCCCGAGGGCACTTTGACTGCCCGGCCTCCGGCTCCGTGCCCCGCCCGAATACCGGCCGGGGCTGCCTCCGGGACTGTAGACAGCTGCTATGTGGCTGCCGGGCGGTGTTATCGTCGTTTCCGGGAACGGCAGCAACCGCCGCGCGAGCCGGTGGGGTTTCTTTGCCGAGCCGTAAGCGCGCCGATAATTCCCAGGGCAACGGACGACGTTCGGCCCGCATCAGCCTCGTCTTCTCCTCCTTTCCTCCTTCCCCGCACGCCCGCTGTGCTCCGTCGCTCTCGTGTTCCACCAGCACCGTCGCGCCCATCGTTCGACCCCTGCGTGTCTGCGACGGCTCTTTCCCGACCGCTCCGGAGTGTCCGCCACGTGTGGGTCGGTCGGCCGATCCACGTCTCGCAGACCTGTACATCTTGATCAGCCCGGCGTGACCTGCACTAGTCTCCCTCCCAAAGTCCTGCAGACATTGCAAAACGAAATATGTGTCCCATTTCTCGCGCTGCTTGCCATCAAACATCAGTCACTTCCTGTCCGCCACCCGTCTGGGTCGACATCAGCCCTCTCACCCCAGCGCCCACACTCGTCCAATTGACACGTCCCGCTGGTCTGTCTTGCCAGTACTAGAAGGCGCTGTGCACTTCTCTGCCCTCTTCGGACCCTTCCTGTCTTGCCCACCCCACGGCTTCCGCCCCGCCCACATTTCATTGTCCTCCGCACATGGCAACCAGCCGCTTCCTCTGTCAGCAGCCCACACAAGATCATGATTCATGATGCTGCTCTGCGCTAGCTTTCTTTCTGCCACACCCACCTTGATCTCTACTCCGGCTCGTCCACCACGGACGCCCGGTACTAGCCAGACAGGGGACGAAAACAAGCGTCCACCTTCCGCGCCATCCACGCTCCCTCCCCCTCGCGTCGTGCCGTTCTCCTTTACCTCCGATTCCCTCGCGCCACCACTCGACGACAGCTCGTACCGTGACCGGTCGTCCCACGCGGACACGCGCATCCCATCAGTCCACCATCGCGCCATCACTGTCCGCACGTCGAGAAGCCGGAACCTGATCCTTCCTCCCGGCCCGACTCTCCCCTCCCAGCCCCTTCGCATGCACGAACACGCCCCGCACTGGTCTGTGGAGCTACGACTAGGTTCGCGCACCGGATCTTATGGGCAGGAACCGCGGCGAATGCTCACCGGACCTGGCTGTCGTGCCGTACCTCGCCCGACCCACCCCTCGAACACCTTCTCGCACCAACGTCGCATGGGCCCTCGCGACCCCCGACACAGAAGCCGCTGCGCGAACTTGGTCCGTCGGGCCAGAGAGCGCGCCGCGATCCGGCGTGGGTGCCGTGGGCGCCCGGGACCGTTATGGGCGCATTACGCGATCCCGCTGTGTACTATACCGTGGCGAACGCCATCTCGCTGATCTACTAGCAGTCACCCGCGTCGTTCCCGATGAGTGAATGAGTAAGCGGTGCGTCGACATCAGTTTGCTTGTCCGTCAGCACTGTGTAGCACAGCGGTCTGACCCGATCTCACTGCGCCGCGGACGCAGGCAATTCCAGGCCGGCGCACGGCCTTTATAATTACGACACACCGATCCAACCTTACTTTGAATAGTCCTTTGAGCGTCTATTGCGTGAAGTGACCTCATATATCGAGGCCTCGGGCATCCAGTACTATACGCAAGATAGGTGCTCGTGTCTCCACCTCTTTGCAACACCTAATCAGCCCCAGAAATAGCCTCATTCTGCTCACGGTCCCCACTTCCGATTTCTCCAAGTCCTCCGAAGCCCCTCGACCTTCCCGGAAGCACTTCCGTTCGGCACAGTACAGACACTGCACCGCTCGCCAACTACTATGGCTTGCCCATAAACGGCCGTGCATGCGCCGCGGTAGCACGGGATGAGACACCTTTTTCCGACGGTACGCACCACCCACTGCCCCTTCCCCGGCTCGACGAGGTCCGCGAGCCGACCGCAGCGGGTTTACAGAGACCATACCGCCTTCGGCGCGGAGCGTTCTCGCGCCCCGGGACGCAGTCGAGCACGAGACCGACGAGAGCGCCCGCGCCAGGGCGGCGGCGGCAGAGGCGGGGAGGGCACGGTCGACGACGTGCGTGGCGCCGGTGGGGTCGCGACGACGGGCGCGCGCTCGCCGCTTTGGACGGCTACCGAACGGATAGCTTCGTGGCACCACCGGGCATGCTCTGGGAGGGGATTCGGTCCTAACGGCGTACCGCGGCCGCGCTCCCCGAGGGAGGTGCAGACCCCCCGACGATGACGGCGGCGGTCGCGCCACCGTCCTCCGTCGGTGTGGTGGCTCCAGCGACCGTTAACGCCTTTTAGACGGCATGTACGTGTTATCCGCTTTGATTATTGCGATCGGTATGCCTTCCGTCCCTATCACATGCGTCGTGATGTGGGAGGCCATCCAACAGCGTACGGTATACCATGTCTTTGCCCCGTTTCTGGCCGTAGCTCGGTATGAAATCCGGATAGTGGGGCATCGGTCTACACAGGCACGAGGACGTCTTTATACCCAACCGCCCCATCGACGTGAAACGACCACCGCATACACTTCCTCCCCTCACGCCCGCGTCCACGTCCACGCCCGCCGCGGATAAGCGCGTGCATATCTCGCATGATCTGTTCGCGTCTCCGTTGGTCTCGTTTGTACTGTCCAGCAGGATGTCAGTCTGGCAGCAATCGCCGACGAGACGCTGTGTGCCATGACACACCCTGATCAATCGATCATACTTCGTCGTGGCCTGTGCACACTGCACCCACCAGTCCATCCACCGCGATCACGGTCGCGGCCCTCACGGCGTCCGGCCGAAGGAGAGTGCGTGCCGCCACTCCTGCGCAGCGCGCGCCCAACGCAGATCATCTGCCCGTGCGAGAAATCGAAGGAGAGTGGGCCCGCCCCCGGCCCGGAGCACCGCGTAGTGGCCGCGGATCGACCGGGTGTTGTGCGTGGGGCATGTAGCTGCGAAAGGACGGGCATGTGTTATGAGCTGTAGAATATGAGTGAGGCGCGCGAAAGGCTGATGGAAGAATAGAACTTACTGCAGGTTGAGCAGTACGTCGCTGCCATCGTCCGACGCTGCCTTCGGCTCCGGATGACAGAACCACTCCGCGCTCACCTCCGCCTCCACGCCTCCACGCTCAAACGCGCCTAATAGCGACGTGCCGCGAGCGCGGGCATCCTCAAGCGTCCGGTCCCATTGCTGACTGCGCCGGTAGTAGTCTTGCCTTACGAGAAGATGCACACGCACGTGACGGAAGTGCGCGTGGTCACACAGCACCGACGCGAGGGGCGTGGACGCAGCCGTCCAGTGTTCAACGAGGCGGGCCGTCGGGTACAGAATGGTTAGAGAGACCTCTTCCAGCATCGGATGGGGCGATGGGGCGCATGAAAAGTGTGCGTGGAGCGCGTCCACGAAGGCGGAGGAGAGAGACTGAATCCGGCCAGGGCTCAGCCAGTACTCATCGTAGCATTGTCTGTCGATGAAGAGGACATCCAGAGCACGCAGCGCGCAGAAGCGCGAGATAGACGTGAGCATGGTTCGCAGGTGACGCGCTGAGGGATCGTCGTGGGATCAGGCTCGCCGTCTGGGAGAACGTAGTACGGTCCTGCGACAGCATCCTCGGAAAGCTTGTTTACGAAGACTGCGCTGTATCGCTCCATGCGCGACCCTTGGATGCTCGCGATGAACGCTCGCGACGAATTTGCGCTCTTCCACGGGTCGTACTGTACCATCTACAGAGTCTTCATCCCGTGCGGCGACACCAAGCCCCAATCCACCAGCGTGTCGAAGAAAAGGCTGATGGGGGTGAGATGAACACCGTGGTGTTTAAGGAAGAATGGAAAGTGGACGGGGCATCGGATCTGCCGCAGATTTCCCTGACCCCGATGACGCTCGGACTGTGGGAACGGGGCTGAAGCTTCGTTGCAGTCGGTGCTTCCCACGAAGACACCGTCGAGGGTGAGCGACTCGAGTCGTGGCAGGGTGAGATGGGGACTAGGGCACACATCGGGAGGTAGGCCATGCGAGAGGTCTCGGAGCGGAGGACGAGGGCCCGCAAGTTGGCGAGCTACCTGAGCCACTGGGCGATGTCTTCGGGCTTCCATCGGTTTTCCGGAGTCCATCGCAGGAGGGTAAGAGGGAAGACGGTGGACGCGAGGGGAGGATCGACCGTAAAGGGGTGAACGAAGCGGTGTCGACCGTTCGTCTTTGAGAAGTCGCCACATGCGTTGTATTGAACGGTGACGGAGGCGAACATGTGGTGCTGAGCGGGGGGCCGGGCCACGCGCGACAGACGCGGGCGCAAGTGCTGAGTGAGTGCGGCGCAGACGCATGCACGGCGTCCATGATGCGCTCGTGCAGTTCTTGAGGAAGTGTTGAGAGTGGCATACTGTCAGCAGTGAGAGGATGAGTGTACAACGTTGGGGCGAGGGAGAACCGCAAACGTTTTAGTGTACGTGAGGCATTGTGGACGCTCACGCACAGTTGACGTCCTATAGCAGGCCGACGCACTGGCAAAGTTGATGCCAACGATCTGCTGGGCGCCGGCGCCTGTCCACCAATAGCGCGCGCGTGATTCCCAGTGTCCCAGCTGTGATGCGTGACGGACCCGAGGGCGACAGCGCTCGGACGGGCCCAGTCGAACGCGTTCGATCGGGCTTCGCCTCGTCGGCGTCGTCTCCGCGTCCGAATCCGATTTTGTGCGCAGCTCACGTCGGAGCCCCACTGCCAGAACGAAACACATCCTCTACGGGTTGTGCACGTGGCACCCGATAATCCCATATGGCTCGCTGTGCGTGTGACAACACTACACTTCGACATACTCTATTTCCTCAGATCCATCCTCGGAGTCATCCTCATAGCTACCCTCGTCACCCTCGTGCCCGTCTTCGACGTCACTGTATCCATCAGGAGGGGTCGGTGCGTCCCACATGTCCATCTCGTCTATATCATCCGAGTCGTCATAGTAGTCATCCGAGTCTTCATCGTCATCCCCAATCATCCAGTTCGCGTCGACGGCAACCTCGACTCCCGCCCCAGCAAAAGGCGCAAAAAGGCGAGTACAGATCTCGCGCGGGGCGTCGAGAAGATCGTCGTCAGGGGCGGTCGAGTAGGCAGCAGGAAGTAGTGCATGCACCCGGATGCGTTGAAAGGCGGGATACCGGGTACGGTCGCCGAGCGTCGCGGCGAGCTGCTGGATGACGGGGGACCACGCCCGGTCGATGTCTTCTGCCCAGTATGTGAGCGTGATCCTCAGCTCTTCTATGGCCGGGTGAGGGATGGGTGAGCGTGAGAAGTGGTCGTTTAGGATGATGATGAACACGTCGGAGAGGCGCTCCCGGCGGAGAGAGCGGTCGGGGCGCGCTTCGGGCTCGCCGTAGATGATTTCGAGGAAACGTAGGCGCGTGGAGGGAGCCAGGACCTCCAAAAGCTTGCGTGTGTTCAGATCTATACGAATAATGGTTAGCGGGAGGCGGCGCGGAGCGGAAGGGAAGAACGTACGACGTCCGTCGTCGACGGCAGGATCGAGATGTTGAGGGTGACTGAAACTGACGCCGAAACGTTCGAGAGAAGGGAAGGTGTAGTTGAACGCTTTCCATTGACGGCCAATGTTCCAGTACTGAGGCATATCCAGGGTCACCAAGGTTTCGGGGGAAAAGATTCCAGCGTCGACCAACGTGTCAAGGAGACGGGAAATGGTTGGGCGGATGACCCCCGGGTCACCACGGATATAGGGGATGGCGTTGAATTGGGCGATCAGGTGTAGGAGATGAGGGGGAGAAGCCCGCCCCTGCTTGCCCGCCGAATATGTCAACGATTCTGGTCTGGCAAGGAAATTCGGAGTGCCCACGTCAACGCCACCCAAGTCGAGCGTGTGGAGAGAAGCGGGGGCGCCCAGAAGGGTTTCGACGAGAAGTGGAAGTGAGACGGCAGATGGGGTTGAGAACGGATCGTAGAGAGAAAGCTTTCTGAGATTGGGAAACAGGGCGGGCCAGTGCTCGACGTCGGCTTTCTCCCACTTGGTGTTTCCCCAGAGGAAGGAGGAGTGGTGCAAAGAAAGTGTGGTGGTGTGTCGGGCGAGGTCGGGATTTGCCGAGAGCACTTGGCGAAGGGTGCCGCCAGGATCGGTGCGCCTGCGTGGTCCGGTCACATCGCCAACTCGGAGGGTTATTTCTGTGAACAGATGATGCTGAGCGCGGGGCCTCCACTGCCTGCAGACGAGCGCGCAAGGGCGAAGCTCAGAACGCGGCCAAACTGCGTCGATCACCTGATCGCACACTTCTGGCGGAAGGGTGGGGGCCATTTCGCAGCGCGACGAGGATGACGGCGGCCGGGACAATGTCGAGGGTGCGCAGAGGCCGATCATAATCTGCCAACACCGAGCTCGACGCGTCGGTGGCGCGAGCAAGCAGCATCAAACAACGCTCACCGTCACAAGACGCCGTAACATGAGTCACTTTCGGGGCCACCTGTCACGTAGTCACAGCTGCGCTGCATTCGCGGCGACGTCTCCGGATCCGCGATCGAGCGACTGCCTCCAAGCAAAAGGAGCCAACTTGCGCAGCCCTCAATGGCCCCCGCCGTCCTCCCGCTCGAGATACAGGAAAAAGTGATCGACGGAGTGCACGACCACCCCATCTCTCTTCGTTCCTGTTCTCTCGTCTGCCGCGATTGGCGCATCCGTGCCCAGTACAATCTCTTCTCTTCCATCACGCTTTCACAAGCTCCGTCCAAGGCGCGCTGTCCAGGCGAAAGGCTACGCGAGGTCCTTCTGGGCAACCCTGCTCTCCCCCTCGCCGTCACGTCCCTCACCCTCGAACACGGCGCCCTATTCAGGTACCACGACGGCTGGCAGCTCCAACATATCCCCGAATGGATGTCCTTGCTGTTGAATCTCCGCACTCTCATCCTTCGATCTACTCACAACACATGGTCGAACATTTCGGACACCACCATCCGACATGCCCTCTCGCTCGTCCCCTTCGTCAGCACTCTTGTTCTCGACCAAGTTGCACTGCAGACCCCGGATTCACTAGTCCTGAGCGCATCCATCCCATCACCATCTACCGGCGGTACTCCGATATCTGAGATCTCCCTCAAACATCTTATTTGCACTGCGTTTCCAATAACTGTAAACGAAAACCTCAGCAGTCCCAGCCCGCCGCACATCCCTCGTTTGCTCCGCCGACTCACCGACATGGGTCTCACCGGATTGCACACCCTCGAAGTCGGCTGGAGCAGCTCATGGGGTCCCGCTACGTCTGGAACCGCCAGCGCGGCACCTACTGAGCTTCGCGATCTGGAGCGATTTTGCGTCCGATTCCGCAAGCCCAACGACGCATACGATCGGCAAACACAAGGTATGCGCTCGACACTCCACACCATCCTCTTCATGGACTCGTCTACAGAGAACGACATGCGCGCGACATTCAGAGCTATCGCCTCGAGTGCCCGTCTGCGATCGCTCGGCGTCACCCTCGGAGACACCCAACACGACTTCGTCCGCGCGAACAGCCGCAAAGCCTCCCCGTCCCTCCTCACGTCCCTCTCCGCCCATCTCTCAGAAACACCCCCGCCCCATCCCGATCTGGAGATCCTCGAAATCACGCTCGCAGTTCCTCATCGTTCTCTTAACAGCGCATGGGATTCGGCGGCGCGGGAGCTAGCCAGGGTGCTCGGTGACGGCCTGCGGTACCCTCGATTCTGCCTCGTTCGGCTGCGTCTCTTCATGCGGGAAGCCGCGGCCCGCGATGTGCGCAAAGGCGGTTCGGCTGTGCTATCTCCAGACGAGCTGAAGAAACGAGGGCTACTCTTGTTAGAGCCCTTCGCAAGCCAGGGCGTAGACGTCAAGGTGGACGTCACGGTTCTCGCACCGGCTCCCGGCGCGGTCCACGCGTAGCTTACTGTCCGCGAATGTGCGTGTCGCTTGATACCGGTTGAATGGACTGACGAATGTACGTAGGAACCGGGTGTGTACCACCGATCGTGGCCGTATGCTATCGCTCTATGGCGTGCAGGCCTTCCTGCCAACGTTTTATCTCCCAAACCTCGTTGGTCGGAGACCATCGAGCCTCGCGCTGCTTCCCCGACCGCATATATGGACACTCGCGCCACCCCTATCCCACCGCCGACCGCGTAACTCAATAACCAACCTCCTCCTCCACCACCACCACCAATTGTGCGCACAGACTCCTCCCACGGGGCTGTGCAGCGGGTCTAGTGGAGTGGCTTTTCCCCCTCCGCCCCGGAGACGGCTTCGCGCAGGCAACGCATTCTACGGCGACCTCGACGCGACGCAGCGCCGCGTATCCTGGGACCCAAGTGCGCTCATGGATTCCTCCCTCGCCGGGTTTCCCGCAGGAGCCCCTCTCCCGCAGCCGAGACGCAGCAATCGAACCCGGGAAGGTGCACGCGCGATCGAGTCGGGCGCACGCGTCCTGTCCTGCTCGACCGCGAGCCCAGCCGAGAACTCGGTTAGGGCGACTTCGTGATTGTGGGGCTTCCGTGTGCGCCGTGCGGTGGATGGACAGAGCGCGGGCGGTGGTGCACTCCACGCTCAAGCTATAGTCTGTGAGAACGCACCTCGGGAGTTTACCGCGGTCACAAAGCGGGGCGAGGTGAGGGTGAGGGGCGTCAGCGCGCGCGAGTTGACAGCAGCACTCTGTCGTGATGTGGTTCGATCCTCGCAGTACGCTACGTATAATTAATCGAGGAGTGGCCCAAATCCCAGTCCGTCGTCGGATGACTCCGCGCCCTCGACCCAGAACGGCTCCACCTCAATCTCGACCCCCGCACCGCCCTCGCGAAACGCGGAGAACAGAAGCGCCCCGTTCCTCTCCGCCTCCTCCACCGAAGGCTCCACCTCCCGCGGCCACGGGTACGCGCAAGACTCGTCGCGCACGAGGAAGCGCGCGCGCACGCGCCGGAAGCGCGGATACAGCGCGCGGTCGCACAGCGCCCGCGCGAGACGCGCGAAGGCCGGCGTCCAGTGCTCTGCGAGACGGGCGGCGGGGTAGACGAACGCGAACGAGAGCTCCTCCAGGGCCGGGTGGGGAGGATCGGGCCGCATGAAGTGCGCGCAGAGCGAGTCGACGAACGCGGACGGCAGCTGCGGGAAGTGGGCCGGGTCGAAGACGAACTCTTCGAAGCACATCTTGTCCACGAAGTGGATGTGGAGAGAGCGGAGGGAAGATAAGGACGCTATCGCGCTCAACATGTCGTGCGCATGCCGCGCTATCATCGCGAGGTCAGATCGCAGTGATTGGGCGCGCGACAGAGCGTACCTGTGGGCCTCTCCAAGGATCGCCGCTCGACGAATATCGCGCTGAATCGCTCGATCTTCCATTCCTGGATTGATGCGATGAACGCCTGCGATGCCCGCGGGGTGCCCCAGGGCAGATGTTGGGGGAGATCCAGCGTCTTGAACTTGGTGGGAGTGATTACACCGCACTCGACGAGCTGGTTAAAGAGGATGTCGATGGGAGCGAGGTATATGTACCGCCTGAGCGATATGGGGATGTAGACCTTGCACTTCACGTGCTGAAGGCTTCCTGTGCCACGTCGATCCTCCACGAGCGGCGATACAAAGGACGCCGTGGCGCGGGTGCGATTCCCAATGAAGACGCCATCAAAGAAGAGAGACTGAAGGGAAGAGAGGGCAAGGAGTATGGGGAGAAGCACGCCCATGGAAACTGTCGTGCAGCGAGCGTGCGGAGAGCAGAGGGTGAGTGTGCGGAGCTGAGTGAGTGACGCAATCCATCCGAGATCGGGGGCCTCCCAGCGACCAGAGTCTTCAGCTAAACCCCATCGGACGAGGGAAAGAGTGAATATCTTGAGCGAAAAATGTGGAAAGTCGGATATTGCTTTGATCAGAGCATCTCTCCGTCGCGATCTTGGTCTGCAGACGTCCCGAAGGGTGATGGACGAGAAGAGGTGGTGCTGGGCCCGAAGCCGCCACGCGCGACAGACCAAAGCGCACGCGCAGAGCGCTTCACATGATACGGCCTCCTGCACTGTGTCGATGATGTGGTCGTACAGCTCTGGAGGAAGTTGTATGACGGGCATAGCTAGAGCCTAGAATGGAAGTATCGCGGGTGTTGAGGTCGGACGATCGACCAGTGGATACTGTGGAGATGTGGTGAGAAATTTGTATAGCATATGTTGCACAAGCACATAGACGTACCGGTGGACAGCAGCCTGCAGAAAACACGGGATGCATCGGCGTGCGGAGAAGGTAGACTCGTCTTCAAAGCGCCCAAATGCTGGGCCGCCGCGCATGACACAGCAAGAACGGGCCGGCGACCCGCATGCACGCCCAGCACTGTTCATTGCAGCCCGGCGTCGTTCCTGCGCTCATGCAAACTCCATCCCATCTCTATTTCTCGTATTCGATCGAGTCGGTGACTGCCACATCACACATGTCGCTGTGATGTGACGCGTCTGCAGCTTTCATATGATATGACATTTTCCAAACCATACAATTCAATCTAAGCTCATCCTCAATTTCGGACATAGGCGTACAAACGGAGGGCGTTTACGCGCGACCCTTGAACGGCCATCCGTGCTGGCCTGCCTGATGAATATCCACTCCGAGATCTTCTGCCCACGCCCACACCAGCCCGGGGTTCTTCTGGAACAGTCGGCCGATGAAGATGAGATCCGCTTGGTTCTGTTCTGCGGGTAAGCTGCTGTTCTATCACGCCCCCCAGCCTCGATGCTCACCTTGTCCAAGACGTCTTGGGCCATGGCCGCGCTGGTAATTGAGCCGACGGCCAAGACAAAAATCTTGTTTCCGTGCGCACGCTTGAACGCCTCGGCGAACGGCACCTGGTACGCCGGACCAGAGATAATGCGCTGATCGGGATGCGTTCCCGACGAGGAGATATCGATGACATCAACCCCATGCTCAGCAAGCACACCGGCCAGGCGCACGGTATCCTCGACACGCCATGACGGGGTGTCAGGCAGCGACTCCTCGAGCCATTCCGTCGCGGAGACGCTACGAGAGGCAACCGTGAGCACGGATCTGACAGGTGACAAGATGCGCACGACGTACCGGAGGAACAGAGGCATCGTCTCCGGGATGACGGCGCGGATCGCATCGACGACTTCGACCACGATGCGAGTGCGGTTCTCCCAGCTCCCGCCGTACTCGTCCGTGCGCGTGTTGCTCGTCGGGGTCATAAAAGAGCTCAGCAGGAAACCGTGCGCGCCGTGGATTTCGATCACGTCAAAGCCCGCGCGTACCGCACGCTTCGCCGCCTCCGCAAAGGCCGCAACCACGTTCTCGATGCCTTCCTTCGTCAACGCCTTCGGGGCGTAGAGCCCGCGGTACGCCAAGGCGGACGGCCCCACGACCTCGTCGGGCCACCCGCCTGCGTCCGGGGCGGCGACTTCACTGCCGGCGACAAACGGCGCGAGCGTGCTCGCCTTGCGGCCGGCGTGGGCGAGCTGGACGCCAATCTTCTGTCCCTGAGAGTGCGCGAAGCGGACGACAGCCGACCAAGCTTCTCCTTGGGCGTCGGTCCACAGGCCGGCGCACTCGGGGGTGATGCGTCCCTCAGGCGAGACTGCCGTCGCCTCGACCATACACAGGCCGGGGCCACGAGTGAAGATGCTTCCAACTAGATTGGTCACGTTGGTCAGAATTCCGAACCGTCAAGCATGGTATAAAGGAGGCGTACGATGAGCCATGTGCCAAGGGGTGATCACGCCGTTCTCAGCCAGTACATGCATAGCGGCGCGAGCTAAAAACGTACGCGAGATGAGCGGGTGAAAGGTCGGGATGTAGAATCCGATCGTACCCAAAGACGGTTGTGGAACTCCACACCGCGAATCTTGAAGGGCTGGAAGAGGGTTGGAACAAGGTTCTTCTCGTCTTCCTTGACCGCCGCAGTGCCAGCGGGATGAGGATGGAGAGGCGTGAAGTAAGGGGTGTTGGGGGCACGGGTGTTGGACAGAACGGACATGGCGTTGATAGAGCTCGCTGGAGAGTATACGGGGAATGTGTGTTGAGGGCAGCTTCGCCCTCGTCCAGGTCTTAAATACCAGGATCGCGGTAGCTGGCGTCTTTGAACAGCGATCGAGACTGGCATTGCGGCTTCCTTCAAACAATCAGCGTATTAAATTTTCAGCCAGACGTCCCATGCGTTCAGTGGTCCAGCGCGCAGATGAAGTAAATTCTGCGTTAGTAATGCCTCCCGTGCTGACAAACAAGGTTCACCCACGCACTTCTACCAAAGTTTGAACGTTCTAACCCTCTTGATTCTCCGGATAGGTCGGAGCACGGCCACAGAACGCGCGGAGTACTGTAATGGACGCTGGAGAACTCCTGGCACGCTGCAGTGAGTAATCAAGCATATTTCAGTCCAGACGACGTCTCGCTGCTAAATACACCAGAATGCTTACGAATCCCTGACGAAGCTATCCGAACAGGTGTGGGACGAGCGACGAATGCAACCGCGAGTACTTGCGTCGGGCCGCAACACCTCACTAGTCGGATAGTTGCGTCGCAACCGCTGTGAATTGTGCCAGCGTACCACTGTCGACCACTGTCGATGCATGGAAAAGTGAGCGTGTCCCAAAAACCCGGTGGGGGTTATCGCACCACTCCTTCCCATCTGACCGAGGTCCTCGTCTTTGACAGACTCGAGTCGCCGGTGGGTGAACAGTGGGATTGTCTTCCACCGTGTTCGCCTTCTACTCTACGCCGAGCCCCGCCGCCGCGCGAAACTTTTGTGGTCCCTGCCTCACCGGAGCCATGCTACGGACACCGAAATGGCGCAGGCTAGAGAATTCAGGAGCCCCGGAAGCCCGCACGACGCTCTCGAGCCCCGTGAAACCACCGGGCAACCAGAGCGGCAACGCTTTGTCATCAGCGGCGCGCAGCGTCGGCGAAAAAGTCGCAAGCGCGGAGGAATTGAAGTGCGTAGGCCGGGTCCCGGCGCGTTGCTCGTGCGGGGGTACGGGCTTAGGGGGCGCGGAAGAAGCACCTTTCCGTTCGACGCAAGGGGGATCAGTGAGGCTAAAAACTCAGAGCAGTGGAGAACATAGACGTACCTACTGCCGCCAAGGGGCATCAGGATGTAAGCGTAGTCGAAACAGGCATGGTATTCATCGTCTGCACTATGATGTGTCGCTGAGTGCGACGAATGCTGCACGAGAGCGGGGCGGCGAGGGCGATGTTAACACCAGAAACGATAAAGCCGTAGATACTGATAAGGCGACGTACGTATGTCGAAGACGTTCGGAATCTGGGACTACACCCGAGACTCCCTATCGACCGTGAAGTGCAATGGTTTCCGAACGAGAGGCGCCAAAGGGGGAATCAGCTTTGAAGGAAGCGTTTTCAGTCGCACAGGATGTTGCATGGCCACTTTAGCGTACGTACTGTGCATGGCTGGTCGGAGACGCGGGAGTGCGTGTGGATGGCCCGTGGATGGGCGCAGTGGAGTGGGCGTGGTCGCGGTTGGAGACCTGTTTGGGCGGATGAGTCAGCGGGCACGGGCCGGCTAGTCGCCGGCGAGCCGCTTCCCCTGGGATGCGCGTCTAATAACGCGTCCTTTTTCCGTCCTCCGTTCAAGCCAACACACCACATCTCCCTCTCTTTCTTGCCCGAGCCTGCGCCAATCAACGGCCATGCCGCCGCTCCCTCCGATCGAAGACAACAGCGAGGTAAGAGGTCGATGGTGTGCGACTTCTAAGCTTCTCCCTCGCCGATCTGCGCGCTGAACATAGAGCACAGATTGTTGTTCGTACACACGAGCATACATGAAGAAACCATCTCTTCTGACTATGGTGGTACCCACTGTGTGACGCCTTCAACTTAATCCGTAACCGGGACACAGCCGACGGAGATGAGGCTGCCTGGGGGACCATCAACACTGAGCTCTGGAGCCTCCTACGCGAGTTGCGCGAGTCCTCACCGTGCGAGTTGTCGTCACAGCACACCGTGCTCGCCGAACTGCAAGGGTACGTTCGCGTCAGGGCCATCCCTTCCACCATTCCACGTACAAGACGCACCAAGAGTCTCCGGTACCGACACCGATGACGGTGATGGGCGAGCACGTCAGGCCGATGAGCGTGTCGACGTCCTGCACGACGACGCCAATGGACTTGAGGACCGCGGCCGCAGCGGGGTCGCTGGCCTTTTCGACCAACTCGCAGCACTGGAGGATGCCGGTGCTACAGGTCTGGGCGAAGGCGGGGGTGACGGCGGCAAGGAGTGCGGCGGCGGCGAAGAGCTTAGGGGGCATCTCGAGTTTGTGTTGGGCGGGTAGTGAACTGGTGAGTGTTCGTTGGGACTCTGTCGTTTCGCACTGTGATTCTTATGTGTGCGCACCCGTGCTCTCCAGATGGGTTACAAGCTGACGACGTCAGTATGCTGCAGCGGTATGCTCATCCCGCGCACAAGGCCGTGACTAAATAAGCGTCCACGGCGTCCGCACTTCCGCTCCACCACAACCCGTGGCGTGTATGCTTGCACCCTCGTTCCTGAGGTGACGTTCGGTATGTTGCCAGTGGACGTCTGTGATCTCGCATACGTCTGAGCATTGAAATGTTAAACAGCTTCGGAGATGCTCCACCATGCAGCCTCACTGGCTGCGCACCAGCCGTCCTTGGTCGGCTTTCGCTTTGCGCTCGACGGTGCTGCAACTCCACCTCGAGTACGCCCGCGTTGTAGGCTATCTGTCGAGACCATGTGTGCAGCGAGCGCGCCGTTCGACTTCCAGTTCCATACTGCGCTATACCGGTTAGTCCGCGTTGGCATACTGTCCCTCCAGTTCAATTTATGAACGGTTCCTAGATGTCGTCCCAACATACGTGGCTCTGACGTCGACATCCGCCACGTCACAGCTTACGCCGTCACAGACTCTGACCGCACGTCCTGCCCACTATGTGGTTCCTCGCCTGCCATGCACTGCAGCGCATCCTGCCTACACGCCCACGTCCAGTCGAGCTGCGGCAGCCGCAAGTGCCACGGCTTCCTCGCCGCCGTGTCTCCGCCACCCACGGACCTGCGGACGAACGGATCACGATGACTTCATCGGTGCCGTCTTTGACCCCTCGCGTTTTCTCCCCATGGCTGGGACGTGACGCAACGGAACCACGACCTATCTCCACGTCCAGCGCCAGGGTTATTCTCGGTGGACGTCGTCATTCCCACAATACACGCCCACTATGCTACCTTTTGATCGTGATATCGAACGAGTTCTGACCATTCATCGCGCACCATTTGTTAGATTGCCGAAGACGAGACGCAACTGTGCATATGCTGGTGACGTCACGCGTCTACTGTACAGCCCATGTCCCGGAGGCGATTCAACACCCAGACCTGACCGGTCCACATTCACTACTTTCACAACTTCGATAACAACCCGCAACGCTTCGAAGCTTGGGCAACGTGCGTTGCTGTAAGTTCCCTGTAATCGTGATTTTCTGCATACCGAATCTCACGCCCGCACATGACTAGAAGCCTGGCTGTACTTCCCAATTCTCAGGCCACGCCATCGATAGCGATGTGTTTCCGATGTTTTCAGAGGACACCTTTCCTTGCCTCCACTCTTCGACCATCTCTGCACCGTCAACAGCCACAATACCGACAATGTCGACCCTCCCTCCCGAGTTGCATGACCGCATCATCGACGCGGTCAGTGACGTCGCACCCGGTGCGCTCGGCGCATGCGCTAGCGTCTGTCGCGCGTGGCGGCCTCGTGCTCAATACCACCTCTTCTCGTCCACCACGGTCCGCGACGCCTGCAGCCCGAAAGCACCACACCGGGACTCTCTCATCCACCTTCTCTCCGCCTCTTCGATCCTCGCGTTCAAGATCTCCGCTCTCACACTGCTTCGGTGCAAGCTCGACGACTCCGGCCGGTGGGAGGCCCCCGATCTCGGATGGATCACATCGCTCGCGAACCTCCACACGCTCACACTGAGTTCGCCTTACTGCCGCTGCACCACTGTGTCGATGCACGTGCTCCTTCCGGTACTTCTCCAACTCCCCTCACTCGAGTCACTTCTCAACGGCGTCTTTATCGGGAACCGCACCCGCATCACAGCCGAGTCTGTTCCCCAGCTCGCCGCGGCCCGTCGAGGGTTCGGAAGTCTGCAGCACGTGCAATGCAAGGTTTACATCCCGGTGTCCCTCAAGCGTCACATCTACCCTACCCCGATCGAGATCCTGTTTAACGAGCTCGTCAAGTGGCGAATCGTCTCCCCGGCCAACTTCAAGACTCTGGATCTCCCGCAGCACCTTCCTTGGGGCAGCCCGCAGGCGTCCCAGGCGTTCATGGCTGCAATCAGGAGGTGGAAGATCGAGAGGTTCGGCGCGCTCTTCGTCGAGCGACGAGCGCCCGAGAGGCCCACGGTTACGTTCGGCCTTGTCGCTGTATGCACGATCTCACCCCGTCGCGCCCACAGAACGGCACGCGCGTGACATGCTGAACGCCATCGGATGCTTCCGCACCCTGCGCTCGCTCGACGTGCACTTCATCGACAAGAAGTGCTTCGAAGAGTACTTCCTCGCCCTCTCCGACATTCCGCAGCTGCCCTCTGCATTCGTGGACTCGCTCGTCGCGCACTTCGCGCAGGCTTCCGCGCCGCACCCGGACCTGGAGGAGCTGTCCTTCACCATCGTGTACCCGCCGAGCCGCCTGGTGTCGTACTGGAAGCCCGCACTCGAGCGGCTCGCTCGTTCGCTGTGCGACCGGAAGCGGTACTCGCGGTTCCGGGGCGTGCGGGTGCGCTTCCTGGTGCGGAACGGCGCGTGCGGGTACCCGTGGCCGAAGGAGGTCGGGCCATCGCCGAGCGCGACGAAGTCGAAGGGGAAGCTTTTGTTCTCAGCGTTCGAAGACGGCAGGGTGCGCGTCGACGTAGAGGTGGAGACGTTCTGGGTGGAAGGCGTCACGGAATCGTCGGATGGCTGGGGAACCGACTTTACGTTTCTAGATTGACTGCGGCTTGGATGTTGGGATGAGAGGCCAGCCTCGGTCGCTTGAGGTTTCTTCGTCGCGCGATGGTATCGGTATTGGAATGCTTCTATGAGCTTCGGTACTCCGGGACTCGTGGAGGTCGGAGAAACCACATGTAGTATGCAGATGTGTCGTAGACGATGTGTTTGGCTTCGCACGAGCGTGACGATCGAATAATCCAATGATTGCGCGCTACACCGCACACGGAGACGCTCGCTCATGATAAAGTGGATGGAAGTGTGCGAATGCGTATCTGCGTATCGATCGTCCGTCGAGGTGGTGTGTCGACGCCGTGTATCCCTTGTCGCGCTCTACGACATGTCAGCCATCGACCCGACACGGCCACCCCCCCGGGTTCCTCCAGAGATCTCGGACAACATCCTACGATGCCTCAATCCATCACCTTACAAGGACAGAAAGACACTCCTCCATTGCATGCTCGTCTCCCACAACTGGCTCCCCGCAAGCAGATATGTCCTCTGCTCCGACCCCTACATTCCATCGTTGGAGCAAGCCCATCTATTTCTCACCCGTGTCGTTCAGGTTGCCCCGCTTTCCACCGCTCCCCTCCGAAGACTTTCCATCGATGTACTGGATACCAAGGGTCACTCTCCGTCTTTGGGAGCCGTGCTCGCTTCTTTGGCGATCCACGCACCCAACCTTGAAGACCTCAAGCTCCACCACATCACATCCGAAACTTCCACAATCCCGCCTCGGTCCTTACTATCTATCTCTAATCTCACAAAACTCGTGAGACTAGAATTATGCCAGTGCACGTTCCGCTCATTCTCAATTCTTCGGCGTACACTTGCCGCGCTCCCTCATCTGCGCGATCTTGCCACACGTCGGGTTAAATTCCCTATATCGCCCAACGACACCATGGTCAAATCGTATACAAGCCCCAGGCCGGATCTGCTCAGCGTCTCGCTCCTAAACACGAGCTCAAAAAGGGAGCGAGATCACCTTGATGTCCTGCTACACTTCCTCGCAAACACCTCATCCTGTGCCTCACTCAATGAGCTCACTGTCAAGAGGGGGTGGGCATATGGACCGACATCAAGTCTGTTCAGAGCCTCCCTCGCACGTTTGCTGTTGGCGGTGGATGTCTTCGAATTCGATGATGAATCCGATCCCCGCGGTACAAATTCCCACAGCTCTACACGAACCGCCACATACTGACGAAGCTCATACAGAAGCACTGTCCTTCCTGTCGAGTTTGCGGAACGTGAGAAAACTCAGCCTCCGGTTCTTCCATGCTACAGCAGGAACTGTACTCGAGATCGTGCACGGCTTGGTGCAAGGAAACAGCCCCAACCTCGTTGATTTCACGCTCACTGTCCCCCTCGACGCTCTCACCCTTGCAACGGAGACGGACCTCATCGAGCTCGCCAACCTCACCTCCCGCAGGCCTTTCTCCACTGTGAAGAATGCGAGAATTCGCCTGCACACGTACAAATACTACGATCTAGATATATCTGGAGCGCAAGCATTGGAAGTTATGGCTAGGATGTGGCCTCTCATCAGTCAAGACGCACAAGTAGACTTGACTCTATTCTACTCCATCTTCAGTGGGGACGTCTGGGAGTGGAACCCTGAAGTCAAGCGAGGAACATCGTTCTGGGAAGGAGGTTTGTCAAACGGCTACGCAACACGTCTCATATCGACTGACAGGAAAATGAGCAGGGAAGACGTGGGATCGTGGAACCAAAACCTGGAAACAGTGCAAGTGACACATAACGAACGTGTATGTAACAATACTTGTGATTATCTTGTGGTCAGAAGGGATACGCCGTAGAGGACTCGGCTTTGTATATGGATATTCAGGTACGGTTGGCCTCGCACGCACTCCGTCGCGCACTCCGTCTTCGATGGTTGGCTTGGCCACCCTTCGAACGCGCACCCCGTCGATCCACCACTACACAGGCCACCGTTAGGACCCACGTTTGAAGGTCGTCGTCTACAGTCCCCTGGCATATGTCGGGTCGCATTCCCTCCCTGTCCCACGAGTTCGATAGTCTAGCAGTCCCACAGTTCAACGTTCACGGAATCCTCCCATCAGATGATGTCGTAGTCCGCCAGGCTATCCCCAACGGAGGTGCAGTGTGTGGCGCGCATGCGCGGGCGTGTGTCCGCTCACGGCCCAACGGTCAGCCGCCAGATCGCGATAACTTCATCGCCGCGTACCCGCCGATATTGCCCCCGACCCATCCAAGGTGGAATAAGATATTCAGTTCTCGCCCCGCGGGTGATCGAACGTACGTACGCCCCGGAAGAGGATGTCCGCAGATGCACGATGTGCATGGATTCGTAGCGTACGACAATATATAGAGCTCTGCACGCCGCCGCAGTGCACCACTAGTACCGTCCAAAGCATGCGACGCCGACGGGAATGGGAACGTACGCAGTCGGAAAGGTCGTCGCACGTCCCGGGTCGTCGGCGCTGCTGAAGGGATCTGTACCGCGCGCGATCGTCAGCTCGGCGTCCTCCGTCACGTCCCATAGAAGGGGATAATGCTCACCGAAAAGCACATCGCGCTCGGCGAAGTGGATGGGGACCGGCGCGTACGCCGCGCCCGCGAGCCACGGCAGCGCGCTCAGGTGCATGTTCGCGAACCCCGCCGGGTCCCAGGCGAGGCCCGAGAGCGCGCCGACGCTCGAGATCGAGCCCCCGCGCGCGAGCGGCGGGTGCTTCGGGCCGTCGAACGACGGGGCTCGCGCGATTGGGGCGTCGTCTGGATAGGCCGGGAGTGAGGGAGGACGGAACGTCGGGAGGGGAGGCGACGGAGGTCGCGCGCCGGGAGCCTCTGTGCGGGTTTTCGGCGGTCGCCCCCGCCGCTTCTTGGGTACGGCGGGGTCGACCGGGCGCGCTGTGGGCTTTGCACGTGGGACGCGTGGCTTGCGCGGCTTCTTGGTGGGAGGGGCGCGTTCTTGGGGCGCGTTGCCCTCGGGCTTGACGGAGTCGATGACGGACGCTTTGCGCTTCAAGCGGCGCCCCTTGGTCTTGCCCGACGTAGCGATAGTAGGAACGACCGCGAGACATGCGGTTGATGTTGACGAGTCTACCTTTGCCTTGACGGGGACGACTTGGATCCGCACATCGGCACCCTCGGAGACATGAACGCGCTCGTCGGTCGCGGTCACTGTGCGCAATCGTAAGATGCATGCCAACGCGGAGGGAAATAGCTTACTGGGAGCAATCGGCGAGGTCCCCGGTCCTTCGCTCGCCGAAGACGCGTCTCCAGTGTTCATTCGTGCCATGGCCGATGAGTTTCGCCGCAATCTGAAAGTCGCGGGAGCACGGGCGCGGGCCCGCGACGTATGACTGCCAGTGAGAGATGGTGTGTGCATATTGACAGCGAGATCGTGTCGCGCTGTAGATGGTGCTGGAGGGAGGAAGTTGGTTGCGGCTGGAAATAGTGTAGAGTCGGAAGGATGGGTATTTGTAGAGAGACACACACAAGCGGGAAGCGACGCGGCCGCAAAATGAGGACAGTCTGGCAGGGAGGCAGGCTGTTGCGGCGACGTTCGGATTTTTTCGACAAGGATCGGCCGGTCGCCCGCAGCAGCTTCGGGAGACGTAGGCGGAGACGACGAAAAGAACGTGATAGGGAACAGCGAACTTGAACCAGGGCTCTGGGCCTTTGGTGAGGGACCTGATGGTGGAGTCGACGAAGGGGCAGCAGCAAAGGAAGAGGAAGAAGTAGAGGGATCCGGAGGAGGTGATGGGTCTGGCAGGCTTGGGGCTGCAGTGTGATGTTTACGCGCAGTCAGAATTGCGAGAACAGCAGGACTCGGTCGAGCAGCGAGCGGAGGTGTCGGAGGAACAGCATCTGCAGCAGGTTCGACGACTGGGGAAGGTGTAGCAGCAGGAAGTATGCGCTTGAAACGAGGGGGAAGAGGGCTGGAGACGGTCGACGGCAAGGAGGGGTGGGTATATGCGGTTGGGGTAGCGTTCGGATGTTGCACTGAGGACTGGAGTGCATCAGATTGCGCCTGATGAGCCTCGGGAGAGAGACCGGAGAAGCGGACACGGCGAGGTTGAGACTGCACGTCTTTGTTTCGCGTGCGAAGTGCGGACTTGATCGTGTTTGAAGACGAGGAGACGGCCGGGGTCGATATGGGAGCCGAAGACAAGGATGAGACAGGCGACAAGAGCAAGCTTTGTGTGGGCGCGCGAGTGCAAGTCTGGCATGAGGGATGAGGATTGGCATCGTGGGCGCGGGTGTGTCGAACTGCGAAGCTGGGCAGAGCCGAGGTCTTGCGAGCCTTCGGTGCGTTCGAAAGGAAAGGGCGCGAGGAGGCAGGGATGGGGGACACCGCGCGTTCGCGCTTTACGCTGAGAGTGACTGCGGCAGACTCACAGACACCTGAGTTTCCACCAGCATTCGCAGAAGGTGCTAACTGCGCGCCCTTCTTCCGCTTGCGATCGCCTCCAGCCCGCCGTGAACACCAGTCTTGGACCAAAGACGGGTCCAAGGAACGGGGCGCCGCCCAGGAAGAAGCAAAGGACGAAGTCGGGCGGACCGCGCTTTTGTGTAGCAAAGACCCAAGCTCTGCGCGATGTGTGCGGGAGAAGGGCTGGAAGGGCGGGTCGACGGTGGGCTTGACGTCCTCCTCGACGGGCTCGTGTTTGAGCGGTTTGGCAGCGGGAGCACGGCGCGTGCCTCGAGTGAGCGCTTTTGAAGGCATAGAAGAGTGACAGTGCTGGGGATCGAGCGGGGAGAGGAGGAGGAAGACGAGGTTCGTGAGTTGAGAACAGGGCGCGCAGAGGCAACGGTCACGACCGTGACTCGGCGGGTCGTGACTGTCGTCTTGGCACACCGGGACCGAATGCAAGTCGTTGGAACGCTCGCGTTTGTTCACCTCCGGACTCTAACATCCTCCATGCATGGCAGTCATCAATCTGTTGGCACCCAAAGCAAAGGACATTGAAAGCATCGACAACCTCGTTCAGTTCAAGTGACGTGATACATGACGGTATTGTTCGTAACGATTCTCTCTCCTGCTGCTCCTTCCTTCTGAGTCCTGACTGGGCTACTGACTGGGCTCTTTAGAGCGTGACGGGGACACAGCCGATGGAGATCAGGCCGCCGTGCGAGTTGTCCTCGCAGCAAACGGCGGAGGCATCGCTGCAAAAGCCCGTCGTAAGCACCGACCCGACAAGTCTGGCCACGCCCCAAATCCTACTCACCAAGAGCCGCCAGAGCCAACACCGATGACGGTGATGGGCGAGCACGTCAGGCCGACGAGCGCGTCGACATCCTGGACGATGACCCCGATGGACGCAAGGATACCCGCCGCAGCGGGGTCGCTGGCCTTCTCGACGGTGTTGCAGCACTGAATCGGACCCGTGCTACAGGTCGAAGCCGGGGCCGAGTTCGGCGCGGCGGTGGCAGCGGCAAGGAGTGCGGCGACGGTGAAGAGCGTGGTGAACATGGTGAGGATGGTGCGGTAGTGAACGGCTGGTCAGTGTTCGCTGAGGTCTTGTCGTCCCCACCCCCCGGCTTATATGGGTACCACTTGCGCCGTGAAGAACAAGAGCGCACACAAACGCGGTCAGGTGCGCGGAGGTCGCGATGACGCATTCAGGCTGTCTGCCTGTCGCGTTCCCGGCCACGCGAGACGGATGCTCCGCATGAGAACGCGCCGATGCTTAGGGGACACCTCCGGACGACAGAAAGATGACGGGACCGCTCTTTTCCGCTCCGCTCCACTTGGTGGGAAGCCTCCAACACTGTTCAGGCGATCTCGGTGGTGAGATGAAGTCGAGATGTGAGTTCTAGGGTTGTTGTGTTGTCGAAGATTCTCAACTTCATTGCAGACGCCTGTGGACATCGGACCTCCAGGACCGTCAGGCTATTGAGGTCCAAGGACCCTCTGGCCGGGGACATACTACGCATCACTCCAAACGAACACTCGCTCTCCCCGTGCAGCATGTCTTCGGTCCCGTACTGTGACGGCACCCGGCCTCCTAACCGTCGATCCACCGGCGGCGGATACGCGTTGACACTTTCAAGCTCGGCGGGAGTGCGGCTTTCAACCGTACAGAAGTCCACCTGGAGCGTATTCGACGGGTAAATCCAGAAAGTGCCCCGTTCTGCGCTGACATACCCGCTATCTACTCACCTGCGAGAAGCTGATCAGCGAACTGGAAACAGCGTACATCGGTGGCACATGATGTCGTCACGTCCAACACCGCGCCTCGCGGAGAACATCGAGCGGAGACGTATTCCAAATGTCTGAACGTCCATCCAAGTTCGAAGATTCATATCCGGGTTCCGCCCCAAGGGCCGCAGTCCTGACCGCGAGGTGAGCACATCTTTGGCTGGCCTCGAGAGCGCTAAATGAAGTCATCCCCAGTGAATGTCCGCGGAGTCGTCGCACTACGCCCGCACGCTCCGAATGCTGGAGTCTTTCATTGTCTATCGGCGGACATCATTGTACACAACACCGCGGGGATACGGCGCTCTCTCTTTGACATGAATACGCGTCTTTCTTGCTCCACAAACGCGTTGGACATGCTCCACCCTGTCGTTTCGCCATTCATTGAAGTCAACACAACCCCCGGGGTTTTTTCTGCGGTCCGTCAACATGCCCCTGCTTCGACAAGCGCGTTCATCTCTGACGGTCTTTTGGGTGGTCAGTGACGTTCAAACTATCGTCATTCGAGCCAACTCCGAGCGTGCGTTCAGTCGTACGGCTAATTTCAACTTGGACCTTGTGACTGGCGTGTCCCTCCAGATCATTGTGCTCTACTGGAGGCAAAACGTGAAGATGCTATGCCGAGTGCTCACTGACGCCATCGTCGACCACACTCGTCCCTCCTCGACATCCGAGGACTGCATACCCCTTCAACGCAATCCTCGACGTTTGTACACAAGCACCCCTCCACTGCCCCGTTTCCTCACTCGAACAAGCCCACCCGCCCAGCACAAGCACCTAGCCCACCCATCCCCGATGCTCGCCAACACCCTCCTCGCCGTCTCCGCCGTCTCCATCCTTGCCGCCGCCACCCCACCCCCGGCGGCTCAGGTGGCACCATCCCCGCCTCGTCCTGCAGCACCGGCCCCGTCCAGTGCTGCCAGACCTCGGGCTCCGCGAGCGACCCCGCGATCTCGACGGTGCTCGCCGGGCTCGGGATCGTCGTCCAGGACGTCGATGCCCTCGTCGGCCTCACGTGCTCCGCTGTCTTCGTCGTTGGCGTCGGCGGCACGACTTGGTGAGTGCCGCGGAGCGGTCGGTGTGTTTGCGGACGGTTAAACTGATGCGGTGTGCTTGCAGCGACGCGAACGCGCTCTGCTGCTCGGACAACAGCTTCGGGGGGCTCGCATCGATTGGCTGCGTGCCGGTCGACCTCTCTTCTTGAGCGGTTTTGCGCGTCGTTCATCGTAGGGGTGTAAGCATACTACGGGGAGCGGGTGAGGGTCGTCGAGAGCCGAGGCCGAGATGTACTATGAGCATCGTTGTGGAGCGTCGAGTTGTTGTGAACAAGCCATTCTATCCCTCCTACCATCCTCTGTTTGTGCACGTGTCTGTGCGCCGAACAAGATTAAAATATCAAGACCCGGCTTAGTGCCTTAGAATCGATTTGTCGACCACGGTGTTTGAGAGACACCCCGTGTCCGTCACCCGTGCTATATGCATGCTACAAACTCGTGATACGCTTCTGATCTCCACCGATCAGATACAGAAACCGTGGCGTGACGCCGTCCATCCACCACCCAAACCGCACCAGACGCAATAGATACGCGCGATGCTGCCTCACGACCCTATCGCGCCACAAAGCGTTCAATAAGGCTTGAATTCGAGTTCCTAAACGCGCCCCAGGGTCATCAGCTTCACGCACAAAGTCAGAGACAGAGGAATAACTCACCGCGACGTACGCGGCCCCGTACTTGGCCGCGAACACGGCGACATCGCCAACGAGCGCAAACGCCTGCGATGCCTCGACGAACACCACCGTCGGTGCGACATAGTACCCGTCGGGGTTCACCCACGACGGCGCGAGCTTGCTCTTGGAGTAGGGCGCGAAGGACCAGATGTGCGACTCGGTCGCCGCGTCCTGCGCGTACACGGCCGCCTTGTACGAGGAGGGACCGTCTTCGGCGGGGCCGTACGGCGCTGGAGAGGACAACGTCAGTTGGGGCCCGAAGGGAAAGGGAGGGACGACGCACCTTTGTCAGTGCCGACGAGGTAGACGAAGTCGGGCGAGCCCTTCTCCATGCCATAGTCTGAGTTGAGGTAGCCCGTAACGGCACCGAGGTACGGGAAGTCCTTGTACCCGTTCTGCCACGCCCGAATCATCAGCACCAGAACACTCCGAAAACGCGTTCACTCACCAGCGCAGCGATGTCAAAGTACTCATCCTGCACGCAGTCGGACACGAGCACGACGAGCGCGTCCGCCACGTCCGTCGTGAACCCGTACTCACCATACGCGTTCCCCGCGCGCGCCACGTACCCCGCCTCCCGCCCCTCGACCGCCGCCGCGAGCACGCCCTTCTTCGGCCCGCACCCGTCCTTCATGTACGCGCTCGGCTCCGCCCGCGCTGCCCCGGAACGCTTCTCGGGGACCCACCGCGCGTGCACGCGCTTGGCTCCGACGTCGACGTCGACGAGCTCGTTCAGGCCCCCGGTCGATTCAGGGTCCGGCGGCGCGGCGCGGGCGTAGTACGTCGTGCTCGCAGTGTACGTGCCCGACGGGCGCCCGGGCGCGTACGTGTACGTCCTGCTGGGCGTCGACTTGGCCGCGTACGTCGTCGGGCGTGTGCGCGAGGGCGAGTCCGGGGGCGCGTAGTACGACGGGTCGTCGCCGTCTTCATACGCGCGAGGGTAGAGGTCGTGTGGGTCCGAGTCGGCGTGGGCGTCCGCGGAGGGCGCCGCCGCGCCGGGCGCGCGACGGCGCAGGACGGGCGGGTTGGGAGGGAGGCCACGTGCGAGGCGTTGGGCGTTCGACATGGGCACTGCGGCGGCGAGCGCGAGCGCGCGGGGAGCAGCGGCGGGGGTTGGGTTCGTGGTGTCGATAGGTGTAGGCGCGGCGAAGGCGGCGAGCGCGAAAGCGGAGACGAGGAGGATGCTGATGGGAGCCATTTGTGCAAAGAGAAAGGTGGGGTTGGAGGTGTGGCGGAGGGAGAGAAAGGAAGGTCGGTTGGAATGAGAGTGGGGGGCCGAGCGCGTTGGGCGTCTTGTAGGCGTATGAGAACGTTGCAGAGCGTGAAAGAGGAGACAGTAGCAAGACGAGAGCTACTCTTCTTGGATGCGGAAGATGGAACTTAAGTATGAACGGGGGCGGCTGGCAGCAGGCTCACAAACCGCGGCTGGCGGGCTGGCGCGACGAGCGTTCGCGTGGTGCTGTCAGCCGAACCTGCAAATGGCAGGCGCTGTAAGCTTGCATGCTACAGACACTCCCGAAGCGACGTACAAGCAGTTTTCAAACGGGAGGACAACTCTTTACGACAGTGTTTGCTTGAGTGAGCCTTGACAGAACGGTTGTGGCCATACCACACTCTTGAACTCGAACGTGACTAGCTTGTCAACAGGTCAGCCGCAAATGTGATGTTGGAGGCGGTACGGGCGGTAAAGGCAATCCGACTCGGCCTCGCCGTCGCGGACGTACGTGATCGTGTGCACGCCGACGAACTGCTGCATGAACATATCGATCATCAACGCGATCGACGTGCGGTGGTTGCGCGGGATCGGCCAGAGGCCAAAGAACTTGTTGCGTGTCGTGCAGTCGATCTTCCTTCCGGCCTCGAGCAGCACGTGAATGTTTGTAAGCACAAATTTCAGTGGGAAGAACACGTAAAATAAGCTCATCGATGTACAGTAACGGTCGCGCGCGGCTTGGAGCTTGGTATGGCAGGGGCGGCGGATGGAATTGAATCATGTATAAACGTGGTGAGCACTTGCTCGGCTATCGAATATTGTTTGATGGGCACAGAGCAAGATGGCGCAGGAACGCATGGGATCAGTCGGTCAGCAGCTGATGAGCCCGCAGCAAAGCTAAAGCGGGCAGATAAGCCAACATGGACACAAAGAAGAGACAAAAACGAACGCAAGAAGCCGGGATGACCAGATCAAGCAGCTACTGGTTCTTGCTACTCCTGAAGGTAGGGCCGGTTCCGGGGCCGAAGCCAAACTGCTTGGCGAAGAAGAGGTTGGCGCCGTTGACGACGGACTCGTCCATCTAAGAGTAGATATATGCGCTCCGAATATGCATGTTCTCAGGTGAAAAAACGCGGACTACTCACCCATTGTAAGGTAGCAGTAGATGAAGACACGATGACAACTGGGTCCCACCCGCAGATGAACTCGCGGCGGAGCACGTGTCGGTCCTGGTTGTCGAGCATGGTCTCGAATGCGGCGGGGTCCTGGGCGACGAGGGCGCCCTTCTAGATCGTCCGAGTATGCTTCTCGAGCCCGTTGGTGAGAGAAAATGCGGCGGTATTGTCCATCAGATGGTGTGGAATGCCGGAGGGGGGGTTGCGTTGGGGTTCTGGACAGAGTGGTGGTAGACTGCAGCGGTGGACAGCGCTAGCGCAGCGTCTGCTGCCAAAAGAGGCAGGTGCCGCGATGGGCGGATGTTCCGAAGATCAAGCGCTCATGCGCTCATGCCTACCGCTGCTCGCGTGATTAATACGCCTGAGTCCAAGCTCACCGCTATTTCCATGACAGATAGCACATCTCCATAGACTCAAAATAACTGAGAAAGCGGTACTAAGCGCTATAAATACCCTATCGGCTACCTCGAAAACAAACCACGGCGTACAGGTTCTGGATCAACGACCCTCTAACAAAGATTCTCCATGACTCTACTTCAAAATACGCGGCGTCGAGTTTACGAGGGGACGGGAGAAATGGAGCTCTCGGCTCCAGCCTGGACCGAGAGGGTGGGGAAGGGAGTCGCAGAGCACGCCGCCTCGATGTCCGACTGGTTCTTGCCGGCGGGGATGTACGCCGTCTGGGACGCGGCGGCGGCCGGGGTGGGGATGACCTCGGAGCAGTCGACGAGCGTGGAGTCGTCGTTGCCGAGGATCGTCATCTTCTTCATCGCAGCCGTGAACTTGTCCATCATGAGCGACTGGCTCGTCACGAACGACTGCCACTCGCAGGCCGTGCGGTTGTCGCTGCAGCCAGCGCGCGTAAGCACATGGGAGAGACGGAAAAGGAGCGGAGGGAGACGTACCGAGCGAGCTCGAAGTCGGAGGTGAGGCGGAGCTCTCCGGGGAGCGGCGACAGCGACTCGCCCGTAGCGAGTGTGGTGACGTTGGGGGCCGCGGGCATCAGCACGCCCTTGAGGAGGGTCTCGACGAAGAACTGCGCGTCGAAGTCGGACGGGGTCGAGTCGAAGGGGCTGCCATGGATCGAGGGCTCGATGTGGTCCTGGGCGGCGACCGAGTGCGATGCGAGAAGGGCGACGATCTCATCGGAGCTGAGACCGACGTCCGCGAAACGCGCAATGATGGTGTCGGCGGAGTCTTCCGGGAGGGGGATGAGCCCGTCGGGGGAGACGTTCGAATCGTTGGAGCGGCCGGTGAGGAACTGGAGGCGGGGGCCACCGCCGCAGTTGGAGACGCCGACGGCGCCGGCGAACTGGATGAAGTCTCCGAAGGACACGTTGTACTTGAGGGCGTAGGGGAGCTGCTTGGCCACGATCTCGTCGAGACCGACCGACGCATCGAAGGCCGTCTCGACATCGGAGTACTTCATGATAGAGCCGTCTAAGCGGGTTGTCATGAGCGGCCGAAATATCAACGATGGGTACAGGGAACTCACCGCAGCCTCCGCCGCCGTCCTCGCCCGCGGCGATGAGAGACGGCGAATACGCGATGCAGTCGTGGAAGGTGAGCTGTATCCAAAAGACAGTCAGTATGGGAGGGGACCCCTGTGAGATGCTAGTACTAACGCGAAGAGACTCGTGGGCCTCCTCTTCGCACACGCTGCCTTCGAAGAGGTTCTCCTGGATGTCGTCGAGAACGTCGAACCACACACAGCACTACAGAAAATTGTCAGCTCGAGATGCGCACTGACCGGAAGAAAAAACGCACCCGCTCGTCGGAGGCAGTGTTACCGTTGCTGCACGTCGTCCTCTTCAAGGGCGTGGCCGTGACGAGCACGACGAGAGCGACAGCGGAAAAAAGGGACTTGGAGAACATGGCGAGGTATGTGAGGGGCGATGAAGTCCAAGAGGATGCTCAAGAGGCTGTCGGTGTCAGTCGATGGACCCCAGGCTTATATGCCTTGCAGCTTGCATCCAATACTCCCGTCCCCTGGCAAGGCAGTTGCTGAGCCCGCGCTCGATTAAGCGCTCTGTTCAAAATGGTGGGTTAAACCCGCAGCGCGGCGGCGCAGCAAGTTTCACACACCGACTGGCAAAGAGACGCCACACCCGACACGGTCCAAAGATGTCCTCAGGGGCGGGATGCGCGCCCGAGGCCATTCTGTATTGTGTTCATGAGAAAAATGTGTGCGTGAGTAGAATATGTAAGGCACACCTATGTGATTGTGTCTGGCGAAGGACCCACAGCCGGCGCAGTGCGAGTATCTGTCGATTAAACGTTGACTACGAACGGTGATAAAAACAGACGTGGATGACCTCTTACCTGTTGTAGAAACCGGTGTTCAAGGAACTTCGTAGAGGACGTGTACTCGGCGGGCGCAGTATCTGGCAGGTCGCCGACCTAGTGGAGTGGTTTACCGCCTAGTACGCATGGGAGTCGTACCTTGGGCGAGTGGTGTTAGAAACGGCCATCGACATCGCACTTCCCAGCCGGCCGATCATCGTGGTTGCGCTGCGCAAAGCTCGGCCGCAGCGATTTGCTGAGCAGGCTCTTGCCTAACTTGAGAAATGTCGCGCCCGATGCCACGACCAGCGCGCTAACCCCGTCTTTGTCTGCGCCTATACCATGGAACCGGACACTGCATTCCTCTACCTGTTCGAGAAACTCCGCACGGGCGCGGGACTGGGTGGGGGTGTATGGTGCAGCGCCCGTGAGGCCGGGGAGATCGACAGGAGCCTTCGTTGAGGATGTTCGGCTAATTTGAGAAGCGAGGGGGAGGTCGCCTTGAAAAGCTCGCTGCTCGTCTAAAGTCTTCGCGTGGAGTGCCTTCCCCATACGGGCGCGCGGGGGCTTGGAGGAGAGTGCCTTCAGCGGAACTGCTGGACGAGACCGGCGCGGAGACGACGCACACCTGGTGTCGATTCTGATGAGCTGGCTGCGCATGAATGACACCGAGCTCCGTGTCACAGACGGCAAGCTTGCCGGCGCATGGCGTACCTTTCACGAACGGGATGATGACTGGGTCTGATTCGCCTTGGGCTACAGGGCCGCCGAATTCCCAATCACGCCTCGGCTTCCCGGTGTCTCGCTGGCCGAAGGGCCTCTCCGTGGGACGACTGACCTCGGGGTTGAAAGGGATGATCGCTTCGGTACATCCCTCAACGTAGCGGTCGATGTTGGCGATGCTGCGGTTTTGATCCTATCCACGCGCTCGGCCCGAGTGCGGTATGTCGTGGTCTCGTAGAAAGTGCTCGTCAGCGCCACAAAAATGGACTTCACCGTTTCGCTGCCTCTTTCGAGAGGACGGGCTTGCCGAACGAGCTAGCTGTCCCGGTGGCTTCTGTTCTCAAGAAGGGCGCCCTTGTCACCAAGTTCGTCGTCGCCTCCCGGTACTTGTCGCCCGCTAAGTTGAGGGTCGTTTCAGTCTGGTGCTTTGTGACTGACGCGGCAGAGAGTTATTGGGTAAGGGGGACCTGTAGTCCGGTGTACGACCGGGGGCTGCTGCGGGAACGTCAATCTCCGTGGAGAACGATCTCGTTGACCTCCGCAGTACGTGATGGCCGAGGAGCCCTCAGCGCCGCCGCCTCGACAGGCCGGTCATCGTGGGTCTTATGGGAATAGCGCAAGAGGAAGGAAAAGGAAGACATGGGTCGGAGAAGAGGGTGTGGATTCCTGTGGGTAATCCACACGGATGGCGACTATTATATGAGGCTCGCACAGGCTGAAACGGATGAGGTATCTCGGCCTATCCGTATCGTCTGGTTGGCCTTGTGTCCAGTGCGTATAAAGAAGAACGTTGCTCACCAGACACAGTCCTCTATTGTCGCGACCGTATAACATTCCCATCTCCGCCATCGTCCACCAGAGGGGATCGAGGAAGATACAACGTAGATCAGAACGGGTCTGCCCCAAGCAAGCGACCACTGCGCCGTTCCTTGATAGGACCCTGGGCCTGAGGTTGCGTGAGAAGGGAAGTCCATGCGGATGACATTGTACTCACCGTATGTGCGGTGCAAGACAGTTCACTTGCTCTTGATGCTTGCCAAAGCCCGTGCCTCACCCGAATGCGAGCAGGATAGAAGAAGTGGTAGATAGTGCACTGGCGAGACCAGCAAGGAGAACGTTGCGAGATGGATTCATGCAGCGCGATGACGGCAATTACGTGGACGACAAGACGGATGGTCATCCGGAGTCGTCGGCGACCACCGGGCCGGATACTAGCTCCGAAAGCCGGACTTCGAATGTTACAACTACGCCACCAGTGGCCAGCGCTCCAAAAAAACCTTCGCCGGCGCCGTGCGATGAGCATTCCGCTGCAGCCAATATCGCCTGCCTGGAACTCTGCCGTCGCCACCCTGACCTTCACCCCGACCTGCAGCACCAGCGCTCTTAGTTTTGCGGCACCCCGCCGCGGTCGCCACCGGGGTCATCGTCCAGATGTCCGAGACACGCTTGTCGGCCTGACGTGCTCGCTCATCGGCGTCATCGGCATCGGCACCGGGAACTCAAGTTGGTGCGCCTGCTCCGCGCCGCGGTGAAAGTCACGACGCTGACGCTGACGGACCCCAGCATTGTGTGCTACAATGACAACTCGCACGGTGAGGACTCATGTCGCCCTTCGTGACCTGTACCATTGGTCGATGCTAACATCCAGCTGGTAAGTCGCGTCATTTTCATTGGATGCGTCTTGAGCGAGACATGATACTGCACGCAACGACTGGCCGAGGTTCATATAAACGATATACTATCTGTAATACGTGTAACTGAACTCGTCAGCGCGACACTGACTGCAGTGCATGAATATATGCATGTGTTTATTTGACTGCCAATGGAAGCGGTTTGCGACATGCGGACGAGGAGAGACGTGCGTGGAGGTCCTGACGCCCGATGCCGGCTGACTCATCCACATGAATTGAACTGCAAAGCGCCGATTAACACTTGCTCGCTGCACACCGCTGGCCCGTTCCCTGTGAGTTTTCACCAAGAACTAGGGGCACGAGCTGATTTATGTGTAGCATTCCCAACATGTCGCTCGGCGCGAATCATCGACTCCCCCACGAGCTTACTGAGTGGAGACGTCGGCCATGTTGGTGAAGCGCTCGTGGGAATGTTCGTGAACGGTACGTTCGTCCCACTTAGACGCAAGACAGAGCTCATCCGGGTTGCAGTATACAGGTAACGCTGCAGAATGCATCGAGGCGTTTATAGGATGTTCAGAGGAGCGAGGAGTGTCTGGGGAACGACTGTCGTATCCTTGGTGCTCCGTCTACGACTGCTCATTTTCGGACGACGTTTGTGACGCACATGTGACTTTTCTGACTTCCACGAGCCCCGGAAACGTACTGAAACGTTCCGCTGTAATCAATCTAGGAACGTAAAGTGCGTGCCCCAGCCATCCGACGATTCCGTGACGCCTTCCACCCAGAACGTCTCCACCTCCACGTCGACGCGCACCCCGCCGTCTTCAAACGCGGAGAACAAAAGCTTCCCCTTCGACTTCGTCGCGCTCGGCGACGGCCCGACCTCCTTCGGCCACGGGTACTCACACGCGCCGTTCCGCACCAGGAAGCGCACCCGCACGCCCCGGAACCGCGGGTACCGCTTCCGGTCGCAGAGCGAACGAGCGAGCCGCTCGAGTGCGGGCTTCCAGTGCGACACCAGGCGGCTCGGCGGGTACGCGATGGTGAAGGACGGCTCCTCCGGGCCCGGGTGCGGCGCGGAAGCGTGCGCAAAGTGGGTGACGAGCGAGTCTACGAACGCAGAGGGCAGCTGCGGGAGGTCGGCGAGGACGAGGAAGTACTCTTCGAAGCACTTCTTGTCGATGAAGTGCACGTCGAGCGAGCGCAGGGTGCGGAAGCATCCGATGGCGTTCAGCATGTCACGCGCGTGCCGTTCTGTGGGCGCGACGGGGTGAGATCGTGCATACAGCGACAAGGCCGAACGTACCCGTGGGCCTCTCGGGCGCTCGTCGCTCGACGAAGAGCGCGCCGAACCTCTCGATCTTCCACCTCCTGATTGCAGCCATGAACGCCTGGGACGCCTGCGGGCTGCCCCAAGGAAGGTGCTGCGGGAGATCCAGAGTCTTGAAGTTGGCCGGGGAGACGATTCGCCACTTGACGAGCTCGTTAAACAGGATCTCGATCGGGGTAGGGTAGATGTGACGCTTGAGGGACACCGGGATGTAAACCTTGCATTGCACGTGCTGCAGACTTCCGAACCCTCGACGGGCCGCGGCGAGCTGGGGAACAGACTCGGCTGTGATGCGGGTGCGGTTCCCGATAAAGACGCCGTTGAGAAGTGACTCGAGTGAGGGGAGTTGGAGAAGTACCGGAAGGAGCACGTGCATCGACACAGTGGTGCAGCGGCAGTAAGGCGAACTCAGTGTGAGCGTGTGGAGGTTCGCGAGCGATGTGATCCATCCGAGATCGCGGGCCTCCCACCGGCCGGAGTCGTCGAGCTTGCACCGAAACAGCGTGAGAGCGAAGATCTTGAACGCGAGGATCGAAGAGGCGGAGAGAAGGCGGATGAGAGAGTCACGGTGTGGTGCTTTGGGGCCGCAGGCGTCGCGGACCGTGGTGGACGAGAAGAGGTGGTAGTGAGCACGAGGCTGCCACGCGCGACAGACGCTAGCACATGCGCCGAGCGCACCGGGTGCGGCGTCTCTGACCGCGTCGATGATGGGGTCATGCAACTCGGGAGGGAGGGTCGACATTGTCGGCATTGTGGTAGTTGACGGCGCGGAGATGGTCGTAGAGTGGAGGCAAGGAAAGGCGTCCTTGTTTTGGAGTCATTTTCGGAAACACGTCACTATGGATCGTGTGGCCTGGGAATTGGGAAGTGCGGCCTGGCACCCAGGCGTGCGGGCGTGAAATTCGGTATGCGGAAATCACGATTACAGGGAACTTACAGCAACGCGCGTTGGGTCCAAGCTTCGAAGCGCTGCGGATTGCTATCGAAGTTGCGAAAGTAGTGAATGTGGGCCGGTTATGCTTCTGGGTGTTAAAATCGCGTGGACGTGGGCTGTGCAGTAGACGCGTGACGTCACCAGCACATGCACAGTTACGTCTCGTCTGTAGCAGTCTAACGAATGGTGCGCAGTAAATGGTAAGCACCTATTCGATATCACGATTAAACGGGAGCATACAGGGTGTTGACAGGGGTCGTGCTTTGCGGGAATGACGACGTCTACTGAGAATAACACTTGCGCTGGACGCGGAGATGGCCATGGTTCCGATGCGCCATGTCCAAACCACGAGGAGAAAACGTACACCATGGACCAGCGGGGCCAAAACCGGCACCGTCACGATGAAGTCATCGTGATCCGTTCGTCCGTGGGTCCGTGGGTGGTTGGAACACTGCGGCGAGGAAGCCGTGGCCGGCCGCCGCCCGACTGGACGTGGGCATGTAGGCAAGATGCGCTGGAGTGCATGACAAGCGAGGAGCCCTGTGGTGTGCAGGACGTGCGGTGGGAGTCTAGGACGGCGTAAACTGTGACGTGGCGGATGTCGACGTCAGAGCCGCGTATGTTTGGGCGACATCTGGGAACCGTTCATAAATTGAACTGGAGGGACAGTATGCCAATGCGGACTAACCGGTATAGTGCAGTATGTCACTGGAGTTCGAACGGCGCGCTCGCTGCACGCATGGTCTCGACAGATAGCCTACGACGCGGGCGTGCTCGAGGTGGAGTTGCGGCATCGTCGAGCGCAAAGTGAAAGCCGACCAACGACAGCTAGTGAGGCTGCATGGTGGAGCATCTCCGAAGCTGTTTAATATTCCAATGTTCAGACGTATGCGAGATCGCAGATGTCCACTGACAACATACCGAACGTCACCTCGGGAACGAGGGTACAAGCATACACGCCATGGGTTGGGGTGGAGCGCGAGTGCGGACGCCGTGGACGCTTATTCAGTCACAGCCTTGTGCGCGGGATGAGCATACCGCTGCAGCGTACTGACGTCGTCAGCCTGTAACCCACCCGGACATATAAGAATCACTGCGCGAGAAGATAAAGCCCCATGGAACACTCACCAGTTCACTACCCGCCCAACACAGACCCAAGATGTTTTCCAAGCTCTTCGCCACCGCCGCGCTCCTTGCCGCCGTCACGACTCACCCCCGCCTTCGCCCAAACCTGCAGCACCGGCACCCTCCAGTGCTGCGACACCATCGAGAATGCCAGCGACCCCGCTGCGGCCGTGATCCTCAAGTCCATTGGCGTCGTCGTGCAGGACGTCGACGCGCTCGTCGGCCTGACATGCTCGCCCATCACCATCGTCGGTGTCGGTACCGGAGGCTCTTGGTGCGTCTTGTACGCGGAATGGTGGAAGAGATGGGCCTGACGCGAACGTACCCCTGCAGTTCGGCGAGCACGGTAGCGCAACTTTGACGGTGCCATGCAGTGTGTATCAGCGTAGTCAGAAGAGACGTATGCCCGCGTGTACGAACGACAATCTATGCCCTATCGTCAGCACACTGAGATGAAAGGGAGAAACGTCAAGGTCATACACCATCGACCTGTTATCTCGCTGTTATCTTCGATCGGAGGGAGCGGCGGCGTGACCGTTGATTGGCGCAGGCTTGAGCAAGAAAGAGAGGGAGATGTGATGTATGGAGGACGGGAAAAGGACGCGTTATTAGACGCTAGACGCGCATCCCAGGGGAAGCAATTCGCCGGCCACTCGCCGGCCCGTGCCCGCTGACTCATCCGCCCAAATTAGTGCCGGTACTGGCCGAGGTCACGAGGTCGGTCCCCAGCGTCCAGACGAGCACTGAGCCGCAAGCGCTCTGAGCAGTTTTTCTTCCCCGTTCCTCACAGTGCTGGGCGTCTCTCGTCGACCCTGCATCTCGCCGTCATCCGTTACCACGCAGAAGCATCCACCCCGTTATCGCACCCACCCACCTCTCCCTATTATCTGCCGTGTTTGTTGTAGACAACCTTCCAGTATCAGATTGCTCGTCCGTCTACTAGCCTAAGCAACGCACGCCGGACACCCTCAACAAATTGCGGCGCGGAGTAGCCCGCCCACCCGGCGGCTCGCTCCGCGTCGCGTCCGCGCCCGGCTTCGCCGGGTCCCAGCCCAACCCATGTGTCCGGCGGGCGTCACGGTCCCGCCTGCCTCCACGCTGTCCCAGCGCCGTGCTCAGTCGACGAGGCTGGACAGATGTCCAACTGCGACGACTCGCGACGACGTCCACTTACGCCTGGCACTCATGCCAATCCACGGGCCATCCGCGTTCCACACGCACTCCCGCGTTTCCAACTGGCATGGATAGTACGTGGTCATGCAACATCCTGTGCGACTGAACGCAGTGACTCCTTCCTTCAAAGCTGCTTGCCCTTTGGCGCCTCTAGTTCGCTCACTGAGGCTGGTCAAGAAAATGATTGCACTTCACGGTCGATAGCAAGTCTTGGGTGCAGTCCCGGATTCTGAACGTTTTCGACCTACGTGCGTCGCCTCATCGGTATCCACAGCTATATCGTTTCCGGTGTTAACATCGCCCTCGCCGCCCCGCTCTCATGCAGCATTCGTCGCACTCAGCGATACAGCATAGTGCAGACGATGAATACCATGCCTGTTTCGACTACACCCACACCTTTACCTCCCTTGGCAGCAGTGGGTACGTCCTTAATCGCCACTGCTCTTAGCCTCACTGATCCCCATTCCGTCCAACTTCTTCCACGCCCTCCAAGCCTACACCGCCCTCCGCTCGCTCGTGATCTACCACCGCTGCTGCACGAAGACCGCGCCAGCACCCATCCCGCGCTCTTCCTCGCGCTCGCGACGTTCGCGCTAACGCTACGCGCTGCCGATGACGAAGGGTTGCTACTCTGGCTACTCGGTGGTCTCACGGAGCTCAAGAGCGTCGTGCGGGTTTCGGGGGCTCCTGGATTCCCTACCCCCAGTCACGCCGGCGTCCGCAGCGCGGATCCAATGAGACAGGGGCCACAAAGGTTTCGTGCGGTGGCGGAGCTCGGCATGGAGGATAAGGCGAACACGGTGGAAGACAAGCCCTCCGTTCACCCACCGGCGACTCGAGTCTGTCACAGACGACGACCTCGGTCAGATGGAAAGGAATGGGGTAATGGTCTTTATTTGGCTGTTGAGACACGCTCACATTCATGCTCGATTGTCTTTTCATGCATGGACCGCGTCTTCAGCACAGTGTTTACGCTAGCACAAGTCACTGCGGTTGGGATGCAGCCGTTCGACTGGATGGCGTGCTGCGGTCCGACGCAAGTACTCGCGGTTGCATTCGTCGCTCGTCCCACACCTGTTCCAGTAGCTTCGTCAGGAATTCGTAAGCATTCTGGTGTATTTAGCAGCGAGACATCGTCTGGACTGAAATATGCTTGATTGCTCACTGCAGCGTGCCAGGAGTTCTCCAGCGTCCATCACAGTACTCTGCGCGTTCTGTGGCCGTGCTCCGACCTATCCGGAGAATCAAGAGGGTTAGAACTCTGGTAGAAGTGCGTGGGTGAACCTTGTTTGTCAGCACGGGATTACTAACGAAGAGTTTACTTCCCTTCATCTGCACGCCGGACCACTGAACACATGGGACGTCTGGCTGAAAATTGAATGCGCTGATTGTTTGAAGGCAGCCGCAATGCCAGTCTCGATCGCTGTTCGAAGACGCCAGGTACTGCGATCCTGGTATTTAAGACCTGGACGAGAGCGAGGCTGCCCTCAACACACATTCCCCGTACACACTCCAACGAGCTCTATCAACGCCATGTCTGTTCTGTCCAACACCCCTGCCCCCAACACCCCTTACTTTACGCCTCTCCATCCTCATCCCGCCGGCACTGCGGTGGTCAAGGAAGACGAGAAGAACCTTGTTCCAACCCTCTTCCAGCCCTTCAAGATCCGCGGTGTGGAGTTCCACAACCGTCTTTGGGTACGATCAGATTCTGCATCCCGACCTTTCACCCGCTCATCTCGCGTACGTTTTTAGCTCGCGCCGCTATGCATGTACTCCGCTGAGAACGGCGTGATCACCCCTTGGCACATGGCTCATCGTAAGCATCCTTTATGTCATGTTTGGCGGTTCGGCGTTCTCACCAACGTCAATACACTAGTCGGAGGCATCTTTACTCGTGGTCCCGGCCTGTCTATGGTCTAAGCGACGGCAGTCTCGCTCGAGGGACGCATCACGCCCGAATGTGCCGGCCTGTGGAACGACGCCCAAGGAGAAGCTTGGTCGGCCGTCGTCCGCTTCGCGCACTCTCAGGGACAGAAGATTGGCGTCCAGCTCGCCCACGCCGGCCACAAAGCGAGCACGCTTGCGCTGTTCGTCGCCGGCAGTGAAGTCGCGGCCCCGGACGCAGGCGGGTGGCCCGACGAGGTCGTGGGGCCGTCCGCCTTGGCGTACCGTAGGCTCTACGCCCCGAAGGCGTTGACGAAGGAAGGCATTGAGAACGTGGTCGCGGCCTTCGCGGAGGCGGCGAAGCGTGCGGTGCGCGCGGGCTTCGACGTGATCGAAATCCACGGCGCGCACGGCTTCCTGCTGAGCTCTTTTATGACCCCGACGAGCAACACGCGCACGGACGAGTACGGTGGGAGCTGGGAGAACCGCACTCGCATCGTGGTCGAGGTGGTCGATGCGATCCGCGCCGTCATCCCGGAGACGATGCCTCTGTTCCTCCGGTACGTCGTGCGCATCTTGTCACCTGTCAGATCCGTGCTCACGGTTGCCTCGCGTAGCGTCTCCGCGACGGAATGGCTCGAGGAGTCGCTGCCTGACACCCCGTCATGGCGGGTCGAGGATACTGTGCGCCTGGCCGGTGTGCTCGCTGAGCATGGGGTTGATGTCATCGATATCTCCTCGTCGGGAACGCATCCCGATCAGCGCATCATCTCTGGTCCGGCGTACCAGGTGCCGTTCGCCGAGGCGGTCAAGCGTGCGCACGGAGACAAGATTTTTGTCTTGGCCGTCGGTTCAATTACCAGCGCGGCCATGGCCCAAGACGTCTTGGACAAGGTGAGCATCGAGGCTGGGGGGCGTGATAGAACAGCAGCTTACCCGCAGAACAGAACCAAGCGGATCTCATCTTCGTCGGTCGACTGTTCCAGAAGAACCCCGGGTTAGTGTGGGCGTGGGCAGAGGACCTCGGAGTGGATGTTCATCAGGCAGGCCAGCACGCATGGCCGTTCAAGGGTCGCGTGTAAATAGCCTCCGTTTGTAGGTCTACGTTCGCAATTGAAGCGAAAGATCACATTGTATCGTTTGAAAAATGGTATATGAAAGCTACAGACGCGTAACGTCGCAACCACGTGTGTAAATTGGCAGTCACATCCCTTCGACCAGTTCAGGCAAATACGAGATAGAGGGGGAGGATGGAATTTTCTTGCAACTAGTACGGTGGTCGCCGGCTCGTGCTTGCTCAGTCATCCTCTGCCGCCTCACTGCTTGGGCACTTCTAATACGAGCCCGTCTTTTTACTCGGACGCCCATGCACCCCGTTATCCAGTTGATCGGCTGATCTCAACACCCGCGATACTTCAACCTCCAAGGCAATCGACCATATCAGATCCAGCCGTCCTTGATTAAACGGAACTTAACGTAGAGAGTACTATACTACATTATCGTAACGTGTGGTATCATCTAGACATTCATGTTTGACGACTTGGTGCACGAGAATTGTGACACGATGAAAAGATGAACTACTGCCGGCCCCGACTCCATGTCCGGCGCTTCCTCGGATACGGAGGGCAGGTCGATCGCATCTGTAGTATCATCATATCCGAACGCGGCTGTGGTTGGATCACGACCCGTGAGCGCACGGCCCATGAGAACGCGGAGCATGACCATCTGGGGCGACAAAACCTGCATGGGGCAAACAAAGATCCGCATGTAAGCTCTCGTACGTTCAACACGGCGATAGCACCCCGCCAAAACCCGAAACATGAAGTGCTTGAAATAGACACTCACAGAGAACAACGCGTGCGGAGCCAAAAAGACCACCACGAGCGGACTCTCGAGACCGAGCGCGACGAGGTACGCGATCGTGAACACCGTGTACGGGAGCATGCTCTCGATGATGATCGACGCCGCGCCCAGGTACTTGTGCGATGTTCGGCGACCGAGCGCGGGTCGTACCACGCGCGAGAACCACCACATGCGCGCGCAGATGAGCACGGTGCAGTAGACGTTCACGCCCAGGCTCATGCCCACGTACGCGAGCCCGACGTTGGTCGCGGGTCCCGCGAAGAAGTCTGAACGAGGGATTGCTGAGAGAACACAGGTCACGACTCCTAGCCCTGCGGATCATAAGTGCGTAAGCTGCATCACTCGATGGTGCAGAAGCGACAGTAGACGTGCCTATACTGCCAGTGTATAGGAGGGATGGAACGACGGCGACGACGACTTTGTGGGCGCTCCAGATCACGGTGAGCCGATACAGCTGGGACAGCAGAATGAGTGTGCGCAACCAGGAATAGGATAGTAGACTGACCAAGAACGCATCAGCTATTGCGTTGGCTAATACCATTGACACGGCGGAGGGAGTCACGAAGTACCATGCAGATGCGTAGTCGAGGTAGTACTGCCCCGCACCACCAGGATAGTTTTTGTTCACTACCCACATTTCCTGTCCAAAAATTGCGTGTACGACAATCCAGAGTGTGATCATGATGAGTAACGTGGTGCTGATACCAACAAAAAGCCGATGAGAGTGCCCATACTGAGCGCCAGTTCGTCGGTAGTCGTCGATTGCGAAGCGGATAGTGAGATAGTAGAGAGAGAGGTAGACGCCTGCGGATGCGAATCAGTAAGTCTTGCTCCTGTGATGATCGTTTCAGAGTCCCAATTGCAACTCAACGTACCGTAAAGCACAGAGCTGAGATTGTTGGCGATATAGGTATAGTGCTGGAAGACGACAATGGGGCTCGACATGCCGCTCGGGAGGGGTTGCGAGCCAGAAGTACTTGGTGGATGATGTGCGACCTCGAGCTCGGTATAAGCTAGGACTGCGGCGGCAAGCGACGCACGCGAGGCCAGCAAACTCAGGGCTTTCCAGGCATTACCTCAGCACGGCGAATAGCCCGCAAAGTAGGAGGGACTTCCAGACATGTCTCAAGTGCACGTCGACCTTGTCTGAACTGTTGAAGGAGGTCCAGGGCGGCATGTAATCTTCTCCAATGACGGTGGATGTCCCGCTGAATAGTGTCCGGTACCGATCTGCCACCGAAGAAGGCTTCTAGATCACACCGATGCGCACTAATTGACAATTAGCGAAACATGCCACGGCACATCATCCCTTGATTACTTCAAACAACACAAGTCCGTGTGGACCATGGCCCGTACTTAGCAGGTGCGGCGATGTGACAAGATCACCGCATGCGCGCGGAGAGCTTCTAGAGCATCTGGGTAGTGAAACACGTCAACGGCGCGACACGCACGCGCTCACCTTGCGAGCGGGCCTGAGTTGTATGAGAGTTCCAGGGACAAGCGCGCCGCGCCACGGAGACTTCCAGACAAAGGGTCAGCTGGCTGACCCATTGATGGGCCCGGGTATGCGTGGTGTAATGAAGAAGGCGCACACCAGTGTCACAGTCGACAGCGCGGCGATGAGCCAGAACGCAGCCTGGAGCCCTTCGATGTACGAGAGGGACTACTCCCGCACGCGTCGCACGACCTACGTCGATTGTCAATACACGCACAAGTAAAACGATGATCACGACAGGCCTTGTCAACGTCTTCACACGTCAGGCGCTTGCACAAGTTCGGGCGGAGCTCCTTTGCATCAAGAGAGGGGTGCACTAGTTCTTTGGAGACTGCGTTCCACGCGACATCTGCCAGAAGGAGTAAGTACTGGGCAGCGTCGGATCCATGCAGTGACAATCGCGGGGACGAGTTGGGGACGAGAGCACACGAACAAAGCGAGATGGGGTGGTCGTGCACTCCGTCGATGACTTCCCCCTGCATTCCGTGCGGGAGGACGACAGAGGCCATTGAGGGCTGCAAATTGGCTCCTCTTGGAGGTCGCTCGATGAGGAGACATTGCATCACCACGTGCGCAAATGTCAGCGCAGCTGTGACTACGTGACAGGTGGCCCCGCTGACTGTGACTGCGGGCGCTGCGCTACCTAAGCAGTTGTTTGATGTTGCTTGCTCGCGCCACCGACGCGTTGAGCTCAGCGCTCAGCGTTGGCAGATTAATTATGATCAACAGCCTCTGCCCTCGACATCGTCTCCGCCGCCGTCCTCCTCACCGTGTAGCGAAATGGCCCCCGTCCTTCCGCCAGAAGCGCGCGATCAGGTAATCGACGCAGTTTGGCCGCCTTCCGGGCTTCGCCCGTGCGCGCTCGTATGCAGGCAGAACCATCCGAGCCGGCAATGTGACCGGACTACGCAGGCGCACCGAACCTGGCGACAACCTTCGCCAGGTGCTCTCGGCAAATCCCGGCCTCGCCCGACACACCACGCTTCTTTTGCACCGCTCCTCCTTCCACACCTGGCCAGGAGACCGCCGATTGGGAGGAACCCGACGTCGAGCGCTCGAGCACTGGCCCGCTCTATTTCCCGACGTCCGCGAGCTCTCTCTCTTCGATCCGTTCCCGTCTCCGTCCGTCATTTCGGTTCCTTCCCTCGTCGAAACCCTTCTGGGCGCCCCCGCTTCTCTCCGCACGCTTGACCTGGGCGGCGTTAACATGGGCACTTCCACTTTCCTGACCATATCGGGCCCGGGACCATCCACACACTCTGAGGACAAGCGGAGGCGTAGTTCTCCTTATCTCCTCCACCTGATCGCCCAGTTCGACGCTATTCCCTACATCCGTGGCGACCCAGGGGTCAACCGCCCAACCATTTCCTGTCTCCTTGATACGTTCGTCAACGCGGGCATTGTTCCTCCCGAGACCTTGATGACCCTGAATATGCCTCAGTACTGGAATGTTGGCCATCGATGGAAGGCGTTCAACTACACCTTCCCTTCTCTCGAACGTTTCGGCGTCGGTTTCAGTCACCCTCGACATCTCGATCTTGCCGTCGACGACGGACGTCGTATGTCCTTTCTTTCTGCACTGCGCCGCATGCCGCTAACCTTTATTCGCATAGATCTGAACACGCGCAAGCTTCTCGAGGTCCTGGCTTCCTCCACGCGCCTACGCGCGCTCCGACCGCTCTCTCCGCCGGGTTCATCATCATCCTAAACGATCGCTTCTCGCGTTCGCCCGCACCTCACCCAGCCATAGAGGAGCTGAAGATCACGCTCACATACTGGGCAGAAGACATCGACCGGGCGTGGTCCCCCGCTCGCCGCGACGCTCGGCGACCATACCCGGTATCCAGCCTTTCGACGCGTCCGGGTGCACGCGCTGCTTCCTGTTGCCTTCTCAGACACCTCCAACAACAGTCTTTTCGACGCCCCGCGCGAGATCTGCGCTCGCCTTTTCTCGCCCTTTACGGGGACGGGAGTCGATGTTGCCGTCGACGCGGACTGGATGATTGGGGAGGATGACGACGAAGACGGGTTCGCTGAGGATGACGAGGATAGAAGTTATGAAGACGACTTTGAGGGCGGATCCGAGGAAATAGAGTCTGAGTCGGAGGAGGAAGCATAGTGTGGGAACACACACAGTGTTGAATGTAAGTAGCATCGATCTACACTTATGTCTGTGGTCTTGTTTGTTCCGATCGTGCTTTTGTGTCGCGAGCGGGTCACGCCTCACGCGCGCTACCGTGGCGACAGACTCCGGGCAACCGACCATGGAAGCCCGACGACATCGCCTGGATCGGATCGCCCGCCAACTTGTGGGTCTTTGCCCTCCGCTCCGAGACCTCTGCGCCCTAGTCCCCATCTTGCTCGCTTTCCCACTTCTCGAGTCGCTCACCCTCGATGGCGCCTTCGTGGGAAGCACCTTCGCATGCCTCCCATCGCCCCATCCGAGGCTGGAAGAGGACCGTACCCGACGGGCCATCCTCGTCGAACACTGAACGGCCGCGCTCACGCGCCTCGCGTCGGTGCTGTGCGACCACGCGCACTTCCGTCGGGTGCGCGTGCATCTTCTCGTGAGGCAAGACCACTACCGGCGCAGTCTGAAATGGACAGGACGCTGGAGGATGCCTGCGCTCGGGGCGCGCGTCGCTGTTCGGCGTGTTTGAGGGTGGAGGTGTGGAAGTGGAGGTGAGTGTGGAGTGGTTCTGTCAGCCGGAGCTGGAGGTAGCGTCGGACGATGGCGGCGATGTAATGTCAACATGCAGTAATTTCTACTTTGCGATCGGCTTTTCGCGCACCTCGGACTTATAATCTACGGCCCACAACACGCGCGCCCGTCCTGTACCCTCGCGCAAAACCGCGGCGCTCCGGGCCGGGGGGGCGGGCCGCTAGGCTCGTCCAGGCAGATGACCCTGGTTGGGCGCGCTCTGTGCAGGAGTTGCGCACGGCACGCACACTCCTTCCGCCGGACGCCGTGAGGGCCGCGACCGCGATCGTGGTGGATGGACGGGTGGGTGCAGTGTGCACAGGCCACGACGAAGCGTGATCAGGGTGTCGGTGTGTCTCGCACCCCGTCTCGTCGGCGATCGCTGCCAGACTGACATATATATATATGCCTGCTGGACAGTGCAAACGAGATCATTTCTGTCGCGCCTTGCGGTCGCACTCAAGAATGCGCACCGCCCTTGTCGCGAGAGCGTACATATGGACGGCCGTGCAGTGGGTAGAGGACGCACGATGTCTTTTTTCGGCACCCCGGGCACTGTGAAGGCGCAATTGGGTGTCACTCTTGGAGGTATGCGCGTAAATATTAGTAGACGAGACGTTTGGTTGTACAAGGGAACAGTTGGGTGATGATTGATCACAATGCACGCTACACCGCACGCAGAATCCTCAGAGCGCTAATACACGGAGACGCGGGAATCAAGAGCTCGCTCGTCAAAGTGGATGGAAGTGTGCGAACGCGTGCCTGCCTATCGATTACAAGCCGATGCCGTGCATATGTTGTCGCGCCCCACGACATGCCAGCCATAGATCCTACACGGCCGTCCCCCCGGGTTCCTCCTGAAATCTCGGACAAAATCATACAATGCTTCGACCCAGTAAATCCGAACCACAGAGAGGCGCTACTTAATTGCATCCTCGTCTCCCGCAGCTGGATCCCCGCAAGCAGATATGTCCTCTTCTCCCACCCCTACCTTCAGACGTTGGAGAAAGCTCGTCTATTTCTCACCCGCGACATTCAGAATTTTCCTCAGTCTTCCGTCCCTCCTCTCCGAATGCTTACCGTCTCCTGCGTACATTCCAAGAGCAACCCTCCCGGGTCTCTGGGATCCATCTTTTACGCGGACGCCAATAGTCACGCTCCATCCCTGGGAGCCCTTTTCAGTTGCTTGGCAATCCACGCACCCAGCATTGAAAACCTCATGCTCACCTGTGTCCCATGGACTTCCACAATCCCACCTCGGTCTTTCCTATCCATCTCCACCCTCACAAAGCTCACGAAAATAACCTTGTATCTTTGCAAGTTCCATTCATTCTCGATTCTTCAACGCACACTCGCCGCAATCCCCAATCTATGCCATTTTTCGGGTGCTGAACTTAGATTCCCCGTATCGCCCAACGACGCCATGATCAAATCGTATAAAAACCCCAGACCAAGGCTGAAAAGCGTCTCGCTATGCGGGTGGACACACGAGAACCGAGATTGCTTTGATGTCCTGTTGCACCACCTCGCAAACACCCCATCCTGCACTTCGCTCAAAAGTGTCTTGATTCAACGGTTCGCAGGGCAAGAAGCCTCAACTCTGTTCGAAACGGTCCGCACAAACGCTTTGGCAAGTTTGCTGACATCGGTAGATGTCTTCGAATACGAGGATGAATCCCTTGTTGGTATGACTCCCCAAAATTCGGCGCGACCCTCCGCATGCTCACGGCGCCCACACAGACATGTCCTTCCTTTCGATCTTGTAGAACGTGAGAACACTCAGCCTCGGTTTCGAACAGGGGACTACGGAGACTCTACTCGAGATCACGCGCGGCTTGGTGCAAGGAAGCAGCCCCCACCTCGTTGATTTCACACTCTCCCTGACCCTCCGCGCCCTCACCCACGCCAAGAAGGCAGTCTTCGTCGAGCTCGCCGAGCTTACCTCCCGAAGACCTTTCTCCAGTGTCAAGAACGCGAGCTTTTCCTTTTACTTGGAGTTAGTATTCGAGAGAGTGGACGCGAATAGTTCTATCAGGCTGGTGGAGGAGAATGTCGAGACATGCGGAGCACGGGCCTTGAAATCCTTGGCTATGATGTGGCCCGGGCTGGTCAGTCAAGACGCACAAGTAGACGTGGTTCTACGCAGGCGTTATTCGGAGTCCTGGAAGTGGAGCCGTAAAGGAAAGGATGCAAGGACCGGAGACAAAGGGGACACCGACGCCGAGACGGGAACATCATTTTGGCAAGGAGAAGGTTTGTAAACCGACTTTGTGACACCTCTCGTGCTTACGAGCAGGGAAGTTGTGGGACTTTGAAGCCAGACGCTGGAAGGAGTGAACGGCCTGTGAACGTCGGATCTCCGCGGTTCTGCGACCGCCGTTCCTCGCCCGGGTATCTATCCGAGTCTTCCAAGCCACGCAGGGAGGCACAGAGGAAGTAGTCGATGGAGACGTGTATAGACTTCCTCGCGCTAGTACGGACTGATGACCTACGCGTTTCGCGGAGGGACTTCGGCCTCGACATACGAAACCCTTTCACGCAAGAGACACTTGAAGGTTCATTCAGAGTAAGGTTACATCGGTTATCGTAAAGGCGGTGCGCCGGCCATCGTCTACGTCCACTGCGCTGTGAGATCGGGTCAGACCGCCGACGGAGAAGCACACTGATGTTGACGCACCGCTTCCTCATTCGCTCTCCGGGACCAACGCAGGCGGCCGCTACTAGATCGGCGAGATGGCGTCCGCCGGCGTACACGGTACACAGCAGGATCGCGCGCCTTCACGGACCCGCGCGGAAGGCACCCCAGCAGGATAGCGGCGCGCTCTCTGGCCCAACGACCAGGTTTGCGCAGCGGCTTCTGTGTCGAGGTTCGCGCATGCGGAGTCGGTGCGAGAAACTGGTCGAGGGGTGGGTCCGGCTAGGTGTGGTACGACCCGGGGAGCACTCACCGAGGTTCCTACTCGCGAGATCCAGTGCGCGAACCGAGTCGTTGCCCCACAGACCAGTGCGGGGCGCGTTCGTGCTTGGGAAGGGACCGGGAGAGAGGTGGGCGGGCGAGACGAAGGATCAGATGCCGACTTCTCGACGTGCGGATAGTGATGACGCGATGGTATGCGCGTGTGCGCGTCGGACGGTGAGCGACAGTACGAACTGTCGTCGGGTGGTGGTGCAAGGGACTGGGAAGCAGAAATTAGGGATGTAGAACGACATGACTGATGCGGCGAGAGCGTTGATAGCCGTGGAAGGTCCACGGGCACTTGTTTTCGGCCCCTTCGTTGGCTAGTACTAGCCGAGGGGAGATCAGGGTGGGTGCGGCAGAAAGAAAACTAGTGCGGAGGAGCATCGTGAATCATGGTTTTGCGCGAGTTTCTGAAAGAGGGCTGCTGCGTGCAGAGGAAAAGGGAGTGTAGACAGAGCGCAAGATGTAGGGTGAACGAGTCAAGGCAGGAAGGAGGGTCAAAAGTGCACAGCGCCGGGACGGACGAGTGTGGGCGCTGGGGCGAGTCGATCTCGACGGAAGTGATTGTTGTTGATGGCAAGCTGAGGCGCGAGCAATAAATTTTGGGAGCCTTCCGTTTGGAAGAGAGGAGCTAACGAAGGTCACGGCAGACAGAGCCGCGAGCCGCGAAACGTGAATCGCCCGAACGATCCACACGTGGCGGACACTCCAGAGCTGTCGAGAAAGAGTCGCCGCTGACAAGAGTTGCCCGTGCAAGTGTATAGAGATGGACGGGATGGCTGCAGCTGGTAGAACACAGGAGAAAAGGCTCGTCGTCCGTTGCCTGGGAGTTGTCGGCGCCCGGCCCCGGCCGTTCGGGCGGAGAACGAGCCGGAGGCCGGGCAGTCAAAGTGAGCGACAAGCATACATACGCACGCCCGACAGTCGACTCGACTCCCGCCCTCCTTCCTCTCTTCTCCGCAACCCCCACCGCCCTCCTCCTTCCGTCGCGCAGTCATGGCCGCAGTGGCTACCAAATCTCTCTGGGGCGCGCCCGGTCCCAACGACCAACGCCGGCCCCCACCAGGCGGAGGACCGTCAGGCCCGCATTCGCTAGTCAGAGGACGCCGCACGGGTGTCCAAGGAGATTAACGAAAACATCGCGCTCTCCAAGAAGGCCTTCGAACGGCGCAAAAAGGCCATCAAAATCCTTCTCCTTGGTACGCGCTCTTCTCCTCGGATTCCTCCCTGTACCTCACCTCCAATCGCCGCGCGCAGGCCAGGCCGAGTCGGGAAAGAGCACGACGCTCAAGAGTGCGCATATATCCACCTCCGCTCCACGCGCGCGAGCTCACTTCTCCGCCAGACTTCCAGCTTGCCTTGTCTCCCGCCCACTTCCACAAAGAGCGTGCCGCCTGGAAGACAATCACCTCACCCCGTACGTCTCCTTCACTTTCTTTCTTCGTGCTCCCGCACCCACATTCGTTTCCATGCAGGAACGTGAAGCGCCTGTTGGAGGTCCTCCACGAAGAGTACGAGAGCTCGCTCCAAGACTCGTCCGCGTCCTCCATCGCCGAAGGCAAGGGTGGCGCCGGCCGATCGCCCTCGTCTCCCGGTGTCCGCTTCTCCACTTCCCCTCTGACCGACAATCACCGTCGCGCTGGCTCACTTCTCTGGGCAAACGCCGGGGTGGCGACAGCAAGGCATGCGCGGCAGCAAAGAGCTTGGAGAGCATCTCGAGTTGGGATAGTGTGGATGGTAAACTAGTGAGTGTTCTCTGAGGCTCATCTGTCTCGCGCGGCGGTTCTTATATGCGCGCAACCGTGCTTTCAAAATGGGTTCCAGGCCACCGACGTCGGTACACTGCAACAGGGTGCTCACCATGCGCACAAGGCCGTGACTGCATCAGCGCCAACGAAATTCGCACTTGCGCTCGTCCTTGAAGCCAACGTTCAAAGAAAGCACATCGAAGTTACTCCAAAACCAGCCCGCAGCTATGCAACAATTCCGACGATGCCTTGAATCATGTCGTTTTCCATAGTGTCAGTCGTCTGGTAGATCTTTACGCGCTACTCAGCCCTGATTTCATCATCCCTTATAGATCCGCGGCGACCGCCAGCGGGAGTAAACGTGTCACGAAGACGTTCATGCCGTGCGAGATCCAAGACCCTGGTCTACATTCATTATCGACCACTGTTGTCTATGCTTCGGATGGGCGCTCCACGGCTTTGGGCATGACACCGTGAGTTCGCTCTTTTTCTGGCTCTCACTCCGTACCCTCATTAACCAGTGCTCTTTTTGATCGACAGCGTTCTTAGTGGTCATACATCACAGCAGCGGATGTGTTCGGAGACAGGTCTTGCATTCATGGTAACGGTCGTTGTCACAGTGCCCGCAGGCAGTTACCGTCCCGGTCCTCTCCACGACGTCGGTGGTAATCAATATTGAACGTTTGGACTCCGCCCACGACGCGCCCAGTGTATGCGCAATCCGAGAAACCGACGGTCGTCTGGGACCCTGCATCATTGCGTTTGGCTGACATTTCTACGCAAGCGCTTGTCGCGAGCCCGCCAGCCGCGGTGTCAAGGCCGCTGCCAGCCACCCCCGCTCGTACTTAAGGTCCATCTTCCGCATCCACGGAAAGTAGCTCTCGTTTTGCTACCGCCTCCTCTTCCACGCTCTGCAACGTCCTCGTAGCCTACAAGACGCCCAACGCGCTCGGCCCCCACTCTCATTCCAACCAACCTTTCCTTCCCTGCTCCGCCACGCCCTCACCTCCAGCTTTATCTTTGCACAAATGGCTCCCATCAGCATCCTCCTCGTCTCCGCTTTCGCGCTCGCCGCCTTCGCCGCGCCTGCGCCTATCGACACCAACCCAGCCCCCGCCTCCGCTCCCCGCGCGCTCACGCTCGCCGCCGCGGTGCCTATGTCGAACGCCCAACGCCTCGCGCGCGGCCTCCCCCCCAACCCGCCCGTCCTGCCCCGTCGCGCACCATCCGCGGACGCCCACGCCGAGTCGGACCCGCACGACCTCTACCCGCGCGCGTACGAAGACGACGACGACCCATCGTACACGCTCCCAGACTCTCCCTCGCGCACACGCCCGACGACGTACCCTACGAGGCCCACGCCCAGCAGGACGTACACGTACGCGCCCGGGCGCCCGTCGGGCACGTACACTGCGAGCACGACGTACTACGCCCGCGCCGCGCCGCCGGACCCTGACTCGACCGGGGGCCTGAACGAGCTCGTCGACGTCGACGTCGGAGCCAAGCGCGTGCACGCGCGGTGGGTCCCTGAGAAGCGTTCCGGGGCGGCGCGGGCGGAGCCGAGCGCGTACGTGAAGGACGGGTGCGGGCCGAAGAAGGGTGTGCTCGCGGCGGCAGTCGAGGGGCGCGAGGCGGGGTACATCGCCCGCGCGGGGAACGCGTATGGGGAGTACGGGTTCACGACGGACGTGGCAGACGCGCTCGTCGTGCTCGTTTCCGACTGCAACAAGGACGAGTACTTTGACATCGCGGCGCTGGTAAGTGAACGTGTTTTCGGAGTGTTCTGGTGCTGATGATTTGGGCGTGGCAGAACGGGTACAAGGACTTCCCGTACCTTGGTGCTGTTACGGGCTACCTGAACTCAGACTATGGCATGGAGAAGGGCTCGCCCAACTTCGTCTACCTCGTCGGCACCGACAAAGGTGCGTCATCCCTCCCTTTCCCTTCGACTCCCCACTGACGCTGTCCTATCCAGCGCCGTACGGCCCCGCCGAGGACGGCCCCTCCTCCTACAAGTCCGCCGTGTACGCGCAAGACGCGGCGACCGAGTCACACATCTGGTCCTTCGCGCCCTATTCCAAGAGCAAGCTCGCGCCGTCGTGGGTGAACCCCGACGGGTACTACGTCGCGCCGACGGTGGTGTTCGTGGAGGCATCGCAGGCGTTCGCGCTCGTCGGCGATGTCGCCGTGTTCGCGGCCAAGTACGGGGCCGCGTACGTCGCGGTGAGTTCTTCGTCTGTCTTTGACTTTGTGCGTGAAGCTGATGACCCTGGGGCGCGTTTAGGAACTCGAATTCAAGCCTTATTGAACGCTTTGTGGCGCGATAGGGTCATGAGGCAGCATCGCGCGTATCTATTGCGTCTGGTGCGGTTTGGGTGGTGGATGGACGGCGTCACGCCACGGTTTCTGTATCTGATCGGTGGAGATCAGAAACGTATCACGAGTTTGTAGCATGCATATAGCACGGATGACGGACACGGGGTGTTTCTCAAACACCGTGGTCGACAAATCGATTCTAAACGTCTTAGCGGGTTGAGTCGAAGCGCAAAAAATCAAGGTACTAAACTGGCTTTTATCGACAGCCAGATAAACACGTGCATCAGCATAAGACGATAGGAGGGATCGATTGACTTCGCATTTACAGCAACGACGCCGGCAGTACATCTCGGCTCTTGGCGGCCCTCGCTCGCTCTCCGTAGTCCTCGTAGTCCTCCACCCCTACGATCAACGGCACGCAAAACCGCTCAAGAAGAGAGGTCGACCGGCACGCAGCCAATCGACGCGAGCCCCCCGAAGCTGTTTTCGGAGCAGCAGAGCGCGCTCGCGTCGCTATAAGCACACCGCATCAGTCCAACCGTGCACAGACACACCGACCGCACCCCGGCACTCACCAAGTCGCGCCCGAGCCGACGCCCACGACGGAGACAGCGGAGCACGTGAGGCCGACGAGGGCATTGACGTCCTGGACGACGATCCCGAGCCCGGCGAGCACCGTCGAGATCGCGGGGTCGCTCGCGGAGCCCGAGGTCTGGCAGCACTGGACGGGGCCGGTGCTGCAGGACGAGGCGGGGATGGTGCCACCTGAGCCGCCGGGGGTGGGGGTGGCGGCGGCAAGGATGGAGACGGCGAGGAGGGTGTTGGCGAGCATCGGGGATGGGTGGGCCCGGTGCTTGTGCTGGGCGGGTGGGCTTGTTCGAGTGAGGAAATGAAGTGGTAGAGGGGTGCTTGTGTACAAACGTCGAGGATTGCGTTGAAGGGTTATGCAGTCCTCGGATGTCGAGGAGGGACGAGTGTGGTCGACGATGGCGTCAGTGAGCACTCGGCATAGCATCTTCACGTTTTGCCTCCAGTAGAGCACAATGATCTGGAGGGACACGTCAGTCACAAGGTCCAAGTTGAAATTAGCCGTACGAATGAACGCACGCTCGGAGTTGGCTCGAATGACGATAGTTTGAACGTCACTGACCACCCAAAAGACCGTCAGAGATGAACGCGCTTGTCGAAGCAGGGGCATGTTGACGGATGGCAGAAAAAACCCCGGGGGTTGTTGTCTTCAATGAATGGCGAAACGGCAGGGTGGTGGAGCATGTCCGACGCGTTTGTGGAGCAAGAAAGACGCGTATTCATGTCAAAGAGAGAGCGCCGTATCCCCGCGGTGTTGTATACAATAATATCCGCCGATAGACAATGAAAGACTCCAGCATTCGGAGCGTGCGGGCGTAGTGCGACGACTCCGCGGACATTCACTGGGGATGACTTCATTTAGCGCTCTCGAGGCCAGCCAAAGATGTGCTCACCTCGCGGTCAGGACTGCGGCCCTTGGGGCGGAACCCGGATATGAATCTTCGAACTTGGATGGACGTTCAGACATTTGGAATACGTCTCCGCTCGATGGGAAGCATGTTCTCTGCGAGGCGCGGTGGTGGACGTGACGACATCATGTGCCACCGATGTACGCTGTTTCCAGTTCGCTGATCAGCTTATCGCAGGTGAATAGAGAGCGTGTATGTCAGCGCAAAACGGGGCATTGGTGAAAAAAATGTCATACCTTCCCGTTTCTTGATTTACCCGTCGAATACGCTCCAGGTGGACTTCTGTACGGTTGAAAGCCGCACTCCCGCCGAGCTTGAAAGTGTCAACGCGTATCCGCCGCCGGTGGATCGACGGTTAGGAGGCCGGGTGCCGTCACAGTACGGGACCGAAGACATGCTGCACGGGGAGAGCGAGTGTTCGTTTGGAGTGATGCGTAGTATGTCCCCGGCCAGATGGTTCTTGGACCTCAATAGCTTGACGGTCCTGGAGGTCCGATGTCCAAAGGCGTCTGCAATGAAGTTGAGAATCTTCGACAACACAACAACCCTAGAACTCACATCTCGACTTCATCTCACCACCGAGATCGCCTGAACAGTGTTGGAGGCTTCCCAACAAGTGGAGCGGAGCGGAAAAGAGCGGTCCCGTCATCTTTCTGTCGTCCGGGGGTGTCCCCTGAGCATCGGCGCGTTCTCATGCGGAGCATCCGTCTCGCGTGGCCGGGAACGCGACAGGCAGACAGCCTGAATGCGTCATCGTGACCTCCGCGCACCTGACCGCGTTTGTGTGCGCTCTTGTTCTTCACGGCGCAAGTGGTACGCATATAAGCCGGGGGGTGGGGACGACAAGACCTCAGCGAACACTCACCAGCCGTTCACTACCGCACCATCCTCACCATGTTCTCTACGCTCTTCACCGTCGCCGCACTCCTTGCCGCCGCCACCGCCGCGCCGAACTCGGCCCCGGCTTCGACCTGCAGCACGGGTCCGATTCAGTGCTGCAACACCGTCGAGAAGGCCAGCGACCCCGCTGCGGCGGGTATCCTTGCGTCCATCGGGGTCATCGTCCAGGATGTCGACGCGCTCGTCGGCCTGACGTGCTCGCCCATCACCGTCATCGGTGTTGGCTCTGGCGGCTCTTGGTGAGTAGGATTTGGGGCGTGGCCAGACTTGTCGGGTCGGTGCTTACGACGGGCTTTTGCAGCGATGCCTCCGCCGTTTGCTGCGAGGACAACTCGCACGGCGGCCTGATCTCCATCGGCTGTGTCCCCGTCACGCTCTAAAGAGCCCAGTCAGAAGGAAGGAGCAGCGGGAGAGAGAATCGCTACGAACAATACCGTCATGTATCACGTCACTTGAACTGAACGAGGTTGTCGATGCTTTCGATGTCCTTTGCTTTGGGTGCCAACAGATACAGATTGATGACTGCCATGCATGGAGGATGTTAAAGTCCGGAGGTGAACAAACGCGAGCGTTCCAACGAGTGCGCATCCTCACATTAATTGGTGGGCGTGCCAAGACGACAGTCACGACACGCCGAGTCACGGTCGTGACCGTTGCCTCTGCGCGCGCCCTTCTCAACTCACGAACCTCGTCTTCCTCCTCCTCTCCCCGCTCGATCCCCAGCACTGTCACTCTTCTATGCCTTCAAAAGCACTCACTCGAGGCACGCGCCGGGATCGCTCTGTCAAACCGCTCAAACTCGAGCCCGTCGAGGAGGACGTCAAGCCCACCGTCGACCCGCCCTTCCAGCCCTTCTCCCGCACCCATCGCGCGGAGCTTGGGTCTTTGCTACACAAAAGCGCGGTCCGCCCGACTTCGTCCTTTGCTTCTTCCTGGGCGGCGCCCCGTTCCTTGGACCCGTCTTTGGTCCAAGACTGGTGTTCACGGCGGGCTGGAGGCGATCGCAAGCGGAAGAACGGCGCGCAGTTAGCACCTTCTGCGAATGCTGGTGGAAACTCAGGTGTCTGTGAGTCTGCCGCAGTCACTCTCAGCGTAAAGCGCGAACGCGCGGTGTCCCCTACCCTTCCCTCCTCCCGCCCTCTCCTTTCGAACACCCCGAAGGCTCGCAAGACCTCGACTCTGCCCAGCTTCGCAGTCCGACACACCCGCGCCCACGATGCCAATCCTCATCCCTCATGCCAGACTTGCACTCGCGCGCCCACACAAAGCTTGCTCTTGTCGCCTGTCTCATCCTTGTCTTCGGCTCCCATATCGACCCCGGCCGTCTCCTCGTCTTCAGCCACGATCAAGTCTGCACTTCGCACGCGAAACAAAGACGTGCAGTCTCAACCTTGCCGTGTCCGCTTCTCCGGTCTCTCTCCCGAGGCTCATCAGGCGCAATCTGAGGCACTCCAGTCCTCAGTGCAACGTCTGAACACTACCCCAACCGCATATACCCACCCCTCCTTGCCGTCGACTGTCTCCAGCTCTCTTCCCCCTCGTTTCAAGCGCAAACTTCCTGCTGCTACACCTGCCCCAGTCGTCGAACCTGCTACAGATGCTGTTCCTCTGACGCCTTCGCTCGCTGCTCGACCGAGTCCCCCAGTTCTCGCAATTTTGACTGCGCGCAAACATCACACTGCCGCCCTAAGCCTGCCAGACTCATCACCTCCTCCGGATTCCTCTACTTCTTCCTCTTCCTTTGCTGCTGCCCCTTCGTCGACTCCACCATCAGGTCCCTTACCAAAGGCAGAGAGTCTAGCTTCAAGCTCGCTGTTCCCTATTACGTTCTTCTCGTCGTCTCCGCCTCCCTCTCCCGACGCAGCTGCAGACAATCAGACGACCCATGTCGAAACCCTCCAAGCGTCACCGCAACAGCCGGCAGACTGTAATCCCCCCGTCACTGCGTCGCTTCCCGCCTGTATTACTCTCTCTACAAACTCCCTTCCATCTGACCCTACGCTAGTTCCAACGGCGACCAACTTCCACTCTCCGGACCCGTCTGCGTTGCGACGCGATCGCCCTCGAACATCTTCTGTCGACATGCAAGCGTCGTCTCTCGTTGGTAGTCACACGTCGCGGGCCCGCGCCCGTGCCCCCGCGACTTTCAGATTGCGGCGCAACTCATCGGCTATGGCACGAATGAATGCTGGAGACGCGTCTTCAGCCGGCGAAGGACCGGGAACGTCGCCGGTCGCTCCCAGTAAGCTCTTTCTCTTCGCGTTGGCATCCATATGACTCTTACGATTGTGCACACAGTGACCGCGACCAACGAGCGCGTTCATGTCTCCGTAGGGCCCGATGTGCGGATCCAAGTCGTCCCCGTCAAGGCAAAGGTAGAGTCGTCAACATCACCCGGATGTCTTGCGGTCGCCCCTGCTATCGCTACGTCTGGCAAGACCAAGGGGCACCGCTTGAAGCGCAAAGCGTCCGTCATCGACTCCGTCAAGCCCGAGGGCAACGCGCCCCAAGAACGCGCCCCTCCCACCAAGAAGCCGCGCAAGCCACGCGTCCCACGTGCAAAGTCCACAGCGCGCCCGGTCGACCCCGCCGTACCCAAGAAGCGGCGGGGGCGACCGCCGAAAACCCGCACAGAGGCTCCCGGCGCGCGACCTCCGTCGCCTCCCCTCCCGACGTTCCGTCCTCCCTCACTCCCGGCCTATCCAGACGACGGCCCAATCGCGCGAGCCCCGTCGTTCAACGGCCCGAAGCACCCGCCGCTCGCGCGCGGGGGCTCGATATCGAGCGTCGGTGCGCTCTCGGGCCTCGCCTGGGACCCGGCGGGGTTCGCGAACATGCACCTGAGCGCGCTGCCGTGGCTCGCGGGCGCGGCGTACGCGCCGGTCTCCATCCACTTCGCCGAGCGCGATGTGCTCTTCGGTGAGCATCATCCCCTCTATGGGTCGTGGTGAAGGTGACGACCGCGCGGCACAGATCCTTTCAGCAGCGCCAACGGCCTGGGACGTGCGGCGGACCTTCCGACTGCGTACGTTCCCATTCCCGTTGGTGTCGCGTGGTTTGGGCGGTACTAGTGGTGCACTGCGGTGGTGTACAGGGCTCCGTGCATTTTGTCGTACGCTACGAATGCATCTCCGGTCATCCTCCCCTTCTGGAGCGCACGTTCGAACATCCGAGAGGCGAGAACTGGGTGTCTTCTGCCATGTTGGATGGGCCGGAGCCAATACCGGCAGGTACACGATGAAGTCATCGCTGGCTGTTCGCGAGCCCGTGGGCGGCGCGGGACTCCGGACGCACGCCTATCCTGTTCAGCCAGCACGCGCACGCGCACGAGACACAGCACGTCCAGTCCGCCATTGGGGGTAGCCTGGCGGAATAGCGTCATCTGATGGGAGGGGTCTGTGAACTGCGGGACTACTGGGCTGTTGAATGCGTGGGTCAGGGAGAGAACGCGGGCCCGAATATGTCAGGGAAATGTAGCGTCGACCGTCCCTCACATGCACACGGGTTCGGTGGCCTGCGCAGTGGTAGATCGACGGAATGCGCTGTCAAAGCGTGTTCGAGCCAACATCGAACACCGAGTGTGTCAACTATCGGCAGCTGGTGTGCAGCTGGAATGGCTGCGCGATGGAGGTCTGTGAAGCCAACCGTATCTGAGTATTCATGGCCAAGTTCCGAGTCGTGCATAGGTCTCTCGTGTATCCTTTCTGATCGAAACGGAATCATAAATAACGTTACGTTCACGTTTGGTGGATATCATGTTCACTCCTCCCAAGCTCCGGCGTGAAAGTGCCACAACCTCCCTGCTCGTTCGCGTGTCAGTCACCATAAGATGCGTTACGGAGCCGTTTGACAGACCTTCTCCTTGCCAAAATGGTGTTCCCGTCGTGACCTCGGCGTCCTGGTTCTCTCCGATCTTCGCAACCTTTTCTTCACGACTCCACTCCCAGATCTCCGAAGGGCCGATGCGTATAGCCAAGTCTGCTTGTGCATCTTGACTGATGAGGGGCCACATCCTGGCCAAAACCTCCAATGCTCGTGCTCCAGATGCCCGCACATCCTTTTCGTACCCGTACAAGGTGAAGCTCGCCTTCTTCACACTGGAGAAAGGCTTTCCGGAGGTGAGTTCGGCGATCTCGACGAGGTTCGCCTCTGTTGCAAGGGTGAGGGCGACGAGGGGCAGGTAGAGTGTGAAATCAACGAGGTGGGGGCTGTTTCCCTGCACCAAGCCACGCGCGATCTCGAGTAGAGTAGTCGATGTGCCATTGCGGAACTCGAGGCTGAGTTTTCTCACTTTTTGCAAGCTCGACAGGAATGATAGGTCTGTATGGGCGCTGTCAGCATGCGAGGGTGTGGGAAGTTGTGGAAAGTCCTACCAACGTCAGATTCTTCTGTGAATTCGAAGTTATCCACGTCTGTGAGCAAACGTGCAAGCGCGCCTGAGCGGAGCCTTGCGAACAGAGGTGACGTCGGTTGATTCGCATACTTCACAACAGTGACGGTTTTGAGTGAAGTATAGGATGAGGTGTTTGCGAGGAGTGCAACAGGATATCAAGGCAACTTCGATCTTCGGCTGTCCACCCAGATAGCCCGATTAAATAAAAACCGCAAACAACGTCACATTCACGTTCTCTCGATATCACATTCCCCCCGTGGGTTCCAGCTCGAGCCTATCCACCAGCATCCCTGCTCGTCCGCTGGTCAGTCGACGTGAGACATTTCGCACGGCTGTTCGACGAACCTTCTCCTTTCCAAAACGATGCTCCCGCCTCGGCCTCAGCGTCCCAGTCCTCCCCGGTCTCTGCATCCATTTCTTCACTACTCCAGTTCCAGATCTCCGAAATACTGTCGTTTAGAGTCAAGTCTGCCTGTGCGTCTTGACTGATGAAGGGCCACATCCTAGCCAAGATCTTCAACGCCTGTGCTCCGGCTGCTTCGACGTCCTCTATTTCCCCCAGCGGCGAACGGCCATCCGTGTAATAGATGCCGTCAAAGGACAGGCAGACCATCGCATGCCTCACGCTCGAGAAAGGCCTACGGGAGGTGAGGTCGGCGAGCTCGGCGACGTCCGCCTCCGTCGCACGGGTGAGGGCGACGAGGAGCAGGGAGAGCTTGAGATCGACGAGACGGAGGCTGCCTCCTTGCACCAAGCTGCGCGCGATCTCGAGGAGAGTGGTCGTTGTGCCGTAGATGAAATTGAGGATGAGCCTCCTCACGTTTCGCATGCTCGACAGGAAGGACACCGGTTCTGTATATATAATGGGCGCTGTCAGCGCGCGAGTGTCTGTGAGGCGTGGCGGGAAGTCGCACCTAGTTGGTATCGATCCCTGTATTCGAAGTCGGCCACTCCCGCCAGCAAATTTTCCAGCGCTGCTGCGCAGAGCGCAGGAGGCAGACTTGACGCCCCGACCTGCCCTGAAATCCTCACAACAGTGAAGGTTTTGAGTGACGTACGGGTGGAGGTGTGCGCGAGGTGGTGCAGCAGGACATCAAGGCAATCTCGCTCCTCATCTGTTGTCCCGACGAGGTAAGCACTGCGCAGCTGAGGCCTGGGGCTTGTGTACGATTTGGCGATGGTGTCTTCAGGTGATATAGGGAATCGAACATAATAAGAGATAAGCTTGCATAGAGTCGGGATTGCGGCAAGTGTGCGTCGAAGAACCGGGAATGAGTGGAACCTGCACTCGTACAAGAATAGTCTCGTGAGGTTTGTGAGGGTCGAGATGGATAGGAAGGCGCGGGTTGGGACCTTGTTTGAAGGCGATGTGACGTGATTGAGCCTGAGGGATTTAAGGTGGGGTGCGTGGATCGCCAAACAAACGAACACGGCTCCCAGAGATGGAGAGTGACTCTCGATATCTCCCGCTTCGATGGTAAGACTTTGGAGGGGAGAAACAGAAAGTGGGGAATTCTGAACGACGTGGGTGAGAAAATGACGGGCTTTCTCCAACGTCTGAACGTGGGGGTTGGAGCAGAGGACATATCTGCTTGCGGGGAGCCAGCTGCGGGAGACGAGCATGCAATGGAGGAGTGTTGTTCTGTCCCGCTGAATTTCCGGGTCGAGGCATCGTATGATTTCGTCCGAGATCTCAGGAGGAACCCGGGGGGAAGGATGCGTAGGGTCTATGACGGGCATGTCGTGAAGCGCAACAAGTGATATACGATGTTGACGGACGATCGATAGGCAAATGAACGTTTGAACTTTGAACTCGCGGCTGGCTACGCATTCGCACACTGCCATACCTAGCACCTGGTCACGAGCGAACGATTCATTCCCGCGTCTCCAGGTGTTAGCGCTCTGGAGATTTCACCGCGCCCACCGTGTAGCGCGTATTCAAGTGCTCAATCATCACGCTACTTGTATCTTGCGCAGCCGGATACGTCGTCTGTTATACATCCGCATACTAGCAACGCGCATGCCAAGTTCAGGGGCGGCGCCCAGTCGTGTGGTCGTTGTCCACGCTCGGACAGTGCCTGGCGGATGGTGGCGATTTCAGTTCTCCTCAGCCAAGCGCCGTTAAACCGTGCATAAGTACCACGTCAACCGCGCGAGGACAGCCATCATGCGTACTCTACCAGCCCCGTTCATCCCCACGCTCTCCCTGGGACAAGGTCCATGCGCATTCTTGAGTGCATATGCAAGGCGCGACAGATACGATCTCGTGTGTACTGATGAGCAAAATGTTACTACTCTGGCAGCAATCTCGTCGAAGAGCTCGAGACGCGGTGTGGCATACCCTGCTCACATTTCTTCGTGACGTATGCACACCAAGTCATCCATCCACCGCGACCACGGTCGTGGTCCACAGGGCGACTCGCGGAAGGAGGATGCGTGCCGTGGCAACTCCTGCACGGCGTGCGACCAACGCAGGCCATCTGCCCGTGCGAGAAGGAGGGCAGCCCTCCCCCGGCCCGGAGCGCGGTCTTCAAATTGGGATGAGCTGCAAGCAGCTAGTGATCGGCCAAGAAGCCGTCCGGGCCCGGGCGGAAGTTGTGGTCGCGCATCGAGCGGGTGTCGTGCGCGAGGATACGTAGCTGTGAAAAAACGAACACACGTCAGCCGTAGAGCATGTCGGTGAGGGGCGCGAGGAAGAACCTACAGGTTGGGAAATGCGTCACTATGACGACGTTTGTAGAGCACCTTGCTCAGCCTCGAGGACCGTGATCGTATACCATACGGCCGACATCTGTCGCACATACATGAGGTCCTGCGCAGTGGAGGACGATGCATGATAGGCGAACCAGAGTCAATGCAAGTCGCGCAGTAGCCCGACTCATCCGAGCTTGCGTGCGGGGATGTTGCGTGAAATTGGGCACACGTTTTCCCTTTGGGATCGCGAGGTGGACGATAATTGTCGAGCGCGTGGCAGTCAAGGATGTTTCCCCTCATCTCTGTATGAACGGGAATGAGCAAATGCGCGAGCAAGCGATTGTTCACGCGTTCACGACTTACGCAGGCTTTCAGAGATTAGGATCATGTGCCAAGTACAGACAGAATAACGGGCGAGTCCTGGAAGGACAGCTCGCCAAGTTCTAGAGAGCGGGTATATGGGATTACATGCAACAGTGCAAGAGATAGAGGGGACGTACCGATGTCATGAGGATCCCAGTATCGACTATCACATAGCCTCAGCAACGCCTATCCTTGGCTTCGAGGTCTTGTAGATGGTCGAACCAGGGCAGCGGGCTCGGCTCTGTCGATGACTGGAGAAGATGCGCCAAACGAATGGGCCATAAGGGTACCGTCAGCAAGACCGGGAGCCATCGGCGGTAAGAGACAGAGCGCTGCCAAAAAGAAGAGATGGAGCGTTTCCAATGAGCGTTGACGTATGGCCGGAGGAGGAGGAGGAGGAGGGACGACCCGCGCGGCCCGGAGCCGTCTCGGACTTTCTTGTTTGGTGCTGCTTGCTCGCGCCACCGACGCGCTGGCGCCGTTCCGGCGTCTACAACGAGATCTCAAGTTTGAAATTTGAACGTTCCGACTCGACGCATCTGGCTTCGTAAGTCTCGCCTTGTATATCCTCGCACACCTGTTGTCTTCTCGCTTTGTAGCGCTTTCTCTCACTCGTATGCATTGTCTCTGCGGTATTCCTTGCTCAATCTCCCCCCTCACTCTCGTCCCACCCCTGACGACCTGCAACAAAGACACCTTTTGGCAAACACTAAAAGATGCCTCGCCGTGTGTAGTGGCGCGCTAGCGCTGACACCACGCCGATCTTGGGAGCCAGGCTGCGAAAGGCCCGCCCGCTGCGCACCAAACACCTTCAGGACGCCATACTCGCGGTCGTCATCGACTCGGATCCAGTCTTGAATGCTGTTACGTCGCTCTAGCCGCCTCACCTCCACACCCCTCCTCCCCGTGTTGTGGATATCATGACTCTGGAACCCGACCCGCCAATCGTCATCACCACACCAAGCGGTGCCCCACCGTGCATTCGACGCATCAGCGCGGAGCCACCTACCTCGGAGGCGTCACGGAAATCATCTGCGCAGACATTAGAAATCTCTTCAACACGCTTGCAAACACGGCCTCGCATTCCCTCGTATCCTAGTCACACCAAACGTACCTGTTCTGGAACTTGACGACTTGCCGACGTTTGATGCGACTCTGCTCAATCTCGAGCACCTCGGCGTGCTTCTCAGCCACCCATGGCGTTGGCTTCTCGAGGACGGTCCAGATCCATCAGCGTCATCCCAACGTCTGCATTCGCGTCAACGTACTGCCTCTTCCTTGTCGACCCAAACGCGGTCCATTTCTTCTGGAGTCCTCGCCAGCTGCCCGCGCCTGCGCGTCCTCAACATCACCTACTGCGAGCCCGACTTCCGCCTCACGCGATCCCTCCACGGCGCGGCACTCTCTGCACGCTCGTCCGCGTGCTCGCCGACCACCTCTTCCCACGCGCCCAGCCTCCACCCCGCTCCGAATCACCCTCACGCACCGGGCGGAAGACATCGCGCGCGCCTGGTCAGCGGGCGCCCGCCCTCCCACAGCTCGTCGCGGCGCTCGCCGGTCGCGCGCGGCACCCCGCGTGCCTCGTGCACACGCGTGCGAACTCCCCCGCTCCCGCGCCGTCCCGCGATTTCTGGCAGCTGCGGTGCTGACACACTACGAGGTGATGGTCTCCCGGCGGGCTCAGATACTCTTCCACCACCTGGGCGACTCTGAGGGCGCAGAAGTCTGCCTCAACGAGTGGTTCGACCCCTCTCGTGAGTGTTCTACTCATCTGGTGTCGACGACAGCTTCTGACGCGCATACAGGTGCAATCAAATTAAAGTGTCGGATATGTGTGTGCATGCACCTCCCCGTGCTCGTCAAGTCTCTGCGAAAACTGAACCTGAACTTCTCCGCACTCATCGGGTCGCGCGTGCACCGCGGTGCCGCCACGGCTGCCTCTTCCACGACCTCGTGCGTCCTCTTCCCTTCTCTCCCGCATGCGCACGTTCTGACGTATCGGTGCTGTCCCTCGTTGTCGTCTCTCACGCGCGCATATTTGGCAGAATTACGACGACAACCTCCCGGGCCCCGGGCCCGCACAGGAGCGGACGGTGTCCTCGCGATGACCATAGCCTCCGGGCTCACCTCGCTCTTCACCTGCCTCGTCTCGCACCGAGCCACCTACGCGCGCCTGCAAGCAGAGGTCGACATGCACTACCCGCGCGCGCACCGCGCCATGACGTACCTCGCCGCAGTGCTGTCAGTCCTCCATCGAGCGACACTCTGTACAGTGCGACGCTGACGGACCTTGATCTGGCAGAAACGAGACGCTGCGCCTATTCCCGCCGGTCCTGGCCTCACTGCAGGAGACAAGTGCGTTCCCGTCGAGTGACCGCGTGCGCCCACGGACCGCGCTGATCGTCCCGTCTCGGTGCTGGTCAGGTACATCCCGCCCAGGACGGCACTCTGGGTGCGCGTCTGCCCAACGCGCACGACTCGAAGTCTCGAGGGTCGGTCGGGTTCGCGCGCAACGAGGCCGCATTCCGCCCATTCTCGTACCACCACTGAACCGCGTCGGAAAGGCGCTCTGGTTGCAGGAGCTCGGCGCTGCAGCGGTTCGAGGTCTGGCGGGCGGGCGGCGCCGAGGGCGTGCATGGGGCGGAGCGGTGGATGACGTCATACGAGAGGGCGTACGTGGACCACGTTGTGAGCGAGCGAGGGACGGTGCGTGTCGTGCTGGAGGCGCAAGCTAAGTACGAAGTGTTCTGTCTTGTCTGGCTCAACGGTCACATTAATTACTTTTAATTCATGCAGTGCGTTTGTTACCGCTTCTTCGCGTTCACCCTCCCCAGTCGTATCTTGCTGCTGTCTTCCCCTCACAAAACTTCTCGAGCCTCATGGAGCACGCTTACGCTCTCCCCCTCCCACTCCTGTTCACTCTGCCCCGAAGTTGACGTCATATCATCGGGCTCCGGCTGCCAGATCACCTCCCCTGCTCGTCTCCTTGTCAGTAAAAATGAGACGTGCTACGTAGCCGTTTCACAAACCTTCTCCTTTCCAAAACGACGTCCCCGTCTCGACTTCACCGTTCCCGTTCTCTCCGGTCTGTGCATCCCTTTCTTTACGGCTCCACTTCCAGATTTTGGCAACAGTATCCGCGTCGCATACAGTCAAAGACACTTGCGCATCTCGACTGATGAGGGGCCACATCCTAGCCATGGCGTCCAATGCTCGTGCTCCAGATCCCTCTAAATCAGACTCGCCGTACCAGCAGTCGAGGCGAATGCTCGCATTCCTCAAGCTGGAGAAAGGCATGCGCGAAGTGAGGTCGGCGAGCTCGATGACGTCCGCCTCCGTCGCAAGGGTGAGGGCGTCGAGGGGCAGAAAGAGTTTGAAACCAACGAGGCGGGGGCTGTTTCCTCGCACCAAGCGGCGCGCGACCTCGAGGAGAGTAGCCGATGTACCCTCGCGGAACTCGAGGCTGAGCTCTCTCACGTTTCGCAAGCTCGACAGGAAGGATGTGTCTGTATGCCGGGCGCCGTCAGCATGCGACGGCTTGTACCGCGGAGTTGTGGGACGGAGACGTACCGATGTGAGAGGCATCTGCGTATTTGAAGTAATCCACGACTGACAGCAAACGTGCGAGAGCGGCTGTGCCGAGCGTTGCGAATAGACTTGAGGTTTCTTGAAACAGAAGCCTTTGAACGGTGAGGGTGTTGAGTGAAGTACAAGATGAGGTGTTTGCGAGGTAGAGCAACAGGACGTCAAGGCAATTGAGGCTATCAAAGTTGTCCCCCCACGGGTTGACTCGTAGTGAGACACTGCGCAGTGCCGGTCTGGGGCTTGTGTACGATTTGATCATGGTTTCGTTAGGCGATATAGGGAATTTGATTTGATCCGTGGTAAGGTCGCATAGATGGGGGATTGAGGCAAGTGTACGTCGAAGACTTGGGAAAGAAGGGAAATCACACTGATACAAGTGTAGTTCCGTGAGCCTCGCGAGGTTCGAGACAGATAGGAAGGACCGAGGTGGGATTGTGGCAGTCACTACGCGACGGAGCGCGAGAGATTCAAGGTTGGGTGCATGGATCGCCAAGCAAGCGAACACGGCTCCTAGAGACGGAGAGCGACCCTTGGAACCCTTTGCGTCGATGGTAAGTCTTCGGAGGGGAGGGATGGAAAGCGGGGAAGTCTGAATGACTCGGGTGAGAAATTGACGGGCTTTCTCCAATGTCTGGAGGATGGGGTTGGAGCAGAGGACTTGTCTGCTTCTGGGGAGCCAGCTGCGGGAGACGAGCATGCAACAGAGGAGCGTGGCCCTGTCCTCTTGAGACGCCGGATCAAGGCATCCTATGATTTCGTCCGAGATCTCGGGAGGAACCCGGGGGGATGGCCGTGTAGGGTCTATGGATGGCATGTCGTAGAGCGCGACAAGGTATGAACAACTTTGACGGACAATCGAAAGGCAAATGAAGAGCGTGTGGACAGCCACACATTTGCGCACTGCCATGCCTGGCATTTGGTCACGAGCGAGTGATTTATTCCGCGCCTCCCTGTATCAGCGCTCTGAGGATCTGCGCATAAATCCCATTGGCCCTAACCGCTGGACCCTGCTTCGGCGATGTGCCCAATCATATTGTGTAGCCGAATATGTCGTCCACTATACATCTACATAGTAGCCACGCGCATGTGCTCGAGGGTGAAGCCCGATCCTGGACGTTGTCCGCGCCTGGACGGTGCCCGGAAGATGGCGGCTAATTCAGTCCTTCCCAGCCATCCATCTCCATGCTCTCGCGACAAGGAAGGTGCGCATTCTTGAGTGCAGCCGCAAGGAGCAACCGAAGAGTTTTGTAGAGTCGTATACTGTCGAGCAAGAAGTCAGTCTGGCAGTGATTAACGACGAGACGCGGTGTGTGACGCTGTACACACCCTAATTACGCTTCATCGTGACCTGTGCACACCCCGCGTCCATTCACCGCGACCACAGTTGTGCCCCACACGGCGACCCGCCGAAGGAGAGTGCGTTACGCAACCCCTGCACAGCGCGCGCCCAACGCAGGCCATCTGCTCGTGCGAGAAGGGGAGCGGCCTGCTCCAGGCTGACACGGAGTGCGGCCTTTGAATCGACATGCGCAGGAAGTCGTCCGGGCTCGGGAGGATGTCGCGGCCGCGGATCTACCGGGTGTTGTTCGTGGGGATACGTCGCTGGGACAGGCCGGGCGTGTTTCAGCTGTAGAGTGCGCACGAAAAGCTTGTCGAAGCATACAACTTACACGTCGAGCCATGCATCGCTACAGGCACGCGGGGACAAGTGAAAATACACCCATGGTCCCAGATTCCTGATGATGTTTGTAGGTTAAGCCTGGAGGTCATATAACGCCTGCCGACGTCCGTCAGACGTACATGAAGCCGTGCGCAGTGGAAGACGGAAATTGGTAGGCGAACCGGAGTCAACAACAGTCGCACGGTCGCCCAACTCCGCGTTGACGTGCGCCGAAGTCGTGTGAACGCGGTTGTCCTCTACGATCGTCGGGCGGGCGATGACCTTCATCGGTGTCTCGACAGTGGTGCCTGCACCAAGGTGAGTGTATGTACATCACGCACCCGAGCATATACGTACCACAGACCTATAAACTTTACCGTCATCGCCCTGGGCCACGTGCCCGTCCTGCGCACTCATCTCGTGAGACGCGAGAGCAACACAGGATGGAATGAGAACTCACCCCGATAGAGAACACCGCGCCGTCGACCCACACCGGCACGAGCAGCGTCGACCCCGTAGAAATATGCCGCGTATCGAGGTTCCCGCCCGTCGCGTATGGCGGGATCGTCGAGTGCGCCTCGTCCTTCCCATGCGCGAACCCCATATCCCCCGGAAAGGGTACCCCGATTCCCTTCTTCTCTAACCGCGCATACCCGTAGCCCGCCCACCCATCCGTGGCGTTTGCGCAGAGCTTGAGCATGGGGGCAGGGAACTCGACCGCGAGCTGCCCGAAGATGGGATCGTCCAGACCCACATGGCCGTCTCGACGGAGAAGACGTCGACGCGGAGGGGCGTGCGCCGGCGACGTGCATGTAGCCGGTGGCCTGGTCGAGCTGAGAGAAGACGAGGGAAACACGCGGGCAATATGGCCGCTGGAGGCGTCGAGGCAGTCGGGCGAGACGGTGTCCCCGGACGCGGTGTGGATGGCGGGGGATGCGGTTGTCCCAGGCGAGATGGCATGGGGCGCGCCTCACGGCGTGGGTGGACATCGTGGACTGCTGTGTTGCGGGGCAGGTGGTGATCTAGCACAAGAGACCATCGCGCGATAAGGATGGCGGGCCAGTGGCGACGAGCACTGCAGGGGTTGGTGAGAACGCCAGGACGGTCCCAGTCCCCGCTGTAGTCACGCAACCCGTGAGCGTGATGAAGCGCATGTGCAACGTAACGCACCTCAAAGGGTGGCCGCGTCGCGCTGAGTCGGTCCTCTTCGCCCCCCTGCCTATCGACGAGAGCAGCAGACACGATGGATAGGAGAAGATCAACCATTAATTAGCTGAGGCTTCAAAGTACAGGGACAGACCATAGCGTCGGCGTGGGGGAATGCGTAGATATGGATTAGTCGCGTGAAAGCGCACGCGGCGTGCTTTCTCGCAAAGGTGAAGCCAGATTAGTATGCGGGAATTTGACGCGTCTAGGCACCACTCGGACATGCAGAGAAAAGCGTGGTAGCTTGTCTGCGTCCGGCGAGTCAGCACGAGGAAGGCGGCAGCTGATTCGGCGGGTGCGCTAAAGAGCGGCATAACAACATTCAGGACGCTGAGTCGACAGCGAGCGCCGCGCGCGCGCGTCTGATCAGCCTGGCTCCCCAGATCGGTGTGGGGCAGGCGCGCCAGACGCGAGTGAGTGTATGCTACGCATGGCGAAGCATCTTTCGGTGTTTTCGAAGAGGTGTCTCTGTTTCAGGGGTAAGACGAGGGCCAGGATGAGCGAGGACAGGGGCGAGATTGAGCGAGGAATAACGCAGAGACGTGGCGGGAGAGCGAGAGAAGGCGCTGCAAAGCGAGAAGACAAGACGTGGCCAAGGCGAGACCCCCGAAGCAGGGCGAGCAGCGGCAGACCCGTCGAGGAAGACCGTATTGACGCCCACACGGCGCCAGCGGACCGGTGGCGAGCAAGCAGAACCAAACAAACAAGTCCGACACGGCCGGAGTGGCCCGGCTCCCGGGCGCGCGGTGTCGTCGCCTTGTCCCGCACCTGGATCTCTCTCTCTCGCTGCCGATGGCTCCCCAGCTGCCGACCCTCTGTGAGCGCCCAACGTGTGGGTTCTAGCTATTAGTATTCGACGAACTTTCCCCACCCATGCTCTATAGCTGACGCACCTCCGGCCTATCCCAGCTACGTATCCCCGCGCACGACACCCGGTCGATCCGCGGCCGCAACTTCCGCGCGGGCCTGGACGCCTTGCCGCGCATCCCGATTCGAAGACCGCGCTCCGGTCGTTGATTTCAGGCGGAAGACATGCCGGGATGAAGTGGAGGAAAGAGGCCTGGAAAATCGCGGTGTGACACGGTGTGACAAGTCACGGTCCGTTACGGTTGCGCACCGTCACCACACACCCGTCGAGTGTGTCTTTGCGCCGTTCGGGGGGCAGTAGAGAGCAACGTGAACATACATTTCGGCACGAAGCTCACGTTCTCACGGTATAGTAGTACGAATACAACGGCAATCGCACAAATCGGAGAATGCAGGCTGCACCGCGAGCGCGCGCCGTCCGACGCACCTCAGTTCATCGACCTGTGGTGCGAGAAGGGCACGAACACACCCGCGTCGCGCCTGAAACCCGCCTCTACCTTCGCCTCACGCACGGGCTCGGGGTGGGGGGCCGCGGCGAGCGGCGAGCGATCGGGACAGAAGCCGACCGTGTACGGGTGGGAGTTGCGGGTTGTGGTGGACCAGGTGTGGATCCAGACGGTTGTGCCTGAGGTGATGTACCTACGCGCGTGGGTCAGCTATGTCCAGGAGACCGGCGGGGAGCGCGCGACCAATCACAAAGCAGAAAACTTACATCGAGCTGAACATGAAGCCCTGCCCATCCGCAAGCCCCATATGCTGTGTGCCGCCGGGGACAGGCAGGAACATGCGCAACCTTTCGTTTCTGCATAGACAGCGAGGTCAGTCAACATGAACGTGATCACGGCGGCTCCCACTTACATGACGGCGTTAAGGTACGGCATCTCCTTGTGGCGATGCGAGTCCGCCTGGGGTAGAACCGATCGACCTCCTCTTGCAGCGGCGCGTACGCGATACGTCTCTGGATCTGCAAGCAGGCGCGCAAACGTGCTCGTCGTCACAGATGCTGTCGTGTCCGCCCCTGCAACGATCGCGTGGAAGCCGTCGTCGATGAGCTGTGATGTGGGTTCTTGAGGGCGTGATGGGTCATCTTCCCAGATCTGCATCGGCCGACGGATGGGTGAAATGTGCAGGGAGGAAGAGCGATCAGACTTACGAGGTAGTGGAAGAGGCCGAGTTTTAATGCGCAGCGCTTCACGCAGTGGTTGATAAGGAGAGCGGCGGGCTTGTTGGCGACGGGGACGTATCCCTGCAGGACACCGAGCCACGGAACACGGCCCAAGAAAATCGGCATCCTACGGGATAGCCACGCATGAGACGGAGGAAGGGGCGGGATGCGCAGAGTAAGAGAGCGGACACATACCGTGAGTGCGCATCCTCCGAACCGCCGCCGAATCATGAATCCGTAGCTGTATGACTGCGAGCCTCATTGGGTTGGAATGCGCGCAAGAAAGAAGAAAGTAATACGCACGCGAAGAAATCGATCTGTTCGCCCAGGCGCACCACGCCCTTCTGCTCCTCTAGCGTGCTCCGCACCTCCCTCCCTTGCTGCGCGATGAGTGCGCCGTACTCCTTCACCGCTGCTGACGCGAAGCTCTCGCCCACAGACGAACGACGACATGCGCCCACCCGACCACGTTCACGAACCGGCGGAAGAACGGGGCAAACGTGCCCTCGTCGTGCCGGAACCTGCTCTGTGCCTTTGTCTCTCGCGCTTGATCGGCGTCGAGCAGCCAGCGATAGGTTCATGAGCCACCCAGGTGGAAAGTTGCCCGTGTCAGGGCTCAGGCGTAGTAAACCCTGTGACAGAAAGCGCGAGCATCAGATGCAAGACAAGTATGCGGGGCGCACGAGAAAGCCCACATAAAGCCATAGGTGGTGTCGTGCCCGTCCGAGACCCCTATGCTACGTGCTCTACTGGCAGAGGGAAACAGGAGAAATCAGCCTCTTTCGTCGGGCGAACTCGACCGCGAAAACCCACATACCCGGGGTGACAGAGCAACGTACGTCTGGAGGCCGTACGAGTCTAGATATTGTCGCGCGATGCCTGCCCCGGTGCGCTTGGGGTCGTCTTCGCTGCCCAAAATTAGAAGGGATATGCGTGAGGGACGTTCGCGGAGACGCGAGAGAGAAATGCACTCACGAGGGAGTGGAATATGAGGGATTGGATGTCAAGGGCTTGATGCGTGCAGCGATGAACCCCGCAGAGCGATTGATGAAGAGGGCAACTGGGTCGATTACAGCATCTGAGCAAGACGGCGAGCCATGGTGCATGGCTCAATAGCATTGTCATCCTGCGAAGAAACTACACATGAGGGGAAGGGGAAAATATGTGCAGAGTAAGGCGTAAACACGCACCGTATGTTCAGGCCAAGCACGGCCTATATCTGCACCATCGCGCACGGGGGTCGGCCAAAGCCCAGATTGCGAAAGCAAAACTGACGCACCGAAAGATCGCCCAGCTGCAACACGCCCTTCTGCATCTCCGTGCACGATAAACGTGCCATGGACCACCTTCATCACCACGGTAGCGCAACCGCGGACGGTAGCACCCAACGTGCGCAGGGGTGTCCACGGAAACCGGAACCCGGGGCATGCACTTGATCGTCCGAACGTGAGATTCTGGGTACTGCACGCCGAGAGAGTGACACGGGGGCACAGCGTCAACAACTGGTCTCTGCGGGGCGATCAAACGAACGCATCTCACCGCAGCGGACGTGGAGGGAGCTGAGTGTCGGGCGCCGCCCATGCGCGCGCGAGTGAGTGAACTGCGCAGAGACGTGGTCGGGGTGGAGGCGAGGGGAAGTGCAACTTGTCCAGTGGAGGGCGATAGAGCCAGCAGACGGGACGAGGGTCAGGGAAACGTGAGCCGTGGTCCCACGATCTGGCGCCAAGATTGCGTCATCGGCAGCAGGCGCGCGAAGGTATTGGCCGGAGACGCGCGTCGATCCTCTCTCTCTCTCTCTCTTGCGCGAGCCTCGTCTCCGCCCCTCCGTTCACCGAGAGGTCTGTCCTTCCGTCGGAATCTAGAGCACGTGCGCTTCGTCATCGCAGCTCTCACAGGTGTATGAAGAGCGCTGCAGTGGCAGCACGCTCACCGTCTTTGCCCTCTACTCCGCACGGCCATTCTGTGTCTGCCACTCGCGCCCCGTATTTCGCGATTGACGGCGAGTTGACGGCGATCGCCTGCCTGTCCCGCGCACCCATCTACCTTTCGAACGACCTCCCCGCAAGCGCCCCAACATCCATCCATGTCGTCGAGGATGCTGCAGCGTACATCGTCGCCGTCGGAGACGTAGCGCAAGCGTTTGGGCAATCAACCCGGGCCAGACCGTGGCGGAGAAGGAAAATATCGCTCTGGAGCAGCAGAACTCGAACGCTCCCGCGATCGAGACCATTCTCGGGCACATGGTGAGTCCATCTTTCCGATCTGGCGCATAATTTGTTCGGTACTGCAAGACGAATCCTCCCGTCCCACCTACAGCCAATGAAACGACCTGGCCCACGGTGCACGCGACCAGGAGGCTTCGACGCCCACACCTTCTGGTACTCCAGGTGCGCGTTTCGGCGCGGCGATCTCGACTCGGCGCCCGTGGAGGAAGTCCCGCCGGCCCAACGCATCGACGCAAGCACTCAGGATGGGAAGTCGCCAGTCGCACATTAGTTGGACTGGCGCATCAGAGGCTTCTGAGACGATGTACGCTTTTTCATTCTGTCTTAGTTCCCCTCCGTCCATGTCCACGCTCTCTCGAGCCTCCTCCGCCGTGTATCCCGTTTCAATACCTCATCCTTTTTCTTGGCTCTGTACGTTCTCATTTCTTGGTTTCGATGCTGTCTCTTCTTGATCTGTCCGCGCGCCGTACGGATCCGTGATGCATGTATTTAGGTTCATAGTACCCGACTTGTGTCTACCCAGTTCGCTTCCCCACTATCCTCGCGTGTGCAATGCTCATCCAGCTTCGTCTCGATCCACCCCGACTTCGCCCACGCCCACGACCTCGTTCTAACCGTCGCCCTCATGTTCTTCGTCATGTCGCCAGCGCCCGTGTGCGCGATCTTTGTCTTCCCCGCGTCCATTCCCCCATCCTCGCCCACTTCGCCCGGTCCGCCCCGCTTCGCATTTGCCCTCTCCACTGCGCGGCGTCGTATTTTGCTGCTGTCCTCCCCTCAAACAACTACGAACTTGACGTCACATCATTGGGGTCGGCCTGCGGACCCCAGATCTCCCCTGCTCGTTTACTTGTCATTAAGAATGAGACGCAATACGTAGCAGTTTGACAAACCTTCTCCTTGCCAAAATGATGTTCCCGTATCGATCTCAGCTTCCCAGTTCTCTCCTGTCTTTGTATCCTGTTCTTCACGGCTCCACCGCCAGATACACCCATAAGTGCTGCGCACACTCAAGACTGCTTGTGCATCTTGACTGATGAGGGGCCACATCCTAGCCAAGACTTCCAATACTTTTGGTCCAGCTTCCTCCATAAAACCATCATCCCAGAAGTCCAAGTTGAAGCTCACATTCTTGACACTGGAGAAAGGCCTGCTGGAGGTGAGGTCGGCGAGCTCGATGAGGTCTGCTTCCGTCACAAGTGTGAAGGTGTCGAGGGGAACGGCGAGTGTGAAATCAACGAGGTGGGGGCTACCTCCTTGCACCAAGCCACGCGCGATCTCGAGGAGAGTAGTCGATGTACCGAACTGGAGGCTGAGCTTTCTCACGTTTTTCAAGCCCGACAGGAAGGATATGTCTGTATGGGCACTGTCAGCATGCGAGGGTCTGCGCAGAGTTGCGGGTCGAACTTGTACCAGTGAGATAACCGTGGCGATCTGAGGATGTGAAGATATACACGGTTGACAGCAAACGTGTAAGAGCGGCTGTGCCGATCGTTGCAAACAGCCTGCTTGAGGCTGCCCGACCCGCCCACCATGTAACATTGATGTTTTCGAGCGAAGTACCAGATGAGGTGTTTGCGAGGTAGTGCAACAGGACATAAAGGCAACCTTGCGACCAGTCATCCCACGTAGTGACACTGCGCAGTTCCGGTGTGCGGCTTGTGTACGATTTGATCATGGTGTCGTTAGGCGATATAGGGAATTCAACGTAATGTGTGGCAAGATTGCGTAGATTAGGGATTGCAGAAAGTGTACGCCGAAGAGTCGGGAACGAGTGGAATTTGCACTGATATAATTTTAGTGTGGTGAGTTTTGTGAGGGTGGAGATGGATAGGAAGGATCGAGGTGGGATCGTGGAAGCCAATGTGACGGACACGAGCTTGAGGGATTCAAGGTTGGGTGTGTTGATCGCCAAGGACGCGAAAACGGCTCCCAGGGACGGAGAGCGAACCTCAGTGTAACCCCTTGTGTCGATGGTGAGTATTCGGAGGGATGGGATGGAACGCGGGGAAACCTGAACGACGCGGGTGAGAAATAGACGGGCTTTCTCCAACGTCCGAACGAGGGGGTTGACCCAGAGAGTATATCTGCTTGCGGGAAGCCAGCTGTGGGAGACGAGCGTGCAACGAAGTAGGGTCTTTGTGTCCCAATATGCGTCGAGGCATCGTATGATTTTGTCCGAGATCTCAGGAGGAACCCGGGGGGACGGCCGCGTAGGGTCTATGGCTGACATGTTGTGGAGCGCGACAAGGGATACACGGCATCGACGCACCATCGATACGCAGATACGCATTCACATGTACACTCCCATGCCTAGCGCTTAGTCGCGAGCGAGCGATTCACTCCCGCGTCTCCGTGTATTGGCGCTATGAGGGTTCTATGGGGTCCACCTTGTGCCGTACGGCGCGCATTGTGCTCAATGAGTCGCCACGCTTCTTGTATCTTTTACAGCGGGAACATGTCGTCTACTCTAAATCCGCATGCTATTCACCCTTATGCCTCCAAAGGCGATGCCCAATCGTGCGCACGTTTTCCACGCCCCCACAGTGCCCGGCAGATGGCGGCTACTTCAGTTCTTCCCAGTCATCCCCAAGGCCAGCACCTCCAAACCGTGCACACTGCCCCAACTGCGCGAGGACATTCATTGTGCGTCCTCTGCTACTGACACCGCCATCCGTCTCCGCGATCTCTCGAAAAGAACTGCGCACATTGTGGAGTCCAGCCGCAAATGCGGTCTCGCACGTACTGACGAGCAAGATGTCAGTCTGTCAGGGATTGCCGACGAGAGGCGGTGTGTGACACACCCTGCTCACGCTTCGTCGTGACGGTACTTGTCCGCGCCCACCCGGCCCGTTCATCCACCGCGATGAAGGTCGCGGTCCATACGGCGAACGACCGAGAGACTGTGGGTGGCCCGAAGGAGAGCAGCCCGCCCCGGCCTGGAGCGCGGTCTTCGAGCCGCTGCAAGCAGCCAGTGGTCAGTTAAGAAGCCGTCCGAGCCGGGGCAGAAGTCACGGCCGCGGATCGACCGGGTGCCGTGCGCGGGGATACGTAACTGCGACAGGACGGGCTGCCGTCAGCTATAGAACATGACGGTGATGCGCGCGAAAAGCTCGTCCAAGAATAGAACTTACACGTCGAGCAATTCATCGCTGTAGACCCGCATGGACAAGTGAAAACACGCCCATGGCCATAGATCGTCTGTGGAGCATCATGAGCATGTTGCTCAGGCTCGGGGAGCGTGATCATGTACAGTACGGTCGAGGACTGTCGAACATACATGAGGTCGTGCGCAGTAGAAGACGAAAAATGGTAGGCGAACCGGAGTCAACTCGCCCAACTCCGCGTTGGCGTGAGGCGAAGTCGTATGAACGCGGTTGTCCTCTACGCGAGGAGGAAGGTGACCTTCATCGGGGTCTTGACAGCGGTGCCTACACGAAGATCGTGTACATCACGCACACAGGCATCTACGCACCGCAGACCTCTAGATGTGCATATAGCATGCTGTCATCTCCCGGGCCACATGCCCGTCCTGCGCACTCATCTCATGAGACGCGGGAGTAATGCAGGATGGAGTGAGAACTTACCCCGATAGAGAACACCGCACCCTCGACCTCGACCAGCAGGAACAGCGTCGACCCCGTAGAGGTTCCCGCGTATCGATGTCCCCGCCCGTCGCATACGGCGGGATGGTCGAGTGCGCCTCGTCCTTCCCCTGCGCGAACCCCATCTCCCCTGCGAACGGCCGCAGCGGTACCTCGATCCCCTTCTCCTCTAACTGCGCATACCCGTGGTGCGCCTCCCCATCCATACCGTTCGTGCAAGAGCTTGAGGGCGGCAGCCGGGAACTCGACCGCGATCAGCGCTGTCCAGCCCCACTTGGCAGTCTCGACGGAGACGACGTCGACGCGGAGGGGCGTGCGCCGGCGACTTGCATGTGGCCGGTGACGAGGTCGAGCTGAGAGAACTTCACAAGGGACGCGCGGGGACAATCTGGCCGCTGGAGGCGTCGAGGCAGTCGAACGAGACGGTGTCCACGGACGCGGTGTGGACGGCGGGTTCCAGGCGAGATGGCACTGGGCGCGCTTCACAGCGTGGGTGGACACCGCGGATTGCTGTGTTTCTGGGTAGGTAGTGGTCGAGCACAAGAGATCGTCGTGCGATAAGGAGGGCGGGGCAGCGGCGACGAGCAGGGATTGGTGAGAACGCTAGGACACCAGCCCGCTGGATCCCCGCCGTAGTCACGCACGCCGTGAGCGCGTGATGAAATGTGTGCGTAACGTAACGCACCTCAAAGGGTGGCTGCGTCGCACTGAGTCGGTCCTGAACTTGCCTTCGCCCTCAGCCCCCTGTCTATCGACGAGGGCAGCAAAAAGGAGGGACAGGAGAAGATCAGTCATTATATTAGCCGGACAGACCACAACGTCGGCATGGAGGAATGCGTAGATGTGGACCAGTCGCGTGAAAGCGCACGCCGCGTGCTTTCCCGCAAAGGTGAAGCTATGTCAGTATGCAGGAATTTGACGCGTCTAGGAACCACTCAGATATGCAGAGAAAAGCTCGTCTGAGTCTGGCAAGTCAGCACGAGAAAACCGGCAGCCGATTCACGAGAACGCACCACAGAATCTTGCTTCAGCAGCTCGATTTCTCCTCTTCACTCTCGCCCTCGCCTTCGTCCTCGCTGCTCGAAGTTACCTGGTTGCCTGCAGCTGGATCCGCCAGAAGCCGAGGGAGGAGTGCGCACACGCGCACGGTCTGGAACGCTGGGTAGCGCTCCCGGTGGCACAGCAAGTGATCACTGCCCGGGAGGACCACGTACGGTGGAGGTCGACGGCCTAGCTAGTACTTGATCTTGAGCTTGAGGGTCCCGAATGAGGGACGGGGGTCGGGCGTACCGGAGAAGTGATCGGCGAGAAGAACAGGAAGCATGTCGGTGAGGTTCCTGCGACGCCAGGAGCACATAGGACGTGACTCGGGCTCGCCGTAGATGATGTTGAGGTCGGCGCGGACGGCCGGTGAGCGCGCCCAAGAGACGGCGATTGTTCGCGTTAGTGATGACGAAGAAGGGACATACGCGTAGTATCGTCGAGAGTGAGGGAGAGGTGAACGCAAGCGCCAAGGCAACACGTTGGCCCCGCCGCGGTCCGCTCGTGCTCCGCGCTAATACAGGCGCACAAAGCGACGCGCGACTCGTGCTGCCCGCCTCCTCCTCCTCCTCCCGCCAGACTGCCCGCTCGCCTTTTCTCCTCTCCGAGGAGCGCGCCACCTGGAAGACAATCTTGCACTCATCTGGTACGTCGCCTTCGCCTCCCTTCCACACCCATACTCATTTCCGGACAGCCATGTGAGGCGCCTGCTGGCGGTCCTCCAGAACTCGTCCCCAGCCCGTCCTCCATCGTGAAAGGCAAGGCCGTCGCCGCTCGCCCTCGTCGACGTCCCCAGGCCCCCGCTTCTCCACCTCCCCGATAGGCGCCCAGCCACTGCCGGTCTCACAGATGCCCGTCGAGAGCGCGATGAATTGCTCCACGAATCGGCCGGGGCTGGGCGGCCACACAACAAGGACATGTACAACCCGGGCGCGGTGCTCGCGGCATGCGGGGACGGCATCACGACGCTGTGAGGGGGCCAGGTGTTGCGGGCGGTGCTGAGGCAACTGCAAGACATGCCAGGCTTGTGAGTGTTTCCTTCTACTCTCGCGTGTCCCCCTTCTTTGCGGTGTACGCTGCCCGCGTCGCCTCGCTCCAGTAGACGGTCGGTGCATACCCAGCTGACGATCCGGCGGTTGTGGCGAATAGATGACATCGTGCACACCCGTGTTCGGACACTCGGAGTTGAAGAGCATCACTTGACGATAGAGTCCGGTAAGTTTTTTGCCTTCGCCTTCGCGCAGCATGTCGTCCTTCGCCGTCGGCCTGCTACTCACTCCCTTTTCAACCTTTCACGGCGCGGCTGTACGCCTCGCCCACCCTGTACGTCACATTCCAAGAATTCATGCGCGGCTTTCCACCGTTCGCCCCTCTTTCCCTCAAGTCTACACCCTCACCCTACCAACGTCGACCGAACTTGTCGCGATCCTTACGTGAGGCAAGACCAAGAGGTGCCGCTTGAAGTGCAGAACGTCCGCCATCGACTCCGTCAAGCTCGAGGGCGACGCGCCCCAAGAACGTGCCCCTCCCACCAAGAAGCCGCATCGTACGAAGCTCGCAGCGTCCGCCGTCGATCCACCCTCGCTCAAGAAGCCGCGCGGGAAACCGCCGAAAGCCCGCTCAGAGGCTCCCGCCGCGCGGCCCCCGTCGCCTCCCCTCCTGAAGTTCCGTCCGCTCTCGTTCCCGGCGTATCCAGACGACGGCCCACTCGCGCGAGCCGCGTCGTTTGACATCCCGAAGCACCTGCCACTCGTGCGCGCTGGCTCGATCTCGGGCGTCAGCGCGCTCTGGGGCCTCACCTGGGACCCGGCGGAGTGCGCGAACATGCTCCTGAGCGCGCTGCCGTGGCTCGCGGGTGCGGCGTACGCGCCGGTCCCCATCCACTTCTCCGAGCGCGATGTGCTCTTTGGTGAGCACTCCCTCTATGGGACGTAGTGGAGGACGCCAAGCTGAAGAGCGCGCCTTTCAGCAGCGCCGACGGCCCCGTACGTGCTGCGACCCTTCCGACTGCGTACGTTCCCATTCCCGTTGGCGTCGCACGATCCGGGTATTTCTATTTGTGCCCTGCGGCGGCATACGGGGCCCGTGTATTTTGTCGTACGCTACAAATACATGCGTGTCGTGCATCTGCGGACATCCTCCTCTTCTGGGACGCACGTTCGATCGCCCGAGAGGCGAGACCTGGGTGTCTTCTGCCGCTATTAATGTGCCGGAGCTAGTGCCGGTATGTACGCGATGAAGTTATGGTGATTCTCTGGCCGTCCGCGGGCCCGTGGGTGGTGGGTGGATGGCGGGAGTCCGGACACACGCCCGCCTTGAAGAGCCTGTTGAGCCAGCACGCGCGTGCGCACCACGCGCTGCACGGCCCGTCCACCGTTGGGGATAGCCCGGCGATCGACTCAAGAGTACTCACATTGGCCGCTTGGAGGGACTCGCGACGGCCACTTCTTTGGTTGACGCACCGCCCGCAGGACTGGACTGGTCCGCGTCTGCCTGCACCTGCGCATGTATCTCCGGGGGCGCGAGAAGACACGCGAAGACGTTCGTCGCCGACGCCTCGTGCCCGTGCTCGGTGGTGACGGACCGTATTGCGAGCGAGACGACACACACGAGGCTGTACGAGGACGCTCGCGAAGGCCCCGGGTGCTCCCGAGGATCGAGATGTATTGAACACCGACAGCGAGCATAACACGCGAGGGAAGGACGGCGAGTGCGTACACCACTATAGCGGAGCGTCCCCGGATGGAGATGGGGGTAGGGACGGGATGCAGGTAGCGTAAGTACGGGGAGGTGGAAGTAGAGCGCGGTCGACAGGCAGCCGAAAGGCGGCTTAGGAGTTCGTCATCGGCGACAGGGATGCGAAAAGGCTCGAGATCAGTCGCAGGGCAAGTCGCAGAGGTGTACGGCGTGCGTCGGAGGCGTCGAGGCTTTCGATTCAAACAGGTGCCGGACGGTGCACAGCGACATGCGCCCGTCCGCCCGAGTTCATGAGCCGGCGCAAGAACGGGACGACCGTGCCCTCGTCGTGCCGGCATATGCTCTCTGCCCTTGGCTCGCGCGCTGGGTCGGCAGCCAGCAGCCAGCGGTAGGTTCATAAGCCGACCGGGTGGAAAGTTGAAGTTGCACGCGTCGCGGTGGAGGAATGAAGGCTCGGGAGTACGTCCTGTGACAGAAAAAACGTGTCAGATGCAACTTGACATGTATGCGGGGCACGCGATAAAGCCTACATCGAGCCGTAGATGGTGCCGTGTTCGTCCGAGGGCCCTATGCCGCGTGCTCCACCAGCAGAAGGAAAAAGGAGAAATCAGCTTCTGTCGTCGAGAGAACTCGACCGCGAACGCTCACATGTCAGCGTTGAGAGGGGACATATATCTAGTGGCGGTACGAGGCTGGATATCGTCGTGCGATGCAGCTGCTTGGGCTGCTTGGGGTCGTCTCTGCTCTGACGCAAACAACATATGGGCGAGGGACGTTCGCGGAGATGCAAGAGCGAGATGGAATCACGAGGGAGTGGGATTGGATGACCATGGCCCAGAAGTCTTCTTCCGCCCTCCCACTCGGCATCTCCGAAGCAGTTTCGGACACCATGATCGTCATAGAATCTGCACCATCGTGCACGGGGGTCGGCTAAAGTCCGGACTGCGAAAGCAAAATCCACACACGGAAAGATGGCCCGATGCACGATAGGCATGCCATGCACCACCTTCATCGCTACCACGAATCCGCGCGACCACGGGCAGCGCCATCCACTGTGCGTGGGGGCGTTGACGGAAACAGGAACCCGGAACTTGCATTTGTGAGATTCTGCGCATATGGTGAGCCACGAAGCAGAGTGAGTCGTGACGCAGAGTGACGTATGTGGGCCGTTCGGAAGACGTACGCTTTCAATATCTCAAAACAGAAACACGTCGCGAACCGAGACTGGTCTCTGAGAGGCGATCAAAGATGAAGGGACTCAAGTGTTGGGCGCCGCCCATGATGAAGACGACGGATGCGAGCGAGCAGAGGAGGACGACTAGGACGAGGATGAGGACGAGGTGGAGGTGGAGGTGGAGGCTGGATTCAGCGCAACGTCAGCACCAGAGAAGATGGCGTCATCGGCAGCAGCTGCGCAGGCATCGCCGGAGACGCGCGTCCCTGGCCCGTGCTTGATCGAGATCTTCGCTTGTCGCTCTCGCCCTCGTCTCCGCCACTCCGTTCACCGAGAGGTCCGTCCTTCCGTCTGAATCCAGGACACGCTCTTGCCACGATTTCTCCCGACCAGGTGTATCGACAGCGTCGCAGCAGCGCGCTCACCGTCCAGGCCTGCCCTCTTCTCCGCAAGATTCTGTGTCTGCCGTTCATCCCGCCGGCGCGTTTGGTAGCTCTCCCGCACCCCTCGGTGCTCTCTACAGTCTCGTCGACATTTTAGCTGTCTGTCCGCCTCCCCGTGCAAGTGCCAATCTCGACACCGCACAACACCGCTCTCACTAGCCGATTCCCTTGCCCGTATTCCGCGATTGACGGCGAGTTGGCGGTGATCGCCTACCCGGTCCGCGCACCCGTCTACCATTCGAACGGCCTCTCCGCTCGCGCCCCAGCCGAGGCGAACATCCATCAATGTTGTCAAGCATTCCGCAGCGCACATCATGGCCATCGGGGACGTCGCGCAAATATTTGGGCAGTTGGCAACAGGGCCAGACCGTGGCGGAGACGGACAATCTCCGATCGTTCTGGAGCAGCAGACCTCGAACGCTCCCGCGAACGAGACCATTCTCGGGCACATCGTGAGTCGATCTTTCTGATCTCGCGCATCATTCGTTCGGTCCTGCGAGACTCCTCCTTCCGTCCCATCTACAGGCAATGAACCGACCTGGCCCGTGGTGCGCGCGACCAGGAGGCTTCAACGTCCATACCTTGTGGTACTCCAGGTGCACGTTTCAGCGCGGCGATCTCGACTTGACGCGGCGGAGGGGCTCCCGCCGGTCCAACGCGTAGACGCAGGCACTCGGTATAGGAGGTCGCCGGTTGCACATTAATTTGATGGGTATAACATGTACGTGGCTTGTAAGTTGTTCGGTTCTCCGTGTCTTGGTCCCCCTCCACCCATATCCACGCTCTCTCGAGCCTCCTCCGCCGTGTATCCCGTTTCACTGCCTCATACTTTGTCTCGGCTCTGTAGATTCTTGTTTCTTGGCTTCGGTACTGTCTCTTCTCATAGATCTTCTTCCCGAGCTTCACGTAGCACCCTTGCGCTCTCTCGCTCTCTCGCCCTCACTCCTGTTCACTCTGCTCTTCACTCTGCTCCGAACTTGACGTCACATCATCGGGCGACGGCGGATCCCATAACCACTTCCCTGCTCGTTCGCCTGTTAGCAAAGGTGAGACGCGTTACGTAGCTGATTGACAGACCTTCTCCTTGCCAAAACGATGTTCCCGTCTCGATCTCTCCGGTCTTTGCATCCGTTTCTTTGCTGCTCCACTCCCAGAGGTCTTCGCCGAGGTTGAGGAATATATTCAAGTCTACTTGTGCATCACGGCTGATGACGGGCCACATCCTAGCCATGAATTCCAATACTTGTGCTCCAGATGTCTTCGTTAAGTCAAGGTCTCCGTTCCAGCCCAGGCAAATGCGAGCATTCTTCACAGTGGAGAAAGGCCTGCGGGAGGTGAGGTCGGCGAGCTCGATGACGTCCGGCTCTATTGCAAGGGTGAGGGTGTCTAGGGTAATGTAGAGTGTGAAATCAACAAGGTGGGGGCTGCCTCCTTGAACCAATCCGCGTGCGATCTCGAGCAGAGTAGAGCTTCTACCTCTGTTGAAATCGAGGCTGAGTTTGCTCACGTTTTGCAAGCCCGACAGGAAGGATGTGTCTGTATGGGCACTGTCAGCATGCGAGGGTTTGTGCCGAGTTGTGGGTTGAACTTGTACCAGTGAGATAACTTCTGTTATCTGAAAATTTGAAGATATGCACAGCTGACAGCAAACGTGTGAGAGCGGCTGTGCTGAGCGTTGCGAACAGACTTGAGCTTTCCCGACTTGCCCTCCATGCAACATCGATGGTTTTGAGCGAACTACAAGATGAGGTGTTTGCGAGGTAGTGCAACAGGACATCAAGGCAACCGACTTGCCGAGTCGCTCGGATCCTTTCTACCCCCGTGACACTGCGCAGTTCCGGTCTGCGGCTTGCGTACGATTTGATCATGGTGTCGTTAGGCGATATAGGGAATTCAACGTAATGTGTGGAAAGATCGCGTAGATTAGGGATTGCAGCAAGTGTACGTCCAAGAATCGGGAACGAGTTGAATTTGCAGTCGTATAAGTTTAGTGTCGTGAGTTTTGTGAGGGTGGAGATGGATAGGAAGGATCGAGGTGGGATTCTGGAAGTTGGTGTGACGGAATCGAACCCGAGGGATTCAAGGTTGGGTGCGTGGATCGCCAAGGACGCGAACACGGCTCCCAGAGACGGAGAGCAAACATGCGAATTCCGTGCACTGATGGAAAGTGTTTTGAGGGGAGGGATGGAAAGCGGGGAAACCTGAACGACGCGGGTGAGAAATAGACGGGCTCTCTCCAACGTTAGAATGCGGGGGTCGGAGCAGAGGACATATCTGCTTGCGGGGAGCCAGCTGCGGGAGACGAGCATGCAATGGAGTAGTGTCTTTCTGTCCTCCCAAGGGTCGAGGCATCGTATGATTTTGTCCGAGATCTCAGGAGGAACCCGGGGGGACGGCCGCGTAGGGTCTATGGCTGGCATGTAGTGGAGTGCGACAAGGGATACACGGCGTCGATGCACGATCGATACGCAGATTCGCATTCGCATGTACACTCCCGGATGCCTAGCGCTTGGTCACGAGCGAGCGATTTACTCCCGCGTCTCCGTGTATTGGCGCTATGACTCGGGTCCTACGGAGTGTTCCGTACGGCGCGCATTGTGCTCGATAAGTCGTCACGCCATTTGTATCTTGTGCAACGTGAACATGTCGTCTACTATACATCCGCATGCTATTCACACTTACGCCTCCAAAGGCGATGCCCAATCGTGCAAACGTTGGAGTCCACGCCTCCAGAGTGCCCGCCGGGAAGATGGCGGCTATTTCAGTTCTTCCCAGCCATCCCCAAGGACAGCACCTCCAAACCGTGCACGCTGCCCCAACTGCGCGAGGACAGACATCGTGCGTCCTCTACTACTGACACCGCCGTCCGTCTCCACGGTCTCTCGACAAGGGCTGTGCACGTTGTGGAGTCCAGCCGCGAATGCGGTCTCGCACGTACTGATGAGCACGATGTCAGTCTGTCAGCGATCGCTGACGAGACGCGGTGTGTGACGCACCCTGCTCACGCACCGTCGTGACGGTGCTTGTCCCCCAGCCGTCCATCCACCGCGACGAAGGTCGAGCTCCACACAGCGACCGGCCGAGAGACTGCGTGCGGCCCGAAGGAGAGCAGCCCGCCCCGGCCTGGAGCGCGGCCTTCGAACCGCTGCAAGCAGCCAGTGGTCGGTTAAGAAGCCGTCCGAGCCGGGGCAGAAGTCGCGGCCGCGCACGGATCGGCCGGGTGCCGTGCGCGGGGATCCGTAGCTGCGACAGGACGGGCTGACGTCAGCTGTAGGACATGACTGTGGGGCGCGCGAAAAGCTGGTCGAAGAACAGAACTTACACGTTGAGCAATGCGTCGCTGCAGACCCGCAGGGACAAGCGAAAAAACGCCCATGGCCACAGATCGTCTGTGGAGCGTGTTGCTCAGGCTCGCGGAGAGCATGTACCGTACGGCCGACGTCTGTCGAACGTACATGAGGTCGTGCGCAGTGGAAGACGAAAAACGGTAGGCGAACCGGAGTCAACGCAAGTCGCGCGGTCGCCCAACTCCGCGTTGGCGTGCGGCGAAGTCGTGTAAACTCGGTTGTCCTCTCCATCGCGAGGCGGAAGATGATCTCCATCGGGGTCTAGACAGCGGTGTCTGTACGAAGATCATGTACATCACGCACACAAGCATCTACGCACCACAGACCTCTGAACGTGCATATAGCATACTGTCATCGCCCTGGGCCACATGCCCGTCCTGCGCACTCATCTCGTGAGACGTGAGAGTAATGCAGGATGGAGTGAGAACTTACCCCGATAGAGAACACCGCGCCCTCGACCTCCACCGGCAGAAACAGTGTTGACCACGCAGGAAGATGTCTGCCGCGTATCGACGTTCCCGCCCGTCGCATACGGCGGGATCGTCGAGTGGGCCCCGTCCTTCCCCTGCGTGAACCCCATCTCCCCCGCGAACGGCCACAGCGGTACTCCGATCCCCTTCTCCTCTGACCGCGCATACCCGGAGCCCGCCTCCCCCTTCGTAGCGTTCGCGCAGAGCCTGAGCATGGGCGTTGGGAACTCGTCCGCGAGCAGCCTGAAGCCCGGGATCAGCGCCGTCCAGCACCACTTGGCCGTCTCGACGGAGAGGAGGTCGACGCGGAGGAGCGTGCGCCGGCGACGTGCATGTGGCCGTTGACCTGGTCGAGCTGAGTGAAGGCGGGGTAACCTTGCCGCTGGAGGCGTCGAGGCAGTCGAACGAGACGGTATCCCCGGACGCGGTGGGGATGGCGGGGGATGCGGCTGTTCTAGGCGAGATGACACTGGGCGCGCTTCACGGCATGGGCGGATATCGCAGATTGCAGTGTTTCTGGGTAGGTTGGTCGAGCACAAGAGATCGTCGTGCGATAAGGAGGGCGGGGCAGCGGCGACGAGCAGGGATTGGTCATGAGAACGCTAGGACGCCAGCCCGCTGGATCCCCGCCGTAGTCACGCACGCCGTGAGCGCGTGATGAAACGCGTGCGTAACGTAACGCACCCCAATGTCACACTGAACTTGCCTTCGCCCTCAGCCCCTGTCTATTGACGAAAGCAGCAGACACGAGGGATAGGAGACGGTCGGTCATTCTGTTAGCTGAGGCTTCAAGGTACGGGGACGGACCACGGCGTCGGCATGGAGGGATGCGTAGATGTAGACCATTCGCGTGAAAGCGCCGAAAGCGTGCTTTCTTGCAAAGGTGAATGAAGGTCAGTATGAAAGCGTCTAGGCACCACTCGGACATGAAGAGAAAAGCGTGGTAGCGTGTCTGAGTTTGGCGAGTCAGCACGAGGAAGCCGGCAGACGATTCACGGGAACGCACCACAGAATCTTGCTTCAGCCACTCGATCCTCTCCTCTTCACTCTCGCCCTCGCCCTCGCCCTCGTTTCTCGAAGTTCCCTGGTTCTCCGGATCCGCCAGAGGCTGAGGGAGGAGTGCGCGCACGCGCACGGTTCGCAACGCTGGGTAGCGCTCCCAGTCGCAAAGCGTCTTGGCGAGCCGAGCGATCACTGCCCGGGAGGACCACGCAAGGTGGAGGTCGACGGCACAGTACGTGATCTGGAGCTTGAGGGTCTCAGATGCGGGACGGGGGCCGGGCGTACCGGAGAAGTGATCTGCGAGAAGGACGGGAAGCACGTCGGTGAGATTCCGGTACGCCAGGAGCGTATGGGATGGAACTCGGGCTCGCCGTGGATGATGGCGAGGTCGGCGCGGACGATCGGTGAGCGCACCCAAGAGACGGCGATTGTTTTGATCTGCGAGCGGAACGCGTTAGTAATGACGAAGAAGGGGCATACGCGTGGCCATAAGTATCGTCGAGAGTCGGGGAGAGGTGAACGCAAGCGCCAACCGGCAACGCGTCGGCCCCGCTTGCAGCTCAGTCCGCGGTCCGCTCGTGCTCCGCGCCAATCCGGGCGCGCACGCCGCAAAGCGACCTCGCGCTGCCCGCCAGACTGCCCACTCGCCTTTTCTCCCGTCCACCTCCCCAAGGAGCGCGCCGCCTGGAAGACAATCTTCCGCTCATCTGGTACGTCGCCTCCGCCTTCTTCCTTCATGCTTCCACACCCACACCCATTTCCGTGCAGCCATGTGAGGCGCCTGCTAGCGGTCCTCCAGAACTCGTCCCCGTCCATCGCTAAAGGCAAGGACGTTGCCGGCCGCTCGCCCTCGTCCCCCGGCGTCCGCTTCTCCACCTCCATGGTAGACGTTCAGCCGCTGCCGGTCACACAGATCCCCGTCAAGTGCGCGATGAATTGCAGTGAATTGCTCCACGAATCGGCCGGGGGCGGTTGACGCGCGCAACAAGGACAATCCGGCGCGGTGCTCGCGGCATGCAAGGATCACATCACGACGCTGTGGGAGGTCCAGCTGGCGCGGGCGGTGCTGAGGCGACTGCAGGACATGCCAGGCTTGTGAGTGTTTCCTTCTACTCTTGCGTGTCCCCCTCCTTTACGGCGTAGGGTCGCGTGTGCTGCGCGGCCAAAAGCGTGACGCGATGGGCGTGCTTGCGGTTGTTGCCGACTTGGATGATACATGCGCGATGCGCGATGCTGACATGTCTACAGCTTCTTCAACGAGGCTGCCCGCGTCGCCTCGCCCCAGTATCAGCCTTAAGACGGTCGGTGCGCATCTAGCTGACGATCTCGCGGTCGTGGCGAATAGATGACATCGTCCGCGCCCGTGTTCGGACACTCGGAGTTGAAGCGCATCTCTTTACTATGAAGTCCGGGACGTTCTTCGCCTTCGCCTTCGCCTTCGCGCAACATGTCGTCCTTCGCGCAACATGTCGTCCTTCGCGCAACATGTCGTCCTTCGCGCAACATGTCGTCCTTCGCGTACGCACAGGTCCTCACTCCCTTTTCAACCTTGCACGCAGTTCCACCTTGGGACTGTCACGATGCGGCTGTACGCCTCGCCCACCCCGTACACGACGGATCCCAAGAATTCACGCACGGCTTTTCAACGTCCTCCCCTCTCTCCCCTCGAGTCTACCCTCACCCTCCTCGGTCTAGGCGAATGCCTCAACTCCGAACCCGTTCCCTGAGCCGCACGCTCTTCCCGCCCGTTCTCGACCTCCGCCACCTCCCCGCCCTGCGCGCCCTCACCGTCGCGCACGCCACCGTCCAGCCCCGGCCCCGCTTCGCGCGCCTCGTCTGCCTGCCCTCGAGCACCTCACGGTCGACGACGTCACAGCACAGGCACAGGCTGACGACGGGGGGGCGTTCGCGGCCGCGCGCTCTACTGGCGAGGGTGGGCGGGGAAGCCGGCGGAGCCTGTGTATGCGCCCCCGCTCAAGTGTCTCCGTCACGCGGAGGGAGAGGAGGGCGGGATGGCGGAGTTCTTCGCGCGTATGTGGGACCGGCCGGTGGACGTGCGAAGGCTCCACGGGTGGACTCATCAATGTATCAACCTCGGCCGGATGTGTCACGATCCCTCCTGCAGCTACGTAGGGCAAGACCAACAGGTGCCGCTTGAAGCGCAAAGCGTCCGACATCGACTCCGTCAAGCTCGAGGGCGACGCGCCCCAAGAACGCGCCTCTCCCACTAAGAAGCCGTGCAGGCCACGCACCCCACCCGTCGACCCGGCCGTGCCCAAGAAGCGGCGCGGGCGACCGCTGAAAGCCCGCTCAGAGGCCCCCGCCGCGCGGCACCCGTCGCCTTCCCTCCCGACGTTCTGTCCGCTCTCGTTCCCGGCGTATCCAGACGACGGCCCACTCGCGCGAGCCGCGTCGTTCGACATCCCGAAGCACCCGCCGCTCGCGAGTGGGGCTCGATCTCGGGCGTCGGCGCGCTCTCGGGCCTCACTAGGGACCCGGCGGAGTATGCGAACATGCTCCTGAGCGCGCCGCCGTGACGCGGGCGCGGGCGCGGCGTACGCACTGATCCCCATCCACTTCGCCGAGCGCAATGTGCTCTTCGGTGAGCATCATCCCTTCTATGGGACGTGGCGAACTCCAAGCTGACGAGCGCGCGTGGTACAAACCCTCCTAGTAGCGCCGACGGCCCGGAACGTGCTTCGATCCTTCCGACTGCGTACGTTCCCATTCCCGTTGGCGTCGCACGATCTGGGCGGTTCTAGTTGCGCACCGTACACAGGCTCCGTGTGTCTTGTCGAACGCTACAAATACATGGACGTCGTGCATCTGCGCACATCCTCCTCTTCTGGGGCGCACGTTCGATTGCCCGAGAGGCGAGACCTAGGTGTCCTCTGCCACTATGGATGGCCCGGAGCTAATACCGGTACGTACGCGACGAAGTCATCGTGATCCGCTGGTCGTCCACGGGCGCGTGGGCGGCGGGTGGATTGCGGGAGTACGGACACGCGTCCAGCTTGAAGTGCGCGTTGAGCCAGCACGCGCATGCGCACCGCGCACGCCGTTGGCGATAGTCTGGCGGACGACGACATCATCTGATGGGAGGGGTCTGTGAACGTTGAACTGTGGGACTGCTATACTATTGAACTCGTGGGATAGGGAGAGAATGCGAACCGAAATATGTCAGGGGAGGGTAGACGGCGAGGCCTTCGGTCATCGACCATCCCTTACGTGGGTCCGAACGGTGGCCTGTAGAGTGCTGGATCGACGGGATGCGCGGTCAAAGCGGGGCCGAGCCAACCATTGAAGACCGAGTGCGTGACAACTGGCGGCAGCTGGTGCGCAGCTAGAATGGCCGCACGATGGAGTGCGTGCGACGCCAACCATATCTGAGTATTCACAGCCGAGTCCCAACCGAGTCGTACAAACGTCTCTACCGCGCATCGTGTCCAATCAAACGAGAATCATAAGTATGACTACATTCACGTTCGTTCTGTACCACTTGCACTCCTTCCAGGTCTTGGATCGATAATCCCGCATCTTCCCTGCTCATTCGATTGTCAGTCAACGAGTCATGAGATGCGTTGCGTAGCCGTTTTACAAACCTTTTCCTTGTCAAAACGATGTCCCCCATCTCAACATCCCAGCCCCCTCCAGCCCTTGCATCCTTTTCTTTACGGCTCCACTTCCAGGTCTCTGCAAGACTCTTGAGTAGAGTCACGTCTACTTGTGCGTCTTTATTGATGAGGGGCCACATCCTAGCCAAGACTTCCAACGCTTGTGTTCCAGATATCTCTAAATCATGCTCTCCGTCCCAGTCTAGGCAAATGCTCGCATTCTTGACACTGGAGAAAGGCCTTCGGGAGGTGAGTCCGGCGAGCTCGATGACGTCCGCCTCCGTTGCAAGGGTGAGGGCGACGAGGGGCATGTAGAGCGTGAAATCGACGAGGTGGGGGCTGTTTCCTTGCACCAACCCGCGCGCGATCTCGAGTAGAGTAGCTGCTGTGCCCTTGCGGAACTCGAGGCTGAGCTGTCTCACGTTTTTCAAGCTCGACAGGAAGGATGTGTCTGTTCCATGGGCGCCGTCAGCATGTGAGGGTTTGTGCCGAGTTGTGGGAAGTCGTACCAACGTGAGAGGCATCTGTGTATTTGAAGTTATCCACGACTGACAGCAAACGTGCGAGAGCGGCTGTGTGGAGCCGCGTTGCGAGCAGACTTGGGATCTCTTGCCTACTGTACTCGACACTGACGGTTTTGAGTGACATACAGGATGAGGTGCTTGCGAGATAGTGCAACAGGACATCAAGGCAACCCCCCTCCCCACTCCCCGGTTCGCTTAGAAGGACACTGTGCAGCTCCGGTCTGGGGCTTGTGTAGGATTTGACCATAGTGTCGTTTGGAAATATAGGGAATTGAACACCAGTCATGGAAAGATCGCATAGATTAGGGAGTGCGGCCAGTGTGCGTCGAAGAATCTGGAATGAGCGGAAGTTGCAACTGTGCAAGAGCAGTCTCGTGAGTTGTGTGAGGGTGGAGATAGATAGGAAGGACCGAGGTGGGATTGTGGAAGTCGTTTCGATTTGAACGAACTCGAGGGATTCAAGGTTGGGTGCGTGGATCGCCAAGCAAACGAACACGGCTCCCAGAGACGGAGTGTGACTCTGGGCGTCCCTTGCCCAGATGGAAAGTCTTTGGAGAGGGGGGATTGAATGCTGGGAAGTCTGAATGACGCGGGTGAGGAACGTATGTGCTTTCTCCAGCGTCATAAGAATGGGGTTGGAGCAGAGGACATATCTGCTTGCGGGGAGCCAGCTGTGGGAAACGAGGGTGCAACGAAGCAGTGTTCTTCTGTCATAATAAGGGAATGGGTCAAGGTATCGTATGATTTTGTCCGAGATCTCAGGAGGGACCCGGGGAGACGGCCGTGTTGGGTCTATCGCTGGCATGTCATGGATCGCGAAAAGGGATGCACGGCGTCGACGGATGATCGATACACATATACGCATGCGTACACTCTCATGCCGAGCACATGATCTTTACCGCACCTCCGTGTATTAGCGCTATGATTATCCTGGGAGTCCACCACATCGTGTACCTAATCAGACCACTTCAGATGTGCTTGCCTTAACTGCTCGGCCTCGCCTCGGCGACGTACCCAACCATCTTGCCCACCCCGAACATGCAGTCGTCTACTATAAATCCGCATACTGTAGGTCACGCGCATGCCTCCAAACGACTCCCAAATGTGCGGATGTTGTTCACGCCTTCACATTCGTCGGTGGATAGCGGCTACTTCATTTTGTGCCCGCCATCCCGAATTTACACCGTGCACATTTCCCCAAGGTCGTGCGCAGCGGAATACAAAGAATGATAGGCGAACCAGATTCAACGCAAGTCGCGCGGTAACCCAACTCCTCTGCACTGGTGTGAGCGGACGCCGGGCGAAATTGGGTGTACGGCCGCCTCCAACGTTCGCGAGGCGGACGATGACCTTCATCGAGGTCTCCACAGCGGTGCCTGAACCAAGATGTGTGCATATACATCATGTAGACGAGCATCTACGCACCATAGACCTCTCGAAACGAGGCTCAAACTTAGCGCGGGGTAATAGCCTTCCACCATCGCCCTGCATGCCTATTCTGTCCACTCGTCTCGTGAGACGCGGGAGTAATGCAGGATGGAGTGAAAGCTCACCCCGATAGAGAACACTGCGCTCTCGACTTCCACCGGGAGGAAAAGCGTCGACCCCGCAGACAGATGCCGCGCATTGACGTTCTCGCCCGTCGCATACGGCGGGATCGTCGGGTACGCCCCGTCCTTCCCAGGCGCGACCTCGGCCGTCTCGACGGAGAGGACGACGACGCTGAGGGAATCGCCCCGGCGTGTGCAGGCGACGTACAAGGGGCTGTTCCATGACCCGGAGAAGAAAAGGTACGCGAGGGTTGCTGCAGTCGCGGAGGGGGTGATCTAGCCATTAGAGGCGTCGAAGCAGTCGAACGTGAGTCGACGGTGTCCCCGGACTAGATGTGGATGGCGGAGGGATCGCTGCTATCCAAGGCGAGATGGCACTGGATGCGGTTCACGGCGTGGATGGACATCGCAGCCTCTTGTGTTGCTGGCCGGGTGGTGGTCGAGCTCGAGAGATTGTCGTGTCGCGATAAGGAGGGCCGCCCAAGTCACGCGCGTCATGAAGCGCGTCTGTAACGTAACGGCCTCGAAAAGTACTGTGACCGTCAACGTCATGCTTCAGTGGATCCAGCTGCCTCCGCCCTCTTTGCAGAGGAAAGCGTGCTAAGTAGTCGGGTGGAAGTGTCGAAAGCACCGTGAGGGGTCCTGTGCTTTTTGAAGCCAGATGAGTCGGAATGCTCCCTGACGGGGCAGACCGTCTGCATGCATTCAGCGACGAAGTTTCTTGTCCGAGCCTGACAGAACCAGCGAATGAGCAAGAAGAAGCCAGCAGCCGCTTCACAAGAACGCACCGCAGAATCCTGTTTCAGATACTCTCGCCCTCGCCTTCGTCCCCTCTTCCCGAAGATCCCCTCTGCTGATCCGACGGGTTCACCAGCCTCCCACCACCTCGCCTTCTTCGTCGATCGCTCCGTTCCGGGTATGTTCTCCGAACATGAGCCCCGCATCCACGTCCGCGTCCGCGCCCCGAGTCGCAAACGGCGCAAAGACGCGCTTCGACACCTCGCGCGGCACTTCGAGCAATCCATCGTCCTCCACATCCGTCAGAGGCTGGGGGAGGAGCGCGCGCACCCGCACCGTCCGTAAGGTTGGGTAGCGCTTCCGGTCGCAAAGCGTCTCGGCGAGCCGGTCGATCGCCACGCACGGTCGAGGTCGATGGCCCAGCACGTGGTATCGATCTTGAGCGTCTCGAGGGCGGGATGAGGGGCGGGCGTGCCGGAGAAGTGGTCGGCGAGGAGGATGGGGAGCGCGTCGGTGAGGGTCCTGCGACGCCAGGAGCGTATGAGACGGGACTCGGGCTCGCCGTAGATGATGGCGAGGGTGCGTGGGCGCGGGCAGCTGGTGAGCGCGACGAGTGTTTTGAGCTGGGAGAAGAGCGCGTTGATAACGAAACAAGGGATCCGTAGACGATGGCGTGCATACGTGTGGTGTCGTCGAGAGAGGATTGGTCTTCGGGAGAATGGCTGAGGAGGACGGAGAGGTGCTCGCGGTTGGGCGTGGATGCCATTCCACGGTCGACGAACATCGAAGTACATGTGAATGTCCAACGTCACCAAGGCGCCCCGCGAGACGAGACCGCAGGTCGAGCAAGTCTCCAATGTCTATGCATGTGAGGTATGCACCTCTGCTGCCTTCCGCGTACGCGTTGTGATCGAATTCGGCGACGAGATGACGGAGACTCGGAAGCGATCTCTTGCTCGACTGCCTCCGGGGAGGTTCGTCGGGTACGTCCCGCCGTAACGAGCCCACTTCGACGGCGCTGAGACGGAGTGTGTCAAGAGAGGGGTATCCGTTCAGGAGTGTGGTGACCAAGAGTTTGGGGGATATTACGGAAGGCACTGAGAGGACGTCTGTGAGGGGATTGGGGTCTGGATCGCCATTGCCGGCAGACTAGAGCACAGTTGTGGAGGGTGGGTGAAGCGGAACAGCGTCGATGATGAGATGAGATCGCACAGCTAGGGTGCCAGTCTGGACGACGTCGTGGAGGAGAAGGACAGCCAGTGCGAGATGAAAATCGTCCCCAGGGACGGTCCGGGTAGCGGGCCGTATGTGGTGCACGCAAGCGCCAGCGGCCGGACGACCAGCCCGCCCTTCTCGTCGCGCTGGTCATACAACTCAACCTCCTCTGGTACGTCGCCTCGCATTCCTTCTTCGTGCTCCCACACCAAATCCCATTTCCGTGCAGCAATGTGCAGTGCATGCTGGCGGGACTCGCCCGTGTCTTCTATCGCCAAAGGCAAGGGCGTCGCCGGCCGCTCGCCCTCGTCCCCCGGCGTCCGCTTCTCCACCTCCCCACTCACCGACCATCACCGCCCTGCTTCCGACGGAGCACGGGCTCATTCCCAAGCCCATTCCCAGTGGCGGCGCCGACACCCCAGGGCGGCCGCACGACCTGTGCGTGGGCGTGGCCGCGACCGGAAGGGCATCCTCTCCGCGCTTGCTACGAATACGAGCGAGGCAAGCGTCCAGCCGGGAGAGCGATGAAGGGCTCCACGAACCAGCCGGGGTCGGGGCTGCTCGTGGCATGAAAAGACGACATCGCAACGGTGTGGCTGTAGGGCATGCTGGGCTTGTGAGTGTTTTATTCTGTACTTGCGAATCCCCTCTTCTGCGGCGTACGGTTCCTTGTGCTACGCGGCCGTGACGTGCTTGCAATTGTCGCCGGCGCGGACGACAGTTGCACGATGCGTAATGCGCGATGCTGGCGCTGAGCGCTGAGCGCTGACATATCGCGACCAGCTTTCTCAACGCGCTGCGCGCGTCACCTCGCTCCAGTGTGAGCCTTCAAAACTTCAAGCTGTCTGTGCTTCTTCTCGTTGGTGCGTACCCAGCTGTCCTCGCACCACCACGCGCTACGAAAGAGCATACCCAGGGATCCGCGGACAGCGGGCGCGGCGTCGGACTTGCGTTCGTGCAAGATGTCGTCCTCCTCGCTATCCGTGCTCTCTCCACCGCCGACTCTGTCCCGATCCATACTTACTCTACGCTCAAGCCCTGCGGCCGGACTCCATCTCCTCTCGTGCGTACACCATACTGATCCTCTGTACACTTCTGCGCCAAATGCCCCAGTCCTATCCCCCGCACCCCGTACCTCTCACGCACCCCGGATGCGCGCCGCACTCCACGCTGCACCCTCTTGTGCTCGCCGCCGTGCGCGGGAGCGAGGTAACCCCCACCGATATCCGATTTACCATTATTTGTCACACGCGCATTTCGTTTCTTCCCTCTGTGGCAGACCTTTTCCTGCGACCCGGATCCCGCTGTATCTATGTAGGCTTGGCCCGCCGAATCGCTTTATCCACTTGTACCCGCATAATAATGGTCTACTGCTTGCTATACTATCTTGAACTTGGCACTTTTAGTGTCCTCGCCGATGGTGCGATCGTGAAGCGTGCACCTTCGGACAATCGCGCCGATGTCCTCGGCGGGGAGCCTGGCCTGCGATCCGACCGGCGGACGAGCGTTGGCCCTGGTTTCACAGCTGAGTGTTTGTTCCGCCATGGTTTGTCCGATACTAAGCGTTGATTCTGTCTTGTCAGGCCAACGTCGGCCGGCGCGCCCTTCCCGCCCCTCCTCGAGCTCCGCCACCTCCCCAACCTGTGCGCCCTCACTTCTCTATCCCACCTGCGCTCCCACAGCTCGCCGCGACGCTCACCGACGGCGTGCGGCACCCCGCGCTCCTAGCGCACGCACGCGCAAACGCTCCCACGAGCGCGGCGTCCCACGACTTCTGGCAGCTGCGGTGCTGAAGGACTACGAAGTGATGGTCTCCCGGCAGGCCCAGACGCTCGTCTACCGCCTCGGTGACCCTAAGGGGGCAGAAAGCTGCTCGATGAGTCGTTCGACCGCTTCTCGTGGGTGTTCTACTCGTCTGATGTTGTCCACAGCTTCTGATACGCATACAGGTGCACGCGATTGCATGCGAGATATGGCGTGAGTGTCAGCGTATGCACCCCTCAGTGCTTTCCTCGCCCAGACGGTTCCCCGGGTTCGGTGGGGGCTCGGAGCTACTTAGCGGAACCGATAAGAACAACGTCTTCGCGGTTCTCACTACAGCAACTACGTGTGTACTCTGGCATATAAAGAACATGCGTGCTGACTCGCACACAGGGCTGCGGCGTTCCTCTCATCCGTGCCCCGGCTGGGAGCGTAGTACTTGGGATACATCCCTGTGCTCGTCAAACCTCTACGCACATTGCACCGCTCCGGAGTCCGCGCTCACCTAGCAGCGCATGCACTGCCGCGCGGCCACGCCTGATCTATTCCACTACCCCGTGCGTCCTCGTGCCTTCTCCCCCGCACGCACACATTCTGACGTATTGGTACTGTCGCTCCTTGTCATCTCGCGCCCGCGCATGTTTTGCAGAATACGACGGCAACCTGTCACGCCCTCCGCCCGCGCAGGAGTGGTTTATAGAAGACGTCATCCTCGCGATGGTCGCAGGCTCAGACACATGCACTACCCACGCAACACGGACGGGACGCAGATCCGCGCGCACCGCGCCATGAGACACCCCGGCGCGGTGCTGTGAGTGCTTGACCGAGCAACCCTGCACACTGCAACACTGACGGACCTCCATCGAGCAGAAATGAGACGCTGCGCCTGTTCCCGCCCGGGTCCCGAGCTGTGCGCAGCGCCAGACGGCCCCGCGCGGCCCTGGCCTCACTGTGGGCTGTGGGAGACCAGTGCGTTCCCGTCGAGCGACCGCGTGCGCCCGCGGACCGCGCTGATCGTCCCGCCTCGTCATCAGGTACATCCCGCCCGGGACGGCGTTCTAGGTGCGACGCACCGCGACACGCGCAGCTTCTCCGAGCCCACGCGCTTCTGGTCCGAGCGCTGGAAGCTGCTCGACGCGCACGACTCGAAGGTGAAGGACAGCACGGGCGGGTTCGCCCACGATGAGGCCGCGTTCCACCCGTTCTCGGACGGGCCGCTCAACTGCAGCGGTTCGAGGTCCGACGGACGGCGGGCGGCAGCGAGGGCGTGCAAGGGGTGGAGCGGTGGATGGCTGCGTACGAGAGGGCATACGGGGGCCACTTTGTGGGCGTGCGAGGGACGGCGCGTGTTGTGCTGGAGGCGTTTTGAGTGGTGCACAACTTCGACGGAGGTACGAAGCGTTCTCTCCTGTCAGGCTCATCAGCCTCCAGACCACATTCCTTACTTTGAATTCACGCAGTACGTTCATTGAGAGTGCGATGAGGATATAATCCTTGCAGGCTGGTGCGACGCTTCGTTGATGTCATAATTGGTGGGGATCGCCTGAGGACCATGAGGACATGATTACTAGGTACGGCAACGAACACGAGGGGCCGTCCCACCGCAAAAACGAGGAAGTGTTGAGAGGCGAGGGGAAGGAGGACCGATAGAAGATTGTGCGTTTGGAGAGCAGGAGCAATGGGCTACGTGAAGAGCGGTCTTGCCTCGTTTGTGTCTCAGTCTGAATGTATTCATCCATCACGAATAAATAACGAGAAAGTGCCGAAGAGATGGCGTGTTATATACCCCAATCGCGCTCCTTCGTTGCCTGGCCGTCCATCGACCGCGGTGTCCGGCGCACTTCAAACCGCTCGTGCACGGCATATACTTAGAGCGCCGTGCCCGTTGCGAGTGCGCGTCATACGCCATGCATCGGCCCGTGCGAGAACCAGACGAACCCGCTCAAGTTGGGCGCGAACTCAGCGCGCACCGGGGTCAGCCACGTGAAGCTAGGTTCGGATGGAAGTTGCGCGGAGCGCAGGCCAGGCACTCGGTGTGGACCCAGCCGTTCGTGCGCGGAAGAGTGTCTGCGACAGGAGGGACCCGTGTCAGAGGTGGCATGGAAGTTTGGCGAAGCACGGAATTTACCTGCCTCGTGTCGTGCCCCGAGCGGTAAAGTACAGACCCTCGTAGCTAAGCATCCGTGAAATCAACGAGTCGGCAGCAGGAATTCGTCCATCAGTGCTTATATTGGCCTCTTGGAGGGACAGCCTCCTCATTTGTTGGCGTGATTCCGCCCGCAGGAAAGAAGTGGACCACGTCTTTCTGCAGCTGCGCATGCGTCTCCGGGGGTACGAGAAGACACGCGAAGATGTTCATCTCCGACGCCTCGTGCCCGCGCTCGGTGATGACGGGCCGTATTGCGAGCGAGATGGCACACACGAGGCTGTACTAGGATGCTTGGGAAGACCTGCGATCGGAATGTATTGCGCATCGACAGCGAACACAACATGTGGGGGAAGGACGGCGAGTGCGCACACCATCATAACGAACAATCCTCGCACGGAAAGCCGGGTAGGGACGGGATATGGGTAGCGCAAGTACGAGGAGGTGGAAGTAGAGCGGCGATCGATGGGCAGCCAGAAGGTGGCAGCCTGGGCATTGGACAACCCCCATCGGCGACAAGACTGCGGAAAGGGTTCGGGTAAGTCTCAGAGCAAGTGAAAGAGAGCAGAGGCGTGCGGCGTACATCGTCTGCGTCGACGCGTTCGAGACGCGTTCGAGTCCCGAAGGAGAAACGCCGCCCAGCCGTTGGTCAATCACCATCCCTTCGCGTGCTTCCCACCTCGAACCGCTGGAGGACGGTGCACAGCGACATTACCATGTCCTGCGAGCAACCGCCCGAGTTCGTGAGCCGGCGGAAGAGCGGGACAAACGTGTCCTCGTCGTACTGGAACTTGCTCTCTGCATTTGTCTCGTGCGCTTCATCGGCGGTGGGCAGCCAGCGGTAGGTCCATAAGGTGGAAAGCTGCACGCGTCTTGGAGGAGGAATCATCGGGCAGGGATCGGGGGTGCGTCCTACGACAGAAAGCGCACGTTAGATGCGAGACATGTATGTGGGGCGCGCGAGAAAGCCTGCATCGAGCCGTATGTGGTGCCGAGGCTGGCCGAGGGCAAAAAGAAGAAATCAGCTTCATTCGTCGCGGGAACTCGACCACGAGAGCTTACATGCCCGTATTGAGAGGCGAAGTATTTTGTGGTTGGTGTGAGTTCGCAGTTGTCCAGCCCCCGCCTGCATGTCTCAGGGCGGGCGAGCAAGCACAGACACGTGCTTGTCTCTGCGCGAGGACGTCATCATGCGACGCAGGCGCTTGGGATCGCCTTCACTCCTCTGGACCAGACGACGTATGCGTGAGGGACGTTCGCGTAGACGCGAGATAGAAATGCACTCACGAGGGAGGGTTTGGATGACAAGCGCTTAATATGTGCTGCGGTGAACGCTGCATAGTGGGAAGGCGACTGGCTTGATCACAGAATCCGAGAAAGACAGCGAGCCATGGAACTGGTCCAAGAGCATTACCATCCTGCGAAGTAATAGCACATGAGGGGAAGGGGGAAATAGACGCAGAGTAGGAAGTAGACACGTACCGTATGTTCAGGTCGAGCACGGCCCAGAAGTTGTCCAAGTTCGTCTCCCGGCTCAACATCTCCGAAGCTGTTTAGGATGGCATGCCCGTCTATAGTCACATCTGCACAATTGCGTACAGGGGGTCGGCTGAAACAGCGCAGACTACCAAATCAAAATTCACGCACCAAAAGATCGCCCAGCCAACACACCCTCCCACATCCCCGATGCGCGACAAGCACGTCATGCACCTTCATCGACGCGGCCGCGAAGTCGCACAACCGCGGGGCAGCTCCCAACGTTCTCGGAGGCATTAAGGGAACCGGGGGCTTGCACTTGATCGTCTGAACGTGAGATCCTGGACATATGGTGAGCGACAAAGCAGAGTGAGCACGCGGAGTGACGTACGTAGACAGAAACACAGATCGCGAACCGAGAGCGTGATGCGATGCGTGGGCACGACACTCTGAGTGGCGAGCAAATGGGCCTTCGTCAGCGACGACCACAGCGGGTATGAAGGGAGTGGGTTGAGTATTCGGCGCCGCCCTTGAGCGCACGAGGGAGGAGGGGGGGACTTGGCGGAGGCGTGGACTGGGAGAAGGGAGGTGTGGGGCCGTCGGAGGGCGATGGAGAGCAGACGACGGAGGCGGGCGAGCGGAGGAGATGGCGTCATCGGCAGCAGGCGCGCGAGGCGTTGGCCAGAGACGCGCGTCCCTGGCCCGTGCTCAATCGTCGCTTGTCGGAGTCGCTCCGCGCTTGCCTCGTCTCTGCCACTTCGCTCTCCAAGAGGTCCGTCCTTGCATCGGAATTGAGGACACGCTCCTACAGCGCATTCTTCCAACAGCTATCACAGGTGTATCAACAGCGTTGCAGCAGCGCGCTCGCCATCCACCATCCCTGTCCTCTTTTCCGCAAGATTCTGTGTCTACCGTTCATCCCACCGCGACGTTTGCCTTCGGGGCCGTAGCTCTCCCGCACCCCTTTGCGCTTTCCGTCCGCCTGCACATGTAAGTGCCCATCTCGACCCGGCACAACACCGCACTCACCAGCCGATTCCCGCGCCCCATATTCCGCGATTGATGGTGAGTTGGCGGCGATCGCCTACCCGTTCCGCGCACCCGTCTACCATTCGAACAGCCTCTCCGCTCGTGCCCCAGCCGAGGCGAACATCCATCAATGTCATCGAGGATGCCGCAGCGCACATCTTCGCCATCGAGGACGTCGCGCGAGTGTTTGGGGGACAGACCGTGGCGGAGAAGGTCAATCTCGTTCTGGAGCAGCAGAGCTCGAGCGCTCCCGCGATCGAGACCATTCTCGGGCACACGGTGAGTCTATCTTTCTGCTAATTTGTTCGGTCCTGAAAAACGACTCCTCCTGTCCCATCTACCACCAATGAACCGACCTGGCCCGCGGCGCGCGCGACCAGGAGACGTCGACATCCACACCATCTGGCACTTCAGGTGCGCGTTTCAGCGCGGCGATCTCCACTCGGCGCTCGCGGAGGGGCTCCCGCCGGCACAACACGTCGACGCAGGCACTCGGTATAGGAGGTCACCAGTCGCACATTAGTTGAACCGGCGCATCAGATGCTTGTGAGACGATTTTCAGCCGGAGCATGGGCAGTTTTTAGCTGCGAACGAAGCTTTGCGGTCCGTAGAGTGCATGAGTCTGTGCGTTCTCATTCCTTGGCTTCAGCACTGTCTCTTCTCGTAGATCTGCCCGCGCGCCGTCTGTGCTGCATGTATTTAGGTTCATAGTACCCGACTTGTGTCTACCCAGTTCGTTTCCCCGCTATTCTCGCGTGTGCGGTATACTCATCCAGCTTCGTCCCAATAAACCCCAACTTCGCCTACGCCCACGACCTCCTCCTGACCGTCGCCCTCGTATTCTTCGTCGTCTCGCCAGCGCCCGTGTGCGCGATCTTTGTCTTCCCCGCGTCCATTCCCCCATCCTCGTCCACTTCGCCCGGTCCGCCTCTCTTCGCGTTCACACTCCCCACAACGCCGCCTCCCCTCGCACGACTTCCTGAGCTTCACGCAGCACGCTCACGTCCCCTCGCTCTCTCGCCTTCATTCCTGTTCACTCTGCCCCGAACTTGACGTCACATCATCGGGCTCCGGGACTCAGATCAACTTCCCTGCTCGTTTGCTTGTCAGTAAAAATCAGACGTGTTACGTAGCCGTTTGACAAACCTTCTCCTTGCCAGAATGATGTTCCCGTCTCGACTTCAGCGTTCCACTTCTCTCCGGTCTTTGCGTCCTTTTCTTTACGGCTCCACTTCCAGGTTTCCTTAAAAAACTCGTTGAGTAGAGTCACATCTACTTGTGCATCTTGACTGATGAGGGGCCACATCCTGGACAAGACTTCCAATGCTAGCGCTCCACGTGCCCCTACATTGCTTTTCTTCCAGGCCAGGCGAATGCTCGCATTCTTCACAGTGGAGAAAGGCCTGCGGGAGGTGAGGTCGGCGAGCTCGATGAGGTCCGCCTCTGTTGCACGGGTGAGGGCGGTGAGGGGAACGGTGAGTGTGAGATCAACGAGGTGGGGGCTGTTTCCCTGCACGAGGCCGCGCGCGATCTCGAGGAGAGCAGCTGTTGTATCCAGATCGAAGTTGAGGCCGAGTTTTCTCACGTTTCGCAAGCTCGACAGGAACGATGTGTCTGTTTGGGTGCTGTCAGCATGCGATGGTTTGTGCCGCCGAGTTGTGGGATGTCGTACCAACATGATGGCCATTTGTGTATCTGAAGTCATCCACGACTGGCAGCAAACGTGCAAGAGCGGCTGTGCCGAGCGGTGCGAACCGACTTGAGGTTTCTCCCTCTGCAAGCCTTCCAACATTGACGGTGTTGAGTGAAGTACAAGATGAAGTGCTTGCGAGGTAGTGAAACAGAACATCAAGGCAATCACTGTGGCTGGGTGAACCAACCCGTAGTGAGACACTGCGCAGCTGCGGTCTGGGGCTTATGTACGATTTTATCATGGTGTCGTTAGGAGATATAGGGAATGTAACTCGATCAGCAGTAAGACAAAGTAGATTAGGGATTGCAGCAAGTGTGAGTCGAAGAGTCTGGAATGAGTGGAACTCGCAGTAGAATAATTTTAGTGTCGTGAGTCTTGTGAGGGTGGAGATGGATAGGAAGGACCGAGGTGGGATTCTGGAAGTCAATTCGACACACTCGAGCCTGAGGAATTCAAGGTTGGGTGCGTTGATTGCCAAGCAAGAGAACACAGCTCCCAGAGATGGAGAGCGACTGTTGTCTACGTAGATGGTAAGTCTTCGGAGGGGAGAGATGGAAAGTGGGGAAGTCTGGACGACACGGGTGAGAAATAGACGGGCTTCATCCAATGTCCGAACGTGGAGGTCGGAGCAGAGGACATATCTACTTGTGGGGAGCCAGCTGCGGGAGACGACCATGCAATGGAGTAGTGTTGTCCTGTCGTCCCCATATGCCGGGTCAAGGCATTGTATGATTTTGTCAGAGATCTCAGGAGGAACCCGTGGGGACGGCCGTGTAGGGTCTATGGCGGGCATGTCGTAGAGCGTGACAAGGGATGCGCGGCATCGACGGACGATCGATACGCAGATACGCATTTGCACACTCCCATGCATAGCACTTGATCACGAGCGAGCGATTCATTCCCGCGTATCCGTGTATTAGCGCTCTGAGGGTTCTACTTGTATCTTGTAATGTACATGCAGCTGAACATGTCACCCAATATACATCCTCAAGGGAGTCACCTAATAGTGTGGAAGTTGTCCGCGTCTTCACAGTTCCAGGCGCCGGATGGCGGCGATTTCAGTTTTTTCAGCCTTCCTGAAGGCTAACACCTCTAAACCGTGCACAATCCCTCAACCGCACGAGGATGGACATCGTGCGTCTTCGCGCGTCTCCACGCTCTCGAAAAAGTACCGTGCGCATTCTTGAGTGCAGCCGTAAGAGGCTCTCGTCTGTACTGGTGAGCAAGATGTCAGCCTGGCAGCAATCTCGCCGAAGAGCTCGAGACACGATGTGATACGCTTCGTCGTGTCCCGGTGTGCACACCGGCGGCCCCACCCACCCGTCCAACCACCGCGACCGCGACCGCGGTACACACGGCGACCCGCCGAAGGCGGATGCGTGCCGCAGCTTCTGCCCATCGCTCGGGTCTCAACGATGAGATTTCTGCGCGCCACGCGTGGTAGACACTGCTGATAGGTCGACACAAACAGAGGGAGGAAGGGGCAGCATGAGCTCCGCTGCGCGTCTTGATCTTGGCCAAGAACGGACTCCGACGCGTCCGCATCGACCCCAACCCGTGCTTCACGAACGGCCCAAAGACGCTCTGGAAAATCAAGCACGGCTCGCGCATGGCGCGCACGCCGCAGGCTGAGCTGGGCATAGTAGCAGGACGCGGGCGCGATGCGGAGCGAGTCGCCAGCACGGGGTTGGGCGTGCTCGGATGAGTTCTCGTGCGACAACGATGCCATGTTGGACGGAGGCAGTTTAGGGTTGGCCGGTCCAACCCGGTCCAACGAGAAGCCGCCATCCCAGCGCGCAAGGAGCCACGCCCGCTTCCAGAGCCGGATGAGCGATCTGGCATGCCCTCGTCGCCACCGAACACGAAATCCGAGGAGGCGCTTGCCTGTGGCTCTACCAACATGCGCTCCTTTGGCCACTCGCCGAAGCGCAGAGGAAGGAGCGCGCAAACGTGGACCCGGCGAAACGAGGGGCAATGTTCCCGGTCGCAAAGCGTCGCGACGAGCATCGGGAGCGTACTCAAGATCAATCGTCCAGTAGGTCGTCGTGAAAGCTCCTCGAAACGAGGGTGGGGAACGGGCGGAGAAGTGCTCGTCGAGAGCGTCGACGAGGTCGTCGCCGGAGAGTCATAGCGGATGGTGTGGTCGCGGGGGCGGCATGCGGGCTTGATTTTCAAGAAGGAGCGAGGGTTGTAGCGGTCAGGAATATCGAGCAGAACACGCGTCCCGGTTGTGCCAATCTGGAAAGGCGCGGCGATCAGCTGGGATCGCGAACGAGGAAAGGCTGGACACGCACAGTTTCCGTCGTCGGTGGCCGGGCCCGTGTGTGCAGAGCCCCGGGATGGCACCGGATGTGAGATGACAGAGGCGAGGAGTATGTTCGAACTTCGAACTGTGCGGAGAACGAGAGCGTTGAGAGAAGGGGTGGCGAACTGAGGTGTCGATAGGGGGCTGGGACGAGATGACACAGGGAAGGGCGTTGCCACCAGCGAGAGTGAGTTCTCGGAGATTGGGATACCACAGCGGCCGGTCGCCTATCTCATGACCGCCCCATTACGAGTCGACTTGGAGGAAGTAAGAGAGGCACTTGATAGTGAGTTTGTGCACTGCACGAGAAAGAGCGGGCCGTTGCCAAGAGAGGACTGCGCGCAGCTGGAGGACGACGGCGGAGAAGAGCCGGCGCAGGGCCCGAGTCCGCCATTGGGAACAGACGAGGGAGCGGTGGCGTAGCTCGCGCGTCGTCGACGTCTGCGTCGCTCAGTTGAGGCGGAAGCCGTGCCGAGATGAGGGCGAGGAAAGAGGAGGAAAAGGTCACGGAAATTGATGTGTCACATGTCGTGACAAGACACGTCCCGTTACCGTTGTCGTCACAACACGCGCGGCGCGGCGCATCTCCGGGCCTGGCACCCGACCACGACCATCACCAACCACTACCATCTGTCATGAATATGACAAGGTCACTGAATATTCTCTTGACTTCGGCAACGTTTCCAGCGGAATCCTGCGCAAGTATTGCTGACGCTGCAGCGCTCCCGGTCTGGCTAGCTCGCCTTGGTCGGTGGGCGGTGGGCCATATATGTGTTCGAAAGACGGATGGGTGGACCCGGATGTGCTGTGAGTCTCTAGATGCTCATATTCTTGCTCATATGCGCCGCTCGCGGTTCGGTCATGTGCTGGGGAACCTCGTCCGCGACTTCACGGAAGTCGATGACGAGGTTCCTGCAGTATGCGGTTCAAGTTTCTACTGTTCATCGACGTGTGCGGCTCTTACAATACCTCGCCCCGCCCGTTACGCAGAGCATTTCAAGAAACATGGTTGTGTTGCGCTCGCCGAGTATCCCTCTGCGCACGACCACTCCCGCGTCGCTTCATCCTCGTTCCGCGGCCCTAGTGTGTTGACCGCGATGTGCACTTGCATATGGACTGGTGGGACGAGTGACTGTTCTGTCCTCATGGTCGCACGGGTTGGAACATGAACAGCGCCATCGTGCACATTTGGCGAAACAGGCGGAAGACCCCTACCCGGCGGTACGCTCGCGTCACTATCTCTCTCAAAGTTCTTCCCTCGATTCCGTCTCCATGTTCCATGTCAGAGGTGATGCTGACCAGCCACTCTGCGCGCCGTTCAATCAATCACGCCTAGCCGTTCGCGCAGTCGAATTCCCCATGCTCAGGCTGTCCCCAGGCTTCCTGAGCACCTTCTTATCGTGCGGGGGCCATCCCGGGGCTTCTCACGCTGCGCGACATTTTGATGACCGTCTCCCCACATCGATTTCTCATTCAGGCTGAGGTATTTGCAGCGTTCTGCAGCAGCGCGAATCACCAGCGTCAATAAGGTTGTCCGGGGCACTGGTTCGAGCGCAGGAAGAGAAGGCGGGCTGGTGATGGAGCGAGCTGATTCTTGGGACCGCGTGATTGCGTGTCATGTATTGGTACGTAATCCCGTACGCGCTAGTTTGTCGAGGCTGAGGTACTCCTGCTTCAGCCGTTGAAAAACAAGTACTCAAGCGATGCCCACAGCCCTGCGTTGCTTGCATTCAGGCGTGGCCAGACTGTGAGTTCCGTCTCTTGAAATCCCGAAGGAACTCCATCTGATGATTGAATGGAAGCGAAAGACAAAGTCGCAGCGGGGAAGCTTGGAGGAGGTCCTGGGGGACAAGCGCTCCATATGGGCGCCTGTGATTCCCACGTCTCAATATAGCTCTGATCCCTGCCGGAAAGTGTATCTCTCCTTCCCCCGCAGACACTGTTGATCACGTCTCTCCGTTCGCTGTTCAACGACGTCAGTAGAGGATTAACAGGAAGCAACAGGACAACTGTGTCCATAAACCCGCACGGTGTAAAGCAGGGGAACCTTTCGCTACAGACACAGTGCACGTGTCGGCGCGCGCGTCTTGCTCTGGTATGCTTCTTTCACTATGTTCAATGTCGCTGCCGCACGTCACTGCCTCCTGTTTCGGGACATCAACGCGTACCTCGCGATTTGGCTATCAACGCTTCTCGTCTTTCTGACCTCGCACGTTCATCGAATCATCATCACCGCCGAAAGAAACGAATGCCGGCGAAACTTCCGCCACAGCGCGACACTCCCGACTCGCTCAGTCGCCGGTCGGACTCGGGCACCTCTGCGGCGGACTCCTCAGACAGTTGATGTTTCGCATAGGCTCTGTTGATCATCGCTTGGGCTTGGTGATAGATCGTGAATTCTCGGGTAAGTCTCTTCGGTCGATGATCCAGATTCTATGTAATTGCCCAGCTTCCTCTGTCAATTGGCAAAGATTTAGGGCTGTGCACGACCGCGCTCGCGCAGTGTGAATGGTGCATCAGGTTTGCGTTCGGTCATCGAACCTTGGCTGATAGCATGATTTATTGCACCCCATTTCTTCTCCTTTTCACGGTGATCGCATGAGGCTAACCCCACGTGCTTCTTGAGCTTCTCTGTTGTCCACAGCGGGGCATCGGAAGGTGTGTTGCTGGCCACCGGCTCGGGCCCGCATACTCGGCTACTCTGGATATGCATAAAGGTACGTTGTGCTCGTTCATGTACCTCCACACCCCACCCCCTCACCTCCGATGTCGTCCCAAAACGTCTCACGCCTCGACGCTGCCCTTGAGCGCGCCCTCATCAAGCGCGAAGAGCTCGGGCTCGACGCGTCCGACCTCGTCCATGCCTCCTCCTACGCTGCACCCGACTTCTTCTCCATCGACTACCTCTCTGTCACCACCCAGCCCGCCATCCGCGCCGCGTTCTTGGAGAACATCGCCAAGGAGCCTCGAGTCCTTGGCTCTGGCGGCTCACGGCGCATGTATGGCAACAGCCCGCTGTACGTCAAGCTCGAGCAGCGTCTCCGCCAGCACTTCGACGCGGAGACCGTCCTTCTGTGCAACACCGGGTACGACGCCAACCTCTCCTTCTGGCAATCCGTACCGCAAGCGGGCGACGTCATCCTCCTCGACGAGCTCGCGCACACCTCCATCCGCGACGGCATCAACCTCTCCCGCTGCCGCGAGGCGCAGTACGCCTTCGCGCACAACGACGCCGCCTCGCTCCGCGACGTGCTCCAGCAGGTGCTCAAGAAGCACCCGAGCATCACCGCGGGGAAGGCGACGGTCTTCGTCGCCGTCGAGACGCTCTACAGCATGGACGGCGACTTCTGCCCGCTGCGGCAGGTGATCGAGGTCGTCGAGGAGGTCGTCCCCAAGGGCGCGGCGCACATCATGGTCGACGAGGCGCACTCCTCCGCGCTCTTCCCGGGCAGCCGCGGCCTCGTGTGCCACCTCGGGCTCCACAAGCGCGTGCACACCATCATGCACTCCTTCAGCAAGGGCTGGGGCATGCTCGGCGGTACGTCCGCGCCGCCTCTCCCTCGCCGCCCGTCGCCGCTGACCCGCGTCCGTCTGCGGGGCCAGGTGTGCTGCTCACCACCCCGATGGTCCGCCGCTACGTCGTCAACTACGCGCGCGCGTTCGGCTACTCCGTCGCGCTCCCGCACCCCCAAGCCGTCGGCATCAACGCGATAATGGACTACCTCACCAGCCCCGTCGGCCAGCAGGTGAGCGCGCCCCCTCTCCCCCGCGCCCGCGCCCGCGCTCTCGCTCCCCCCGCTCCAAGCGCGTCCCCTGATCTCCGTCGCCCCCCGCAGCACGACGGGCGGCTGCGCGCGAACTGCGCGTACTTCGAGCGCGCGCTCAAGGCCGCGTTCCGGGCCTACCCCCCGGAGGTGCTCCGACTCGGGCCGCGCACGATCCCCGCCGACTTCCCCGCGACGGTCTACAGCCCGATCTTCCCGGTGCTGACGGCGGGCTCGAAGCAGCTGACGAACTACCTGATCGCGCGCGGGTACGCGGCGACGGAGATCGCGTTCCCCGTCGTCCCCCGCGGGCTCCAGCGCGTCCGGCTCGCCGTGCACGCGGGCAACAGCGAGCCGGAGATGGACGAGGTCATCGCGCACATCCTCCGGTGGGCGGACGGGTTCATCGCGGAGCGCAAGGCGGCGGGCGCGAAGCTGTGAGCGGGATTTGGGGTCGGCTGGCCGTTGCCGTGTACTACTGTATGTGCGTACCCCTGGAGCACGCTCCACTGTTATGTATAGACGTCTGCTTCTCTCTTCGTTGCCTGCCGCGTGTTCGGCGAGACTGTGTGCGGGTGCTGTACTCCGAAACTCGCGGCTTGGGACGAGGCCGTTCGGGGCGGGCCTATGCTTGAGGCTTCTCCAGATGGCTTCGAAGTTCGAGCGCGACTGCTCGTTGATCCGACCTTGTCCCATGTGCGCCCGTTTGAAGATTTCGCTGTTCGACTAACTCCATGGGCGGCGCCGGTGCTGATGCTCTTGATTGTTCCGAGTGTCGTCTGATCTTCACCGGTCATAGGATTCCCCCGTCTCTTCAGACACATATCATGGCTTGTGTTTACGCACACTTTGTAAACAACTGCCATACTAGTGACGAAAAGTGAGCGTCGAGCCGCGCAGCAAGAGACACCGACATGCATATATCCACTTGGGGCTCATTCGTCTTCACTGCATCGCGCAACGTCAAGGATCTCCGAATCGGACGTGTGGTGCGTACCGACAGCGCGGAAGATCGCGGCAAGCCCGGCCACGGCACACTCGAACGACACGTGCAATCGGCGGTGCTACACACACCCTCCGGCACGGCCTCCTTGAGAGGGTCGTTCGGGCTGCCGAACTCTGCATCATCGAAGGCCGCCAACCCCGCGCCCACCTCCATCCCAACTCTCCTCCGCACCACAAACGCCGCACACAAGCGCCCGTCCCAACCAAGCGCCGTCTCATTCCAAGGCTGGGGCATTGGACGAGCTCGCCGCGGAATGGTGCGTGTAGGCGTCAGCGATCGTGCGGCTCGCGTCGGCGGGCGCACCGATGGGCACCAGAAAGAGGGACCCGCGACGGCTCGCCGTCGGTATCGATTTTGGGTTCCGGTAGACACAAGCGAACCTGGGTGGGGCGACCCCACAATCCGCATACTGAGGCCCGGCCTGACGGGCGTGTCTGACGGGCAGCCCCCCGAGGCTCGCCGCGATGCCTCGCAGATGGCCGCAGACGTAGGGCGTAAGACCGATCTAATGTCAGAGAAAGAGAAAGCGAGAGAGAAGAGAGAAGTATCATTTGTCCGGGTGCGTTCTTCTGGACGTACGTTGACGGCGGAGTCTTTCCGTGAAGCTTCGTCGACACTGGCGAGCTCAAGACAGCTAAGTGAAGTGGGGCATATATGCCATAATTCGGCGCATCTGCGCGAAGAGCTGAACACGTAAGTGCAAGAACCGGCTCCTTGACTAACTGTCATCGCCGTAGAACTAGAGTTGGTAGTCAACAAGAGAGAGTATCTGGATACTTGCGCAGATGGTTGCTGCCAACAACCAGCAGGTTCAAGGGAATGACGGCCGCGTGAGGGAGCACGTTGGGTTTGGCGAGATGAAAATGATCAAGGACGTGACGGCTCACAACTCCGGGAAGAGACGGTGACAGTCACCACTTGGCGTGACGTTCCTGGATGTTTGGTCCTGCTTGCACGCCACCGACGCGTCGCCGCCCAATCGCAGTGACTCGTGGCCATGGCCTCGTGAGCTGGAATCACCCGCCTCCTCCCACTTGGACGGCCCCCAGCAGTCGACGACCTCGCTCGTGAGTCGTCTCGACCCTCTCTCTAGTATCGCTCTATGATTCACTGCACTCCAACAGATCGACTGACGTGCTGTCTCATGGAGGCGCTTGCCACGTGTGCCTGCTTACGCTCGCTCTCGCCTTCGTAGAGATCGCTCTCGATGCCGCGAAGGCTTCACGGACGCCCTCACATGGTCATCCTCATAGACCACTTCTTCCACACACCCGCGCCCTACCCGCAGCTCTAGGAACCCCATCTCACTGCCACTTACTTACTGGGGCCAGGACCTCGCGCGCGCTTGGTCTAGGTACCGCCGTTCCACAACTGGCGGCGGGCGGCGACATGGTGCGACCGCGCGCGTACCCGGCCGCTTTCCCGCGGACACGAGCATGCCCCCACATGGTCTCCGCCTTCTGGCCCGGTCTGGATCCTCTTCGTCTCTCGCTGGAAGCAGGCGATTGCGTTTTGGACGATGCACGACGCTGCGATCTTGCAGGAGTTCGCGGAACGTGGCGCCGCTCGTGTTTGGTCAATCACTTGAAGCATCGCTCGGACGCAAACCCTCAGCGTTTGTGCGCAGTGCACGCTCATTGTGTTTACTGCCAGGCGAATGGGATTTGTCGTGGGGGGAGTATTTACAGCTTCTGCGTGGGATTCTGATTAGTCACTAAGTAGTCGTCCGATTATATTCAGACACCAACCTGTTCCCTTCCGCATAATGCCTGCGTTGTCTTGATCACCACGCCTCAAGTTATCAAGTCCAACGGGCTGTTTGTCGGTTCGTTCAATCCTGCCCGATTTCGTCGCATGTTCTCATCAAGTTTCTCCAGCGCCACCCCGTCTAATGTCGGCGGAAGTTCTCCCGCGCGAGGTGCAGGACCACATCATCGACTCCGTGAATATTGTTGCTCCAGGCGCCCTCCTTGAATGCTCTCGTGTCTCTCGAGCGTGGCACATTCACTCTCAGCATCACCTCTACTCTTCCGTCACGATCCGAGATGTCCGCTCAGGGCCTAGCACGAGCAACAAGCACGCGTTCCTTAACACTCTCGCCCTCAATCCACTCCTCGCGTCAAGGGTCCTTTCACTCGAGCTGCTTTGGAATGGATGGGGTTCCGTCATCGACGCTGAGCTCACCTGGCTCGCCCTGCTCGTGAACCTGCGATCGTTGACCCTGGTTTCTCACCCTACCATGCACCCGATATCCATTGAAAGTCTTTGCCGGATCTTGCTCTGCTTACCGTCTCTCGAATCTCTGACTTTGCAAGACACGGTTGTTTCAGATGTTTGTCCTGTGCCCGTCATACCTCCCGACAGCCATCCCACACAGCATTCACTGCAACACATCCGCTTTACGAGTCGGTTTTTCGAGAACACCACTTGTATTACTCCTACATCGACGGAACCCACCTCTTCTTCACGGTCCTCAAACAGTTTGCATTTATTTCTATGAAAGGGCTGAAAACTGTGGATATCCCTCGGCTCCTACCATGGGGAAACCCGCACGCATCTCGGGCGGTTCTATCAAGCATTGATACGTCGCGGCTCGAGCGGTTTGGAGTTTTCATCGCTGAATACAACCAAGGCTTGATGCCCGCATGTACGTCGCGTGTCGCCACAACCCGTACGCAATCATCTGACAACGATGTCTTTTTATACAGCACTTCAGATGCGCAATATGTTGCAAGGGATTTCAGGCTTCACCTCACTTCGCCACCTCGACATATCCTACATGAACCTGTCTTGCTACAAACACGCTTATCTCACGGCGGCCAACCTCTCGCTGCAGCCTTTCCTTATCGACGCACTCCACGAGCACTTTGCCCTCGCCCCCGCGCTTCATCCGGACATGGCCAAGATCACCCTCCGCGTTCTGTACCCCATCGTCGCTCTCGTCGAGCCCTGGACGCCCGCCGTAGCGCGTCTCGCGGCAACCCTCTGCAACCGCGCCAAGTATCCGCGATTCCGCCATCTTCACCTTCAATCCGTGGTGCGCAAATGCAGCACCGGTTGGCCGTGGGATGCGTCGCTGGAAGAGACCCGGGAGATTGGCCTACGGCTGTTTTCGGCGTTCGAGGAGAAGGGCGTCGAAGTCGAGGTGGAAGCGAAGGCATTCTGGCTGGAGGGTCGTGCATGACGTGATACACGGCTGCGATTCCAAATGAAGAGATGGTGAGCCTGAAACATGGTCAATCCCAACTGCCCCCTCTGACGGCGTTGACAGAGCTATTGTTGCGTGACACCAAGTAATTAGCAGTAAAGAGCCGTGGCCGTGGTCGCTGCTTGAGAAATACAAATATCATTGGCGCGCGGAGCGCATGTGGTGACAGCAACGTCGTGACCAATCACGCCTTGTGACACCCCCCATTTTCGTGACCGGTTTTCCGTCGCCTTTCAGCTTGCTCTCACCTTCATCTAAGAAACACGGTCGACGACGACGTCGCAGTCATACACAACCTCCGACGATGTGCGCTTGTTTTCTCCCAATGGCGGGCTCAGCGCCGTCTCGTCTCGTCCGTCGTCAGCCCGCTCGGTGATGTCAGCAACTTCAACTCCGCTGTCTTCGCTCACCGCCGCACTTTATCTCAAGTGGTCCACAAACTGAAGCACTGGTCGCCGACATCGGCTCCTTGTAATGGGGTGGTCACAAGCTCGGTGACTGACCAGGACCGCCGCGGTTTCCAATCTCCGGCGCTCACGGTGTCGAAGTCAGCGCACTCGACCTCGAAAGCAGAACAGACTGGCCCACCGACCCCGCCGCGGAATCGGTCCCGAGGATGGCACATGTGTCATTCCACCTCCCGCCGCTTCCTCCCGGGGCTCTACATCCGGAGGCCATCCAACCCATACGTCCTCCACATCCTCGTCTGCTGCGCCTTCATCTCGGCCGACGCGCACGTCACCCCCGGCCTCCCGTGGAACAGTCCTCTCTTGATGCCCACGCGTCCGGCTTTGTAGCATTTTACCGTCATGCCGAGCCATGGAAACGGTGCGCGTCAAACGTTGCCTCGTCCGCGAGTCCTGCAGCTGATCGCTTCGCTTTTCCAGACTGGCACGTCCGCCGCGCCGCGTGCTGGACTCGCACTCTGCGGTCATGGCCCTTTGATATCTCCACATCATCTCCGGAGAGCCCGAACGCCGCTGCCGCGATTGCAACTTCTGTTTCTTGGAGGACCTCATCGACGCTCTCGACGAGCACTTTTGGACCACGCCCGTTTTGCGCCCCCAGTGGTCCGCGTTTGGGTGCTCGCTCCTCTACGCCTCAGCCAGCAGGCGAGGAAGCGCCTCTTGGCGGGGCCTCGCGCAATGGCCAACCTCCTTCGCGGAGAAGGAGATCGAGGTCAACACGGATGCAGAGTCCATTTAGGTGACGGCGACGATTATCTGGGTGTTGAGGTAGCCAGCTGGGGCTGCTCTACGGCCGAACCGGTATGATTCACCGCTTTCGGTGTGGTCATCTGAACTCATGCGCGCGCAGGCACCGAGTTGTAGTTCTGTATCGTCGACGTCCGTCATGTCGTCGACCTTGTCCAAGACTCGCTCGACCTTTGCCAGTGCGCGTTTGTATGCTCGCAGTGGCGGTCTCGAGTGCGGGATCGCCTGTGTGAGTTCATCGTCTTCCAAGTCGGCGACGTCTTCGGATCGCGGGGCGGAAGCAGGAAGAGGTGTATAAACACGGACCCTGGCGACAGCCTTCGTTCAGTACTCGCCGGCCACTCCGTAAGTACGGCAAGCCCGGGCGCCTCGAGAACCACGCCGTGCACAACCTCCGCCTCGAGCACCTCTCCGAAGCGCACTTCACCGCCACGCCCGCGCTGCATCCGCGCTTCGAGGAGCCCCAGCTCTCGTTCACGTACTGGGCCAAGGACGTCGAGCGCGCGTGGGAGCCGACGGTCCCGCAGCTCGCGGAGACCCTGGGCGACCGCTCGCGGTACCCCGCGTTCGACCGCCTGCGCGTCCGCGGGTTGATCCCTCTCAGGTACAGCGCGTCCTGCGCGGCCCGCGCAAAATACTCCAGAGCCTGTTCGAACCCTTCGAGAAGCAGGGCGTTGAGGTCGACGCAGATGCGGAGTTCATGCTCGGCGAGGACGAGGATCTGAAGGTTACTAGTAGCCGTTCGACTGTCCCCGTTCCCGTCTTTCCCACTCAGACCCCGAGCGACGACCCCGCGTGACGTGCACCGGTGTTCTTGGGCATAATCGCTGCCTGTGTGTCGGCCTGCGATCTATTTCGCACGCCGCGCGCGGCGTGCGCGCGGTTGACGTCCGCGCTCGGTTCGGGCGCTCTTCGCGAGTCGGGTCCAACAGTCTCACAAGCGCACTCCTCCAGACTTCCCGCCGAACTTGCTACTGGGAAGCAAAGGAAGCACTCTCACCCCTCCACTTGGAGGCTGTATACCGTGATCGCTTTCTTGAACTTCTGTCTCACTCGCACGCCTCCTCCACCGGCATACACTCCCTTAGGTATGGCCGTGATTTTCGAATATCGCCCACGACTACCTACTCCGGCTGACTCCGTATTCCAGACACAGAGCACCGCTTCGTCAACCAGTGTTCTTCGGGGACTGGTGAGTGTGGTCTTGTATCGAGTTCATCGTCGACTAGAACGCTTATTACAGCACAGATGCATCATCTGCCAATGGAATGAGGCTGTTGTGTCGAACTTTGACGAAACACAGATTTAAGAAGACGGGAGATGACGAATTGGTTGGTCGCGACGTCTTCGAAGTCCCGGGGGGCAGATGGAAAAGAACAAGGCTGGCGATAGAATTGACACGCGCTGTTGCAAGAAGATTGTTCGGATCTGGATCTGATTGTACTGGACCAGAAGCTGTGGTGAGTGCGACGCTCTATGATAACCCTTCTTATATACCCATCCGTCGTCGCCAGGTTCTTTCCCTCTTCTTCCGCCTCGTCGTGCGACCCCTCAGAGTACTACTACCCTCTAACGCAAACCCGCTTACATAATTTCTTCTACGCGGACGTCATGGGAAGCTTTACACTATTCAAGGCCTACTACGTTGGCATGTTCTGCGAGACGATCCTATATGGTGAGCACACTCACACGCTCGCATGTTGCACTGCGATATAGATCTTCAAAACAGGCATGTACACTGTTCTGGCATTCTGGACGATTTTGCTATTGATGTAGCTCTCCGGATCTTCACGCGATATAACCTTCACCTTACGACTTTTTTCAGACGCAGACGCCGTGAGCAGAGGATGGTCTCGGTCAGCGTTATCATGAGCGTCCTGACTGCGCTCATGTACTGTATCTCCACTGTCTACATGGGACTTTCCCTGTACGTCAACATGATCGGTTTTGTGGACGAAAGGGGTATCCTCGACGTCGAAATGACTATTCTTGACCGCTCTGGGACGAGCGTCGGATGGGTAGAAGACTGCCTGCAGCTGGTGAACGTGCGCACTTCAGACTTATTGAAGCCAGGTGCATACTACTGACAGTCCTTGCATCTTCACAGTGCATAATCGGAGACGCTATTGTTTGCTGGAGGACCTGGGTGTTGTACGGCAGAGATTGGTGTATCCTCATCTTCCCCGTTTCATGCATCATCGGGAGCATTGGTGAGCCATATTTTTCATTCAGCATACATTCGACTCATTGGCAACTTGTTGAAGTCTCTGCGTTTGGGTTTTGCGTATCGCTAGCCAAGTTGGGCCCGGTAGAGAATTTCTACACCGGAGGCACATTTTTGTGGTTCTTGGTCTTTGGAGCGTGCACGTTCACCCCGAACTTTTACTCGGTAGTGATGATATCTCTGAAAGCTCGGTACGCATCCCCCATCATTGCTAAAGTTATCTGAACCAACGTTCCTCACGTCATCTCAGAGCTCTAAGAAAAGCGAACATCCACATACTCGGGAGATCCAAATCGTGGAGCGCGCTCTTGATCATCATCCATCAGTAATTTTGCACGCGTCTGGCACAGCTGTCGCGTCTGTCAATTTCGCACGCAGCGGCCACAGTTCAGCAGTTGAGCAGATGAACAGTTCGGGGCCACACAGCTCCAACAGTTACGCAGACAGACAGACGGTCTGGGACGCCGACAGATAACCTAGCTGGCATATTACCTGGTGGGTGTGATTATTCTACAATGGACTCCCGCAATCGGATACTAGGATTGTTTCTATTGGGCGTATCGTACACTAGTACACGGTGTCTACGAGCTGTGATCGAACTCCAAGTCCGTGCTTGTCAGTGCATGTGCAGCCAGCACCGTCTACTGATCGACGCTGTCGCGAAGACCGCAGACTGCACGACCGAAGGTTGCGGGGCGACCTTGCAGTGCCTTCAGTGCTCACCAACGGGCCCCAAGTCCGCAAGCTCGGGCGGCGAGCCCATCGGGATCGCCGTGGGGTCGCGGGAGTGTGCCGGGGAGTCTCCGAACGCATACGAGTTCCAACCCCCGTTGACCCACCGTCCATCGAGTCCGCACAATCCGAGACAAACCGGCCCACCGCTCGCTCATGCCCCACAGATGACGACAGTGCAGAGACAGAGCACTCAACGGTAGCTGTGTGGAGCTCGAGTTCGACCCAGTTTGTCCTGGCCGTGCGATGCACTCCCATTGAGCATGGCGTGCCGGTCGCGACGCTAGCAGAAGAGGAGCCCTCGCCGGCGGCGCTGCCACATATCCGCGGGTCGAGCTTATGTACAAGGCGTGGATGCTGGTGGTGCTGTGAAACGTCGGGTCCCACTCGTCACTGTCATCGCCCGAGGCTTTAACCCAACCGCTGCCCCCGCGGCAGCCAACGAGCCGGGCAACGTGAGGGCGAGACAGACAACGTGGGGGCGGCGCGAGTGACACGGCGACGCGTGGGCAACGCAGGGTTGAACGCGGGCGACGGGACCCCAGTGATGACATGGTCGCAGGGGTGGGCGACATTAGTGAACGTGTAGGCATCCGTCACCGAGTCCGAGGGTCGTCCGTCGAGGTGTTGCGCTCCGCGAGGGCCACGGTGGGAAAAGCGGTGGTGGGGCGATGCGCCATTCTCGCGGTTGTAGTCCTGGTCACAATCTTGCGGGGAGCAGACACTGCTCAAGGGAAGCCCGTTTGGGCCAGGGGTGTGCGGTGAACGCAGCAGTGTGGTGGACACAGCGGTCTGAGCCAGAGTGTTGGGACGATGCAGCGGGGGTTACGTACCTATCGCAGACGGTGCCCAGCGGGTCCCTCGGCCCTTACAACCACTTTCTCGAGTCACTTGCCATCCTGGTAGCGGACGGCGAGTCCACGCAGGCAGCAGATCTTGGTTGTGGATCACAGGAAATCTGTCGGCTCGAGGTGGTGCCGATGAGGATGGTTGAGGATGGTGGAGGCGAGGACAGCGTGAGCGAGAGTACATGGGCGGCGGTGACTCGAAATGACAATGCGCAGGACTCGGTGTCTGCTGGCAGCTGCGGTGAGATCACGTGGATTCCCAAATAGTCGTGCGCTGTGCGCCAACGCGCCAGCAGATCGCTCTTCTGCTGCTGTCTACAACATGTCCACGGTGCTGCCCCCTCCACCGAATCCAGCCGTCTTCGAGCTTCGTTCATCCACCTCTTATCTGTCTCCCCTGCCTGCTTGTCCGCTTCCTCGCATTGCTCCCTCGCACACTGTCACCCAACCCACCAGCTTCTCTACTCGGCGCTCGCCCATCCCTACTATGCTTGTGGACACAAATGGTACGTCCCCACTGTGTTGCATGCAGGCCCGCCATCTCAAAAGCTGGGGAAGCTGGCTGTCCCATCCGCCTTGCAAGTCACTCCGTAGACACGCACAACGAGGGCCTGGGCTGATGCGACCTCGTACGTCTCCAATACTGCGCTTCCTTTTGCCGTGCCCCGCCCCTCACCTCCCACCACTCCTTCCTCCCCGCAGATATCACGGCCGGGCACACTATGTCGGGGAGACGGCCCAGCCCTGTTGTCGCCGTCACGGCACCATCCCTGCGATCACCGTCAACTCATGGGCTGGCGGTGCGGAGGCTAGCGGAGAGGTACGGCACCACGTCAAACAAACGCGAATAGGAGGTGGTGCGGGAGCCCAGTGTGGACCTGCGGTATGTGGTGTCGCCCTCCGAGACGCACTGGCACACCCGCTGACACCCCGACTATCCCCCCTCACCCTCGCCTCAACCTTTACAGGACGTCCACGTACTGCACACGCTGCATGTACCCACGCAGCCACGCCAGCACCTGTTCGTGCTTCTACACCATCCATTCTCGCGCTCTCGGCCTTGCCGCCTCGCCAGCTCCCCCTACGCGGCGCGGTGCTTTCTCGTGCTCCCCTGCCGCTGTACGTCAAACACGGCCGCCTCGCCCGCATTCGCCTTGGTGCGCGTGCAGCCCTTGCGCCTGCAGAGTGTTGTGTTCCACCGGTTCCAGGCCCCGGGTGGAGTGGTAAGGAGGAACATCGTCGCCTGGTCAGTGGTGCACGAGGCTTGGTGTGGGCACGAGCGTGCCACGCGCCCTCCGCGCGAGGCGTGGCATGTGCGCACTGACGTCCGCCTCGGTTGAAACTGCGATTGAGGACATCCGCACTGATGCGTGGTTCAGCCAGTACGAACGCTCAGACGGAGGTCTTCGCGCGTGGCTTGATGGAGTGTTGTTTCCCCTCTCATTCGCAAGTAGTCGCTGTTATGGCATTCTCGTCACTATGTATCTGTCGTCATACTTTCGCTCGTGGTATCTTGATAATGCAATTAATTTATTCCATTAATTCCGGTCCGAATTTGCGTGCTGGTATCAAGAGCCACTGACGAACTGCTCCGTCTGTTCTGTCTGCGCAACTGTGGGGGAAGACTTGGCGGTCAACTGCTCAACTGCCAGGTTTTACTGTCCGTCTGTCATCTGCTCGTCTGTAAGGCACTGTCCGTCACTGTGACAGACGGACAGTGCCCAGCAGACGTGTGAAAAATTACTGATGTCGAGTCTGGTGCAGTGTACTGCATCGCTCTGGCAAGTGTATGTAATTCCCCACGAGCTGTGCTGACAGGTATTGAGCAGATCATCGTTGGCATTCTGTTCCTTCTCGAGAACAATGGCGTGTATGTTATCATCAAAATGCTCATCCTCATAACGGTATGTGGTACTTTCCCGTCATCTTATTTCAGTCGTGTTCAACCCATACAGGGAATATATCCGACCGTGATCGTTGTTCTCGTCTGTCTTAAAATGACCGTGTACGACGACGTGACGTGCGCGGAGACGCTTCCCTCGCTGCGTGTCACCCTGGATGGTGATACGAACTCGGCCCAGGGCACGGGCGTTCTGCGCAACCTGCAATCAATCTCAACGTCCAGCTACCGTACGCCAAGCAGTGACGGCACAAGAACCAGTGATATAGAACTAGCCGGATCTGCGTACATTCTCAAACCGGCGGGACTGGATCACGAAGGCGTGTCATCATGAGTACGTGAACCGCAATTCCCACGTATGGCACACATGCCGGCGCACGTAGGCCGCATGATACGCATGTAAAACGGTGTACCCATCTTGAGGACAGGGCGATGGCAGCGAGAAGATGACGGAAGTTCAGTCACACGAAAAGGGTTCCGAAGAACAAACCGGATGACTTCGGAAAAAACCCCCGGCTCTGCTGCACGCCCGTTGGCGTGCTCTGACGGCCCGGATGACGCGCAGCTGCTCATTACCCTACCGGCGACGTTCGACGGAGGTGTACGTCGACAGACTCGACGTCTTCGGATGAATCATGATACCTGCGTGTTCGGGTCTAGGACCACTTTCGAAGTTGAGAACACGGTGGAGAGGCGCGCGGTTTCTCAAGAGCGCGCTGCTTCTTCCGTCGGACGACGAGCTCACGGCTATGAAGGCGGCGGAAGACGGGGGAAACGCTCGCGGGTGCGTACAGCACGGCGGCGAGCCGCGAGATAACCGGGGCTTACGGGGAGTCGGCGGTGATTGTACACAGGGGCTTCTGGAAGCATGGTGGGCGAGGACGTCGGAGATTACGGTGTCCCATAGACTTTGCGACACACTGCCCGGGGTTTCCAGAAGCGATGTGGATAACGCGCGAAGGTGCACATAACGGCAAGGCGGAGTCGGTATGCGCTCATCTGTCCGGCGAAGAAAGGGAGGACGGGGGGAAAATACACAGGATCCATCGTTATAATTAGGATATGAACGTTGTCAGTTCCAGGAAGTGGTGGGTATGGCACCAGAAGGGTAATCAAGACAATACCGATGACTGATACCAGTCGCCGGTGTGGCAGTCGGTAATTCCCCGCAAGCCCTTATTGAAGTCGTATGTATCCACGGAAAGTAGCTACGAAACAAGTCCGGTGAGCCTGAAAGCTGATCCTGCTGACACTGTTGCGAGTCCCGCAATAGCGTAGAATTGACGGTCATCCCCTCCTGATGGAAAGCTCAGCAGTGCTTGCGTAGAGAGGTTTCTACGATTCCCACTGAAAGCAGGAGTTCAAAAAAAGCGATCAAAAGCTGTCGAGAAAAGGTCTCGGTCGTCGGCATTCACCTTCGTCATAATCCATTCAGGATATCCAGTCGCAGCGGCGCCCTTCGCTTTGATACCGATGTCGTTGACATCACCGATACCGTACGTGTGTTCCTCGTTTATCTATCGGGGTTTCAGCACAGGAGAGAGCAGGAATTCAGAATCCACTAACCTCAAAGCCATAGTGGAGGTAGATATCGCGGCAGTGGGGATCTGCGGCCTCGAGATGGACTGGTTTGGGCGAAGTGCGAATGAATCCGTCCTTCATGAGCATCGATGCGTATCCTGAAATCGGGAGAGGTCGCGTTAGGGATTCGTTTCCACGAGAAGAAGAGATTATTTGGGCCCAACCTCTATTCTCGTGCTCGGGATCAGTGACTATCTCAAGCAGATGCCATGAGTCGAGACGGTCAAGCCCTTTCGCAGAGAAGGCGCGCTCCAGTGCCTGCTCGACCTTGGGAGTGAACTCGAAGAGAACTCGCTGCAAGAAAGAGCGTGTCAGAGAAAATTATCCACTAAGTGTGAGGCACTCACCTTGATCCCCGTCAGGCCCCAGGCCTTCACGAGCTTGTGGATGCCGACGCGGAGGAGGAGGAGGGGCCCCATGTCCAACGTCTGTCCGGGCCGGAGCCAGAGCGACGCCGCGACCACGTGCTCGCGACCGTTTTCGCCGTCGACGAGCGTCGTCGTCGCCTTCGCCTTCGCCTTTTTCTTGCCCCTCGACTCGGCTGGCTCCTCCTCCCGCTCGCCCTGCCCCTCGTCGTCCGCCGGAATGCACACGACAGTAACCACCCCGTTGGAGAGCATCGTCGCGACCGCAATCGCCCGCTGGAAGTGGCGCAGGTTGCCCATCGTGCGCACCGTGGCGGGGTCCTGCGCGTTCACGTCCGTGACGAGCGCGCCCACCGAGCCGTACCAGTTCATGGCGGGGCAGTCCGCGAAGGCGCGCGTCAGGCACTCGATAACGGCGGGGAGCTCCTCGCGGCGCGCCTCGCGCACGTACGCCTTGGGATGGCGCCCTGGAGGTTCGGCAGAGGCATCTGGCGATGACATGTCGTTGGAAGAGGCCGGATGGTGGGTTGCTGTCGGAAGAGGGTGTGGAGTGCTGCGAGGTGAGGGGGGATAGCGGACAGTTAGGTGCGCACTGCGGGCTATAGTCATCGTGACCCTTCTATGGACGCATGCGGGTGACTGCCAGCGGGGACAGACCGCTGTGGAGAACTGCCAAGGTCGCCGCCGGCCATCACGAAGACGGCCCCGCCGAGGGAAGAAGTCCAAAAGCCATCCAAGGAACCCACCACATCTACCTCCTGTGTGCGATGTTCGAAGGCTCGCGTCAGATGCTGTAGGAGCGGTCACGGCATTCCGTACGCTTCTTGACTTAACGTTCTTTTCCATATGACCACAGCTGTTCGACCTGAAGTCGGCGAGAACTACCCCCTCTCTCAGTGCACAGAGTTGGCGCTGAGTCAATGTTTCATCTCATATGTACGTCTCTTCCCTGTTCTTTTGCTCCGACATCGGCCCTCTGCCCTGAACGAGAACCTTCCCGTGCGGTCGCGCCCTGGATGAGTCTTTCTTCTGTATCATTGGGTGCCCGTTCCTGCACGGAGAATGAACGTTTTTCTCCGGACCACGTCCGAGTGCAGCGTTCTATCTCCCAGAAGTCACCGAATTTTGATGCTTTGTAGAGGGCTTACTGCGGTGCGAACGCTCACGCGCGAGGCCCGCCAGTGAGCCCCGGTTCCTGACATCGCCGAACACTGTTCGCCCGTGTTCCTTCACTTCGTCTATGGTTCATCCCCGGTCACCCAGTCCTCGGTGTGCCTTACAGCCTACAGGCCCCCCGCAAAAATGATGCGTCAGCACACACGTGCTCTCGTCTCGTGTCTATGCGTCCTCACGCCCCGCCTCGTCTTCGATTCCGATCACAAACAGCCCAGGCTACTCTATCATGATGTCCACGCGTTCAAGAAGTAAACTACACCTCTCGGCACTAGCTGCCCTAGGAGGAGGTCTGCGTCAGACCGTAGTACGTACATCTCATCGTACAGTCTCATAACTAAATACCGTGAAAACGAAAGAAGATCGTCCAGAGCTCACACGATGTCATCGTTGTCGAACCCCCGAGGCTTGCCGGTGGGCCCGCGTCCGGGCTGGATGTCCAGCTCCTCCCCCACGTTCCCTCGCTTCCGGTCCGGGTCGGCGTCGTCGAACCAGGACACCTGTTCCGTCTTGGTCGCGATCTTGATCGGGGTCATCTTGTACGCCGGCCCGGTGCCGTCGCCCGCGATGGAGTCCGCGCCATGCTCGGTGTTGCTCGCGACGCGCCAGGTGAGCACCCCGTTTGCGCCGTCGCGGCGCGAGCGCGAGGTGCCCACGGAGCCCGACTTTGAGCTGTTGTTGAGGGTGGAGATGCCGCTGCGCTCGAGGTCGTCGTGGAAGGTGATCTTGAGACAGACGAGGACGATGATGACGGTGGGGTAGATGCCCTGCGTGATGGACGGGGGTGCTCAGCGCGGGGCCTGGATGATGGAAGGGCGCGCGGAGCGGCATACCGTAAGATGGCTGAGCATGTCGGCGATAACATACACCCCGTTGTTGTCGAGCAGGAAGAGGATGATAGTGATGACCTGTATAGCGTCGGGGCCGTAGTGCGTCAGCGCCGTTTCCCCGACAATAGAGTCGAAACCACTCACAAGCGCCACACAGTACACCGCGCCGGACTCGATGATGAGAAGAAGCGCGCCCCAGTACCGGGAGCCACTGCCAACGTTGACATGGAGGCCTTTCATCAGCCGCGCATTCGTCCTGAGGAGTACCGGTGATGCGGTGAGTGCTAAGTGACCTTGGCCGGGGGAAGGACGGAGATACTGACCATGCTTTGTATGTGATCATCCCCACGGAGTACAGGTTCGCGAGGAATGTCAGGACACCGAACGCCACGAACCAGTTGGTGATGTCGCCCGCGAAAACCTGGGCCCCGATTTCGGACCTGGACAGCGCGTTGATCATGCCGATGCCGGCCGCTGTGTTCGAGGTATGTCAGCCTCCTGCTGCACGCGTGCACAAGCATCTGGAAGCTCACCGGTACCACCACTAATGCATATGACAGGGAAGACGAGGATACGCCAGTTCCTGCCGTATAGGACGTACGTCCGCCAGCACACAATGCCGTCCCCGATCAAGCACTGCAAGGTGGTCAACATGCGGTGACACGGGCGCCAAGTATGTGGTCTACACACGTTGATCAGCTCGATGCAAATTTCCCCCCAGATCAACGGATTGCCTTGGTCGTTGAAGATGGTGAGCCCTCCCTCAATCGAGTGCTCCTTGAAAAACGCGATGAGGCAAACTTCCAGGGCCATGGCTACGTGCGTGGTCGACAAGCAATACATGAAGGCGGTGAGCCCGATCATGATGAGATTCGTCCCCTCGAGCCTCTGCTCTCGGCGTTTGCGGCTAAATCGTTCTGTGAGTCACGAGTCGACACGAGGGCCGGAGCGTGCAGAGGGGTGGACTCACAGCAATAAATACAGCGTCCACACGGCGAGGATCGTGTACATGCCTGCACGCGTCGAAAGGTTAGATCTCCCCGCGGACGGAAGCGTCCATGCTGCCCACCGTGCAAGATCGCCTCGCAGAACATGGCGATGAAGTAGGCGAACGGGAGAGTTGGGCCGCCCATGGTGACAAGAGGGCAGAGCAGCTCACCGCGGGGGGAACGAGCGAGGCGTGAGAGAAGGCAAGGTTATCCTCGCCGGCGGGGAGGGTGTTCGCGACTCAGGCGAAGATAACTATCGACGACGTGGGAGGGCATGCAGGCGCCGACTGATGGCGTTTCGGTGGGAATTGCCCCAGGAGCCCGGACACTCTGACAAGCGCACCGGCCCATAGCCCATCGTCTTCTCGCCCCTGTTTGTGCGCGTTATCGCCACTTCTCTGCTCACCCTCCACGCGTATGCTCATCACCGCCACCTCGACACAAGATGTTGACCTGTCCCGGTCACATCGGCACGGGTCAAACTCAAACGCCAAGAGACCACCTTGCACGGCACTCCGTGTAGCCAGGTGAAGTTAAAAGCGATCTAGGGTTGGACCTTGGATTCGTCTTCAGGACACGCATCCCCCTCTTCGACCCTCCAAGCCCCCAATCTCCTTCACCATGGCCTCCTCCAGCACCTCTCATCTCAATGCCGCGCTCGCCGGCGCCATCTCCGCCCGCAAGAAGATGTTGGTCCCCACCCCCGACCTCCTCGCCCCCGCACCCACCGCCGCCGCCGACTTCTTCTCCAGCGACTACCTCTCCGTCGTCACCAACCCCAAGCCGCGCGCCATGTTCCTCGAGCGCATCTCGAAGGAGCCCATCGTCCTCGGCTCCGCCGGCTCCCGCGTCCTTTTTGGCAACAACTCCTCGCACGTTGCCCTCGAAGAGCGCCTTCGCGCCTTTTTCGGCGCCGAGACCGCGCTCCTATTCAACTCCGGATACGACGCCAACCTCTCCTTCTTCCACTCCGTTCCGCAAGACGGCGACGCGATCGTCTTTGACCAGCTCGCGCACGCGTCCATCCGCGACGGCATGAACATGTCCCGCTGCCGCAACGCCCAGTACCCGTTCAAACACAACTCCGTCGCATCTTTCCGCGAGGTCCTTCAGCGCACGCTCGTTAGCCACCCGAGGATTGCCGAGGGCCGGGGCACGATGTTCATCGCCGTCGAGACGCTCTACAGTATGGACGGCGACTTCTGTCCTCTGCGGCAGATCGTCGAGACCGTTGAGGAGCTCGTCCCAAAGGGGTGTGCGCACATCATGGTCGACGAGGCGCACTCCTCCGGGTTGTACGGCGACAGGCGGCGCGGGCTCGTGATCGAGCTTGGCCTGCAGGACCGGGTGCACAGCGTGCTGCACGCATTCAGCAAGGCGTGGGGTATGGCCGGCGGTATGTGACTTGTGGTCTCCCGCGGCGTGATGCTGATCGTCCTCGGACAGCTGTCATCCTCACCTCCGCTGTTGTGCGGCAATATCTGATCGGCTACTCCCGGCCCTTCATCTATTCGACCTCGCTCCCGTTCGCACAAACCGCCGGCATCAACACGTGCATAGACTTCCTCAGCGGCCCGGACGGAGACGAGGTATGCGACTTGCCCGCTCCCCGCTCCCGCCTATGGCTGACCTCGCCTAGCTCGTCAACCACCTCCGCAAGCTGTGCACGTACTTCGAGCACGCACTCACGGTGGCCTTCCGCGACGTCCCGTCCGACCTCCTCTCCCTCCGCCACCGCTCCATCCCGTCCGACTACCCGGAGAGCGTGTTCAGCCCGCTCTTCCCCATCCTCACGCGCGCGCCCAAGCCTCTCGGGGACTTCCTCACCAACCTCGGGTACGCGCTCACCCCGATCATGTTCCCCGCCGTCCCCAAGGGCGAGGAGCGCCTCCGCGTCATCCTCCACGCGGGCAACACCGAGGCGGACGTCGACCAGTTCATCGCGCGCCTGCTCGCGTGGGCCGCGCTCTTCCAGGCGCAAGAGCGGGAGCAGCTCCAGCTGAAGAAGGCGTCGCGCGCGCAGGGCGCGATCCAGGCGCGCCTCTGAGCGCGCACTCGCGCGCCTAGCGTCCTTATCCATAATTTAGATCTCTCACGGTCTATGGGACTCTCTCGTCGGTATTTATGGCTCCCTTTGATGGCTTGTAGTTGTACCCGCGCGCGTCGCGTTGCCTTGCCTTTACTTCTATTGTTTGGGGATACGAGCTCTGTATGTATACTTTGACCGAAGAAGGTTGCAACTTTGCCTCTGCACGTAGAGATCCGCGAGCCGGTGCTCGATCGTCTCATCAAGCGCGCGGAGTTCTTGCAACTGCATACTGACCCCGGAAGGGGACAGGCACCGTCAGGTGAATCGCGCGGGGAGCTCAACTGCGCCGGAAGTAATGAAAGATCAACGCATCACGCTTCTTCGACTTGCGGGAGTTGAGCACCGCTTCAAATCACTAACATTGTTGGAAATAGCGCCGCCGCGCACCCACGTTGCGGTGGGAGTAGTCCCGAGGAAGTCGGCCGCATCTAGCCGCAGCGCCGCGCGTGTGCATCGCATGGTTTTCAAAGATGCCGCGCCAGCGCTCGCGGCGGGGGAGAGGTCCACAGGCCACGGTCTACGCTGAGTGATCGGACTACCCAAGCGACCGCGACGGCTCGGCTAAGGCTGGTGCGTGGTGAATACAAAGATGAGTGAAGTGCGCGCGAGACCGAACATGATGTGCCGGAGCAAGAGCGCAGGTACTTCCAGTCCACCTAGGTATGGCGCCGTTCCCTGCGTCGCCGCTTCGTCGCCGCCGCCCTCTAGAAGCCTCTAGATTGGTCTCGGCGCGCTCAAGTGGTCCGTCCGTCCTCGGGGACGCGACCCCCGATCAGCGCGTCGTGGGCGCCTACCCACACGACAACCAAAGTCTAAACGGCCGGAGCTGTCTCACAGCTACAAATAAGGAGCGGACGCCGTTTAACTCTAAATCTCTCTTTATCATATACCGTCGGCGCGTCGCCGGGCGAATGCACTGGGCTCGGGGAAGTCTGGCCCGCGGGGCGTTTCGTTACGGTCGACGTCCTTGGGGCTCCGGGTACCACGGTGACACTAGATCGACCTAGATGGCACGCCAGCGGGTCCACGAGGACCCGCACCCAGAGAGGCGCAAGCACGCGACCGTAGTACGTAGATCTAGAGCGGACGGTAGTCGACCAGGTGCACGCAGACCCCAGTTGAGTTTGTCTCCTCCAGAGAAGCGCCCGCCCGAAAGGCCACCTTGGGCAGTCCGTGTCAACGCACTTTTTACCTCTGAAGCTAGCGCGTTCGTTGCGGAAGCTCTGACTACACTCCCACACGAAATTACAAGAAAATACATCATGGATTCTTCGTATCTTCTACGTGAAACAAATGGGGTCTACTTCAGGGCGGCGCCGTCGTCTCGCCTCTTCCTCCATACGCATACAGCAAACCATTTAGATCTCTTCTCATCGCGTTCGTTACCGGCTCAAGTTTAGATGTAGATGGGCAGCGTGGGGTTGAGACCCTTCCACTCGGGACCGGTGACGAAGTCGTCTTCGTCGATGAGGAAGTCCTATAAACGAACGAACGTGAGCGCACCGTCTCCGAACGCACAAAGACAGCACTCACCATAGGCGCCTCGACGAGGGCACCGCGGACCGCGGCCAGCCGGTCCTTGATGCGCTGCAGCGGCACCTCGGGGACGACGTGGCCAGTCATGACGTTCGGCACGTAGTTCTACAGAGTCACCAACGCTGCGCGTCAGCAGCACCCTCGGTACGCTCGCACGCAGAGGAACACGTACGTCGTAATCCTTCCACTTCCGGATGAGGTTCGTCGGGACCGGGCGGAAGATCTCGGTGAAGATCTCGCGGTTCTGGCGTGCGGTGTTGTTCCACAGGTTGACCGTGTCCTCCGCGAGTGGGTCAGCGACCTGGCGGTCTTCGTCGAGCTGCGTCTCGTCGGGGTTCGGGTGGGGCGCGGCGCGCATGAAGCTGTCGGGCTCCGAATGGGTGGTGCACAATTGCGGGTGGATGAGGCCGAGGTGCTCTGTGGGTATCGTGAGCGGTGGTGTGAAGGAGAGAATCGAATGATACCAACCCCTGTAAAGTTTGCGACGGAGAGTGGCGGCGAAACGAGCAGCAGTGTACGGCTCCCCGTTCATAGTCGTCTCGATGGTGTCGTCATCCTCGACGATAAGCGCGATCTCAGAATCACCATCGCCCTACGAACCGCAAGTCAGCGTCGAGAGTCGGCCTCACGCGAGACAGCGCTCACCTTCTGGCTACGGTCGTTCAGGTTCGCAGAGCCCATCTACAGCACAAGTTCAAAAACTAGTGACGCGACAAGGCCGACAGATGAACTCACGATAACACGACGATCGTCGACGATCATAACCTTCGAGTGGATGTATAGCAACTCCGACACGTACGCGTTGCGCTCCTCCTCCTCGGTGCCTAGCCACAGCTCTTGCTGGAGGTCCGTCCGATCCTCAAGCATGTGCTGCACGACGTTGTCGGAGACGCGGTCGTCGCTGCGAAGCTCGCGCGCGGCCCTCCGCCACTTGTCGATGGTCTCCCGAGCCTCGTCGATCGACGCGGGGAGAGGGAATGTCTCCGTCTTGAGCTCGGGCTTCTTTCCGGAAGTCGACTGCTCGGCGAGGATCTTGCCCGTGGGGACGGCAACGGAAGCCTCTTTGGGGTCTTCGACGTTCTGCCCGTGGCCGACCCAGAGCTTCCCGAGCGCAACGTTGACCTGGTGGAAGGTGACCCCACTACGCTCCTCAATCTGTTTCATGAAAGAGTCTGACATACGAGATCGTCAACGATAAAGCTTCAAACTGGACCCGGGTAGGACTACATACCGTATGGCGCGTTGATGCGGTCGTATGCACGGAGGTGGTAGAAACGGATGAAGTCGGATCTGTGTAGGTGCATGAGAAAAGCCCCAGGACGAAGTGCGGAAAAGGCCACTTACGGCTCGTAACCGGCCCTGCGGACCTCCTCGTAGATACTGTGACCGCCGCGGTTCATGGTGCGATACTGTCCAGCCATGATTGTCTTGACGGCTGACTCGTCCTTGACTGTTCAGACCGTCAGTGACCGACTTAATGTATGAAACTGCCTCGCACTCACTCTGGCCAGCGAAGCCGGGAACCTCAGGAATGACCACGACTATCATGAACTTCTTGCCCTCCTTGCCCGCGCGGACGATACGGTCAACGATCGCACGCGCAATCGTGTTCTTGACAGGGCCGTCTTCTTGAGTGTTGGAAATGCTGTCCTTGAATCAGAGCTAAACTCCAGAGAGCGCACAGCAATGAACGTACAAGAACTGGTTCTCTATAAGTTGAAGTTAGTATCTGTTGCGCGAGCGACATATATGCACCCACCAATGTAGATGAAATGCTCCGCCTCGCAGATGAGATCGATGTCTACAGGGTATCAGGTTTGACAGGACTCGGAAAGAGATCGCGATGGCAACGTACATGCATTCTGGATGCTGCACTCAGTGAGCACACCGTGGCTCCAGTCCGACACGCTGCGAACAGCCTGGACCCGACAGTTACCACGGTGTGGACGGTGGTCAGGCGTATCGTACTCCTGGGGCGTGTCGTCTGACTGCCCATGGAGATGCAAGTGGAAGCGGTCCTGGAAGTGGCGCCCCATCTCATGCCAGCGGTCGCGGTGAGGGTGCCCTGCAGAGACAGCTTATGAGTCGACGCGACGGACTAACGAGCGGACTACATACGGGCAACGGCTTCGTTAGGCGCGGCAGAGACGTCGTGCGGGAGCGCGAGCCAGTCAAAACGTCTAAGAAAGTCAAACGATTTTTCAGAAACGTGCACGCGACTGCACACTCGAAGACATACTCGTCGTTTCGGTACTGTTATCACGAAGTATCAGTCAACGAGTCCAACCACCGATTAAGGGCAACTCACCTTCCGCTTCTTGATCTCGTTCCAGCGCTCCGTGAAGTGCTGGACGATGTCCAGCACAACCTCACCAGTCAGGGTCATATGCACGTCGTGCCACGGCATACGACCGAACTCGACCGAGCTGAGACCATTGCTGATGTAGTTCGGAACGTTCTGGAAATCCATGATACGTGCGTTGTTGTAGTCCTGCCCGGGGAAGAGCGTCGCGAACGGATCCGTGGGGTGGACATCGGCGAGGGGGTGGGTATGGGTGTCCCATCGACCAAAGCAGAGATCAAGGCCGCCAATGCAGGCGTAGCGGTTGTCGACTACAACCACCTTCTCGTGGTGGGACCAGAACTCGACGTCGTCCTTGCTTCCGATATGGTCGGGGTGGCGCATACAGGCGATGTTGGGGTGAAGCGCGTCGAGAGTCTCTTTGGTGTGGTGGGAACTCATCGTCATGGTTTGCGTGACTTCCTTGTAGACGACAACATAGATCTTCACGCCTTGCTCCGCCTTGCGCTTCAGGATTCGGTCCAGACGCCATTCGGGGTACTTGGCGGGCGGGCGACGGAGGTAGAGCTCGGGCGTGAGCCACCAGTCCTGGGGACAAGACCAACATCAGCATGAGAACGCGGTGCCGAAGGTGCCTGACTCGGATAACAACACGCTGCGTCTACGCGCGACGCGCGACGCGCGCCGCGTGCGAGAGCGAAAGTGCGACGCCCAACGCCATCATGCTCGGGGTGCCGGCGCACCGCCGGGAAGGCAGTGTTTGCCCGTCCAGCGCAGGTCACAACGCTGACGCTGGGGCAGCCTCGCCCTGCCTGGACTCCCTGACACGACCCTCCTATATGCCCGCGCCCTTCTTCGTTCTAGGGGACCCAACGCATACAGCGAACAAAGAAAGACTCACCAGGATGAATATGGCCTCCTTCGCCCTGTCCAACATCTCCGAAACCGCCCACATGTAGTCGTGCCCATCGACATGCCTGCGGTCGTGTGAGCGACTGAGCGCGGGCGCCCGAATGGCAGCCAACGTACCACTTGACAAAGTTCTGGCCGCGCTGGTTGGCGAACGAGTGGAAGCGGTGGCCAGACATGATCTCTGCGCGGACCATGTCGGCGCGCTTCTCCTCCGGGTCATCGTGGCGACCTGCGAGAGCGGACGCGTTAGAGGCGACGAGGGATGGAGGCAAAGGAGCACGGACGATCCGGGTTGATTATGCCTGGAGATTGGGCAGCGCGAGGTCAGCGACAACGTGTGGAAGGTTCATAAGGAGACGCACCGATGGCCATGGCGCGCGCATGAACGATACCCTCCTCGAGCTTTCCAAAGAGCTTGGACATGGTGGATGGGGATGGTGGTGGGTGGGATGAGAGGGGCTCAAGCGATACGCTCGCGATCTCGTCGTCTAGTGATCAAACGACGTAGACGCCGAGTTGCCGAGCCAGGGGCAGTGCGCCCACTGCGCAGCGCTCCAAGGGGGCTCCGCGCCGACGCTCCCATGAACGTGTAAGACGACGAGCACGGCCAGGTGAACGGCTTCACCACGGCGTTCGAGCGGGAAGAGAGGTTTGCCAAGCACACTGGTGCTATCGCGTTGTGCAGCAAGTGAACAGTATTAAGGGCAGGCCTCGCGTGCAATAATGGCGATGACGTCACTATATAACACAACAACTAGTGCGGATTCTTGAACCTAACTTCCACCGTCACCCCGGACGCTGTCTGCTTGAAGCGGGACAAGCGCGAGTACCACCGCTGCACCACGGCGAACGCATCCTTCTCTCCCCGCTCAGAACCTCTGCTTTTCGGCGCTGTGAGGAACAAAGCAAGGCGAGTAAACGATGGATATCGCTCGGCCTTGCGATAGAGCAGGGCGGAGGTGAGGCGTGTCGCAAACGCATCGTGGCTGCCTTGCTCGTCCCTGGTTCCTGCGCTGATACGGTCCGTGAGATGCAGTCGGAGGTGCTGGAGTGCCGGAAGCGGAGAGGGCGTCCGTTCGAGAGAGGCGCACAGCGCGTCATAGAAGGCGCCGTTCCCCGCTGCTCCTTTGTACTCCTAGACGATGGAGAGAGAGGTAAGGACATAACACCCCGCCATGGCGTCGAAAATTACTGGTAAAGGTCCATCTGCAAGGTCAGCTACTCGTCAATGATCACGAGGCACAGAGCGTGACACAAGGACATACTTACCATATAGGGAGACTGACGAGGCCATGATCAAGGCCGGAGGGGGGACCTCCTGGTCGTCCAACCGCAACAGCAACGTTCGAAGGGACCCTCTGGAAGCGCGGAGGACCGGCATCCACCAGTACGGGGCCACGGCGGTCCCTTCGCAAATGATTTCGAGGTGCCGGAGGACCTCAGGATCGAAGCCCGCTGATACCACCTGAGCGAGGCGCTGATGATCGAGGAAGCATCGACCGTTGATGATGAGTGACCTGAGCCTCGGGAGGGAGACGGGTCGGGCGACCTCAACCTGGCTCTGCGGCAAGCTGACCGACGGGGAGACGAGACCGAGTCTCCATTGCCCGCGGATAAAAGGGGCGTGCGATTGAAAGCAGTCGATGACGCGTAAGTTCTGCAGCGAGGGGATGAGGGCGAGGATGGTTATGATGTCGTTTACGCCCCGAAAAGAGAGGTTGGCCAAGGTGAGCGTCGTGAGGTTGACGAACAGTTCAAACGATAGACAAGCGCGGGAGCGTGTGAGTGGGTGCATAGGATTGTGCAACGAAGTATCGGAGAGTGTGATGGTCTTGACGAGAAGAGACAACGAGGGATTAGAGTGGAGTGAACGCATGAATAGGGCAGTTGTCCCGTCGCCGAGAACGACGTTCCGGAAGAGAATCTTGCGCGAGATGGCGGCAATGGTGGCTGACGTGAGGGTACATTGAAACAAGGTCGCGAAATCGGCCTCCAGGAATTCGAGGATGTCATAGAGTATGTCGAGAGGAAAGATGAGGAGATTCGCACTGGGAGCTGGCGCTGGCGCTGACAGCGACATGGCCGTTCGCGAGAAAGTTCAAAGGACGTGGCAACAGAGGAAACGCTCGTGACGCGGCGCTGTCGGGTAACACTGGTGTGACTAGCATGTGTGAACGCGAAGTATCGACTGCGCGTGCGAGGCTAATTTCTTCATCCAGGCTCGGGAACAAATTCACTAGGATTACAACCACGATCTTCACTCGCCTTCCTCGTAGTCCTCCAAATGCTTTCTCGTCTGAAGACGACTCCTCGGTGGAGGTGTCTGTCGTGATCCCAATCCACAAACCTATCAACCTACAAAGACACCATAGGCGAACCGTGGCAACAAGTCGTAAGTTTAGTTGTCACACGAGCAAACCGGGATGATGGAGTACTTAGTTGATCACTGCCACCTCGACGCCCCGCTCTGACAACGCATCAAAAACGCCCATCCACGCCGTCTGCGTGTTCTCCCGCGCAGGCAGCATCTCCACGGGTGACACCGCCGGCGTCGCGTCCCGCGGGAGAACCTTGGGCACCATTACTGTCAGCTTCTTGAGCCGCGTGCCACGCAGTGTGAGCGCGTCCGCGAACCGAGTACGAAGCGGGCCCGGTACGGTCTGCGGTTCGGCATCGTGTTCGAGTAGGCTGAGGCTCAACCGCTCGAGCTCGGGGTGGTGTCCGCCCTCGAAGTAGACGCAGAGCGCGGTGAGGAGCGTAGCAAAGTCCTTGTTGCGGGGCGTTTGCGTCTCGGAGGCTAAAACCTGAATCCACCACCCGGGCCCGGAACTGGAGTTGACATGGCGGTAGCGGAACGTGAGATAGCGGAGAGCAATGCAGCCGGAGAGCGCGTCGAGCTCGTACTCGAGGGCTGACTCTGTGTACGACGTGAGCTTCTCTGAGCAGATCAACTAGGGGGGTGCTCACCGAATTCTGTCGCTCGCGGAAGAGTGTCGGGAACGGGTCCGTCCCATATGCTAACCTCCACACTGCGGAGGGTGGTACTTGTGGCTCTCAGGAGCCGAGTCCACTCGAGATAGCGCGTCGGGCCTACGTATAGCAGGTTGTCCAGCATGAGCGTGCGGAAATGGAGGCCGGCGTCTCCGGCGCGATGCTCTAGATGGTGCGTAAAGATGTCCGGGTTCACAGTGACAGACCAGACGTTCAGGACCGACATGGTGGAGAAGGGCGAGAAGGGAAGGTGATCGGAAGTAGATAAAAGGAGCGAGGCAGGAGGTGAAGGAGGGGGTGGCGGGGACACCGCTTCTGAGGCCGTTTCTGAGACCATTGAGGAGGAAGGATCGTTCTTTTCCGTGACTCGATCGACCACTGTTGCCTTTTCCTCGTCGAAGTCGACGAACGAGAGCTTGAGCGTCTCGCATGATGGAAAGTGAGCAAGTAGATCAAGAGCGCTGTGGATGCTTGGGATGGACACGGAAGTGATCTCAAGCAGCCGCAACGCGATGAACTGATCCAGGGGGAGATCTTCCGCAAGCTTGTTGACGTCGAGCTTGCGCTGAGGGGCAGATAGCGATCCGAGTGTGAGTTGTTGTACTGTTGATCCCAATCTGGAGTCGCCTAGAAGAATGTTCTTGAGTCGAGCGTTCCGCGTCGAATTTGCACAGTCGATGGAGACCCGATTGTAGACGATGGTGCGCACGAGATGGGAGAGCGCGCGACAGACAAGAGCGCATGAGTACAGCGTGTGGTTGTAGCGATGATCGCGGTGATAGTCGACGATCTTGAGGATGATTTCAATTGGCAGAGCTGAGCCATTTTGTTTTGACTCCTTTGTGGATGAGGCGTTTTCAGTCATGCGGGGACAGCGTAGTCTATGGTACGGATGAGTTGGCTATGACAACTGTAGAAATCTGTACACACAGAATGCTGGTAGATGAGGCGGAAGTGGCGAGCGTACACGCGACCTGCGTTTGGTTCAGGTCCAAGCGCGAGCCGCGTCAGCGCGTTGGGCACATGCCGTTACGCTCGTGACTGTGACCCAGCGACTGATGCGGGCACTGCTCAACTTAAGCTTGCGCTCGCTCAAACTCATTCGACACGACGCGCTCGTTTTTCTGGACTATGCGATATTACCATGGAATAATGAATAATGACGGAGAAAGGAAGGAATCGAAGACCGGCTCAACTCCTCAAGGCCTCAAACTTCGCCACTTTAATTTCTCTTCGCACCGTTCTGAGGGGAAAAGTTGAATTCTGACATCGCTCTGCATACACACCAAACTACTCATACAAAGGTAACCGAGCAAACCACTCAATTACCACTATCGCGCCCCTCGCGCCCCGCGACGTGCAGCGCCGCAGACATCTCCAGCGCACGCTCCTCCCCCGCCTGCTCATACAACATCCGCAAGTCCTCCCCGCGCCACTGCAGCGCCACCACCTCCCGCGCGGACCACTCCGCGTCCATCGCCTGCAACCTCGCCCCCTTGCGCAGGCTCCCCTCGCTCCCCCACGCCCGCACGTTCTCCTCCGCGTCCAGCCCCTGCGCGAGCGCCGCGGTCAGCTCCGAGCGGGACAGCGCCGTCCCGATCTCGCGCCCGGGAAACAGCGGCCCGTCGAGCTGAGTCGGCGTCAGCTTGAACAGACGGCGCAGCGCCGCGACGGGGCACGTCGGGTGCCCGGGCGCGGCCGCGACGAGCACGCGCGTCGGCTCCTCTTGGCGGAACGGGTCGTCCAGCGACGCGGGGATGGTGAGCGCCACGTGCGTCGGGTCCGCGCGGGAGGGGAGGAAGGCGACGGCGCCGCGCGTGAGGTGCCGCGCGGGGTCGAAGGCCGTGCCGTCGGGCACGGCGAGCTCGCTCAGGCGGAGGAACGCAGCGAAGCCGAGCGTGGCGGCGGCCGTGGTCACGGTGCTGTGGAGCGAGTCGGGGCGCGCGCGAGCGCGAGTGCAGATCCGCTGGAGGGTGGTGAGCGTGATGGGGTGCTTGGGGCGGATGGTGTTGGGGCGCGCGCTGCGGGCGTGGCAGACCTTCATCCCACGTATGAGCTGGCGCGCGGACGGGGAGGTGCATGAGGGGAAGGGGAGACCGCGCGCAGCGTGGACGTCATACAGGTCGAGGATGTATCCCTTGATGGTCTTCATCGTCAGTCCGTGGAAACCGAGTTCGGCGAGCCACCCGAGCATGGAGGCCTCCGAAGCAGGGAGCCACGAGCCGTCGCCGTTGAGGTAGCGGCGCTCGAGCTGGACGAAACTGAGGTACGATTTCTGCCCCGAGGCAAGAGTTCCGTTCGTCTCTGGGAAGACACCATGCCACATGTAGAACGCGACCTTGGGAGTGTCCGGGAAGTTCGCGGCTGCCCAGGCAGGCGGAGGCAGAAGACTGTCGAGGGTTCCCGAGGAGCTGCCTTCAACAGTAGGGATGCTGTCGAGCGAGCCGTTTACCCAGAGCTCGCGCAGGATCGAGAACGCTTGTTCAGAGGTGAATGTGACCTCCGGCTGAGATGCGAGTGCGTCGGCATAGGTGAAGAGGTCTGAGCTCGATATCCTCTTCGCAGGTGTGGAGGAGCGGCTGACACGTCTAGAGGAGGGTGCTGGAGTGGCGGCACGGCCGAGATTGGAGGAAAATGGGCGTTCGTACGACATGGTTGAAGAGAGGGAAGAATCAAAGAACGGTTGAGCGAGGACCGCGTTTTAAATGTCTAGAGGCGCCACTATAAATGAAAAAGGGGGACAATGCCACACCGGTACGAAAGATTAACCTGGTGTGGTTGACCACAGGTGGCATTAGCGATGGGCGGCCCGTTTGCATGTACTTACAGCGACCATTGTTCGGGTACAGCGAACCGCTGCGGAGACGGACGGCGAGTTCATTGTCCTTCAGGTTTCGACCATTGCTCATGAACACCGTTGGTCAGCGCAGACCGTTGAAGGACGAATAGAATTCCATCACATGGGCAATGGGTGAAGATGTACTAGTAGTGCAATGATTAGCGTGAGAGCGTGGAACGACGACGAGCTCGTCATACTGATAATTCCAATTACACCGTTTCTGTCTACTGCCATTCCTGCTTTGATAAAGAGACGAGATTCCAACTTTTTGTGTGTTCTGCGACGAGTGCCAACTCGTTTGGCGACCGGAGTGATGGATGCCTTCTATGATGAAGCCGATGGTGCATGTGGAATAATGTGGGAGTCGGGCACTACGTCACTGTACGTAGAGGATGAAGGACGGATCGTGGTGGTCGACGTCGACGTCGACAGCGAGCTGCAGGCTGCAACGTGTCCCCGTGACACGGTGTCACGCGACGGGGACACTCTCACTAAGTAATAGGTGACTGACGTGACTAGGTGACATAGGCGTTTGTAAGGCGCGCGGTGACACGCCGACGCAGCCGGTTTCACGACTTCCGCATTGCTTCCACGTCCGCAATTTCGACACGTCGCAGGCCCACGAAGCACCTCATGGAACGTACCTTACCTCCTGAAATTTGCGACTTTGTTGTCGATGAAGTCCACACTGCTTCGACAGTCTATAATACTTCAAAAACCCTCAAGGCGTGTGCCCTAGTCTGTCGCCAATGGCGGGACAGGGCGCAATTCCATCTCTTCTCAACCATCGACCTCCTTATTGGCGATGTCCTTGGACCCGGCAAACGGAAAACAAAGCCTGCCGACAACCTACGGGAGGTGCTCTCCGCGCGACCGGATTTGGCTTCTCGCGTCACGTCCCTCAAACTCAACCATATCGTTTTCTCCAACAACGATGCGGTATGGAAGAAGGAAGACCTCCAGGACTGGCCTTCCCAATTCCCAAAACTTCGGGAAATTTACTTCCTTTCACCCGACGGAAACATGTCGCACCTCCCTCTCAAGCAGCTCGTTTCAGCTCTTCTCCACGCCCCCTCCACTCTCGAGCACCTCACCCTCGGTGGTGTGGATATCCCCGCTAACTCTGTCAGGAAGCTGTCCGGGATCAAGAGGAAGCGGACCAGCCCAACTATCCGCCATCTCACCGCCTTTTACGACTTCCTTGCTTACAATCGTGGCAACCCAGGTGTCATTCGCCCAGATATCGGTATCCTCCTTGACGCACTCGTTCATTGCGGCCTCATCTCCCGTCCAACTCTGCTCACCCTGGATCTGCCCCACTACTGGGACATCTCCGAACCATGGGATCGAACACTCCCCGACGACTCCCTCAACTTCGCGAACCTCGAGACGTTTGGGGTCATGCTCTGCCACTCGCAAGACGACGACCCGGACTATGACGACGGGACTCGTGCGTCATTCCGATCCATCTCTCCGCACCACCCGCTAACTTGATCGACACCACAGACATACGCACGCGCGAGCTCATGGACGCCCTCGCCTCGTGCTCCCGCCTCCGCGTCCTCCACATCACCTACGGCGAGCCCGAGTTCCGTACCAACGACGACCGCCACCTCTTGCGCCACAAGTACCTCTCCGACGCGCTCATCCGCATCCTCGTCGACCACTTCTCCCAAACGCCCGTCCCCCACCCCGGCCTCGAGGAGCTCAAGTTCACGATCACCTACTGGATCAAGGACGTCGAGCGCGTGTGGACGCCCGCGATCCCGGAGCTCGCGCGCGTCCTGTGCGACCGCGCACGGTACCCGGTCTTCCGGCGCGTCTCCGTCACCAAGGCCGTCACGGAGGACCCCTACGCCCGAGAGGAGCCCCCGGACGAAGACACCGTGTGCGAGAACTGCAAGCGCGTGTTCGCGGCGTTTGAGGCGCAGGGTGTGGAGCTGGAGGTCGAGATGGAGGTCATGCACACGGATCCGTACTACGCGGTGCGTGCAGGCGAGCACCTCCATTACGATCCGGAGGATGTGCTTGAGCCGTCGGACTCGGACTCGGACTCGGACTGATATAGTGGAGTGTGGAAGGGTGCGTAAAGCTTTTGTCGTCCAACGGTCTTTCGTCGTGCTCATCATCACACCTGTAGAGCTACATCGGCCGTTTCTACTACCAGTTGGATTGATCAGCTTGTGCCGGGTACAAGGCGTGGAGTGTATGTTCGGGAGCTTAACGATGCCCTGCGTCAACTGAGCGAGAAGAACGTGGGGCCGTAGGCTGTGGGCTCGGGCACGCGCGGTCAGCTTGGATGAAGTCGACGGGGGCTCGACTCCCTCTCAATACGAGCGTCCCTACTGCCATCTTCGAGCAGCGACCGAGGACCAGCTGTCGGTACTTTTCGTTAACGAGATCTTCGCTGCGCGCGCAGGCGACGAGGTCGAGGTAAACGTCAAGATATTCGTTCGCATCAATGTATGCGTAAACATAAGTTTCATAGACATGTCGTGCGGGTCGTAAGGAGGCGGACAAACGCAGATTACAACTGCAGAGCGATCCGCACCATGACCTCGTTCATGGCCATCACCGCCAAGCAGTCGATGATCAATCCGCGCGTCCCCTCGCAGACCATCCCCGACGCGAGCGCCTCTTCGCGCGCAGGCGGCGGCGGGAGCGGCGGGAGGGACTCTCGCGGCAGCCCGGGGATCCCCTGGCCCGCGCGATAGCGCGCCATGAGGAGCGCGACCGCCTCGCTGTACCCCCGGCAGATCTCCTGGGCCTCCTCGAGCGCGTCTTGCTGCGAGGTGACCCCGTTGAGCCTGGCCGTCGTCTGCGGTCACCGTTACCGTACGTGTATACGAGCGCGTGCGAAGGGGGCGCGGCGACGTACCTCGTGGCGCTCGCGGTCCATCGCCTCCTGCAGGTCGCGGATCCGCTCGCGGCGGTGCTCCGGGTGGACCTGGAGGAGCCGGATCTGCTCCTTCGCCTTCCGCCGCTCCTTCCAGTCCGTCGTCGAGCGCGCTTTGAGGGTGAGGTGCGCGCACAGCACGTCACGGCCCGACTGGATGTCCTCCGGCGAGGCGGCGAGTGGCTGGCATTGAGGGCTGGGCGACGTGAGGAAGCGGGTGTCCTTCCGGGGGGGTCTGAGGCGAGACGAGGAGGCGACCATGGACGGAGGGGTCGAGGACGAGCTACGTGTCATCATGGGGGAGGAGAAAGAGACACGAGCGAGCTCGTTGCGCCGCGTGCCCGCCGCGTAGCTGCGGCGAGGCGCCCACTGTCGCGACGCGTGACGTCATTTCGGGCCCGACCACGCGTCGAGGTACTTGCCGGAGTCAAAGGCCATGCACACCGAACGAGTTCTCAGAACCCTTGTCAGATTGTCGTTGTGATTTCGTAACAAACTTGGCTGCTACAGCAGAATGAAAGTCCGAGTGAAAGTAGGCCACAGCAGATGAAGTCCGTTTGTGATGTCCGATGGGAAAACGTTAAAGAAGATTATAGTAAGTGATACTCCATCAGCAATCGTCCTCGGTGGGCACGCCCTAATGGCCGGTCATCTCGAGGGTAAACGCAGCACCGGGTCACTCGCGCTTACGTGTGGTGCGGTCGAGGACGAGGACGCGGCAGCGGCAGTAGACTAGTACGCCTTGGTCGTGCTCGCCTGCCAGGTCGACGTCATGGACGCCATGTGGTCGGGGAGGGCGTTGCCGGACACACGGGGCTGACGCTGGTTCGAGGTCTGGCCCTTGCGCTTGATCCCGCACCGGTCAAGGCACTCCTGGCGGCCGAGCGCGAAGTTGTCTGGGATCTATGCGACAGGTTCAGAAGCAGACTCGAAGATGACAGGGGCAAGAAGGCTTACCTGGCTCTCGATCCACACGACATTCTCGACGCCGAGGTCGCCAAGAGAAGCGGCGACGACGTCCGGAGGGAGACCGAAGTAGCGCTGCGCGATGGACTCGACACCAGGGTCCTCGTTGTTGAGGGCCGCTGCAGCCGATCGTTCAGTACATACCACCAGGGGCGGAGGGAAGTCGTGAAACTCACCGACGAACATGACCGGGTCGCAAAGCTCGTTCTGCTGGTAGTGGATCGAGCCCTGGAGGAATACCTGCGCGCTGCCGGTATTGATCTTGTTGAAGACGAAGCGCGCGCCGTTCTCCGCGATCATGCCGGTGGTGAGCGTGCCGTTGACGACGTAGAGCATCTCCGTGGCGCGGGGGTGCGTGTGCGGCGTGTTCATGCCGCACGGCTCGAGGAATCCGAGGGTCATGGCCAGGCCTGAGCGGTCGTTAGCTTTTGCGAAGCGCACTGCACGGGTGCACAATCCCTTACCGTTGCCGACAAGCGCGGGGAAGTTGGCGACGTTTGCGTTGAGGGCGGTACCACCCGCAGATTTAGCCGGTGTCGTGTTGAAGAAGTTGAAGACGAACTAGAGTTTCCCTCAGTGATACAGCGTAAGCAAAAGACTTCTTTGATTACTCACGTCCGAGTCTTTGTCCAAGATCTTGATGCGGTCGTTCTGCGTAGGCGCGCTCTTGAGGGACGCAATCTGGTCCGCGGGAGCGGCGAGGGCGCCGGCGGCGACCGCGAGGGACACAAGGAGCTTCAAAGAGAACATGGCGTGGCTGCGGAGTGTGGAGATTAAAAGAGAAGAGGGTAGAAGAGAAGAGAAGACAGGAAGAGCAGGTTGCTGAAGATACCGTTCCAGCTGGCGTGGCCTTTATACTACCTGAGATCGGGGCTGGGTATGTGATATTCCTGGGGGACCTGTCGTCCACGGAGTGCCTCGTGCAAAAGCCAGCGCGCAGAGGCGTCCAATGGCGGCCCCGTCCCAGTGTATAGCCGAGGCCGGCGCTGCGCCTGGGGCACACCAACGCGCGACAAGAGCCCAAGAATGAACCAAAACGGACGCGCCGAAACGCGAGTTCCCCGAACCCCCGCGCAAGACGGGGGACGCACTGGGTTCGGGCGCAGGTGTGCCGCCGACGAGTCCGGAGGCTGTGATCGTCGAAAAGGAGGGCGTCGAACAGGCGCGGACGCCGTGAAGATCCATCGTCCAAATTCCGTCTTTGTGGCGCATGCAGTGCGGAAGGGGAACACCCAGGCGGTCGGGGATCCCCGCCCAGGGTGTCGTCCCGTGCGGTCGGAAGGATCGCAACGTCGCTCACGTACGCGAAGAGTCCGCTGAGTCCGCAGGATGGGGAAGACGTCACTAGTCGTAACACGTGGTCCCAGAGTTGAGTTGCGAAAGGTCGAGCTTGTATGGGCTGTGCATTGGAGAACATATCCTCGAGGTTAGAAGGTGGGGTACTCGAGGTGATCACTGCACCTCGGGCATAGGCAAGAATAATGGCGCGGGAAATGCACGGGACATTGGGCGGGATATTCGTGGGAAATATATACTATCACGAGCATGCCGCACGCATTTCTCATATTATATATCGGCACGGGCATGCTTTCCCCTCTGTTGCCCCCGCGGGGGACATGGCCGGAAAATGCTTCCTTTGAGAAAGGCAGACAAATATTTAAACAATCGCCCTATGAGGGAAACAGGCATGCTCTCTACCGCATGTGGTAAGAAAGGGGTGAAATGTCGCCCGGGGAAAATGCCATTGAAATGTTAGTATACTGAAAGAGCATGTTCCCTGCAGGGGCAATGAGGGAAAAGCTTGCCCGTGCCGATAATTGTGGCCTCTCATTCAATGACATACTTACGAAGAAATTGTGGCCTCGCAAGACGCGTCCCGGCCCGGACGGTCCCCAACGCTCCGTCCTGGCGCGCAAGGTCCTCACTGCTCTGCCTCTCCCGCCATGACCCTCCGCGTACCTGTCTCTCTCCGCTCCTCCAATTCCGTCTGGTGACATTCAATGCCATGGCCACGCGTGGGGTCACTGGACAGTTCTCTCCCCCAGCCGACCTCCGCCTATGTCCTATGGTTCCTCCCATCGGCCCGTGCATCATCTCGTGACATCCCCCCGTCTCATAAGAAGCGGGTCATTCTCGAGCCCCTCGTAGACGAAGAGCGCCCCCAGCCCCAGCATGAGACTACCCAGCAGTCTTGCAGCCGTCGCTCTTCTCGCGGGCTACGCCGTTGCAAAAACATGCTCGCTCGCGCCCCTTGGAGATGGCTTTGACGACACGGACCAGGTGAGCTCGGAGTTTCTTCGAATACCGCGGATATGCGTCCTCTGACGTGCAGCACGCAGGTTGAGGCTGCTATCGCCGCGTGCGGGCACTTTGGCACGACGACGTTTGGGCCGGGGCAGTACAACATTACGCGGAAGATGACTTGGAACCTCGTTGACTCCCGTGTGGACATGCACGGCTACCTGAGTGTGAGTTCTGCCCTTTCCGACTACCGCTTCGAATGCAAACCCCCTTCTGCACGCTACCAGTTCGTCCCCGACGTCGAGTACTGGCTGGACGCGTCCAACACCTACCGCGTCATCTTCATCCAAGACCAGGCCTCCTGGTTCGTGATCACCGGCCACGACTTCGTCATCGACGCCCACAATGCCGGCGGCATCAACGGGAACGGCCAGACCTGGTGGTCCTACTACGCAACCCGCACCCGCGAGGACGGCGACGGACGTCCGGTGGCCTTCACGCTCAAGAACGTCACGAACGGCCTCGTCAAGAACTTCCGGATCGAAGCGCAGCCGTTCTGGTGCAACGCCGTCGCAGACTCGAGGAACGTGGTGTACGATGGGATGATGTGCAACGCGACGAACCAGGACCCGTTGTATGCGGGGAAAAAGTGAGTATATGCGCTTTCTTCGTTAGTGCATAGTGCAGACGATGCCTGTCAGCGTCGTGCCGAACACAGACGGTATCAACACGTATCGGTCTGACCGTATCACCCTTCGCAACTGGGATGTGAGTGCATATATGAGCATCTGCATACATGTTGGCTGACCATTTTTCAAAGATTACTTGCGGCGACGACTGTCTGGCCATCAAAGGAGTACGTTTAGAACTCATCTACTAGGATTGTGGTACTCACGGTTCCGTAGAACTCTACCAACATCCACGCCAAGGGCGTAAAATGCCGGGGTGGAAACGGCATTGCGTTCGGTTCGTTGGGGCAATACGTTGGTTTGGTATGTGTACGTATCCTTGAGTTTGCGCCCGCGCTGACACTTGTCTTGTAGCCGGATATCGTCGAAAATGTCGTTCTTGAGGATATCGAGGTGCGTGCACTTGCGCTCAACTCACCTGTTTCCATTCTGAATACTGGAAACGTCTATTTAGATGATTCGGCTCGATCCAAAAGTACAACCGAATATGGTCAGCGGGGTTTACTTCAAGAGCTGGACTGGTACCGTCAACGGCTCGCCTCCGACCGGGGGCGGAGGCGGCTCAGGTGAGACTTTCCTTTGTTACGTCGAAAGCCCATCTCATCCTCTGGTCTTCCATACACGCGACAGGCCACGTGTCGAACGTGCTATGCAAGAACTTCTCGCTCAACAACGTCACTTTGCCTGTGCACGTGTACCAGACCAACGGGGGACACTCGAAAGACCTTCCATCAACGCTGCAGTTCAGCAAATTGTCTTTTGTTAACTGGACCGGGACCAGCCAGCGGAGCACGTGTATGTTTAGGGGTTCGTTTTAGATCAAAATCGCCGCTGATGCCTGCGCAGACGTCGAGCTCGATTGCAGCTCCGCCGCGCCATGCCCGAACATGCTGTTCGAGGACTTTGATATCCAGGTGCTCTCGGGGGCCACCCCGACCGCCGAGTGCGAGAATGTGGTCAGCGTGACGGGACTTCCTAGTGCGTTCTGCTTTGTTGTACTCTTCTTCGCCGAACGGGCCCCTGACTAGCTCCTGCTCAGGTTGTGAAACGATCTAGTGTAGCGTAGCCGTCGAACATGTCATTGCCATAGCAGATCTCCAATTTCACTTCCTTGAGCCAACCGGAGCTATTTCCTCCCTCCCGTTCGAGCTTGTTTCTCAAATACCGCCGGACGATCGGCTGGGACATGCACATTCGGAGCGCCGACTTTAGATGATCCCGCTGCCCAAGTTTGAGATGACTATTTCGCCTCCAAGTAGGACCTCACCTCCCCGTGTCTCCCCGCACAACGAACGATGATCACCCTCTCCACCGAATACCCAACGCCCCAAGCGAGCATGCTACCTCCGGAGCGTCTCTACGACATCGTCGATCACCTCCACTGAGACTCTGAGGTTCTCCGCGGATGTGCGCTCGCAAGCCGCTGGGTGAGGGACGCGCTCTCGCGCCCATGAGCGTCGACCTGTGCATGCAGTGTGCGCGCCGGGGCTCGCCAAGATGCTCGCCAGCTTCCAGCGCCTCAGCCGCCTTGGGGCCGAGGGCGTATGCCGTGAGGATGGGCCGGCGTTGCGCGAGGTCGTCCTTCGCTGCTGGGTCGAGTCCCCGCACCTTTTCCTGGACGTGCTCCTCCCGCGCGAAACCGGCGCGGGACGCACGCTCCCTCTCGAAGTGCTCGAGTGCGTACAGCGCCGGAGCGGTACGCGCTCGTCGGGGTCCTCGACATAACGACGGACGACTCGCCGCCCGTCGCCCCCGCAGCGTGCAGAGCGCCGCGCACGAGGAGCTGTACACACGGTACGCTTGTATCTCCTTCACGTCTCGTCCGCCGCCGGCGAGACTCGAGCCACGGGCCGCTCTCCGCTCTCCTCGCGCACCCCAGCGGTATTGAGGCACTGCTGGAGGAGCTAAAGTCACCAACCTCCTCCTCTGGCACTGCCTGCACACGAGCGCGCGCGCGCCTGCCCACGTCCGTGGCGGCGGCGGCGCCTCAGCGCTCAGCCGGCACTCGAGCGCATCACGCTTTATGTCGTTGAGTCGAGCAGGAAGGGCACACTGCCTCTGGTGTCTCGCGCGCGCGCGCGCGCAGCGGTAGGCGTCGCACCTGCCTCTCGGTTTCGGGATCGTGCCGTACGGAGGAAAGGACGCGGAGGACGAGGACAAGGTGTGGTGAGCTGCGGTGGGCTTCAAGGAGCTCGGGGGCGCGTGGGCGTCCAGGTCGATGTGCAGGTCGCGGTGGAACGTCGTGGGGTATCCCGTCTAGTGCCTTGAGCCTCGGGCGTACCGCCGTCCTTGCGCGGTGCTGATGTAGTCAGCCTCCCGATTCCAGCACGCGAAGATGCGACACAAAGCATGCATTCTGGACCGTACCCAAAAACATACGAGAGCATACAGCGAACACGAGCGTTACACAGAGAGTATCCGGAACGGGTCCGACCCGCCGCCCTCGAGCCCGGCGAGGACGGCACCGCGCACGGCGGCGAGGTAGTCGCCCAGTCGGCGGCCCTCCTGCGGCGAGAAGGCGTCGTAGAGCCGGTAGCGCGAGTCCGCGACGACGTTCACGAGCGCGAGCGCGTGTTTCACGTTCCTGTGCGTCGTGTTAGCGTCACAGCCAATCGTCGGGAAGGAACAGGGGAGGGCACGTACTCCGGGAGGCGCGCGCGCGAGCGGACGAGAGCGGCGTGGAGGCGGAGGATGAGCTCCGGGACGTATATCTGCCGGATCCGAGCGAGGTCTTTCCGGCGGCGGTCGACGGTGCTTCCTGGAGTGTCGAAAACGAGCCAATCGTTGGTGAGGAGCTTGAGCACCAGATCGCGGGTTTGGTCAATCAACGTCTGTGTCGGCCACGTCAGTAAAGCAGAAGTAGAGGGGGGAAGGGACGCACTCGATAGTCGCCAAGCCACGACGCACGGCTTTCTTTGTTCATCTGCGGCTGCTCAAGCGCAGCGCACTCCCCGACGCGGGCGAGCGAGTCCCAGACGGCGAAGAACTGGCGGTAGTGCATGAACTCCGTCGCTTCGTCCTCGGGCTCGGGCAGGGTCCCGAGCTCGGGCGGGAGCATGTCGAGCAGGTTCTTCGCGACCTGCACCCGACCACGACCTGTATGGGGGTCGGCGTTGGCACGAGGGAGTAAGGGAGGAGAAAAGACCGACCGAGGAAGTAGCGAAGGATGACGTTAGCTTGCTCGAGCGCGGTGTCGTACGTGGTCTCGAAGAATGTGGTCCACTCGATCGAGCGCACGAGTAGCCACTCTGCGTCCGTCGGCGGTGGTTCGACCGCCTGGATGCCGGGGAGGGGGCCCTTCGTTGGCGGTAGGATCTGTAGTGAAGGCGAATATAGTTAGTATACACATCTGATACACATCCGGAGATAACTGCGGAGGAGATACAAGCGCACCGTGAACGTCTTCTCGATCGTACGCTCTGCGGTGACCACGGCGACGCGCTCGACGTCAAGACCGTGATCACGGGCGCGGTTGAGGGCAAGACGACGCTCTTCCGCATCTCCGGAGAGTTCAAGGGAGGTGAGGAACATGGCATAACGCTCGACGGCGTTGTCGCCGAGAGCTCCAGCGTACATGGCGATTAGCTCGCGTTGGCCGGCGTTCTAGTGGTAAGTCATTAAAATATGCACCAACAGATAGGATGTAGTACGCACCTCGAGGACTTGGAGGTAAGCTTCGAGGATGGTTTGGGTGGCGAAAGGGGAGACGGGAACGTCAATCATCTGAAAGAACAGGCAGACGTGGGCGAAAAAGCGTGTCATGGCGGAGTACCTTCCCATCTATCTCAGAATACGCGTTGATAGGTTCACAAAACAACTCACTCAGGTGCAGAGACGTAGAGGCCTTCCTGCAGCCCACTCGCGAACGACTCAAGCAGCGAATCCGTCTGGTCGAGGATGATGTGCAGTTGTGAGACATGATATGGGTGGTCGGCAGGGGCACTGTCGTCCAGAATGGCAGCATTGTGGGAGAAGAGCGAGGAAAAGAACTCACCCATCGATGACGGGGATGTTCGATAGCTCCTGCAACGTCTGCACTACCTCGTGCTCCCACGTATCTTCGTCCAGATCGTGTGTCGGGGCCTGCTCGCCGCTAACCGCGCTGCTCTCAAGAGCTCCCAGCCCGCCTTCCCAAAAGCATTCACGTTCGATGTCCGCGAGACCGCGACTAAGCCGCTCTTCACAAGCCATGCTAACGAGGGCCCACAAATGGTCTTCCCATGTTCGACATACGGACTTGAGTGCTACGGACGTCGACGTAGTCGGGGCAAGAGAGGCATAGAGAGCACGTTCTGCTGGTGGTAGCGCTGGCTGGATGGAAGAGGAGGCTGAGGGGACGCGTAGATGTTGGGAAAAGAGGAACGTACGTTCAGCGCTGCACTCTGGCAGACCGTTTTCCACATCTTCCGCCTGACATTCCCTGACCATTGCTGGGATCCCTCCACGTCCTCGTCATCCATCGCGTCTTCGTCTCTTGGCTCATTTGCTACACGTGAAAGTCGTCAGAAACATTCTGGAGCCGCGCGAGGATAAGGAATACGTACCTATTGCCCGCCACTGGAACAACAGCGCACCACGTATACTCGCCGCCCGCCACGGCTGGTTCGCTTTTCGACACAGATCGACCGCCTCTTCGAGCTGACCGGCGCGTACATGTGCATACAGAGCCTGTATGACCAGCTTTTCGTACGTCTGCATCGAGCATGGACCATAGTCAGACCCAATTGCCACACTCCGCCAACACCTCCAACACGCGTCCAAAAACGCACAAAACACTCACCGCGTCATCAGGCGCGAGCCCCTTCCCCTCCTCCCCCGCCGCGCGGTTCGGCGCGTCTGGGTCAAGCTCCTCCACCACGCCCGCGCCCTGCCGGCCGGTGCGTTTGCCTTGGAGGACGGCGTTGCGGGTGAAACGCCAGTAGCCGTTCGTCACGCCCGGGGTCGCGGGCATCGGAGCGGAGTCGTGGAGCCACTCGCGGACGACGACGAGGGCGGAGAGGAGGGGGGAGGCGTGCATGATCGACTGTGCGAGGGTCGCGGGTGGCGTGTACGGATTTTCGGCGAGCAGGTCGCGCGGGTGCGGGTACTCGGGCGGGGTGGTCTTGCGGAGGCTTTCGGGGGAATATAGTCTGCATGGGGGCATGGGGGAGGGGGAGAGGAGGAAGGGGACGTACGACATGAGGGCTTGGAGGAGGGCCCAGGTGTCGCTCTCCATTTTCAGGGCCTCGAACTCCTGGGTGGACACGCTTTCCATCGACGCATCGTGCATGTCAGCCAGTCTAGAGGTCGCAGGGTGAGCAAACCACGGTGAAGAACGAGGAGCGCACGCACTGTTGGTCGCATATGTGCCTTAGCCGGGGGGCGAAGCCATACTCGGGATGAAGCAAGGCTTCGAGGTCGTCCTTGTTGGCCTGGCAGACGGAGAGAACCTCCGCACAGGAGGCGTAAAGAGCCTCCGACATAGCCCTAGTTCTCCTACAGGTTTGGCAGTGGGGGGAGAAGATAGAGGGAGCAAGAGAAGAGCACCAAGAGCGCGTTCCAACTTTACGCGGACGCGTCTGGGCGCTCAAACCACAAATAGTAACCGGTCTCAAACGCGTTATAAATGTTGTAGTCAAGTTATTGACCAGGGTCTTACGACGTTTACTTACGGTAAGTAGGTCTATGGGGTTCAATTCGGCCGCCGCCGCCGCCGCCACTTCTACTCCTCCTTCTCCTCCTCCTCTTCCTCTCCAATTTCGCCCTACCCTTCCGCTATCAGGCTGTCTTTCATTCTACGACTGCTTCGTCTCCTATACTTAATAGCTGCGTTCGCCTCCGCTGGCTTGAGCTCGGCCTTGGGCCAGGAATGTCGCGTCGCGTTTCCCGTCTTCAGGGGCGCCGCGCCTCGTCCGTGTCCCCGCCGTCGAGGCGCGCACCGACGCCGCGTTCTGACTGAGGTCCCGCGAGGGAGCGGCGGCGGCGCAACTCGAATAGACCGACTCTTTCCATGTTTGCATACAAACAGTGTAGTAGACGGAGGACTAACTTAGAGCTACAACTCTCTCACAGGATCGTGCGCTGATCAATATCTACCACAACTGCCCGGTTGGGATCTTCCTCCAACTGCTCTTCGAACCCGACCACTAGCCTTCGCAGGAGCGGACAACTGCCTCCCCTGACCAACGTCGACGCTTGTTTCTCGAAAGCTACCTCGAAGCCTCCTTCCCTCAAGCACTCCGAGGTGCATCCTACGAGGCGGTACTCGAGCGTATTGAGATGGGGAAACAGGGGCCGGTCGCCACAGAGCTTCACGGTGAGTGCGTCGACGAAGAACGGCCTAATCACAAACGGCATCCTATTGCGGTACGAATCCGGGACGAACTTGCCCAAGCTCGGCATGCCTTCGTACTGGACACACAGCGAGCGGAGCTCGCTGCACGGCGTGAGCACGTCGTAGAACCCCGTGATGCTTCCCCCTGAAGAGATAAGTGGCCTCAGTCACTGACACATGCTACTCGCACCAAAGAAAAACGTACGCAGCGCCTCCTCAGTGCGACTTCCGTACCAGTGGCCAATGTCCGTCGTGATATCGTTGATGTTGATCGCGAGGTGCTTGAGTGCGGGTCCGAGCGCGCGGACAGCTGGGAGCCACGTCTGCGTCACTGTTGCCCCACTGAGCAACTTGAGCGATGCGATTGAGTCTACCTGTGTATATAATCCCTCTCGCCCTCCTCTAATCCGGCCTTGCTGTCCTCGAGAAGTAGATGAAAGAGCGCCAAACGGCCCTTCAAGCCCAGCCGGAAAACCGTCTAATGAAAACGAATCGGAGCGAATGAAATCTGACCATTAGATTTCATTCGGTGAGGAGAATATCATTAGATATCCATTAGATCGCGGGTCGAATACTGTCGGATACAATCGAATGATCCCGTATCCTGGGCGGATGCTTTCTGATCTCGGGCGAATCAAATCTAATTGCCATCAAATCCCTGTCGAACGCGATCTAATGCCAGTCTGTTCCAATCGAATGAACAACGAACACAGATCTATTCCGAACGGATAAAAAACAGATGCACATCTATTCCAAACGGATTAAAAACGAATGTAATCTAATTCTACGGTCGCCCGATGCAGCGCGCTTGTGGGAAGCTGCGAAAGGATAATGGTCAGCATGGCGTGCGCGCAAGACGACAAGTGTGAATGTTACCAGAGGGGCATGGTGTAGTCACTTTGCCTTCGTGTTGAGCTAATCAAGGTCGTCAGAAGTGTATATGAGAGTATAGTGAATACATACGTAGGCTTGCCGCTCTTCCTCATACTGCCGTATTCCGGAGGATCACATTAGTGCAATGCAGTCGTACAACAAAAGGCTGAACACAAACCTTGACGAGGTTTGGCGTCGTCTTGACCACCTTCCAGTGTTTGTTGAATTCCGGGACACTGCCGTCGGGATGGTCCTTCAGCCAGTGCCTGCCGCAGATGCTCCTGATTCACAAATGAGTGGATAACAGGTAGGAAAAGCGAGAGCACGTACCGCACAGTCATACAACCGTCTTTGACGGTGAAGCGTTTCGGCTGTGGCTTCGGCTTCTTCTGGCCGAGAAGTATCGTGGAGTTAGCATCCGCCATGTCCGCAGGCAATTCGGGTCCTTGCACTGGCGCTGTCGACATGACAAGCACCGGCACAGTGGGGGAACTCTCACTGGGGTATGTTGAGTAACGGCGAACATGCAAAGGATAAACTACGCACAGAGGGGGAGGAGTTGCGGGGTGACCAGATGCGACACCGGCAGCAGCAGTGAGAAGATGGAGGGGGGCTTGGCCATCTTGCGCGGGCGCAATCGTGACATCCATATCCGTGGACCCGGAGCTCTGAACCGGTGAGGAAGGAGTGGATGTCGTGGAGGCAGAGGCTGGCTCCGTGCTCCCGACAGCATCAGAATGGGAAACAGTGGGTACTTGGGATTCCGGGAGCGCGGACTTCTGCAATGCGGCAGCAAGAGCCTGCTGTTCTAGATAGTTGGTACTAGCAATGGGGAGTGAGGTCAGGTTACGAGCACAGAGGGGAGGAGATAAACCTACAACACATTCCGAATTTGGACTCGCGGGCGGTCAGTTGGGTTGGCGTGGGCAGGGAGCGTCGTCGTGGGCGGGGAACCATCTTCATTACCGATCACAGGCGATGGCGGGGTACTGAGTGTATAGCCGTTCTCCATGAGATCGGAACTAGTCAGATGTACAATTAGCTTAGGCGAAAATCGTACATCTTGCAGTTTGACAACACTCACACTTCATCCGGTAACATGAGCGACAATGAGGTGGGCGTAGAAGGAGGCGACGGCGATGGAGGAGAGTTCCGGACCTTCTTGTGCGAGGTTGTCGAAAGGCCTGCAGGAGAACACCTCTTCACACCAGCGCACGAGCCGGGATGATCACCGTCATTGTCGCCACCGCCGCTGCCATTGCTGCCGTTGGCAAGGGCCGCCTTGCGTCCCCTGATGAACGCGGGATACCCCATCGTCGCGACAAGGATGGCTTTATAGTGAGCCTCGCAGTATCCCAGCTCTGGAAACGCCCCCTCCATCTCCTCAATGTACTCCGTGCGGACGTCCGTTGGAGCGCGACCCCACTTCGCAGGCGCACGGTTGTCCTCGAGCAGACGCTCCCAAATCGCGCGAGAACGGGCTCGAATAAGTGTGCAGTAGGCTCCACTCACAGGCTTTCCAGTTTCGTCTTCAAGCCACTGGAAGGTGTCGTTGTAGCCATGTGCTGCACGAGTAGGACCTCGCTTTCCGGGTTTCGGGGTGCCGTCGTTGATGTCTTCGGTGAGATCTTGAGCAGGATCGGTGATGGTCCTGGCTTGACGCTTGGCCCTCTCCTGCGCAAGATACTCGTGATGGAACCAGTAGCGGATGTTGGGGTAGTCAGTTTTCTTTGGGCGCGATCGGGCGACGTTGCCTCCGGGCGGCCCGGTTGTGTTGCCCGCGCTGTTGGCCAACGCTTGTGCAAGCGCGGAACGAATGGCTCTATAGCGAGGAAATCAGGACAATTCATTCAGTTGGGAAAACGAGTACTCACCGTTCAGCCTCCAGCTCCGCTTGTACCCGAGCAAAGTTGTTCTGCAGGTCAGAGTGCGCGCTGCGCAGATCGTCATGCGTTTCTTGAGAGGCGCGATAGTGCGGGCCAAATTGAGAGCCGTACCGGGAGAAGCCCGGGCTAGAGCTGAAGGGGGAGGACGAGAAGTCCTGCACACGAGTTAGCTTAGACAGATAATGGTAAGAAAAGTGAGAAACCTGTTCAAGACGACGATCAAGATCATCTACGTAATATCCACGGTGCGAACGGCCCATGGTCCTCATTGGGGGTGGAAGCGGTTGAACCAATGCGCTAGTAGTAGTGCTGTTGCCCTCATCGAAAATGTCGGTAGGGTGGTGATTAATGGGGGTGAAAGGGAGGTTCGGATCCATTGTTGAAGGAGGGAGCAGAGAGACTAGTCTGCGGGGGTAATCTAGAGCGGGCGAAAGTGGGGTTGGGTAACGGGAGGCGAGCGGAGAGAGGTGGTGGAAGTGGGGGGTAGGTGTGCGAGGTTGGATGTGGAACGTACCGTTGTACGCCGCTCAAGTCGCCCTTTTAACCTGCTGCAATCAATTAATCGCCGATCCGTCCCAGGTTTAGTGTGTCAAGCTTCAAACAAGCTCTGTCGCCAATGGCTATGATAACGCGCTGGTCAGCATCGGCGAAGAGAGAACTTGGCAGCAGCTTACAGAGGCTGGATCCTAAGGCAAGGGTGCTCCGCGATGACTGCGGATGCTATGCGTGTCGTTGTTGTGACGCGTCCTAGGTTGAGGCGGGGCGGAGGTCTGCGCGTGCGCTCAGGGTCATCCATGAACTTGCGCGCCCATCAGGGCCAGTTCCCGATGTCGTCCGTCACGCAGAGGAGGTGGAAGGCCTCCTCGTTGGCCACATTGACGAAGGTGAGCTACGCAATGAGTAGGACATGCGGGTCGAGGGAAGGGGACAGGGAAAGGTGCATAGGGACTCACGCAGGCAAAGTGAGGCGGTCCCATGGTGATCGTCACCGTGGACCGGCCTGATTTGACAATTTGCTGCTCGTGGCATCAAGAAAGACTGCGGCATCAGGAAAGACCAAGTGGTCGGCGCTGTCGTCGGTGGGGGAGGGGAAGATGGACCGAGACCGAGTGCGTCCTCGCGACGCGGTGCGTTTCCTCCGGTTCCGGGGGCGAGTGGACTCAGTGGAGAGGGAGCGAGGGCTGGGAGGGGTATGGAATCGCCGCTGGAATGCACTGGGCTTCGAGTGAGCGCGATATTGAGCTGCTTGGCGAGCACGTTGAAGCGGTCGGTGAGCACTGAGAGCTCATTCGGGATAGCGGAGGGCAAAAGCGGAAGGAGATGCGGAGGTCGAGCGGAGGGTGGTGGTAGGTTTCGGAATGAAATAGGCACACTGCGCTCCAAGTCCCCCACGTCGATCCAGACCGCGTCGAGCTCATCCATCAGGTCCTCCTGTTCTTCTGTCCGTTGCGTGCCCTTCTCCTCCAGCTCTTCCACCCGCGTGCGCAGATCCCCGTCCTCACCTCCTGGCTCCTGGACCTGCCGCTACCATCGCAAGTCGCCCTGAGATGAGTGGCCCCCACGGGACTCGGGGAGCTCCCGCATGCGCTCGAGCCCGCCCGTGTTCTCGAGCAGCTCGCGCGCATTCTTGAGCTCTTCCCCAAGCGCCATGTTGCTTCCTTCCAGCTCGCGCAGGACACCGTCGTCCACGTCGAGACCGCGCCATCTCCTGAGTTCGTGGATCTCGCGCTCGCGGCGCTCTTCATGCAATTCCTCGGGCTTGTGCGTGCGAGACTTGACGCTGCTTGAGCGCTGCAGTTGGTTGAGTGCGCGTGAGAGCGAGAGCTCGAGTTTCTTGTCGACCTTTTCAAGTTCCATGCCGCGGGGTGGCGAGAGGGCGAGCCAGACGAAACGAGACGTTCTCCAAGGAAGTGGGCCTCAAGCTTGTTGTCAAACCATCCTTCTTAAGCACGGATCGATATGCTGCAAGAGATGTAAGTACACCATCTCGGAACCGTGTGAACGAAGACATACCTTGGTCGAAAGTAATACCACTCTTGCTAGAGACGCGGACGTTCCCACTGGCACCCATGTCCCACTCCACCACCTAAAGTCGATACGCTCAAGCGTGTACTCGTGCGCGTGCGGACAGAGGGACAGCGGAGTAGGCGGGGGCCATTGTCTGCCTCCGCGCCGGGGAACACAATGTCTTGAGGGGAAGGGTGCGTCGGGACTCACAGATGCTTTGGCGGAGGGAGGCGGTCGTGCGTCCGTTGCCGCGCTGGTACCGGGGATCGCAGCCGATATCGGCTGGTTGACGACGCTCGACTCGGGGGTAATGCTCGAGCTTCCCGGGATGTCTCCAGACTCGCTCTGGTGCGTGCCCTCCGAATGGTTTGAGTCGTCAATAGACCAAGGCGATCGTCACCGTGGACCGGGGAATGACGACTCGCTGCTCGTGACATCGAGAGAGACTAAGTTGTCGGTGCCGTCGTCGGTGGGGGAGGGGAAGATGATCCGAGTCCGAGTGCGTCCTCGCGACGCGGTGCGTTTCCTCCGGTTCCGGGGGCGAGTGGACTCGGCGGAGAGGGAGCGAGGGCTGGGAGGGGTGACGATACCGCCGCTGGAATGGGGCTTCGCGTTGCCGTTCATAAACTTCTGTTGCTGGTGCGCCTGAAAGGACGTCAGGGACATGAGCCCGTTGTCGACCTTCGTCACGGCGGTGGAGACTGTCTCCTCGGCCGCGCACATCCGGCTCTCCCACTCGTCCCTGGCTCGCCAGAGGCGCTCCCGCTCCTCCGTCCAGTCCTCGTGCACGCTGCTCCACTTGCCCTTGACGTTGTTCTTCCACTCAGCGAATATTGAGGTGAGCAACTCGCGCTCCTCCTTCCTCGCCTCCTCAACAGCGGCGACGGGGACGGTGGGTTCTTGCGGCGCGGCGCGGGCGGACTCATACGCTTGGACGAGCTGCTCCGTGACCTCGACCTGAGACTGCACTTGCGTTTGCGTGTCTTGGACGAGGTTCTCGAGTGACGCGACCTTGGACTCGAGGACGGAGATCGTGGACTGGGCGGTAGCGTGCTGGGCTTCGAGTGAGCGCGAGAGCTCGAGCGCCATCTCGAGCTGTTTGGAGAGCGCGTTGAGGCGGTCGGTGAGCTCGTCCGGGATCGCGGGGGCGGATGCGCGAGGAGAGGGGGAGGTCGGGCGGAGGGTGGTGGCGGGTTGCCGGAACGAGTTCGGCTCCTGCTCTTCATCGTCCTCGGTCATGCCCATGCCGGTAGGCTCGGGTGTCCGCGGGCGGCCGAGCTCGTCACGACTCCTCCGCTGCTCTTCCTCTTCACCAGCCGTGATTTACTCTTCATCCTCCTCGTCGACGCGCTCGAGTTCATGAGGGGTGACCGTCAAAATGCTTCGGGCCTGCAGCGAGCCGACTTCCTGCTTGATGGCGTCGTGCTCAGTGAGCACGTTCTCCAATCACAAGAGACAAGATAGGATGGATGGCCCGTGTATGAGAAACGGTGTGGGTGAGAACAGGATGGTACGCAGGTGGTAGTAGATGAATGGGAGAGACCACGACTGGCCAGCGCGCCTGGACTCCGCGCGTCCGATCATCTGGAGCCGCCGACGCGCGCGCCCAGTGCAGTATCGAATACTAGTTATTCCCTCTCTCCTCCCGGCTCCCCCTCTCCCGCTTCATCGTCCGCGAATATATCTTCATCCCTCCCTGCGTAGTGTGCTACTTCCAGTCCAGGCTTCTCGACAACGCACCACCGGCCAGTCACATCTACGTCTCGAGTGACAATATGTCCCTCAACAGAGGGAATATGCTCCGGATGGGGAATCATCGCCACGACCGACTTGATACAATGCACCGGAACAACCACGAGTCCGTCATCACCACCAGGAAGGGAAGAGTAGATGGTCTTGCAAGATAGTTTGAGCAGTGTCGGCTCCGGCAGACTCCAGAGTGATAGCATGGCGACGCCTTGCTTCCGGTTTCCAATTTTGAGGTGTATGAAGTACTGCACTTCCCCGTATCGTATCTCTCCGTTGAGTACGATCTGCCAAGCTAGTTAGGATGCCTGTATATATTAGAGCCACAACTCCGCTTACCTTCACATTACGGGAGACACGGAGCTTAGGCTTTGTCTTGCCACCCTCCTTCCAATATGATCTCGCAATCTGGCCATTTGGTAGAAGGAGTCTTGCCCAGCGTGCCACACGGAACGCGGGCGCATCTTCGTAGAGCGCCTTGTTGGGAGGATCGTGTTCCTTGAGGTATTCCCGGAGTGCATTTCCCTCTTCGGTACGAATTGTGCGCTCCTTCGTGTCGACTGCCCGGAGGAGCACGTAACCAGACCCGACCTCTTCGGCGCCCCGAGGGTATTCTCCGGACTTGTATTTTGTGTGCTCGAGCTCTGGGAACATAGCCTTGAGCGCATTGATCAGGGCTCTTCGAACAAAACGTTCAGAGAGGTTGGCGTAGGGATTAGAATGGTTCCGAAGCTCCTGTGTCAGGGAGCCAATGGCACGCTCCATGACCCACTGTGTGTAGCACGCTTGCGGGCCAAGCCGCCGAACTTCCGGGCAAATATGAGATAAGGCATGGATGCTTTGCCGCACAAAGTGGAGACGATCGGCACGACGATTGTAGTACAGCTCCTCGAACTCGGTGGTGAATTGCATGAAGTGGCTGTGTGCTTCAAGGAGGTCGTCCTCACGGATGCTGTACGCTAGCGTAATCCGGATGGCACGGACGAGTTGACAGAAGTTCACGAAGTATTGAAGGGGAAGAGGGGAAGCGTAGAGGAGACAGGGACCGAGACCGAAGACGTACATGAGGAATTCCCAGGCTTTGTAGCCACTTTTGATCTTCTCGGCCGGATTTCGCGGAGGACGATCAAACGATCCGGGAAGAAACCGGGTACATTCTGCCACTTGAGCGCCATGGACCTTCCAAACGTCACCCTGGAGGACGGCCCAGTCCCAGCGAGTCTTGTCGTCGGTCTTCTCACATTTGATCGTTGAATCGCCCGCGCGACTCGAGTTTTTGCTGATCCTTTTGGAGGGGGGAGATAGCTCGGTCGATGTGCACTAGAAGAAAAATAGAGCGAAACTCGGGCGCCCAGCCTGGGGCACAAGCGCGCTCCCCGATATCGCGACCACGACTCCGACGACGACTCCGAGGATGGCCACTCGCATAAGAAGTCGAAGTCTGACGCCTCCATCTACCCTTGGGTTGTCAGTCGGCCTGTCGCAAGTCCCACTGCTCGACCGGTTGTCGGACGTCTCGAGGAACAGTACCGCAATTTCGCGCGGGACATCAAGTCCACCCTCACCGATCTTCTCAACACCCCCAGCATTCCCGAGTTCGCCATCTCCGAGTGGGACAACATCCTCCGGGGCAAGCCCGTCGACCTTGACCAAGTCTTCTCGGGCCGATACTCAACAGTTTCAGATGAGAAACAGAAGCACAGGATCGCCGATGGCCTCGAACTCTCTCTTGGCACGACTCGCCCCTCTCGCACCGTCAAGTGCTCCGGCGACTGGGTCGTTGCCTGGCAGGACGCAAGCGCAGCCTATGCGATCGCCCTCCCCGACCTCGCGCCCATCTGCGCCGCCTATAACAAGCAGATTATCAGCCTGTTCGCTTCCCTCCACATCTCCCTTGCTCACCGTGTCCTCGACTACGACCGGGCCGTGCGGAAGCGCGTTGCCCTCAATCGACATCTGTAACTTATGCATTGTGCTAAATGCTCTAAATGCTCTAAATTTTAGAGCTGCTTTGCTAAAAGTATTTTAGAGCACTTTAGAGCATTTAGACATTTTAGAGCAGTTAGAGCAGTAGAGCAGTGAGGGGTGATGTAATGTCTGCAAACATGCATCAATCATCAAGAGCAAATCAGCCTTTCATTAGACTGCTCTTAACCCTCTTGCTTGATGACTAGTTTATGAATGGTTCACAACAAGATACGAATATGGGGAGGACAAAATATATTGGTGTCCAACTAAACTGAACAAAGACGTGCCTGTAACTACAACATAGGGGATGGGGGTGGCACGACCATGGGCAAGATGGCAACGCGACCTTGAGGCAGACAAGGCGGGCAGGGGGCGGGGGGTAGGGTGACGAGAATAACGTGGGGCACAACGGGTATGAGGTGGGTGACACGGGGATACGGATGAAACAACGGCGACGGACAGCGAAGACGTGAGCGCGATGCACGCGACGTCCGCGACGCGGGAGACGAGGGTGCAGGGCGTGCGAGGTGGGCGATGTAAACGATGCTGTGACGTGGGCGATGTGGACAAGGTGAGCGACGCAGGCAAGGTAGGAGATGTGGGCGACACTGACCTGACGCAGGCGGGGCGAGCGAGGGGTGACGCGGGCGGGGCGGACGCAAGCGAGTGATGCGTCTGTGGGTGACACGGACACAGACGCAGGTGACGCAGGCCTAAGGAGGGCGACACAGGTGGGAGGTGTGTGAGGGGTGACGCGGACGCGAGGTGGGCAACGCGTGAGGTGGGTGAAGTGGGCGTGGGCAAGGTGGGCGAGGTGGGAGAGGATGAGGGTGTCAGTGACACGGGGACAAGGCGGGGGTGACATGGGCGATGCGAGCAAGGTGAGTGACGTCGACAAGGATGAGGTGGGCGGTAGGACACGGGCGAGGTGGGGACGCAGACGCGAGTGACGCCACATGCAGCCCCCCGACAGCGCCGACGTCCCGGTCGGTGTTGAGCGCGATGCGGTGGGGTACAAGCGCGGCGTGAAGCTCGGGCCAGACTGTGCCCAGCCCGGGGACGAGCGCGGAGGGCATTCCGGTGGACGAGGACGGTGCGCCATTAAGCGGCGTCCTCGGTCGCGTTCTCGACGGACCACCAGAGGGTGTCTTCCGCGAGCTCGCGCTAGCTCATCTGCAGTCGGCACAGGGACGGGTGGGTATGAGGGGGCGCAAGGAGAGGTTGAAGACGAGCTTACCAGCCAGACATCGATGCCGTACTTGGTGAGCAGGGCGGGAACGTTGGCGAGGCGCGCGTTGCGCCAGTCGTCGAGAACCTTGGACTGTTTGCGCAGGAGTGGGGCAGGTGGATATAGCGCGAAGAGGCGCTGGAGTGTAGCTGGGCGTGGGCTACGCGGGAGGTGACAAGCAAGGTGGACAAGACAGCGACACGGGCAAGACGTGTCTTCTGGCCCATGTGCGAGCCTCCGAGAACGAGCAGCCTCCCGCTTGGGAGGGCGATCAACTGGCCCGTAGTGCGGCCCTCGGGGAGCGGGTCGTCGGCGCTCCGCGGTGCGGCCAGGGCCTGGGGAGGTGGTGGGCGAGGAGCGCAGGAGAACAGAACGGGGGACTCACCGAGACAAAGGGGCCTCGACAGCTCGTCGAGGGAGCGGCAGGCGAGGAGCGCGTTCACATGGTCCGTGGAGATGTTGCGCCAGGAGCAAAAGACAGGGAGGACGGGGAAGACGGGGAGGACGAGGAAGGGCCCAGCGCAGAGTTGGAGTTGGACGAAGGGAACGACGCGCTGGCAGCTGCTGTCAGCGCCGGACGCGTGGGAATGGAGACACGTGCGTGAAGTCCAGCGCTCGGCACTGCCAGCACATCGCGCGCTCTATCCTCACCTGCCTCATCCTGTTCCGTCCTCCCCTGTGTCAACCGCGCCGGCCTCTCATGATGGTGCAGGCCTCCTGCGGGTGGGTAAGTCGCTCACACTGCTCCCCAAAACCCGACTAATGAGGCATGTGCGCGGCGTCGCATCTCCCGCCTCGTCCACCTCACCTGTGTTGCCCGTATCCGCGACCTCGGGCCACTGGATAACGAGCTCGCCCACCGCAAGGCCATGGAGCTTCACCACCAGCTCGAGGTCAAGAACGGCCCCGCCGGCGCACTCTGCAAAAGCGCCTGCCCCCAGTACGTGTTCTGCCGTGTTCCTCGGTGAGTGCTCATTTCATGTTTTTCTTTGCCCTTTCTTCCCGCTCTTTGCCAGCCTGTCTCACTTCGTTTCTCCCTCGCTGCCGTTATGCTCTACAGCCATTGGACTACGTATCAAGCTGACAGGTAAGTTAATTCGTTCTATACGCATTACTGGCAGTGTTCTGATCCTCTTTGCCCTTTGTCATGACCGCATTGCCCGCCTCGCTCACGTTGCCCATGTTGCCTACATCACCACCTGCGGGAGCTGGTGCTCAAAGGCCGTACATCGTCTCTTTCAACGCCCTCCATCTGATCGACCACGACCTCGCCCCACCGCCCCCTCGGTGATCACCATTGGGGACGAGTCCAATGCCGAGCACGACTCCTCGGATGCGGAGGGCGACGACTGCGCCGACCGCCGCGATCGTCTGTCCAGTTACGCAGCCATGGGCGTCTCATACCAGGCGGACGAGGACATGGTGTGGGGGCCTATCAACTGCCAACTGGGCGAGGATAAGGATGAGCTGGTGGGACCCTCGCGTCACCCGCCTTCCCGTGTTCGCCCCCGTGTTCCCTGCATCACCCATCTCGCCCGTTTCGCTCACGTCACCTGTGTCACCCGTATCGCCCACGTCTCCCACATCTCTCGCATCTCCCCCTTACCTTGACCACTGCGTCCGCCTCACTCGCATTACCCACTTCGCCCACGTCTCCCGTTTTGCCTGCATCGCTTATGTCGCCCGTGTACCAACATCGTCCTCATCACGGCCACACCTCACGCATCACCCGTGTCACCCGCTGCGTTGTGCCATGCCCCCGAATCTGCCGTGTTGCGCACTTTGCCCATGTCCGTGTCGCCCACCCGCGTCCCCGAGCTCCCGCCTCGACCCTGTCTCCTGCGTTCTCACCTTGCCCCATGTCGCCCACATCCTCGCCACCCACCTCATAGACTCGCCCACATCACCCGCTTTGCTTACAACTTCCACAGTGACCTTGCACACCTCACCCTTGCCTGCCTTGCCGATGTTGTTCCTGCCTTGCTGTCGTCCATCTCACATATGTTGTGCATGTCATGACAATGTGTGTCTTCCACACCACCCATAGCCTGTACTTTGTAGCATGATAAATATAATTTTTTGTCCTTCTCCTTTATGTTTGTATACTGGTTGAGTGCGTTGTATGAACCTATCCTGCTTGTTGGCTGAATTTGATCCACATGAATAGCATCTATAAGCTCTAAAGCTCTAACAGCTCTAAATCTCACTAAAAGCCAGTGCTAAAGGCTCTACAGCTCTAAATGTTCTAAAAGTGCTAAATGCTCTAAATGCTCTAACTTTAGAGCTTTTAGAGCTTTTAGCACTCTGCAAGAATTACTGATGGAGACCTCCTTTTCACCGACACTGCGGACTTCGCGGACCTTCGCCTCCAGTTCGTCGACTCCGGTGGTGCGAACGTCTTGCAAGCGTCAACGGTCCCTGGACCTAGTCGGCGGAACCCAGGTCCAGGACGAAGTGGTGGCAGCAACTCCGCTCGACGGGGCTCCATGTCTGAAGAAGCGTGCCGCCGCTTCAATTTCAGCATCGCACACGATGCTGCCACGTGCCGATACAAACACGTCTGCTCCGCCTGCCACAGTGGCGGCCATCCCCGACCACAATGCCCTTCGTCTACGGTCTGACCGCCCGCACGCTGTCGCAGTGCCGACGTACCTTCGCGGCATTGCCTGGGGTGATCACAGTTCCCCCAGACGTCGTTTTGGCGATGTTTCTCTTACTCATCCACCTCTTCCTTCGCCGCCCGCTTCTTTCCTTCGTGATCCTGTTGCCTCCCACACCATTGCATCTCATCCCAATCTCTTCCCCATCGTAACCTCTATTAAAGTCGACCGTTTCGCGCAGCTTCTTGAGCACCATCCTAACCAGCCTTTTGTTCGCTCCGTTATCAATGGTCTACGTTCTGGTTTTTGGCCGTACACAGAAGACAAACCTGACTTGTATCCTACTACGTGGGACACTGCTGGATCGCCCCCCACGGACGAGACGGCCCGGGCGTTCCTGCGGGAGCAACGTGACGAGGAGGTGTCTGCTGGGCGATGGTCTCCTTCCTTCGGGCAGGACCTCTTGCCAGGCATGGTCGCAATGCCTATCTTCGCGATTCCCAAACCCAATTCGAAAAAACTACGCCTCATCAACCACTTGTCATACGGCAAACATTCTGTCAACTCTCTTGTCCCACCAGAAGCTATCAAAGGCGCCGTCCTCGATGGAGTGCCCATTCTCGGAGACTCCCTTAAAAAGATCGCCGCCGATTTCCCTGGCGTACCCCTACTGCTTTGGAAGTCGGACGTCGCCCATGCTTACCGCAACCTCCCTGTAGCTCCGCTGCAGCAGCTGCTGCAGATCGACACAGTGGATGGACATCGTCACGTTGACCACAACCTCCCGTTCGGTAGTGATCACCACGGGTCACCCCCGGGTAATTTTGAGTCGACCCGTACCCGGACCCGCGAAACCCGGACCCGTGAGCTCACGGGTCAGGGTATGCTCGGGTACGGCGCTTGCGACCACGGGTCAGTCACGTGTGACGGCTAGAGTCGGCGCTCGCGCGCATGGCTTGCCAGTCGCGTCGTGACTCACGATTTATCCCTTCCTCCCTTTCCCCACCTCTGTTCAACTTCTGCTTCTCTTCTTCTCAGCAACTCCCAAGCCTCAGCCAAACTTCAAGATCTGGAGAACCTGACGCCTTCAAATGATCTTGGAGGAGATGTAGTGGAGGTGGTATGGTATTCATCGGCTCAGTGGGAGTGCGATAAAAAGGTGAGCTTTCATGAAATCTGCTGGCGAGGCTGAGTGCGCGGAGGGCGCGCTTCGACCGCTGGTCCCGCAGCGCGCTCCTCAGCGGCTTCAAGCTCATGCCCGGCTCACTATCTGGGCTCTGGGCGGGCCACCACCTTGTGAGTTTCTCGTCTTCTGTAGCATCTTTTGGCGCTCACGCTCGGAGGACGGGCGCACGCTCGCCGTGGCCTCGTACGCGTTCGACGCCAGGCTAGAGAACCGGCTGTTCACGGCCGTGGCCCACACCCTCTCCTTCGACCTCCGCGAGCTGCACAGCGCCTCCCGCTCTGGGAGCCGAGCGACCCGATACGCGATGGACGAGGGCGCGCTGAACAAGTACTGCCCCCGCTCCTTCCCGGACGCGTATGCCGTCCAGAACACCGGGCGCGCGCGCGGTGGGAGGTGCAAGGTGCACATGCGGAGACGGAGTGTGTGACGAACAGGGAGGAGGAGCGGGCTGAGGTGCGGGCGTGGGTCGCAGAGAAGGCGGCGGAGAAGGCGGCGGAGGGCGATGAAGACGAAACCGAGGACCTGGACGTTGAACTGGACGACAACGACAACCACGACCACGACCACGAGATGGGCGAAGAGCACGGCGGAGTGGCGCGCATTGACCGCGTGCACCGGCAGGTTCAGGACGGGCTCGACATGGACGTCGACGAACTCATCGACGCCGCCTCGAGCGAGGACGACGACGAGCACGAGCCAGAGGACTCGCACTCGCGCGTGGCGAGCCCAACGGACTCGGATGTGTTCTAGAAGTTAATGTACTTTCCTCTGTCCGCTCTCCTTTGCTGATCGTTTCTCCCCCGTGCGCGTTCCTTCGTCCTCCTCCGCTGTCTCGCCTCTTCTTCCCTCTCCGCTTCTCTTCTCCCTCGTCATCCCCTCCGCACGCTGCAAGCACGCACAGACCCCCCAGCAATACGCGCATGCCTGGCGCGCGTAAACGCTGTACGGCCGCGTCCACCCCTGGGATGGCCTCATCGTCATCGTCCGTGTCCAGATCCCGCCAGCGGGCGGCGGCAGCGGCGCGAGCGGCAACACCCTCCCCACCATCTACCGCTGGTACGTCGTTGGCGGGTGCACGCTCGGCGGTGCCTGGCGGCGCGCGAGCGCGAGCGCGCACACCGTCCCGCTCGAGGGCACCTCCGTCGTCTCCAAGGTTGGCCGCCCGCGTGCTGCCGCGGGGGAGGGGGTTGGCGCGGGTTCGGATGCAGACACAAACGCTGACGGATCAGGGTGCGAGTGGTGCGGCGGCGGTGGGCTGGAGAGGGCGCGGAGAAGGGTGAGGTGCAGGGGAGATGGAGTCCTCGAGGCCTCGCACGTACGCCTGGGGGGAGGGCTCATTCATGTGCTGTCCGTCGAGTGTGGCACTCTCGACGCGGTTCGCGGGAGGACCTGGAGACCGACACGACGCGTGTCACGTGAGCGGCGTGCGCACAGGTGAGCCCCATCATCCCTGCCCTCTTGTGATGTGCATGCGAGAAGGCGATTGCACACGCCAGAACAAGCTGCACCAGTGTGTTCTCCCCACCGTGCTCTCAGCCTGTGCCCGCGCTTCCAGCGTGCGCGCATCCGCCGCCACCGTGACGTCGGTTGCGGTGAGGAGCGAGGAGAGTTCGAGATCCGCCTCGCGCTCACGCTTATCATCACCGTCACTGTCGTACGAGATGAGGAAGCATGAACACAACCTTCGCCTTCACCTGGTCTTGAGGTGCGCATGGGGCGGCACGCGATTGCATCCTGTGCGTGCTTCGTGCGCGCACAGGATGATGATCCCTTGTAATGTGATTCAATAGTATTTATTACGAGTATAATGCATTTTGAGCTTCCGGGTCATCACGGGTCGCCGAGGGTTCACCCCGCGGGTGCACGGGTCAGCCGAGCATGACCCGGACCCTTACCCGTGGAACCCGACCCGCCAACCCGCACGGGTTGTGGCCACCCGTGGTGATCACTACCGTTCGGCCATCGTGGCTCTCTCAAGTGCTGGTCCGCGTTTTACTCCCTCGTCTTCTGGATAGCTGAGACTATATATAACATACTCTACATGGCCAACTATGTTGATGACGACGCATCCGGGGCTCGTCGCGATGACCTCGTCTGGTTTGCTCCTTTCCAGGAACACATCCTATCGCCGCTCGCACGCCTCCTGTCCCTTTACGACGACCTCGGTATCCCCTACGAGCACCGGAAACAACTCTGGGGACCGTGTCTACCATACATTGGTTTCTCCGTCGACATTGACTGCTTCTCATTCACTCTCCCAGAAGACTGCAGAGCGAACCTTATCGCCACTATCCAGAAGTTCATCACCTGCACCCCCGGACACCGCCGTCGTTCCATCCACGAGTTCCAGGCACTTGCTGGTCACATTAACTGGGCCCTCAACGTTTTTCCCCTCCTCCGCCCATGCCTCGCGCATATCTACCACAAGCTCTCCAACAAGTCCGACCCACACACCAAGGCTTATATCAACAGCGGCATCACTCGGGATCTCGAGTGGTTCCTCCGTCGCATTGACACACTCCCAGGAGTGCGTATCTTTGCTGCAGCAGCCTGGACGCCTGCGGATCTCGACGAATGGTCCCTCGAGGACGAACTTGTGATCACTGACGCCTCCGGCCGGGGAATGGGCATTTACTTCCCATGGCGCCACCTCGGGCTCGTCTCCGCCCTCCCTACGCAACTCTCCCCTTCCGACAGCTTCGCTGCTGAAGCCCTCACCGTCTGCAGCGCCATTCACCGCCTTCCAAGATGGCGCGCTGCCGGACGTCATATCCGTCGTCTCGCCATTCTCTCGGACAGCGCCAACTCCGTAGCAATGTACACCACCCTGTCGGCATCCCCAGACATGAACCGCATGCTAATCTCGGCCGTCGATGTCTTGATCGACTGTGACTGCACCTATCGCATTGACCACATCCCGGGTGAGTACAACCCTGTCGCCGATGCGCTCTCTCGCGGCCTGTTGGAGAAGGCGTACACCATCGATCCCCTCCTGAACATTGTCACCTTTACACCCCCTCGGGATGCGCTGGGGGACCGGGAATTATGACGCTCCAACCTCACCGTTCACGGCAACCACTGCACGAGCCGTGGACGACAGAGCGGTTCTACCAGGAACGCGCTCTAGCATGTGACCACGCGCTCGACTCCAGCACCCGCTCCACGTACTCTTCTCATCTCAACTCATATCTGGCTTTCTGCGACGCACATGCTTTCCCCTACACCCCCACAGTCGACATCCTCTCCTTCTACGTTGTGTACATGTCCTATCACATCGAACCCCGCTCCATCACTTCCTACCTTTCCGGCATCTGCAGCTCGCTCGAAAGCTACTACCCCGGTGTCCGCAAGCTCCGCAACGATCCGCTCGTCGCGCGCACTCTCAGGGGCTGCATGCGCATGCGGAGCAAACCAGTGCAGCGCAAGAGAGCCCTCGAGTGCACTGACCTACAACGCGCTATCACCACGCACCCGCCCAGATCGTATGATGATCACCTTTTCATGGCGCTCCTCTTCACGGGTTTCCACTGCCTTCTGCGGCTCGGCGACATGGTCCAGCCCGACAAGCCAGAACTTCGTACCCTACGGAAGATCACCCGCCGAGCTTCCCTCACTCTCGATGATGAGCCAGTCACTTTCACTCTCCCCACGCACAAGTCTGATCGCGCATTTGAGGGTGACCATGTCGTCCTTACCAACTTGATCAACGCCGGCCCGGATCCCGTTGCCATCTTCCGCACGTATCTCCGCGGTCGCGATGCGCTCTTCCCATTCCACATCGAGCTCTGGCTGCGTGCGGACAGCTCCGTGCCGACCAGAAACTGGTTCTGCCGTCGCCTCCACGCCATTTTCCCCCGCGACATCTCCGGCCACTCAATGCGCGCAGGTGGGGCGACTGCACTTGCGATAGCAGGCGTACCCGGCCCCATCATACAAGGGGCTGGACGCTGGTCGTCAGACACGTGGCAACGCTACATCCGTAAACACCCAGTCATCCTCCACGCTCTCATGACAACCACGGACCACGCTATCGCCCCTCCCTCCACCTCACAGCAGCGACACCCCGAAAAGCTATAACAGGCACCACTTTTCCTCCTCTCCATCTGCCGAATCATTTTTTTCTTTACCTTCTAGCCTATCGTCGGAAATCTCAGCATCGCGCACCGTGGGCGCCTGGGCCTCCAGGGCTGGGCGCCCGAGTTTCGCTCTATTTTTCTTCTAGTGCACATCGACCGAGCTATCTCCCCCCTCCAAAAGGATCAGCAAAAACTCGAGTCGCGCGGGCGATTCATCGGTGTTTAAACGCGGTTTACACGAGTTGAGTCGCCCGCGCAGCGGCCCGGCACCAAGTCTGAGCCCGTTCAGACGAGCGCGAAGAGCCGGCGCCTCTCCCCGCGAGCTGGCCCATCGCGAGAGCGGCCAGTCCTCCAAGTGGACGCGCTGAACACGCCGCACATGTCTCCGCCGCCGCGCGTCCCCCGAGAAGTGCGCGCGCGCGCTGCCGTGCACCACGCGCACCTCGACGCGCCCACGGCGCGTCTGCCCTATGCCACACAACCCGGGAGCTCCAACCCCTAACGGGTGCTTCTGACGAGTCAATGGCGTGCGTGGCGCGAGCCCCTCTCGCCGGGCAGTACGAGGAGGACGCAGGGTGGCTCCGTGCCAGCCCAACCCTTCCGTGCTGCTGCCAGGTGAGTAGGCGAGGCTCTCACACTCGCGCTCGTCCGCCTTGCTCACACCCTTCCGTGCTGCTGCCAGGCGCGACTCGAGATTTTCGAGCTACCCACCACTGTACCCTTCCCTGTTCTGTTTTTCATATGTACATGTGTAGCGCCTATCGTCGGAAATCTCAGCATCGCGCACCGTGGGCGCCTGGGCCTCCAGGGCTGCATCCCGAGGGGGGGGTGAGCAAGGCGGACGAGCGTGAGTGTGAGAGCCTCGCCTACTCACCTGGCAGCAGCACGGAAGGGTTGGGCTGGCACGGAGCCACCCTGCGTCCTCCTCGTACTGCCCGGCGAGAGGGGCTCGCGCCACGCACGCCATTGACTCGTCAGAAGCACCCGTTAGGGGTTGGAGCTCCCGGGTTGTGTGGCATAGGGCAGACGCGCCGTGGGCGCGTCGAGGTGCGCGTGGTGCACGGCAGCGCGCGCGCGCACTTCTCGGGGGACGCGCGGCGGCGGAGACATGTGCGGCGTGTTCAGCGCGTCCACTTGGAGGACTGGCCGCTCTCGCGATGGGCCAGCTCGCGGGGAGAGGCGCCGGCTCTTCGCGCTCGTCTGAACGGGCTCAGACTTGGTGCCGGGCCGCTGCGCGGGCGACTCAACTCGTGTAAACCGCGTTTAAACACCGAGCCGCGGAAAAGGGAAATGAGGAGATCAGTGAGGTTGAGAGAGACCAGATGCATCTGATCGGCAGGAAATCCAACCGGGGTACCCAAGAAGGAATTCGCCGGAAGGCCACGAAAGAGGCTTGGTTTTGCAATACCAGTCTTCAGTCGCAACCTCTTGTACTGGCTATCGTTCTGAGCCGTGAGCAGCTCGTCGAGGCTGTTCTCATAGCGCTGAATAATTGCTGTGGAAGTATCTAGGACACTTTCATTCAGGTTGTAGTCTCCGTGGTCGCATCCTGTGACAGCGTAGTCGTGTGGCTTGAGCAGCGCGGGATAGTATGTAGTTCCACCGCCAGGTTTGTGACGTCCCCGGAGTGGGCAGAACAGACGACACCCTTGTGCGCCTTGGTGACCGACCAACCCGTTCAGGTAAGTCATCCCGGGACCATCGGCAGTGGCGAGAAGCAGGAAGAGCTTCTGGTAGAAGACCCGCATCTGCGCCGCATCCCACACCGCGAGCTTCTCCTTGGCAAGAGCGGCAAAGTGGTGCAAACCCGGAAAGAGGAAGGAGTCGACATGGCTCGGCTTGTTTGGGCCTGGGATGACGCCACCGGGTAGGACGTACTTCATTTTGTACCGCTGATCCGGGGCCAGGTTGAAGACCACCCATATGTACATCCAACAGTCGGATGGCTTGTTTTGGTAGAGCTGCGCACCATCCATGGAGAGCATCAGGACGATATCATCTTCCCCAATGTCTCCTGATAGCACTCCCTGAATGTAGTCCTCGCCGTGGTAGACATCACTGAACTCGCTGATGTGGTAACCGTTCTGCTCTAGCATCTGCAGAAGCCGCTTGGTTTGCCGCTTTCGGTGCTGCATCCTCTCCGCGTTCTTGGCGTCGCGGCTCTGAGCGACAAGCTGCGGACCGATAGGGATTGTGTCAAAAGTCCGACGGGGTTTCCGCTCCTTCGCCCCGGTGTCCTGCTCGTAGCGAGGCTCGCCGCAGATGGGACAATTCTCAAGATCCGACCATGGGCCCGTGAAGCCTACACACGAGTTCATACACATGTCGCGGGGGATGGGGGCGATTCCAGTGAGGTCCGCGACGAACTTTTTCATGTCGTGGAGAGAGGGCATGGATGTATCCGCATGCGTAGCCTGGTAGCTCTGGCAGATGCGGTTGTATGTGCTATCAGACGACGTAGTGGTGTCCACAAACAACCTAAGAGCAAACTTGAAGCCAGGATCCTGGAGGCGGGGATCGGCATCGACCGGAGTTTGAACCGGGTGTCGAAGTCGATGAAGGGTATCCGGATCGAAGCCGTCCTCATCCAGGGACGCTTTCTCAAGGGCGGCCTTGAAAGCTAAGGCGGTCCTCAGTTCGTTGTATACAACAGCGCGCGGCAGGCCGAGGGAACTTGTCGTCTCTTCATTGATATCGTCCGGTACAGGTACGAACGTAAACGGAAGGGCGGGAATAGGTAGAGCGGCAGCGTCACCTGACCCGGCGCTGGGATCCGTTGGAGGGAGAGGGAGAAGCGGCAAATGCGACAGAATGGGAGAACGTGAAAGGGACGATGGGGAGCGTGGAGGGATCGATGGGGAACGCGGAAGGATCGACGGGGAACGCGGAGGGGTCGACGGGGAACGTGGAGGGGTCGACAGGGAGCGCGGAGGCGAGCGCAGGACGAGTGAATTTGCATAACCACGAGCCGGCGCGATTTCCCCAGTTGCATCAGGCAGCACCTCAAAGCCGTCGTTAAACGCGATCTAACCCGTCCCAACCCTAAGCCAAGCGAAGACGAGCTGGCAAAAAGGACGCACCTCCGCGGTGTTGATGTTCTCGCCAGCTTCATCATTCTCTTGCAGGTCGAGACGGAGACGCTTCGACGACTCTCCCGCCATGCCCTCACCACGACCGTATCCATTTTCATGCGCCTGCATCTGTCCGGCCTGAGTTGAAGCCTTCCGCGCACGCTTTCGAGGTGCCGCTTGCGACATTGACGCGGCAGCGGTTGCAGACTGGCGGAGAGGAGCTTGGTATGTCGCAGGGGCATTCGCCTGGTGCTTCTTCCATGTCTTCCTACAGCGGAAGACGCCGCAACATCGTTCGCAATAGCACCGCACCTTCTGGTTGGGCCCGGACTCTTGCTCGCTTGGCATGGAGCTGGAAAAGCTTCAGCACTGGGGAAAGTTGCAGTAGTCTCAGGTAGACGCAGTGGAGGAGTCAGTTAGGACAGAGTCATAGTCGAGAGGGAAAGGATGGAGGCAGGGACAGAACGCAATCAGATAAGCGCCTGTTTTCGCGCATCCCGCGCGACATTCACGCGAGATCTGGCGCTTCCACTCGACGCGCCCCCGACCCACGTCCACACGCAGCGTGTTGGTCACGAAGCGCTCGCTCAACCAGGCCAGCGATATGCGTGGGAGAAAGATGCCATGAAGATCAGCCCACGAAACGTTGCAGGTCATATTTCATTCGATTTCATTCGATCATGGAAATTTATTCGACAACCATTCGCTCAGATTCGATTGCATTAGACAGCTTTTTGGCTGGGCTTCAAGCTTCTCTTCAGGCTGGGGAAATCATCTCGCAGTCATTGATTACTTCACTCGTATGTAGGCTATGTAGGGGGGGTCCAGTCTCGACGGCACGCGACGCGCGATGGGCAAGAGCAAAGGCTCTGACTGACCACGCTGGGTTGGGCTGGGCGCCGGCGGCGGACGCGGAGCTCGGCGAGCCCGGGTGGGCTCGTGCTCCGCGAATTTGATTGGTCAGGCAGCCTCAAGCCAATTCGCACTTGTCCATTTAACGGCACTATACTATTACAAGGGAGGGCGGGTGGGCAAAAGAGTGTGTATTATGCGTGGATGCCGAACGGTGAAATGGTCTGCGAGCGGGGATCGCGAGCGGTACGTGGCAGGGAGAGTGGGAGAGAAGCGCTAGGCGCGCGCTTCGCTGCTCGACTGAACGTTGGGTGCCCGCCTCGCAAGCTCGGCAAGCCCCGGCACTCACGAGGTCAGATAACAAACGGGAGGAATGTGCGCCACCTGTACCTCACATCAATCAGGCCGGCTTAGCCCGTGGCACCGGGGGGGGTGGCCCGGGTCAAGTAGACCTGAAACCGTGCTCCCCCGCACGTTTGAATAATTCGTCCAATAAACCCGAGCTGTTTCCCAACAGGGAAGTGCTCGAACGCCCTCCCTCCCAAGTCCCCCAGCCCATCACGTGTCCCCATCCTCCAGATCTCCCATCAGTCCGCGTTATCTCTCCCGCCCCCACCCGCGTTATCTCCCGCGCCCACGCCTACGTTATCTCCCGCGCCGGCGCCGCGCGCCTCCCTGCCCCGCCACCCGTGCTCGCTGTGCCCGACAGTGAGCTCGCTGTCCCTGCACCCTGCCTCCCCCTCCTGTCCGTTTCCCTCCGTTCTTTTTGTAATCTACTTGTATTCAAAATGCGCACCTAATTGTACACAATTCAATAGCCACACCTGCCTGGGTGTGCCTGCACTGAGCCCTCAAACCTCCCAAAATGCGTGCAATACAGGAACATATACAAGCACTCAACTGACCGGCAAAGCTCTGCATCATATAGTAGTAGATGAGAGCTGCTCTATTATAACATTTCAGGTGGATAGCTAGAGGGGTGCAGGTATGATGTCATATGTTATTTCAGAATGACATACCCCACAGTGATATGGTATATACATATATCGTCCTATGTACACCCAGAATCGTACCTAGAGGTCGTTCAGAGTGTATTGCAAGAAGAAGCAAGTGAATAGACGATGTTGTGGTGAAGATATGACATATGCTCAGAAGGGGGAGTTGGCTTGAAAATGCGGCCTTCATATGTTTTTTTGAAGACCGCTGATCACTTCGCATCTTGTTGCATTACGTTTAAATGTATATGGAGAGCTCAGATCGTTGGTTTGGTGCTTATCGGTGAAGGATTGGATACAGGCCATGGTATGTCATTATTCTATGACATAGAGTATAGCGATATGACATGTGCTCCGATTGTTATTCTGAATGGCGGAATAGAACGGGGTGTGCTTCTGCTAAACGATGCAGAAGAAACATTGAGAAACGGTGAAGAAGTCGTTGAGATATGTCAGATGGGTCTAGAACGGCAGGTTGCACAAAGAACGCCCTTGAACCACCTACACCACTTTACACACTTCAAGCTCATATGGCATATCTCAGCGACTTCTTCACCGTTTCTCAATGTTTCTTCTGCATCGTTTAGCAGAAGCACACCCCGTTCTATTCCGCCATTCAGAATAACAATCGGAGCACATGTCATATCGCTATACTCTATGTCATAGAATAATGACATACCATGGCCTGTATCCAATCCTTCACCGATAAGCACCAAACCAACGATCTGAGCTCTCCATATACATTTAAACGTAATGCAACAAGATGCGAAGTGATCAGCGGTCTTCAAAAAAACATATGAAGGCCGCATTTTCAAGCCAACTCCCCCTTCTGAGCATATGTCATATCTTCACCACAACATCGTCTATTCACTTGCTTCTTCTTGCAATACACTCTGAACGACCTCTAGGTACGATTCTGGGTGTACATAGGACGATATATGTATATACCATATCACTGTGGGGTATGTCATTCTGAAATAACATATGACATCATACCTGCACCCCTCTAGCTATCCACCTGAAATGTTATAATAGAGCAGCTCTCATCTACTACTATATGATGCAGAGCTTTGCCGGTCAGTTGAGTGCTTGTATATGTTCCTGTATTGCACGCATTTTGGGAGGTTTGAGGGCTCAGTGCAGGCACACCCAGGCAGGTGTGGCTATTGAATTGTGTACAATTAGGTGCGCATTTTGAATACAAGTAGATTACAAAAAGAACGGAGGGAAACGGACAGGAGGGGGAGGCAGGGTGCAGGGACAGCGAGCTCACTGTCGGGCACAGCGAGCACGGGTGGCGGGGCAGGGAGGCGCGCGGCGCCGGCGCGGGAGATAACGTAGGCGTGGGCGCGGGAGATAACGCGGGTGGGGGCGGGAGAGATAACGCGGACTGATGGGAGATCTGGAGGATGGGGACACGTGATGGGCTGGGGGACTTGGGAGGGAGGGCGTTCGAGCACTTCCCTGTTGGGAAACAGCTCGGGTTTATTGGACGAATTATTCAAACGTGCGGGGGAGCACGGTTTCAGGTCTACTTGACCCGGGCCACCCCCCCCGGTGCCACGGGCTAAGCCGGCCTGATTGATGTGAGGTACAGGTGATGTGCGCACGAGGAATGCGCGCGTGAGGATTAATGCGCGCGCCAGCAGCCAAAAGGGCGCCCGCAGAAGGGCGTCAATGGGTCTCCCACGTGTCGGAAAAACCAAATCGGGCTCGCGAGGCCTCGCGAGGCCTTCCGGGGCGATCGGTGTTGCGAGGCCTCGCAAGCTAGGCTAATTAGCTCGCAATCCAACCGCGCGTCTTTCATCGTCTTGCAATATTGCTACCCGACATCACGATCTGTCGACCAGCCTGTCAACGGCGTCCCGGCTCGCATCCCTTGCCGATTACCAGCTTGTGCACTCGTTATAATTCAGATAATCAATGATAATCATTATATTTTCTAGAATACAGTACAGCGCAGAGAACTAGTACAGACGGCGCAAGAACAACGAAAACGGGGGGCGGGGGTGATAACATGGTATATGGGGGCTCACTGAGGCTCGGCAATAGACGACTTACTTCAGCATGTATACAAATGGCCAAGTAGCTAGCGCAGCAGCGAGTGCACTCTACACGGTGGCTGAATGGTGTTCAGACGAGAGGGAAGACGAGATCTGTCTTGAGACAAAAATATCAGTGAAGCACGCGTGAATAGGCGGTGTGTGGCACATACGTTATCCTGGTGCCAGCACGACCGTCCGACGTTCAACCTGGACACGGAGATGAAAGGATAAGTGATGAAGAGCAGGAAAGGAAAAGGACACAAACCTGAATGCGACACCATACATGTTGAGTAGTAATAGACAGGAGAGGACTCAGGAGGAGGACGACGAAGGGGGAGTGACGTGGTGGAAGCAGAGAAAGGAGCGCTGGAGAGGCGCGCACTCCGAGCGAAATCTTCTCAGTCCCTCGTCGTCGGTTGGAGCGTTCACGATGCCGCAATGCCTTACAATATGGTTTCCTGTGCGGTAAGTCCTTGCAATAACTTCAGGCGCCTTGCAATCCCTCACGAGGCGCTACAGAGCTTTGACAGAGCTCGCAATGTCATTGCAAGCCAACCAGCGCCTCGCAAGGGCTTGCAATCCAATTAAAATCCGGTTACGAGATCTTTGGCTTGCAACGTCGATTTGGATTTTCCGACACGATGAGCGCTTCTCTCATACTGCATACCCCAGCCTCATAACGCATACCTCGGGGGCCTTCCCGAGGGGTATGCACTGTGAGGGGTTTAACTGTAGTTGCTTTGCGCGGTCGACGAACTGTGGGCGGCATGGATCAGACATGAGGGTGCTGTTGCGTTGCTGGCAGATCTTGTCATTCATACTTTCCATCTGTGCGGTGACTGCTCACTGCTTTAATAGACCCATATCTTTCGTACATAGTATATTACAGTACACACTATATGTGCTCGTGCGGCCACTTGTCGGACGGCGGGGCGTCTACAAGACAGCGCGGGAGTCGGTGTGCTGCCGTGCTTATCTAAGTAGCGTTCCGGGATCGCCTCCGGTAGAGGAGGTGATTGAACTGCCCTCTCTCTCTCTCTCTCTCTCTCTCTCTCTCTCTCTCTCTCCGATCGAGTCTCTTTCTACCATCATGGAGCGCGATGCTGAGTTCCCCACCCCCTTCGACTATGCCGTCGTCAAACCGACGACGCTCGTCGAGCTGCGGATGGTGCACTATTCCGGCCTCATCCGCGCCAAACCGCGCTGGTGGGAAAAGGTAACCGATCCCGCCATCGCCGCAAAGTATCGCCAGGAGATCGTGGCCGACGACCTCGAGATGGTCGACCGGTACTGGGGCGGTGAGCGCAGAGCGCAGCTGTACATGAAGAAGCCGCGCGCGGAGGACGACGAGAGCGACGATGAGAGCGACGACGGCAGTCAGAGCGACGACGACGCCCCCGCCAAGTTCAAGACGGACAAGGTCAAACGATGGCCGCGAGAGCCCCTGTCCGATGCGCAGCTGGCGTACATCTTCGACGAGCTCGTGTACGAGGCCTCGGCGCGCGATCCGAGCACTGGGAGCTTTGCAAGTCTTTGTGTTTCCTGTGTCTACGCTCGTCTCGCTGATCGCCCGACTCCAGGCGTCCTCCGTGCGGAAGGTTCACGAGTCGCAGTCGCTCATCGAGCCCGCGCTCAAGGAGCAGTTCGTGCGCGCCGCGGCGATGCTGGAAAACGTGCCGGACGACAAGAAAGACTGGCACCCGAACACCGACGAGCAGGTTCTTGATCTCGTTCACCCCTCGCTCTATCCCGCGTGCATCGGCCGCACACTCTTCCACAAGCGCTCCGAAGACGGCGGCGAGCCCACTCTCGCGCTCCTCACCCCAGAGGAATACGTCGACGCGCGCGGGGACCTCTCGTTGGACCCGGATTACACCACGTCCATGGCCTACCAATGGCTCCCAACCGACTTTGCGGTTTCCGACTCCGGCGACGTCTCTGCACTCGGGTACATCAACAACCTGCATCCGATCCACCACCGCGCGCTGTACCCCGCACTGGAGCGCATCCTCGCGCGTTTCGTGACGCTCTTTGACCGCGTTCTCTGGGACGCCGCATCGCCTGCGCGCCCGCTCGCGGTGGACATCACGGATCAGGTGTTCTTGTGGTACAACGACATCGAGCCGCCCGAGCCAGAGTGGGACGACGCCAATCGCGCGGTGCACGACGCGTGGGAGAAGGCGCACCGCTGGCCCCGTGTGCCCGACCCCGCGCCGTTCGCGCCCCCGTCTGCGGACGGCCGCGTGTCCTTCACGCTCAAGGGGCGCACGGTGCAGGCGATCGTCAAGCTCGCCAGCATCCACCTCACGCCCGAGAAGCCGACGTACCCCGGGGGCTCGTGGCACGTCGAAGGGATGGCGAACGAGCGGATCGTGGCGACGGGCCTCTACTACTACGCGATGGAGAACGTCACGGCGAGCCGGCTCGCGTTCCGGCAGAGCCTCTGGGACGGGGACGACCTCGAGTACGAGCAGGACGACCACCGGGGGTACGTCGCGGTGTATGGGTTTGGGCGGGACGACGCGCTGAGCCAGCCGATCGGGCACGTCGTCGCGGCGGAGGGCAAGTGTGTCGCGTTCCCAAACGTGTACCAGCACCGAGTCGAGCCGTTCGAGCTGGAGGACAAGACGCGGTCCGGGCACCGGAAGATACTGGCGCTGTTCCTCGTGGACCCCATCGACCGGGTGTTGTCGACGAGCGACGTTCCGCCGCAGCAGGAGGAGTGGGCGATGGCGGAGGCAGAGAACGCGGAGATGCTGCGACGTATGCCGCAGGAGCTGGTGGATATGGTCATGGGGCATGCCAAGGAGGGGCTGATGAGCAGAGAGGAAGCGGAGGAGCACCGGCTGAAGCTCATGGCTGAGCGGTCGAGGTTTGTCAAGGGGCACAACGAGGAAGTCTTTGAGATGAAGTTCAACATGTGCGAGCATTGATTGTAGAGGCCTCACTGAATATTGGCCGGACCTGACGCACGCGCGTGCTGCTGAAAAGCAACGGCATCGCCGGATCCGGGATAACCGCGTGCACCGCGTCTTTCACTTCGAGCGTGGCGATCTCCGTACCCGTTCGTGCGCACGTTGCTGTGCGGATTGAGGCCTCGGGCCTGAAGATCCTCGCGCGGTCGAGCGCGCGTCTAGGGCGTACGGGATGTCGCTGGACTAGATGACCTCGTCCGGCCACCCGCACTGGTCGCGCGATCCCAGTGGACGGGCCCATGCTCGGAAGGCGCGAGGCTGGAGGTCTTATGGCCTACCCATTCGACGACCGATTTACCTATTCCGACGCATGATATCATAGCCAACTTTGGCCCACTCTTGTAGCTCGCAGCCTGTTAGTCGCGCACTGTAGATCGCGAGGTGCTGACCTTATGTGTTGAGCGGCGAGGTTCACTTGCCAGCTGGGGCGGTTTCTCGGTTCCAGTTGCCCTGAAAATGGGGTCGACTTCTTCTTCCAGCCTCTCTTTGAGGGGAAGCCTTGGGCCTCGGTGGGTGAGTCGAGGTACCTTCCCACAGTCAGCGACCAGTGACTGGTTGGACGCGAGTCCAAGGTGCACCGCCCTCTTCCCGGAAAAGCTGATCTCGTCGCTCTCAATGCATCTCCATGACATGCTCATCCTCATGCCCACAAGTTCAGCCAGGTGAAGGGCTGGACCTACCTATGACACGGAATACATGCTGCTCCCCTGATCAACTGCGCGCCCAATATGTATTGTATACGGCTGCTATCAATGCTCGCACATGTCGAAAAACTCCTCGAAGCTATCCCTGCTGTGCACGGTGACAAACCTCGACCGCTCAGCCATGAGCTTCAGCCGGTGCTCCTCCACTTCCTCCCGCGACATCCACCCACCCTCCGCCAACGCCACGATCTCGTCGTAAAGCTCCTGCGGGAGATTCTGCATCGCAGGCGCCCTCTCCACCTCCGCCAGCGCCCACTCCCGCTGCCGAGACGGCACGTCGCTCGTCGACAGTACCCGGATTGTCGGGTCGACGAGAAAAAGCGCGACTATCTTCCGGTGCCCGGGTCGCGTCTTGTCCTCCAGCTCGAACGGCTCAACCCGGTGCTGGTACACGTTCGGGAACGCGAAACACTTGCCCTCCGGCGCGACGATGTGCCCGATCGGCTGGTTCAGCTCGTCTTCCCGCCCGAAGCCGTAAGCGACGACGTACCCCCGGTGATCGTCCTCCTCGTACTTGAGGTCTATCCCGTAGTCATCCCCGCCGACCCGCATCCGGAACCCGAGCCGGCTCTCGGTCACGTTCTCCATCGCGTAGTAGTAGAGGCCCGTCGCGACGATCCGCTCGTTCGCCATCCCTTCGACGTGCCAAGAGCCGCCGGGGTAGGTCGGCTTCTCGGGAGTGAGGTGGATGTTGGCGAGCTTGACGATCGCCTGCACCGTGTGCCCCTTGAGCGTGAAGGACACGCGGCCGTCCGCGGACGGGGGCGCGAATGGTTCGGGTTCAGGGATCACAGGCCACTTGTGCTGCACCGCCCATGCTTCCCAGAGCTTGCTGGAGCTAGCATTGTCCTCTGGGTCCCATACCGGCGAACGCACGTCGACGTCGTCGTACCATTCGTGGGGTGATTCGTGGATCGATTTGTAGTTCGGGGAGAGGACGTCGGAGAGCACACGCTCGAACATGGGAACGAAGCGCGCGACGAGGGAAGTGACGACGGGGTAGAGCGCGCGGTGCCGGAAAGGGTGGGCGTTGTTGATGTAATCGAGCGCAGTGACCAAGAAGTCCGTCGGGAGCCACTGGTAAGCTTGAGAGACGGCGTAGTCCCTCTCTTCCTCGAGGTCAGGGCGCGAGCTGATGTACTTGTCGTTGTCGAGCAGCATGAGCTTGGGCGGTCCGTCCGCAGGGTCAGCTATGCGCAACAAGCTGTGCCCGATGCAGAGGGGGTAAAGGGACGGGTGTACGAGGTCGAGGACTTGTCCGTCGGCGCCGGGGTGCCAGTCTTTCTCGTCCTCCGGAACGTTCTCGAACAGAGAAGCAGCGCGCATGAGCTGCTCCTTGAGATTGCCATCGACGAGAGAATGGGATTCGTACACCTTGCGGATGGCGCTCGCCTGCGATGTCGGATCTTAGTGGCGGTTTCGACAAGTATGCATGACACTCACAAAGATCCCGGTGGTTGGGTCGCGCCTCGAAGCCTCGTAGCGCAGCTCGTCGAAGATATAGGTTATTTGCGCCTCGCTAAGTGGATCCCGCGGCCACGGCTTGATCAAACCACCATGAGGGGGCCAGTATTCCCCTATGTCCGATTCTGACTCGCGATCCTTTTCGCCTGTTGTAGCTCTACCGTCGACTCCCTCTTCCTCCTCTTCCCCCTCAGAGTCGTCGTCATGGGAGTAAGCAACAACTTCCTTCGACCTCTTCATGTAGAGCCTGAAGCGGTGAGCCCCTCCCCAATAACGCTCCACGTTCTCACAATCATGTGCGACCATCTCCTCCCGCCATCTGGCCACGATGGCCGCGTCGTGGATCTTGTCCTACCAGAGCGGCTCGGAGCGGATCTTGCCCGAGCCTTAGGTTCGCATGCGGAGCTCGATGAGGGTGATTGGGTAGTATATACGGGTCTCGTCGAAGCAAGTGGGGAGTCTGGCATGTTGAGAGCGAAGGCCAAGGGTTCTGGCGGGTAGAAGGTGGGCGTGCACTGCCAGCCGGCTTGTGTATCGATGGCAACCTTGCTTGGGCCTCGTGGCGTCGATCAAATGAGCTTCACAGGAATCGCGCAGCATTGCCAAAACGGGTAAATGCCGACGCGGGGGCGCGCGCATCAGGGATTGACTGCCGCCTACGGTGACTCCCCCGGGGCCATTCAGCACACTGAGTCATCGTGAGCTCGAAAAGGTGAACTGTGGGTTTGGGAACGCGACGCGGTCCGTCACTGTGCCTCTCGCCGTTCGCCGACCCCGTCTAGAACGAAATCCTCCCTCACGTCCACCCTCCTCCCATACATGAGCTCCGTGTCCACAGCCACCCGCACGCTGTGCCTCGCGAAGCCCGCAAACAGCCAAAAACATATCCCCCGCGCGGCCGCGAGCTCGTCCTCGGAGGGCGGCGGAGCGCGATAGTCGACGCCGATGGACTTGCACACAGACAGGCGGCGGAACGCGGGGTACCGCGCCGGGTTGCGCAGGGCGACGGCGAGCTGCGAGACAACGGGCGCCCAGGCGCGCGCGAGGTCCTTGATCCAGTAGGTGATCGTGAAGCTGAGATCTTCGAGGCGAGGGTGCGGCGGCGGCTCGCGCTGGAAGTGGTCGCGGAGCATGCGGGCGAGGGCGCCGGACACGCGTCTGTCGCGGAGAGTGTGGTTTGGGCTGCGGAAGTGGGGCAGGCCGTAGGTGATTTTGAGGACGCGGAGGCGCGCGCATGAGGCGAGCGCGTCCAGGAGCTCGCGCGTGCGCAGGTCTGCGAGGGAGGGGGGGTTAGTGGCCCGGAGGTGGAAAGAGGCGACGGACACGCACGGAACTCGTCTTCGTCATTGGGCCACGCGGTATGGCTGAGTAAGACTCCGAACGTTTCGAGGTTGGGAAACTCTTGGATGACTTTGATCTGTTCCGTCCACGGTTGATCGATGACCCAATAGTGAGGAAGATCCAAGGTGAGCAGATTTTGGGGCGAGATGAGGCCGAGTTTCATGAAGCCGTGGAGGAAGTCGTGGATTTCCGCGCGCGCGACGCCTCCCGAACCGCTATGGTATCTGGCGGGGTCAATCACAGCTTTCAGGTGGCGGAGTCCTGGAGTCATGGGTGCCTCCTGGTTCCATGAGACGGTGTCCTCGAAGAAGCTCATTGGTACTTCGACGGCCTTGAGGGTTAAGTGATCGAGACGGGGGTGAGCCGTCTGCAGAGTGGAAGCAAGCAAGCCGAGCGAGATGCGGGAGAGTGAAACCCCTTCCTTCGCGGACAGGGTGAGATGTCGCAGGTTGGGGAGTTGAGCGGGCCAGTCATCGATGTCTTCGTCTCTCCAACCGGAGTGATCCCAATGGTCCCGGAGGACGACGTGATGTAAGTTGAGGGAGGTGATACGTAGACTGAATTCTGGCCGCGCGGAGAGTACCGCTCGCAGGTTTTCCGCAGGATCGGTCTCCCGGAGCAAACAGAGTTCTGCGCCCACGTCGAGGTCGATGGCGGAGAAGAGGTGAAACTGTGCCCTTTTTTGCCACTGTCGACAGACCAGAGCACACTCCCGGAAGTCGGAAGCGTCTTCGACGGCGTCTATGACCATGTCGCATAGTTCAGGAGGTAGACTGCGTCCCATCGAGCAAAGAGAAGGAGAGAGATGGAGGAGCAGTGGATCGTGCAGTGAGCGTGTGACGAGCTGTGATCAAGCGCTCGCGCGCGACGCGTTGCCAGGCTCCCCGTCACAGCACAAGAACGTGTTACATCACGGTCACCATCTCGAGTCACAACACGCTCAAACCCAGTACCATCGGTCAGGAAGGATCCACCAGTCGATAGATAGGCTTGGGCCAGTCTTCGGGAGACGACAACAAAGAGAATACGGGGCGGTTAGAAGGAGAAGCTGTATCAGAGAATGTGGTGAGCAGAGGACGAACCAGCGACAGATCAGTTACCCACTTACTCGGCTTTCGACATCCGCAGACGGGACGTTGACCCAGCACATTCAGGCCCGCCACTTCTCAAGTACTCAACCGCAAGGCTTCATCGGCCGTCAGGGACACCCGGATCCAACCCGAAATCTTCCTTCTCAGCGAACTCGCCAAACAAGACCTTTGCCTCCACGACGACCTCCACGCCCGGCACCGCGAAGCCCGAGAACAAGCGGGAGCAGATCCTGCGCGCCGCCTCCAGATCGGGATCGTGGGGTCCCGGCGTGCGATCGAAGGCGACAGCCTTGCAGACGCAGAGGCGGCGGAAGGCGGGGTACCGCGCGCGGTCGCAGAGTGCGGCCGCGAGCTGCGAGATGACGGCGGCCCACGCCCGTTCGACGTCCTTGGCCCAGTAAGTGATCGTGATCTTGAGCTCCTCGAGATGGGGGTGCGCGGGTGGTGTGCGGGAGAAGTGGTCGCGGAGGAGGTCGACACGGGCGCTGGACAGGACAGGTCGGCGCAGAGAGTAGAAGGGACGGGTCTCTGGCTCGCCGTGGGTGATGTGGAGGGAACGCAGGCGTGAGCACGAGGCAAGCGCGTCCAGGAGCTCGCGCGTGCGCTGATCTGCGGGCGTAGATTAGTGGATGGGCCCGCGAATATACGATAGATACGCACGGGTCCCGTCGTCGATGGTTGGATGAAACGAGTGGTAGAGAAAGACGCCGAACTGCTCGAGGTTTGGGAAGTTGAGCATTGAGCGTATCGGGGCTTTCCAGGGTTCGGAGAAACACCAATAGTGAGGAAAGTCCAATGTGAGTAGGGTTTCGCGAGAGATGAGGCCGAGCTGTATGAACGAGTCGAGGATGTCGTGAATGTTGGGACGAAGTACGCCTGGAAACCCACGACTATAAGCGACGGGATCGTAGGTTGCTGTCAGATGGCGGATGACTGGACTCGTTCGCGAAGGCCGGATCTCCGATAGGGTGAAGGGCGCGGGTACGTCTACCCCGTTCAAGCTGAGACGGTCAAGAGATGGGTGTGCATCTACCAGGGTAGAAGCGAGCAAATGAGGGGAAATGTGGGAAGATGATCCATCGGGTGAGCAGAGGCACAGGTGCTGAAGGCTGGGGAGCTGGGCCGGCAAGTCCAGGATGTCTCTCGTTCTCCATCTGGCGATATCCGCGGATAAAACGACGACGTGGTGTATAGTGAGACCCGTGACAAGCAGGGCAAGGTCCGGACGGGCGGAGAGAGTGGCTCGTAGGCTCGCGCCAGGTGTCGGGGTGCGTCCGTAGACATGGCCTACGTTGAGGTGGACGATGGAGAAGAGGTTGAACTGAGCCCTGTGCCGCCATTGTCGACAGATGAGGGCGCACTGTGGGAGGTCGCGAAAGTCGTCGACAGAGTCGATCACGATTCACTACATCGCACAGCTCGGGCGGCAGGGCTGGCTTCATTGATCGACAGCGGGGAGTTAGATGTCGTGAAAGGTGTTTTTCTGCATCTTTAGAAGGCTTGACGGTGAGCGAGAGCCGCACGATCTGCGCCGATAAGGGTTCCATGAGTGCGAGGTGCGCATGGTGACAACCGCCCACCTCTTCCTCAAGACTCACTTCAGGCTTCGAGAACCAGGCGACGGGGAAACCGATCCGAGTCGGTTGAATGCACGAAGGGCACCGGAAGATTTCGGGAAGCGTCGGTGTGGGAACATGTCGGCGCATCCCGGAGAGGTCAATTTTGAATTTCACGGTTCGCTGGCACTGCGCACTCGCTGATCTCCTCGACACCCCGTAGAGTTGAGTCCAACACCTTCTTGTTTGCGATTCGAATTCCGACTGAGCTTTGCGCGTCTGATTGTGCTGCGGTCCTTGCGCACGGTGGTCTCGTCCCCAGCCGTTGCCACTACGGCAGCGGCTAGGGATGATACCAGCGCACAGTAATTGGCATGTTCGAAATTTTCATGATATGACGATCCAACGAGCAGCCGTGATCAAATCATTTGCCGGACAAGAATGGTTGGACTGGAAAATCAATTCGCCAGGCCGCCATCATCCGGGGCCCCCTGGGGCCCCGCACGCCACCTCCGCGACGTGATTTTCTCTTGCCCATGCTTTGAAAGCCGTCGGTGTGTTCCTACTTTCACCTGTCAACGGATCCCTTGGGTCGAACAGCATTTTGCTCAAAAGCGCACATCTGAGTCCTGCTGACAACGGCAGTCAAGAGCCTTCTTTCATTCTGTAGCTCACACGATCGACCCACGTGGTCGCACCGACAACTCTCCGGGAACTTCCCCAAGTTTGTCAAATCATATGGTTCGCGCGCGCCTCGCCAAGACACTGCCTTGCATCGGCCAAGGAACCACAGCCGATGACCTGCGGACAGAGAAGGTCGTAGTAGGTTAGTCTATTATATGAACGTCTGTGACCTCCCACCCAGGGGCAGGAACATGGTTAGTCTCTCGATCCGGCCCGCTACGGTGCGTCCGCCGGGTAACTTGCAATGATTGTGCTCAGCATTTGCAGTAGCGAGAGTATGTCAAGCGGGCCTCTTCAGCTGCAAATGTGTGCTATCTGTTCGGAGCTCAGCCTGGAAAAACACTCGGCTCACCCGCGCGCGCCCCTGCCTGGCGCCTGGCGAGCGCACCTGCTGACCTGGCGAGCGTCGGAAGAAGGGCAAGCCGCACAGGCCTCTCCCGCGTTTTGATGCTCACCCGTAGATGCGACTGAGCCTCGTGCGAGCCTTTGGGCGCGGGAGGCAGCGCTCCAGACCGCTGAGCCGTCGCTACCGGGCCGCCGGGCACGGGCGGGGCGGACGGCAGAGGCGGGCCGTGTGCGGGGTCGTGGGGACGCAAGGCACGGACGCCTGCCAGCGTGCTTCCCCACAATCTCGATCCGGCGCGGGGGGTCTGCGCCGTGGATAAAAGGCCCGGCGCACGAACGGGCCCTCCTCGGGACTCTTGCGTCTTCCCCTGCCTCCTGCGCCCGCTCTGTCTGCCCTGTCCGCCGCCATGGCCACGCAGAGCACCTTCCAGAACATCCGGGTTTATTGTGAGTTCCAACGCCCTCCCCGCCATCGCCGCACTCACCCACCATCGGACAGGGCTCGCGTTTATCGTCTACTGGGGCATCGTACTTTTCGGTTACGACACGTGAGTACTCCTACGCTCGATCGGAACGCCGCGCTGGCTGCCAAACTCGCTGTATATGCGCCTTTTGCGCGGCCGACGCGTCTTCGCACGCGTAGCGCTGAACCTGTCTCTTCCCCAGCGGTATCGGTGGTGGAGTCGTCTCGCAAAACTACTTCAAAGAGCACTTCGGGCTTCTCAACCCCGACGGATCCCCAAACCCGCACAAGTCGGACCAGGTCTCCTCGAACGTCGTCTCCGTTCTTCAAGCCGGAGCATTCTTCGGAGCTTTGGGCAGCGCGCCTATCTCAGGTGAGCGATCGTTCTGGCCCATCCCTGCCTACCCCTGCACCAGTCCGAACCCTCTTGCCATTACGTGCATAACGTGCTGCCAGACGTCATTTGACGTTGTCGCGCTGTTCTGGGGGTGATTACGGGGATGATACCGCCCGTTTCGCGCAGGTGACGCGGCTTCGGGCCCCTCCTGCCCAGTGCTCCGCTTTCCGGCGCTGCATCTCATCTTCACGGAATAGGTCGCTGACAGTCTTTTCCAGCGCGCATCGGGAGGAAATACTCCCTCCTGGGCTGGTCGATTCTCTTTGCCGTCGGCGCCGTTCTCCAGACTGTCGCGGGTGGCTCGCGCGGGATCGGATACATCTATGCTGGTCGTGTCATCGCCGGTGTTGGTATTGGTGCGATCTCTGCTGTCGCGCCTGCGTTCGTGTCGGAGTGTTCGCCAAAGGAAGTCCGTGGGCGTATCACTGGCCTGTTCCAGATCATGGTCGCCGTCGGTGTTATGCTCTCATACTTCATCAACTGTGAGTCCAATTTGGCATAGCAGTAGTTGCGCCTGATAGCTGACTGCGAGCCCAGTGGGCGTCAGTCTACACATCCACAGCGGCGCAAGCGTGTGGCGTATCCCCTTCGGCTTCCAGCTCGTCCCCGCGGGCATCATGTCTCTCGGCCTCCTGACTGTCAAGGAGTCTCCTCGTTGGCTCGCGTCGGTAGGTCGTGGTGACGAGGCTATCCGTAACCTCGCCTACCTGCGCAAAAGGCACCACGAAGACGATGATGTACGCAACGAGATGGCTGAGATCGAGGCTGCAATCGAGGAGGAGCGCGCTGCGCGAAATGGCCTTGGGCTCCGCGAAGCGTTCTTTGGCAAGGGTAACTTCATCCGGTTCGTCATCGCCGTCGTCATCTTCATCCTCCAGCAATGGTCGGGCCAGAACTCGGTCAACTACTACGCGCCCCAGATCTTCCAGTCGGTGAGTGACTTTGTCGCCACGCCAAAGTACCATGCTTATCCGGCGGACGTAGATCGGCTATAAGGGCACCTCCAACTCGCTCCTCGCGTCGGGTATCTACGGTATCGTCAAGGTTGTGGCTACCGCACTCTTCGTGTTCTTCCTCGTCGAGACCCTGGGGCGTAAGCTGTCGCTGTTGATTTCTGCGCTCGGCATGGGCACGCTCTTCTTCATCATCGGCGCGCTCCTCAAGACGCACCCCCCGCCCGCACAGGCGATTGACCCCCCTCCGGCAAGCAAGGCGATGGCTGCGATGCTCTACATCTACGTCTGCTTCTACTCGATGGGCTGGGGCCCGCTTCCCTGGGTGTACGTCTCGGACATCTTCCCCACGCGAACGCGTCACTACGGTCTCGCCACCGCCTCCGCGTCGCAGTGGCTCTTCAGTACGTGCCCTCCGGCTCTCCCTCCTCTGGTTCGGAGCTGACCGTGACGCAGACTTCGTGCTCTCGAAGGTGACGCCAATGCTCGTCACCGACCTTGGGTACAAGATCTTCCTCATGTTCGGAACGATCAACATCGCCGGCATGGGCACCTTCGCGCTCCTCATCCCGGAGACCAAGGGCCGCAGTCTGGAGGAGATGGACATCATCTTCGGCACCGTCACTGCGGAGCAGCGCCAGAAGGACATCGAGCGCCAGGAACGAGGTGAGCGTCGCGTCTTGGCACCGAGACCGAGCGATTTTCGGCGACGGCGGCAAATGGTTCTTGGGGCCGTGGAATAGGACTGACGCTGACGGAAAACTCTTTGACAGTGCTCGACCATGACAAGAACGAGACGACGTCGGAGCGGTCGATGGAGAACAAGGCCTGAGCGCGTTAAAAGTGCTTCGGGCTCCCCTCCCCTGTCCTCACGCTCTCCCTGTCACGTTTCTCCACGATTTTGCCACCTTGCTTTTTGTATATTACTCCGCCTTCTTTGTATTGGTAGAACGGAATTCCATTGCTATCAAACTCCTCTCTCCGTCCTCGTCCAACGCGCTCCCGTCCGATCGAATAGTAAGTTCATTAGTAGCTCCGTGTTGCCAAACGCGTGACGTCACGCGTTTCGGGCCGACGCGTGCCGGAATCTTTTCGAGATCAGTGTTATCTTATCTTTTTTTCTGCTGCTTCCACTTTTTCCTGGCTTCGTCGCGACTGACTCGATCCTCCTTCTTCCCATTTAACCTCCCCCTTCCTCCTCACACACCCAACCCTTCCTTTACCTCGATTGCGATGGCGCCTCTGACCCACCCGTCGATCAAGGGTGAGTCTCTTGGTCGTTGAGGCGAGGATAGTAGCGGCGATCGCGTCGATCCATTTGTGTTTGCCGCAATTCGTCTCGAAGCTCAGCACTGCGCGCATACAGCCGCTTTCGCGCGGAGTATACCGCGTATATGTGCATACGTTGGCGTATCGGATTCTGATTTGTACCCATTGGATGGACGCTGGTCGCTGTGCCCATTTTTTGTAAGGGGCGATCGCAACGATTTCGTTGGGACCTACGAGCCTACAACGTACTCATGAAGTACGGACACTGACAACCTCCCTCGCTTTCAGATGGCTGGTTCCGCGAGATCTCGTCGCAGTGGCCGGGCCAAGCGATGACCCTCAAGGTCAACCGGATTCTCCACGTCGAGAAGAGCTTGTACCAGGACGTGCTCGTCTTCGAGTCCGCGACCTACGGCAACGTCCTCATCCTCGACGGCGTCATACAGTGCACCGAGCGCGACGAGTTCTCGTACCAGGAAATGATCGCCCACATCCCGCTCGCAAGCCACCCCAATCCGAAGAAGGTCCTCGTCATCGGCGGTGGCGACGGTGGTGTAGTCCGTGAAGTGCTCAAGCATGACACTGTGGAGGAGGTCGTGCTCTGTGACATTGACGAGGTGAGCTTCCCATTGTGCTCTGCGTAGCGCGCGTACCAATACCGCACCCAAGGCCGTCATTCGTGTGTCGAAGCAGTTCCTCCCCCACATGTCCTCCCTCCTCTCCGACCCCCGTGTCACCGTCTTCGTCGGCGACGGATTCAAGTTCCTCGCCGACAATACCTCCACCTACGACTGCATCATCACCGACTCCTCCGACCCTGTTGGTCCGGCCGCCTCCCTCTTCCAAAAGCCCTACTTTGAGCTCCTCCGCGACGCCCTCGCGCCGGGCGGCCACATTTCCACTCAGGGCGAGTGCCTCTGGATCCACCTCCCGCTCATCCAGGACCTTCTCAAGACCACGCGCTCGCTCTTCGCCGAGTCCGAGTACGCGTTCACGACGATCCCGACGTACCCTTCTGGCCAGATCGGCTTCATGGTCGCGTCCAAGGAGCAAGGCCGCGTGCTCTCCGCGCCGCTCCGCACCGTCCCCGGCTGCCGGTACTACAACGCGGAGGTGCACAAGGCCGCGTTCGTGCTCCCCGAGTTCGGCCGCGCGCTGCTCTCGGAGAACCGGGACGTGCGGCCCAAGTTCGGCGCGGCGGCGTTCGAGGGCGCGCCGACGCGCAAGGTGCTCCTGCTCGGGAGCGGCGCGGTCGCGCTGCCGTGCGCGGAGTACGTCGTGCGCGACCCCCGGAACGCGCTGACGATCGCGTGCCGCACGCTCAAGAGCGCGGAGGCGATGGCGGAGGGCCTGCGCAACACCACCGCGGCGTCGCTCGACGCGGGCTCGGAGGACCCGGCGAAGCAGGCCGCGCTCGAGGCCGCGATCGCGGGCGCGGACCTCGTCATCTCGCTCGTCCCGTACACCCACCACGTGAACGTGATCAAGGCGGCGATCAAGGGCAAGACGGACGTGGTGACGACGTCGTACATCTCGGACGGCATCCGCGCGCTCGAGCCGGAGATCAAGGCGGCGGGGATCGTCGTGATGAACGAGATCGGGCTCGACCCGGGCGTGGACCACCTGTACGCGGTGAAGACGATCGACGAGGTGCACGCGAAGGGCGGGAAGGTGAAGGAGTTCCACTCGTACTGCGGCGGGCTGCCCGCGCCCGAGTGTGCGGACAACCCGCTCGGGTACAAGTTCTCGTGGTCGCCGCGCGGCGGGCTGCTCGCGCTCCTCAACAACGCGTCCTTCCTCGGCGCGGGCCAGCAGGTAGACGTGCCCGGGACGGAGCTGATGGGCGTCGCGAAGCCGTACTACATCTCCCCCGCGTTCGCGTTCGTCGCGTACCCAAACCGGAACTCGGTCCCCTTCCGCGAGTTCTACAACATCCCCGAGGCGGAGACGGTCGTGCGCGGGACGCTGCGCTACCAGGGCTTCCCGAGCTTCATCCAGGCGCTCAAGGCGCTCGGTTGGCTGGACCTCGAGAAGAAGGCGTGGCTGAAGGAGGGCATGACTTGGGCCGAGGTCTCGCAGCAGGCGACCGGCGCCCCTGACGCGAGCGAGAGGTCCGTCACCCTTTTCTGTTCTGCGATTCGGTGAGGGAGCTAACACTGTCCACGCTACCAGCACCCTGATCGCGCGCGTCGAGGAGATCTGCAAGTTCGCGGACGCCGCCGACGGTCGCCGCATCATCTCGGGCATGAAGTGGATCGGGCTCTTCTCGGGCGAGAAGGCGACGGTGCGGGACGGGACGCTGCTGGACACGCTCTGCGCGCAACTCGAGACGCTGATGGCGTACGCGCCCGGCGAGCGTGACCTCATTATGCTCCAGCACAAGTTCGTCGTCGAGTGGGCGGACGGGAAGACGGTGCGTGCCTCTGTTCTCTCTCGCCCCTCGCATGCGTTCGGCCAACGCTGACTGGACGCGCGACTGCAGGACACGCTCACGTCGACGCTGGAGGCGTACGGCGAACCGGGCGGGCACTCGGCGATGGCGCTCTACGTCGGTGTGCCCTGCGGCATCGCGGTGCAGCTCGTGCTGGACCGCAAGATCAGCACCCCGGGCGTGCTCGCGCCGTACTCGAAGGAGATCTGCGACCCGCTCCGGGAGATCCTCGAGGAGCAGGGCATGGGCCTCGTCGAGCGCGTGCTTTGAGCGTGCCATGCGACATCAAAATGGTTGTGTAAGAGTTGTGCGTGATTGTAGTCCTTGAATTTGTGTACCGATATACTTGGAGTTCTATCGATCGACTGATACGTCCCTACGCTCCTCGCGTCACTAGGGAATGGCACGGGTTCGTGTAACCTGTGTGCGTAAGGTACAGCTCCTCAGATGGCTTGACTTGCATGAGGAATTCCCCATCGTCACACCGACCTGCTGGTTTTGGTCGTGGTAATGGTCCTAAATCGACCGAGTTGGCAGGTATCTTACCAGTCACTCTACTAGAACCTTACTAGCGGGAGTACACCATATTCAAAGTCAGACAAGCCTATCCACCCAGGGATAATGCATTGGTGTCGTCATGTGCCCGGTACCGCTCGAGGTCAGTACATCGATATTACCCACCGTTCGCCTCGCCGAGCTCACGATGACCCCTACTGAACGGCCGGGGAGTCACCATAGGCGGCGGGGGCCGCCGGCAGTCAATCCCTGATGCGCGCGCCCCCGCGTCGGCATTTACCCGTTTTGGCAATGCTGCGCGATTCCTGTGAAGCTCATTTGATCGACGCCACGAGGCACAAGCAAGGCTGCCATCGATAAAAAGCTGGCAGTGCACGCCCACCTCAGGTACCCATCGCCTTCGCTCTCGACGTGAACATGGCGGCACTGGTCTCCCCACCCAGTGACCCCAAACCTCTGGCACAGTTCCCCACCCCTTTCGAAAGCACCTTTGTCGCGCCAGTCACGCTCGTCGAGCTCCGCATGCGAAGCTACTCGGGCAAGATCCGCTCCAAGCCGCTCTGGTGGGAGAAGATCCACGACGCGACCATCGTGGCCAGATGGCGGGAGGAGATGGTCGCACATGATTGTGAGAACGTGGAGCGCTATTGGGGAGGGGCTCACCGCTTCAGGCTCTACATGAAGAGGCCGAAGGAAGTTGTTGCTTACTCCCATGACGACGACTCTGAGGGGGAAGAGGAGGAAGAGGGAGTCGATGGTGGAAACACAGAAGGCGAAGAGGCGCGGGGCGAGGAGGATCACGAGTCAGAATCGGACGAAGAAGAATACCGGTTCAGTACTTTGGTCAAGCCGTGGCCGCGCGATCCATTGAGCGAGACGCAAATAACCTATATCTTCGACGAGCTGCGCTACGAGGCTGCGAGGCGTGACCCAGCCACGGGGATCTTTGTGAGTGTCATGATGCTTGCCGAAACCGCCACTAAGATTCGACATCACAGGCGAGCGCCATCCGCAAGGTCTACGAATCCCATTCTCTCGTCGATGCCAGTATCAAGGAGCAGCTCATGCGCGCTGCTGCTCTCTTCGAGAATGTTCCGGAGGACGAGAAGGACTGGCACCCTGGCGCCGACGGACAAGTCCTCGACCTCGTACACCCGTCCCTTTACCCCGTCTGCATCGGTCACAGCTTGTTGCGCATGGCTGGCCCTGTGAGCAGACCGCCCAAGCTCATGCTGCTTGACAACGACAAGTACATCAGCTCGCGCCCTGACCTCCAGGAAGAGAGCGACTACGCCGTCTCTCAAGCTTACCAGTGGCTCCCAACGGACTTCTCGGTCAGTGCGGACGGAGAAGTCACCGCGCTCGATTACATCAACAACGCCCACCCTTCCCGGCATCGCGCGCTCTACCCCGTCGTCACTTCTCTCGTCGCGCGCTTCGTTCCCATGTTCGAGCGCGTGCTCTCCGACGCCCTGTCCCCGGAATACGCATCGCCGATCCACGAAGCACCCCACGAATGGTACGACCACATCGACGTGCATTCGCCGGTATGGGATCCAGAGGACCATGATAGCTACAGAAAGCTCTGGGAAGCATGGGCGGCGCAACACAGGTGGCCTCTGATCCCTGAACCCGAACCATTCGCGCCCCCGTCCGCGGACAGCCGCGTGTCCTTCACGCTCAAGGGGCGCACGGTGCAGGCGATCGTCAAGCTCGCCAACATCCACCTCACACCGGAAAAGCCGACGTACCCCGGGGGCTCGTGGCACGTCGAAGGGATGGCGAACGAGCGGATCGTCGCGACGGGGCTCTACTACTACGCGATGGAGAACGTGACCGAGAGCCGGCTCGGGTTCCGGATGCGGGTCGGCGGGGGCGACTACGGGATAGACCTCTCGTACGAGCAGAGTGACCACAACGGGTACGTCGTCGCGTACGGCTTCGGGCAGGACGACGCGCTGAACCAGCCGATCGGGCACATCGTCGCGGCGGAGGGCAAGTGCGTCGCGTTCCCGAACGTGTACCAGCACCGGGTCGAGCCGTTCGAGCTCGCGGACAAGACGCGGACCGGCCACCGGAAGATCATCGCGCTCTTCCTCGTCGACCCGACGATCCGGGTGCTGTCGACGACGGACGTGCCGCCCCAGCAGCGGGAGTGGGCGCTGGCGGAGGCGGTGAGGGCGCCTGCGATGCAGAATCTCCCGCAGGAGCTGTACGACGAGATCGTGGCGTTCGCGGAGGGTGGGTTGATGTCGCGGGAGGAAGCGGAGGAGCATCGCCAGAAGCTCATGGCGGAGCGGTCGGTCTTCGTGGACGGTCACAACGAGAATAGATTCGAGGAGGGGTTCAACATGTGTGAGCATTGATAGCAGCGGTGTACAATATATGTCGGGCGCGCAAGATTGGCCAAGAGGGCGGCAACATGTAGTCTGTCATAGGCAGATCCAGCCCTGCACCTGGCAGAACTCGTGAACAGGAGGAAGAGCGGAATAACGAGTCGCGGAGATGAATCAAATGCGAGGAGATCAGCTTTCCCAGGAAGAGCCAAGGGCTGTCCCACGCCGCCCACGCCGGGCCAGTGGCCAGTGCTGGTCCTCTCCTCCTCGAGATCCATGTGAGTGCTGCTCTCGACTTAGAAGATGGCAGAGATACAAAACTGACCAAAGTTCTTTCCCCCCATCCTTATCGGTGCAGATCAACTCGTTGATGGCTCAAACATCATCAAGTTCAGTCCTAACGGTGGCTCACATCCCCAGCCCCGTACGCTTGTCGCCCACAAGGCACAGCGCTATCCGCGCTTCGCGAAGCTCACCTTCACCGCCGTACAATCACGCCCCACCTACCGACTGGAACTTTGAAGACGCGGTGGCTCGCTGGTGCGGGATTCCCGCGCATTGCGTCGGAGATCTCAGATGAGGATGGTTTCGAGCTGGAGGTAAATCTGTCCGCCCTTGCCAGAAATTTAACTGCGCTCGGCTGCTTCTTGTTCTCGATAGGTCACAACCAAAGCGATTAGACCCTAGAAGTTCGAGGTGAGGACGTGGTTGGTCTGATATGGTCGTGGATGATGGCTCCCTCTTGGACCTTGGTGGCATGGCGGTGAGGACTGCCCCTTTGTCTCGCCGTACTGCCTAGCATAGCTCACTATTTTGGTTAGTTGTGTGGGTGAGGGGGGTTCTTAATGACACGTCCCTACGAGCAGGCCGACCGCCATGGGTGCCCTGTAACGTATACCGCATTGAACTAGCTGCTCGCGACGGACAACCTGTGCGTCTTGAATGACTCCCTCGATCGTCAAGCCGTTTGAACTCGCGGAAGAGACCCAAAATAAACGTCGGGAGATCTTGGCTGTATTTTTGTCGGCCCATTCCAGCTGTTTTCATAACGATGGGCCCTTGATGGGAATTAGACGCATAAGCGAATTGAGTCGGAGTCTTAACAAAACATGCGACCCATCAGCATCATGCGCAGAACGCTTGCGCAAGGCTCTAGCGCCAGCCCGGCAGCAGCCGGCAGCGTGATGGGGCCATCGGGCCGTGCGCGCGTAGCGGGCGGGGTTTTAACTTTTAAACAGCCTATTCGAGGACGATTAGCCGAAGGGCCTATCGTTATGAAAACAGCTGTCAACTACGGATGTGCCTTCCCGGCAGCGGAAGGGGGTGGTCGCGAATGTGGAGGTGGAGAGGGTCGTAAGCGCCAGCCCTTAATCGGGAAAATCGGCTGATGTGCCCCGTTCCCACGGATTCCTTGACTTTCATTTCCCGGTCATCTGCTTACGACATCATCTGCGACTTCTTCCCCTTCTCCCAGCTCGGTCGATGCAGCCGGAATTGCCACCTGAACTATGCGACAGAGTGATTGACGCTGTTGTGGATGTTTTTGACCTCCGCCATTGCGCCCTCGTCTGTCATCAATGGCGAAACAGGGCACAGTTCCGCCTCTTCTCCGTTATCGTCCTCAACGTGGGTCGCTACTATCTCCCGGAACGCGACAGACCCGAGCAAATGCTGCAATCAGTGATCTCTGCACAGCCTGGATTCGCTCTTCTCGTGACCTCTCTTACACTACGCCATTCTGCTGTTCTTTCAATGCGCGTTACTAGATGGAAGGAGGACGACATCAAGAATTTACCTGCTCAACTCCCGAATCTTCAACGTCTTGTTCTCTCTTCACGCAACGGAACCTATTCGCAAATTTCAGCACAACTACTTACGTCGACGCTTCTAAACGCACACACCTCCCTCGACTATCTCGTCCTCGATGGCGTAGATCTACCAAAGCGCTCCTTCAACAATACATTATTCGGGATCCAGCGGTCGCCAGCTGCCCCTGTTCTCCATCATCTGAAAGCCGTATGGACTCCCACCTGCTACATTCGTGGGTTTTCTGGGGTTCTTCGCCCGGATATCCACCTCTTCCTCGACGCACTCACGACGCTCGGCCTCATCTCCCGCCAAACATTGCTCACCTTGGATCTTCCTCATTACTGGAAAATCTCCGAGCACTGGCAATCGGATGTTTACGCAACGCTCAAGCTCCCGAGCCTTGAAATTTTCGGCATCATGCTCAGTCACTCCCAACACAACAACCATACCGTCGACGATGGTACCCGTGCGTTTTCCTTCCCTTCAATACACCCACCCGGCTCATCTTGATCCCACAGATCTACGCACGCGTGAGCTCCTCGATGCGCTCGCTCCGTGCGCGCGCCTACGTGCCCTCCACATCACCTACGGCGAGCCCGAACTTCGCGAGTGGTACTCCCTCCGCCGAGAACACCTTTCCGCCGCCCTCATCTGCTTCCTCCGTGACCACTTCTCCCGCACCCCGCCGGCCCATCCCCACCTGGAGGAGCTCAAGCTCACGGTCGCCTATTGGGCCAAGGACGTCAAGCGTGCATGGTCTCCAGTCATCTCGCAGCTGGCGGCCGTCCTTTGCGATCGCGCGCGATATCCCTCCTTCCGCCGCCTACACGTCTGCAAATTGGTTGCAATCAATCAAAACGACTCCGACCGCTCTGATCTGGACGCGGCCCGCAGGATCGTTTCGGGCCTGTTCTCAGCCTTTGCGGTCCCAGGCGTTGAGCTGATCGTGGACGCCGAGTTTTTGTTCGGTGATACGGCGGAAAAAGAGGATATGCGCTTGGATTCGGATGCAGATATCGAAGGGGACACGGGGATGGGACGGGCGTAATCCGTGAACTGGTACTTCGCCTCCCCGCGATGAAAGAGACGCCCAGTACGTAGCTCCCAAAAAGTACTGCATTCTCCACTTTCTCACCACGCTCCCTAATATAGTATTGTACAAACCATCTCTTTCGCAACCTGTATGGGCTGCGCTCATATCTGCCGCTTGTTCGCGTTTGCTCGTCGCCGAGCTCGCGTTCCGCTTCCGAGTTCTCCGTCTTTTTTTCCCTTTCCACTGCTTTATCGACGCTTCTCTGTTCGGCCCCTCTCCACCTTACACTCTCAACCCATCCCCGCCTTATGATTTCAATGCGATCTCCATAGGCATTCGCTACTCCGTAAGCAGGTTCTCATCGTCAGATCCATCTCGTCGCTTAATACCCCATCCATATACAGTTCGGCCATAGTGACGTATCACGGACTCGGGACTGTGCATCCCTCTGCCATGCAGCCTCCCCGGTCTCAGCGTCCAGATGCTCGGATCAACTCCTTCTCGATAGCTCCAGCCAAGAGCCGGTGAACGTGAGACGTCGGGTGCCCCGTGTCTGCGCGGAAAAGTCGCCATCAGCACCGCGCTTCACGAAACCAACTCCCCAGGCATCCGCACACTCACTCCACCAAAAGTACGTCGGGTCGTGGCACTCGCAAAACCTGTCCCGACGACAACGACCATCAGCTCACGCGTCCCCAGCACCGGAGGCCGCGCACGCACCCAGTGATGTTCGTGAACCCGTAGCTCGCCGCGCTGTCGAGCACGCTCGTGAAGAACGCGTGCGCGTCGAACGTGAGGACGTGCACGTCCGCGTGCGCGCGCCCGAACGCGGCGGCGTGCGCGAGGAGCGCGGCGTTGTAGTCGAGGATGTTCTGCCGGTACGTCGGCGCGATGCTCGTGCCCAGGTGGTCCGGGGAGCGGTCCAGGGGCGGGACGGTGACGAAGAGGTAGGCGCCGCGCAGGTCGTGGTCGTACGCGGTTTGCTTGTCCACAGTCAGATACGCTGGAGCGGTCGTGGGGCGCGAGATGGGGACGCACCACTGCGCCGAAGAGGGCGTCCATCTCCTTCTCCCAGAACGCCTTGTAGTCGAGCTGGGCGACGCTGAGCGCGGGCGAGGGGGATGCGCGTTGCATGTACGTACTGTGGTGTTCACGAGCGTGTCGCCGGTGTCGTTGATGCCGATCCAGAACGCGGTCAGCGTCTCGTTCGCGGGATGGGGGACGACGTCGGAGCCGTACGTGGCCCACTCGCGCACTTGGTCGACGAGGTCGACGGAGAAGTTGTGGTGGAGGGGGATCCTGGGCGCATGCAGTGAGCGCGGCGACGTCCCGCGGGAAGGCATGATTGCACGCACAGCGATTTTTCAACGTCCGCGCCCGAGAACGCGAAGTTCCACAGCTGATGCGGGCTGCAGTCGGCGGGACGGCCTTGGAAGCACCCAGTGAGGTACTCGGTCTGTGCGGCGATAGCCGTAAGAACACCAGAACGAGAAAGTAGAAACGAGCACATACCCAAGTAGGACCGTCCGAGGCGGTCTCAAGTGTACTATGTATGAGAAGGCCAGTTGAGGTAAGTACCTGACAGAGACTCACCACATTGAATTGGATCTCGTCCTCCAACAGGTCCACCGGAGTGTACGAAAAGTTGAGCGCACTTCCTATGAAGCTTCGGGGAGTACGCATTGCATAATTTCATGATAAATTAGCAGGAGGCGGCTCACCTGAACTTCGGGTAGCCTTTCGTGCCCCCAACGAATGTGTAAGAGTCGCCGAAAGCATAGAAATACTTGGTCGTCTCCCAATTGAAGGCAGGCTTTGTGGAGACGGGGAAGGCCCATGTGGGAGCTGCAATCAGAGAGAGCAAGAAAAGTATGGTGTTGAACATCGTCGAGGGGCGTCGACCGTCTGGTAGATCAGTGAGGTCGACCAGACTCCAGAGGCCCAGCGGTATAAATACGACGCAGAGGCCTGGTAGACCAGCCTGGACTTACCTGCTGACCGGGCCATTGAGCCAGCCGTACCCTGCGGCCCGGCCATCGTCTTCCGTCGCTACTCGAAGGGCAGCTTAGGCGGCCAGTCGCTCTGTTCACGAGGACGAGGAGCAACGTCATGAGGAAAGAAACCAACCTTCGATAGGCGCCAACTGCCGGTCTTCCGGGCCGGAGGCACGAGATCACTCCCTCACAAAAAGAGCCATTTCAGCGACGGACAAGCCATCCCAGCCTCCAGGTGGCAGGAAAGTCGCAAAAGAATACGGTTCCCACTTCATTCCCATTAGCCGACTCGAACGACTGACCTCGTCATTACTAGTGACGCGCTCTACCAACTGAGCTAAACGGGACATATGATGTAAATGCAAAGCAAAACATATATTAGCCTTGTTTCTGCACCGAACATCGCTTCCAACACTGGCACAGGCTCGACTTGCCACACCGCCTAGCTGAGTCCCAGACTCACCCCACGATGAGCCAATACCGGTCAACACCGACGGACGGCTACCGCACGGCCACCTCTGCGCTTCAATCGAGCACAGAGAGCGTGCTCAAGACCCACCTCCCTCTTCCCGGCGACGAGCCCACGCTCGATCGAAAGCTGCACTTCGAGTTCCTCCTCCGCAACCTCCGCCAGGGCTTTCCCGAGCGCTACACATCGCAGGATGCCAGCCAGCCATGGCTCATCTACTGGACCCTGCACGGCTTCAGCGTCTTCGGCGCAGGCTTGGATGACCAGACGAAGAAAAGGCGAGTGGCGCAATATTCCGCGGACGGATGGTTCGCTCACGAGCGAGATCGCAGGACGATCGCCACGCTGCTCGCGATGCAGCACCCCGACGGCGGCTTTGCAGGCGGGCCCGGGCAGGCCGCGCACCTGCTGCCCACGTACGCGTCGGTGTGCGCGTTCGCGGTCGTGGGCCGCCCGGGAGAGGGCGGCGGGTGGGATGCGATTGATCGGTGCGAGATCGCGGCCGGGACGGTCGACGGGCGGTCGCTGACGATGCTGTCGTGCGCGCAGGAGGAAGATGTACGACTTCTTCATGTCGCTCAAGCAGCCAGACGGCTCCTTCCTCGTCAGCCACCACGGCGAAGTCGACGTCAGGCAAGACCACCGTCTCTCGCAGATTCCGCCGACTGACCGTCGCCGACAGGGGGATCTACTGCCTCCTCGTCTCCGCCACGCTGCTCAACATCATGACCCCCGAGCTGCTCGCTGGCACCCCAGACTTCCTCGCCACCTGCCAGACGTACGAAGGCGGGTTTGGGAACGCCTCCTTCCCCGGATGGGCGTTCGAAGCCGGTGCGCCCCGCCCCTTCCTCGTCACCTCACCGCTACCGATCTCATTCTCCCTGCAGACGATGAAGCGCCACGCCCGCCCCGCGCTCCCGCAGACCCCGCCGCGCCGCGCCCGCCGCTCGGCGAGGCCCACGGCGGGTACACGTTCTGCGCGACCGCCTCCTGGGTCCTCCTCCAGCCGTACCTGCGCCTGCACTGCCCCGAGTCCCCCGCGCGCCCCAAGATCGATCTGCGCGCGCTCCTGCGGTGGTGCGTGCAGATGCAGGGCGTCCCCGCGGAGCTCGGCGGGTTCAAGGGCCGCACGAACAAGCTCGTCGACGGCTGCTACAGCTGGTGGGTCGGCGGCTGCGTCGTGCTCGTCGAGACCCTCGTCGGCGTCGCGGCGCACCACGAGCCGGAGCCCCCCGCCGAGACGCACGCGGACGAGGAAGGCGACAAGGCGTGGGACGACGTCGATGGTGAGCACGCTCGCGTTTGTCGTCAGACCCCCAGCTTATAGGCCACAGACTCCCTGTTCGACCGGCGCGCGCTGCAGGAGTACCTGCTCTGCGCGGGCCAGCACCCCGCAGGCGGGATGCGCGACAAGCCCCCAAAGTGAGCGTGCGCCGTCCACCCGTCCCCCATCCCCGGGACTCCCGTGCTGACCTCGGGCCTGCGCGCGCAGAGGCGCGGACGCGTACCACACCCTCTACTGCGCCGCCGGGCTCTCCGCGGCCCAACATCGGGTCACGCCCTCGGCCGCGCGCCAGGCCGCCGTCGAAGCCGCCTGGAACGCCGACGCCGCGGCGTCTCGAGACGGTGAGAGCCCACCGCCGATCCCACCGGTCTGCCGCATCCCAACTCACCACACGCGCGCCCCAACTGTAGGTTCGAGCTACGCCCCGCCGACGGAGGCGGACCGCGCGCGCGCGGCCGCGCTGCGCAAGGCCACATTCGCCCACATCCTCTCCTGGGCCGAGGAGGAGGGCGCGGCGACCTACCTCGGGGGCAGCGCGAATCGCGTGGTGCGTCCCGCCCTTCCCGCCCTTTCTTTTCCGCCGGTGTTGGAAATCGCGCGCGCGCCCGGCAACCCGGGCTCTTGACTGCCTGCCGCCTGTGCGCCCGTCACGCGTCCCGTCGCGCCCCCGTCTATCCCCCTTTCGTCCACCCGCTGCGCCTGCTCGCTCAGACTCGGGCTCCGCCCGTGCGAAGGCCGAGGGTCACCGTCGGTCCGACCCCTCGCGCGCGTGCAGGGGCTCGAGGGCCCGGGCGGTCAGGGTCCAGCGGGGGTCTGATGACGCTCCGGGATCTGATCTCAGGGCGCGTGCTAACCACGTCCGCGCAGAACGCGGTGCACCCGCTCCTCAACCTGACCGTCACCCACGCGGACGGGATGCTCGCGCACTTCTACGGCCAGGCGCCGCCGGCGCGCCAGCCTCCGCGCAAGAAGCAGTGAAGGTGAAGGCGAAGGCGAAGGCGAAGGTAGAGGTGAAGTGGGCCCGACCGAGGTGCGCGTCGATTCCCGCCGATGTCGACGGCACGTCCCCCATCCCCCCGGTCGTCGAATTTGTTTTCTCACAGCGGGGATCTGTTTCTCGATGCTGACCTGGACGCAGGGAAATATGCCCCGTTCGGGTCTGGTCGCGATCGCGGTTTCGGACGTCTTGTGCTTGGGTCGGGCGGCATCACCATGCGTTCGAGGCACGCGATGGTCGAGACGGGAGGGATTTGGACGTGTCGAACCGGCCGGGGCTCGTCCAGGACACCGAAGGGGAGTGGACTACTCCAACAAAGGGGCCGGGGTTCAAGCTTCAGGTGGAGATTGCTCTGATGGACCGCGCTGGATCCGGCGTCGCAAGGAAATAAAGGGGGCAGAAGCCGTGCGTGTACTTCGTGACTGCAATTTGACACGGGCCATCGCGAATCGCGGTCTCGGACGTGGTGTGTCGGTTTCTGACACGATGGAACCTGCGCGCGACGAACGTCCGGACCGGTACTGGTCCTCGTCCTTCGTGCGCCGGGTCGATCAGTCGCGTTCTGAGGTCCAACGTCCGGGAGGTGCCATCCGCCGTCCGCGGACGGCAGACCGCAGGCCAAAACTCAGTATTCAATCTGGATCCCTCGGCGATCCGGAAACCTCGCAGGAAACCTCGCCACCCGATTGGGGTCCGAGCGTGCGCGTGCGCGCGTGCGCATCAGTTACCAGTACGCCAGGATCCCGGAACCTAAACGTCGACGTCCCAGAGCGTACAAGCACATGTACCGCGAGCCGGCATCTATGCAGAGCGAGCGACATCAGCGCCCGAGGAGGCCGGTTCCGATCGTCACAGTCCATGCATGGGTCGCCCGCCCCGTCCACCTGAGCGGACGTCCCATCCGAGTTCGCTGGCCCCCCTGCCACTCCCTTTTGAGCGCCCGAGGTGTTGTCGCTCACTCCCATGCCGTGTCGAGGTTCATCCGGGACCGCAGGCGGGCCGGGGGAGGTCGCACGGGCGTCGATTAGGCACACCGGCTACTCTGCAGGCATGGGTTTTGTGAGTAGATGTATGGCCTATTGTAGGGTGCGTTCAGTACTGATAGTAGCTTACGGGAACCGATGGTGGTGTAGTGGATACATTGTGGGACGGGCGTGCGGAGGGTCGGGGCGCGATTAGGGAGCAGGCGGGGAGCGAGCAGTCAGTGGCAGTCGGGGCGAACGAAGGGGTGAATAATATATGTGTGGGCTCAAGGTAGAGCGCGGGCGCGACGCTCGGGAACGATTCGACGCACTGAAGTTGTGGCGGAGGAAGGAGAAGTCCTGGCCGGGCCCAGAGGAAGAGAACGTAGGAGGCTACATCGCGCCCATTGCGAACGCGAGAGCGTGTCAGTGGAAGACGGGACGCCGCCGCTGCCCCGTGCGCACACGCGCACCGAGACACCGTCGTCCTCACGGAGGGAGGAAGAGCCTGGGACATCGCCATTCAGACTGGCCTCTCCCGCCCACTCACGCAGGCCCGTCGCCCGCGCCCGCCCGCCCCGAGCTCAACCTCAGCCCCCTCACCTCCCTCTCCAACCAACTCAGCCTCCTCCGCTCCTCCCTCCGCTCGACCTGCATCTCCCGCAGCCGGCGCACGAGCGCGCCCGCACGCGCGCGCTCCTCCATCCTTGCCGCGGTCGCGACGGGCAGCAGCGTCGCGACGTCGCCCCACGCGCGCCAGCCGGCGGCGCCGGCGACGCGCAGCGCGGGCGGGACGCGCGCGCGCTCGAGCCCGGCGTCGACGGCGTCGGGCCAGCGCAGGCCCGCGCGCACGGCGCAGCCGGGCGGGAGCACGTGCGAGAGGAGGAGCGCGACGGGCGGGGCCGGGCCGATGGGGGAGAGGCCGACGGCGAGGGAGGTGAGGGACGCGAAGCGCGGGAGGTCGTCGAGCGCCGCGGCGGAGGAGGACGGGAAGGAGGAGGAGGAAGAGGACGGGGAGGAGGGCGCGCGCGAGACGGGCGCGGAGGAGGAGGAGGGCGTCGAGTCGTCCGAGTCGGAGCTGGGCGAGGTGTGCGGCCCTCCGTTTGCGTGCGCGTGCGCGTACGCGTGGCTGCCCGCGGCGCCCATCGCGCCCTCGGACCGCGCGCGGTGCGGGCCTGCGGGCGGGGCACGCGGAGGGGGCGCGCCGGCGGTGCGCGGGGGCGGGAGGCGGGCGTCGAGGTTGAGGGCGAGGTGGCGGAGGCGGGGGCAGTGCCGGGCGAAGGGGACGAGGGCGAGGAGGGTGAGCCGCGGCGGGGCGTCCTCGGGGACCGGCTCCGGGTGGAGCTCGAGGACCTCGAGGGCGGCCCAGCCGCGGGCGAGCGCGTCCGCGTCCGCGTCTGCGAGGTTGAGGGCGTAGTCCCACCGGAAGCGGAACTCGCGGAGGTGGCGGGAGGCGAGGAGGGGCGCGAAGGTGGCGGGCGTCGGGCGCGCGGTCGCGGGCGGGGGCGGCCAGGAGAGCGGCATCGAGGGCTCGATGATGAAGTCGAGCGAGAGCTGGGCGAGGTGCGGGCAGCGGTCGCGGACGGCGGCGAAGAGCTCGTGCAGGGTGTGGGGGGGCACGGTTGCGACCGCTTTGAGGTCGAGCTCGGTGAGCTGGGCGGGGAAGTGGTTCGCGTGCAGGAACTGGGTCGCGTGTGGGATCTGGGCGGCAATGGAGAGGCTGCGAAGGGCGGGGAAGGAGTCTCGGGGCAGCACCGGCAGGGGATGGCCGACGTCGAGGCGGTCGCCAGTCGATACCGCGGAGGGATCGCGGAGGGAGATTCGTTCGAGGTGGCGGAAGGCGGCGATATTGGAGAAGAGGCGGGGGGTGAGGCAGTAGACGGGCACGGTGATGTGCTGGAGGTGCTGGAGACCCTGGAGGAGGTTCGGTACGTCATTCTCGTAGCTGCGCACGGGCTGGTGGAAGCTGAGCTCGAGGCTGGACAATCCGGAGCAGCGTTCTGCCGTTTGGCGAAGGAAGTGTGGGAGGGGCACGCGGTCGGAGCAGTAGAGATAGAGGGAGAGATGCTTGATGCGCCGGTGGAGGAAGGGAAGGACGAGGAGCTGCCGGTCGGCTGAATAAGGCATCCATTCGATGTGCTGCACATTTGGGAAGATTTCTGGCGTAGGACAGGTCGCGACGAGGTCGTCGTACACCTGGGCGTTGAGGGGGATGTGCTGGCGAGGGAGAGTGGTTCGTGTGCTGGCAATGTATCGCTGGTCGTGTCGGAGGCGACGGACTCTGCCGGAGTATCGCTGAAATCGGTGCCAATCTGCGGCGGTGAGCGGTCGCTTGAAGACCTGGAGAAAGCGTGAGAATGGGGTGGAGACGTGAATGAGGAGAGCGGGAGCGGACATAGGTGCTGGGGAGCTTGTCCGCGGACTGGGACCGGCGTTTGCGGAGGACGAGGGGGGCAAGGACGGTGACGACCCGTTTGAGATCGCGGATCTCTGACCAGAGATTGTCGAGGGCGAGGTCCGACCAATGCCTGCAGACGGCTGCGGCTGAAACGAGATGCCTCGGCTCGAGGTAGGCAAAAATCATGACGACGAGCTCGTCGATGTGGGCGAGGCTCGGTGGCTGCATGTGGGCAGGGCGGCGTCGGGGGTGGTTGGGACGGGCGCGTCGGGGAGGGGGCGGAGGAAAGGCGTCGGGAGGCTGTTTTGGCCAAGGCTATATACCGCCAAGCTATATACCGCCCACATTCTCCCTTAAGAGGCCGATAAGACCCCGAAAGCGCGGATCGAGATCCGGGGCATCTTCCCACGCCCCGTCCCCCGCCCCGGCTGTCGCGCCCCCGCCCGCCCCGTGCACCGTGCGCGGCAGGCGAGGGCCAGCAGTCGCCGGTGCGAGCGCTCCCACGCCCGGGCGCACGCAGCCGGCGGAGGACACGGGGCGGGGAGCACGCCCATGAACGCCGGGAAATGAACGCCGGGCGTCTGTGCTGCCCTGTGCTCCAGACGCCCGGGCTTCATTCGGTGTTCAAACCGGTCCCGCCCCGCTCAAAGGTCGGAACGCGCCCAGGTCGTCGTCCGTGCAGCTGCTCGTTCACTGCCTCGCCCCGCGCGCTCTGGGACGGGGCTCATCAGGACCGCCGCGGCTCCGGGCAGCTTACACACGGGGTCGGCAGCAGCCTCGGCCTTCGCGCCCGAGAACATCGGACGGCGTGCACGCCGAGGGAACGGGTCGCCTCCTTTCGTCCGGCCCTCTCTTAAATCCTGTTTCGCTTCTGCTTTGATGCACGCGTTCTCCGGTCGCGTGGACGTCCCCCGTCGTCATTTCACACATCAGCTCACAAGTCCCGACTCCCATTCGCCTTCCACCATGTGCCCTTCGGCATCTCCGTCGAACACCACGGCAACTCAAAATAAGCCCCCGTCCAGATCGTTCTCCCGCCGCCCGCGCGTCCCCGCCCCGTCCCCTTCAAAGCTTCAGGCCCGCCTCGCGCCCCGCCTCCGCCTCGTGCCCGCCCACGCGCCCCTATCATGGCCCCATGCTTATTCACCGGCCGCATTGCCTCTACACAACCAACGCCCACTCCCGCTCGCCCCGTCCGGCCGGCCTTCTTCCTGGCCCTGCCCCCTAGATCCCCGGGCGAACCGCGCTGGGCCGACCGTGCGAGCGCGTGCCTGCGCCCCGCGCGCAGACTCAATGGCCTCTCCCCCACGGCCAGCACGCGGCGCGCCGCCCGAGACCGTAGACGGTCTTGGGACGTCTCGGCGCGCCGCGTGCACCCCGAGCTGTCCCGCGCGCTGCGTCTGGCTCGTGGCGTGATCGCCGGCCCTCTCCTCGCGGCGAACGCGCGGGCATTAGTGGCGTCACCGCCCCTGCGACGGTTCGCAACAGGGGTGATCGGCGTTCTCGCGTGGGGCCACGACAGGATCGCGAATCGAGGGCGGGGGCGAGGACGAGGACAACACTGCACTCGCCCTCAGGACGAGCTTGTGCGCACACGGTTCAGCGTAGCTTGGCGTCCGAGGTGCGCGCGGGTCGCACGGGAAGGGTGCGTGCGCGCTGCTGTTGCGAGTATACGTACCCGGCGCTGGCTGGGCTACCGCTGCGAACGAGAAGCCTGCCCGACTTTCTTTTTTTCCCGGTCAGTCTGCCTAAGCTCCCGCAAGGTTTGTTCGAACTTGCCAAGTCCACGCGTTCGAGAGTCCAGACCCTCGGCCGCAGTGACCAGGCCTGTGAAGGTTGGTCGTCGAAACCATAGTAGCTGTGCGCCCCTGGCTAAAGTCGACATGTCCGATCGCAGAACATATCGATGGTGGGTCCGGTCCGGTCCCCCCAGCTGCAGCGCTCGTGTGGCTACGCACGCCACCAAACCTCTCCCGCTAGCCGTCTTGGGACCTGTCGCCAAATGCTGGGGCGGCGATGCCCGATATGGGATAGTCACCTATAGCGCACCGCTCCCGCCCGTTCAACGAAACCGCGCGCGCACGTGCCGTGCGCACGGGGTCTCACTACACTCAGTGTCTCATGTACTAGAGCGAATCAGCGACCAACGCGCGCTGGCCTCTCGGGTTGCGTTTGTCCCGTGCATTGCGGAGATACAGGGATGCGCATCTCCCCCGTCTCCAAGACACGCTCGGGCGGTCCACCAGCCTCCTGCCCACGACGCATAACAGCACATGTACACGCCGCAAGGACCCCGTCGGGCTTCATAACACGACCCTGAGCGCGGCGGTGACGGGCGCCGGCCATCAGACTTGCCCCGGATGAAGAGTTGTTACCGGCCCCCAGTCGGCATTAACCAGCAATCAATGCACATTGCATCCCGTCTTTGACTCCAGGGCGCAACGTGCTCCATAAACAAGGCCTGACTACTAGGGCGGGAGACCAAGCGTGCTCGCCCGGTGAACGTCTCAACGGTGCACCGGTGCGGTAAGCCGGTGCGACGGCCGGCGTTCGGTCAGGGCCCGCAGAGGCCGAGCACGATTACGACGTCCTGCCATTGCACCTGGCAGTGCGAGCCGGCCACGGGCTGGAATTGCAAAGAGCCGGCTTGAATCCGAGCGCCGTTGATCGCGTGGTGCGCAGGAAGCGTGCCGCCAGGGACCAAGTGGCAAGAGAGTCACCGTGCGACAAGCGGCGTTCCAGGCGCGTCGATTGCACGCGCCGACGATGGCCTTACGGACATTGTGGGTGGCCGCGCGCTCCGCGCGGGAGGATCGGGGCGCGGGTGCGCTGCGTGCGGTGTGCGCCCCCTTCTTCTTCTTCGTCTTCGTCTTCTTCTCCTCGTCTGGCGGCGAGCATGTGATCAGGGCCTGCGGCTGGGGGTCTGGAGAGGCCTTCGCGTGCCGTACGGGCGTCGGGCGGTATGTCCGCGACCGGAGGGGGGCGGGTGTGTGCACTGGCGGCGGAGGTGGTGCTGGGGGCGCTGCTGAGGTGAGGCCGGGAAGGACGCGGGTTTATTCAAGAACCGCAGCCTAAGAGCCGGGGCCGTACATACAAGAAGTCAACGCGCTGGGGCGGGTCCGAGTCCGCACGTCCGACAGCCTACCGTCGAACCGCGGACGTGCACGCCAGCGCAGGCGCACTGCGTCATGTCGAGCCTTCTCTGCACCGGTACCTGCGAGCGGAGGGAGATCTAGCAGGGGACGTAAGTACGCACGTCCGTCCGGTGCGTCGGCGGAGAACCCAGGACGAGCCCCATTGGCCGCAGCGCACGCTCACCTCGGACCGCCCGCCCTCGCCCTCTCCCTCTAGATCGCCTCTCCTTCTCCATCTCCCTCTTCTATCCGACTACATACCCGCCTTGCCCACGACCACTCACAGCAGCACACACCCCTCGTCCACCATCGCCGCCGCCGCGCCCGCGGCCCGCCGCTCCTCCAGCACCCCGCACCGCATCCTCAGATCCTCCACCTCCCGCTCGAGCGCCGCGCGCCTCCCGCGCTCCTCCGCGCGCACCCGCGCGAGCGGCGGCAGCAGCCGCGCGACCTCGGTCCACCGCGCGGCCCCCGCCTCCGTCTCCGCCCTCCGCGCCGCGTGCGCGCGCGCGTCCGCCTCGCCCTCGACCGCGACGCGGCCCCACTGCCGCCCGCCCGGGCCGGCGTCGACGCTCACCCGCACCCCGGGGGGCAGCACGCGCGAGAGGAAGCGCGCGACGGCCTCGGCGTCGTCGATCGGCGAGCAGCCGACGTGGAGCCACTCGAGCGCGGGGGAGAAGCGCACGCCCGCGACGCCCGCGCCGCTGAGGAGGAGGGCGTCCGCGGTGGGGGGGCGGACGTCGGCGGCGCGGGCGGCGAGGAAGAGGCCGAGCTCGCGGAGGCGCGGGCAGTGGCGCGCGAAGGGGACGAGCGCGGCGAGCGTGAGCGGCGGGGGCCCGGAGGGGTCGACGGCGGCGCGCACGGGCGCGACGCTGAGCTCGAGGTGCTCGAGGCGGGGCCAGGCGCGGGCGAGGGCGTCGAGGTCGGCCGGGGCGAGCGCGAGCGGGGTGTCCCAGTTGACGGTGAGCGTGGTGAGCGTGGGGACGGCGAGGAGCGGGCGGAGGGTGTCGAGGGTGAGCTGCTCGTCTGGGGCTGCGGCGCCGCCGCGGAAGGGCGAGGGGTGGGGGTCGCCGGCGTAGTCGAGCGCGAACTCGGTGAGGCGGGGGCAGGCGGAGACGACCGCGGCGACCACTTCGTGCACGGCCGCGGGGGACTCGGGGTTGATGGAGTGCACGTAGAGCTTGCGGAGATGGCGGGGGAAGAAGGGCGCCGACAGGAAGCGGAGGAGGGCCGGGAAGTGCACGCTCACGCTGAGGTCATCCAACGAAGGGAAAGCGCCTTCGGCGAGCCTTGGGTCCCACTCGGTGATGTCTGCAGCTGAACCGGAGCCCTGGTGCTCGAAGAATTCGAACTGGATGACTTCGATGTGCTCGCTTCGTGAGAGCGTCTCGGTGATGCGGCTCGTGATGCAGAATTTGGGCAGGATGACGATCTTGAGCTTGGGTAGTGCGCTATACAGGCGGCACAGGTCGTCCTCGATTTCGCGCACAGAGAACTCGAACCGAAGGTCGAGTTTGGTAAGCTTCGGCATGCGGAGCGCAATGTCCTGGAACAGCACGCCGAAGGTGTATGTCGGAGATGGGGTAAGATGGACCGCGAATTGTTTGACGTTTTCGTGCATGAGCATGAGTGACAGGCGAAGTCGACCCGCTTCCCATGTGAGGGACGACAGTTTCGGAAAGAGGTGAGCCGACGTGCGCGTCTGCGCGATCTCGTCGAAGACTTGCGCCCCCCGGAGACGGTCCTCACCCACGTCGGATGCGACCTCCAGAGTGCGCACTCGGCTCGAGTAGCGCACGAAGCGCGCCCAGTCATGGGGTTCCAAGGGCCTGCTAAATCTCTGCAAAAGCGAAATCAGAAACCTTCGTCATTTGCACCGCCTACCACTCACGTCTTCCTCTTCCGGCGACGAGACGATGGGAGCAAGAAGTGAGAATGCTTGCTCCAGGTCGTCTACTTCGCGCCACAGGAGGTCGAGGGCGACTTCCGACCACGCTTTGCATACCAAAGCGTTCATCGCGTTGTCCGCGTCCTCCAGGTGCACAAAGACGAGCTCTAACAGCTCTGGGATGGCGAGCACACGGCGGATAGCCGTTCCAAATACGGCATGCTTGCGAGACAAGGCGTCTGAGGCTAGTAGGGATACAGGTGTTCAAACGGTCGCCTTGAGCAACAAGAAAGGTGATACACTCACATCTCATTTAGTTTCAAAGATGCTGACAAGTCAGGGTCAGAAGCGTGCGTTGTCGAAAGGCGGTGGCAAGTGGTCAACTCGACTGGGACAAAAAGTCGAACTTTGAAGGACGTGGGAAGTTGAGACAAACACGTTTTGCGGATAGGTATATATCAATTGATATCAAAAATAGATCCCGTTTAGCTCAGTTGGTAGAGCGCGTCACTAGTAATGACGAGGTCAGTCGTTCGAGTCGGCTAATGGGAATACTCAATAGCGGCCTGTGCCTCCCTTTTTCTATCCCGGTTTATGGGATATACTTAAAGCCTGATGATGAATCCACAGAAATGTGAGTCCAGTACACGCGCGTCTCACACATTTCTATGACATCACTTCTATGTATACGTGGGTGCCTACGAATCCTTTCGTAAAGACTTGAATGTGAATGTTCAAATCCCAGCCTCGCGGTATTTATTTCTTTGATCCGGAATCGGAAATTCTGGCCCATAGTCCATGAGAAGCTCCACGCCTGCTTTCAGCTTTCTCTCTACGAATCACTAATTAGCGTGCCTGGGGCGAGGACCGATCCACAAAACCCAGACTCACTTGCATACAACCCCACGCGCTGGTTGCCGTACACGAGCATTACTGTATAGTGCATAAGCGTACTCACGTACCAAAATGCAAGCTCAGGGACTGCGCAGGACTCACTCGAAGGTCGCACGTTCGCCTTTCCCGCGGAGGCGTGGTTGATGAATCGCGCGGGATTGCCCGCGTACGTGCTGTCGATCGAGACCTGCTCGTTGACACCAAAGACGTAGCTTCTGCCCCGCGCGAGCGCGACGATGCTGTCCGCCAAGCAGGTAAGCAGAGCCCCCGCACGAGATGTGGGACGCGCGGGAGACGCACTGGCGCGTGTCGAAGGTCGGCTCGCAGATGAGCTCGCCGACGTACTCTGGATCGCGTCGTGTGAGCGCTCCACCTGCCCACGGGCGAGGCCGACGCGCACCTAAGACCAGGTCGCCCTTCTCCGCGTCCTCGGCGAGGAACAGCCCGATCCCGAGCGCGCTCGTCTTCGCCTCGACCGCCTGCGCTCCCCCGTTCGTCGTCTGGCTGGATTTGATGAGGTGACGAACGCGGACGCACCTTGCACGCGCCTCGCTGGATCTGGCCGTTCCTGCACGCCGTCCCGCACGGGCCGCACACGGCCGAGTCGCACTCCCGCTTGGCGAGCCTGCACGGGCAGAGGTCGGACGGGCACGCCGCCTTCGGGTCCTTCTTCGTTTGCCGTTTGCCCTTCCCCTTCCTGTTGCCCCCCGCGTTCGACCTCGCGCACTTGCACCCAGGCCAGCGACGGACGCCTGTTACCGTCGGGTGCTAATTCAGAGGGAAGTAAAAGGGAGGGAAGAGAGTGGGCGCACACGTCCTTGCGCAGGCACAAGTCCTGGAGCAGTGCGCTTGGTTTCGTGCACATTCGCAGTCGACGCACGGTCCGGGGTGCCGGCACGGGCGGTTCCTGTGTGCCATTAGCTCGGGCGCCGAGACGGAGGAGTATGCGCTCACGGGATGAAGTTTGGAGGCAGTTCATTACCTGAGGCCCGAGTCAACGTCGCGAAGCAATCAGAATGAGTGCAGCGTGAGCCTTACAGAACTTCGGCGTGGGTTGTCGCACGTCCGGCTGCGGAGCAGAGGTCCTCACGTGCTGGCGACATAGCACCGCGACCTAGAGATCGACGTTTGGCTGAGGCACCGCTCCTCCTGTGAACGTGTAAGGAAGGCGCACTTCGAAGCACGGCTTTCTGCACAGGTGTGCGAGGTCGCACGGCGTTGTTGGCGGCGCCAGTGTGCAGAAGAGTTGCAGGTCGTCCTGCTCCTGAACCGTCCAAATGACGTCTGACTGTGCCGTGAGGATCGTTAGTCACGATATCGACATGGATCCGCAAAACGCACCTCAGACACGTCCTGAATGGGCCGATGCCAGGTGCAGTTTCTGCTGCAGGGGCTTTCTGGCGTAAGAGGATGGAACGGTGCCGAGTTAACATACAACGGCTCGCGTGGGTCGAGCACGACTTCATCGAGACCTGTAAGAACGCATATGAGGAGTCATTCACGGTCAGCAAGGCCTGCGCGCACGATGGGTGAAGCAGTATGCGGTGAGGCAGTCCGGGTTGGGACACCACAGCGTCATGTAGTCCTGCAACCGCGTTCGGGTGTCGTTCGCCGCCGGACGAGCGGTGTCCTCGAGTTCGATCGTGTCGCAGACGGAAGGTTCCGGCCAAGGGAGACGATCGCTGGTAACTGACGCATCAGACTCGCTGACTTGATATGTGAAGTAGGGGACGTACTTCATCTTCTCAGTCCATATCGCGCCCCACGAGGACCTTGTGCGCAGCTCGAGGGGGAGGATGCCGGTCTCGTCCATTTCTTGGGGCGACATCCCATGCTTTGCTTTCAGCCTGCGAGCAGTCTCAAGCACAACAGCGCGCACTGTTGGGACCCAAGACTGGCTCAGCGATCCGGATAAATAACAGCAAGCATCGAGCAGCGTACCATCAGGGCCTCGATATTCTTCTTCCCAAGCGAATCCTTCATGATCTTCCACATAGTCGTCAGTGGGGAACGCAGGGTCGTCTGGGAGTGGGAGGTAGGGCAAGTAGTCTGGATCGTCCTCAACAAGGACATTCGCTGGAAGTGGTGTGCACGACTCGTACGGCGGGTATGGTTGTGGGAGTGGTTGTGACGCCTTGACCAGTGTAGCGCGGACCAGCGATGACCGCGGAGACGGGCCATCGAAGATGTGGCGGATGAAAGCTGCGCCGTCGCTGTTGGTGTGATTATTGGACACGAAAGCATTTTCAGCAGATGACGAGGACGGCGAGGGTGCAATGAGGTCGTCGAAGGTGAGGGTATGGGACGTCTGCGCAGGTGCAGATGCTGCGAGTCTGGAGATCTGTTTAGTGCAGTAATCTTGCTCCCAAGCATAATAGTCGTTCCATGTATCGCGAAACTCGTGTACTATAAGATCACTTCGTTCGTCTGAGGGCGCGGACATTGATCTGACCACTTTCCTGGAGAACAACATTCTCAGTTAGAGCTTTGAGCAATACGCGGCGAGGAGTATTACTTCCGATGCACTTACTGGAAGGTCGTGGTTGAGAGTAAGCTCCTTTTTGGGCCGGACGAACTCAGCCACAGACGCGTTGTTTGCTCCTGTTGTACCGAAAGCCCCGCTGCGTGCGAGCTTGCCAGCACGTGCACATCCTCTAATGCGACGCGCATACACTCAAGCCCCAACGTTTCAACCTCTATCCCATTTCGCGAGTCGCCGTAGTCCATCACCTTGACCTACGCTCTTTCGAACGGCGTGTGGTTTGTCTGCTTTGCAACAGCGAGATCCTGCGGAACCTAAGTTCAGTGAATGTGAACTCTTCACCCGCCGGGTTCTGCCGTACTTCCCTCGAGCTGTCCTTCTAACTTGATCCTCCATCTTCAGCTCTGCTTGATGAAGTGAGGATGGGCCCGCGGTACAACGTCCAGATCCCCGGTGCTTGCGTTGTCCCGAAGGCAATGGTCGACGGATGCACAAGGGCGGACGATCAATCCCTTGCTCTGCTCAAAGTTCCCACCTCAGACCAGGATGACCGCTCACACATGGTCGCACTGTGCTCACTCACTGTGGCGGAAGCTCTCAATACGACATCATTTGTCACGCTCCCCGTCTACACAGCACGGGCGAGGACATATGTCGCGAAGACGGAGAGTAGCGGCTTGGGTGTGTTTGCGAGCACGGACGTTGCCCGTGGTGAGCTCCTCTTCCGCGAGCATCCACTCCTGGTATACCCCCAGATGGTCCCGTTCCACAGTTTCCGGCCTCCGGGCGAACAGTACCCCGAGCTAGACGATGCCATCTCCAAATTGTCCGCCACGGACCGCCAGGCGTTCTTCAACCTCGCCAATAGCTGCCCCTATGAATCCTCGCCGACGAAAGGGATCATCGACACCAATGCGGTACACATCGGCCTCCTGTCAGGCTCCCAAGCAGAATACGCGGCGGTCTGCAAGCAGCTCTCAAGGGTCAACCATAGGTGCGTTTGTCCTCCTGACCTCCCGTCTTCCCCCACCAACCTCTGCGTGCTACGTGCAGTTGCTCCCCCAACGGCCACTACCACTTCTGCCCCTCCTCCCTCTCGCTCGAACTGCGCGCTCTTCAGCCCATCTCCGCCCACACCGAAGTGACGATCTCCTACGTGGACCCCACGCTCCCCCGTGCCGCACGTCTCGCCGCCCTCGCTTCATACGCCTTCACGTGCACATGCCCTTCCTGCTCCCTTCCCGAGTCCGTTTCACCCGAGTCCGACGCCCGCCGTGCGTTCCTCGCCCGGACAGTCACGGACGACGCTGCCCTCTCAAGATGGGCCCGCGATCCCTCGCTACCAGACGCCATGGGCGCGCTCGCCGACCGTGCATACGTGCGCGCGTGCGAAGCCGAAGGCGGGCTCTTCATTGAAGACGCGTGGACGGCACCGATCGCGCGGCTTGTGAAGGCCTGCTGCGCACTCGAAGACGCTCCTGGGGCGAGGGAGTGGGCAAGACGGGGACGCGAGTTGAGCCTGGCATTCACGGGCGAAGACGGGGGGTGGGCGGAGGTGGAGAGGTGGCCAGAGAGGACGGGGTGGTGGGGGTTGAGGAGGCGGGCGAAGGAGGCTGCGGCGACGGCGGCGCTGTGACCAGGGCTAGACTATGGGGTGATCGCAGGGGATGGTGGTGGGTGCCTCACGAATGCTGGATATCGAGATTCATCTCGAGCTGACGCTCATATGCGATGCAGCACTGGCTTTATCTGTTCCATTGTGGCCTCGGTATGGCTTTCGAAGACTCATCTCCCGAGCCAGAAGACGATATCCCCTGAATCGCACAGCAAACGTGCGAGCACGGCGCGAAGATCGTTATCGCCGCCCTGACCTCGTCGATTTCGCACGTCGAATGTGGGTCTGCTCCGCGCCCGGTTCACAACGCATCCACAAAGGAAACACCGCTCGCCGTACTCGGGTTCCAGCTACCAACGTCACCGCGCCACCAGCTCCTCCCAGAACTGAGACCCCATCCGCCGTCGCCGTATGCGGATCCACAGCATCAAGCCCACTACCTGCCTTTTCGCCGACATTCGTCGCCCCCTTCACTGTGGGATCCACATACAGAGCTCGTGCTGACCAATCTGAGATCATCGCCGACGAAAGGAAACGAACTCTGAGCTACGAGACCTCGCCCCGTCCACGGCGCGCGCCTCGTGTCCAGCTGCTCCCTGGGTGGGTGGCCCGAGCGCTCCTCTGGGGGTACTAGAACCCACCCGCCGCGACCGCAGCATCCATCCCTCCTCCCTCCTCCCCGCCGCGCCACTATGCCTACAACCGTCATCCGCACCCGGACGACGACCCAGACGAGCGCGGCGGCCCCTGCCGAGGTCAGTGCGCTGGTTTTTTATTGCACACAAACACGCAATCTGACGCACACCTCGCGGAAACAGCGCTTTCCAGGCCAAGGCAACACGCTCCGCGCGCCCATGCACGCCCCCGCCCCTCAGTACTACGCCCAGTACTACCAATACCCGCACCAACAGTACCAGCAATACCAGCCGCAACAGCCCGAGCGGCGTCACGAGCCAGAAGCGTACCGCTCCACCCACTCGCACTCCAACCCCAATCCTCGTGCGTCCCGCCACGCGACGCCCCCGCCGGCATTCGCGCCCGGGCTCGCTCCCCCTCCATCCGTCCGCTCTCGCCGCGAACGCGACCGCGACCGCGACCGCGACCGCGACCGCGAACGGGACAGATACGACAGCTACGGCCGCAGCGCCCGCGCGCCTCCCCCAGCCTCGCTCCCACCGCCACCTCCGTCCCAAGCCCAAGCCCAGTTCCGCCCAGAGCACCTCACGAACAGCGCCCACACACACCGCCGGCGCGAGTCCCAGCCTCAGCTCGCACCCCTGCAGCCGCCACTCGCTCGCCCGACGCCCGCACACGCACCCGGATCCCAACAACCGCAACCGCAGCCCCAATTTCAACCCCACTCCCAGTCCCACTCTCCACCGCGCTTCCCCGGCCACGGCCAGACCTTGGGCGGGGGCGGCGCGATCGGCAGCGGGCGGTACCGCGAGTCCGTGCGCCCCGCCCCCGCCCCAGCACCCGCGCAGGCGCGGTACGAGTCGCAGGCGGACCGCGCGGAGCGGATGAAGCAGCGGGACAAGGAGCGCGAGCGCGAGATCGCGCGGGAGAAGGCGCTGGAGCGCGAGCGCGAGGAGCTCCGGCGGCGCGACCGGGAGAGGGAGAGGGAGAGGGCCTCGAGGGAGCAGCAGCAACAGCAACAACAGCAGAGGGAGAGGCATGTGCGCCCACACCACAGGCCACCGGTGACGCAACACAGCCAGGTGCGCGTTTTGGCCGCGTTCGGCGTTCCCAGCTGGGGACGTTCGTCGATTATAACATAAATAACTGACGTTCGGACCTGTCTGCAGATCCGCGACCGCAGCGCCCCGCGCCCGTCGACGCCCGCGCCGCGCTGGATGTCGAACGCGGGCCCGTACCCTGCGCCCGGGGCGGCGGCGGCGGCCCCGATTTCCGTCGGAGGGAGCGGCAGGCGGCACGGATGATCGATGTGGGTGAACGTTGAACGTCCACAAGCCCGTCTCTGAAGATTCGAAAAATTTTCTTCGGGCTTTCGGTGGTTGGGAGCAACTACTGGGTGCCATTTGAAGGTGAAAATGGCGGCCCCTCCCATTTGTTCTCGGTATGGTTGTCTGTCCGTTGCCGTTGCCGTTGTCCTTGTACTTTTTCCGTTGTCGCGATGTCGATCTCGATTTCGTTCTCTCCCTCTCCCGTTCGTTCCGTCGATGTATCCTACCCCCGTCTGCGACTCGTAATCCATGCGCCTTCTTCTCGTCCAGCAGTCGACTGCTCGATCCTTGGATCTCATTCTCACACACACGTAGAGTGATCAGGGCGGTGGGTCGGAGCTATCCAAGATTGAGCAAGATCGAGGGCAGTACGGTATGGCGGCGGTAGCGATAGTAGTAAGAGATACGTACGGGGCAGGCGAGGACAGCGTCCAATGAGGCAGGGCAGATGTACAACGAGGTGCGGGTGCGGGTGCGGGTGCGGGTGCTACGGTCAGAAGAGGGAACAACGAGGAGAGAACAGGAATGGGGTAGTGGATAACAGAGAGACAGAGACAGAATAAGAGATAGAGAGAGACTGCACTAGGACTACAGCGAATCGCACGTAGGGAGGGGACAGCGGTGGAGAAGACCGGGTTTCGAAACGACAAGAGGCAAGCGAATAAACAACAAGACCAACGTACGCGCGCGCGCGGCGCCACCCTCCACCCCCACTCCCTCCAGCTCCTCTCGCCGATCCCGCCTGCACGGTGGCGTCCATCGCGGTCGTCCGCAAAGTTGCCGCGTCGGCGGTCGCACGGCCGGTCGAGCTTGCTACGCTTGACGCCGCGCTTGAACGGACGGCCTAGTACGTCTTCGCCCCACCCGAGACGTCCTCCATCTCGTGGTAGTCGTACGGCGCTAACCTCACACGTTCCTCGTCTAAGTCATCCCCAGTTTCGCGGATCGGCGCGCGGCCCACTGAGAGAGAAAGAGGGGAGGGGGGGGGGAGTGGTCGTGAAATCCCGTTACTCACCCTGGTGCTGCGCTCTCGCCGGCCCAGGCGCCCGCGGCGACGAGCGGATGTTCGTCTGCGACGTCTGCGCGGACATGCTCGTGACCGAGCGCGCGTACGGGCGCGGAGAGACGCCGAAGGCCTCGCCAAAGTCCATCTTCGCGTACGTCGACCCGTCCGGGTTCGTGAGCTGGACGCGGGGGCCGTGCGTGCCCGGCTTGCCGCGCCAGTAGTCGCCGAAGAACTTGATCGAGCCCCAGATCTCTCTCGCGAAGTCCGCTGCGAGGGCAGTGGGTGGGGAGTCAGCGCGCGGCAGGACGGGAAGGAGCAGGAAAGTGGACGCACAGTAGTTGATGCTGTCCCAGAGCGGGCGCCAGACGCCAGTCTTGGGTCGACCAGGGATGACGTACTCCTTCCAGGTGTATGCGTAGAGCATGAACGCGGAGAAGACCACCATCTGCGTGGGGGTTGAGGGTGCAGGGACTTAGCACGGCCAGCTCGAATGGGGAGGAAGGGCCAACGGGGGACGCGGGATAGAAGAGCTGGATGCGTACCTCGATACAGATCGCCAGGGCATTAAGACCGTCGGCGACGTTCGTCTCCGTCCAGTACTGCGTGCCGTGGATCACCCGGCCCTCGAGTGCGGAGAACTACGTAACAGCGTTCGTCGGTCAGAACCGCACACGACAGAGAGAAGAGCAACATACGACGAGGGACTGGTAGAAGGTGAACATGACGATGAGCTTGATGGCGAGGAACTTGGACAGCGGCTTGCGGCCGACAAGCTCGTCTTTCGTAAGCCCGTAGAAGATGAGCAGACCGTAGAGCGCGATGCTGCGGATTGGAGGGCAGGTTGGTCACACGAATGCTGAGGGATCAGAGCAAGGACTCACGTTATCGTGAAGAAGTCTATGACGCTGATGTATGCGTTCGCAGTCTTGAGGCTCCAGGGTCCGGACTCGCACAGCACACCATAGTGCTGGCAGATGATGCCGGCAATGGAGAGAACTGCGGTGCGAGTTGGGTAGAGTGCATACACGCAGGATGTAGGAGAGCGTACTGGGGCGGAGGATAATGTACTGCATTACAGACCACTTGACAGTATACATGAAGTACGCCTGTAGACAACGTTCGGTCAGGGAGCGCGAACACATGCCAGTGAGTGGTGCATATACGCACTTTTGTGGGCCGGTACCGCCAGCAGCAGAAGGGAATGGGGAGGGCGTGCTTGTCCTTGCGAGTCATCGCATTGTCAACGTCGTGTTCCGCGGCGGTTGCGGCAACATATTCAATGAGGAGAAGGCTTGCGTGGTGAACAGATATGAGATAGAGCAAGCATGAGGGGGAGGAAGGACGTACAGGAAGGCACTGAGGGTGACGGACTGGGAAATGACGGGATGAGCACACCATGCATGATAAGAGCAAGGAAGTGGGAAGGGGGAATCTTGCACGGAGACGGGGAGAATACAGAAATGATGCTCGCCTCATAGACTGCGGTGCAGAAAACGGATTAGACGTGAAGCGACAAAGAAAAAAGAGAAGGCACGGACCAACTTCAATGAGCTCATAGTAGGTGTAACTCCGGAAGAAGCGGTAGGAGAAGAAGGAGATGATGGCGTAGACGGCAGGCATGTACAATATTCGTATGCTGTGCCGCATAGAGTGAGCATCCCTGCCAAGGCGCAGATCGGACACACGCACATTTGTCGCTGCTCCCCGCGATTGGTGTAGTTGCTAAGCGCATACAGTCAGCGTGTCTCCGGAGCGGACGAGTGCAGTTGAGCTCACCGGCAGTGGAAGGCGACATTGATGGTGGTGAGGAGGACGGTCTGAGAAGAGGCAGAACACGTCCGATAAACGTTAGCCAAGAAATGACGGAGAGGGGGACGTACGATTGCGGCGCACACGCCGGCGATGAGCCATCCTATCCGGTGGGCGTCCCAATGGATGCCGTTCTCGTCCCAGAAGTCAGACTGATCGATGGCCTGCTGGTTGTCGGACGGGCAGAGGGTGGAGTTGACCATCGCGGAGCCCGGAGGGGAGGAATGCTCGGGGAGGAGGACGCCAAGCGAGGGCGGCGCGGGAAGGCACAGCAGAGGGTGATGAACAAGGAGGCCAAGCGGAAGAGAGGGCGAAGGGGGAAGGAGTGTCTTTTAAGGCGTGCGCCGAGGAGCCGCTCAGCAGCACGAGATGGGGAGAGGAGAAGGATGTGGCCGTGCGTTCGGTGCGCTGCGGAGAACCGGACTGGGAGACAAGCTTCCCGGCGGTCGCACTGCGGACTCGGGCGCTTGTCCTCCCTCCGACGGACCCCGAACGCGTGCGGCGGTGTCGAGGGCGACGACCACCTGCGTCGGGGGCCCAGAGCTGGCGGTAAAACGTTGTGCTCTGTTGTTCAGACTGTTTTTTGCTCCTCACCATTGCACATCCACACGGACCGATACAGAACAACAGCGGAGCGCGTGCTCCGCCTCGGTCATCTTCCATTACAGCCTATCGGCCTCGAGGAATTCGTGCTGCAGCGTCTCCTTCGCCGAACGCCGTGTTGACTCGGTTAGGTCGCGTCATATCCAACCTCTGCTCCCACAGTGCCTTCCTGTGTTTACCCATTCGCAAAGTTTGGCTCCAGGCTAGTGAGTGGCCTCTCCGGTGCGCTCGACTTGCGTCGCCTGTACTGATTGGAGTGCCGATTGTTGTATTCTGGGTTGCTCACGTTCAGAACCCTCGGCCGAGGGTGCTACCATTGCGCCCGTCCTCGCAATCTGAGTGGGGCCGGTCGACCGTCGGACAGGGTCGGACAGGTCCGCCTGGTTTGTGCCCTATTCGCAGAGCATGAAGCCAACAGCATTATTCGCGCAGAGAGTGCGAGAGGAACTTATCGGTAACTCGAGCGGGCGCTCGCGGAACCGAATCTCTGCTTACCGCGGTACCGGGCGCCTTGGGCAAACATACTCTTATGTTCGTACCACCATCATCTCCTCTCAGGACTCAAGGTACCATCTGCTTGCACGATATCCTCGTTTCTGCCAACGCTTCAGAATATGTGTTGCTCACACCCATTGCCGTCTTTTCCCAGCCCGTTACCGCCTCTTCCTTTTGCCCGTAATCGCTGCATACATGCGGTCATTATACTCTGTATGCACACATTAGTCGCAGTCTCGTAGACCTCTCCCATCAACCGAGCGGTCTTATAAAGTTGTATGTGCGTCATCATCTCAGTGAGTCCAAGCATCAGTAACTGAACCAGTCAGTGCTCACCACAACTCCCTAGTCGCGTACTTCGGTCTCCCTCATTCGATCGTCACATCGTAATGTCCCGAACAGACCTCGTCAAGGCTCATCGACCCATCGAGACCGCGCCAGCCCGACCAGAGGGTACATGCCCGCCGCCGTGTCAGCCTCCTCCAAGTGTATAACTGCGTCGCGCGACGGACTGCCATCTCCAGTTTTCCCTCCTGCTCTCGACGTCCGCCATGACTCTCCTCGACCGCTTTCGCCCCACCTCCTTCCCTCGGCGCTATCCCCGATGGATGGTCGGCCGGCCGCTGCTCATCGGCTCGTCCGCCCTCGCCTCTCTCGGGGACGCCATGTTCGGCTACAGCCAAGGCGTCATTGGCTCCCTCCAGGTCCAGCCACCGTTCATCCGCCGCTTCTTCGGGAGCAACGTCACACTCGAGCAGATCCAAGCCGGCAACAATGGGGTCGATCCCATGGTCCAAGGTCGGTCCCGCACACACTTCTTCCGACGCGAGGCTGACCCCGCCCAGCGATCACGGTCTCCTGCCTGAACATCACGGCGTTCATGTCCTCGCTCTTCGCCGCCTACCTCTGCGACGTTCTCGGCCGACGCAGCGCGATCCGCATTGGAGGCATCATCTACTTCGTCGCCGCCATCTTCCAGGTCGTCGCCCCCACCCTCGCCTGGCTCATCTTTGGCCGCTCCCTCCAGGGCGTCGGCGTCGGCATCCTGTCCATGACCGTGCCCATCCTCCAGTGTGAGATCGCGCCGGGCCACGCGCGCGGGATGTTCATCTCGATCGAGTACATCGCGCTCAACGCCGGCTACGCGCTCTCCACCTGGGTCGGTTTCGCGTTCTTCTTTTCGCTTCCCTCCGAGATGGCCTGGCGCGGCCCGTACATCATCCAGGCCGTCTTCGCCCTCGTCCTCATCCTCTGGTCCTTCATCCTCCCGGAAACGCCGCGCTTTCTGATCAAGAACGGCTTCTCGGACGAGGGCCTCCAGGTGCTCGCGGACCTGCACGCCGCGGGCGACGTCGACGCCCCGCACGTGCGCGCGACGCACGCGTCCATCGTCGCTGCCACCAAGGCCGAGGCCGCCACTGGCGACGCGTCCTGGCGCGAGCTCTTCCGCGTCTACGGCGCGCGCACGCTCGTCGGCGTCTCCTGCCAGGTCTTCGCGCAGTGCAACGGCATCAACGCGATCCTCTACTTCCTCCCCGAGAACCTCGCCCGCGCGGGCTTCTCGATCGAGCGCTCGCTCCTCTACGCCGCCGCCTCCGCGCTGCTCTTCTGCACGGGCACGATCCCGACCATGTTCGGCATCGACCGGCTCGGGCGCCGCCCGTTCCTCGTCGTCGGCAGCGCCGGGCTCGCGGCCGGACTCGCGGTAGTCGGCGGGCTGCAGTACTACGTCGACGGGCTCCCGCTGGGCCCCGCGCGGCTCCCGGGCGCGAACGGGATCTTCGCCGCCGTCTGCGTCTACCTCTGGTTCTACGCCGCGACGTAAGTCTCCCATCGTCCCTCCACTACACGTGCGCACAGCTGACCGCGCGCACACAGCTGGGGCCCGGGCCCGTGGCTGCTCGGCGCGGAGATCTTCCCGATGCGCGCGCGCGCGAAGGGCATGGCGCTCTCGAACACCGCGAACTGGTTGTGCAACTTCGGGGTCGCGTTCGCGACGCCGCCGCTGTTCGCCGCGCTCGGCGCCGGCTTCTACTTCGTCCTCGCCGGCGCGTGCGTCGTCTCCGGCGTCTTCGTCTTCTTCGTCTACCCCGAGACCGCGCACAAGACGCTCGAGGAGCTCGGGGAGGCGTTCGGCACGCGCGGGGCGGGGCGCGCGGGTGCAGCGGGCGGGGAAGGGAGCGGGGAGGAGGAGGGGAAGGAGCTCGTGCCGGTGCGGCGAGGGGTGTTGCTCGAGCGCAGGCCGACGCCGTATGCGCCGCCGCCGTGCGGGGCGGCGTCGTTGAGGGTCCCGGCGAGCGATGGGCGGAGCGAGTCGAGCAGTTCGGATGGGTCGGACAAGGCGATGCAGATGAGTGTGTGCTTCGAGGATTCGAAGGAGTAGGCATGCGAGGTATCCTTGGGTTTTACCATGTTCGGGTATATGTATCGGTGGTGGTGTTTTTTGGGCGTATGGATGTCAACTACAGCGTTGTCTCCTAGGTGCGGCAGCACCCAGTGCCCAGGGAGATAAGATCGGGAAGCCAATGGCGTCTGAATCTAACAACCGCAAACAAACGACAAAGCCCGTGCGCTGACGAGCGATCGGTCTCTTTCCCGACCGCCACCGCCCCCGATGGCGGACCCGGGCTCGACGCTGAACGTGCCGTACGACATCGTCGTGATCGTCGTCCACGCGCTCGCCAAGGACCTCTCCGGCTTCGAGCCCACCGTCTACGCCGCCCTCCGCACCCTCTGCCTCGTCAACCGCGAGTGGTGCGCGCTCGCCCGCCCCCACCTCTACTCCTACGTCTGGCTCGCCAAGCTCCGCAACCACATCCTCTTCTGCCGCACCGTCACCGCCGCCCCCCACCTCGGCGCCCTCGTCCGCGACCTCAAGTCGTACATCTTCCTCCGCGGGTCCGACGGCTGGCGCGCGGGCACCACCGCGCTCGGCGGGCCCTTCGCCCCGCCGATGACGCGCGCCGCGGCGGAGGCGCTCACGAACCTGCGCGCGCTCGCGTTCGCGTCCGACGCCGCGGTGGTGACCGTCCCGCAGCCGCTGCTCGCGGCGATGGCGCACTGCGCGCGGTGCGCGCGCCTCCGCGCGCTCTCGCTCTCCGGCTTCAGCTTCATGTCCTTCGCGCTCCTTCGCGACTTCGTGCAGGGGTTCCGCGGGGTCGCGACGCTGCGGGTTCGGCGCTGCGACTGGCTCCCGAACCGGATCGCGCCGCCGGTGCCGGCGCACGCCCCGGTGGAGAGCGTGCGGAGCGTGGACGTGAGTGCCCTTGCTTTCTTTCGACCGCGTCCCGGTGGGGTCTTCACGCACGGGGCACACAGATCCACGCGATGGCGACGACGGCCAACAGCCTGCTCAATCTCACCGGGCCCGCCGTGACGGAGCTGAAGCTGTGGTGCAGGGGCATGTCCGGCGGCCCGGACACCTGTTCAGGTTCGTCGGGACTCGGGGGCACGGCAGCAGGCGTACACGCGCTCAGATCCTCGAACCCCAGCGATCCGACGGTACAGCGCGCTCCGGAGCATAGAGCTCACCTACGACGGCGCTGAAGTGCACTGGATGATCGACGCGCTCGGCAATGTGTCCTCGCCCGCCGTGTCCCAGGTCGTGATCAATCACGTCCTCAGACGTCTGACTCCGTCGTCCGGGTCGGTGGCGCGCGAGTACACCGAGAGGCTCGACCACCTGCTTTGCGAACCGCGCTTCCTCGGGCTCCAGCGGGTGGTGGTGCGGGTGTACCTTCCCGTGCTGCACGATGGGGAGGTGTGGATGAAGCTGGTCGTCGATGCGTTCCCCCAGTGCCAGGCCCGCGGCATTTTGATCTCGTCGGTGCATGAAGGTGCGGCACGCCTTGCTGTTACTACGTATCACTGCAGGACTGACGCAGGCGGTCTGATACAGGCGATCCGGACGAGACGCGAAATGTGTGACACTTACTGACAATGCCCATATTCTCCATGCTTTCGCTCTTGGACACGACTGTATGCTGACCGACCTCTTATTGAATTGACCTCGATGACGCGCGACTGGGACGGAACACGGATCATACTCGCGATACATCAAGATCCGAACCTTGTCTACTGCGTCAGACTTAAGAGCCACTTCAACCCATTTCGCATCTCCTCATGCACTTGATGCGTACATCGCAAGGTGGGACACCAGTAGTGACTGGCATGGACGAGACCGTTGTGCCTATGTGCAACACGAGTCAGAGGGTTGTATCGTCAAGAGGGAAGAAGTAGTGCACGCACTGAACAAGTTTCGTCGGAACGCCAGCTTCCCGGAGGACGCGTTCGTACAGGATCCCTTCGTCTCTGAGTGGATCGCACTCCATGACCTGGATGAACGCCGCAGGAAGACCCCCTTTCGAAGGCGCGAGTAATGGCGACATTCGCAGGTCCGTTGGAGGTTTAGGGTCATAGATTTCTGAAAGGTGTTTCAACAACGGCTTAGACGCGAGGTGTTCAATGGGGCGACATACTGTGGGCCGCAAAAACGCCTGCCTTAGACAGGATCGGCGTATCGGTGAATTCCTCCAGAGACTTCAACTCGGCATCGAACCTGTTTCGCTTTCTTAGGACGTCCAACACGTCCAACGCGCGAGAAGACGTACACTTCCGGCCGGCAGTCGGGATGACACACTGCAGCTTCGCGTAGATACTGCCCGGTTAAGCGCTTTCCCGCCAAGAATGGATCGTCTCGCGCCTTGAGAGCGACCGCGGCAGCGAGGTTCCCTCCCGCCGAGTCTCCCCCGACGATGAACCCCTTGCTGAGCGATATTCGAAGGGCCGAGGCGTGGTTCGCGACCTGAGCAGATGAGGCTCAGAGCCTTCTGGAGAAGCAAAAGCGGACTTACCCAGTCGAGGGCGGCGTAACAGTCGTTGAACGCGTAAGGGAATGTGTGCTCCGGGGCACAGCTGGGGGATGTCGGACGCTCAAAAGCCGGATCGTGCATGTCATGGGGAGAGTGCTCACCGATATTCCACACTGACGATCACGACTTGCAGCTCAACGCACAGCAAGCGCAAAGGGAAGTCGTCTTGTTCGACATCTCCAGTGACCCACCCTGGGAACACGGTGAAAAACGAGACGCGGACATGTGCATGACACATACCTCCGCCGTGGAACCACAGGAAGACCGGGTACATCGCGTCATCACTCCCAGTCGGCGCCAGCAGCCTGACCTTGATCTCGCTGTGTTCCACCGGGACGGATTCGTCTTTGACCGTATACAGCGAGCCTGCCAATCGCGTTCGCGTCATCTCCACAGCCGCGCCGAAAGGAATAGCGCGAAGCGCGATCGGCGTAAAACAGTGTACGTACCGTCTGGCAGACGCGCCTCGTGGAACTTGAAGAACTCGACCAACGTCTCTCTGTCGACCTGGCGCGCGTGCTCGGCAGACGACATGCCCTCAGGGACGGGCTGAGAGTTCGTGATGCGCCGGTGGGTGGTCAGAGCTGCTTCGAGTTCTGGGTCGAGCTTGTAGACCATCGTGTGCTTCCGGGGCTATCGCGCAGAGATCTGGCTCGGGAGAAGGGATCGCAGGGACCGTGATCAGCGCGAGAGCGAAGGCAGGCCTCGGGTTGCCTCCCTCGCCGTCGCTCCTGTCCTACGCCTGCTGTGGAGTGTTCGCACGACGGCGCGTGGGGTGTGCCTCTGCCCGTACGCGGCCCGCATGAAGACGGGCAGTGGTCACATGTTGAAGATTGCGAGCTGGAGGTCGGCAATGGCGTCACTCTGGGCCATCCAAGCAACGGTTGCGTAGGGAGTTCTTCTGTTTGGTATCGATCTCAGCTTCTCATGCCGTGCGGCGATTGAGGAGTAGACTGACCTTAGTGTCTGAATATTTGTCGGTTTGAGTCAGTAGTGCATCGATACAAGTGAGACGGTGGGGCAGTGAGCCTGGTCAACATGAAACAACGGACCCAGTGGCGAACGAGCTGTTGAGTTCGGAACTCCGAATCTTCCACGGCGCTTAAACCATTTGACCCCGTGACCGCTGTGGCGCGTAGCCCAAGTCTCAAAGATTACGAGTATACCACCTTCCTCCACTCTTGGCAATTATCCTGCGCAGACACAATATCTATTCTCGCCTTTACTCTCTACAAGCTCGCAAGCATGGATTCCAAAACTACCTTGGGCTTCACAAGCAATACTACGCGTCTTGCGTTTCGCCCCTTCGCACCATCCTCAATCTCGCGCAGCAGCCCCAAAGACGTGGTGCATAGCACAGTCTGCCTCCCAACTTCCTGCTCCTCTCTCGCCCTCTTCCTCAGATCCGCCCAGTCGTCCGTCATTTCTTTATAGTCAAAGTCCTTCCCGTGAGTGACGGAGACCAACGACATGTGTCGCGAGACTACCTCCTCACCCACCACTCGTCGGAAGTCGAACGCGGTCCGGATGAAGTCGCGCAGCGCGCCCGCGTGAGCGGCTTGAAGCTCCCTGTGAAGTTCTTCGGTGGAATCGGAGACTCCGCAAGCGCGGAGGACGATCGCGAGTTGCGTGGTGAGCTCTTCCTCATTCCTTTGGCACAGCCGGTCCTCGGGCTTCCGGAGCGCGCGAATATGGGTGCGGCAGAGGATGCGCCATTGCGCGGAAATGGGTTGTGGCTCTGCTCTAGTGTCGGCGATGTGCGTGCGGGATGGTATGGGCGTGAGGTCACGTACCATGGGCTCTTATGCTCTGGTATACTTCCTCGTAAGCCTTCTGCGTCCCCCTATCCCACAAGTCCCAGGCGAGGGAGAGCCTGTGAGCATATGCGACCATGATGGCTTGTATGCCGACTTGGACGAGGAAGGGTTCGCCATCATGTTTTGCCCGGCGCAGCGTGTCGACGAAGGTCTTCGAGAGTAGACCTCCCTTCACTAGGGTTTCGCACGCCTGGGCAACTCCGTCCTTCTCCCCCGCACGACGGTCCTGATGTGCGTCCGCAATTGCCGCGGCAGTCTGATACGCGAGTGCATTGAGCGTGGCTACGAGTGGGATGACGTCGCTGTCGGCGATATTGTCCGCTCTGTGGAGGAACACCCGGGCAGCTTGGAGATCGACGGTGCGTGCCTCGAGGAGGGCGGTCATCTTGTCCATCTGGTCTTGTTTAGCGGCGAGGGCGCGTTCGAAACCCTGAACCTGGGCGCGCAAGTGTTGGTTCTCGCATTGAAGGCATTGGCAAGGAGAGTTTGTAGGTGAGGAGGGGTCCGGAGCACGGGATTGTCCACCCCCGTCGCCGTTGAACCAGTTCATGGTGGGCGATGATGGGAGCCAGAACGGATGGTCGATGGGGTGAGGGGACTAAGATCTGCGCCCACTGTATATCTGCAGCGTGGATTCATATCCGAATTTTACCGCAGCAGGTCGTGTTGAGAGGTTGCCACTTTTAGTCATTACCTCTCCACAGAGGTAATGTCTACCTCCGCTTCTTACCGCAGGCTCAGACGCTCTTCTACCGCAGTACAGTCTTCAAGCTTCAAGAAAGGCGCAACCGTTCTCTCCCACCCGCAACCTACCCTCTCCCGACCACCATCTTCATCTCTCCACTGCGAATATCCTTCGAAATATGCCTGCCCTGAGACCCTACAGCGGCCAAGTCCGTAAACTGGTCATGGGTATAGACATCGGTACATCCCACTCCGGCGTCGCATACGCACTCCTGGAGCCCGGAGAGATTCCTGAGATCCGCAGTGTAACGCGGTATGTCGCTACTGTCGATTGTAGTCGGATTCGTGGCCACTCATCCATATTTCCCCGTGTGCAGCTTCCCGGGTCACGAAGCCTCGCCGGGGGACTGCAAAATCCCTTCAATCCTCTATTATACTCCAGGCGGGTCTGTAGCGTATGCCGGCGCTGAAGCCGTAGCTCCTGGGGTAGATCTGAAAGCAGATGATGAGGGTCTGATCTTCGTCGAGTGGTGCGTTCCCATCTGCTGCTCAACGTTCAAGTCCCGACCATATGTGTATTGCGCCGTTTAGGTTTAAACTCCACATGATTCCGGAGCGCCTCCAGTCGGGTGAAATCAAGAAGCGCGACCTCCCGTCCCTTCCTCCGGGCAAGAGCGTCGTTTCTGTCTTCGCTGATTTCCTTGCGTATCTCTTCTCGTGCGCGCGGCAGTACATTCGCGAGACGCATGCGAACGGTAAGCGCTTATGGGAATCACTCGAAGACGACATCGAGTTCGAGCTGTCGCACCCTAATGGGTGGGAAGGGATGCAGCAGAGCAAGATGCGCCAAGCGGCGATCATGGGTGGACTGGTCCCGAACACGGTCGAAGGTCGCGGACGCGTGCACTTCGTTACTGAGGGCGAAGCGAGCCTCCATTTCTGCGTACAAAGTGGATTGACGACCGACTCCATGCAGGTATGCTTGATCGTATCATTGGATCACGCAGCTGACGGCGCGGTTAGGACGGCCAAAGTGTTATGATCGTTGATCTCGGAGGAGGAACGGTTGATATCAGCAGCTACGGTTTCGTATCTAAGTCACCACTCGTCGTCGAAGAAGTTGCTGCTCCAGAGTGTTTGTGGTTCTGCCTTAATATCCATTCATACCCTACACTCATTCATATTTCAATGCAGGTATCCTACAGGGCTCCACTCGTATCAACGCACGGGCCGCGATATATTTGAAAGGTGGAACTAGCACTCACAAATCTTCTGTATGCTTATTCTAGCTTTATACAGCGCTGCTGAAAAACTCGCCATATGGGGAAGACGACTACATTAAGTTGATGCTTGAAAGCTTCGAGATGTCGACGAAGAGAGTGTTCAAAGATGAAAATCAGTCGTCCTATGTCAAATTCGGGACTCCGTTCTGTAGCGACCCGCAGGTGAAGATTCGTCGCGGGCAACTGACGCTTACTGGGTACATCTCGTCTTAAAGTGTAGATGGTCGCATTCCTGACCGCGATATCCAGCGACGTTATGCGGTCATTGTTCCAGCCATCACTAGATTCCATTATCTCCGCGATCAAGAAGCAACTTCGAGACGCCACTAAACCCCCAAGTGTGCGCAGTCTCACCCTTCCTACAATAATAAAAGCGTATCTTGACATAGTTGCTCACAGACAGTGTTTCTCGTTGGTGGATTCGCAGCCAACCCTTGGTTATACTCTGCGCTAGATAACCGGCTGCAAACTCTCGGCCTCTCGCTCTGTCGCCCGGACTCGCATACGTACGCCTCCTACTTTCACTCGTGGGTTAAGTTCGCATTAACATGCATTCTTCTGAACAGAGCCAAAGCGGTGTCAACAGGAGCCGTGTGCTTCTTCCTCGAACACTTCGTGTCTGCACGCGTCATGAAGATGACTTATGGCGCACATGTCATTCTCCACTATGATCCGGAGGATTCAGAGCACTTCACGCGCAGGGCTAATAGGTATACTGACGCATCAGGAGATATTTGTGTACCCTGTGGCTTTTCATCTATCTTGAAGCGAGTAAGTACCAAGTTCCGAACACCTTTGACACTGGGATTCAAATTTTCGCATGCGATATTCATCCATGTTGCAGGGGTCACGCATACGAGAGACGGAGGAGTTTTATCACAAATACAGTCGTGTAGCGCACACGTCGAGCGCGCTCGACAGCATCACGACCAAGGTCATCTGTTACAGCGGACCTGACAGCGACCCAGCCTGGTTGGACATCGATACTCGTGAATCATGTCATCTAATGCACATTCCTTTCGGCTGCTGATCGTGTTCCTTCCGTGCAGATCTGTTTCAACCGGTATGCTGTATCAGCGCCGACACGTCGTGTGTCAAGCGAAAGGCGCAGCTTGGAGTCAATGGAGAAGTTTACTACAAGCAATCCTACGATGTTGTTCTGCTCTGCGGGCTTACAGAGCTTGAAGCCCAGATCAGGTGGCGGGAAAATGTGAGTCCAATCGCCTTTTCAGTGGGTGTTAGCTCATGTATTTCCGCATGTTTCCCGCTCTGAATCCACCAGGGGAAGGAGAGACGGTAGGTGGTCCTCTGCACTGAACCAAGTGGTCATCTAACGACCAGTCGTTTAGGGGCCCTGCCAGGATCATTTATGAGGACGATTAAGTCTGTATGTCCCGTGTCATGCAATCCCGATGAGACGTCATGGTTGAATATAACGGTTGAAGGCCACGTACTAAATGCTACGATGTCGATGTTCGTGTGCAACCCGTGTGAGATACCACATCAACACATCTTCACGGTGATACGCACACCGCTGCAAGCGTCGCTGATGACGTCACCAGTCACTTCTCCCATCTCCACGCTGGACGGCACCGTCCTGCAGATCGTCCGCACTCTGAACTTCGAGATCTCAGAGGCCGCGGCGCCCAGGGTCACGAACACCTTCCGCGTCGCTGAGAATCCGGAGCCGTTGAAGGTCGCCGCCGCGTTCGAACGCGCGCGAGAGGCTGTCGGCCCCGTCATTGCCGAGCTCCTCGAGTCCATCCACCACCGGGAAGATCCCATCCCGATATACATCGTGACAGCAAGGCGGACGTCGTGGCGTTTGTCGCTGAGATTGTCAGATTGTGGGAGTTCCAACCCCCGAGCCAGTCCGTCTTCGCTGGGGCTTACAGGGAACTCTGGCGCTCAGGTACGTATCTCCTGGCAAAGGAATCCACGGCGCACCGCCCCCGCAGAGTCCCAGCGGGCCGTGGCCGAGTGGCGCCCTCGCGCGCGCAAGCAAGTACCGTACTAGAAGCTCAAGCTCTAAAATGAGCGCGACCTCGCCGGCGACTTCGCCGCCCAGCTCGCCGAGCGTGTCGCGGACGGTGAACTGCTCACGCTCGCGCCGAGCGACGCGGTGCCGCGGCCCCCTGCGCTATACGCCGCGCACGCGGGCCACGTCGACGCCGTCGTCCGCGCCGCGCTCGACCTGCAGCGCCTCGCGGCGGAATACGAGCTGCATGTGATGAGGATTGACGAGGCATTCGACGGCGCCCGTATAGAGGACATCTACCACGGAGAGATCGGCACCGCGGGCCCACCCGGGAAGGTCCCGTGCGTGCTTGTGACCGTCGGCGCACGGTCAAGGTCTGGGGCGCTGGCGAGGGGGATGGGAGTGCGACGACGATGCCACCGAAACCGCTGGTCGTGCTCGACACGATCGTGTACGAGCTCGGGTTGGTGGATGAGGATGAGGCGGCTGGCGCGGGGCGGAGCAAGCTGAGCTCGGCGTTGCGGGACTGTAGTAGCGTTTGAACCCGCGCGGCATCTTTTTTTATTTTTTAAGATCAATGATTTAGTATATCACGCGTACGGAGTACGGGTGCGGCTCTTTTACACGATTGACACTGGGTGGGCGAGTGTTCTCAACCTGTGGGCCTGCATCTGAGGGCTTGTCACACCCTTGTTTGTGGGTGCTCAGTGCTCACCGCATGTGCCGCCGGTGGGCAGTCTTTCCACGTCGTGCGCGCGCTGTGCTTTGCCCGCTCGCCTTCTCTTCTCGGTGCGTATGTTTTCACGCACTCCCTTTTTAAGATTGGGCGAAGTTCTTGCCGGGCAGAACACTGGCACGGTGACGCCGGCGTTCCAACGTCTGGTTTCCTTGACAATCGCAACCGGCGTTCCTCGTTCGGGGCTCTCGGGCCGGCCGCCGCCATCGTAACCGCGGCACGAGCGGCACGAGCGCGGCCGCCCGGACCCCTCTCGCCGGCGGCTCCGTAGGCTGTAGCGCGCAGCCACTGGGTCGTGGACTTGTGACCCAGTCCCGAAGACGACGAGTTGTTTCTTACCACCTTAGCCTCCACTCTTGGCAACCATTCTGCGCCGGCACAATATCTATTACCGTCTTCACTCTCTACAAGCTCGCAAGCATGGATTCCAAAACTACTTTCGGCTTCACAAGCAGCATCGCACGTCCTCTGGCACCTTCCGATATACTCTCCATCTCCTCTCGCCAAAGTCCCAGACCAGTGGTGCACAACACACGTTGAACGCCCACTTCGCCCTTGCGCGGATCTGCCCACTCATCCACCATACCAGCATCGCTAAAGGTATCGCCGAAGGACGCGGTATTCACAGAGAAGTTGCGCGAGATTGTCATTTCGCCAGCTATACGCCGGAACTCCAACGCCGTCCCTACGATATCGCGCAACACGCGACCGTAGGTACGGTGTAGCTCTGTGCGGAGGACTTCAATAGCGTCGGGGACCCCACATGCGCGGAGGAAGACCGCGATCGAGTCGGCAAGCTTTTTCTCGAAGTACTTGCGAAGGTCGTCCTCGGGTATCTCGAGGTTGTGGAGGTGGGTGCGACAGAGCGCTCGCCATCGCCCGGACACGGGTTGCGGCTCTGTGGTGGGGTCGGCAATGGGCACGCGGATTTGGGGGTCAGGATAGGTGACGTACCATGTGTTTTCATGCTCTGGTTTACCTTGTCGTATGCTGCCTGCGCTCGGCCACTGCTGCTTAGGTCCCAAGTGGAACAGAGCCTGTATGCATGCACGACGATGATGCTCTCGACTCCGACTTGGACGAGGATGGGATCGTCTTTGTGACTGGTGACCCGCATCACCTTGACCAAAGTATCAGGGAGGAAATGACGCTCCGTGAGCCACACTTGTGCGTCGGCGTCCCCCAACTCCCCCTCCTGGCAGCGTGTTTGATATGCGTCGGCGATGGCGGCGGCGGCTTGGTCTGCGTGCGCGTTGAACGTGGTGACGAGGCGGACGAGGTCGCTGTCGGCGATGTCGTCCGCCCTGTCGAGGGGCGCTTCAGCGGCATGGAGATCGGCGGTGCGTGTTTCCAGTCATCCTACATCAAGTTCGGGTCCCTGTCCTGCAACGATCCCAAGGTGAAGATTCGTCGCGGGCAGCTCACGCTACCAGGGTATGTTACTCGGGATCTCGACGCCATCCGCATTGCTGATCATGCAATGTAGCGACATCATGCTCCGGTTCTTCCTGCCAGCGCTGGACTCCATCGTCGCCGTCATCAGGAAACAAGGTCAAGAGGCCAGTCGCCCTCTCGCCGTACGTGTTTGGCTGTCCGCGATGAAAGACACTGACGCGGGTCAACATGCAGACAGTGTTCCTCGTAGGCGGGTTCGCGGCGAACCCCTGGCTGCACTCGGCACTCAAGGACCGTCTAGAAGCCCTTAATACGATGCTCTGTCGCCCCGATTCACATACGTACGCCATGGACGTCTGATTTTATCTTGCGTTTTACAAACCATCGCTGCCGCTCTAGAGACAAAGCCGTGGCAAACGGGGCGGTGTGCTATTTCCTCGAGCACGTTGTTTCCGCCCGCGTCATGAAGATGACATTCGGCACCGGGTACGCCCCAGCCTACAGCCCCCAAAACCCAGAGCATCTCGCTCGCCGCGCCAAGACGTTCACCGATATTGCGGGATGTCTCCGCATTCCGGGCGGATTCTCATCGATTTTGACCCAGGTATGTGGCACGCCACAGTGCGTCAACGCCTCGTGGTGATGGTGGTCCCCGCTCTGTCCGCCAGGGTACTCGTGTACATGAGACCAAAGAATTCTCCAAATCGTATTCACTCATTAAGCGCGACACGCGGAATCTTGATGCCATTTCTGAACAGCTCTCATGCTACCGCGGGCCGATTAGCGACGTGCGCTGGGAAGACGTAGATCGCGGTACGTATTCGACCTGACTCTGTCCATATACCAACATTGTGACGGTTTGGTTCAATCAGAGCTGTTCACACCGCTGTGCACGATCCACGCGGACACATCGAAAGTCGTGAGGCGGCCGGTTCATGGACCGAAAGGCGTATACTACGTTCTGGATTTCGACATCGTTCTGCTATGCGGCCCCACCGAGCTTCAGGCGCAGATCCGCTGGCGGGAAGATGTAAGTCAATTCTGTGTCGCCTGCAATGCGCCGATTTATATAAGCCGTATTTTTTTCGTCATCCTGCCAGGGAAAGGAGAGACGGTACGTGATTTTCACGGTCGGCGCGGGTGGCTGCCCATAGCGATCGGCCTGCCAGGGGTCCTGCACAGATCGTCCACAACGAGTAGAGTCTTGAACAGGTGAAGGTAGCATTTTATACGGCAGTCTGCAACTGGTGGTTGTGATCGTCGAATTGAGCATCTCTCCCGATAAACTGTGCAGGGCAGCAAGGATTGAGTTGACTCCAGTGACGGAGTCCAGTTTCATGCCACAGACGCGTTGTTTGTCCATGTCGGCTTCACTCATCGCTTCCGGTAAAACCCACACCGCTATTATCCAGCTGCAATTTCCTCGTCCAGATCGAATTATACACATGTCTCAACTACAACTCTGCAAACATGGAATCCAAAACCACACTAGGCTTCAAGAGCGTCACCACCCGACGTTTGCTTCCATGTACGGATCGCTGTACCCCGCTCTCAAGAGTCTCTTCGCGCGACAACCCCAACCCCGCACAGCAAAGCACAGTGCGGCGAACACCCATCTCCTTCTTCTTCCCCGCTCGTGGATCGGCCCACTCGTCTTCCATCCGCTCAGGGTCAAAGGACTTGCCGGTACGGATCGTTTCCACCGCGAACTCGCGCGATATCACTTTCTCCTTTGCCACCTGTCGGAACTCTAGCGCGGCCCGTACGACGTCACCCAGGGCGTGGCCGTGTGTGCGGAGCAAATCCTGGTCGATGTTCCCAACAGTATTTGGAACTCCACCCGCGCATAGCACCATCGCAACGCGCCTCGCAAGCTTGCTCTCCATCTTGAAGTGGAAGTGTCTGTCGGCCTCCTGCAGGGTCCGGGAATGGCTCTGGTAGAGTGCGCGCCACCGTCCGGCGACTGGTTGAAGCTCTACGATATGGTTGGTCATGAGTATGAGGGACGAAGCTCGAGATAGGTGACGTACCGTGCGCTCTGATACTCTTGTGCACAGTCTCGCAGTCGTACTGGCGCCAGGTGTATCCAGACGTCTCGCGGTCGTACCGGCTCCGGTGTCCAGACACTAGGTCCCAGGAAGAGCAGAGCCTATGTGCGTATGCTACCATGACACCCTGTATCCCCACCTGGAGGAGGACGGAGACGCTGTCGGGGGCACCGGTGCGCAATGCCTTGAGGAACGCGTTTGGGAGCAGTCCAAGCGTCTCCAGACTCTCGCACGCCGAGTCCGCCACATCCTTCTTCCAATTCCTTCCTCCACGGCGGTCCAGGAACGCGTCGGTGATGGAACATGCCGTCTGGTGTACGTGGGTGTTGAGAATGGTGACAAGGCCGAGGACATCGCTGTCGGCGACGCCGTCCGCCTTGTTGAGGAATGCCTCGGCAGCGCGGAGATCGGCGGTACGCGTGGCAAGGAGGGCCGTGGTTTCCTTCCCCTTCTCCTGGCTGGCGGCGAGTATGTTCTCGTATTCCCGGAGGCGGGCGAGGAGCTCCCGGTTCTGACTTTCCAGCTCCGCGACCCTGGCCCTTTCTTTCTTCAGAGAGCGCTCGGATCTCCCTCTGAGCGAAGCCTCTGCCTGCGCGGTGTGTATTGCTTCTTCGCTATCCTTTTCAGAAGCCTCGTTCCGCGCCTCTTGGTCCTTCAGATCCGACAGCGCCTTCGCCAGCTCCCGTCGTGCATCGTCGGGATCGAGGTCCGGCTTTCGCGGCTCGTGAGCCATTGTTTCGACGTGCTGAGGGTTGGAGCATGGGTCGGTGTTCTCTCTAGACAGTTGTATGCCACTCACTTGTTCAACACCGTCGCTAGTACTGTCGGGAGAAGGGCTCCTGGACTTTTGGTGACACTGCAAGAGTAAGTCGGCAATCGTTTGGGAGTGTGAACAGTGTTAACGCTTACGTCGTTGGTACCCAGAGGAGACATTCCAGCAGGAGGAAACATTTCGGGGACGAAGATGAGGTGGAGAAGTAGCGATGAGGTGAGGTGCCGAAAAGTTAACGCGCCGCTCGCGGGGGGATCACTAGCCTGCGCCGTCCTGCCGCAGCACATAGCGGTGTGAAAAGACCCCAAGCTCACGGTCGCACGACCATCCGCCAGAAGCCTTCGACTCCAAGCGCTCTTGGGCCTTCTCCGGCCATCACGTCGCTTGCTTGACGCTTACCGCAGCACAAGGAGGCAAGAGCCGTGGCGTTCCCAAGGTCCCCGTTGACGTTGAACGTTGAATCCTGAACTCTTCCAGTCGTGCTCGCATTTTGCATCCCACCATGCCTACTCTACAGCCCTACAACGGTTCAGTCAAGAAACTCGTACTAGCCATAGACGTCGGTACAACGCACTCCGGTATCGCGTACACTATCCTGGACCCGGGCGAAGTTCCCAAGATACACAGTATCACTCGGTACGCTTTCCCCACCAGGGTCACCAGGGCTGGAACTATTTGGCTCATCACTCGGTCGTCAGGTTTCCCGGTCAAGAGGACACCGCGGGGAACTTCAAGATTCCCTCCGTCATCTTGTACGCACCAAATGGGTCGGTTGCTTATGCCGGAGCCGAGGCCACGGCTCTTGGGATGGACACGAGGATCCAGGACGAGTCGCTCGTGAGCGCTGAATGGTATGTACCCATTTGTTTTCCGCGCGAGGATTCTCCCCACTTCTTCCCCCAGGTTCAAGCTTCACCTACGTCCCCGTCGCCTTGGCTCGACCGAGCTCAAAAAGAACGCTTTAACACCGCTTCCGCCCGGCAAGACCGCCGCCGCGGTGTTCGCCGACTTTCTCAAATACCTCTTCGCGTGTGCGAAAAGCTTCATCCGCGAGACACATGCGAATGGAGAGAAGCTGTGGACGTCCCTCGAGAACCACATCGAGTTCGTATTGTCGCATCCAAACGGATGGGAAGGTTTGCAGCAGGGGACGATGCGCCAGACGGCGATCATGGCTGGACTCGTCCCGGACACGCCCGAGGGACGCGGGCGTGTGCATTTTGTCACGGAGGGAGAGGCGTCTCTCAACTTCTGTATTCACAACGGGCTTACGAACGAGACGATGAAGGTGCGTGCGAGCCTCGCAAAAGCCAACAGCACAACCGGCTGACTGATGGGCAGGAGGGCCAAAGCGTGATCATTGTGGATGCGGGAGGAGGCACGGTGGACATTAGCAGTTACGAATTCACATCGATAGCACCCCTCGTGGTCGAAGAGGTGACTGCGCCCGAATGCGAGTAATCTGACCTGTTCATTCCTAGACTCGCTTATTGACCGCCCTCGCAGGCATCTTACATGGCTCGACTCGCGTCAACGTGCGGGCGAAAACGTACCTCCAAGGTATGCGGAGAGCTTATACGTAATGGTAGTCGCTTACTAAACATAACCCGGTTTTAGATCTGCTGAAAAAATCACCATTTGGCAACAAGGACGACATAGATTCCATGATGGAACAGTTTGACAAAGCGACGAAGCGAGTATTCAAAGACGAGAAGCAGACTTCGTACATCAAGTTCGGCTCTATGAAGTGTAACGACCCGAAGGTCAACATCAGCCGTGGACAGCTGACGCTCAGTGGGTATGTTCGCCCACTTCTTTGTCGCTCACAATGCTCATATGACCCCATAGCGAGACGATGCGCTCGTTCTTCCGGCCCTCTTTTGACGCAATCGTCAACTTCATCATTCAACAGCGACGAGAAGCTACCAAACCTCCCAACGTGCGTTTCGTCTCCGTTTTAGACAAACGACGAGACGCCACTGAAATATCTCTCCACAGATGGTATTCCTCGTGGGCGGGTTTGCGGCCAGTCCCTGGCTATACTCCGAGCTCAAAGCTCGCCTGACAACATTGGGGCTCACTCTATGTCGCCCAGATTCGCATACGTAAGCTTAGATCGATCATCACATTTCCAACGTCCAGAATGACCCACAGAACTGTACAGAGATAAGGCTGTTTCCAGTGGCGCCTTGTGTTTCTACCTTGAACACTTCGTGTCCGCCCGAGTTGCGAAGATAACGTACGGGATAGCCGTAGACTATGACTACAACCCCAGAGATGCCGAGCATCTCGCACGCACTTCGAAGACGCACGTCGACCTGCGCGGAATCGTATGCCTCAGCAACGGATTCTCCTCTCTGCTGAAGCGGGTGAGTGCACTATCTTGTACTGCGATCCAGCGAACCTCACCCTGAACCATTGTATCATCAACCAGGGCACACGTGTACGTGAAACGGAAGAGATCGCACACTCGTACTTGCAGAGCGCGCGCTATTCAACCACTCTGAACAATATCTCGTGCGATATCCTGTGCTTTCGGGGAACTAACAAAGACCCGCGCTGGATGGATGTCAATTCCGGTACGTCATAATCTCCGAGATACCCGATCCCACGATCCTGAGCCTCTCGCGCGACATCAGATCAGTACGCGAAGCTCTGCACTGTCCAGGCGGACACATCGCGCATCGAACGCGTGCCGGAGCTCGGCTTGAACGGCGTCTACTACTCACAAAGTTTCGACGTCGTTCTGCTCTGCGGGCTCACGGAGCTGCAGGCGCAGATACGCTGGTACGAGAATGTGAGTTATGCGTGCTTGCTAAGCAATTCCATACCTGCTCATGATCGTTTCCGTCATGCCAGGGGAAGGAGAAGCGGTGAGTGTGCTTCATTACATTGATTATGGAGCTTTCTCTCACCTGTGCGACTTATATAGGGGTCCCGCGAAGATCATGTACCACGACTTGTAGATCTTCGGATGTACCACACTAGGAGTACCACATGTAACAACACGGAGGTCCTACTTTAGCACGGCACAGACGAGACTCCTCCTATTTTCTAGATCACAACCTACCTCGAGATGCTCCGTCCTTGGATCGCGCGGCGGGACTCCGATGACGTCGAAGTGCCGCTCGCAATACACCCTGAAATTGCGCCCTTTGCGCGCTGTGCGCGCGACGCGCGATGTATCCGTGCCGACCGTGCACTGCGTTGTAAACTGCTCTTCATGTCAATTCGTAGAGCGATTATTCAAGGAAGGGAAAGCCTCACGAGGCGTGAAGTCTGTCCAGCGAGTGTCCGCGCTGGGATTTGTGTAGGTTCACTACGTCTGCGACGACGGTGCGAACCACACGCCTCCCGCGCCCACGTCTGCGAAACCTCTTGTCGCTCGTTCATTCCATATGTCATGTTCATCACGCGCGTGGAGAAGAAATGCTCCAGGGGAGAAGTTATGAGCAGTTCACACGCCACAAGCGCGTTATTTGCTCTTGTTGATTAGATTGCCGCCCGCTGCCCAGTCTGCGCCGTGTCGGAGTTTCTGTCATTTTCACTTCCGCACCACCGCGTGCTACAACTCCGAAAGCATCGCTACCAGAGCAACCTTGGGCTTCTCTAGCTGCACTACCCGACTTTTCGCTCTCTCCGATCCCCTTCCATCATCCTCGGCCTCGCGCGACAGCCCCAAGCTCGTGGTACAAAGCACAGTCTGAGCACCCTCCTGGCCCTGCTTCCCCTTGAGTCTTGGATCCGACCACTCGTCCTGCATCCTCTCATCGTCGTAGTCCTTGCCAGGAGAGATGGCGACCACTGCGAACTCGCGCGAGATCACCGTCTCGCCCACCACCCGTCGGAACTCCAGTGCGGTCTGTACGACGTCGTGAAGGTCGCAGCCGGGCGTGAGGCGGAGTTCCGCGCAGAGGTCGTCAACGATGCCGGGCACGCCGCCTGCCTGGAGGACGGTAACAAGCCGCCTCGCCAGCTTGTTCTCCAGCTCGGAGTGCAGCTCGCTCTCGGATTCCAGGAGGAGGCGGAGGTGGGTGTGGCAAAGCGCGCGCCATCGTCCGGCGACGGCTTGGGGCTCTGCGACGTGGTTGGTTATGGGTACGAGGGACAGGACTCGGGACAGGTGACGTACCACGCGCTTTTATGCTCTCGTAAATCCTGTTGCAACTGCGCTGCATCAGACTGTTGGTGGATTGGTCCCATGCCGAGCAGAGCTCGCACGCGTGCGCCGTGATGACGCTCTGCATGGCCACCTGGACGAGGACGGAGAGGTCGTCTTGGCTCCCGGTGCGCAAGGCCTCCGCGAGCTCTTTTGGCAGCAGTCCAGTCCTCGTCAGATCTGCGCACGCTTGGGCGACCCGCTCCTTCCCTACTCCGCAGCGCGTCCGGAATGAGTCGGCGATGGCGGCGGCGATATGGTACGCGTGGGCATTGAGCGTGGTGACGAGGCCGACGACATCGCTGTCGGCGACGTCGTCCGCCTGGTTGAGGAATGCCTCGGCGGCACGGAGCTCGGTGGTGCGCGATTCGAGGAGGGCTTCTAATTTCTTCACTTTGTGTTGGCTGGCGTCGAAGGCGTCCTCAGATTTCAGGGCGCGGACGAGAAGGTCTTGCTTTTCGCTCTCTAGCTGGGCGATTCTGGCATTTGTTTCCTCTTCCAGGTCTTCCAGGGCTTCTTCTCTTTCTAGCTCAGCAGCCTTGGTCCTATCTTCTCGGTCCTGCAACTCAGATTTCAGCCGCTGTTGGCTCAACCGCGACTCGTCCAACTCCCGTCGTAGTTCGCTGAGATCGTGGTCTACTGGCTTGGTTTGCGGAGCATTAGGACACGTGTCCCGGTTGGGTGGTTCTATGTTGTCATCTGGCGAAGCGTCGTTCTTGTCGAGAGTGGACTCTGCAGGACTGCGGTGACGCTGCGAAAGTGCGTGAATGACGGACTAAGAGCACGAGTCATGTTGCTTACGGTGTCCGTACTGAAGCTAGGAGGAGGGGTTCCCGCGGTAGCAGACATCTTCGAAGACGACGATAATTCGGGGGTGCGACCGCCAGTCTAGAGCGACGAGGCCCGAGGCCAGAGAGGAGGACCCAATACCTTCTGCCGTGGCCCGGCGGCAGCGCGAATCCTCGCCTACTCCGCGTGTTCGACCCGTTACCGCAGCACAAGGCGTTTAGGACACCGTCGTCCCCACGGTCCCTTTGCCAGCTGGCTTTCACCGACAGCCTCATATCTTACAACACGATTGCCTTCACTCATGCCCGATCCACAGCCCTACAACGGCTCGGTACGCAAACTTGTGCTGGCCATAGATGTCGGTACTACACACTCTGGCATCGCGTACGCGATCCTGGATCCCGGAGAAGTTCCCAAGATCCACAGTGTGACTCGGTACGTTCTCGCTGCTGCAATTGGTGTTCAAAATATCTGGTTCACCACGTCGCCGTCAGATATCCCGGTCAAGAGGACTCCGCAGGGGACTTCAAGATTCCGTCCATCATCCTGTACACGCCACACGGGACGGTCGCTTATGCCGGAGCCGAGGCAACGGCACCTGGGATGGACGTACAGATCCAGGACGAGTCGCTCGTCCGCGTAGAGTGGTGCGTTTCAGGCTTTCTCCTACTCGAAGACCCTCCCCCATGTCGTCCTGCAGGTTCAAGCTGCACCTACGTCCGCCGCGCCTCGGGTCCAACGAGCTCAAAAAGAACCCTTTGCCTCCCCTCCCGTTTGGCAAGACCGCTGACGCCGTCTTCGCCGACTTTCTCGGCTACCTGTTCACGTGCGCCAGACGGTTCATCTGTGAAACGCACGCCAACGGAGAGAGCCTCTGGACCTCGTTGGAACACACGATGGAGTTCGTCTTGTCGCATCCAAACGGCTGGGAAGGTCTGCAGCAGGGCCGGATGCGCCAGATGGCGATCATGGCCGGGCTCATCCCCAACACGGACTACGGCCGGACACGCGTCCATTTCGTCACGGAGGGAGAGGCGAGTCTCAACTTCTGTGTTCACAACGGGCTCGCGACCGAGACCATGAAGGTGCGTGTGCGTCTCGCTAAGACATGCGGGACGGAAAAATGACTGGGTGCAGACCGGTCAAAGCGTGATCATTGTTGATGCAGGAGGAGGTACCGTCGACATAAGCAGTTACGAGTTTACGTCCATGTCGCCGTTGACCGTCGAAGAGGTGAATCCGCCAGACTGTGAGTAATCTTCGCCATCACACGTTGTCATCCATGAGAGCTTCCATCTCTCCCAGGTCTCCTTCAAGGATCAACTCGCGTGAACGTTCGGGCAGAGGCGTACCTTAAAGGTTCGCCCAGTGTGTCTCCTTATTGATATCGACTCATTATCGCATTTTTTCAGGTCTCTTGAAAGGCTCATCATTTGGAAACGATGAAGATATCCAGTCTATGCTTGAGCATTTCGACAAGATGACGAAGCGGGTGTTCAAGGATGAGAGCCAGTCTTCGTACATCAAATTCGGCTCCTTAAGGTGCAACGATGCGAGCGTTGGGATTAGTCGCGGACAGCTCACGCTCAGAGGGTACGCTTTTCTACTCTGACGTTGTCCATTTTTCTCATCTCATCTCCTAGCGATGTCATGCGCTCATTCTTCCGACCATCGCTTGACGCAATCGTGAACATTGTGACTAGACAGAGTCGAGAAGCGATTAAGCGTCCTAACGTGTGTTTCATGGTCTCTCACAGAGATGGTAGCCGCTGACTCAGGGGTCTCCTTTCAGATGGTGTTCCTTGTAGGCGGCTTTGCTGCGAATCCTTGGCTGTACTCCGAGCTCAAGTCTCGTCTGCAAACCGCCGGCCTCACTCTTTGTCGTCCAGACTCTCACACGTAATATTACGTCTCCCTCGGTCTATATCTGATGTCTTGACTGATGCGTTTATAGAGACAAGGCCGTTTCGAGCGGTGCCTTGTGCTATTATCTTGAACGCTTCGTGACCGCTCGCGTCGCAAGGATGACGTACGGGATCGAAGTCGCATGCGAATACGACCCCAACGATCCGGAGCATACAGCGCGCAGGACGATGACATATGTCGACGCGAGAGGGATCGTATCACTTAGTAATGGCTTCTTTTCTATGTTGAAGCGGGTACGCGCTGTCTACTACTCGAACCCGACTCATCTCACCCTGTTTCTTCTTGTAGGGCACACGTGTACGCGAAACTGAAGAGATTTCGTATCCCTACGTGCAACAATCTCGCACTTCAAATGAGCTGAATAGCATCGAATGCGATGTCTTGGCCTTCCGTGGACCGCGGAAGGACCCGCACTGGACAGATGTCAACCCCGGTGAGCTGCCCCAATGTATTTTAATATGCTGGATCGCGCCGTTTTAAAACTCTCGTTCGCTTTGAGAACAATACACCACCCTTTGCACAATACACGCTGACACCTCACGAATCACGCGCATAGCGAAGCATGGTTTGAACGGCGTCTACTACACGCAGGAGTTCGACGTCGTTCTGCTCTGCGGTCTCACGGAGATGCAGGCACAAATTCGTTGGCGAGAGAAGGTGAGTTACGTGGGTTCGAACTGCAGGAAACGTCTGACTCGTTCTTTCCGTTGTTCGTGTCTTCTTCCAGGGACAGGAGAAACGGTGTGTGCCAGGCTTCACTGTCATCGTACGACGCGATCGGCTGAATGGCGCGGCTTCTACAGGGGTCCTGCAAAGATTGTGTACAACGAGATATGAATAATTGGTGCCTGTTGCATTCCGTATACTTGTCTGCATGTCGTTCTTCACAGTGTAATGCGACCCAGTGACAGTCCGCATCGCGTGGATCTCATGGTGCTGGGGGCAAGTTCAATCATGCTGCGAAGTTCCGGAGTTGTAAACATCTTCATAACAGTCACTTAGGAAGGGCGGTTCATGGTGTCCACAATGAATCACTGTCGACCGCGGAGCAGGGCTTGATTCGCTTGACGAGCGTTCTCTCCGACGGTATGCGGAAACCGCGCTCCCCCTCGACGCCGCCGAACACGCTCAAGCCCAAGGGCTCGCGTAAGGCATTCGCGAGCCCCCACGTTCACGCGCCCCCCAATGGCGCTCCCGCTGACACGCTTCATACGGCTCCCGCCCCTTCGCCGCCGTCAGCGGTCTCCTGCGGTCCCCTCTCGCGCGCGAGGCAGTAGACGAAGCCTTCGGCAGCCTTGCCGTGCTCCGACTCGCACCCACTTCTCCGTCAACGCCGCGATCGGCGGCGGCGACACCTCCGGCGGTCCGCGCGCGCCCTCGCTCCCGCCAATGCTCACCCCGCTCCGCTACGACTTCGAGCTCGGGTTCGCGTTTCCTGATGTCGTCCACGGACAGCGTGCCAATCTCGCCGTAGCCATGCCTGAAGTTGCGGCAGACGATAGTGAGCATGACAGACGCGAGGAGTGGAGGAAGAGCGCGCACGTACAGTGTAAATTCGGGGCTCGGTCGACGAGACCGACTCGAGGTTCGATGGCGCGTAAGAGCGCCCGGCTTGTCGTGTCTCACGCCACAAGCGCGTTGTTTGTCCTTGTTGACCTGACGAGTCCCGCACAGCGCAAATTGATGAATAGTGCTCTCTCTAGTTCTCATTCTTTCCTCCGAATCGACCTTGTATGCATGTCTTTACTACAGATTCGCAAGCATGGACTCCAGCACGACCTTAGGCTTCACTACCAGCAACATTTGGTCTTCGGCTCCTTCAGATCCTTTCGCCCCACCGCCAGTCGTCTCGCGCAGTAACCCCAGTCCCGCGGTGCAAAGCAGTCTGAACACCCCCTTCGCTCTTCTTCAACTTCCTAGGGTCCGCCTACTCGTCATCCATCTACAAGTTGTCGAAGGAATTGCCGGAGGACACAATGGTCACCGCGAACTCGCGCGAGATCACCATGTCGCCCACCACCTGTCGGAGCTCCAGCGCGGACCGCACCATCTCACGCACGTCTCGAGCGTGCGTGCGACGCAATTCCTTTCGGAGATGATGGATGGCGTCGTCGACGCCGCATGCGCGGAGGACAGTGGCAAGCCATTGGGTAAGTTTGTTCTCCAGCTCCCTGCGCACGTTTTTCTCGGACCCCACGAGGGCACGGAGGTGGGTGTGGTAGAGAGCACGCCAGCGTCCGGCCACTGGCTGAGGCTCTGGGGCAGGTTGGCGATGAGTGTACGCGGTGGGGCTCCGGGCAGGTGACGTACCGCGCTCTCTTATGCTCTTGTATAAGGCTTCGCAGATGCGCTGTGTTATGCTGTCGGTGGATGGATCCCAGACCGTGCAAAGCTCGTGCGCGTACGCCGTCACGACGCTTTGTAGAGCCGTCTGAGCGAAGACGGAGTTGCTGTTGTGGTTCCCGTCGCGCAGCACCTTCACGAACGCTTTCGGTAGCAGTCCGCTCTTCGCCAGACCTCTGCACGCTTCCGTGATCCCCTCCTCTGAGACACCGCAGCGTGCTCGGAACGCGTCGGCGATGGCGTCGGCGACTTCGTATATGCGGGATTTAAGCGTGACGACAAGGCGGAGGACGTCGCTGTCGGCAACGTCGTCCACCTGGTCGAGGAACACTTCCGCGACACGAAGATCGGCGGTGCGTGACTCGAGGAGGATGGCCATCTTGCGGGCCTGGTCTTCTTTGGCTGAAAGGGCGTCCTCCAATCCCCGTGCGCGGACGAGAAGGGCCTGATTTTCTTTCTCGAGATGGGCGATCCTGGAACTCGGATCTGCCTGGAGGTTCTCCAATGCGCTCTGCATCCGGTTCCTGAACAAGGCTTCGCCTTCCGCGGCGTGCAGGGTTACGTCTCGTGCCGTCTGGGCGGCCCAGGTCCACGTTTCTCGATCCTTCAAATTGGCCACTGAAGTCCGCAGTGCAGCTCCAACCTTGTCTCACGGAGATCGTAGTCTCGCTTCCGCAGCTCCGTGTTGAGGATGTTGATATGTTGAGCGTTAGGATACAACTCGTAATGATCCCCGTAAATTTCTCACCCAATTTCCGGGACAACGTCCATTCTGTACAAAACGAAGACTTCACGGAATCGCGGCGAGGGAGAGGGGGTGTAGTTGAGGACGGGATAAAAGGGAATGGGTTCGCGATGAGACGAGGAGTCAAAGAATTATCAGTACGTTTTCCACGGAGGAAAGCTCTTCGCCTTTCGCTGCAGCAGCATGTGTGACCTAGATCGCATGACTCTGCCGCAGTGGTTCACCTTCATTCAGTGTACTCACACATCCTTCTCTTTACCGCAGCACACACTCATAAAGGCCCTCAACTTCTCCATCGCTGTCCTCTTGCAACGTGCCATCCGATTCCTCTTCATCTCCCTCACGCCGATCCTCATTGATATGCCCGATATGCATCCCTACAACGGCGCAGTGCGCAAGCTTGTGCTAGCCATAGATGTTGGTACAACACACTCCGGAATCGCCTACACGATCTTGGATCCTGGGGAAGTCCCCAAAATCCACAGTGTGACTCGGTACGTTTCTGAAACAGCGCGTAGATCCATCGCTCACGATACAACCTCTAGCTTCCCCGGCCAAGAGAACTCTCCGGGGGGTTTTAAGATTCCGTCTATAATCTTGTACACGCCTGCCGGGTTGGTCGCCTACGCTGGCGCCGAGGCCGTAGCTCAGGGGATGGAAATGAAAATTCAGCAGGAATCACTCGTGTTCGTCGAATGGTACGTAGCTGTCTGTTTTGCTTGAATTTGAAGGACCATACCCACCACGCTGTACAGGTTCAAGCTCCACCTGCGCCCGCAACGCCTCGGCTTCCACGAGGTCAAGAGGAGTGCTCTTCCCCCGCTCCCTTCGGGCAAGACCGCCCAGGCAGTATTCGCCGACTTTCTGGCGTACCTCTTCCGGTGTGCGAAGCGCTTCATCTGCGAGTCGCACGCCAACGGCGACAACCTGTGGACCTCCCTCGAAGGCTCGATCGAGTTCGTGCTCTCGCACCCGAACGGCTGGGAGGGCGCGCAGCAGGAAAAGATGCGGCAGGCGGCGGTCATAGCCGGACTGGTGCCGAGCACGGACGAAGGCCGCGCGCGCGTGCGTTTCGTCACCGAGGGCGAGGCGAGCCTCAACTTTTGCGTCCACAATGGGCTCACGACGGAGTCGACGCGGGTGCGTACTATGGGCGCTGCTACAACGGAGCGCGCGCGGACAGCTGACTGGTGGGTCAGAGTGGGCAGAGCGTTATGATCATCGACGCCGGAGGAGGAACGATTGACATCAGCAGCTACGAGTTCGCATCCATGTCGCCCCTATCGGTTGAAGAAGTGACTGCTCCAGACTGTGAGTGCCCCACCTATTCCTTGTTTGAGGTGTTTTCGACTATCAACTTGCTCAGGTATCCTCCAAGGCTCGACTCGTGTGAACGCGCGCGCCACGACTTACCTCGAAGGTTCGCTTGCAATTCGTTTATGTTCATATTGGATTAACTGGGCCATACACCAGAACTGCTCAAGAAATCATCTTTCGGCAACAAGGAGGACATCAAGTCGATGGTCGAGCACTTCGACAGTGCGGCAAAGCGAGTATTCAAGGACGAGAACGAGACTTCGTACATCAAGTTCGGTTCCGCGAGATGCAACGACCCGAATGTCGGTATCCGCAACGGTCAGCTGGCGCTCCCGGGGTGCGTTCTCTCGCTCTGTACTTAGCTAGTCACGCTGAGCTCCCCCAGTGACGTCATGCGCGGGTTCTTCCGACCGTCGCTGGACGCAATCATCGGTATTGTTACGAAGCAGCGTCGAGAGGCCACTAGGCCTCCGGACGTGAGTGTTCTGTGCTAATCTAAATCTGGACGGAACCGAGCTGAGATAGCTCATTCCAGACGGTATTCCTTGTAGGCGGGTTTGCGGCCAATCCCTGGCTCTACTCCGAGCTCAAATCCCGTCTAAAAACCATCGGGCTCACCCTCTGCCGCCCGGATTCGCATACGTACAGCGGCCTCACATATTATTTACAGATAACCGAATTGACTCGCTGTACAGAGACAAGGCGGTTTCGAGTGGCGCCCTGTGCTTTTACCTCGAACATTCCGTGTCCGCTCGCGTCGCGAAGACTACGTACGGTATACAGATTCAGTACACTTACAATCCTAGCGATGCGGAGCACCTCGCACGCAGCGCAAAGACATACGAGGACGTGACAGGAATCACGAGGCTCGGCGATGGCTTCTCATCGGTGTTGCAACGGGTGCGCCCTCCTTTACGCCACAATTCTGTCAATCTTACCCTTTTCACCCACAGCGAACGCGCGTGCGCGAAACCCAAGAGATATCGCAGTCGTACTTACAGTTAGCGCGAGAGTCACGCAAGCTGGACAGCATCAAGTGTGACGTCCTGTGCTTTCACGGGCCTCTCGAAGATCCGCGCTGGACGGACGTCGACCCCGGTGCGTCACCGTCTCTGACCTCCTCGATGCAGCCAATCCGAACCTGTTGTTCTTTCTCAGACCAGTACACGACGCTTTGCACCATCCACGCTGACACGTCGCGGATCGCGCGCGTGGCGCAGCAAGGCAGGAACGGCGTCTACTACTCGCAGGATTTCGACGTCGTTCTGCTTTGCGGGCTCACTGAGCTTCAGGCGCAAATCCGCTGGCGAGAGAATGTGAGCTGGATCTCTTGAAATCCCGCTTCTATGCTTCTCATACAGATTGATACACGGCGTCGTTCTGCCAGGGGAAAGAGAGACGGTATGTCATGTCCGGTATTGGTGTCACTGGGAGATCGTGCTGACGGGCCTTCAACGTCACGACTTGAAAGCGGACCTGCCAAGATCGTTCACAGTGATGATTCGTAGTCTTTCGCGTGGTTTTTCTGGTGTTCTCGAAACTTAGGTGATGATACCGCTGTCATGAATCGCCCGTGCGACTCGAGTTTTTGCCGATCCTCTTGGAGGGGAGAGATAGCTCGGTCGATGTGCACTAGAAGAAAAGTAGAGCGAAACTCCATTTCCGACGATAGGCGCTACACATGTACATAACAGGGAAGGGTACAGTGGTGGGTAGCTCGAAAATCCCGAGTCCCGCCTGGCAGCAGCACGGAAGGGTGTGAGCAAGGCGGACGAACGCGAGTGTGAGAGCCTCGCCTACTCACCTGGCAGCAGCACGGAAGGGTTGAGCTGGCATGGAGCCGCCCTGCATCCTCGTACTGCCCGGCGAAAGGGGCTTGCGCCACGCACGCCATTGACTTGTCAGAAGCACCCGTTAGGGGTTGGAGCTCCCGACACACCGTGGGCGCGTCGAGGTGCGCGTGGGCCTCCCGCTGGAGGGCGCACGGCAGCGCGTGCGCGCACTTCCCGGAGGACGCGGGGCGGCGGAGACAGGTGCGGCGTGCTCAACACGTCCACTTGGAAGACTGGCCGCTCTCGCGACGTGCCAGCTTGCGGGGCTGAGAGGCGCCGGCTCTTCGCGCTCGTCTGAACGGGCTCAGACTTGGTGCCGGGCCACTGCGCGGGTGACTCAACTTGTGTAAACCGTGTTTAAATACAGATCAAGAAATGCATCATGTATAGTAGTAGCATTGGAGACTTGTCGTTCACGCCTCACGGCAAACTTCGAGCGCCGATTACATTTCTGGAGCGTGGTCTGATGCGGAGTTCCAATTGTCAATGCGGAGTCCAATCTGAGCATGATGCGCGCCAATAGTGTTGTCACCTTGGCCCTGGCTCCGTCTACCTCATCATTCTCCGGACTACTACAAGCTTGTGAGCAACGAGCTCAACACCACCTTCGGCCTCACCAACAATGCCACGCGTCCACTACTTTTGCCGCCGCCGGTCTCCTCGCGCAGCAACCCTAGAGCCGTGGTGCAGAGCACAGTTGGGATCTCCACCTTTCGCTTCTGGCTCTGCCTCGGCTCCGGCCATTCATCCTCCATCCGCCCATCGTCAAAGGCCTCGCCGATGGAAGCCGTGATCACCGAGAAGTCGCGCGAGACCACTGTCTCACCCACCACCCGACGGAACTCGAGCGCGTTCCGTGCGATGTCGTCAAAGCCGCCGGCATGCGCGCGACGAAGCTCCCTGCGGAGATCGTCGACGGTGTCTGGGACGCCGCAGACGCACAGGACGGGCGCGATCAAGTCGGCGAGCCATCTCCGCGTCCACCGGCAGAACTCGTCCTCGGTTTTGCAGAAGGATCGGAGGTGGGAGCGGTAGAGCGTGCGCCATCGTCCGGCGACGGGCTGTGGTTCTGCGGAACGCTCAGCGATTGAAGGCGGACACGATCCAGAGAGGTGACGTACCCCGCGCCTTCATGCTCCTGTATACCTGCTCGTGGATGCACTCCTGCTGGCTGTCGCCCGGCTCTACCCAGAACGAGCAGAGCATATGCGCCGCGGTCGCCAGGATGGTCTCGACCCCCGTTTGCAGAAGGATGGAGTCGCCGCCGTGGCTGGCCACGCGCATCGCCTCGACGACGGTCTCTGAGAGCATGCCGCTCCGCAACACCTCCTCGTACGCGTCCGTGGTGTCGTCCTTCTCCATCCCGCAGCGGGCGTGGTACGCGTCGGAGATGGAAGCGGCGGTCTGGTATATGCGAGCGTTGAGCGTGGTGATGAGGCGAAGGACCTCGCTGTCGGCGACGTCGTCCGCCCTGTCGAGGAACGATTGTGCGGCATGGAGCTCGGTGGTGCGTGTGTCGAGGAGGGCTTCCATCGCGGTCGTACGGTCTCGCTGGGCTGCGAGCGCGCGCTCGGATTCCCCGGTGCGGGCGAGAGCGTCGCGGTATTGGCTCTCCAGCTGGACGGTCCTGTTCTGCATCTCCCGCTGGGCTCGTTCGAAATGTCGGGCGTTGTCCTTGGCTGCGCGGAGGGTGCGGTCCCTCTCCCTCTCCGCATCCCTGGAGCGCGCCTTCAGCTTCGCCACCTTGGATGACGCCTCCTGCAGTTCCAGCTCCATCTCGTCGTATCGCGATTGTAGGTCTTGAAGCTTCGATTGGGCTCTCAGGAGAGTTCTGTCCTTCTTCTCTAATGCGCGTTTCGTAGCTTCGAGATCTTGAGAGTATGGTGCATTCCGGGGTACTCCTGGTAAGTCGTGGGCGTTGGGTTTGACAGAGTCTGCGCTGGAGTGAGGAGTATCGGAGCACTCGGAGAGCGCCGGTGAGGACGGGTGGGGAGCGCGGGCCTTCTGGCCCCGGTTTCTGGTGAACACATGGTATGTGTTCTTCACGTAGTCCATCTCCGGGATCGATTCCCTGGAGAGAAGAATGGGGGTGATGGAGAGAGGGCGGAGAGACCAAGAAATGAACGTCTTCGCGGCACGGCGTTACTGCCGCAGCACCGCAGTGTCACCTCTCCCAGATTCTCACGACCTGTCAGCAGACGTCTAGAGTTTACTCGACTTCCTGGTTCGGGCGTTCTCGCGCCGTACCGCAGCACGTAGCCAGTGTTTATAACGTCTTCTAGTTCGTGCCACGTCTCTCCACGAGGCGTTTCGTCGACGTGGTAGGATTCGGTCAATGGCGTCAGGCTTAATGCAGATTTTCAGCCGCCGGGGATTGAGCCTCATGCAAGTTCCAACAGGCGTAGGGCGAAAAAAAGTGATTTGGATCCGCTCGCTTTGCGCAACGCTCGCGGGACTAAAGGCGGTTCGGGCTGTACCAGCGCAAGGACAATGAAAAGGGTACGTTATGACTGCTCTCGAACCGCGCAGGCGTGTCACGATTAGTTTGCGGGCGGTCAGACCAAGGTGTTGACGCCGTTGAGCGGCTCCGAGTGCCCAGCAGTAGCACGACGCTCTCAGCTACTTACTACCATAAATATGCATGTGCGCTCCATACCCGCGGCATTCTCGCCGCGACACGTTCAAGTAGTCGTCATAGACGACCTTCGCCGGCCCTCTGTAGAAACACGACGCAAAAACAAGTCAGCGACGACAGTCCACACGCAGACGTCGAAGCAGACACACCGCCTCTCGACACCCTATGGCCACCAACGAAGCACAGTGAGTTCGTCTGATCGGACAGGACGAGGGAACCACTCACGTCCTCCGTCCAGCTAATCTGCGCCTGCAGCTCCGTCAGGCCGCACAGCAGGACGACGTTGAACTGCTGCTCGTAATACACCCCTTGCGGGCCCTGGCGCGCAACGCGCGCGACCCGCGACGTGTCCGCCGCGACGGTGCACAGCGGCGTGAAGAGCTCTGCCCGCATCCACACGTCAGCGCTCTCGTGTGCTCCCACTCCGCGCGGGAAGACGTACCGGGGGTGAGGTCCGTCCAACGCGGGTCCGCTCCGGGTCCGTGGTAGGTGAGGATGTCGGCGACCGCGTTGTCGAGCGTGCGCGAGTCGAGCGCCTCCCGGTGGTACGGCTGCGAGACCTCCATGGTCTCGCGTAGGCGTGTGCCCTGGGCACGCCGTGGCCACGTTAGCACGCGCTCTGGAGAAAGAGGGAGGGAACGTAACGCAGAGGAGAGTCGGGCGACGGACCTTCTTGAGGATGGGCGAGAAGGCGTCGCGGACGACGACGCGCCCGGAATGCTTCGTGTACGTGTTCGCGGCGCGCTGGAGGTGCTCTGGGTCCGCGGGGTTGTAGTGGACGACGATTTTGACGCCATACGTGATCTTCATCACACGCGTGGAGACGAAGTGTTCGAGGAAGAAGCAGACCGCGCCGTTCGCGACGGCCTTGTTTCTGTAAGACGTGTGTGTCAATGGGAATGAGTAACAGGATGGACGAGGTGCACACACGTGTGCGAGTTGGGGCGGAAGAGCGTAAGACCGAGGTCTTCGAGGCGGCGCTTAAGTGAGGCGTAGAGCCAAGGGCTCGCGGCGAAACTGCCGATAAGGAAGACCGTCTAGGAGACCTGGTCAGCTCCGGAAGCGCGCGAATGCTGCACGACCGCGTACAGTGGGCGGTCGAGTCGCATTTTGGAGCTGCTTCTTGATTTTCGCGACGATCTCCTCCAGGGACGGTTGAAAGTAAGACAACATGTTCTCCCTGAATAACGCAGTTATAAAACAGGCAACACGAAACAATAGAAAACAGCGCACCTGGTGAGCATGAGCTGCCCCCGTCTGATATTGACCTTGGCGTCGTTGCAGCCCATAGAACCAAACTTGATGTATGTCGGTTTCTCCTCGTCCTTGAAGACAGCCTTCTTTGCCTTGTTGAAGTAATCGAGCATTGACTTGATATATTTGTTGTCGCCGAAAGCCGAGTCCTGTAGAATTTCTAGAGAAGATACATGGGGATGGTAGCTGCGTGTAAATAAGAACATGCTCACCTTTGAGATGTGCCTCCACACGCGCGCTGATGTGGGTGGATCCTTGACGGATGCCTGGGCAGACCGCACATTATGACTTCATAGCGCAAAGGGAGCAGCGCGAGCACTTACAATCCGCCGAGGTCGCCTGGATCGTGAGAGGCGAAACAGATATCAACTCATAGCTGCTGATATCGACCGTTTTTCTACCCGCATCGACGAGCATCACGCACTGCCCATCCTAAGACCACACATATAGTCAGTCGCGGAGACACACCACATGATCCAGCGCGCTCACCTGCATCGTCTTGTTCGCCAACCCGTTCTGGATGCAGAAATGCAAACTCGCTTCGCCTTCGGTAATGAAGTGCACGCGGGCCTGGCCCGCAGACGTCTGGGGTACCAGCCCAGCCATGAACGCCGCCTGGCGCATCTCGCCCCGTTGTGCGCCCTCCCAGCCATTCGGGTGGGAGAGCACGAACTCGATTCTGTCTTCGAGCGACGACCAGAGCGAGTCCCCGTTCGCGTGCGTCTCGCAGATGTAGCGCTTCGCGCACCGGAAGAGGTAAGCGAGGAAGTCCGCGAAGACGTCCACGACGGTCTTGCCGCGCGGAAGAGAGGGGAGGTCTCGCCGCTTGATCTCGCCTGCGTCGAGGCGCTCGGGACGCAGGTGGAGCTTGAACCTGCACGAGAGGTGGGTATATGCGCGAGCGCAAGGGCACAGGAAACGTACGCACCATTCGACGAACACGAGCTCATTGTCCTCCGCTTCGAGGTCCATGCCTGGTAGCGCGGCCTCGGCGCCGGCACACGCGACGGATCCGTCGGGGTTGTAGTAAAGGATGGAGGGGATCTTGGAGTCGCCCGCAGAGCAAGCTGTTTGAAAAGGCGCGGTCAACAGCAGGGGAGAATTCGACGTGTGGACGCGCACCGAGTGACACCGTGGATGAGGGGAACCACTCCTGGGTCGAGGATCGTGTAGGCAACGCCGGAGTAGGTGGTTCCTACCTCTATTCCGAGGACGAGCTTGCGGGCCGAGCCGCTGTAAGGCTGGAGTTGAAGGGCAGGCATCGCGAAATGGTGGGGGCGGTGACGGGGATGGAAGAGGGGGAGGAGTGGGAGAATGGCCCGACGCCTCCGGATGGCGTCGTCGAGAACGGCAGACCTTGTGAGCAACTCGTGACTTGGAGGGCGAGCTATAGGTTACACATGCTGCTGCGGTAAGGTCCGACGCGAAAGGATGTCACGGAAAGCCCGTGGACGCGACATAAAGTTCAAGGGTAGTATGTCTTTGCCCAATCATTGCCGGGTGGGACAAGTCCTCGAATATATCATGAAGGACGAGTACTAGGAAGGGCACCCGAAGTCGAACTTCATGTCTGATGGCGCGAATTTGAGACGCCGGCGCACCCGATGTTCTGCATGACGGGTGTAGGACGGAGAGATAACAGGGTGCGCGCTTATAGGTTCTGATCGAGGCCCGGAAACTTCCGGGCGATCAACAGCGATTTCGCGATGGTGCGCATACAGTGATTGCTCTTGGTCTCCGCCCACCGTCACCTCCATTTGCCTCTCTCTACAACTTGTCTAGTATGGAGCTCAAGATCACCTTCGGTTTCACTAGAAGTAGCAGACCACATTCTCTCCCATTCTCCTTCCGCACCAACCCGAACCCCGTCGTGCAGCACATCGGGTGCGCCGTCTCGACCTCGCCCTCCTGCCTCCTCTTCTCCGGACCCTCCCACTCGTCCTCCATCCCCGCCTCGTCATACGTCTCCTGCGCGCCCACGGATACCACCGAGAAGTCTCACGAAACGATCGCCTCGCCCGCCGCCCGCTGGAACTCGAACATGAAGTCATGGACGATAGTCTAAAGCGCGTGCGCGTCGCGAAGATCGAGGCAGAGCGCGTTCACGTCCCTTGGCACCACATGCGCGCGAAGGATCGTGGCAAGCGCGTGCACGAACCCAGCCGCGGCCTTGTCGCTCTCCCCACCCTCGGGCTCGCGCAGCCGACGGAGGTGCGCGCGGAACAGGGACCACCAGCTGCCGGCGACCACTTCAGCTCTCTGCGAACGCATTCAGCGATGGGTGGAAATGGAGAGAGGAGATTGGAGTACCGGGTCTGGACGGCGCGGAGACAAAGTAATGTGCGTACCTTGCATTTTATACTCGCGTAGACCTCCTCAAGTTGCTTCTCACCTGCGCAGCCCCACACCGAGCACAGGCGGTGTGCATACGCGTCACGACACCCTGGAGCGCAACTTGGATCAGCGCGTTGTCGTCAGTGTGGTCCACACGCGCCATAGCATCCAAGACGTCCCGGCGAGGCAACGTCGATCGGGATGGACGTATCCAGTCGCTCGGTCTACATCGTGTGGGTGTCATAGTGCTAGGGACTTCAATAATGCTATGAAGTTCCCTCAGAGCGAACTTTCGCGTCAGTTGCTCAATGCCTGACTGAGAGTTGTGAGCGAACACGAAAAAGGGCTCGATGAGCCTTCTCTTCGGCGCTTGATGGCAGAATTGCGCGGTGTATGTTCGGTAAAACTTACGGTTTTTTTTCGATCCTACCCTCGTCTCGATTTGCTCGTCCACCATCAGAGATCTCATTTTCTTCACGAGATTTCCTCCCTTTCAATGATCACTTCCATATACTGCGCTCAATCACATCTTGCCAGGTCATTACAAACTCCCAAGAACCGAGCTCAAGACAACCTTCGGTTTCACCAACAGAGCCACATGTCGTCCATCGGCTTCAGTGACCTCGCGCACCAACCCAAGACCCGTAGTGCAAAGCACTGCCGGATCTTCGACCTCACGCCTTTTAGTCTTCTTCGGATCCGCCCATTCATCTTCCATCTCCACCTCGTCAAAGCATTCTCCCGAAGGCACTATGGTCGCTAAGAAGTTGCGCGAGACCACCGCCTCGCCCACAATGCGCCGGAACTCCAACGCGAGCTGCACAATGTCGTGAAGCGCCTTTCCGCTCGTGCGATGAAGTTCGCCGCAGAGATCTTCGGCAGCGTCTGGGACGCCGCACACATGGAGGAGGGCCGCGAGCAAGTTGACGAGCAATCCCTCTACAAAGCTCTGCAAGTCGCCTTCGGGCGGGTGGATATTGCGGAGGTGAGAGCGATATATCGCGCGCCATCTCCCAGCGACAGGCTGAGTCTCTGCTCTCTTCAGAATCAGCCAGGATAATCAAAGACATGGTGCGAGGGAGGTGACGTACCGTGCGCTTTGACGCTCTTGTATACCTGCTCGTGAAGGTGCTCCATCTGGTTTCCTGGCGCGACCCAAAACGAGCAGAGGATATGTGCGCACGTCACGAGCATGCTCTCGATCCCGGTTTGGAGGAGGACGGAGTCTCCTTTGCGGCTGGTCAAGCGCAACGTCTCGAGGACGGTATCCGAAAGCATGTCGCTCTGGGATACCATCACGGACGCATCCTCCACGTCGTCTTGCGACACTCCACAGCGGACTTGGTACGCCTCGGAGATGGAAGCCGCGGTTTGGTATACACGCGCGTTGAGTGTGGAGACGAGGCGGAGGACGTCGCTATCGGCGACGTCGTCCACCCTGTCGAGGAACGCTTGCGCTGCTTGAAGCTCGGCGGTGCGTGTGTCGAGGAGGGCCTTCATAGCGGTCGTGCCGCGTAGCTGGACCGCGAGCTCACGTTTGAATTCCTGCTTCGCGCGAACGAGGGCGTCTTGGTGCTGACTTTCCGTGCGGACCCGCTCTTGCTCGAACTGCTTGATGTTCTCTTTCGCAACACGAATAGCGTTGTCCCTTTCCGTCTCCACTCCGTTGATGCGTCCCTCCAGCGCCTTCATTTTGGACGACATCGCGAGGCAATCTTCCTCCACCTTGTGGTAGTGCGACTGTGTTTGTTCCAACTTTGATTGGACTCTTGCGAGCTCGCTTTCCAGCTTCTCCAATTTCTTTTTCAAGCTTTCTCTTTCCTGACTGGTTCCGCGCTTTGGACGCGGGGTTTCGTAGGAGTCCATGATGAGGTGAGCGAGGTCGGGGCGCTGGGAGAGCGCTGTCGAGGACTGGCTCGGGGTTCGGATCTTTCGCTTTCCAGTTAAGAAGTATAACGTGGACAGCACGGAGCACATAGCTCGCAGGATGGAGCGTCGACTCCTCCGAAGGGATGATTGGGAGTGTGGGATGGGGAGGTCAGGACGAGAAATCGCTGGGATTGCGTCACGCAGAGCGAGCACCTTTACACCCTGCTGCCGCAGCACCATCGCTGTGAGACACAGATTATGTTCAGAGTTTCATGACCTATCAGCAGACTTCAAGTCCACTTCGGATTCTTGCCGCAGCTCTCCTTCTCGGCGTGGTACCGCAGCACGCAGACACGCAGACACACTTGTTAAGATCTGCGGCATCGACATCGCTTCTCTACACTCCCCGGATCCGTCTTCACCCTCTGCACACCCATTCCCCCATCGCATCGATGTCTACACATCAGACCTACGCTGGCTCGGTGCGCAAACTCGTGCTATGCCTAGATATCGGTACCACCTTTTCTGGAGTTTCCTACGTCTTCTTGGAACCAGGTCAGGTTCCCAGAATTCACAATGTAACGCGGTGCGTCAGATCGATAGGGCTTCACATAGCGGTCCATTTCACTCATCGAGTATCCATTGGCAGGTTTCCCGGACAAGAAATCTCGGCAGGGGACTGCAAGATCCCCTCCATCCTGCTATACACCCCCGACGGTTCAGTGGCCTACGCCGGCGCCGAAGCGGCTGCTCCCGGGATTGATATGATCGTCGAGGACAAAGGGCTCACGTCCGTCGAATGGTGCGTTCTCAACTGGCATTATCCTGTCGTTCAATCCGCGCATCGTGCATCACGCAGGTTCAAGCTCCATCTGCGTCCGGCGCGGCTCGACTCGGGCGACTTCAAGACGCGGGACCTGCCGCCGCTGCCTCGGGGGAAAAGCGTCGTCTCTGTGTTTGCGGACTTCATTGCGTACCTCGTCTCGTGTGCGAAGCGGTTCATTCAGGAGTCGCACGCGAATGGGAACCACTTGTGGGCGTCGGTGGAGGGCAACATCGAGTTCGTGCTTTCTCATCCGAATGGGTGGGAGGGTGCGCAACAGGAGAAGATGCGCCAGGCCACGATCGTCGGTGGGCTGATCCCGAACACGGACGAAGGTCGGAAGCGCGTGCACTTCGTGACGGAGGGAGAAGCTAGTCTCCACTTTTGTATCCAGAGCGGGTTGACCGCTGAGTCCATTGAGGTACGCTGGGACTTGTTACGGGTCGTTTCATTGTTGCTGATTGAAAGAGTAGGACGGAAAGAGTGTGATGATCGTGGACGTTGGCGGAGGGACCGTGGATATAAGTAGCTACGGATTTGTGTCCAAGTCGCCCTTCGTCGTCGAAGAAGTCACTGCTCCAGACTGTGAGTCACCTTGTGGTTCATCGTTCGTAGTCCTCACACGCTCTGGGTGGAGAAGGTATCCTCCAAGGCTCTACTCGTGTCAACTTCCGCGCTTCGACGTATCTGAAAAGTATGATGAAGTAATAACGCCATTACGTTCACTCATCCCAAACTCGTACAGATTTGCTGAAGGATTCGCGGTACGGGAACGACGACGACATCAAGTTGATGCTCGAGTACTTCGACAAAGCTACCAAGCGCGTGTTCAAAGGCGAGAACGAATCGTCGTATATCAGGTTTGGTTCCCTGTCGTGCAACGATCCGGAAGTGATGATCCGCCGTGGCCAGCTCACACTCCATGGGTACGTCCTGCCTCTTCCGGTGCTAGCATATGCGTTGCTGATAAGCCTCACAGAAACGTCATGTTGTCGTTCTTCCAACCGGCGTTAGACGCTATTATGGCCGCGATTAGGAAACAATGCCAGATTGCATCTCGCCCTCCCAGTGTACGTCGTCATCTACAACGTCGAACTGAAGGGCAAGGCTCACGCTTACCCACCGCTTCAAGACGGTATTTCTGGTCGGCGGATTCGCGGCGAATCCTTGGCTGTATTCCTCGCTCAAAGACGGAATAGGGGCTCTCGATATCGCACTCTGTCGTCCGGACTCGCATACGTACGTATGTCTACGAAGCATTCTCTCTTAGTATCCGTGATTGAATTAGACTGCCGAACGTATTTACAGGGACAAGGCTGTCGCTAGTGGAGCCGCAAGTTTTTTCTTGGAACACTTCGTGTCTGCGCGGGTTACGAAGATAACCTACGGTATCACATATGCTCCCACCTACGATATTCGCAATCCAGAGCATGTCGCTCGCCACGATAAAATGTTCACTAGTCTAGATGGTCGAACGCACGTAAGCGGAGGATTCTCGCCTATCTTGAAAAGGGTGCGTATTTCATAGTATTAGCACTGCGCAGTCTCCTCTCAGTTTCTTCATTCCATATTGGAATTACAGGGAACCAAAGTACGCGAGAACGAGGAGTACTCGGGGTCATTCTCCCACGTATGGCGCCATCGGCAAGAGTTAGACCATATCAAGATCGATATCCTTTGCTACCGAGGGCACGACGGTGATGTGCGCTGGAGGGATGTGAACAACGGTATGTAGGACGCACCAAAAATAGCTCCCTGTCTCCTTATACTAAATTTTCTGGTGTAGAGCTGTATGAACGGCTTTGTATGGTTGAGGCGGATACATCGCAAGTTGCGTTAGTGGAGCAACAGGGACCGAATGGCGGTTACTATGGGCTCGCCTTCGACGTAGTTCTGCTATGCGGTCTCACAGAGCTTCAAGCACAGATCCGTAGGGTGGAAAAAGTGAGTCCGCGTCCTTCTTCTGTGAGATTCTACTGTTGAATTGCGCATATCCTCCTCGCCTTCTTTTAGGGCACTGAGAGACGGTAAGTGATGTTTGTGTACGCATTGACGCGGAAGATCATACTTGACGAGAAACTTTGCAGGGGTCCGGCGAGAATTCTGTACGACGAGTAGTGCACATAAGCCTTTAAGAAGTTCCTTGGAAAGTGAGGTCGTCCTTTGGATGTCCTCTGCACCTTGAGCTCACGTCACAATTGTTATCACCACCATCACGTCATGCCAATCACGATGATTAGCGCAGCGCCCTATATTATGCCTGGACTCAGGACAGCTCCGATAGTAGTCTACAATAGATACACTGCCGGACAACACAAGCACACACCGCAGAATCACTGTGACGCCTCCAAGTCATCGTCGTAGACGATCTTCGCAGGCCCACTGTAGTACAAAAACTGTGATCAGATTTCGCGCGAGCATTGACGTCCGGCCCGACTTACCGCCTCTCGATACCCTGCACACGACCACGAGCACGGACGGACGCAATCAGTGGATCCATCCCATAATAGCATACGGAAGCCACTCACGTCCTCCGTCCAGCTAATCTGCGCCTGCAGCTCCGTCAGGCCGCACAGCAGGACGACGTTGAAGTGCTGCTCGTAGTACACCCCTTTCGGTCCCTGGCGCGTCACGCGCGCGACCCGCGACGTGTCCGCCGCGACGGTGCACAGCGGCGTGAAGAGCTCTGTCCGCGCCCGCACGTCAGCTCGCGTTCTACCATTCCGCGCGGCAGACGAGAAGACGCACCGGGCGTGAGGTCCATCCAGCGCGGGTCCGCGCCCGGCCCGCGGTAGGCGACGATGTCGGTGACGACGCTGTCGAGCGTGCGCGAGTCGTGCGCCTCCTGGACGTACGGCTGCGAGACCTCCTCGGTCTCGCGCACGCGCATGCCCTGGACACGCCGCGATCGAGTTAGCGGGAGCTCGGACGCGCGGGAGAAAAAGAGGAGGGAACGTGACGAAGAGGAGAGTCGGGCGACGGACCTTCTTGAGGATGGACGAGAAGGCGTCACGGACGACGACGCGGCCGGATTGCCTCATATACGTGTTCGCGGCGCGCTGGAGGTGCTCTGGGTCCGCGGGGTCGTAGTCGACGACGACCTTGATGCCGTACGTCATCTTCATTACACGCGCGGAGACGAAGTGTTCGAGGAAGAAGCAGACCGCGCCGTTCGCGACAGCCTTGTTCCTGCGTGTGAGACGTGTGGATCAGTGGAAATGAGGAACAGGAGGGACGAGGTGCACACACGTGTGCGAGTCGGGGCGACAAAGTGTAAGGTCAAGGTCTTCTAGGCGGTGCTTGAGCGAGGCGTAGAGCCAAGGGCTTGCGGCGAACCCGCCGACAAGGAAGACCGTCTGGGAGACTTCGTCAGAAAAAGAAGCATGTGGATTTTGCACGAGTGTGTACGTACACTGAGAGTGCGCGTAGCGTTTTTGCGTTGCTTCTCGATGACAGAAACGGTCGCGTCGAGGGACGGCTGGAAGTAAGACAGCATATCCTCCCTGATTTACACTATTAACAAGGGAAAAGGAGGGAATGCTCGGGAGATGGCACACCCAGTGAGCATGAGCTGCCCGCGCCTAATCTTGACCTTCGGATCATTGCAGCCCATAGAACCAAACTTGATGTATGATGACTCCTTCTCGTCCTTAAAAACAGGCTTCGTCGCCTTGTCGAAGTAGTCGAGCATTGATTTAATGTCTTCGTCATTGCCGAATGCCGATTCCTTCAGGAGTTCTATGGAGCATGCGTGAGAAAGATGGCTGCGTGAAAGTGAGGACATACTCACCTTTGAGATGTGCCTCGGCACGCGCGTTGATGCGAGTCGATCCTTGGAGGATGCCTGAGCGGGCGCGCGTTATGACGTCATAGCGCAAACGAAGCAGCGCGAACACTCACAATCCGCCGAGGTCACCTCTTCGACCGCAAGAGGCGACACAGAGATGAAGCCATAGCTGCTGATGTCGACTGTTCCTCCGCCCGCGTCGACGATCATCACGCTCTGCCCGGCCTAGTTCCATGCATTCAGTCAGCGACAAACATCTCACACCACGCGAAACAGCGCTCACCCGCATCGTCTCGTTCGTCAGCCCGCTCTGGATGCAGAAGTTGAGGCTGGCTTCGCCTTCGGTGATGAAGTGCACGCGAGCCTGTCCCGCAGGCGTTTGCGGCACGAGGCCGGCCATGACCGCGGCTTGACGCATCTTTCCCTGTTGCGCGCCCTCCCAGCCATTCGGGTGGGAGAGCACGAACTCGATTCTGTCTTCGAGCGACGACCAGAGCGAGTCCCCGTTCGCGTGCGTCTCGCAGATGTAGCGCTTCGCGCACCGGAAGAGGTAAGCGAGGAAGTCCGCGAAGACGTCCACGACGGTCTTGCCGCGCGGAAGAGGGGGGAGGTCGCGCCTCTTGATCTCGCCCGCGTCGAGGCGCTCGGGACGCAGGTGGAGCTTGAACCTGCACGAGGGGTGGGTATATGCGCGAGGGTAAGAGAACAGGAGGCGTACGGACCATTCGACGAACACGAGCTCATTGTCCTCCGCTTCGAGGTCCATGCCGGGTAGCGCGGCCTCGGCGCCGGCACACGCGACAGATCCGTCGGGGTTGTAGTAGAGGATGGAGGGGATCTTGGAGTCTCCCGCGGCGCTTTCTTGGCCGGGGAAGCTGTTTGAAAAGGCGCGGTCAGCAGCAGGGGAGAATTCGACGCGTCGGCGCGCACCGAGTGACGCCGTGGATGATGGGGACCTCTCCGGGGTCGAGGATGGCGTAGGCGATGCCGGAGTAGGTGGTGCCGACGTCGATCCCGAGGACGAGTTTGCGGACAGAGCCGCTGTACGGCTGGAGGGCGGGCATGGCGTAATGGTGTGGGCGGCGGGGACGGGAGGATGAGTGGAGAGGGAAGAGGGACGCGTCGAGAGCGGCGGGCTTTGTGGGCAACGCGAGCTGAGACACTCTGCTGCGGTAACGGCTGAAGCGAACGGAAAGGCGTTGGGCGCGAGATCAAGTCCAAGGGCGGAATGTCTTTGCCCGATCGTTTCTCGTCGCGCGGGACAAGTTCCCGAATGTGGACGCGAAAGGGCGGATATTCAGATGAGCGCGGCCTCTAAGCCGTTTGTGGCCAGCGGAGTCACCTCCTCATCCCTTTATTTGGAAAATCGGTGGCGGGCCACCTTAGCCGAGCCTGTCTCACTTGAGGCAAGCGCGAGACAACGGGGTTCGCAAGTCCTTATAGATCTTCGATACTTACCCCACACGTGCACCCAGTCTTTGCTCCCACCCTCCTCCCTCACATCCTCCACCGATGGTACTTGGCACTATGGTAGCCTGGGTCACACCCAAGACCCGCTCCTCTCTCAGCCGCAAGCCCACATTCCGTGGCCACGATGGCAACTCTACGCCGTCCGCTGAAGAGAAGGATGTGGAAGACGCGCCCTTATTGACACCGCTCGAGACGCCTCTCATGGAAGAGATCGAGAGGCTCAAGGCCGAGCTAGAAACCTCCCAACAAGAGCTGGTAAAGAAGCAGGAGAGCAATGACACCCTCGAAAGAGTCAAAGACATGGCCGTCACCGAACGCAACGTCGCCCGGCACGACGCGCGCGAACTCGAGCGCCACGCCGACCGCCTCACCGACGACCACGAGCGACTTGTCCGGGATCACGAGCGACTCGCCCGTGATCACGACCAGCTCGTCCGTGACCACGACCGCCTGGTCCGCGACCACGAACGGCTCGGGCGCGAGATGTACCAGGTGCGGTCTACGACACAGGCCAGTCTCATGCACATGGAGTCCACTGCGCTCGCGCGCATCGCCGCCGCAGAGGCCGCCGCCACCCAGGCCGACGCGCGCAGCGGCGAGCTCCAGCGCGCGCTCACCGCCGTGCGCGACGAGCACCGGCAGACCACCGCGCTCCTCGACACGCGCTCCGCGGAACTCCGCGCTGCGCAGGTCTTCCTCACGCGCGCGGACGACGTCGCGGACAGCGACGTCCTCCGGCTCATCACCACCCTCAACTCGTGCGTCTTCCAGCTTGCGGCGGCGGTCACAGACGCGTTCCAGAGTCGCTGTGGGGTGGGGCAGGACGGGGTCGGAGACGCGTGCGCGGAGCTCGTGGAGGGGCAGATGGTCGGGCAGAGCGTCGTCGACGTCTTGCGGCGGGTCGACCACCGCGACGACAACGCGCTCGTGCAGGTCGCGCTCCAGGGTGTCATGACCACGTACGCGCGCTGGCTGTGCTCGCGGTGGGACCTCTCGGGCGACACGGACTTCGAGGGCGTGTACGGGAGCATTAAGCTGCATGGTACGTCGCCGTTTCCCTCGTCTGCCCGCCCTCCCTCCCTCTCTATTCCCTCCACCCTCTTCGCTTCCCAACGCTCAACCTTTCTGCAGAGCCCCAGGCGGTCGCGGGCCGCTGGCGGTCGCTCTGCCGCACGCACCTCCGCGGACTGCGCCTGCCGGACGACGTGCAGAGCGGCGAGGCAGAGCACGCGGTCGTCGGCGCGCTCGCGACCGTCCTCCGCGCGTGCGGGGTGGCGGACGACGCGGACGCGCTCCGCGAGGAGCTCCGCCGCGCGCACGCGGACGGGCTGCGCACCATCGTCCGCAGCGCGTTCGAGTTCCGGCGCGCGGCGGGCGAGGCGGTCGTCTCGCGCGACTTCGCGGTCGTCGTCGTGCCCGCGGAGGAGCTCTTTGACGAGGCGGGGATGGAGGACGAGTGGGAGGGGCCGAAGAAGAAGAGGCGCGGGCGCGGGGTCGAGACGGCGCACCCGGTGTTCTGCACGACGGGGCTTGGGCTTATGCGGGAGGAGAGCAGGAGCGAAGGCGGTGCGCTGCTTCTAGTAAAACCGAAGGTCGTCTTGAAGTCCATACTCGACAAGATATAGGACAATGAGATACGTGGTGGTGGACGTCGATAATCAGGGCATGCGCTAGGTTCGCATCGAGGTCCCAGTATGCCTACCGGACTGCGTGCGACGCATCCAAGCGACGTCAGCTGCGTTCCGCGCATCGGGGTTTTTTTCACGCATGGTTTCTTGCTCTCTCTCTTTCGCAGGCGGATCGACGTGTGGTGTCTCGCTCTTAAATGAAGGCAACAGTCCTTAAGCTTCGTGCAGCCGAGGGGGGAGCGCTTGTAATAAGTAGTAACTAGACGGAAACTTCCGAGCGATTAACAGCAATTTTGTGATGGTGCGCATATAGTGACTGTCCTTGGTCATCGACCACCATCGCCTCCATCTGCTCCTCTCTACAACTTGTCCACTATGGAACTCAAGATGACCTTCGGCTTCACCAGAAGCACCCGACCGCCCTCACTTCCATTCCCTTCCCGCAACAACCCAAGCCCCGTCGTGCAGCACACCGGGCGCGCTGCCTCGACCTCGCCCTTCTGCCTCCTCTTCTTCGGACCCTCCCACTCATCCTCCATCCTCGCCTCGTCATACGTCTCCTGCGCGCCCACGGAGACCACCGAGAAGTCGTGCGAAACGATCGCCTCGCCCGCCGCCCGCCGGAACTCGAACACGAGGCTTACGACGGTCTGGAGCGCGTCTGCGTGCGCGCGTTGGAGCTCGAGGTAGAGCACATTCGTGTCGTCCGCTACCCCGCACACGCGGAGGACCGTGACAAGCGCCTCCACGAACCCGGCCACCGCCTTGCCGCTCTCCCCGCCCTCACGCTCACGCAGCTGGCGGACGTGCGTGCGGAACAGCGACCGCCAGCGGCCGGCGACAGACTGGGGCTCTGAAAACGCATCCAGGCTTCAGCGACGGGTGGAGCGGAGCGGAGAAGCCGGAAGACCAGGGCCGGAGGGAGCGGAGACAAGATGACGTGCGTACCTTGCGCTTTGATACTCGCGTAGAGTTCCATGAGGTTCTTCTCATCCGCGCAGCCCCACCTCGAGCACAGCTGGTGTGCATACGCAGTCATGATGCCCTGTAGCGCGACCTGGACCAGCGTGTTGTCGATGGTGTGGTCCACACGCGCCAGCGCATCGACGACGTTCCGGCCTATTCCTCCCGCGGACACCAGCTTCGCACAGGCGTCCTCGTCCTCCTTCGAGTCTCCCACCCGGCAGCGGCTCTGGAACGCGTCTGCGGCCACAGCTGCGATCTGGAAGACGCAGGAGTTGAGGTTTGTAACCATGCGCACGACCTCGCTGTCCGCGATATCGTCCGCGCGGGTGAGGAAGACCTGGGCGGCACGGAGCTCCACCGAGCGCGTTTCGAGCAGCGCCGCGGTCTGCCGGAGCTCCTCGCGCACGGCGGTGAGCTCGCGCTGGAGCTCGTTGCTGCGCGCCTCGGCCCGGGAAGCGACGCCCTGCGCGCCTCTGATGTTCTGTCGCGCCGTTTCAAGCTTGGCCTGGGTTGCGGAACGTGTTTCTTCCGCCTCGTGTTTCAACTGCTTTTTCTCCTCGGCGAGTCGTTCGCTCTCGCGGGCATGCTCGCGGGCGTCGTTCTGGGCAATGTCGCGCTCCGAGATGGCCTTCTCTTGGGAACGGGCAAGTTCCTGCTGGGCGGATTTCAGAGCGTCGTTGAGCGCCGTGACCTCTTTCCTGAGGAGTGCTTCGAGTGGTGAAGGCCCGTCTTCGGTCTTGGTCTGCTCACTGAGCGGAAGGGCGGGAAAGGAGCCGGAGGTGTGGGGCTGTCTTGTTGAATTGCGCCATGGTGCCAATATTGCTGGCAGACAAGCCCTTAACGAACCGAAGACCATATGTAGGGGAAGCAGAGGTGGAGGGTCGCAAGAAGCAGAACCAGGGCGGAAACGTGTCGTGCGGAACTATAAAGGTGGCCGAGACTAGTGCCACAGCGGGGTAAGTGGCAAGAAGTGTCAGTAATGGGAGGCTCACAGTTGTCATCCTTTTCAGTAGGGATCATTCATGTTGGAAGCCGAGGGCCCGCGATTGGACAAGGACGCAGCACCTTTGATGTGGCGCGGATAGACCGCTCTACGACGCTTCTCTTTCCCTCACTTACCGCAGCACCGTGATCTCAACCTCACTTCCCCGCAAAGCTCGCACGGAGCCTCATCGTCCTTCCGGATGTGTCCCTCGTCCGTCTCCACTCCTCCTCCCGTTCCCGCCGCCCCCATCATTTCGCGATGCCTGCCCTTCAGCTCCAGCCTTACAGCGGCTCGGTCCGCAAGCTCGTCCTCGGAATAGATGTAGGAACCACCTACTCCGGCGTTGCCTACGCGATCCTCGACCCAGGAGAGGTTCCCCTCATCCATGGCGTCACTCGGTATGCGTCCACGCGTCCGAGACCTCTCCCCCTGCTGCTGACCACGGCTCTTCGCGCAGGTTTCCCGGCCAAGAAAGCGCCGCCGGGGACTCCAAGATCCCCTCAATACTCTACTACAACCCCGACGGATCCGTTGCTTGCGCTGGTGCCGAGGCCGCACAACCCGGCATGGACCTCGAGGCGGAGGACAATGAGCTCGTGTTCGTCGAATGGTGCGTGCATCACTCCCCGTCCTGTGCTCGCGCGTATACCGACTCTCATGTAGGTTCAAGCTCCATCTGCGCCCGGAGCACCTCGATGCCGGCGAGATCAAGCGGGATGACCTCCCGCCGCTCCCACCGGGTAAGTCGGTCGTGGACGTCTTTGCGGACTTTCTCGCATACCTCTTTCAATGCACGAAACGTTACATCTGCGAGACGCACTCGAACGGGGACTCTCTCTGGGCGTCGCTCGAAGACAGGATCGAATTCGTGCTCTCGCACCCGAACGGCTGGGAGGGTGCGCAGCAGGGCAAAATGCGCCAGGCGGCGGTCATGGCGGGGCTGGTACCCCAGACGCCTGCGGGCCAGGCCCGCGTGCACTTCATTACCGAAGGCGAAGCGAGTTTGCATTTCTGCATACAGAGTGGGTTGGCGAACGAGACGATGCAGGTGAGCACGCTGACTCGTGTGGCGTGTATCTGCGACTGACTATATGTGTGTTCTTAGGATGGGCAAAGTGTGATGATCGTCGACGCGGGTGGAGGGACCATTGATATCAGCAGCTATGGATTCATATCTCTGTCGCCTCTGGAGGTCGAAGAGGTTACCTCGGCGGATTGTGAGTGCTCGCCTAGTACTGTCTGCGCAACTACAAAGTCATGACGCGCGCTCAGGCATCCTCCAAGGATCGACCCGCATCAACGCGCGTGCGGAGGCGCATCTGAAGGGTAGCTATGTGCGCAGTTCCACGCACACATCACGCTTATCATCCCTGTAGTACTCTTGAAGGACTCCCCATTTGGCAATGATGAAGATATCAAGTCCATGCTCGACTACTTCAACATGGCGACAAAACCGGTCTTCAAGGACGAGAGGGAATCAACATACATCAAGTTCGGTTCCATGCGCTGTAACGACGCAAAGGCCAATATTAGACGCGGGCAGCTCATGCTCACCGGGTGCGCTGTTCTCTATTGTTTCGCGTTGCCTGCTTTCTAACTGCGTGATCCAGGGAGAACATGCTGTCTTACTTTCAGCCGTCCCTAGAAGCGACCATGGCGAGCATCAAGAAGCAGCTCCAGAATGCGACGCGACCGCTCACTGTACGCTATCGTAGGGCATTCACGCCCTTTCGAAACTGACCAGCCATTCCAGACGGCCTTCCTCGTCGGCGGTTTCGCCGCAAGCCCTTGGCTCTACGTCTCACTCAAGCGCCGTCTTGAAGATCTCGGTCTTACGCTATGCCGCCCGGATTCACATATGTGTGCAGTCCTCGTTCCTCTCGCCTCTTATTTCCACTAATGCACACGTCCGACTCGCAGGAACAAGGCCGTCGCAAACGGGGCGGTGTGCTTCTTCCTCGAGCACTTTGTTTCCGCGCGCGTGGTGAAGCTGACCTACGGCATCAAAATCGTCGTCGACTACAAACCCACGGATCCGGAGCATGTGCAACGCGCCTCGAATACTTTCTCGAAACAGTCCGGTCGCGTCTTTCTCCGGGACGGCTTCTCGCCTATTCTAAAGAAGGTCTGTCGTCCTGGCTCTGGTCCCGCATTCCAGCGCGCGCTAACGCTGATATGGCGGACCCAGGGCACACGTGTGCGCGAGACCCAGGAGGTCTCGCAGCCCTACGTGCAGGAGGCACGCGACTCGCGCACTCTTAATAGTCTTGTGACGGACATCGTCGCCTACCGCGGGCCCGGCACGGACCCACGCTGGATGGACGACACACCTGGTGTGTCTTTCCGCCTGGCGTGCTCGGAGGGCGCGAACTGACGTGCGCACGTGGACAGAGCTGTTCACGACCCTGTGCACGGTCGCTGCGGACACGTCCCGAGTCTCGCGCAAGGCGCGCAATGGCCCTCAGGGCAAGTACTTCGAGCAGAACTTCAGCGTCGTCCTGCTGTGCGGCCGGACGGAACTCCAGGCGCAGATAAGCTGGAATGAGAACGTGAGTGGTCCTAAATCCTTGTGGATAGCGGTTGACCGTTCGTGTCCCGTTTCTTTTGCGCTTGCAGGGGGTCGAGAAGCGGTAAGTCTGGTCATATGTGATCCTTTACACCGAAGCTGACGCGGTGTCTGCGTTCCAGCGGCCCTGCGAAGATCATCTACGACGACGACTTGGAGGCCCCGTCGCAGTGAGCCTGTGGTGCACAGCGTCCACCATGGTGTGTATGTGTATATGTATGTCTTGTAGAACGTAGCATTGGATGTTGTTTTGATTAGCATCGGCGCAGGAATGCAAGATCCACTATGCTCGGCCGCTGGATGTGACGCTCATTTGAACGTACTGACACGCGCCATCGTCCCTCTTCTAGCCTGCATTTCTCGTTGGCGGATCCTCGGAAGCCCGTGGCTATACTTCGCGCTCGATGCCCGTCTGGAAGCCATCAGCCTCGTGCTCTTTCGCCCGGACTCTCGGTTGTGCGTCCCTTCAGCCTCTGACCAGCCCTCACATACTCACTTCTCGTGCAGGAACAAGGTCGTCTCGCATGACGTCGTTTGCGCATATCTAGCGCGCCTCGTTTCGCGCGTGTCTTCAGGTTCACGCATCCGCACAGTGTTCGAGATACAGGGCCTCACGCGCGTGCGCGTGACCCTGGAATCCTCGGTGGCGCCGAAGCAGGAAGCACTGGGCGACACGCACGGCGAGCCGGGACGCATCGTGCCTCGTGAGCGGCGCGGTGTGCTGCCGTGGGCGGTGGGGGGCGACCCGCGCTAGGTGTACGTCGAGCGAGGTGCGCTTTCTTCTGCACATAAATGTTCTTCTATCCTCGAGTCCGCGACGCGCGGTTCGCAGAGACGTGCACAGCACTCTCTGTGCCAGATCGGCGCAAACACGTCGCACCTTCGGGCTTGTGCTTCCGCCGGACGGAGGACGTGAGGGAGCGCTGTCTTTTGACTTTTTTTCGCTCACCAGGAGGTCAAGAAACGGTACGCGAATCAAGCTCAGTCTATTGCCGGGGGAAGATTGGATCTGCATACATCTAGACGACCTCGTACCTATCTCTATCGCAGCTTTAGCAGCTTTGACGCGTGTGGATCTGTGTTTCCGCCGAATAAAACTTGAGGAGACTTTCACATCTCCGCTCACCGCCACACGTTTCGGAGTGCAAAATAAAGCGGCGGGAGTATTGTCCATTGACGCCGGGAAAACTTACATAAGCGCATCCCTTTGTCATCGGCCACCATCTCCCTCTTCCTGCAACTTGTCGACTATCGACGTCAAGATCACCTTCGGCTTCACCAAGAGCACCCGTCCGCCTTCACTCCCGTTCTCCTCCCGCACCAGCCCAAGCCCCGTCGTGCAGAACACTGGGTGCGCCGTCTCGGCCTCGTGCCCCCGTCTCCTTTTCTTCTTCGGCCCCTCCCATTCGTCCTCCATCGCGCTCTCGTCAAACGGTTGCTCTGGCATGACCATGACAACGGCGAACTCGCGCGAGACGATCACCTCGCCCGCCACGCGCCGGAACTCGAACGCAATGCTCACAACAGCGTGCAGCGCGTCCGAGTGTGCGAGGCGGAGTTCGTTTTCGGGCGCGTCCCGTTCGTCCGCGACGCCGCATGCGCGGAGGACTGTTGCGAGCGCGCTCACGAGGATCCTCGCGGCTTCGGCGCGCTGCTCGTCTTCGTCCTCGCGGAGCGCACGGAGGTGCGTGCGGCAGAGGGTCCTCCAGCGGCCCGCGACGGCTTGGGGTTCTGCGAGGATGTTCAGAGATCCGTAGGAGATGGGGAGCGAGCGCGGATTGAGGGTGACTGGGGATGGCGAGGGAATGGAAACGAGGTGACGTACCGTGCGCTCTGATGCTCTCATACACTCTTTCGAAGTCGCTCTTGCCCCGCGTATCCCACAGCACGCCCACCTCGCGAGCGTACGTTGCCATGACTGTCTGTAGCGCGAACTGCACGAGCGTGCCGTCCTTCCGGTGGTCGACGTGTCGTAAGGCGTCTGTGACGCCCTCCGGAAGCATCGTCCTCCCCTTGAGCTCCACGCACGCGTCCTCGGCGCCCTCGTTCCTCCCGCCGCAGCGGCTCTGGAACGTGTCCGCGATGGCGGCCGCGATCTGGAAGACGGACGCGTTGAGGTTTTCGACGAGGCGAACGACGTCGCTGTCCGGGACGTCGTCCGCGCGGGTGAGGAAGACCTGGGCGGCGCGGAGCTCGGTGGAGCGCGTCTCGAGCAGCGCGGCGGTCTGTCGGGCGCCTTCCCGCACGGCGGCGAGCTCGCGCTCGACCACGGCGATGCGCGCATTCGCATGGGTCGCAGCGACTTCGGACGCAGCGGCGCGCGCATTGGCCTCGGCTACGGCAGCTTTGGCCTCGGCGATGCGATTCCTGGCGTCGTTTTCTATGCTGGTGGTCTTGGCCTTGGTGTTGGAGAGGTCGCGCTCGAGTCGCCGGTTCTGCCAGGTTAGAGAGCTCTGCTGTTGGGTCAGGTCGCCGAATTTGCGCCCAAACTCCTTCGCTTCGCGGCGGGCGAGGTCGCACTTGACGGTGACCGCTTCTTTGTGGTGCTCCGCGGCGGTGAGGACCTCCTTGCAGGCGGCTAGTTCCTGCTTGGCGGATTTCAGCGCGGACTTGAGCTCGTCGATCTCTCGAGTGAGCTGCGCGGACTTGAGCTCCTCGATCTGTTCGATGATGAGCGCGTCGAGCGGCGCCGGTGAGGGTGTGTCGGCGGCCTTTGGCTGCTCGTCGGGTGGCGTAGTTTGGGCATCGTCGTGGTCGGGGCGGCGGGAGCGGGACACCGTGCTGGGGTTCGGAGAAGAACGGCTCATGAAGATCCACGAGAGCGAGGACTTGAGAGTACTGAGCATAGGTGGGGGAGAGAGGCAGAGAAGTACAAGCCGCAAGGCGGAGGGAAGACGAGTCGCCCAGAGTGGCATGGGTATATGCGGTGGCCGAGAGCTGTGGCCACTTCGCTTTACACTGGTCTCGCAGGATGACGAAACTCCCCGATCGTGGCCCTCAACGAGCATAGCCGTCGCGCTCATCCAACACCCCACAAAAGTCCTTGACCCCAAGGCCACGCGCAATTGGACAAAGAAATGCCTTCCTTGATCTTGCGCCCATCGGCCTTTCCCCGACGTCTTTTCTCCTTCGCCCTTACCGCAGCGTCGCGTTTCAGCTCAGATTCCTCACAAAGCCTTCGCTCCTCTACGCGTCGCGGCGTGTCTCTCTGTTCTCTTCCCTCTCCTCTCCTCCTATCATCATTCCGCCATGCCCGCCCTCCAGCCTTACAGCGGCTCTGTTCGCAAGCTCGTCCTCGGGATCGACGTCGGCACCACCTACTCCGGCATCGCCTACGCCATCCTCGACCCCGGCGAAGTTCCCGTTATCCACGGCGTCACTCGGTACACGTCCACGCGTCGGTCTCTCCAGCCTTTCCACTGAGTGCGACTCTCCACGCAGCTTCCCCGGTCAAGAAAGCGCTGCGGGAGACTCCAAAATCCCATCTATACTCTACTACAAGCCCGATGGTTCCGTCGCGTGCGCCGGCGCCGAGGCCGCGCTCCCCGGTGTAGACCTCGAAGCCGAGGACAACGATTACCGCTTCGTTGAATGGTGCGCGCACCTCCTTCCCACTTCTGCTTGCGCATATACCCACTCCTTGTGTAGGTTCAAGCTGCACTTGCGCCCGGAGCGCCTCGACGCGGGCGAGATCAAGCGGCGAGACCTCCCGGCGCTGCCGCGCGGCAAGACCGTCGTGGACGTCTTCGCGGACTTCCTCGCTTACCTCTTCCGGTGCGCGAAGCGCTACATCTGCGAGACGCACGCGAACGGGGACTCGCTCTGGTCGTCGCTCGAAGACCGAATCGAGTTCGTGCTCTCCCACCCGAATGGCTGGGAGGGCGCACAACAGGGAAAGATGCGCCAGGCCGCGGTCATAGCCGGGCTCGTGCCGCAAACGCCTGCGGGACAGGCCCGCGTGCACTTCATCACCGAAGGCGAAGCCAGCCTCAACTTCTGCATTCAGAGCGGCCTGACGAACGAGACGATGCAGGTGAGCGCGCTGTTTCACGTGGTGTGAGATGTTTGTCGCTAACTGCATGCATGGATATAGGCCGGGCAGAGTGTCATGATCGTCGACGCGGGTGGAGGGACAGTAGACATCAGCAGCTATGGCTTCATATCTGTGTCGCCTCTCGCGGTCGAAGAGGTGACCTCGGCGGATTGTGAGTGTTCGCGATGCTTCCTGTGCACTATGACGTCATAACGCGCGCCCGCTCAGGTATCCTCCAAGGATCGACCCGCATCAACGCGCGTGCCGAGGCGCATCTCAAAGGTGAGTATGTCCTCACTTTAACGCAGCCATCTTTCTCACGCATGCTCCATAGAACTCCTGAAGGAATCGGCTTTCGGCAACGACGAAGACATTAAATCAATGCTCGACTACTTCGACAAGGCGACAAAGCCGGTCTTCAAGGACGAGAAGGAGTCATCGTACATCAAGTTCGGTTCTATGGGCTGCAATGATCCAAAGGTCAAGATTAGGCGCGGACAGCTCATGCTCACCGGGTGCGTCTTCATCTGGCGTTTCGCCATCTGACCATCGCTGATCGCATGCTTCAGGGCGGACATGTTGTCTTACTTTCAGCCGTCCCTGGACGCCACCATCGCTGTTATCGAGAAGCAGCAAAAGGGTGCGACGCGACCTCCAAGTGTACGTTTCCGTGAGACACACGCGCTTCCTATGCTGATTATTAAGTTTTTCAGACTGTATTTCTTGTTGGCGGGTTTGCGGCGAGCCCTTGGCTCTATGCCTCGCTCAAGAACCGCCTCAAAGACCTTGGCCTCACGCTCTACCGCCCGGACTCACACGCGTGGGTGTACTTCGTCCCTCTTATCCCTCACTTCTGACCCACGTCTCACACGCAGGAACAAGGCCGTCGCGAACGGCGCGGTCTGCTTCTTCCTCGAACACTTTGTCTCCGCGCGTGTGATGAAGATGACGTACGGCATCAATGTCGTCTTTGACTACAACCCCGTGGACCCAGAGCACCGCCAGCGGGCCTCGAACACGTTCACGCAGCAATCCGGCCGCGTTGTCGTCCGTGACGGCTTCTCGCCCATCCTCAAGAAGGTCCGTCGCCTCTCCCCTTGGTCTCGTTCTCTCCCTTTTTCCCTCCCGCACCTCTAGGCTCGCGCTCATGTGATTGCCGAGTACTCAGGGCACGCGCGTGCGCGAGACCGAGGAGGTCTCGCAGCCGTACCATCAGGAGGCGCGCGACTCGCGCACGCTCGACAGCGTCGTGACGGATATCGTCGCCTACCGCGGGCCGACCGCGGACCCGCGCTGGACAGACCTCACGCCCGGTGCGTGATCTCTTCTGTCGCGTTGAATTGCAGCACACGAGCTGACGCGTGGACACGAGCAGAGCTCTTCACACCGCTGTGCACCGTCGCGGCGGACACGTCGCGGGTGGCGCGCCAGACACGCCAGGGACCGAGCGGGGTCTACTACGACCTTCACTTCAAAGTTATCCTGCTGTGCGGCCTCACAGAGCTCAAGGCACAGATCAGCTGGACTGAGAATGTGAGTACATATAGCTCCTCGCGCTTTTGCGCGGTGATTGATTACATGTATCGGCTGATCGCTCGTGATCCGTTTCGCTCTTGCTGAAAGGGTGTCGAGAAGCGGTAAGCACGGTCAGATGTTATTATCCGGACCGGAGCTGATCGCGCCGTGTACATTCCAGTGGGCCTGCCAAGATCGTCTACGATGACGACTTGGAGGCGTCGCAGTGAGTTTGTAGAGTGCCGTTTCACTGTATATGTATCCCTAGTTGAAAGTGTGCTGGGTCCTCATGATAATCTGCCCCAAAACAGAGGTCGAGAAGAGCTCGCCGACTGGTTCCTGACAGCCCTTCAAACGTGCGGTGCTGCCAAAAGTTTAGACGGTATCCCTGAGCAGAGTTCCACCGGAAGCACGCGGATGCGATGCGCGGCGCCGTCTGGACTGTGTTCGAGTTGCGGCGGATTGTGGGTGAGACGGTAGTCTTGCAGGGAGCCGGGTCGGGAATTCAGTCCGTTCTGTGCACAACAGCGCTGGGTTTACTGTGGGAGGAGACTGCAGGGAGGCGACGCGAGCCAAGAAGCTGATTGAGGGATACGCGCCTCTTGCGAAGCCGAGGGTTGTTTACAATCTGTGTTCTCAAGGTTGTACGATTGGCGGTACTTGCAGATCTAAGACATAGAAGTGCTAGAAACCAGAAGAGTAGGTGGAACGTCCAGGGTTTTCCTGGTCCGACCGGTCGGGCTAATCAATCTCCGTGCGCAAGGGCGTTTGGCGTTTCACCACCGGAAAGCCCAGGCTCCGGGCAACCGAGCCATCGCCGAGCGCTCATTGAAGGTTCCGCCAACGATGCAGCTTCGAATTCGATCTCCGCACTGCGCCCAAACTGACCGCTGCACAACGAGTACCGTTAAGGAAACGTGATCGTTTGCACCCATTGGTTCTGTTGAAGTCATCGTGGTGAGGTTTCTTCGGCGATGTACAGTAAGCATGTCAGCCCTACTCTGTCTCATGCGTAACCCTCAGAGATTCCGGGCAGAGGGACATCAAACTGTATGTCCTTCCTTCACCGCATCGCTGTCAGCACATCTCAAGATTACCGAGACCCGCCGTCTAAGTCGCTAGTGTACTTACGATCTGTAATTCGGCACTAGATTAACGCTAGAGTATAAGTGCAAGCGAATGGACCCCAGGACCGAAAACCCACCACTTCCACAGAGGCATTCGACGACATGGATCCAGAGTTCGCCGCTGCTCTCCAAGCACAGTCTGCGACCACGTCTCAAACGACATCAATCCCCTCCGCTCCGTCTATGGCTCAGGACAGGGCGTTTTACGACGCAATGATGTCTGCGCCTCACGAGGCCTACTGGAAGGAAAGACTCCCGGAAGGCTAGTCCATTGAATTGCTGGAATCTGTGTCCGACCCTGACAGCTGACTATAGATATCTTCGTCTTCAGAGTCTACTTACACCGTAAGGGACGAAATGGTGCCGGTTGAAGGAGGAAGCATTCTGGTCCGTCTCACCACTCCTTGCGTCGCCGAGGAGGCAGAAAACTTCCCATTGTTCTTCAACATTCACGGAGGATGTATGCTGCGCAAAGAACCTGGAAACCCGTCCCACCAACTGATGTCCGACACACAGGTGGATGCGTCGGGACCGTGAATACCGAAGACTATATGTTGCGCCGGCTCACCGTGAACTTCAAAATGGTCACCGTGAACGCCGATTATCGGTACATACTTGGTATTACCTGCCTCCCACGGCACTACTGACGCCACTATCATGTCAGTCTTGCGCCGGAACATCCTTTTCCTACCGGCCTCAACGATTGTCTCGCTGCGCTGAAATGGGTGAGTGATTCCCTTGGCTCACCGTCTCGGGTCTCAACGTGCTACTCGCAACAGGTTGTCCAGAACGTCGCATCCCTGAAAGCCGACTTGGAGAAAGGGTTCATTGTCGGCGGACATTCCGCCGGGGCGATGTTGTCTGCAGCTCTGGCGCACGAGGCGCGCGACGATCCGCTGTTCCGGAGCACCCCCATCACTGGCCAGCTTCTTCGCGAGCCGATCGTCGTGACCCCTCAGGTCGTGCCAGAACGGTATGTACGCGACCCGGGTCATCCGTGAGACCCGGACACTCAACCGACTACTACCTCAGGTGGAGGGCCGGCTACAAATCCGCGGAAGAAAATGCACTTGTTGGAGCACAACCCGCGCCCCGCACGCGGCGCGTCACCGGACGTTGGCCGTCTGTGCTGTGCGCGCGCGCGCGGCACACTGATCCCGCATCGCGCGGTGCGCGCGATGCGCGCTCGCCCTTGTCTTGATGCCGCCCGGACTTTAGCTTTTCCATGGTCTATCCTACGATACCATTCCGTTTCCGCTTGCCTCGCGTTCTCTCGTTCCTGCTTACATACACGCGCGCCGGTCCGTAGCCATCAGTCCTGTCTGTCACTTATACCGTCCCGCCCGCGCAGCGCCGCCCTCAGTCTTGCACTCTGCACGAGCGCACCGTACTGAGGGTGAGCGCGCATTTCTTTATCCTGCTGCATTCTGCTTTTGCTCACACTGTACTGTAGTCTACTGCGTATCACTACAGGTACAGAATATATTAGTCTTGCACTCTGCACGAGCGCACCGTACTGAGGTCTACTGCGTATCACTACAGCTGCTACCGCTCACAGGTTATGAGCCCTGCGTGAAGGCCTTACCTAGCAAGACTCAACTTACACGCTACCCTGCCATCTCGCTTCCCATCCTCCCGCACTCGCATCTATCATGTCATCCGGTTCTCTCTCCGACTTCATCAACGGGTTCGATAAGCTCGACGCCAAGGGCTCGAACTGGCTGGCATTCCAACAGCAGTTCACTATCGCGGTGCAACAGAAGGAGGCGTGGACTCATTACAATGGTATGAAGCCCTACCCCACTCCCGCGGACGTCGATGCCCCCACCGCTGCCGAGCTCTCCGCTTTGAACGACTGGCAGAAGAAGGAGACGTTAGCCCTCTACCTTCTGACGCTGAAGCTCGCGCCAAGCACGTACAACCGTTTCAAGCGCAAGGGCACCGTCGCGGAGATCTGGGCCGCCCTTGTAGCCGAGTTCTCGAAGAAGACGCTTCTCCAGCGGTCAAATCTTCGCCGCGACTTCCTGAACATGCGTGCAACTGCGGGCACGAACATGCATGATGAGTTCGACCGTCTCCGGAACGCCTACGAAGACCTTCTCACCTACGACGTCGAGATTGCGGACACCGAGTACGCTTCCGTCATCATCAACTTTGTCCCCTCCGAACTCTCCGGCTTCATCGCCCAACTCTCCACGCAGGCGAAGCTGCAGCAAGCGGCAATCACCGCCGCGATGTCTTCGACCACTGCTGCCGTCTCGACCTCATCGAAGGAGAAGCCTGCGATCGACCCTGATGAGATGATCAGTATCCTGCTTGAAGAGTGGGAACGTCGGGAGGGCGAGAAGAAGACGTCGAAGGCCAAGGCCAAGGATCCTGGTGTCGCCGCCAGTATCCAGTCGTCGGAGAAGCCAAAGTGGAAGGGGAAGGGGAAGGGATCCGGTGGACCGCGGCGCCCCGTGGGCGTCTGTTGGACGTGCGGCGGGAAGGGTCACAAGGAGGCCGACTGTCCGAGCCCCAAGCAGGACGCGAAGGGCAAGAACGTCGCTCGCAAGGACGACTCCAAGGCTGTCGTTAAGCCTATCGCAGCTGCCGTGGTCGCGAGTGCGTTCATTGAGGAAGTTGATGAAGACGTCGGTGGCGCTTGGTCTGCACACCTCCGTGCCGACTCTCCTTGGCTCGAGTCTAGCGATGAAGACTCAGCGTCAGCAAGTGAAGACTCGACGTGGTCGGACGACGCCCGCTCCGATTACACTTCACTCACAGAGGAGACCACTTCCGACGCATCCTCCATGCCCGCACTTGAGCCAGTCTCCGACGACGAGGAGCCTGGCAGCGAACAGGAGTTCCACCCATCCTACTGGGCCCGCGATCCAACGCCTGAAGAGCTCGAACTTGACGCCACAGTTTCGGAGCCTCTTTTCGCCGCTTTCACCACACTTCGCTCGCGCATCGACAACTGGGTCGCCACCATGACGGACGGCCACGACGACCAAGATCGGGCTGATATGCTTGAAGAGCTCGAGGAGGAGGACGCTCCCCTCGACCCGATCGCTGCCGCTGTCACGCTGCTTGCCGCTGTAGTGTCAACTCGCCATGTTGACTTGTACGATTCGGGAGCAACTCACCACATGTCGCCGCGTCGCGAAGCCTTTGTAACCTTCCGGGAGACAGCGCCACGTTCTCTCACTGCCGCCAACCAGCAGGAGTTCCTTGCCCTTGGGGTTGGGGACGTCATCCTCGCTGTGCCGAACTCTCCGTCAGTCCCGACGCAGATCCGCCTCAAAAACGTTCTCTACACACCTGACCTCGGCTATACACTCGTCTCCGTCGGCCGGATTGACGACGCCGGGTATGCCGCTACCTTTGCCGGGGGTCAGTGCGTCATCGCCGACGCAAAGGGGAACGTTATAGGCCGCATACCGAAGTCGCGTGGGCTGTACCTCGCCCGTAAAGCTGAAGACGCCTCAGCTGCGGTTGCTACAACGCTCAACAAGTCGACCGAACGTACCCAGACGCTCACGCGCGCACAAGCCCATCGCCGTTTCGGTCACATCGCCATACGGACTGTCGAGGAGCAGATCTCGAAAGGCCACATCCGAGGGGTGAGGCTTGTACCCGGAGACGACGATGGCAAGCCGTGCGAAGCCTGTCTTCGCGCGAAGATGACACGCCGACCTGTTCCCACCGAGCGCCAGGGGGAACGCGCAACGGAGTTCGGCGACGAGATCCATTCGGATGTTTGGGGTCCGGGTCGCGTTGCAACTCTGGGCGGCCGCACGTACTTCGTCAGCTTCACGGATGACGCTTCGCGCTGGACGACACTCTACCTGCTGCGCCACAAGAGTGAGGTCTTCGAGGCCTTCCGAGCGTTCGAGGCCTGGGTGGAGAATCAGTGTCACGCTCGCATCAAGGCGCTGAACACGGATCGTGGCGGCGAATATCTCAGCAATGAGTTCGTCACTCACCTGCAACAGCGGGGCATCGCGTCAAAGCTCTCTGTCCACGACACACACCAGGAGGCCGGCGTCTCTGAGCGGCTCGGCCGTACCCTCATGGAGAAGGTCCGCGCGTTGCTGATCCAGTCGGGATTGCCGCGCAACCTGTGGGGAGAGGCGCTGATGCACGCCGCTTGGTTGAAGAACCGCACCTCGACGAAAGCTTTGGATGGACTCACCCCGTTTCAGGCTGTAACAGGCCGACCCCCTCGTCTTGCCGACATCCCGGAGTGGGGCGTGAAGGTCTGGGTCCACGACACGTCCTCCGGCAAGCTGGGGGAGCGCGCGAAACCTGGCCGTTGGGTGGGCTTCGACATGGAGAGCAAAGGGCACCGCATCTATTGGGAAGACAAGAGGTCAGTGGGTGTCGAGCGGAATGTCAGCTCGACGGAGCTAGACATACCTCTGCCTGCGCGTGGCCGACTTGAAGACGACGCGGAGCTTGAGGGGGAGAGTGAGAGCGAGGACAAGCTCGCGCCGCCTGACCCTCAACCGGAGCCTACTGCTCCCGCTTTGCCTCCCACGCAGCAGGGGCCGTCTGCTTCTGCTACCGCAGCACCTGCTCCCATCGACCCTCCACCTGCTGCCCCTCCTCACGTCCTCCCTGCTCATGTCAAGGCCCCCGCTACGCGCTCTTCGTCGCGCATCCGCCAACCCTCCCAGATCCTACGCGACATCCTCAAGAGTGGTGCAGCAGTGCCGAAAGGCGTGCAAGTGCCACTGCAAGCGCCCGTGCATCGGGCGTCAGCCGACGCGGATGAGCAAGATGCCACGGACGTTGAAGACCTACTCGAGGAGATCGACGGTGTGGCTATGGCCGTGCGGATGGCCGATGAAGAAGGTTTCGACCCGCGCTCGTACGCTGAAGCGCGCCGTCGCCCGGAGTGGCCGCGCTGGAAGGAGGCCATGGACGAGGAGATCGCCGCGCTTGAAGCCCACGGTACCTACCGGCTGGAGAAGCCACCGCCTGGTGCGAACATCATTGGCAGTCGCTGGGTCTTCAACTCGAAGAAGGACGCGTTGGGGCACGTTTACCGCCTGCGCGCTCGCTGTGTCGCGAAGGGTTTTGGACAACGCGAAGGTTCCGAATTCTTCTACACCTTTGCCCCTGTCGCCAAGACCGCCTCCATCCGGATCGCCCTAGCATTCGCCACGCGACACGACTACGAGGTCCATCAGGTCGACGTGAAGTCCGCTTACCTCAACGGCGAGTTTGAAGACGGAGAAGTCATCTACATGCAGCCGCCGCCGGGTGTCACGCTCTCCAACGACAAGACACTCGCTCTCCGCCTCCTCCGCCCGCTGTACGGTCTTCGCCAGAGCGCACGAACCTGGAACCACAAGCTGCGCGACGTCCTCAAGTGCTTCCTCGACCTCACGCCCTGCGAAGTCGACGAGGCCGTCTACTACCGCGTCCGTGAAGACGGTGTGGTGGTTATTGTGGCACACGTGGACGATCTGACTATCGTGGCCCCGACGCTCGCGCACATCAACGAGGTCAAGTCGCGCCTGAGCGAGGCATTCAAGATCACGGACGAGGGCGAGATCCATTGGATCTTGGGGCTCGCAGTCAAGCGTGACCGCCCGAACCGCCGCATCTCCTTGTCGCAAACGTCCTACATCGACTCGATCGTCCGGCGCTACAATATCACCAGCGCGCGCAAGATCGCCTCACCCATGGATCCCCACATCGTCCTCTCCGCTGTGCAGTCACCCCAGACCGATGCCGAGGTTGCGCGCATGCGCGACATCCCTTACCGCGAGGCCGTCGGGTCGCTGATGTACGCGTCGTTGGGCACGCGCCCTGACATCACGTACACAGTCTCGTTCCTCGCGCGCTTTGCGGAGAACCCAGGCTGGGCGCACTGGGAAGCCGTCTGCCGGGTCATTCAGTACCTGCGGGACACGCGCGACCTCTCGCTGACGTACGGCGGCAAGTCACTCGACCTCGAAGGCTACTCGGACGCCGATGGGTCTATGCACGACGATCGCAAGGCCATCTCTGGCTACGCCTTCCTCATTGACGGTGGTGCCGTGTCTTGGAGCTCCAAACGCCAGGAGCTCATCTCGCTCTCGACGACCGAGAGTGAGTACATCGCACTCACGCACGCCACTAAAGAAGCGCTGTGGCTCCGCACACTCATCAAGCAGGTTTTCTCCCCGATGTCCCGTGTCGATCCGACCACGCTCCACGCTGACAACCAGTCCGCGATCGCTCTTTCGCGCGACAACCAGTACCACGCACGCACCAAGCATATCGATATTCGCTTCCACTTCATCCGCTGGATCATCGCCGACAAGAAAATCAGCTTGGTCTACTGCCCTACCGAGGATATGGTCGCCGACGCCCTCACGAAGCCACTGCCGTCCGCGAAGGTGAAGCATTTCGCTGCCGCGTTTGGCCTGGTCGCGGCTTGAGGGGGAGTGTTGGAGCACAACCCGCGCCCCGCACGCGGCGCGTCACTGGACGTTGGCCGTCTGTGCTGTGCGCGCGCGCGCGGCACACTGATCCCGCATCGCGCGGTGCGCGCGATGCGCGCTCGCCCTTGTCTTGATGCCGCCCGGACTTTAGCTTTTCCATGGTCTATCCTACGATACCATTCCGTTTCCGCTTGCCTCGCGTTCTCTCGTTCCTGCTTACATACACGCGCGCTGGTCCGTAGCCATCAGTCCTGTCTGTCACTTATACCGTCCCGCCCGCGCAGCGCCGCCCTCAGTCTTGCACTCTGCACGAGCGCACCGTACTGAGGGTGAGCGCGCATTTCTTTATCCTGCTGCATTCTGCTTTTGCTCACACTGTACTGTAGTCTACTGCGTATCACTACAGGTACAGAATATATTAGTCTTGCACTCTGCACGAGCGCACCGTACTGAGGTCTACTGCGTATCACTACAGCTGCTACCGCTCACAGCACTCAATCCGCCCCTCACGCGCGAGGTTCTCGACACACTCATGGGTGAGCACGATCGCACACGTTACGTTTGTAGCGCGGGACTGAGAGCATGCGCTGCAGAGCTGTACCGGGGCGACGGATCGCCGAACAGCCCGCGCTTCATGCCGCTTCTGTACCCGTCCTTCGAGGGCCTTCCTCCGGCGTACATCCATGCGATGGGCCTCGACAGCCTTCGAGACGACGCCATCATATACGAGAAGGCTCTCAGAGAAGCGGGCGTGCGCACCCAAATCAAAGTGTATGCCATCCCCTACGGGATTTTTTTGTGTCGTGCTGACGATGTATGCAGGTTCCCTGGGGTCGGACACGGCTTCTGGGCCGCCTTTCCGGACATTGGTGCTGCTGAGCGGGTGAGGAGGGACATCGCGTACGGTTTGGGGTGGCTTCTTGGACGCGGCGAGGCCTGATATCTTCCCGCGGTGAACATAACTAGGTGTAGTGGCCGCATTCTTGAGGTGTTTCCCGCAAAAGCGGGCACGTAAAACTCGTTGAATGATCGAGCCTCCTCCATCTGAACCCCACCGAAGAACGGCGCACCGAAGGGCTCAAGCTCGAGAATCTTGGGAGAGCGGAAATTATACCGGTAGGACTAGACCGGACCGTGTGTCTACGGCCCGAGCCGCCCGACGCGCCTTGCGCGTGGTAACTGGTCGAGCTGGTTCGATTCCTGGGCGCTACCGTCTCATTACCACGTGCCTCTTGACCATCACCATGACGCCCTTTCAGCCTTATAGTGGATCGAAACGAAAGCTCGTCCTCGGCATCGACATTGGAACCACATTTTCCGGCGTTGCGTACGCCCTCCTCGATCCGGGACAGATCCCCCAAATCCACAGCGTCGCTCGGTACGTGATCCAAGCATAAATGCTCGCATCAGACGCACAGGACCGGTCCATTGCAGCTTTCCCGGTCAAGAGAACGCGGCAGGGGATCTGAAGATTCCATCAATGCTGTACTACAATCCAGACGGGACAGTGGCCCGTGCCGGTGCTGAAGCCATGTTGCCGGGAATGGACCTCGAGGCCGAGGACAAGGGACTTTTCCTTGTGACCTGGTGCGCCTCCCGACTCTGCAGCCGCTCAAATTCCGGCTCTCACCTTCGTCTAGGTTCAAACTCCATCTGCGGCCTCAGCGCCTTGAATTGAGGGAGCTTAAGAAGTCGGACCTCCCGCCTCTGCCTCCAGGAAAGACCGTGGTGGCTGTCTTCGCCGACTTCCTGGCATACATATTCTTTTGCGCGCGCAAGTACATCAGCGAGACGCATGCTAACGGAGAAATTATGTGGGCCTCTCTCGAAAACGATATCGAGATCGTTCTGTCCCACCCAAATGGGTGGGAAGGGGCACAACAGAGCAAGATGCGCCAGGCCGCCTACATGGCGAGCCTGATCCCGAACACGCCAGAAGGTCATTCCCGCGTACACTTCATCACCGAGGGCGAAGCGAGCTTGAACTTCTGCGTGAAAAATGGGTTGACGGACGAGATTATGCGAGTGAGTACCCTTTGGTCTTCTCGTGTTCTATGCTCACGATGCGTGCGTTATCAGGACGGCGAAAGTGTTGCAATTATCGACGCAGGCGGTGGAACAATCGACATCAGCAGCTACAGCTTTGTTTCTGTGTCACCCTTCGTCGTTGAGGAGGCAACCACTGCAGACTGTGATTCCCATGAATTGCGCACGCCGTATAGTCTCGTTACTTATCTACCTTCATGCAGGTATCTTGCAAGGGTCTACTCGTGTGAACTTGCGAGCCGAAAGCCATATCAGAGGTACGATAAGTTGTCTCCCTTGTACCGTGCTGCAGCTGAGTTAAATTGCGTCAAGGGCTGCTGAAGAACTCTAAGTTCGATACCAACGAGGACATAAAATTTATTCTAGACTACTTCGACAAAAATACGAAACCGGTTTTCAAGGGCGAAGGGGAGCCATACTACATCAAATTTGGCTCAATGGACTGCAACGACGCCAAGTTGAAGATCCGGCGTGGCCAGTTGATGCTTACCGGGTGCGCCCATTTTCTCAGTAGCGCCTTCGTCTCTGCTTACGTCATTTCCTAGCAATGAGATGCTGCTATTCTTTCAGCCATCAATCAATGCAATCCTTAAGGCCGTCAAAAAGCAGCATCGGGGAGCGGCGAAGAAGTTCAAGGTATACGTAGGCAGGATTTGCAGCCTATTCATCGTTTGCTGATGTGTACATCCGATAAGACCGTTTTATTAGTGGGGGGCTTCGCGGCCAGTCCGTGCTTGTACTCGGCATTGAAGTCCGGACTAGAGCGCCTTGGGCTCTCGCTGTGCCGTCCTGACTCTCACACGTGCGTCGCGCACCTATCGGCTTTCCATGCATCACTCACGCGGGAGCTTCGCAGCAACAAAGCAGTCTCCCACGGCGCGGTTTCCTTCTTCCTGCAGTCCCTGGTCGCAGCGCGGGTCATGAAGGCGACGGTCGGGACCCGGGTAAGTGTCTCTTTCGTCCCCGAAGATGCCGAGCACGCCGCGCGCATCGCGAACACCTGGAGGCATCCGTCGGGGTGCATCATGGTCCGGAAGGGGTTTTCCGTCATCCTAGAAAAGGCGAGCCAGATCCACGATCAGCTTCTCTCCATCTCCCTCAGCTCATCAGCCTCCCCGTTATACACAGGGACAGAGCATGCGCGAGGCGGAAGAGGTGTTCCAGTCGTACCAGCAGTCGTCGTTCGACGCGAGCACCCTGGACAGCATCACGTGCAAAGTGCTGTGCTATCAGGGGATGAAGGCGAAGCCACGCTGGACGGACACCGAGCCCAGTACGTCTCCTATGTCTTGACTTCGGACCCTTTGTACTCGCGGACACTTCTGATTAAATGGTTGGGCACCCCGTAGAGCTCTTCGTACACCTCTGCTCTGTCCACGCGGACACGTCGAAAGTCACACAACGTCCGATGCAAGGCCCCAAGGGCACGTACTACGAGCAAGAGTACGATGTTATCCTCCTCTGCGGGCTCACCGAGCTGCAGGCGCAGATCAGGTGGATGGAGAACGTGAGTATTTACTCTCTGTTGAACTCTGCGTCTGCCCTCACACGTATCATCGGGCTCTCGCCATGCTTGCAGGGCGTGGAAAGGCGGTGGGTGACTCGTGTGCGTCCATGCTTCGCTGACTAACTCTTCGCCCGTTTGTACCAGAGGCCCTGCGAAAATCGTGTACTCTCAGTAACCTTGTACTCGTGCTGTAAATGCTATATCTAATTCGGTTTCGCGCCCATGAACATCCGAATGGTATATCTACGTTTGTCATTCCAACGCTTGTTTTCCTGGGACAGAAGAGCGACGGGGACCGAGGTCGGCGCAGATATTGCGGAGGTCTGGTCAGAAGAGGACGATGATGGGGTGAGGGCGTCGGCGGCGTGAGTGGAGGGGGGGCGTACGGCGGGCGCCGTTGTAGCAGCGTGGACGATCGATATCATCTTGAAGCTACACTGGTCGATGGAGAGCAGTTCTCGTGCGAGAACGCCTCGGAAGTGTTCTGGTGCGCCTGCATGTGGAGAAGCCGGTCAGCGCAAACACTGAGGACATCAACACGCCGGCCTCAGATACCAGAAGGCCGGGTTCTCGCTCGTTACGCGGTTTGAAGCATAAAGTGAGCAGACGCGCGCACATGCACGGCTGAGGCAGCCGGCGCCAAACACCGCCGCTTTTCTCTCTTCCGACCTCCGCCGTCTCCTGCCCGTAATGGTTCTCAGGCGCGGAAGCCGCCGTTGAAACGACCTGAACAAGGCCTGAATTACCATTCAAGAACGCCAAGTATGTCGACCGTCCTTCATGCCTACCCGCAGGTGACTGACCTCGACTCTGTCTCGACACCTCTGCCGTCGGTGCTCACATTGAAGAAGGCGTGGAGCCGGAGTCTTCCAAAAAGAGAGAGGTATGTAGCTGTCCTCACGTACATCACCATCTCCCCGCATGCCCGGTGGGCCCCCATGGTCGCTGTCATCACGTTCCAAGTCGCGCACGCCCTCCAACACCCGTGAGCACATCCCATGGGTTGTGTATGGCTTGGGCTCGCCATTTTTGGCGCATATATGCGCTAAAAACTGGCGGGTTTTCCTTTTGTGCGCGTAATCCTTGCGCTCTTATGTGGTGATCACCGTAACACGTGATATTGCCCACGGCGCTGACATCCCTTGTTAGAGCCCCAGCCAGAAAGGGCCGGATTTCATGAGCATTCTCATCTTTTCCATCATGACCGTTGTCGCCAGGTTCCTGGCCGCAAGGTATGCCCATCGCTTCTTACGTCTCTGAGCGTACGTTTTCATCTATAGTGGGGTTTACCCTGCATCAGCAAAGTAGGTGCGGAAACGATAGTGTATGATCGTGCACTGGGGCATTTGTAGTGTACGATAGTTAGTGCTAGCGAAGACAATAGAAGGTAGATTAGTATCCAAAGAATGCAGTATCCCGTATTGTACGGCCGTCTGCTTCTTCCGCTATCAACTGATGATCGATTCTCGCGGGCAGGGCTATCAAGTCTGAGTGCGCGCACGACCGTATATCGGTCATCTGCGGCGCATGAGATGATAGCGCTACACGATAAGAGGTCAGAGTTAGCGGAGGAGATGACAGAGAACCTACAGCACCCTGCGGAAGATTATCGTCTTCCGTCGTACACTGGGGCTCGCATATAATCACACAGGTACTATAATCCAATCGCGCAGTAATCCATTCGGGGTAAATACGAAACAGCGGCGTTCTACAAGGCGGACTACAGTGTGCATTCAGGAAACAAATAGGTACTCTTCAATGCGATGTCCACAATGCCGGTGTACTACAGTATACCTGTGGTGCAAGCAATGAGCGAGACGACGCGAGGACGTATGAGGGCTGAAACATACCTTCTACTCTGAGTCGAAGCCGTCGTCGCCGTTATCACCGTCATTGCCACCCTCCGGGACCTCCTCATCTGAGCCCGCGTCGAGGATGTCATCAAAGGGCGTGCGCTCCTCGTCGACAGTGAGGGCGATGTCGCCAAAGAGGTGCCTGTGATGAATGCGGGTATCGGCTGACGTCGTCTTAATATAGCGTGTGGAACGGAGGCTTACTGGATCCACCACGTCGTCGTCTCCGCCTTCCACTGCTTCTGGCTCTGTGCCGTGCGCGTGAGCTTGAGCACGAAGTCACGCACATCCCAGAAGCCGTCGGTGTCGCTCCATTCCGGCTCGCTGGTAAGGCAGAAGCGCACCTGAAAGAATTTGAGCTTAACGATGAGATGCCAGATTGAAGTGCAGGGCTTACCAGACTAGCGACGTACACAACACTGTACAGGCTGAAGTGATCAGCAGTCAGATGGTACTTTTTGGTTAGGGGGGCCTGTCCCTTTGACTTGCGGGCACGCAGGCCTCCAACGTCCCCGCGCATTGCGGCTTTGGGACTCGCAAAGATCGCCTTGTAAGCCTGTAGATGTGTGAGTGCGCATCTAGTAGTCGATATTCGTCCACATGGTGCGACGTACCTTGACGATGAGTGCTCCTTTCAACAAACCAGGAAGAGGTTGCCTGGGGAGAGCGTCGCGCGTACTGTACAAGGCGGAAAAGAAGTTCTTGGCGCGCAGCGGGATGACGCCATTGTTGACGTCGTTGCAGAAGCTAAAGATAGTAAGCATGGTCAACATCCGCCGTACGAGAAGCTGCCGAAACGTTCAGCTTACGCGGTCGGGTCCCTATCGAACTCGTCGAGCTTGTAGTAAGGGGTCAGAAGGCGGGCCGTGTGTGGGTTGTTGAACCCCCGCGCGCTCTTGTTGTTCGCCAGATTGTTTCCGGGATCCTCGATCCCTGCGAGAGTGATGATCGGAGATCGAAGTCGTGTCAGGTCGTCGCCTCGAACCTTGGGTTCGAGACGTGTGAGCTACCAGAAGTAATAGAATCAAAGTTAATCCCGACGGACACAAGAGCAGGATACAGGGCTTACGTAGTTGGCGATGTGGCCGAGTACTTGAGGCCTCTCAACGAGCAACTCGACGTAATCCTCGAATTGAGGGAAGTGTTCCCAGACAATGTTCCACACATTGTGCTGGTAACGATACATGGGATCGTCCCTGTCGTGAGTGCTATCGGAGTGGTCGGTAACAGTGTGTGGAAATGCGTATTTGGAGTGTGCTTACCTGATCGAGAATTCATCGGTACAGTATGCGGCCAACCCCTTGGGAAGGACCTCTGCATAAGGAACGAATCCACCGCCCAGACGAACGATCAGACGGCACTGGTCGTGCATCTTCTCGCAGCCCGCGGTGAGCCGTTCAAGGCGGCTATGTGATGCGTTAGCATGCAGACTGAACGCTTTCTGAGACCTACTGACTCAAGCTTTGTACTGAGGCTCATGACAGAGCGCTCCCACTGCTGCGCCGCGGTGGCGTGCAGCGAGGTGGCCGCGGGCGCGGCTTGACCTGCGGGCGGAGGCGGAGGCGGCATAAGCTGCGCTGGGGGTGCAGTGGTGTGAGCGGGTGGCATCGACGACACGGCCTGAATGGGCGCAGGCATGGCCTGACCTCCGGGCAGAAGGCCCGAAGGGTACTGCGGCTGCCCACCGGAAGCGTCGGTAGGTTGAATCACCGGACCCGGCTGGGTGATGTAGTACTGAGAGGCGGCGGCGGCGGCGGCAGAGATGGCGTACTCGGATATGCCGTTGGGCACCGAGCGCGGGGTGAGAGGCTGGTGTATGGTGGAGCCAGAGGCGTGGATAGACGGCGTGACAGGAGGTGCGGGGGCGGTGCGCACGCCATCCTGGGAGCTGGCGCCAGCGGACTTGCGCTTCTTGTTGCCACGGCCAGCCCCGTTACGATTGTTGGGAGTCTAGATGAGGCATAAGCACACTACTATTAGGTCATATACTGGTTGAACTTACCTGGGGCGTAGGCTGACCACTGGGAACAGCCGAGGATGCGGCGGCGCGCGCCACTCCAGCGGTCTGCGAGAGGCTGTTGAAGGCCATGTGAATGTCGACGGAGAGCAGTGAGGGTGCGGTGAGCGAGATGCTGAGGGTGGGGAGTGAGGAGGAGCTCACCGCCTCTTTATACATCGCGCGCGAGCATGAGTGGCACATCGCGCGCAGGGGATGATGGCGGTCGCGGACAGAGCCCAGTAGGCGCTCACACCCACGCACGCGCCCGTGTCTGTCACGCCACACGTCTTGTTTGCCTATTGTTCAGCAAGCAACGAGGTCCGCAATGGCATGCAATGACCTGATGCTATAGCCTATGATCACTCGCACAAGACTTGGGTGAGTAATATCATTTCTTGCTTTTTGTCTCACCTGATGGAAGGCACACGCGGCCGCGCGGCTCTGGCGCCTATCGCCGACTTGATTCCGGACATCGATCTCCCAAGTCGTTGCGGCTGGCAGTGCGGAAAACACAACACTCTGCAAAGTGAGTATATCGCAAACTCTTGAATCGCGCTGAGGATTGGAGAAAGCCAGCAGATGCCTGGCTACGCATGCAAAAACAGCGTCAACGGATGCAAGTATCAAGCAAACGACCATGCTGGCCTTGGGGTCCATGAGACCCGATGGTGCAAGTTCAAAAACGAATCTAGCAGCGCAGCTACGTTTTCCAAGCGCAAGGCTGAGCTGGAAGAGCAGGGCCAGAAACGCGCCCGAACGGAGCGACTCGACAGGCAGACACGCGCCCAGGCTGCGAGGGTGAGTTGATCGGATCGTTGCAAGTGCATGCTGACCTTTGCATCTTCAGTTCTGGACTCCGGCAGCGCACAAAGAAGCATCCCCTGGTCCTGCAGCAGGGGTCTCAGAAGATCACGCCCCGACATCGCGCGTCAGCGGTCGTCGCATCCGCCTTCCCCGCATCTTCTCGGACTTTGTCCCGTCTAGTAGCAATACTCTTCCGGCCCAGTTCAATGAAGCTCGTGATCTCACTCCCCCTCAGCCCACATCATCGTCGTCTCGGCCGTCTCGGGCGAGTTCCCCCACCTCTGACGCTGCAGCGGAGCACCACTGGCAACCAGCGAGGAACGAGTTCGAGACACCCATGAACGGCTACCGGGTGTTCCGCCGCTACTTTGACACACCGCCGAAGGAAGATCCCGAAGCCGAGCTCACCTTGGATGATCGCTGCGATGCCCCCGGCCTCTCTTCGAACACCAATCGCGCTGACAAAGTCCCACGCTCGAAGACAATGGCCTGGCTTGTCAAGAACGTCCAGCAAGTTCTCAAGCACGGTCGCGATGCGAAGAACGCACTCAAGTCTCCGTTCCGGACGATCGCGCAGCACCGTCTCTCAGACTGGTGGCTGAATGGCTCTCTCCACAAGACTGCGGCCGACTTCGACGACCTGCTCGACGTCATGGACTCTCCGGGTTTCCGTGACCAGTCCATCAAGGAGGGCGGGTTCTCCGCTGCGCAGATCAACGAAACACTCGATAACTACGAGGACGACACGGGTATGTTTAGCAAGAGTCACGGTTGGGAAGAAGATGGCCTTCCTCTCCCCCTTCCGAAGACGCATTCGCCATACAAGACCGAAGCCGCGCACCCGGTTTATGTGGTGCGCGGCCTCAAGTTTCGTCGCTTACTTGCACTCGTCGAAGCTGCTGTTATGGACACGACCACCTCCTACTGCAAACAGCTGCACTGGCACCCACATATTCTGCTCTGGAGTCCCGAAGGTGTGTCGTCACATCGTTCACATGTTTGATATGCTAATAAATCATGTCAGGGGACGAAAATTCTCCCCCTATACGCATTTTCACAGACGATTTCAATTGCAACGACATGCTCAAGGAGGCCAAGGAACTGCACTCAAAGCCGCGTCATCCGGACGATCCAGAAGACCTCGAGTATGTCATCCTACCGCTGAAGTTCTGGTCAGATGCAACACAGCTGGCGTCGTTCGGAACCGCGTCCCTCTGGCCTATATACATGTACTTGGGCAACCTCTCCAAGTACGTTCGCGCTCGCCCATCACAGTTCGCTGCGCACCATTTGGCATACATCCCCGAGGTATGTTCTTACGAACACTCTGATTTACGCTGGCAGCTGAGTGAGCTACAGCTTCCCGACGACTTCAAGGACTTCTACAAGAGCGTATACGGAGTCCCGCCCTCGCCTGAGGTACTCAAGTTCTGCAAACGGGAGCTCTTTCAACAGGTATGGCTAAAGCTCCTCGACGACAACTTCATGCACGCGTACGAACATGGTATCGTCCTTATGTGCGGAGACGGTGTCAAGCGTCGTATTTTCCCCCGTATCGTGACTTACTCAGCGGACTATCCCGAGAAGTAAGTCCCCTCGCTCTTCATTCGATACTCGGCTCACTCTTTACGGCGCCAGGATGCTGGCGACTGCGCTTCGGCCCCTCTCCAACCATCCATGCCATCGGTGCCTCATCCACAAGGACAAGATCTCCGAGACTGGTCTCGCCGGCCATGCTGAGCTGTTGGCATCTAGCTTAGGTTCTCCCGGAGCACGGCTCGACGATAGCGAGGTTCACGATCGCATTGAAGCCTCACGACGAGCCGTGTTCAAGGGTCGATCCCTGGCCGGAAAATGTGTGAAACATCACCTCGACGACATGGCCCTGATCCCGATCCGAGTGAGTGCCTTTCAATCGAATCAACCGTGACTTCTCAGCTGATCTAATGCGCACAGAGCGCACTGTCAACGCGCCTGTCTCAGTTTGGAGTGAACACCTACAGGCTGTTCGTTCCAGATGTGATGCACGAGTTTGAACTCGGCATCTGGAAAGCGACGTTCCAGCAGCTGATGGGAATGCTGGAATCTCATGGCAAAGGAGCACTCCAGTCCTTCAACACACGGTACGTAGTTGTCATTATCTGCCTGCTCGGGCTAATCCCATAACCTCTTCCCCTAGTATGCGCGCCACACCTACCTTCGGTCGAGACAGAATCAGGCGCTTCTCGCATGATGTGTCTCATCGCAAGCGACTCGCTGCCCGCGATTATGAGGCATTTCTTTTGGTGGGGGACTAAATATCAATATCAAGTCGCTGCTGACAGGATATTCTAGACAATCATTCCGGCGTTTCAAGGTCTCCTACCAGCCAAAGACGACGCGGTGATCAGTGGGCTCCTCTTCGAGCTGGCCAACTGGCACGCACTTGCGAAGCTCCGCTTGCACACCGAGGTTACTGTCGACATCTTCAAAGACGCCACCACGCACATGTACGACGCTTTTCGAGCCTTCAAGACGACATGCACGCGTTACGAAGTGTACGAGTCGAAGAACGAGTTTCAAGCTCGCCTCCGCCGCGAAGCTGCCATTGATCCGCAGCATGTGGACGGCCAGAGGAAGAAGAAGCCATGCAACATATGGGAGCGGCCAAAGTTCCACGGGGTGAGCCACGCGCCAGATACTGTCGAGGACTCTGGCCCTCTCGACGGCGGCAGCACTCAAACGGTAAGCTGCTTCTCATTCTATCATACTCAACCAGGTGCTGACCCGGTGACTGCCCTAGGGCGAGCTTGAACACAAGGTCGTCAAGCAGTTCTATCCACGCACCAACAAAGTGGAATTTGTTTCGCAGATAGCGAACCACCAGTGGCGCGCTGAGCTCCTTCGCCATCTGAGAGACAGCGACCCCGACTATACACCACGTCGCGAGGCTCAGCGACAACGCGAAGATGCTCGTGCCCTGCTGCAGGAGTCCCTCGAGCGTCGTCGCGACACTCCATCTGAGCTTCCGACTGAGCGCTCTCCCTTTAACGCAGAAGGATCGGATCCGCATGCAAGGTACGACGTTGGGAACGGGCGCCGCAATATCGTGAGGATTTATAACTGGCTTGCTGAGAACGCGGGCGACCCCGCACTAGAGGTGAGACCCAAAATATGCCCTCTTACGCCAATTCTGATGTATGTCTTGCCTAGAACTTCCTCCCTCTCCTCCGTTCGCACTGTCTTCCTCGTCTACTCGCAGCAAACGCGATCCCCGAGCACTTGCTGAACGAACGCTCGGACGTTACTGCCTGGGATCTCCGGATCGAAGACTCAAGGCTGTACACGCACAAGGTGATCCGCTTCAACTATACTACGTACGATATGCGCCGCAATCAAGACTCGGTCAATCCAAGAACCCACCCGGACGTCATGGTATGGGCCCCCGACGAGTCCTCTGATCATCCATATGCGTACGCCCGTGTGCTCAGCATCTTCCACCTCACGGTGTCCTGCCTCGCTCGACCTAGGACTTCTACTATCCCGGGAACTGCAGCATCACAAGTGCTCCGAGTCTCCTCAAGCATGGACGTTCTCTGGGTGCGTTGGTTCAAGGTCGACAGTGAACTTCAGTCTGGTTTCACCACACGCCGCCTCCCTCGTCTTCAATTCGTCCCACACAATGACGCCAGCACGGAGCCGTTCGGATTTCTCGATCCCGCGACCGTCGTGCGTGCGTCGTACCTCATTCCAGCGTTCCACTTCGGCAAGACCGAGCGGCTGCTCGGTGAATCGCGCCTTGCACGTTGCGATTCCGACAATCTTGACTATGCCTACTACTACGCTTGCATGTGAGTACCCATCCTTGCTATGGGTTGTCTGTATTTTCACGTGTGATCTCATACAGGTTTGTTGATCGAGATATGTACATGCGATACCTTGGCGGCGGCGTCGGACACCGCGAGCAGTTCGTGACGATCGCGCAATCTCGACAGCACGCGCTACGCGAAGGCCCTCTCGTGACCCCCGAGTCGTACCCAAGTCCTCCTGACGCCGGCGGACACACTCCGGAACGTGGCATTGAAGAGCCTTCGTCTTCGCATCCTCCAGGCGACGAAGACAACGATGCTGAAGATGCCCAGGAGGAGGCAGCCGAGTTTGCTCACGAACTCGAAGCCCTTGAAGAGCTCGACGAGCGGCAAGACGAGGAGAATGAGGGGGACGATCTCGTAGAGCGCCCCGCTTATGAGATAATTGACGACCCCGACTACTATGAAGACGACGAGTACGAAGCAGAGGGGTATGCTCGGCCCTGAGGCTGGCAACTCTGCCCGACGATGTATGTATCTCGACTTGTCTTTCACATTCTCGACCCACCCACAATATACACTCCACCTCGTAGTACCCTTACTCCTGCCATCGCCCGCGGCCCGCCCTTGCTCCTGCCATCACCCGCAGCACTACCCGACTGCCCATGTGGTCGCTATTCCGACCTTGAGCGTGGCGCGTTATGCTGTCGACTTGCGCCGCGCGCGATCAAAGCCGTCGGCGACCAGGATCGCGATGCGGTGGTACTTGTTCGTCGGCTGGAGGGGAACGAGACGGGGTGGGAGAGCTTCGCGGAGGGGGTCCGGTGTTGAGCTGTGCGGCGGAAGTTCAGAGGAGACGGGCTCAATGAACATCGGAAAACGGAGCGGACTCGTCACTCCGCCCGTGAGTGGGACAGACGCCCGCGCTGACATCGGTCGGCGTATCTTCGCGCGCACCGCGTTCTTTGCGGCGCGCACTGTTCGCGCGCTCGCGAACCGATCGTATAGCTCAATACGAACTTCTCATGCCCCCCGCGCGCGCCATGAATCACCTTGGGAGGAGTGAATGATCGTCTATTATCATTATCATACCATCGACTACAGCTTTCTGTCTACACTACTAGTGCCTGTAGTAGATCCATCATATCCTGTATGCGGCCACAAAATGCGATCAAATGTCATAGCAAAGACGAATGAATGTCACATGCTACCGTTCTGCTATCATCATTTGTCGCGCAGGCAATAGATGACCTGTCCCGATATGGCGGTGTCGCGTGTTATCGGGCGCTACCATGGAAAACACCTTTTGCTGATGTGGTTTACCTCTAGCCATCACGCTAGCACTAGCGTTCACCACCACGCGCATGGGGCGCGAGACATCACTCGTCCGTGTCCTCAACTTCTGCGGGACTGTGGCAAACGCCAGCGTCATTTGCACCGACAAGACCCGGCACTCTCACACAGAACGCCATGACTCGCCCAGAATCCCGAGCGCGCCAAGCCCGACCCCACTCCTATCGAGCTTCGCTGCATCAGTGGCGCTCCTCCTCCTCCGCTTCGCGCCCTCCTCAATGATGCCATCCCGATCAACTCCACCGCGTTCGAAGATACGGATGCAACCACCGGCGTCTCCATGTTCGTGGGCAGCAAGACGGAGACCGCGCTGCTGGCAATGGCGCGGGACTTGGGATGGCCCAGCTACAAGGCCGTACAGGAGGCCGCGGAGACTGCAGGTGTTCCCGTTCTCGAGCAAGCGCATGGCTATGGGTGCCACGGTGCGTCTGCCGGGAGGTCGCGCGCGGATGTATGTTAACGGTGCGAGTGAAGTGCTCGTGGCGGCGTGTGCACACCAGGTCGTTTCCACCGAAGGCGAGGATGCAATCACGGAGGACACTGAGGAAGTCGATCGGGCACGGATCTTGGAGAGCATCACGCTGCACGCGTCGCAGACGCTTCGCACTATTGCTGTATGCTACCAAGACTTCGACACCTGGTTACCCAAGGCTGACGAGGTAAATCACCTCTGACCATTATCATAGGTTTCGTGGACGGATCTCGCACGCGATCTCACTCCCATTAGCTTCTTCGCTCTTGAAGACCCCCTTCGTACCCGGGGCGTTCGCGAAGCGGTGGCAGACTGCGCGCGGGTAGGCGTCTAGTCAAGATGTGCACCGGCGACGTACTCACCATGCGCTCCATCGCTACCCACCGCGCGACCATGCAGCGTCTCCAAGTGCTCGCGCGCTCGTCGCTCGAGGACAAGCACATCCTCGTCAACATTCTCAAGGAGCTCGGCGAGATCATCGCGGTTACGCCCCCGCGCTCAAGGACGCGGTGTCACGGGCACCGAGGTCGCGAAGGAGGCGTCCGAAATCGTCCTCGTGGACGACGGCTTCGCCTCAATCGTCAAGGTCATCATCTGGGGCTGCGCTGTCGAGAACACCGTGCGCAAGTTCCTGCGGTTCCAGGTGACGCTCGCGTTCGCTGCCGTTGTCGTCTCGGCGCTCGCGGGGACGAACTTCGAGGAGAGAGTGTTGAGCGCGGTGCGGCTGCCGGCCTGGGTCGCGATCGTCATCGACCAGCGATGCTCTCGTTCCACTTCCACAGGGACGCGCTCCTCGGCTTCCCACCGCGCGATCTCCGCAGCGTTACCCTGGTGTTCAACGCGTTCGTGATCGTGCAGGTCTTCAGCTCATTCAACTGCCCCCGGCTCGATCGCCGACACAACATATTTGAGGGCGTGCTCAGGAACCCGTGGTTCATCAGCATCACTTTCATCGGTACGTCTGGCTAGTGTCTTTCTGTTCTCGTTCACCGCCCACGCTCACCGTCCCACCAGATATTGTCGTCCAGATTCCGAATATCTTCGGCAGTGACGTCTTCACCGTCACGCGCCTCGCCGCCTGCAAGTGGGGCGTCGTCTCGATCCCGATCGGCGTGCCCATCCGCGCGATCCCCAACGCCCCCTGCGAATGCGCATTCAAGGCTCGAGCCTCCTCTGTTGACGATCCACCAGCCTACTTCGCTCGTGGCCAGCTCACGGGCCGCCTTGGGGCGTTCCGCGCGCTGCGCGTGGGGGCCGCTTGCGTCGGCCTGGGTCGAAGGGTGTTTTTTTTCTGGGTTCTGGTTGTGAATGAGGGATGTGTGGCGCTGACGTGGGCGTATGAATGTAAGTCGAGCTGAGTCTGCGCGAGGCGGCGGAGTGGGAGCGCTTCTTCGGACTGGTGTTCCACGTGAGGGCGGCGCACGGACGGCTACGCCGCGACGATGTCGGGCACGCACGCCCATAAGGATGCACTGAGGGCGCAACAGAAGTTCCCCGCCAGCCGGAGGAAAGGACGAGAGCGGCGCGATGGCCGGTCGAGGGAGCTCATATGCGAATGCGGGGGTGGGGTTTTCTAGCGCACCAGGACGCGCACGCGTGGATCCGTGCGATGCGCAGCACTCACGCGCACCAGAGTGTATGTTTGAGACCACGCGTCTTTTTTCTCGTCTTCGCCGCAGCTTGTAATGATAGTCAGTGGCTGCCGACGCGATTCCGCTATTCGCTGCGGTAGTGGTAGAGCCGCTGAATCGGATTCCTTCGGCACGTTTGGAATTCCATTGCCCGCAAGCCGACTTGAGAAGGAGGCGCGAGGAGCGGACACATGGTTTCGCGCGCAACGACTTTGGGAAACCAGTACATTGTCATTAATACATTGCCCGCTTTGTATATACACGAACCATGTCTCCATCTACATATCGCTATGAAGGAACGTACAGGTCATCGTCATAAACGAGCTTTGCGGAGCCCCTGTGTATCGTTCAAAGGTGAGCATTGCATCCGGGCTCCCCACACCAAAGAACGTACCTCTTTTCAATACCCTACAGCGGAAGTGGCAATAAAACAATCAGATCAGTGCAAGTTCCAAATCCACACCGACGCCGCGAACTCACACCCTCCTCCCAGCTGATTTGCGCCTCCAACTCTGTCAGGCCGCACAGAAGAATAATCTTGAAGTGCTGCTCGTAAAATTCCACGCCGCCCTTCCCTCTCCGCGCCTTCCGCGCGACCTGGGACGTATCGGCGGTGATCGTGCACAGCGATTTGTAGAACCCTGCGCGATCCGCGAAAGCTGGTCAGTTCCCCTCGCGCGCGAGACGGCATGCATCCGAAGACGTACGGGGCTCGACATCGACCCAGCACGGGTTCTCGAGCATGCTGCTGTAGCAGAGGATCGCGCACGAGACGCTGTCGAGTTCGTGCCGGTCTTCGACCTCGATGTGGCATGGGTGAGATATTTCCTGCGTCTCGTGGACACGCGTGCCCTATGGAAAACGACGATGAGCGCTATGGTGTGAGAGCTGAGGGATGGCAAGGTACCCTCTTGAGGATGCACGAGAACGCTTTTGGGAGGACGGGCATGCCTGACGCACGATTGTGGACTGTGGGGTGGCGTTCAACGTGCTGTGTGTCCTTGGGATTGTATTTCACGACGGTCTCGGTGCCGTACGTCATCTGCATGATGCGTGCAGACACGATGTGTTCTAGGAAGTACCACATCGCCCCTTGTGCAACGGCTTTGGAACTGGCAGATGGTGAGCAAGCGGGAGAAAGGAGAGTGGAGAGGACGTACGTATGAGATTCGGGGTGATACAACGAAAGTCCCATGTCCTCAACTCCGCGCTTCAGTGCAGAATACAGGTACGGACTGGCGGCGAAGCCACCAACCAGCAGAACTGTCTGTCCCTCCGCACGGGTGAGTACTTCTTACATTGGTACTGTGAAGCACATACTTTGATTCTCTTGCCAAGAGCCCCACTGACGAGTTGCTTCTTGATAGCGGTCAGAATGCGGTCGAGGGATGGTCGAAAAAATGAGAGCATTTGGGTACTAGAGGCAAAAAGATCAGTATCACTGGGGAGATCTCGTAGGAAAGAGCCACACCTAGTGAGCGTAAGGTCCCTGCGACGGACGTTGACTCTGGGGTCGTTGCAAGAGGCAGTGCCGACCTTGATGTATGATGGCCCGTTCCCACCGTTGAAGACAGCTTTCGTATGTCTATCAAAGTAGTCAATCATCGATTTGATATCCTCCTTTGACCCGTATTTGGATCTTTTCAGAAGATCTGGAAATTAAAATCAGTTTACCCGAGGCATACCGGCGTCCCGCGATAAATTCGTGCGTACCCCGGAGGTGCTTCTCAGCACGCAAATTGAGTATATTAGAGCCTTCCAAGAGACCTATCGCATGCTATTAACACGGTAAGAACAACGGCAAGCAGGAATACTCACAGTCTGGCGATGCCACTTCTTCAACCACTAAAGGTGCAGTGGAATTGAAGCCGTAGCTACTGATGTCAACAGTGCCTCCACCCGCATCGACAATCATGACACTGTGGCCATACTGTTATGCATCAGGACCAGTGACAGCGATATATCGCAGGACACAGGACTCACGCGAAGGGTGTCATCCATCAACCCGCTTTTTATGCAGAAATGCAGGCTCGCCTCACCTTCAGCGACGAAGTGCACACGCGCATGTCCGTCGGGTGTGTTAGCCACGAGTCCAGCCATGATTACCGCCTAGCGCATCTTGTACTGCTGCCCACCTTCCCATCCATTCGAGTGAGAAAAGATAAACTCAACTAATCGTTCATGCGAGGCCCAGAGGTCACAGCCTTTGGCGTGGGTTTCGCAAACAAATTTACGAGTACAGCGGAAGAGATATGAGAGCCAGTCGGCGAAGACGGAAACAAGAGTCTTTCCGGTGGGGAGGCGGGGTAGATCGTCCGGCTTGATCTCACCAGTAGAGTTGAGGCGTTGGGGGCGGAGGTGGAGCTTGAACCTGAAAAGGCTCGGCAGGTGCACGAGATTGAGAAACGGGAGATGCGCACCACGATACCAGCAAGAGCTTTTCCTCCTCAGCTTCCAGGTCCCTGCCGGGCACGATGGCCTCGGCACCCGCATACGCTATCGAACCGTCCGGCTTATAATATAGGATGGACGGGATCTGACCCCCTTCCCCCTCTGTAGCCGCCGGTAACGGCGGTACGACCCCGTCATGTTGCCGTCGGTAACGGCCATACGAGCTCGTACGAGCTCCGGTCGTATAGACCGTCGGTAACGGTCGTACGAGCTCCGGTAGTGTAGCTGTCAGTAACGGTCGTACGAGCGGTGGTGGAGAAGTAATATACAATGCCAAATGTATCATTCTGGCTGTCGTTTGCGTGCTTTGAGGTCCTCTAGTGTGCTACATACGCGCAAGAACATCCCACAGCCCCTGGGAAGCCAATACCGGGCTGATATAGCAGGGGATGCTGGTTCCGGTAGTGGCACGTCCCACTGCCTACATTGCGCCCTACTGCACCGTACGTTTCGGTAATGCGTTCGCTACGTTCCCCTGGGTCATACGAGCTCGGAACAGTCGTTTTTATCACCGTGCGTGCTGTGGTTGGAGCGGGGCATTGAAAACACTGCCCAGGCTCGTATGAGCCTGTAGCCGTCTGTCACGGTCGTACGAGGCACCTCCGGTGTGCACCTGTAATATTGCGGTAACGGATTCGGCATATGCGCGCGAGTGCACTGAACGTAACGCATCAAATTCCATTGCTGTGCATATCGTGGTTACAGAGGGAGGGTCAGAACAGTGCTCAGGCTCGTACGAGCCTGTACCCTGTCTCAGACGGTCGTACGAGTACCTCCGGGAGAGCGGACACCCGGAAATCTCGGCAATGCATGGCGTGCATTGCCGAAGGTTACCGGAACGCAGCAAACCTTATTTCGTCGCTTTGCGCACTGTAGTTAAGGTGGGAGAGTCGAAACAGTGTGCAGGCTCGTACGAGCCTGTACCCTGTGTGAGACGGTCGTACGAGTTGTTCCCTGGTGAACCTCGTTTTTTTTGGTAATGCTTTCGGTAGATGCGCACGGATACGCTGAGAATAGCGAACTCAATTTCATTGCTGTACCTGGTGTAGTTAAGGAGGTATTGTCGAAACAGTGTGCAGACTCGTACGAGTCTGTACCCCGTCTGGAACGGTCGTACGAGGTGCTCCTGGTGGGTATCAAAAATTTCCGGTAATGCATGCAATACATTGCCGGAGATCACTGGAACACAGCGCACTTTGTTTTATTGCTGTGCGTGGCATGGTCAAGGTGGCGGAATTGAAACACTACAAAAGCTCGTACGAGCTTGTACTCCGTCTGAGACGGTCGTACGAGTTGTCCCCCGGTGAACCTCGTTTTTTTCGGTAATGCGTTCGGTAGATGCGCACGGGTGTGCCGAGAATAGCGCACTTGATTTTAGTGCTGTATATGCTCTGGTTGTGGCAGCGGAGTTCAAACAGTGCAAACACTTGTACAAGGTGTCCTCCAGTAAACACCCACTTTTTCCGGCAGTGCATTCATTGCCGAGATTCCGGCAGTCCCTCCATTACCGAGATTCCGGCAGTCCCTCCATTACCGAGTGTTTGGTCATCTGTGTGTATTACCACTCTCACAACCGAGGTTTTGACCACCTGTGCATATTACCGCTCTCACTGCCGAGTTTTTGATTGCCTGTATTCATTACCGAGTTTTTTGCACCCATTGCCGAGTTTTTGATCACCGGTATCAATCAGCAGTCCTCATTACCGAGTTTTTGACTGCCTGAATCCATCACCGAGTTTTTGGTCACCTCCGGACTTCAATGCCGAGTTTTTGACCACCGGTATCCATTGCTTGTCCTCATTACCGAGTTTTTGGACACCTCCAGCCTTCAATGCCGAGTTTTTATTACTGAGGTCTGTAATCCCGGTGCTCACTGCCAGTGCTCTTGCTGACCTCTGGCCTTCAATGCCGAGGTTTGAATACCGAGATTGGTAATCCCGGTGCTCACTGTTGGTCCTCTGGCCTTCAATACCGAGTTTTTGTTACCGAGGTCGGCAATTGTGCTACCAGTGGTGCTCACTGTCTCAAACAGCGAGCTCACTGTCAGACACAGTGAGCTCAACATGTTACCCATCTCTGTATCTGTCCCTCATTTTTTTGGAATGCACCTCTGCATCACATCTGAATGTATTGCAGCACATTACAGCATATTTATATGAGTTGGTCTGCCTGTACTGAACACCTTCTACCTGAGAAGTCACCCTTCACAGCAGCATGTGTAGATGTTATTTCACCTCGCTGTTTTTTGGATCAGGGAGGAGCATGCAAGAGCTGTGGGTTTGCAAATTTGGAGGGCAGTAGCTGCAAAAGTGAGAGAACAGTGTGGTATGATATTTTAAAATGACATACCACACACAGAAATGGGATGGGAGTGTATCACATTCCGAACACCTGGATATATTTATAGACGATATTATGAATGCAATGCAGAAGAGAGCGCACAGAAATCAGGATTTCCGGTGAAGATACAAGATATGTGTGGAAAGTGGAAGTTCTGAGAAAACACGACATGCATAAGTTTATGTGCAGACATGATATCAACATGCTGTTTGCTGCATCACAATTGGGTACTATTGGGGTGCTCAGATCGGAATTTCCAAGCTTATCGGTGATGAGATGTATATGGGGCATCATATGTCATTATTTCATGACATACAGTATCCTGACACAGCATATGCTCCGATTAGCATGCGAAAACATGGAATATAACAGGGTAGAGAATAGCTATCCAACGCAGAAGAGACCTTGAAAAACGGTTGAGAATCAGTGGAGATGTGCAAGGTGAGCCAGAAGTGTGGTTGGAGTGGAAAGCGAGGTTGGAGCACATTCAGCATAAACCACACTTCTGGCTCACCTTGCACATCTCCACTGATTCTCAACCGTTTTTCAAGGTCTCTTCTGCGTTGGATAGCTATTCTCTACCCTGTTATATTCCATGTTTTCGCATGCTAATCGGAGCATATGCTGTGTCAGGATACTGTATGTCATGAAATAATGACATATGATGCCCCATATACATCTCATCACCGATAAGCTTGGAAATTCCGATCTGAGCACCCCAATAGTACCCAATTGTGATGCAGCAAACAGCATGTTGATATCATGTCTGCACATAAACTTATGCATGTCGTGTTTTCTCAGAACTTCCACTTTCCACACATATCTTGTATCTTCACCGGAAATCCTGATTTCTGTGCGCTCTCTTCTGCATTGCATTCATAATATCGTCTATAAATATATCCAGGTGTTCGGAATGTGATACACTCCCATCCCATTTCTGTGTGTGGTATGTCATTTTAAAATATCATACCACACTGTTCTCTCACTTTTGCAGCTACTGCCCTCCAAATTTGCAAACCCACAGCTCTTGCATGCTCCTCCCTGATCCAAAAAACAGCGAGGTGAAATAACATCTACACATGCTGCTGTGAAGGGTGACTTCTCAGGTAGAAGGTGTTCAGTACAGGCAGACCAACTCATATAAATATGCTGTAATGTGCTGCAATACATTCAGATGTGATGCAGAGGTGCATTCCAAAAAAATGAGGGACAGATACAGAGATGGGTAACATGTTGAGCTCACTGTGTCTGACAGTGAGCTCGCTGTTTGAGACAGTGAGCACCACTGGTAGCACAATTGCCGACCTCGGTAACAAAAACTCGGTATTGAAGGCCAGAGGACCAACAGTGAGCACCGGGATTACCAATCTCGGTATTCAAACCTCGGCATTGAAGGCCAGAGGTCAGCAAGAGCACTGGCAGTGAGCACCGGGATTACAGACCTCAGTAATAAAAACTCGGCATTGAAGGCTGGAGGTGTCCAAAAACTCGGTAATGAGGACAAGCAATGGATACCGGTGGTCAAAAACTCGGCATTGAAGTCCGGAGGTGACCAAAAACTCGGTGATGGATTCAGGCAGTCAAAAACTCGGTAATGAGGACTGCTGATTGATACCGGTGATCAAAAACTCGGCAATGGGTGCAAAAAACTCGGTAATGAATACAGGCAATCAAAAACTCGGCAGTGAGAGCGGTAATATGCACAGGTGGTCAAAACCTCGGTTGTGAGAGTGGTAATACACACAGATGACCAAACACTCGGTAATGGAGGGACTGCCGGAATCTCGGTAATGGAGGGACTGCCGGAATCTCGGCAATGAATGCACTGCCGGAAAAAGTGGGTGTTTACTGGAGGACACCTTGTACAAGTGTTTGCACTGTTTGAACTCCGCTGCCACAACCAGAGCATATACAGCACTAAAATCAAGTGCGCTATTCTCGGCACACCCGTGCGCATCTACCGAACGCATTACCGAAAAAAACGAGGTTCACCGGGGGACAACTCGTACGACCGTCTCAGACGGAGTACAAGCTCGTACGAGCTTTTGTAGTGTTTCAATTCCGCCACCTTGACCATGCCACGCACAGCAATAAAACAAAGTGCGCTGTGTTCCAGTGATCTCCGGCAATGTATTGCATGCATTACCGGAAATTTTTGATACCCACCAGGAGCACCTCGTACGACCGTTCCAGACGGGGTACAGACTCGTACGAGTCTGCACACTGTTTCGACAATACCTCCTTAACTACACCAGGTACAGCAATGAAATTGAGTTCGCTATTCTCAGCGTATCCGTGCGCATCTACCGAAAGCATTACCAAAAAAAACGAGGTTCACCAGGGAACAACTCGTACGACCGTCTCACACAGGGTACAGGCTCGTACGAGCCTGCACACTGTTTCGACTCTCCCACCTTAACTACAGTGCGCAAAGCGACGAAATAAGGTTTGCTGCGTTCCGGTAACCTTCGGCAATGCACGCCATGCATTGCCGAGATTTCCGGGTGTCCGCTCTCCCGGAGGTACTCGTACGACCGTCTGAGACAGGGTACAGGCTCGTACGAGCCTGAGCACTGTTCTGACCCTCCCTCTGTAACCACGATATGCACAGCAATGGAATTTGATGCGTTACGTTCAGTGCACTCGCGCGCATATGCCGAATCCGTTACCGCAATATTACAGGTGCACACCGGAGGTGCCTCGTACGACCGTGACAGACGGCTACAGGCTCATACGAGCCTGGGCAGCGTTTTTGTTACCCCAGGCCAACCATGGCACGCATCGCAACGAAATTGAGTGCGCTGCGTTCGGTACAGTAACGCGCATCTGCCGAATCCATTACCGCAATATTCCGGGTGCACACCGGAGGTGCCTCGTACGACCGTGACAGACGGCTACAGGCTCGTACGAGTCTGGGCAGTGTTTTCAATGCCCCGCTCCAACCACAGCACGCACGGTGATAAAAACGACTGTTCCGAGCTCGTATGACCCAGGGGAACGTAGCGAACGCATTACCGAAACGTACGGTGCAGTAGGGCGCAATGTAGGCAGTGGGACGTGCCACTACCGGAACCAGCATCCCCTGCTATATCAGCCCGGTATTGGCTTCCCAGGGGCTGTAGAATATCGTTTTCATTGTTGTTGTACCAATTACAATGTACTAGGGTATGTAGGAGAGTTGGAAAAGCACTAAGCTATCAAGGGGAACTACCTGCCCCCCACATCTCGTACGACCGTTACTGACGGCTACATTACCGGAGCTCGTACGAGCTCGTATGGCCGTTACCGACGGCAACGCGGGCACCTCGTATGGGCGTTACCGACGGGCTACAGCACTGCCACCGAGTGGGGATCTTACAGTTGCCTGCATCGCCTTCCAGACCAGGGAAGCTACCGGGAAAGGTCGTAAATGAGGATAGTACGTGCACATGTTTCCGACGTTCCATACCGGGTGACGCTGTTGACTTGAGGGACTTTGCCAGGGCTGAGGAAGGCATATGCAACGCCAGAATGAGAGGTGCCGACGTCGATGCTGATGATGAGTTTAGGCACTGTGCCGTCGTAGACGGAGTCGGAGGGTGGCATGTACAAGGAGCAGGTGAGGTGACCGAGCCAAAGGGTCGAAGTAGGCGGTCCTGAGGACGGCAGCGCACGACCGCGGCGCGGCGGAGAGCAAGACGCGCTCGTTATCGCGAACGTCCTGCTCGGGCGGACGGTGGACACGTGGCTGTGGCGTGCGAACCGCACAGATCCCTGCCAGCACGACCCCTCGGAAGACGAGTCGCAAGTGCCCCCTCCAAAACGACGGAAAACGGTACATAGTACGACGTAATGACTCCCCAGACCGCGTATCACGAAAAGGAGCAGGAGCTGGCCCACGCGACACGCACGCCCAACTCAGCCGCTCGCGCTGCGGTACACTACAAGAAACGAGCCGATCTGTTCGAAGCGCAGGTCCTCTCGCTACAGCTCCGTATCGCGGAGCTCGAGCGCACTCTCGCAGCCGTCCAACGCCAAGCCCACGACAACGCCAAACTCCTCGACATACGTACCACCGAGCTTCACGCCGCAGAGTCCTTCCTCTCCTCCGCCGGCGATCTCCCTGAGAGCGATGTTCTCGACCTCGTCAAAAACATCAATACCCAGATCTTCCAGATCTCGACCACCATTGCAGATACATACCAAGACCGCTATAGTGCAGACCGGGACGACATAAAGAGTGCAACCATCTGGCTGAAGAAATTCTTCGGCTCCATCGATATCGTCGGTCCCTTGCGAGATGCGGTGTCCAGCCCTGACGACGCCCCCTTCTTCGTGCAAATCGCGCTCCAAGGCTTCATGGTCTCGTTAGTGCACGTCATCTGCGGCACCTGGGACTTTACCACGAACAGCCAGCTTCAAGACTCCTTGTCACGGCTGCAGAAGAGCATCGCCGCAGCCGGTACGGGGCCTCTCTCTCAACGCGCGTAGACCGATCTCCGCTGACAGCACTGGCACAGAACCGCAGTCCGTCTCCGGGCGTTGGCGCGCCCTGTGCCGGTCGCACATCCGCATGCTTATGGATGCGGACACCAAGGTGGTCCCCCGGGCGGAGAAGGAGATGGTGGAGGGAGTGTCGGCCGTCCTGTGGGCGTTCGGCGTCCACGACGGCGCGATCGAAGAGCTCTGCGATCTGGTGTCCGCCGCGCACACTCCAGCGCTGCGCGACATTGTGCTCCAGGCACTCGAATTCCGCCGCGCGGCGGGGGAGAGGGTCGTCTCGTGCGACTTGGAGGTCGTCCTTTGTCGATGCGGCCTACAGTTCGACGACACGCTGATGGACGACGAGTGGGCGGATCCCAAGGCATCACGGAGACGGAAGTTGGGGAATCAGCAAGTGCTGTGCACGACGGCGCTGGGTCTAGTCCGACAGAACGAGGTGAAGGGAGCGAAGGACGGGGAGGAGGATAGCGGGCACGACAACGGCGACGGCTGCAGGAGAAGGTGCACGATACTGTTGAAGCCCAAGGTTACGCTATCGTCGGTGTTGAAAAGGGCGTAGATTGTCGATACTGTACGCAGCCCTGGTGCACGAGACGCTTCGAAGATAATGCGAGCCTCACAATGTTGGTAGTGTACAAAGTGTGAATACGGGGAGTGGCGACATGAAATATATGGGTGGCGATGTGAGTTCCGTGAGTAGTAGTCGGCGAGTATGGATCAGAAAGCGACAGCGATAGCAAGTAGGACGAAAGCGCCAAATATCAAGGGTCGATCACATAAACACCTTCCTTAGCTGCACGTTCAGAGCTCCGTAGTCTTCCTCCGGGAGAGTCGGCAGGGGTTCTACATGAGATGTGCTAAACCGCCTAAACCTCCCTGGGGCTGCATCCACCGTTCTCAGCACATTATTTACAGCCTCCGCGAGGTACCCGAGTGTCGGCCATCGCAGGAGCGATGCCGATAGCTGTCCATCCGCTATGCGACGCCGGTGCGCCAGCGACGCACTGAGATTCGAGGCGATCGCTTCCGCACGGATCAGCGCACGCAGGACGAGTACGAGCGCCAGCGCGGCGCGGGGAGGGTTGTCCACAGGAAGCGGATCGATCTTGTACCGAGCTTCCTTCAGGGCGTCGGCCATCCTTTCCATGGCGATGAACTTCTCCGTCATCTGGCGTGCGGAGTGACTCGCGCGAACAGATTCCATGAACCCTTGCCATATGACAGGGAGGACGAGGACGTCGGTGGCGATGAGTACCGCAGAGACCACGGGGTAGAAAGGTATGGTGAGGTATTTCTGTCACGGTCCGACGCGAAATACGAACCCAAAGTCAGCAGCACGCGAGTGGGAAGGAAGCCGAAAAAGCGTACGAAAGTGCGTATGGATGAGGCGAGAGCGACCATGCCGAAGATTTGGAATTTTTCTCGGCGTACTTGCCTGCGGATCTTGACTTCCTCAACGGCGACGAAGTCCGTTGTCAACTCCGTGTGACACCTGGGTCCAGGGCAGTTGATGATCGCCATAGCTGCTAGATCGAGGGTCTGCGGAGTGCTCAGCAGCAGCCGGCCGAGCAGCCACACCTACTCTTACTTTCGCAATGTCTGTAGATGCTTCTTCGATCAACAAGCGCGACACCCACAGAGAACCGGAGTTCTCCGTCGACTCTGTCATTGGCAGAGTCTTAAGCGCGGCAACGATGGCGTTTACGTTGTTGACGACAGCGTCGAGATAGGTGTGGAGAATGAATAGTATGTGATGGTGCGGAAGAGCGGGGCAGGGGGCTCTCCTCGCGACCAGGTGAGGTGCTACATGGCTCCCTGTGAAGGTGGTCACTACCGGTACACACCTCAAGTGAGTGAGTTGACTCACAGCACGGACACGTTGAATCCGATGAGGTCTCATGCTTACTTAGACGTTTGTCGGTACGACCTTCTTCGGCGCCCTGCGTATTCTGCTCCATCCCGTAATCCTCACCAGTGGGAACAAGATGGTAGATAGTCAAGATACGACAACGGCGCGCGGGCGGCTGATTTGTCACTTGCGGACGACCCATCGGAGTTTTAATGTCGTACACCTTACACTTATTTGCGATTCAACTCCGATAGGCCTGGGAACGCGAGCGCTTCTTGTCTCGTTTCGATCCACGACCACGTTGTCACGACCATCGCCAACCGCACACGTAGAGAAGGTGACCTATGAGCACTGATACTAGTACCACTTGGCCAGGAGGAACTTCGGGTATGCAACTCACGTACGCTTCCCATTCCGAATATGATCACACGTGCTCAACGCGTGGGCTCACTCGGAACTGACAAGCTCGGACATCTCGCCGTCGGCCGAAATACTAATAATTCACACCCTAGGCCTGTTGTGGTCATCCTTCCCCGACGCCATATGCGACAGCTTGCAAAATTATTTTCTGCAGCCAGTTCGACCCTTCTAGATGGCTCGTGCATTCAAACTACTGACGGGACCGAATCCCCAGCCCCTCGATAAACGTAAGCCTTTTCACCTCCAAGCTCCCATCGCTTGGGAAAGCTCACAGACTGCTTACCCTCAGCACTCCGACCGCCTCAGATGCCTCCTCATTCCAAGCCGTTCGACACCCCTTTCGACATCCCCTATATACCACCTATCACCCTTGTCGAGCTCAGGATGAGTTACTACTCCGGCGAGATTCGCTCGAGGCCGCGGTGGTGGATGAAGATCCACGAACCACCCATCGCTGCGACGTGGCACGAGGAGATCGTGGAGCACGATCGCGTAACGCACGACGTCCTATGGGGAGGAGAGCGTCGTTTTTAGCTCTACAAGCAAGACGAGGAGGACGGCCCAAAGTGGGATGGTGTGAAGTGGCGGCCGCGTGATTCGCTGACTGAGGCCCAGCTCAGCTACATTTTCGACGAGCTGCGGTACGAAGCCTCAAAGCGCGATCCTGCGACCGGGATATTTGTGAGTGCGAGGAGCGTCATTCCAAGCTTCTCGCTGACAATTTTACATTTCAGGCGAGCAGCATCCGGAAGGTCTATGAGTCTCATTCCCTCATCGATACGGAGCTTAGAGAGCGGCTTGTCAAAGCGACGTCCATTATTGAAACCGACTCCGATGACGACAAGGACTGGCACTCTGGTCCTGGAGGACGATGTTTCGATCTCGTTGATCCCTCTCTATATCCCATCTCCATCGGCCACGGTCTTTTTTGCCCCCCAAACCCCTCCGCGGGCCAGGAGCCAGAGCTTATGCTGCTCGACAACGACAGGTACCTTGAAGCACGCCCCGACCTCAAAGACATCAGCACGTTCCGCGCCTACGCCGTCTCACCGGCTTACCAGTGGTTGCCAACAGACTTCGCAGTCTCCGCAGACGGCAATGCCACCGCGCTCGGGTACATCAACAACGTCCACCCGTTCCGGCACCGCGCGCTCTACCCTGCCATCACATCGAGAGTCGTCGCGCGCTTCGTGCCCATGTTCGAGCGCGTGCTCATCGACGTCCTCTACCCCCCGTCGAAGCCAACCAAGAACGTCGGCGACTGGTACAAGCACATCGAGGCTTCTGCACCGCCGTGGGAGCCGAAGGACACGTACTACAAGCGTCGCGCCGAATGGGCACGCATACACGAGTGGCTTCACGTCCCCGAGCCCGAGGCTTTCGCGCCCCCGTCCGCAGACAACCCACGCTTTGAGTTCTCGCTCCGCGGGCGCACAATCCAGGTCGTTATCAAGCACACGGAAGTTCGCCTTACGCCCGAGGACTCGACCTATCCCGGGGACGTGTGGCACGTCGAGGGCATGGCGAACGAGCGCATCGTCGCGACGGCGCTCTACTGCTACGCCATGGAGAACGTCACCGTGAGCCGGATCGCGTTCCGGCAGCGCGTCGGCGCGGGCGAGTACGGGAACGACCTCCCGCGTGGCGACAACAAGGGGTACGGCGTCGTGCACGGCCTGCGGGCGCACGGGCGCTCAGCCAGCCGCTGGGGCATGTCGCGCTGGGGGAGGACAAGTGCGTCGCGTTCCCGAACGTGTACCAGCACCGCGAGGAGCCGTTTGAGCTGGTGGACAAGACGCGGCCGGGGCGTCGGAAGCTCCTCGCGCTCTTTTTGGTGGACCCGAACGTACGGATCTTGTCCCCGGCGGACGTGCCGCCCCAGCAGCGCGAGTGGACGCTCGCGGAGGCGGAGAAGGCGCTGGTGGTGCAGAATCTGCCGCAAGAGCCCGTCGATATGATCGTCGGGTTCGCGGAGGACGGGTTCATGACTAGGGAGCAGGCGGAGAAACATCGGCTGAAACTAATGGAGGAGTGATCGGTATTTATCGATGCACATAACGAGCATACGTTTGAGGAGAGGTTCATGATGTGGGATGGTTGGGATCAGAATGCGCGTGCACGTAGATTACACGTAAGATACGTCTTATCTAATCCTGAGTTCAAGGCTTCGTACTCAGAGCCAAGAAATGAGCGCAAAGATTGACTTGCTCTTTTCTAGCCCCCCTACCACGTCTTTCACAGCCAGAACGAAGTCCTTGAATGTCGGAAACATCTCGAGTGATGATGGCGGCCCCCCATCCTTCATCCTGCACACCTGTACGGCCAAGCCTCAGTGCGCGATGAAACAATTCGTATCATAGTCATTACGTCGTGAGGATACGGATGTACAGTAGAAATATGTGCAGTGTCCAATTAAAAGAGAAACGTCATCGAACTCAGACAGACGGCACCGGCGCCGCGCCAGCCACCTCATCTTCATCCACCAACCCGAGCTCGTACACGATCGTGTCGAGCACGACCTGCGGCTTCAGCAGCATCATCGTCGTAATCCCATCGCCCTCGCCAGCGCCCTCGACCTTGACCGTGCGCCGGAGCCCGAGATCAACCGTCGCAAGCACGCGCGGGACGGTCCCGGGCGGGCCCGCGGCGCCGATCTCCCCGTGGTAGATGTCCTCCATGCGCGCGCCGTCGAACGCCTCGTCGATCCGCACCACGTGCACCTCGTAGTCCGCCGCGAGGACGTCCTCACCCGCGAGGCGCTGCAGGTCGAGCGCGGCGCGGACGACGGCGTCGACGTGGCCCGCGTGCGCGGCGTACAGCGCAGGGGGCGGCGGCACCGCGCCGTGCGCGAGCGTGAGCAGGTCCGCGACGCGCTCGGCGAGCTGCGCGGCGAAGTCGCCGGCGAGGTCGCGCCCGTTGTAGAGCTTGCGCTTCGAGTACTTGCGTGCGCGGGCGCGCCACTCGGCCGCGGTGCGCTGGGACTCTGCGCGGCATGTTGAGCACTGGGGCGGTGCGCGGCGGAAGGGAAGGGGAGAGACGTACCTGAGCGCCGGAGTTCCCGGTAGGCCCCAGCGAAGACGGACCGGCTCTGGGGCTGGAAGTCCCACGAGCAGACCATTTCAGCGACGAACGCTACCATGTCCGCCTTGAGTGCGATGTCGATCAGGATCGGATCTTCCTGGTGGTGGATGGATTCGAGGAGCTCGGCCATGACTGGGCCAACAGCCTCCCGCGCGCGTTCGAACGCCGCGGCGACCTTCAGCGGCTCCGGAGTCTCAGCGACGCGGAAGGTGTTCGTGACCCGGGACGCGACCTCGGAGATCTCGAAGTTCAGAGTGCGGACGATCTGCAGGACGGTGTTGTCCAGCGTGGAGATGGGGGAAGTGACTGGTGACGTCACCAGGGACGCTTGCAGGGACTCTTGGCGGGGCGTCTTGTCGTCGTCGTCCATCACAAGCCGCGGGGGATCAACGTAAAGCGGAGGAGGCGATGCCGCGGCGCCGTCGCGGAGTCGATTCTGCAGCTCGTCGATCTCCTCGCGCTGCGCCGCCAGCTGCCTGTCCTTCTCCCTCAGCGCCTCCTCGCGAGCGCGTACCGCCTCGCGTGTGAGCGCGTCCATCCGGCCCCAGAACTCCCCCTCCGCCCGCTTCTCCTCCATCGCGGCGCGCGCGGCCTCCGCTTGGGCACGGAGTCGCTCGGCCTCGGCATGGGCGCGTTTCGCGGCGGCACGGAGCTCCGTGTTTTCAGCGCGCATCCGGCGCGCGACCGACGTGGCGATCCCAAGTGTGGATAGGACAAGCGCGACCTTGCACGCGGTCGCGGCGAGAGAGAAGAGCGAGGAACAGGAGGGGGGCATCACTAGAGACGGGGCTGATGGAGCCCGAAGTGGAAGTGGTTGAACGGTAGCCAAGGACTGTGATCAATGCCAGCAGCGGGCAGGGGTCATCGGAGATCGTGGACGATAGAATGGAAAGGAAAGAGGGAAGAGAAAGGCGATGAGGGACCCGCGCACGACGCGCGTAGACATATCGGCTGCGTTACGGGCCACGCCCCCTCCGCCCGACCAGGCTGTGCGCCCGTCGGAGGGGCGCGCGACGCGTGGGGGCCGCCTGCTGATGACTCGTGGACGCGAGGCGCAAGTCCTCGAGGTGCGGTGAGAGGTGGAGGCGGAGGGCGGCCAAGGCGCGTTGCACGGCGCAACGCAGGGATGGTGAGGAGAAGGCACGTCCCCGCGACTTCTGGCAGGAGAGGACGGCAGGGAATCTGTGTTAGCCTTTAGAATGCCGCGGACATGCCCATAGCCGACCCGCGTACGCGCTGTGATGAGGTTGGCATCCACATTGAGGGCGCGTGGTGGGGGGTGTGGCGGTTCATGTGCCTGAAAGACGCGTGGTAGTATATTCACCACGTGGCCGAGTCATTGCTGGTTCCGATGAGAATCTGGGAACCGTGACCATGAGTACCAAGGTCGACGAGCTATTGAGTTTGAAAGTTGCTGGGAGCCCCTTGGACGACCCGATTGCGACTATATCCCCTTCACCAAAACACTATCTGCGAAACGTGGTGAAGGGATGTCACCGATGCTGACGCAGGAGGACCAAGAGCAAGTCGTGACAAGGGAACAGTGGCGGCTGAGAGGGGGCAGGGCGGGGTCCGGTATCATGAGAGCCTATACTTGTACCGGGGACGTATAAAGCGCCGGATGGGGCATGGCACGGCTGTCAAGCCACCTTCGGAAGCGTGTAGCTAGACGATAGTTTACTTTCGACCTGTCCATTGGCAGAGGAGTGAAAAGCGTCGACGAGACACTGAGATTCTGTGGTTCTCTTATCTGCACCAAGGACCTGACAGCAGATGGTCAGCAAATATAGATGCGCAAGCATGACAGGACTTACAGTTCGCTCCGGTGAGAGACAACTCTCGACAAGTACGCTGACTTGATGAGGGCAAGGTCGGAGAAACTCCTCTTGGAGGCGCTGAAGAGGACTTCCTAGGTGCAACGCGGGAGATACGGGAGCAGCATGACGGGCAAGGAAGTCCAGGGATGGGACGAGGAAATGCGGACATGTGGGCGGCGATAGGAAGCTTCGGCGGTGTTCAGAGTGGGTCGGAGGCTGCGACAGACCCAGGTGAAGGGGACTCTCAACGGTGTGCGGATGCGCAGGGTAGATCGCCGTAAGCGGAAGAAGCCCACTGTGAGATGTTGCGAAAGGTGGTGCCCGACAGACTGAGCTGGAACGTCGGGACGCTTGTTCAATCCGAAATCGCGAGTGTTGGAGGGGATTGTGTGGACGAACAACAGTCATGGGGGAAGATTTCTTGCGAAATGCTAGACAAGGCGCGTATAAAACGCGTGTTCGAAGGATGGGATATGGCGTCAACATACCGGGCGCGAATCTGCGAACCCTTCCTTCCTGAATTCATCTGTCCTCTCGCGAGCCCACGGGTGAGATGAGGGTTGTGGTTCTAAACAAGGGTGGTTGCAATCGGCGATTAGGCATTGCATGGTCAACGCACTGACACGTACCTTTTGCCGCTCTGAAAAAGCCTGCATACATGAGGAGATCTAAGGAAAGCGTCCGCTAGAGCACACTATAAATGCGCAAAGACCAGACTCCTCGATCCGCGGAGGGTTCGTCGTCATGTCGCAGGTGAAGAAAGCATGGTGGAAGTCGAGAGTGAACCCCCAAATGATAAGAGCGAGTGGAGTTGGTGTATCATTGTATGTGTAGCGGGAGAGGGATAGAGTCTCGGATAGGAAGGAGCGCAAAATCAGCCACGTGTGGATTTCAAACGGATTACTAATCACGGCGCCTGTCAATGCAAGTGGATGGGCGTCTTTCGACTTCACCATCTTCCAAAACATCATCGGCTTCCCTCCCCACAACATCATCTCTAGTATCATGCAATTTAATAGCCAACTGCGTCACGAAGGAGAAAAAGCGCCCCTCCGACATGCGCAGGATATCGACATCGACCCCGACGCGTTGGAGCGTTTGGACCTGCAACAGCGGGAGCGCTTGAGCCTGAGGCAACGAGCCGGTTGGGTCTACAAGCACTTTCCATGCTCCCCAGTCTCCACCCTATCCACAATTCTGCACTTTTTGCGCGTGGCTGACTCCGTCCAGACAGGACCGAACTGAGGGATATTAACCTATTTCGTCGTTTACTCTTCCCTACTATCACTAAACTAACTGAGTACTACTTTCTATGTACGCTTTACACCCTCTCCAAAACCAACGAGAGGGAAGGAACATGCAGACGACGCTCATCTCTACCCCCATGCAAGGGCAGTGAGCCCGTAAAGTAGATGGCGTTCACGGCGGCGTTGTTGCGCACACCCCACAAGTCCTGCCCGTTCCAGTACGGGTAGCAGCCCATGTGCTTCAGACCGTTGTACCCCGGTATGCCCGTATCGACGCTGTCCAAAGAGAGGATAAGCACCCGTCACGGCCATCGCGCGCCCACCAACGCACCGGAACTCATCGCGCCGCCCACTCGACCGGAGCGCCAGGGGCCCCGCCGCACCAAACTGCTTGAGCGCATCCACGCCCTCGAGCATCATCCTCTCCACGTACAGCGTGCCCCTCCAGACCTCGATCCGGACCTCCGACGTCGCGTTCTCGCCTTCGCGCCACGTGCCCGCGAAGAGCGCCCGCGCCGCGTCCGCACGCGCGGCGTCGGCCGCGGGCTCCACGCGCTCGAACACGTCGTACGCGATACGCGCCGCGTCGGGGAAGCGTCCCGCGAGGAGGACGACGACGCCGTAGCCCGCGCTGGGGTGCACGGCGAGCGCGGCGTGGTAGCCGGCCATCGCGCCCACTGTCCGCGCGCCCACAAGAGAACAGGAAGCGTCAGCACATACGCAGGGAACGCGGAGCGAGCGCGGGGCACGCACGCTTCCAGAAGACGTTCTGTGGGCGGCCGTGCGAGTCCCGGAGCTTGATGATCTCCCACATGAGCCCGGTCGCGGTCCAGTCGTCCTCGGCGAAGGTGTGCGTGGGGCGCAGCCAGGTGCGCAGCGTGTGCGCGGTGAGCTGGCTCCGGAGGTGCGAGGCGTCGAGCAGCGTCTGCGTGACGGCGACGAGGTCCGCAAGGGACGAGAACTGGCCCGCCGCGGGGTTCATCGCGTCGAGGAAGTCCTGGTCCTGGCGCTCCGGGTGAGCGGTGCTGATGTCAGATTAGGGACGGGGGAAGACCTACTGCAACTTCGGGCGCGAGCGAGGGCACGACGATGCGGTGTCTGTTCTCCGGTGTCGCGAGGAAGTGGCTGTCGTTGAGCAACATGGGACCGAAGACGTCGCGCTGGAGCATCTCGGGGTAGCTGATCTTTTGTGCCGCCCCTTCTGCCGCGCTCTTCGCCACGGCGAGGGCGTATCCCAGGAGCGCGGTGCCTGTATTTGAGTAGGCGGGCGAGTATCCCGGCGGGGAAACCAGTGGGTAGCGCGCAATCGCGGCGAGGAGCGCGTCATAGGAAGGGAATGGAAGACCGTTTGTGGGCGGAGGGCCCATACCTGCGAGATCGTGTGGCCAGTTTGCGACGGTCCCAGGTGGCCAGTCCCTCCCCAGACCAGACGTGTGAGATGCCAGAGCGCGGAGAGTCATCAAAGGTGTGTCGACCGCGAACATAGGGGAAGCGCGGTTTACGCCGGAGGGGTTGTATACAAACCCGGGAATATACTTGTCGATAGGATCATCCCTTTATATCACATAGGTCAGTATACAGCAGCAGTATCATAGCATCGGACGCACCAAGAGATGATGCCCTTTTGCTGAAGGATATGGCCTTCGAGGACCGCGAAAAGCTTCGCGACTGATGCGATCCTGTACATCGAGTGACTGTTTGTCGGCGCCGAGCCGCTCTCATTTCCTCTCGTGACGCCGAAGTTTTGCTCGTATATGGTGTCGCGGGAGGTGACCACGGCGACGGAGAGACTGTCGATGAGGGCGCGAGCAGGATGCGTCGAAAAGTAATCATCCAGCGAGGCCGGCGCCTGAGAAATCGGGCCCTCATGGAGCGAGAGCGCATCAGAGAGTACAGTTGGTAGGAAAGGACGACAGCTGTATCGTTCAGCGTCGTTGAACAACGATCGAAGTGAGAGGGAGAGGTTTCCAGTGAGATACACAGAGAGCAGGGCAGCAGCCACGCCTGTGGCAATCGACGTCGCCCGCAGCATGCTGTCCTAGGGAAACTAGGAGATGAAGAGGAGATGACGACGCAAACGGAGCCTGCGCAGACCTATATATGATCAGCCATGCGTTCCCATGCGCCCACCGATTGGGGAGATGCGGATCAGCGCCGATGGGTTTTGTATCGGTTCTTGGGCGGAGCGCTGAAGGGGTGCATATCAGAGCCAATGACGGTGTGCGCGAAAAATTAGCGGGAGTGGCCGCTACACCTCCATCTCTGTGCTGTCTGTTGATGTTTTCTCGGATTATTACTTACCGGGCTTTGCGAGGACGCAGACGTTGTGGGACTCTTGCTGTCCTCAAGAAGCCCTTCTGTTCTTCGAAAAATGGCATGGGGAATGAGTGAGCCGAACTGTTGTGCAGCAAAAATCAGAGACGGGGTCCGTCGCGGCCAGCAAAGAGGGTGTTGCCAACGGCGTGGGAAGTCAGAAAGCCGGGCCTATCGGAGTGTCAATAGCAATCGCGTATTGAACTCCGCCTTCAAAGGCCGCCGACACTTGGCCCCGGCGTTTAATTCTTTCGCGCGACGGTCTGGCGAATTTGCCCGCTGGCCCACCACGCACAAGCAGTCACCACGGAGGTACGTAGACCGTTGTATCGTTGTACGTTAGAAGGACAGAGCCACGCATGTGATAAATGAGACCTGAGGTATATCCTACGCTACTGGAATGCATGTAAGTCATCGTCATACACGATCTTTGCAGGGCCGCTACAATTAATGAACTATGTGTGAGCGAACGACAGAGCATACATAATGGACTTGAGAAACTCACCGCCTCTCAATTCCCTGCAGGCATGGCATAGATCGATTGTCATCAAGTATTAAACGTGGGTGGTGAGACGAAGAATGTACTGGATCATCAATAAACTACTCACGTTCTCGATCCAACGTATTTGCGCCTGCAACTCGGTCAGCCCACACAGTAAGATCACATCGTAACATTGCTCGTAGTATGTTCCTTTGGGTCCTTGCTTTGGCTTCCGTGTTACGCGTGATGTATCCGCGTGGACGGTGCATAGCATCGTGAAGAGTTCTATGAAATACGTCGATGAAAAGGGGCCCAAGACGGTAACGATTATGTCGCGGCGACGCACCAGGGTCGACATCCGTCCAACGCGGACTCGCACCAGGACCGCGGTAACACGTGATGTCGCACGCGATTCTGTCAAGGGCACGCGAGTCGTCCGACCACACGTGGTACGGTTGTGATACCTCGTCGGTCTCGCGGACGCTCTTTCCCTGTGTATAAAATATAGATGAGAAGGGTGTAGAGCAGTTCGCTTTGGACCGTACTTACTTTTCCGAGGATTGGCGAGAATCCATTCCGTACCATAGTGTGGCCAGACGGATGAACAAAGGTGTTCGCGATGCGGGCGACGTGTTCGGCGTCTTTTGGCTTGAACCAGGCGTTGATCTCAACCCCGTAAGTCACTTTCATAACACGCGCGGCCACGAAGCGTTGGAGGAAGAAGCACACTGCTCCGTTCGCGACAGCTTTGCTCCTGTGTATCGCCCGTGAGTCAGTAGCCAGGCAATCAAGGGCACACCACCTACGTGTGAGAATCTGGGCGACACAGCGATAGTCCGAGTGTTTCTAGCTTGGATCTCAAAGCAGAGTACAAGAACGGGCTAGCAGCAAACCCCCCGACCAAGAAGACTGTCTATATGTCGACGTCAGCGGTCGGATCACGGACAATGACATCGCAAGAGGATACCTTGAACTTCTTCGCTGCTTCCTCCCGCTGCTTCACCACAGCAGTTACGATGGCGTCAATAGAAGGCTGAAAGAAGGACAACATCTCGGCCCTAGGATCCTGAATGAAAAGAGAAAGCAAGGTTGATTGAAGATACATACCCCGTGAGCAACAGTTGGCCACGCCGGATCTTCACACTGGGGTCGTTGCATCCCATTGAGCCGAACTTGATGTAAGACGACTCCCCGTCGTCCTTGAAAACCGGCTTCGTTGCCTTGTCGAAGTAGTCAAGCATGGATTTGATGTCGTCGTCGTTACCGAACTTCGATTCCTTCAGAATTTCTATGGGCAACCATGTCATAAGCTCGAAAAAGTCCTACAAGAAATGAGGTATACTTCTTATATGCGCTTCGGCTCGTACGTTGACGCGAGTCGATCCTTGAAGGAGGCCTCAATAACAAAAGGGAATGACGAAAGGGTTATGATGTCTCCGCGATGCGAAGGCCCTGCATGTACTCACAGTCCGCGGAAGTCGCTTCCTCAACCACGAGCGGTGAAACGGAGACGAAGCTATAGCTGCTGATGTCCACCGTCCCTCCACCAGCGTCGACGATGGCCACGCTTTGGCCGTCCTAAGCGCGTGCATATAATCAGTCCCAAGCGTGGGGAAGAGAATGAGCACCCAATGCTCACCCGCATCGTTTCGTCCGTCAGGCCGCTCTGAACGCAGAAGTTCAGGCTCGCCTCGCCCTCGGTAATAAAGTGCACGCGCGCCTGGCCCACAGGTGTCTGGGGTACCAGGCCGGCCATGACCGCAGCTTGACGCATCTTTCCTTGTTGCGCACCCTCCCAGCCGTTCGGGTGCGAGAGCACAAACTCGATTCGGTCTTCGAGCGACGACCAGAGCGAGTCCCCATTCGCGTGCGTCTCGCAGATGTAGCGCTTCGAGCACCGGAAGAGGTACGTGAGGAAGTCCGCGAAGACGTCCACGACGGTCTTGCCGGGCGGCAACAGAGGGAGGTCGCGCCGCTTGATCTCGCCAGCGTCGAGGTGTTCCGGGCGCAGGTGCAGCTTGAACCTGAACAGGGGGTGGGTATATGCGCGTGCGCAAGGGAGGAGGAGGTGTACGCACCATTCAACGAAGCGGTAGTCGTTGTCCTCGACTTCGAGGTCTGTTCCGGGCAGCGCGGCCTCTGCGCCGGCGCACGCGACGGAACCATCGGGCTTGTAGTAGAGTATAGATGGGATTTTGGAGTCTCCCGCAGCATTCTCTTGGCCAGGGAAGCTGGGCGGAGAGGACCGGTCAGGAGCGGTCAGGAGCAGGGAGAGAAGTCTCGGGGGCGTGGACGCGTACCGGGTGACGCCGTGGATGACGGGAACCTCTCCGGGGTCGAGGATGGCGTAGGCGATGCCGGAGTAGGTGGTACCGACGTCGATCCCGAGGACGAGCTTGCGGACTGAGCCGCCGTACGGGTGGAGGGCGGGCATGATGGATTGGTGGGGGTGAGAGAGGCGAGGAAGGATATAAGAGGAGAGGGGGACACAGCGCGACACGTGGAGGAGCGAAGGCTTTGTGGAGAATCCGGGCTGAAACGCAACGCTGCGGTAAGGGTGAAAGAGAAAGACGTTACAGAAAGGTCGATGGGCGTAGGATCAAAGATGGCATTTCTCTGCTCAATTGCGTGTGGCCTTGGATTTCAGGACCTTTGTGGCGTTTGTATGTGCGCGACGTCTATACCCGCTCGGGGCCGCCATCGGGGAGTTTCATCGCCCGCGCACTATCTTAAACACAGGTCCGAGACTAATGGTGAAATGGTCGCATACCCAGTGACGCCGTGAACTCTCCTGAATTAAGGATGTGTGGGCGAATGCGGAGGAGGAAGGCTGCTCCGGGCGACAGCAGCAAAAAGGCCCGTCTAAGTTCGCTTTCTTCGGCTGCGGAACACTGAGAATCAGCACAAGAAGCATTTTCGAGCATTATGGATGCTCACATTGATCCGCGACAATGGGGGGACAGAGGGACTTTGAGCACTTTCCGTCCCATTCGCGGCAACACTCTGTCCGATACTACACCCATGCTTCCCATCTCGGCGGGTGCAAATGCGCAAATTGCTGGTAGCGAAATCTCTCATCAGAATGACGGTGCTGCGGTACAGAATTCTACTCAGAGAAACTTCAGCGGGTCAGCGACGAGGATAAACGCAAGGTGAGACCAGAGGAAACCTCACATCGCCCACAAACGATCCCAGTACTGCATTGATCCTCCCACATCCCCTCTCGCTGTAATTGTCGGGAACCATGCTCTTTGGGTCCATACTGAGTTCCTATGAGCGACCACCGCCCACACCGTGGCCACCTTTGCCCTCCAACAATTCGCACCCCAGAGCACCCGCCAACGCTGCTGATGTTGAAAACCTGGCTGCTTTGTCAATTACCGACAACCCTCTGCTACAGGAGCTGGAGGACGCCAAGCACACTCTACGGGAGAATGAGCGGGAGCTCGAGGCTTCTCGCGTACAACTGCAAGCGCAAGAAGACATGACAATGCATGCGACACAACAACTCAGTGTTGCGACTCGGGTGGCCGAGGAGCGCGAACACCGTCTTCACGAGCTCGAATGGCACCTGCACAACCTCCATGCCAACACCGCGTCGCAACTCTCCAACGCCCGGGCGCACGTCCACCAGCTCGAGTCGCGGAACGCGGAACTGGAGCGCGAGCTCGCAGCCACGCGCGACGGCGCGCAGAAGACGACCGCCCTCCTCGAGACGCGGACCACCGAGCTTCGCGCCGCGCAGACCTTCCTCACCACCGCCGACGACGTCGCCGACAGCGACGTCCGCCGCATCGTCGGCTCCATCAACGCGCGCATCTTCCAGACCGCGGCCACCATCTGCGACGCTTTCCAAGACGGCTACGGCACTCACCAGGACGGCGTCGAGGACGCGTGGGCCCAGCTCGCGGTCGCGCTCTCGGACGACGTCGTCGAGGCGCTCCGAGAGGCGAGCGACTCTGCCTTCGTGCAAGCGGCTCTTCAGGCCGTCATGGCCGCACACATCCACCGGCTCTGCACGACGTGGGACCTGAGGAATGGAGACCATGCGGGGGACGTGTTCGCGGAGGTATACAACGACATAAGGCAGAACGGTACGTTACCGGAACCTCCCTCCTCTCCCTCCCCTCCTCAGACCTCCGCGCAGAGCCCCAGTCCGTCTCCGGCAGATGGCGCGCGCTCTGTCGGAAGCACCTCTGCCCTCCGCTTGCTGCCTCGGACAAACGACCGCACCTCGCAGGGAGCGAGCTGGCCGCGACGCTGGCGGCAGTCCTCCGCGCGTTCGGCGCGCTGGACAGTTTGGAGTCGATGGAGCTACATACGGACGCGCTCAACGACATAGTGCGGCTCGCGATGGACTTCCGTCGGCTCGCGGGGGAGACGGTCGTGTCGAGCGACTTCGCGCTCCTGCTTGCGCCGCCGGGAGAGGTGTTTGACGAAGAATGGCTGGAGGACGAGTGGGCAGAACCCAGTAGGAGGCGGAAGCCTGTTGAAAAGAAGAGGCTCGTGTTGTGCACCACGGGCCTTGGGTTGGTGCGAGAGGAAGGAGGAGGGCTGCAGAAGCGCGGTGACGGAGGAGGCAGCACTAGTACGGTCGTAGTCAAAGTCAAGGTCTTGGTGTCGCCCGTGCCAATTCCGTGCCAGATGTAGTGTATGTCGGCGGCATATAGTTGAAGCTTTGAAGACCGGTTGATGGAGTGGTGTGCAAATAAGACGTAGAGGAGTGTCCAATTCGATTCGGCGCCGTGCAAAGAGGCGAAGGATTACGTCAGCATTCCTGCGGGGACTCGGACGCGACGGGCGGATGGGGAACGTCGCTCGAGATATTTCCGACGTTCCAGGGCTTCGTCCATACTGTCCAGGCAGTGGAACGCAAAAGAGTCGACTGCTCACGAGCATGAGAACCACCTCGAGGTCTCTGGAGTGCAGCGGGATAGTGAGAACAGCAAAGTGTATTAAGAGCGTACAAACAAAACCAGCGAACACGCGCGAGATCCAAAGGATCAAGAACCACAAACCCACTAAAATCGAGGGACCAAGAAAGATAGTCTACGCGTGGACGAGCACGGAGAGGCACAACGGGAGACAAGAACACGAACTCAGTAGCGTGTACATATAGGTACGAGCATCCCTGCGACGCGCTAAGGATGTTGGGGGCTCACGACGGGCGACGAGCAGAGCTATGAGAGAAGGCGGGTATATATGCATATACGAGTAATAGACGACACTGTCGTGCTGCCCCGCACGCGCATCGAAAGTCAATATACGGAACGGCAAATGAGGACGATGGCAAGCCACCGGCGTGCAGGGCGAAGGGGAGCGCTGTCAGCAGCGAGGCACGATGGACTAGGTGCGCGATCGGGAAGACAGAAGAGGTATGTCGAAGGAACCATAGACACGGTTGGTATTTAATACTCGGGTAAACAAGCGAGGAACAGAGGAAGGGGTAGCGCGGACGTGGATACGAACACGTCAAGTATATCGTAGACCAGGCTAGACAAGACGCATCGGCGGCGAGCCGCTCGCGCGAAACCGTAGGGCCATAAACGGAACGTACTAGTAAGTCAGAGAGATGGGGACAGATGAACGGGCAGACCAGTAGTAGTCTACAAGTGGTAGCCAGGGACGGCAGGAGTGACCTTGCGCAGCAACAGGCAAAGAAGCAGGCCTGGACCAATACAAGAAAATCGTACAACCGACGGTGGAGGCGAAGTTTAGCAGCGTGAGGGGCAGTCGTGGGCCTGCCGGGAGGTGTCCGGTTTCGTTGATCAGCGAGCCGGACGCTTACTGGGCAGTGCCACCGTATGCATCCTCCTCGTCCTCGTCGTACTTGCTGTGCTCCGTCGGCGCGAAGCTCTTGCGGGTGGGCGCGGTAGAGGCCGGGTAGAAAGAGTCCGGCGACGAGGGGGCAGCGGTCTCAGGCGAGTAAAGAACGCGCATGCCGTTGCCGTTGTAGTTTGCGGCCGGGGCCGGGGTGCCAGAGGGAGCAGCGCCGCCCATTGCACGGCGTTCGGCGTAAGCGCGCAGCATGTCGTCGGGAGACATTACGCTAGCGGGCATGGGCTGCATCGGCATCACACCCATGACTGGCGACTTGGGGGTGTGGGCAGTTTGGTAGGTAGGAGTGGGAGGAGTGGGGATTTGTGAGTCGAAGAGGAGCTCGCCGGCACCGGTGCGCATCACTAATAGACGCGTGAGAAGTTGACATTCAGACATAAGAATATGAACGCACTCGTCAACGCGGGCATGACCTCATCGATGCTCGGACGAGCCTCCTGGCCGGCCATGCGGGAGCGGATGTCTTCGGGGGTGAGCGAAAGAGCACCAGCAGTCTGAACGGGCGACAGGATCGGCGACGCGTTGCTCGAGCTTTCGGTAGAAGCCTCGCGCTCAGGGAGGGGCGGGACGTAACCAGTGTGGAAAGCGCGGGTGCGACGGTACTCCGACGACGGGCGGGTGTCGGCGGCGAAGGAGACGCGAGACGTGCGATTTTCGAAGGCAGAGGTGCGGAGGCCAGGACGGAGTTGGGACATCGCGGGAGCCTCGCCAGGCATACCACCAGCAGCTCCAACGCCAGCATGACCACCGTCCTCCGCGACCGTCGACGAGGGGCGGATGCCACCGAACGAGAAGGAGGACGCGCGGTTGCCGGAGACAGCCATGCTATTGCGGATGGCAGCGTTTGCACCGGCGCCGGAGAGGGACTTCCAGTCGGTGGAGATGGTGGACATGCGCTTGTCGACCATCTCGCTGAACCGCTTCTGCTTCTCCTTGCGCTTCTGGCGCGCGATCCGGATGTAGGCTGCGACGGCAAGACCGATGAGGAGGAGAAGGGGGACTAGGACTGCGGCGGCGACGCCGCCCTTGGAGGTACTGTGGTTCTCCTTAGCACCGGACGCGACCTGCTGAACGGCGCCGACCGCGGCAGTGTTCTGGCTGGCCGCCGCACTGGTGGCCGTTCCAGAGTAGGTGGCCGTAAAGACGGGACCAGCGGGGGTGTCGATCAAGAAGATAAGAGTATCGGAGGGGGCGATGGTGAACTGCAGGCTGGCGGTGCTGTTGTTGTTCCACCAGGAAGGGTTGAGATTGACGGAGTGGCTTCCGCTGGAGGCGGGGATGCCCTTCCAAGTCTGAAGGAGGGTGTTGCCAGTTACGCCGTAACCGTAAAGATAGAGGTTGACATCCGAGGAGAAGCAGGATGCGTCCCAGCTGACGCTGAGAGCCTGCGTAGCATCGACGGTTTGACCCTTGGTGGGTGACTTGTACAGACCACCGGTGGAGCAATCTGAAGGAATTGCGGGTTAGCAACGGTCCAAGTCCGAGGCGTTGCCAGAGGTTCGCAAAACACAAAAGTTCAAACGGGGGAAGGGCGACTCCACGCATCCCAGCACCAGTGTCTGAACAGAAGCCAGAAAGGCGTGTGTTGAATTTGGCGCGAATAACGGGAACGCGATGCCACACTCCAGGTTGGATTGGCGGCTCCCCACACTTGGGGGTTGGCAGCCGGTGCGACCTTGTTTCCCTAGCATATCACCGAATGCGCTCTCCTACCCACCGAACGCCCGCCAACAACAGGTCCGACGCAAAGAACGAGAACGGAGCTCACCATCCCGACGTTGGTGCTTGCTACCAGCGTGACCGATGCGGAGGCTCTTGAACTTGGTCATTGCCGCGGTGGGGGAAAAGGAATGTGGGGATAAGGAGAGGAGGGGTTGGGGAAAGAGAGGAGGGCTCGAGCACTAGGGCAACGAGGAGGAGGAGGAGGGGACGGGCGAGGACAGCAACGACGTTGGCGGCGGGAAACAAGGACTCGCGCGCCCTTCCTCGTCCGCCCCGTCAAACAGGCGCCCGCTCCCCCAACTTGGGCTAGGCCGTGCTTACGTCGCACTAGTCGCTTATACAACCTGGTGATGGCTACCGGAACACTTTTCACAGGTCAGGACGGAAGCCTCCGGATACTAGCATGACCCCAGAGTTGAGAAATGGGAGCGCCCTCAAGATCAAACCATGAGAGTCTCGACCATCTCTGTTGTGATAGTCTTCGGATTTCGTACACATATTGGTAGTGTCATAAGAAATCAGTGTGCAAAGTTTCAAAGGAAACTGGTACGTATTGCGCCCCCAGTGGACGACCCGGCCGCGGACCCTAGAGTTGAGAAATTTCGCCGAGGCTTAGTCACGGTGCGGGTCACGCAGCCGACATCAACTCCGCTCGGCTAGGCTGTCAGATACGTCCAGGGATGACAGCATCCTCCCCAACGACAACGTCGGAGACTGAAATTCACTCACGTTCTGTGGCCGAAGTCACGCTTGAACTGACCCAAAGTGCGTTTTCGCCTCCCTCCCACAGATATCGTGCCGGAGAATTCGAATTGGGGCAGCCACGCTTCATCCAATACCCCTCACGCAGCTTCAACCTAAGCGCTGGCCATGGGATCGTAGCCGACGGGTATCAAATCTTCGACTTTTCTCATTTGAGAGATGTTTGCGAAAGATCGTGCTTGTTTCTGCACGGAACGACGTCGTTCTTTTTGAAAACGAAAGTGAGAACATGTTCCTACCAGCGTGTGAATTTTCAACATTATCGGACGAGGGACGGGATCGCCAGACCAGATTTCTCAACACTGGGGGCATTTCTCATCACTGGGGTCGGACTAGTAGTCCCGCGACAAGATGCCGCCGCCGCCAGGCGATTGGCGATTTCACTGTTCAGGCACCGGTCGTGACTGGTGAAAGTGCATTGATGATCGTACATTGACTACAAATACGGAGCAACCACATCATACACGGCGTACGGTCTACTATCTTTACATCTATATACACACAGCGCCTGGTCCGCCATCTAATAGGCCAGTCGGTCAATACCATCTGGTAGCTATGCTATCGTGTTAGCTAACGCGATAAGTGACAGGCAAGAGATCGTGCCTTCCACCCATGGACAGCTGCGACGCGCTTGTAGCCCTCCAGGGCCTCGCCCATGCCATACGGCCTGTGAATGTTCCCTGCATCAGCGGAGCGGAGCGGCCAGCGCGAGGCTCGCACTCACCTGTCCCAGTCATGGGCGAGCCGCGCCGGCTTCGGGTCCAGATTTGAGATGGCAAGCCTGATCTGGAGCAGGACCGACGCGATGCTGTCATCCGAGACGTGTGTGAGAGTCAAAACATAGCGGTAGAGGTATGGTGGCACCCACTTGTAGCTTGGCACCCAGCCTACATATGCCCGATCACACGACACGACACCGTCAGTGCACGGACTCTCATCCACGGAGGACAATCACTCACCGGACGCCGTCAAGAGATCCATACACATCGAACCCCCTGGGTGGGGAAGATCATCAGCGCCGAAAGCGAGGAGTTAAGGAAGAATATGATACCCAGCGTGATGTGTCCGCCACCGCCCTGATGATCGACATTATCAGATAAGCACATCGTCAACGAAACACGACAAGGTGCACCAACCTGGCTGAACGGCAAGAACCGCGGCTTGAGGATACGGAAGAAAGGTGGTGCGTACGGAAACTCTCCCGGGAACCGAATCTCAAACACCAGCGAGTTAACGCCACTGCGATACCCCAGTCAGCTCCCGCACGAGGCCCCGAACCCAAACAGACCACGCACTGCGCGACCATGTCCTTTGCGACGGGGAGGTTGGGGTCGAATGAATGCAGCTCCACGATCCACTGGTACAGGTTGTCCCGCTGAAGATCCTCCGGGATGAACCACCCGAGGTCGCACAGGCTCCACGCCGCGGCCTGCTCGCGCAGCATCGCCTGCAGCTCGCGCTGGAGCGCCCCCGTCGCCTGCGTCGACGACTCCGTCGGTGGCGGGATCAGGTGCTGCACGCACTCTTCGACCCAGCCCGCGTCGTGCTGCCAGTCGTCCTCGGGGCGGGCCGCGCGCTCGGGCGGCGGGGTCGCGCTGGAGGTTGGATCGGCGGCGGCGTGGGGAGCCTCGGTGAAGATTCGCATGTCGTCCTCGTCGTACTCGGCGACGATCAGGTCGCCCGCGCGCTGCTCGAGGATGACGCCAAGCGCGTAGGACGGATCTGGGATCCGGATCCTCTTTTGCGCGATCGTCAGCGGGTGTGCGGGGTCGAGCGGGACGTACGGGACGACGTCCTCGGCGCCGTTGCCCGCGTCCCCGTCCTGATGAGGGACTACCGAACCCTTGATCATCAGATATCGACTGCAGAAGAAGTGAGCCTGGTGTTCACCGCGAGGAGAGCAGAGACGGACCACATGATCCACTCGGTCTGCTTCACGACAAAGTACGGATTTTGCGATGTAAACTGGTGCGGGAGATTGACGATTTCTGCTAGGGCGACGCAAGAAGCGATGCGAGAGGCGCTGTTCCTCCAGCATGAGTTCGCACCCAATGCATAGCTTCCCACGGAGACGGAGCCGTCCTTTGCGAAATACACCCCTACAAGAGCATCAGACGTGAGACGGCGACGGGTCAGAACACTGACCATCTCCGTATGCTCGTCCGTGGGCGACTGTCCGGTACCAGAGTCCGTGACGAATGATCTAAGTGATAATATGAGTGGTGATCCAACGTTGTCACACTTGAGAGCTTACCGAGTGCCAATTGCGCGCGGGCGAGCCGTGGAACGCCTATCAGACGTCCAATTAGTGTCCTTCAGCCACGCACGGTGACGAGCGGACCCACGTAGAGGGACGGATACGTCTTCGCGTTGGCGTTCGACGCCTGTGCCGCCACAATCGCCCTGCGGAATTTGGCCTCTGCATCCGGCGCCCCAACGCTGAAACGAAACTGACGCCACCCAGCGCCTTAAGTAACGCAGAGTAAGCCAAAGAGTTCCGAAAGCGGCAGAAGACGCACCCATGTTCTTGATCTGCTCATGCTCCGAGTCGAGCTCCTCGAGGTACGCCGTGCACGAGGCAACGCACCAACGGAGGACGAGCCACGCCGCGTCGGGGATCGCCTTGTCGAGGTCCTTCAGCCTCGGCTTCCGTTGCCCGGCTTTCCTCGGCGCCTCAAGATACTTCTTCATGGTGTCTATCTGAAGTCCGTCGAGTCAATACAAGGTGAGGAAACGGCCTCAGGAGAGCATACCGGCGGAAGCTGGTCTATGAGTTGCGCGATCGTGTTGCGCATCTGAAACCGAGCGTCAGTTTGCACGAAAGCAGTCAACGGTACCAGATCTGCTCACGTCGACGACGTTGAGCCGGTCAAATTCGATCAGCCCGTCGGCATCGGGCTCGACGCCCGCTTTCGGCGCCACGCGCAGCCCCATGCCCACCGGGAAAGGCTCATCGAGGACATTCTCGGCCGCTGCAAGGTAAGCCAGCGACAGAAGCAGGTCTACCGTTACGGGGTTGGCGCAGATCTCGTACTATCAAGTACGGGTGAGCGCCCGCCTAGGATGGCAAGACTGAGACCCACTTCGAGCGATGGTCCGCGATTGAGGTTGTAGTACTGGTACGTGCACAGCTTTGAGCTGCAAACGTAGGGCTTGAGCGCGTCGAGGTCTTCCTTGAGCTGCTGGTGGCATACGAGACAGAAACGAGGACACAGGGTGATTCTGCGGAGGAGGTACGAAAACGCAAAGAGCGGGAGATTCACCGGGTCCTCTGCGTTCCGCGTCAGAAGCGGATCCGGGGGCAGCACATAGCTCTTTGCCAGTTCCTCGTCCGCCACGTCGGCCCCATGGATGATCTGTAAAACGATCAGCACGCAGATCCAAGCAAATCGCGCGGCACGCACCGGTCCGCGAAGACGCATGATGTCCCCCGGCGGCTGCTGCGACGTCTCGACCTCCCACCGCAGCGTCTCCGCGCCCGCCCATCCGAGCTTGTACCGGATCCGGAACTGCAGGATCGGCAGGAAGTGGCTGTCCAACAGGCTCTCCAGCGACGAACTCAAGCCGAACGGCTGGAACACGACCTCGGGCTCCTTCTCCGGCTCCGGTTCCACCTCTGGCTCCTGCTCCCGCTCCCTCTCCTGTTCAGCCGCGAGCTCCGCCGCGTAGTCTTCGTCGTAGTCGTCGTACGGGTTGTACGCCGGCGCGTCTTCGACCGGCGCCTCCGCAGCAACCCCGTAGTCCTCCTTCAGCCCGAACTTGCGCACCGTCGCCATCGCGTCCTCGACCGTCGGCTTGTAGCCCGTGCTGAGCGCCACGCGGAAGCGCGGCATCGCGCCGTGCATGTGCGCCGCGCTGCTCAGCACCGCGTCCGGCTGGACGACAGGCCAGACCCCGCGCAGGTCGGAGATGAGGAGCGTGAGGTGGCGCGGCTGCGAGAGGAGGCGCTTGTCCCAGGCCATGAGCGCGCGGGCGGGGATGGTGTCCGCGAGAGACTTGGCGGGGATCGAGAGCGAGAGCGAGAAGTCGTCGAGGCCGAACGGGATGAAGCCGGGGCGGTAGCCGTACCCGACGATCTCGTTGAAGTCGCTGCAGAAGCGTGAGTGACGAGCGCGCAGAAAGTAGGAGCAGGACAGACCGTTGAAGGGCAAAGCGGTCGAGCTTGCTCAGCCCGGGGGTGACGCCAAGTGTTGTGTACTCGTCGTCGTACATCCCGTAGTCGTCCTCGTCATCCTCCGTGTCTCCTTCGCCCTCTTCGTCTCCGTCTTCACTTGTTCCCTGTTTCTGCGCCACGTGGCTGGGGGTACTGGTCTTCTTGGACAGCTTCTCGAGCAGTCGGACGAGGAGGTCTTGGATCGACAGCGAGCCTTCATCGTGCATACTTTCCGTGACGGAGGCCAACTTGGCGGGCAGGTCCTCCTGCGAGGAGCAGAAGAACATGTGGTCCGAGGGATACTCGGATTGATCTGGGTGGCACGGTAAACCTTCGACCCCGCCGAACGGCTCACGGCGCAGAAGTGGGGATGTGGGCTCTTGTGGATGCCAGTGTGGGTCGCGCCACAGAAGCAGTGGCACAGACACGACGTGAAGCGAAATACTCACCAGAGACTAGAAACTGCAGGGTAGCGAGGAGATCTCCGTCGGCGTCGACGATGTTGCAGTCAAAGGAACCAGATTCCTCGCCCGGTGAAACGCCTTGTGGGACGTCCTTGAGACTCGAAGGTGGGATAGGAGACGAAGGACGTACTGAGCAGCCGCAAGCCATTGACCTCTACGCCCTGCGCTACCGTCTGCTCTGCCCTCTGTAGGTCGTACTGAAACCGCTTTCGTCCGCGAGCTGGAGCATTGGGTTCTTCCATGACGGTGTGATCACTCGCCGTGCGTTTGACGACCATGCACTCCGCGTTGGCGGCACGGACCCAAGGTTGCGTGGCTACCGCAGCAAACAATCGGTCCTGATCCTTCGGCAAATACTACTCAGTGCAAACTGACTCGTAAAACAGGGGGGCTCGGAATGTCGCGATTGATGCGCTCCGATGAATAATGGTGGGGGACTGAGGTCGGTGCGGCGCGCGGTGATGAGCTGGTGGGTACTGATGAGTTTGGAGAGCGAGCAAAGTCGGTCGTGCAAAACCGAAGGGTTTTGCGATGCGTTCAGGGTGTTATGCGGGTGAGATGCTCGTGGCACGGTGGCAAGAACAAAGAGCCACAATCCCCGCCACGAAATGTCTCCATGCTGTGTCCCCACACTGACCACGCGACGCACGTGCCGTGGCTCGCGTGGCTTGCACGCCGCGCAAGCGCCTCCTCACATTTCTAAGTACTACTTCCGTGAAGTCAGACGAAGAGAGAGACTGCCGGAGCAAGCAGGCACAGCGGTACGTGCACTCATATTCATAGAGAAACACCAGATTGATCCTAGTGACCATCTTCTGCAAATCACCAACAGACTTGAAATTTACGCTAGCTTCAATAAGTACACTGCTATCATCTTCACCGCCACTCAGCTCGACGATGCAAACAGAGACCACCCTGTATTCCAGTCTCCAATCCACTCCAATGGTTTTTTTTTCTAGTGACCCTCTTCGAGTTTCAACTTTCGGATGCGTCGCTTTTCCGGCGACATGAATCGTCGGCGCGACTCGAGTTTGAGTTGAGCGTTTTGAGAGGAGTTGGTACTAGGGCCCGATGCTTCTCCTTAAATGGCGACGGACAGGGGCGGATGACGGTAGCTGAGCGCTGCTGAGCCGTGGACCGATGGCGGTTGAGTTCAACTTGAGGCCAAGGGAAATGGCCACATGGACACGTGGCCAACGATGGTACTAACATTCGTGTTCACATATGATGTGCACCGATGAGGATGTGTTCGAAATGTAGTTTAGTCTTTGTGAACACTAGAAAGCACTATTAAGGTTCATGCTGCAACCCAAGTACTCACGCATCCGCCCAGGGAGTCGAAGGATCTTAAATATTCAAACGTTCCACAGGCCGCCCGCCATTCATAAGTAGCTAGCTGGTACGGCACATGGCGGCCCGGTAACACGCGATGGCCCGGCTAATATTGGACCTGGGAGCATCGTCCAAATCTCTCGACTCTTTTCCACAGCGACGCACCTTTTCTTACATCCCGAGGCGGTGGCCTGGTGCGGGGAACAGGGTGAAGAACAGGTATTTGAGTTTGAAATTTCGATCGAGTGCCGGATTCATTGAGCGCAAGATCTAGCACGGTTCTAATAGATAGCCTAGTACTGATCATCTACCCGCTTCACTAGACGAGCCCTATGCACGGTTCCCATGTTCTGCATGCGGGATAGACACCACCGCCGCTCTCTATCCTAGACAGGCTATGTCATTGACGACTCTAAGTGCCGGAACTATTCGCACAAGCAATTAATGGCAGTACAGTCTGCGACATCTCCCAACCGCGCTCCCCATCCACGCGCTCACTTGCGCTACACATCCCTCCTTTGCCCGACCGTCGCCTCCCCTCGTGCGAGATTCATCTGCAGCGGTTGGAATCTGGCGATGCCCGCGCGCTCGCGCGCGCGGAGACAGTCCTCTATCACCACCGCCACGCTCTCTTTGCCCCTCAGCGCGCGCATGCTCTGCGTCGCTTCATCGTCAAAGGCCACCGTACTCAGCTTTGAGCCGAGGCACGTGGCCTCGGCGGGGGCCCCGTCGGCGCTGTCTATCGGTCGGTCTGGGCGGAGGGCCTCGAAGAGCTGCTCCAAGTCGACCGAGCCCTTGATGGCGAGCGTCTCCAGGTTCGGAAACGCGCGGAAGACGGTTCGCCAGCCGTCCGCGCGTGCTCCATTGGCGAAGCCCTTGCAAGTGATGACACGGAGGATGGCGAGGGGCATGCCGCGGAAGAGGAGGGAGAGGTCCTCGAGCGCATTCGAGAGGGGATACAGGCTGTCGAATTGCGGTAGATCGCGGGACGCGGTGACGGAGAGTGTGAGCGGTTTGCCCTGTGCGGGAGAGGATGAGGCGGATCCGCGGAAAGAGATTTTTCTGCGTTTGATCTGGAGCGTGGCGGAGGTGAGCTCGTGGGAGAACGCGACGGTGGAGCATTCCCGGTGGGTGTGGAAGAGGGGGTCGACGATGCTGTGGCATCCTTTGCTGATATGGGGCGCGAAGATGTGGTCCCACATCGGGACGTGGAGGTCCACGGACATCGGTCCCTGTGATCGAAGCGCATGGACGATGAGCGGCGCAAGATCGTAAGGACGGGTGCTGGTGATGTTGAGCGCACGCAAACGCGGGAGAGTGAACGGTGGGAGGACTATGCCGGAGAGCTCTGGATCCACGTCACAGGAAGTCGAATTTTCTCGGCCGGTGCGGTCGAAGGGGGAGACAATGAGCGCTTCCAACTGCGATGCTTCGGATATCTCTGCAAAGAACTCGGGGAGAGGAGGCCACTGGGAGGGTGGCGATTCCAGCTGGAATTTCGTGAGCTGACGTCGTATCTGTGTATCTGTTACGAGAATGAAGCCTCGTAGAGCAAGATCACAGAGGACTGGAAAGCGCTGATGCGTGATGGTAAGGGCGGACCTGAAATCTGAGCGCATGAACGTTTGTCGCAGGAACGATGAACGTGGAAGAGAGATGTGCAAGCGAGTGAGGACTGGCCAGGCTTTATCGCGGAATAGAGAGTCGATTATGGGGGAAACTGCCCCGGAGATCACCAATGTGCGGATTCTCGTGAACTCGAGGGAAAGCAGCTCGATAACCCCTGCTTCGACTTCCAAATGGTTGGAATCAAACGTTGCGATGACGTGGACAAAGAGGTCGGATTCTCCCGATCGAGATAAGTTGAAAGAGAGCATGTCGAGTGGCGAGTGCGGTGTAACATTCAGCGTGGTCCAGAGCGTTGGCGTGGATAAGATTAGGTCTTTCCATCGGCGACAGACGAGCGCCATCCGCATGCGTGATTCAGGGAGTTCGTCCGTGACTTCGGTGAAGGCGCATGATAACAGAACTGTAGAGAATATTTTGGCGATGAGTTCCGGCGGTAGGCGATGGATGGGAAGGGTAGAGTTCCAGGACGTGTTGAGTCGCAGTCGCTCCGCATCGACTTCTGCGATGCGTCGCAGGATGGTGTCGCGCTCGGGGCATGGTGCAAGCCCCCGAGTGTCCGGAAGCGGCATATGTCTTGGGGGGGATGTTTAGAGAAGCCTTGAAGCCTGGCGGCTGCGACGCAGGAGGCGGTTCTGACCGAGCTCAAGACAACGCTCGAGCTCGAGTCCAGCGAAGAGCTCGTTACAGCCGTTCTCAGAACGATAGGCCTGTTGATCAAAAAATCACACGCAAGAGTTTCGAACTCAAACCGAACTCCGCCATTACCGACTTTACGCGGACATCGCTTCTCGCGCGAACAGGTCGCTCCGACTCGCTACCCACCGGTAAGCCTCGCAACTGTCAAAAATTGTGACTCCGCTCGATTTACTCTGTGTGTAAACTTTTCCAAACCGGCCTATCGTTCTGATAACGGCTGTATCGGACTACGGATCGGGCTTACGTAATCAACCGCCTAGTGGCCCGGCCGAGCGCGCGCACACACTACCCTTGAGCTTGAGCTTGATCCTCACCCCCACTTTATTCCACAGCCCGACCAGGGCGACCTTGGCAACTATACTTGTTTACGATCGAAGGTCACATACGGCGCCCCGTGCCGCCCCTACTACAGGAGGTTTGATCCTGAGTACGTCGCCCGTCGACCAACCGCCATAACTTGCCCGTCGGGACGAATGGTCGTGCCTAACGGCTTCCAATCCATCCTGAAGAAGGTGCGGTGCACCTCAAAAATCCCTTCGTCTTGGTTGACCAGAAGCACTGTCCCGCAGGGCGCCCGCGTGCGCGAATCCGGCGAGGTCTCGCACAGTTTCCGGGAAGAGTCGTACGACGCGCGAGAACTGGACGAAATCTCGTCCTCCGTCAAGTGCTACCGAGGACCCGACGCCGACCCGCGCTGGAGGGATGTGAACCCGGGTGGGCCTGCAATGTGCATCGGGACGACCACTCGCGGGGAGCTAACGAGCGTTGTTTCTTTGCAGAGCATTATTACGACCTGTGTACGGTGTATGCAGACACGTCGCGGGTCGTGCGCAAGCTGAAGAAGGGCCCCAAAGGAACATACTACACGCTGGACTTTGACGTGATCTTGCTGTGTGGGCAGACTGAGCTGGAGGCGCAGATACGGTGGATGGAGAACGCGAGTAGTGGCTTGGTTCTCCAGTGGAATTTTGAGTTCGCGTTTACGACCCGGTTTACGTCGTACCTCCAGGGCGCCGAGAAGCGGTGAGTTGCTTTGATGTCTGGTATGCGCTCCATTTGGTCACACATCGCCGATGTGTAGCGGTCCTGCGAAGATTGTGTACGATGATGGCTTGAAAGCGTCTGAGTAGCCCTAGGCGTGGCTCATACGAGTCGTGGCCCGTGCTCCTAAGTTAGTCAAAGACGACTCTAGTCTGTATATGCCTGCGTTGTCGTCAATTGATAGCTCGACCACGCAATTGAACATGGCGATTGAAGAGATACATTGCTCGAGTGCATCGCGGTAGTGTCAGCCGCTCCCTGGGTACGGGGCGGCTCGAGAGCGGGAAGCGCGACAAAGAAATTTCTCCAGGTGGTGCTCAGCGCTCAGCGCTTCCGCCCAAGACGCATATAGTTGTGGAACCGCGCGACCGAAAACTCACTTGGAGTCGAGGGAGGTGTACACAAAATGGATGTGGTCCCCTTCTCCACGGATCAAGCACAAGTTGGAGCCGCGCCAACTCGGGGACAAGACACGCTTGCAACATATCAACAGCATTAATTGCGTGCGACGGGCCGGCGGGCCGACCAGTGGCCATCGCACCACGGCAGAAACGATTGGGGCTGAAATTCTTGTCCTGTCGTTCTCCTCCTCCTCCTCCTCCTCCTCCTCCTACCATTTTGCTACCATTCTTCTAACCGCCCTCACACTGGCACCCCGCGCCGCAGCAACGGTCATACCAGCGACCACAATGCAGGCGGGCCTTCCCCCATGCGCACAGCGCGACTCCATCCAGCAACGCATGTCAAAAATCAAAAACTTGAAAAAGTCTCTGGCGGACGAGGAGCGACAGCTCCGTTCATCGTGGAACTTCACACTCCCCATCAACCACCTTCCCCGCGAGCTCCTCGTCGACATCTTTGCGAAAGTTATCCAGTCATGGACCGACGCGGGCGTTGACCGAGGTACCCCAGGACGCCGCTCAGGGCTGATGCGGGTCTGTCGCGATTGGCACGATCTCATCCTTTCGGAGGCAACGCTGTGGTCTCGGCTGTACGTCCCACCTTCTGTTCCCCTCAGCGTTCTTTCCCTCCACCTGTCGCGTTCGAAAAATGCGGGCCTGGACGTATACCTCGACATGAAGTACAACAAGACTTTCATGTATGCGGGGAAAGACATCGCGCGGCTGCTCGCGCTGCAGTACAGGAGGATTGGCGCGCTCACAATACCCTCTATCGATACACTCCCCCCGCCTGCTTTCGAGGCTTTATTCTGCGGTGTCTCCTGGCCCATTCTGACACGTCTCAGCATCAATTTCCTCCTTGCAACACGAGAACGCCTTTCTCTCTCCGAGATCGAGCCCGTCCTCAATCTGACCTCGCATCGCTTTCCGGAACTCCGAACCCTCGTCCTCTCCGGGGGCGTCGTCCCCTCAATAGATCCCCAGCTACTTCGTCAACTGAGATCGCTCACGCTTCACTCCCCCCGACTTGCTGAATGGCCATCCTCTCAAAAGTTCCTTACGGACCTCTCTGAAGCGACACAGCTCGAAGAGCTCTCTATCTGTCGGCGGACATCAGATCACGAACTGTTGATCACTCAGTCAGAAAACCTCGCGACCCATGCCTTCCTTGCTTCTGCACTCCCGCGCTTGCGCTCGCTCACCATCAACACCGATCGCCCTCAAGACTACGGCTCGCTAGTCATGCACACTCTCAATTCATCCGGCCTGATGACCGTTCAGCTCTTCCTGACCGGGTGGACCCGTCATCCCCCTGCGCCAGGACAACAAAAGCGCCGCAGCTTCGTAAACGCCCTCTTCCCATCCCATGAAACTTCCACCACACCTCTCCTGTCTCCCACTCTGCGCTCCGCTCAAGTCCGAATCCACGAGACCCAACTCGAGCTCCGCGGGTATCGCTACGACTCTCTGGAAGACGAGGTCCTCTACCTCGTGGTCCACGGCGCCAGTGCGAGAAGGCGCGGAATCTACCCGATCGCAGACGCGCTCGAAGACGTCGCTCTCCTCCTCCGCGGGCTGCCTCTCGTCGAGTTCCGGCTCGTCTGCACTCCCTACGACCGCACCGCGGTCCAGAGCTGGCGCGCCGTCTTGAGCGCGCTCCCCGACCTCGAGGTGCTCGACGTTCAAGGATCCGCGGACGTGCAGGCCATTTTGTCGGCGCTCCGCCCGTCCGACTCCTCCACCGCCGAGGCATCCATGGCCGCAAGCTCGGGGGACGGCGCGCAGAAGGTGGTTCTCGGCACGAGGCTGGAGTTCCTCTTCGTCGGGATCGACGGCGTCAACAAGTGGGGCGTGGACTCCGCGGCGAGCGCGAGGCGGCTGTTGGAAGAGACGGTGGACTGCATCCGTCTTCGGGAGGAACAGGGCGCGGCTCCGCTCTCGATGCTGATGCTCGAATGCCAGTGTCAGATCGCAGACGATGACGAGGAAGAGGAGCTGGAAGAGGCGGTGTCTCAGTGCCGGGGCAGGCTGTTTGAGCTCATAAAATTTCTGGACCTGTCGATCGTGTTTCGTTCGTAGGCTACCGCCGCGGCCGCGTAAACTTAGTAGACCGACTGTGTACGACGTTCGGCCGCGATTAGAGGGTTTTTGGGTACATCAACAACGCGCACTCGTCGCGGCACCGCGCTCGACCCCGATGTGACGTCATCATCGCGCGCTTCGTGCCCATGTTCGAACGGTCCTCTCGAACGTTCTCTCCGCTCGGGTTTTGTCGACGACAAACGTCCCGCCTCGGCTGCGCGACCGGGCGATGGGGGAGGCGGAGAAGGTGGCGGGGATGCAGACCTTGCGGCTCGAGTTGTTCGATGCGGTCGTTCGCTTCGCGGAGGACTCTGATGGATGTGCACGCCGGCATACATACGACGACCGGGACCTGGCTTCAGCGGAGATTTTATGAAGGTGGCACTTGAGAGCGTGGATGCGTCCCTCCCACCGCGCGACGGACCGAGTCGCGGCGGTGTGTTCATGCGTTGTGCTCCCCTCGTGCGCTTGCAGCTGGGCCCGCGATGCCTCGTGTGTGAATGTGTCCATGAGGCGTCGCACATACATGAAGGCTACTAGTCGAACTCCGGTATCAGCACCGCCGCACCGCCGTCGGCGGTGAGCACGTGTTGCGGATCTTGCACGACGAAAGACAGCGACCGGGGGACACCCGCGTCGCTCTCAGTCGCGGCCCATACATCCCGCCCTGTGCGCCCCTCAACAGGACCCCCTTTGACCATGAGGAAGCGGCTGCAGAGAGCGTCAGCGTTCGCTCTCTCAAGCGTCTTCGCAGAGCACCCTCACCATACAATCCAGTCAGGCTGGTCGACTACGAACACGTTCTTCGCCACGGGGGACGGCTTCTTGGCGGGGTACCGCTCGGCGCGCCAGTGTGTCGAGAAGCTGTACACGAACGCGGGGCGGTCGTTGACGACCTCGGCGAGCGCAAGGCACTGGTCGACGTCGAACGCCCGGTTCGGCCACTGCGACGATCTGTTGGCTGTTTTGGCGTACTCTTCGGCGATGCTCCACGTCTTGGAGAAGTATATGCCTGTGCGCACGGCGATCAGCGACGGCCGCGCGGCTGGATCAACGGAATGAAGCGTCACCGTCTCCGAACTTGCGTGCGTTGGCTGTGTGCTTGGACCACAGCCCGTGGTGCAAAATCTTGTGTACAGATGATGAGCAGGTTGAAGCGCAGAGAAAAACTATTTGAAGTCTTACGGAGTGCCAGTTATGCACAGGTGAGCCGTGGAACCCCTGAGAGTGCCCGTTAGTTCTGCGGATTACGGAGACAGCGGCGTGCGTACATATACTGAAGGATACCTCCGCGCATTCATGGAGAATGCTTGCGCAACACGAACCGCCTGCGCAAAGGTATACTCCGCTTGCGGAGATGGGTATACCAGACGGAACTGTCGCCACCGGGAGTCTGTGTCCCGTCAAAACGTATTAGCACTGCGACCCGTCCAAATTGAAGAGACAACGCACCAATCGAGCCAACTCTCTCCACTGGGGCGCGTATCTCTTCGATGCGCATGGGAAACGAAGCAACCGCCCATCGCAGAAGGATCCAAGAAGCTTCGGGCACATCGGAAAACCCGAGATCCTGTACTCGTACTCGAGAGCTCGTTGTCCCATAGGCGGCGCGGAATGCTTCAATCCGGGACTTGATAACGGCGATCTAAGCAGTATGGTTAAGTTATTCGGCTCTCAAAGCAGAATATTCTTGGATGTACCGAAGGGATGCGCGACAGTAGAACCAACACAGCATCGCAGATCTGTGTCGAGAGATTAGTCGGCAAGACGGCAATGGGAAGCGATGTGGCTGACCTGACTGTCTGTAAGAGCGTCCACGACGGTCATAACAGGATCGCCCGGACCAATCCGGAGGCCCAACCCGATCGGTAGTGGTGATAACTTGTGATGGGCCGCTGCTGTGTAGGCCAAGGATACGATGAGATCCGTAGACGTTGGCTCGGAGCAGATCGAGTACTGCGAATGGATCAGACAGCTGCGTAAAATGTCGAGGAAATCAACCCACTTCAAGACAACGACTGCGTCCTTGGTGATAGAATCGTGCGGAGCATAACGACGAGCTACATAGCAATGGTCCAGTAAGTCGATGCTCCGTGGTTGTGCGCGATCTATGACAGATGACACAGAAGCGCGCACAAAGCTTCACTCCAGAAGGTTAGATCGCTAGTCGTAACCCGGCGGAAGGTGAACGCACCAAAAAGCGACGCAAAAGATAGCGGAACGCCAACAGCGGCATATTCGTGCTGTCGTATCCACATTTGACGCCATAGTTATCCAATATTGCTGCTTCCAGTTCGTCCGCATGACAAATGTGCTGTTCAGATAGTTTCTTATTAGCGTCAGACATCATCAGCATGACAACTACGCACCTGGCTTGACTCGTTATATACGGATTCGTCAGACTGCCTGCCCATGTTTTCCGCGAGCTTGAAGTGAAGAACCTCGGCCCCGGCCCAGCCCAGCCGGTATCGTCGCCGAAGAGCGAAAACTCCCAGGAAAAGATCGTTCATTGCATCCTCCAATGCCGAACTCACGTTGAAGTCCGTGAGATCGTGAGGTATCCGGGCGCCGCAGCGAAGCGAAGGAGGGATTTGATCCGTCCTTGAGAGGCCAACGGAGAACTTGACGCCTGGAGAACAAGCCTCTGGGGAGAACAGACGTTGCGAGTCGCGAATGAAGAGCGTGAGGCAATGCGGTGTCGTGATGAGCCGGCGATCCAAAGTCTTCAAGGCGTGTGCCGGGAGCTGCCCGACGACTGTTGCAACCGGAACGAAAATGGAGAGCGCGCCCGCTTCGTCGTAGAGGGAGCACTTGAAGCCGGCGACTTCGATATCGGACAGGATGCTACGGGTATGTGCGACGCGTTCAACTAAATGACAGAGGTCGGAAAGTGTGTGCGTACCTCCACATCGGGGTTGGCTTATCGCCAGTTTGAGCAGCACTCTCGTGCCCACCATATGCAGAGCTTCCATCGCTAGCAGGACTGCCTTGGGCATCTTCCACCAAGACGGACACCCAATCTACAAGAGCTTTTAGTCTAAACGACGCGATAAGTCGATGCGAAACTAGGTTTGCATACCATCTAAGCGCGCATCGTCGGCCTGAGATGCATCAAGATACGAGATGCAGTATTTCGTGATGGCTTGTAGTCGCGAAAGCATCTCTGGAGTAAGACCGGCAGGAGTGGTGTGAGAGGAACGGGGCGAAGCAAGTTGCGCCCCGTGCCTGCGAGGTCTGTGCGAGTTTTGAACACGGGTTATGCTTCCCTGCATACATTTTCCCAGATGATTAAGAAACCTCGAAAGTGGAAATGTCGGTACGTACCTTGCAGTTTTGACGCTGTACCTGCCGCAGCACATGAAGACCATCGGGCAAGCCGAGACCCGAAGCTTTGTGTGGTGTGTCACCGAGCTTCCTATACCTAATAGGTAATTATGTCCATTCGGGCTCTACCAGAAAGCCATCTGGACGGGACGTTAAATTCTGAAGCGATTCGGTGCGGCATTGCGCAAATCTTGCGTCGTCCCCGAATGTCTGCTGCACGCGCTGTAGGCTGGAGTCACGCTGGAAGGACGGCGCAAGACAGTGCGTATGTGTAAGCGGCATGTTCGTAGTGGGAGAAGACATGAGTCCAAGCAAGGTGCTGGAAGATATTGTCGGTTCTGGTCAAGAAAGACCAAGCTGCCGCCTCGACAGTGCACCAGCTGGCGCCCTTGCTTATATAATACGTGACCGGGCCGCATCCCCGCCGACCCGGAACTTCTCTCGGTCGGTCGTTGCTGCATCTACATCTCTCTTCATCGATCCTCGCGAGACCGCTGTTGTTGGCATTGATGTCAGCAAACAGGTCATATTACAACGGGCCGCAATAACACCGTCTCGACTATCGAAGTGCCAGCTACATCCGTCGACCGCTTTTCTTCGCGCATTCTCAGCCCAAGGCGTAGCGTACCCACCACCACCCTGTCACCCGCCCCATCTCCGACAAACAGGCCTTTGCTCGCCACCTCGATGTCAGGCGCATCAAAACCCGACCCCATCTCGGCCTCGTAGACGACAAACTCGCGAGACATGGACGACACGCCTGCGGCCAGCCGGACGTCCAATGCCAGCCCGACAATTTCGCTCAAGACGCGCTCGGTCGCACCTGCCGGCCTCGTCGCGCCTCCTCCACCTCCAACTAGAAGCACGTCGTTGGCGAAGTCGAAGAGGGTCTGGTACAGGCGATCGGGCTGTGATGGAGGGGCAACGGCGCGGTCCATATGCGATCGGGTGAGGGCTTTCCATCTTCGAGCGACCGACGTGGACTCTGGGCTGGGAGGTCAGAGCGGGATGGGAGCAGAGGGCGAACTGGAGGTGCGTACCCCTACATTCCACCTGCGCATATATGTCCTCCAACACGCTCGTCTCTCCGCAGGCGTCGAGGTCCCAGCTCATCACCACCCATCGCACAAACGAGGCCATCCCTACCTGAAGCACCGCCTTCACGACGTCCGTGCGACCCCTCCCCCGCTCGTGCAGCATCGCAAGAAGCTGCTCTCCGACCCAACCTCCGCGCTCCAGCCGCCGCACGCTCTCCGCGGATCCAGTGGGGGGCATCGTGGCGACACCAGGCTTCCGCGAGCCAGCCATGGCTGCCGCTGCCGCTTCGATGTGAGCGTTCAAGCCTTTGACGAGCTCGACGACGTCCCTCTCCTCCACCTCCTGAGTCTTCGTCCGCCTCGCCTCCGCCTCTGCCGCGGCCCGTTCCCGTGCGTCTGCGAGCACGAGCACGTCGCGCCGCTCCCGCGCGTCGCGGTCTGCCGCACGCTCGAGGTTCGCGATCTTCGCGCGCTGCTGCGCCCCCTCGGCATCCGCGCGCTGGAGTCGTGCGCGCTGCGCGTCAGCTGCGACTGCGGATGCCTTGGTGGTGGTGTTCGCGTCTTCGAGGTCGTGCTGGAGCAGCTGGATCTGCGCGGAGAGGTCTTGGAGCTCGTCGATGCGCGCCCTGAGGTCGCCGTTCTCAGCGAGCGTAGCCGCTAGGGCGCGTTTCGAGTCGTCGTGTGGTCCCTTCTCCGAGAGCCTGTCACCTGTCTTAGGCGTGCGTCCTTCTGTTTCGGGGTAAGCATCGCAGTGTTTCGCTTTTCACAAGCTGATGCGCTTACTCTTTCGCCGGGTCGACAGCAACCTGCGCACGACGTCGAAGTACGACGGCAGCTGCATTGCTGGTGCTCGAAGGTGGCGTCGAAAGAAGAGAGGGGATGGTGGTCGGAGCCGTCGGTCTATCTTGCCGCTGCACTAAAACCGATCTTCAACCGACCTTGTGTTTGCTGTCCGTCGTCCAGGTGTCCACCACGCCGCCGGAAAGACCAGCCGGTGTGACCGCCTCGAAGGTCTCAGACGACACCGACAGTTGCTGTCGATGGCAGGAGGTCCTCGTCTACAGCCGATGACGTCACCATCTTGCCGCCGTGCGAAGATGGCCAAGGAATCGTTGCTTTTCTCTCCCTTCGGGACGTAACCAAAGACATCTATGTTCCACAGCCCGCGGCCCGACCTCGAGGACGTGCTCGACGCGTACGTCTCTGACTTGCTCCAGTAGCTCACTGCCCATCGCGATCTCGCAATCACTGATGCCACACCTGTGCAGACACCGTCGCTCTCTGTAGGCCACATCGCCGCTTTCGCGGACTCGCATCGGGGGATCACGGCCTCGACTTCAAGGGACCGGACGCGGATGTCTCCGATCTGGAGGCAGACGACTACGGGCGACTCGACCTAGTAGCCGATCACGCGCGCTCTGCTCCGCGTGCCACGCACATTCCTCGCCGTCGCTTGAGTACCGGACGCAGCACGGGACCGTCGAGAAGCCCACGCACGCCTTTGACGCGTGGCACATCGAGCACACGGCGAACGAGCGCATGATCGCCAATGCTGACCACAGTGCCACGAAATGAGCACCGCGACTGGGTGAGGTTCTCGGTTGCGACTCTGGGGAGTCGCGATTGCAGGGGGATACGTTAGGTGGGTCGCTCGGACAAATGCGTAAGGTCGTCGACTTCCAGAACGTGTATCAGCACGGGGTAGAGCCATTTGAGCTCGCGGACGGAACGTGCTCTGGGCAATTCTCGTCGATCCGACGATGCACCGCGTCGTGTAGATGAAAGGCACGTCCCACGTTCTATGTGCTGTACCCTGCATATTCAACATGACCGATACTCCTAATATCTACGGTCGAGGCTGCGAGTGAGCCGGCCGCGAGTGGCACTTCGGCGAATGAGGCGTTCACCAGACATCGCGACCGGCCTGCACCGCTACGCCAGTGACAACATCGCCGTCGAATCGCGGCTCGCGGTCCGCGGCGCGGTCAACGTCGGCAACTTCGGATACCCGCCCGCCCGCGCGAAGGGCGGCGACCTTGTGAAAGGGCTTGCAAGGAGGTTGGGCACGGCGCCGGGGTCGCGGGTGACCGCATCACGTTCCCAAACGCATGTCGGCACTGAGTCAAGTCGAACTCGCGGGTATTGAACGCCCGCGCTTCTGGATGAACCTCGCATGCGTCCTCATCCAACCGAGGGTGCGCATCCTGTCGATGAGCGATGTGCTCCGCGTAGCGATGTTACCTACTACGATCAATGCCAGCATGGACATTCTACTCGGTATGTGTAGCGGCCCAGCGACCCGAGGGCTGTTCGTCGGGCTGCAGAAGCGTCATTGGTGATCTAGCAGCGCATGGAGTACATTGGTACAAGCATCGAGAAAGCGCATCCTCAGTCGTCTTCTTCCTTCACGTTGCCCTCGGTCTCCTCTTCCTTCACGTCGCCCTCAGTCTCCTCTTCCTTCACCGCGCCCTCGGCGCCCTCCTCCTTCACGAAGCCCATCGGAAGATTGATGTCGGCGTGCACCTTCACGACGACGTGGTGGACCTCTTCAGCCCCCTCTACCGTTGCTGTCACGTCCAGCCAAGGTCCCTTGAACGGCACAGTGACAGTACGCGCGCTATTCATACCATTGCCAATGTCCTCCGGCGAAGCCACGCCTAAGACATTTGAGTACAACTGAAGAGATTTGGTCGGAACTGAGAGTAACACACCTTGGAGATATTTCGCCTTGATCCATTCAACCTCCGTACAGATAAACCGCACGTTCCCTGGGACCTCATCGCTCAGGAACGTTTTGTACAGCCTGAATCGACGTTGAATGAGCATGAAATAAAAAGGGAGAGAAGCACACACCTGCCGTGAGCATCGCCGAGCGTAGGCTCCACGATCTCGTGCTGCGGGATCTTAGCATCGAGGAGCTGCTCGACGTCGAACTTGCTGTAGCACCACGCCACAGCGAAGGCATCGACACGCTAGTGGAATACCATGAGCCGTAAGACGCACAAGGAGGAGCAGTGGACGCACCCCACCAACACCTCCATGAACGATCCCGTCATTGCACGGGTTGCCGCCAAAACTATAGTCGAGTAATATTCCCAACCAGGCACCGGGCATTTGCTTATCCCCGGCACCGGGTCCATCGTCCCGGAAGTTTTGTACGACGACACTGAACACTCACCGTGCTGAGCATAGAACACGACGAGAAATGACGGATTTTACTCACAGGTCACCGACCCGGAAGATCACACCACCCTTCTCGAAAGGATTAGCGTTCGTGGCGTCTCCAGAAACATATGTGCTGTTTGAGCAGGATGTTTAAGCAGGAATACAATGTGGTTGAGATGGGTGTGAATGCCACTTACAGCATTTGCCGCAGGTCTTTGGAAGTGTCGAATTGATCCCTCACGGACAGCCGGTCGCCGCCAATTGGGGCATCGGGGTCGAGGACGGTACCGGTTGCGGTGCGCTTGGGGGACATGATGGTTCGGAGAGGAAAGCAGCGCGGAGTCAAGTCACTTCAGTCTCCTGGGCCCGCCGAAATTTAACGCGCCGTTGGCGTCTTCTGAGGCTCGAGGCCCTTTGTTCCCGACACTGAGGGCGCGGGCCGACTTGCACACCTGGAGAGAGGCAAGGGGTAGTCATGTGAAAGATTTCCTTGCATTAGACTTCCCTTTGACTCTCGAGTGGCAGGCGAGACAAAGGTTGCCCTGGCGCGAAAGGCTCGGCCCGGCAACATACCGGCCGGGCCGCCCCATTGAGGCCCTATCGCACAGCGCTCGAGGAAAGCTGCCTATTGTCCTCGGAGCATGCCTGTCCCAGCTGTGAAAATCGGCCCACACCCGCAGTGCTACGCCGCCCTTTCAACGGGTGCTTCTTCCCAGCAATAACTCCTTTTTCCCACTCCCTTCAATCTCCGACCCACGCGTCCGAAGATCTGCGTGGTGGGAGACCATCTTCTCTATCGCGGAAAACACGCTGCAGGCCGCACGGCTCGCACCGGGTAGCGGCGCGCTGTGACCGGACTGGTCGAAGAGACAAAGAGCCGTGACGAAGGCTGGGAACGGATGTGGAGTAAGGAGAGTTTGCCGGGGTTCGGTGGCACAGGCTTTGAAGTTGCTTTGAAGCTTTCATTCTCTGCGAATGTGCCCAAAGTCCAAGCTCGTTTGGCTGAGTCGTTCAGTGCCCCCTTTCCAGCACACTCCCGGGTGCCACCCAGTCCTCGGAACGTACGCTGATCGCCACCGGTGCACGACGTCACCGTATTTCCGCTCGTTTCGATCGTTCTGCCTGCTTATATGGCACCCATACTGTACCCACCAGCTTCGCCGACGTCGAACATGTCGATTGTGCACATCAGATACACACGAAGATTATTGATAGCGATAGGTTTACGGAAGAAATTGGACGAGTACTTATCAATCCGGAATGGCAAACGGGATCAAGAGCGAGAGTTGCTTAGATCGTTGTCGTACACAATCTTCGCCGGGCCACTGATGGGTTCAAGAATGACAAGTTAGCCCCGCTCCCGAAAGATATACCGCCACGCACCGTCTTTCTAGCCCCTTTATAAGTGCAATATATGGTCAGTCGGGGTTACATATGTTTACGGCACAGAAACATACGTCTTCCTGCCAACTGATTAGCGCCTTCAGCTCTGTCTGACCGCAAAGCAGGATGATCTTGAATTCTTGTGAATAATAGGTACCCTTCGGGCCAAATTGGGGTTGCCGTACGACTCTGGAAGTATCGGCATAGACGGTACACAGAGGTGCGTAAAGTTCTGGGTGAGGACAATCGGTCAGATAAACGGGCTTGGAAACAGCAGTGGGCTACGAACCAGGTTCCACGTCAACCCAGCGAGGAGTGCGCTCGGGGCCGCGGTATCCAAGGATCTCAGCAGCGACTCCGTTGAGGGTCCGGGAATCGCGCGAGTGTTCAACGTAAAGGCTCCCCACCTCCTGGCTCTCACGTACACGTTTTCCCTGCGCGTCACGGTCTGTTAGAGAGGACCACCCATAGAGACAGATCCGCACCTTCTCAAGGATCACTGAAAATCCTTCCGGAAGTCGCTCTTCTCCGGAGGCCCATGAAACCTTTGTGTGCACTCGCGCACGATGCTCCTCGTCGAATGGGTTGTAGAGCACCGAGACGGACGTTCCATAGGTGACTTTAGTGACGCGAGCGGACACGAAGTTGTCGATATAGTGTAAGACAGCACCGTGCGCGACGGCTTTGTTCCTGTTTGTGTTCATATGCGCTATGATTTTCACTGGGATGCGAAGACTCGGAAGATGCTCACGTGTGTGCGTCAGGGCGATACAATCTGAGACCGAGTCCGTTCAGACCCTCTTTCAATGCGCTGTTGAGCCACGGGCTCGCAGCGAAGCCCCCAACGAGAAAAACGGTCTACCCAAGGATGTCAATTTACTGACACATTAAGCCGAGAAAGACATCACATACCCTCAGTTGACAGGTCAAGGCGGCTTCTTTGAGTTGGCCTTTGATTGCGTTCATAATGGCATCGAGTGACGGCTTGAAGAACGAAAGCATGTCGGCACTGCAAATCGCATTAGTAGCGATATAACCATTCTAAGACGACTTGCGTACCCCGAGATAGTAAGCTGCCCGCGCCGGATGTTCACTGCTTCGTCGTTGCATCTCATGGTACCAAAACGGATGTAAGAAGAGTCCTTCTTACTCTTGAAGATGGCCTTCGTCGACTTTTCGAAGTTCTGTATCATCGCCTTCATATCATCCGAGTTACCGTAATCAGAGTCCTTAAGGAGTGCTGCGATTGTTGTAAGTATCTGGCCATATAGCGTACGAGATGATCGGTCGGAGGTCGTACTAACCTTTAAGAAACTTTGAAGCTCTGACATTCACCCGAGTAGATCCTTGGAGGAGGCCTATCGGGGTATTAGTGATGTACCACGTACTTCCACGAATAACTTACACCCGGGAGTTGCCACCTCCTCGACGGAGACAGGCTCAAGAGTTTGGAAAGAGTAGCTGCTCACGTCGATCGTTCCACCTCCAGCATCGGCGATGATGACACCATCCTGGTCCTAACGGATCGGACGTTAACAGCGCTCAATACAGAGGCCACGGGGCACCAACCTTGAGCGTGTCCGCCGCCAACCCGCTCCGCACGCAAAAGTTGAGACTCGCCTCGCCCTCCGTGACGAACCGCACGCGCTCGCGGCCCGCGTCCGAGTCCGGCACGAGCCCCGCGGCGACCGCGGCGGCGCGCATCACCGCCTGCTGCGGGCCCTCCCAGCCGTTCGGATGGGCGAGGACGACCTCGGCGCGGTCCGCGACCGACGCCCAGAGGCGCTCGCCGCCGCCGTGCGTCTCGCACACGTACCGGCGCACGCACGCGAAGAGGTAGCGGAGGAAGTCGGCGAGGACGGCGGCGGCGTCTTTCCCTGGCGGGAGCGAGGGGATGTCCGCCTTCTTCACGGAGGAGGCGTCGAGCCGTGGGGGGCGGAGGTGGAGTTTGAACCTGGGGAGATGCGGTCAGGGAGAGCGAGCGTAGAGCGGGAATGAGGGAGAGAGGGACGGACCATTCGACGAAGATGAGGTCTTCGTCGTCGGCGGTGATATCCATGTTAGGGAGCGTCGCTTCGGCACCGGCGGAGTGGACCGTGCCATCCTGTCTGTAGTACAGGACAGAGGGGATCTTGGAGTTCCCAGCCGCGTCTTCCTGACCGGGAAAGCTGTGTATGGGAGGTGAGTATATAATCCACAAGAGGACACATGCATCCTCACCGAGTGATGCTCTGGATGGTGGGAACCTGTCCAGGATCGAGAACTGCGTACGCGACGCCGGAGAATGTGGTGCCGACATCGATGCCTAAGACCAGTCGACGAGAGGTCCCGCGGTACGGGGGAAGGGATGGCATAGTGAAGGAAAGTTAGGGGCGCGCTGAGGGTCGCAGAACGCGAATCCTGCAGCATTTGTGGCATCCGCCCAGGTCAACGAGTGCGCGCATGATTGGGAAGGACAATGCCCCCGAGAAATGTGCTCGCAGGATAACGCCACACTGCAAAAGCGCTGAGTAACTTGAAGGCCACGAGGAAGTTAAAGAAGGAAATGACCCACATGCGCCGGTTCCTGTATAAGATCGGCACCCATCCGCTGACGGGCACTCCGGTATCGAGACCACCGACTGGGACGGAAAGCCTCCATGTTTGATACTGTGCTGCAGGCTGCGGTAGCCTACCGCAGCGACTCCGTTTTCACTGCATATATGGAGGGATGTGAGTTCCTTGTGTATGTTGCCTCATCCAAAATGGCAGAGCACTTACCACGTTATTTCGACTGCAGATGACGCTCGCAACGGCGCCTTTGTAGTCTTTAGTCGGCTGGCATGGCCTCCCACCACAGTCTTATCCCTTCTATCCCGCCATGCCGCACTGGCTGAGACTTGGCTTAACTCATCCCTGGACTGCGCTAAAAGACACTATCGCCCACGGCTTCAGTAACCTCGAGCTCGACAGTGACACAGAACCGGCTCTCTGGATAAGACCTCCGGGAATGACGGTGGAAGACACGAGATCTGGGGTGGAGGCTGGTCACCATGACGCGCATTGTGGGACGGTCGTGCGTGCCCCTCACGCGTAAGTCCTTGCGCCTTGCTCCGGTGTGCTTTTCACGTACGTTAGGACCTCGGCATCTTCAACAGAATCGAGTCGAACGAGATAGCGGCGAGGCCTGATAGCGAAGAGCTCAGTGCAGCGCTCAAGAAGATCACGACGCTTCAAGGCGAGCTTGCCCAAAAATGTCAAACGGAGAAGAAGATGAGTAGAGAACTGGACTCACTGCGGGATCACGAAGCGAAGGCTCGCGCGCACGCATCCGATGTCGAACGCCAGCTCGCGCAAAGCCACAGCCGCATTGAGACGCTTGAGTTGGAGCGATCAGTGACCCAAGACCTCCTCGAGGAGCGCTGCGCGAAGCTCAAGGAGGCCCAGACGTTCTTCACGAAGGTGGACGAGGTGGACGACACCGAGATCCGCGGAATCGTCATCAACATCAACGCCTACATCCTTCAGGTCGCTGCCGGCATCGCCGACCACTTTCGGGGTCAGTATGTCTCGAACTCGAGCGTCGACACCGACGCAGTGAACGACATCCTCCATCAATGGGACATCATACATCCTCTCCTCCATAGCACCCTTCGAGAGTGGGACCACTCCAGCGACGACATCTTCGCACAGATGGCCGTGCAGACAGTTCTCATCGAAGGTGCTTTACGTGTCTGTGGCGCTTGGGACTACAACATCGTTAGTCCTAAATTCTTACTTCAGCACATCTATCGGGCCATGGGCACACAGGGTACGTACCCGGCCGCTTTGATAAAGCGCAGACAACTGAAAATCACGACCCTGAACAGAGAGCCAGTCGGTTTGCGGACGCTGGAGAGCACTTTGCCGTCGCCACGTCAGGTCGTTCACTCCAGGAGAGGACGAAGCGGCCGAAGTAGCCGCCGGGATACTCTGCGAACACGTCAAAACCATTCTGCTCGTATGTCGGATTCAGCAGTCGCCCGAAGAGCTGTTGTCAGATATCCGAAGACGCTTCCACGACTCTTTCAAGGACATAGTCTACCAGTGCCTCAAGTTCCAGCGACTCGCCGGAGAAGGAGTCGTCTCGAGGGACTTGAATGTCTTCGTGGCCGGCCGGGGGCAGGCATTTGACCCGAGCCGGATGGAGGATCAGTGGATGGACGCTTCCGCGCCTGCAACGGCGGTACCGTCGACGGTTCTCGCAACCATGGAGCTTGGGTTGGTGCGAGAAGAGAGGCAGGTGGCCGAGGGAAAGACGACCACTCGAAGTGCAGTGCTGCTGAAGTCGTCGGTCGTCCTGGAGAGCATTATAGAGGAGATGCAGCGACCCGCAAGGAAGTAGAGAGTTTGTTCTACCTTGGCGGATGCGTCTGTGATAGACTACCGAGTGCATCGAGTGTGTTGCTTTCGGGAGGTCGTAGAGGGGTTCCAATATGACGTCGAAGTTCGTTCGTTACCACAGCCAGTGTCGTCGGTGATCCTGGTGAGGTAGATGCGGTGAAGTTGCGAAAACGTCAGATCGTCCTAGTGGGAGAGCAAACTTTGCGGAGGAGCAAGAGTCGAACACGCGACTCGCGCTGCCGGTCCGCCGAGTCGGGCTTGGACGGCCGCCGTGTTTGGTGGTATTTGCACATCCATACCATGCCAGCGCCTACTTTGCGTCAGGCTGCGCGATTCAGAACTTCGAACTGCACATGCCTGTTTCTTTCCAATCAAGGTGCTTTCACCGCCCCCCGTAATCAGCCACTCACTTCGTATCGGTACGTTCGAGCAGCGTATGGTCAACACTGACCCATACATGTGGTACGGCACTGCCGGCTCCTGACATGTACACAAATCTACTCTTTCAGCTCACCTACCGCGCATCGGCATGGCTCAATCATCGATACCTTTTCCCACCCCCTTCGACAACGACCACATCGAACCTATCACTCTCGTAGTGCTCCGGATGGCATACTACTCGGGCAAGATCCGCGCAAAACCCTTATGGTGGGAAAAGATCAACGATTCCACCATCGCCGCCAAGTGGCGGGCGGAAATGGTCGAGCACGATCGCATCACGCACGATGGGTTGTGGGGAGGCGAACGCCGCTTCGACTTAGATGACGAAACAGGAGGCGCGAAGAAGTGGCCACGCGACCCCCTTACGGACGACGAGATCGAGTACATCTTTGACGAGCTTGTCTACGAAGCTTCCATGCGCGACCCCGCCACCGGGATATTCGTGAGTGACGTGCACCCCGAGCTTACGAGGCTCTCGCTGATGACGGCGCACCACAGGCGAGTGCTATCAAGAAGGCGTACGAGTCGCAGTCGCTCATCGACGGCGCTCTCAAGGACCAGCTCGTGGAGGCGGCTTCCGTCTTCGAGAACGTCCCCGACGACCAGAAGGACTGGCATCCTGGCTCCAACAATCAGGTCCTCGACCTCGTTCATCCGTCTCTCTGTCCCATCAGTATCGGCCAAACGTACTTTCGTTCAACTGATCCCCAGGGAGGGGACCCCGTGCTTACCATTCTCGACACCGACAAGTATCTTCAGGCACGTCCCGACCTCAATGGCGAGAGCGGAAAGACCGTCTCGAAGTGGTACCAATGGCTGCCGACGGACTTTGCCGTCTCCGCCGCCGGCGAAGTCACCGCCCTCGGGTACATCAACAACGCGCACCCGTCGCGGCACCGCGCTCTCTACCCCGCGGTCACGTCCATCATCGCGCGCTTCATACCCATGTTCGAACGCGTCCTCTCCGACGTCATCTCCGCTGCGGCTGTGATGGAGGTGTCAGGCCACTTTCCGCATGAATGGTACAAAGGAATCGAGGTCGAGTCGCCCAAGTGGACCCCGAACGCCCCCGACAACGACACCTTCGGCGCGCGGTACGAGGATTGGGAGCGACAGTACAAGTGGCCGCGCATCCCGATCCCGGCGCCGTTTGCCGACCGCTGGATCGGCCGGCGGGTCGAGTTCCCGCTCAAAGGGCGCACGGTCCAGGCGATCGTCAAGCTCGCCAACATCCACCTCACGCCCGACAAGCCGTCTTACCCCGGTGGGTCGTGGCACGTCGAGGGCATGCTGAACGAGCGCATCGTCGCGACGGGGATCTACTACTACGCGATGGAGAACGTGACGGAGAGCCGGCTCGCGTTCCGTCAGCGCGTCGGCAGCGGCGATTGGGGCACGGGCCTTCCCTACGACGACCACAGGGGGTACCGCGTCATGTACGGGCTCGGGAACGGCGATCCCCTGAACCAGGTGCTAGGCCACATCGTCGCCGCGGAAGACAAGTGCGTCGCGTTCCCGAACGTGTACCAGCACCACGTCGATCCGTTCGAGCTTGAGGACAAGACGCGCCCGGGCCACCGGAAGATCCTCGCGCTCTTCCTCGTCAACCCGGACGTCCGAATCCTGTCGACGACGGACGTGCCGCCGCAGCAGCTCGAGTGGGCAATGGAGGAGGCGGAGAAGGCGCCGGACCTGCAGAGCTTGCCGCGGGAGCTGCTCGACATGGTCGCTGGCTTCGCGACGGAGGATGGGCTGATGTCGCGGGAAGAGGCGGAGGAGCATCGGGAGAGCCTGATGGAGGAGAGGTCTGCGTTCGTCGACAGACAGAACGAAGAAACGTTCGAGCTGAAATTCAGTATGTGCGAGCACTGACCTTTCTGTCGATGCACTTTCCGCTCTGTTCCATTCAGTGCAGTACATGGTTCATGCAGAAGTGGTTCGCCGGTGGAGCGTAGGAAGTTGCTCAATAGACGACAGATGGGAGCAATCCGGGCGTGGCAAGTGGGGATCGAAGCGCGCGCCTACAATACATTCAGCAATCCAAGCTCGTCCAAGGGGCAACGTACCTATTCGGCGCATTTTGAGTGCGCACCGGCCTACCCACATCTACGATGCCAGGTGGACATACTCACGCTAGCCTTGTCTCACCGATCGGACTCAGTGACCCCGACACTGCGAGGTCAACTACAGGCGCGTTGCTTGGACGCGCTGATATCTTCCCACGATTAGAATGCGGGTCCGCGAAGTTGGTCCGAAGGTCTTGATCAAATGCATGGCTTTTGACCTCTTCACGCATCGCCCAAGAGCTTGGGTGATCCTTCCGCTCGTCATCCTAGCTTTTGTTCTGCATCTAGATCTCCTCAGGTACTTGTCATACTGCGTCTTTTCATTTTGACTCGTATGAAGCGCCCACGTTGTCGAAATCCCCGACTCCCCGAAGCTGTTTACTACTCCTCTCTTCACTGGACTGCCTACGCACGCCCGTTCCCGTGACAACCCTCTCTTTGGCTTAACCGCAAAACTCGGTCCTCATCCAGACAACATATAACGGGCCGCGACGAGACCTTTTCCACTGCCGGAGCGGCGACTCTCCTCGATCGCTGTTCAACCCGAAAGCGCCATTCGTGCTCCCAGCCTGCCACCTGGGGTGTTTTACCATCCTTCTGGGCGCTCCTTCTCTGCTATACTTAGCTCCCTTCGTCTACTCCCTTCGTATCTAGCCCGTTTCGAGAGTTCAATTAGCTTCGTCTCGGCTTTTGAACGACACGCCATTGGTGCCATCCTTTCGGCCGCCCGGACTCCATCCTAGGCTGATTAATGCTATAGTGCAAGAAGTCGATCATGGACGGTTCCATGGACTGACTGAGGGAAGTTGTGGACGCGTTGAACTCCGAACAGCGCGTTGCTTTACTATACCGATGTAGCAGACTGGTCACGCGTCGCTCCGCCACCTTTGTGAGCAGCCATCCGAACGTGTATGAATATACGTAGACGGTGCACAAAGACAATGACGATGCGCTAGTTCGATGGTGGACGAGTTGTTCAGCGACGAGTCCCTTGCTATTCGGGCGTACCCTCATGCCGTCTCTGTGGTAATCGCCGGCAACTCGAGCAACCATCTCTCGAACTCTCGGTTGACCTCCTCCGTCGCCTCCATCTGTGGCCAGTGTCCGACGTCGAGGTCTATAATCTTCGCGTGGGGCGCATACTTCGCCATCGTCCCCTTGCCCGGAGACCCACCACGCGGCGCCCAGAAGCAGAGCACAGGCTTCCTGATGTACCATGCGTCTTCGGGTATCGCTACAGAGGACGTTTTGAGGACGGAAACCTGCGGGCGCGTTGACTGGTACGTACCTTCATGGTCAGCCAGATTTCCATTGTTCACGAACACGGCGTAGTAGCTGACTGGAGATGCCATGCCGCCTGCCAGAAGCGCGTTCCTGATGCGCTTGTACTCCTGGAGAAAACGAGACTTCAGAACCGCATTCATCTGAGGCCTTGAATATGGGGCGCTCACCTCCTCGCTCATCCAAGTCGCCCGCCCCGGTTGGCGATCGTCCGTGAGCCACCGCTCGAGCGCCCCGGTCGGGCAGAGGTTCTCAACCCACAGCCCCGGGTCGGTCGGGTACACCAACTGCACGAAGCTATCCATCTGTGCTCCAGGTCCCCGCAATCAGTAACGGAACGTCAGCGTTCCGCGACATGCCTCACCTTCTCCTCCATGAGCTTCGGTCCGTGCGGCGCGACCATGAGCTTCCAGTAGCCCATGAACTCGCTCCCGGCGGTCTGCTTGAGCATCGCGCACACCGCGTCGAGGTCAAACGGCTGCGTGCTCGGCGGTGTGTACCCAACCACGAGCCAAACGAACGCGCGGAAGCGCGCCTGGTGGTGGTGCGCGAGCGCGCTCAGAACGGCGGAGCCCCTATGCGCCAGAGGTCAGAACTTGAGGACGAGGGCGAGGGGCGAGGCACGCACCAGTCGTGGCCGATCCCGACGACGTCGGAGAGGCACTCGGCGTCGATGAGGTCGACGAGGTCGTCCGCGAGGAGTTTGTGCCGGAACTCGGCCCAGTCCGTGGGCTTGGACGTACCGCCGTATCCGAGGCAGTCAGGGACGAGGATGCCGTACCCAAGGGGTTCGAAGTGGGCGACTTGACGGGACCAGTCGAAGGAGGTCGACGGGAAGCCGTGAATGAAGAAAAGGGTAGGCTTTCCTGCCAGCGCCGGAGAGTGATAGTAGTGGTAGGTATGGCTGCGACGGACAGTCGCATTCTTGTACTTGGCCGGGTCCATAGTGCTGAAACGTCAAGATTATTCTAACCGAATTTCAGCGAAGAGCTCCAGAATGACTTACACTGCAGGTGATGGTGGTTGATGTTCAAATGACTTTGAATTTGTGCAAGGCGATCTAGACTGACTGTGATCCTGATGATCTTCGAGCACGGGGACATTGCTCACGTCATCACTGCCACAGCGTTGAGTCATGTCGGTGAATCTGCCACGTGAGCACCCGATACTGCAGCAGCCACCCTCGGCCGATCGTCCACGACCGTCGGCAAGAACGCGAACACGCCTTCGCGTCCGCCGCAGAGCGTCCTGCTATCGACGCGCACCGCTCGGCTGAAGGTCGGATGTCCTCCGGGCCTGCCCGCCGTTGGCCGCGCCCACGAACGTGCGCGCGAGCCGAGAATCCTGCAGCCTGACCGGAGCGGACAACCTGCCCGACGGGCACGCGCCGATCGTCCAGCGAGGGCGAGGGCGAAAGGATGCGAGGTCGCTTTTGAGAGCGAGGGGCCGGTGGGGAGCATTGACGTTGCTCTCCCCCGTTCTCCCCTCTTCTAGCCTGGCCTTGCACACGTACGGGAGCATGCCCAAAGGACAGTTGGCATCCTACTTCGAGTTCGTCTGGACGCTCCTGGGGCGGAGCCGTCGAACTGGTGAGTGTGTGGTACCTTCGAGGTAGACTGAAGACTCACCTAGTGTCGTTCGACAGAAAAGCAAACGCGCCTCGCGAACGGCAACGGCCACCACAAGTCCGAGCCCAGCGAAGAAGACAGCCTCAAACTCTCCCTCGACGACGCCCGCAGCGAAAACAGCGCGCTCAAAGCGCGTCTCTCCGAGCTCGACGCGCTCCCTGCGCAACTCACCACCCTCCGCGCCGCGCTCGCCACAGCGCAAGCCGCCGCCGCCGACTCTGCGACTGTAGCTGCAGAGCTCGAAGCCCGCGCCGCCCGGGCGGACGCGGACGCCGCCGCGCGCGCCGCGCAGATCGCCACGCTCGAGGCCGCCGCCGAACGCGCCACGCGCGCACGACGGGACGCCCTCGCGGCGCTCGACGCGCGCACACGCGAGCTGCGCGACGCCGAGTCCTTCCTCGTCAAGCACGACGACGTGCCCGACGCGGAGGTCGCCGCGCTCGTCGGGCGGCTGAACGCGCGCGTCGCCGCGGTGGCGCGCGCCGTCGCCGTGTGCCCCGCGTTCGCGTTCGCGCCCACACCGACCACATCGACATCGACATCGACGGGCAAGAGTGCCGCAGCGCGCGCGCAGGAGGACGAGAGCGTGTGCGCGCTCGAGCGCGGCGGGTGGGTCGGCCCCGCGCTCCTCGCGGCGCTGCGGTCGCCGCGGCTGGACGGACCCGCGCGGGCGCGGGCGGTCGAGGCGGCGCTGCGTGCCGGGATGGCCGCGTTCGCGCAGTGGCTCGCCGCGAGCTGGGACTTCGACGCGTTCGAACCGAGCGGGCTGCTCGAGAACGTGTACGTGCAGGTCCGGGAGAAAGGTGCGCTGATCCCCCTTCCTTCCATCGCCCCCCTCTCCCACCGTCGTCGGGAATCGGGGCACTCCCCAACGCAGCCGTGCGTTCGAACCCCCGGGCTCGCTGACCACGATCGACAGAGCCCCAATCCGTCGCGGGCCGCTGGCGCGCGCTCACGCGCACGCACGTCAAGGCGCTGCTCGAGACGGGCGAGGCGCAGACGCAGCGCCTGTTCGACACCCTCGCCGCCGTCGTCCTCGACGTCCTCGTCGGCGGCGGCGGCGCGGGCTCGCGCGAGGAGGCCGCCGCCGCGCTCGCCGCGCACTTCGAGCGCGCGCTGTACGACGTCGTCAGCCTCGCGCTCGAGTTCCAGTGGACCGCGGGCGAGCGCATCGTCTCGCGCGACTTCGTGGTCTTCGTCGTCGAGGATGGCGCGCCGTTCAATCCGGGGGCGATGGAGGAGGATGGAGCGCTTGGGCCGACCTGGAGGCAGGGTGAGGAGCGGCAGGTCATCGCAACGGTGGGGCTGGGCATGCGGATGGAGGTGAAGGTGGATGGCGACAAGCTGAAGGACGTTCCTGGGGAGGTGCGGAGAACGACGATGGTAAAACCTGCGGTTATTCTGGGAGACTGAGTGAGAACGCTGCCACTGATACATGTAGACACTTACCCCGCGTAGGCTACCAAGTTGCTGCACCTGACGAGCTCGAGGATGTGTCAGTGTCAGAAGATCTGCGTGCGTATTCCGAAGTCAGTGGTATCCCACATCTCACCACGGTCTTCGTGTGTGGCCTTGAGGCTGTAGGCATGCACTTACATCAATAGCACGTGGGCTGCAAGTCGTGTGTTTGTTGCAGATGCAGAATACTCGTAGGTTTGTACATTGCTACGTAGCTAACTGGTACTAGAAGCTCGACGCGCGCAGGGGGGGCCCGCCACCCCCGGCGGAGCCCCAGGTGGGCGGACGTGCAGAGTACGAATGGTCGTACTGCGAGGAAAGTGCGTATTAACATAAGGGTGAGCGCACGAAGGCGTGACGAGGAACGATACAGGGATGCGGGTGCGTAAAGATGCAGAGATAACGAGGCGTGAGGAGCGTGGGACGAGACGTAAGACGAGGCGAGACGGAGACGGACAGACAGAGCAGGGTAATATGGTGGTAATACATGGTGAAATCGTAGTCAGGGACGAGGGATAGTAACACAGCGGGTACGAGCGCGAAGATATGATGGAGGCGTCTTGAAAGTGGGAGATGGTGTGCAGTGGGGAGGGGGTCAAGGGGAAGGGGACGGCGATGGGGGATTCAAGGGCGAGAGAAGCTCAGCGTCACCGGAACTCGCGCAGCAAGACCTGCATGGGGATCGACGATCGATGGTGAATGCGGTTTCGCGCGAGCGCCAGCTTCCTCTCCCCAGCGAGCTTGTTGATGGAGTTCATGAGATCGCTGCGACGCAATGGCTCTGTATCATGTGTGAGCGAAACACGAGCTCTGCTAGCCAGGCTGGCACTTACTGGTGATGTGGTCGTCCATACCCGCCTGCAGACACCTCTCGCGATCGCCGATCACTGGAGGAGGATGTTAGCAGCCATACATGAAAACGGCGTGGACTACGTACTTGCATGCGCAGTGAGCGCGATGATGGGCGTTGGCTCGAGGCCGTGTGTCTGCTCGTACGTGCGGATAAGCTCCGTGGCCTCCATACCACCCATGAACGGCATAGACACGTCCATCTAGGGGTTTTCCAAAACGGTGAGCACGACGAGCCGACGTCATACCCCCAAAAGACTCACGAGGATGATGTCGAACGGCCGGTTGCGCTGCACGCGGGCCTTGAAGGCGTCGACCGCGAGCTGCCCGTTCTCCGCGATCTCGACCGGGTGGCCGTACTTCTCGAGGATCTTGACCGCCAGCTTCTGGTTCACGAGGTTGTCCTCCGCGATGAGGATGTCGTACGGCACGTCGTTCTCGGGTACCACAGGCGTCACGGTGTTCGACTCCAGCGCGGAGATGAGCGCAGACGCAAGGTCCTGCTCGGACACTGGGGTCGTGATCTGCGAGGAAATGCCGTTGTCCAGGCACCACTTCACTGCAGGCCGGCGATGGGGTCAGGAACTGCGACTCAAACGGGGGTGGGAAGACGATGACGTACGGTTCAGACGCGGGCTCAGTTCGGGCGAGAGCAGCACGATGGGTATATAGCGCAGGTGCTCGTGCTCACGGAGACTCTCGGTCTAGATCACAACAGGGGCATGAGAAGTCGACACAGAAGGACCCTCAAAGCTGAGAACACGCACCACATGCAGCGAGTCGACGACGATGGTATCGATGTGCGGGCACGTCGTCTTGTCCGCGACCTCGACGACAGAGTGGACGACGTATGGCCGGAGACCGAGGTCGAGCACGCGCTGGACGACGCCGGTTTGGTCGAACATGGTGTCCACGAAGAGGATGCTCCGCTTCTGGAAAGGCTGCATCTTCGACAGCGTCGCGTCCATCGAGAGTGGCGAGAGTTGGGAGGTGATCGTGAAGTAGAACTTCGAGCCGAGTGCGACCTCGGACTCGACCCACATGTTGCCGGTCATGAGAGTGACAAGTCGCTTGGAGATGGATAAGCCGAGACCGGTGCCGCCGTATTCCTACGCGGAGGGGAGGTGAGATCGAGGTAGAAGAGAAAGAGCGGAAACGACGCACTCGAGTCGTGGAACCGTCTGCCTGGCAGAAGGTATCGAAGATCATTGTCAGCTTGTCCTTCGCAATACCAATACCGGTGTCGGACACGCAAAATTCCAGGGTGACGTGCTGGTCGTCCTTCCCAAGCAGCCTGCAGCTAAGCGCCACGTGGCCCTTGCGCGTGATCTTGCTAGGGGTGAACTTGATAGCGTTGCCGACCAAGTTGGTGATGACCTGGCGAAGACGGAGGGAGTCACCGATGAGCTGGTCGGGGATGTCTGGGTCGACGTCATAGGTGAGGTCGAGCTGGTTCTGGGATGCGCGCACGACGAGGGTCTTGAGGATGCCGAAGACGGTCTGCCGAATGGAGTACGAAACTTGCTCCATGGTCATGCGACCAGCCTCGACTGTAATAACGACGGAGTGAGCAAACCGCCGACACCGAGAACATGAGGAGGACGCACTCTTCGAGATATCCAAGATATCATCGATGATCAAAAGTAAACTGCGGGCCAAGCTGTGGACCAAGAGAAGGTTCTCGCGTTGTGACCGGTTGAGGTCGCTGTCCAGGGTCAGTTCCGTCATTCCGATGATACCGTTCATAGGCGTTCTGTGTGAGAGGGTCAGACTACGCGACGACGTGGAATCGGACAGCACCCGGCATACCGAATCTCATGTGACATGTTCGCCAAGAACTCAGACTTGGACCTGTTCGCCAACTCGGCCGCCTCACGCGCTGCCGTGTTCTTCTGGATACTGTCGCGCAAGTTAGACACCATCTGGTTGATCTGCGTTTTCAACGAGTCCATCTCTCCGCTGGCCTCGACGGTGATGAACCGACTGAAGTCGCCGTCCATGGCCGCGGCCGAGATCTGTGCGAAACCTCTGACTTGCGTCGTCAAGTTGTTTGCCATCGTGTTCACGGACATCCTGGATCGAGCCGCAGTGTCAGAAGGACAGACGAAGGGGATCGCGGATAGTCGACGCACGTAATTTCTTGCCAGATACCTTCGACGTTGCCGACCTCCGCTTGACCGCCAAGCTTTCCTTCCGTTCCGACCTCACGAGCGACTTTCTTGACCTCGGCCGCGAAGATGGCCAACTGGTCAATCATGCTGTTGATAGTGTTGACCAGATCGAGTATCTCTCCAGAGACGGCGACACCGGTGACCTTCTGCGTCAAGTCGCCCCTCGCGACCGCGCGCGTAGCAAGGGCGATCGTCCGCACTTGAATCGTCAACTGCGACGACGGTTGAGTTAGCTTGACAGTGCACACGCATGCAGAAGAGACGACTTACGTTCGCTGCCATAACGTTGACGTTGTCCGTGAGTTCCTTCCATGTACCGCCGACGTTCGTGACCTTGGCTTGGCCGCCCAAAAGACCCTCCGTTCCGACTTCCTTTGCGACACGGGTGACCTCGTCCGCGAACAGGCTCAAACTCTCCGTCATACCGTTGACCGTCTCCTTCAAGTCGAGCATCTCTCCGCGGACGTCAACGGTGATGCGCTTCGTCAAGTCGCCGCCAGCGACGGCCTTGGTGACCTCCGCGATAGAACGCACTTGGTTCGTCAAGTTCATGGCCATCAAGTTCACGTTGTCCGTCAAACCCTGGATCATGCAGATCGTGTCAGTCGAAGCAGTCCGTGCGGAGGCAAGCGAACACGCACCTTCCAGACGCCCTGGACGTCAGGCACGGACGCTTGACCTCCCATGATACCCTCAGTTCCGACTTCCAATGACACACGGGTGACTTCGCTTGCCAACGTAGATAGACGAGCGACCATCTGGTTGACAGTCGTCTTGAGGTCGAGCATCTCGCCCTGAACATCGACGTCGACGTTCCGGCTAAGGTCTCCGTTTGCGACGGCCTTGGTGACTTCAGAGATTGAGCGCACTTGATCCGTCAAATTCGAGGCCATTTTCTGAGCAGAGACGAGCACTCAGATGCGGACCCGGAGAAGCACAAGGAACAATACGCACGTTGACGTTCCTGGTCAAATCCGCCCAAGTGCCCTGCACACCCTCGACGCGCGCCTGACCTCCCAAGATACCCTGAGTTCCGACCTCCAACGCGACACGAGTGACCTCCGATGCGAACGCGCTCAATTGGTCCACCATGGAGTTGACCGTGCGCTTCAAGGTGAGCATCTCACCCTCGACCTCGATGTCGATCTTCTGCGTCAAGTCTCCGCGGGCGACAGCGGTGGTAACCTTCGCGATAGAGCGCACTTGGTCCGTCAAGCTCCCGCACATTCGATTGACCTGGGTGTATGCGGCGCGAAAGGCGAAGAGAGACGCTGAACTTCGATAGGGGATGACATGGAGGAACGGGGCGACTCACGTTTCGTGTCAATTCTAACCATACACCTTCGACATCCGCGACGACTGCTTGACCTCCCAATTGACCTTTAGACCCTACTTCCAATGTTACTCTTGTGACTTCTGCCGCTAATGCCCGTAGCCGGACGACCATGCCGTTGACCGTGTTCTTGAGTTCGAGTATCTCTCCGCGAGCGTCGACTTCGATTTGTTTGGACAAATCTCCGAGCGCGACAGCCTTGGTGACCTTTGCGATAGACCGTACCTGATTCGTCAAGTTCGCCGCGAGCTTGTTGACGACGCCTGTGAGTTCGCGCCAAGTGCCTTCAACATCCAAAACCAGCGCCTGACCACCCAATTTGCTGCGTTCGGGCCGAAGCTCAGTAGGTGTGGAGTGGAGCGGCGCCCATGCACGAGGCAGAGTCGCGGAGCACAAAGGAACTCACCCTTCCGTGCCGACTTCCTGGGATACACGAGTGACCTCCTTCGCAAATTGACCGAGCTTGTCCACCTGCAAGGCGGCCGCGCGGCTCAGCGCCTAGTGCCACTTGCGGGAAGGAAGAGATTGAACGCACCATCGCGTTGATAACGTCCTTGAGTTGGATCATAACGACGCCCTGTACCGGTACCGTAATCTTCTGGGAGAGATCGCCACGCGCGACGGCGTTGCACACGCGCGCGACGTCCTGGACCTGGGTCTTGAGAAGCTTGAGTTCGTCAACCGCGCTCATGCCGCTCTCGAATGCGGCCGCGGCGAGAGGGCCGGGCGGCACGACGAGAGGGGAGGAGACGTCGCCGGAGGTCATGGTGATAATCTTGGAAATCGTTGCCGTGTCGCTGATGATCCTGCCGCAGCCAGGGCAAGAAACATGGTCTGCCTGGACGGATGGTGGTGCCGATGCCGCGGTTGCCGCCATGCCGGCCATGGGCCGGCGGATCTTGTCGAGAGGGTTGACGACGCCGTCGAGGTTGATAGTCATTCCGTTGGAGGTGCGGCCGTGGACGGGTGAGGATACCGGGGGGTGGGGGGTGGGCTCGGAGCCGGAGCTGTCGCTGGTCGAGTCGGACATCTCGACATCCTTGACAGAGTCGTCGAGAGTACCGGGGATGCTCTCGACGGAACTTGTGGGCGTAAAGAAGGGCGACGCTGAAGAGGATGAGGTATGGGCATACCCGTTGGATTCTGCGCAAGTGGTGTCGCTGTGGGACGAACCGGAGAAGGGCATGGGTGGGCTGTCGCCGACACTGCGCCGCTTCTTGGACTCGGGGCCACACTTGTCGGCCTCGCGGAATGCACTCAAGGCCTCCTCGGCGGTGTGCATGCGGCGGGCCATGGCGCCGAGAGAGCGGAGGATGCTCTCGATCTGCCAATCACTGGGGCCGTCATATTTGGGGATGGGGGTGGGCAGGGACGGGCCGAGTTCGTAGACAGAGAGTAGGGCGACGAGGTGTGTGAAGAAGGGATGTTGTGGATTGTGAGTGGGGGACGCCATTGTCGCGGGGAGCGACGGCGAAGAGGCGGAGGGGGACGATGAGGAAGAGGGAAAGAACGATCTCCAGAGTGCGGACTAACTAATTATTCCCCCACCCGCACACTTTCACACGCGCCGCCGCCGCGTGCCCTGCCGAAGCGCGGAGTTCAAACACCAGCGCCAAGCACCACCACAGGCAATCTCCCAAATCGAGATCTGCTCCTCCTCCATGACGGTCGCCTGCTCTTTGTGCGTCCTCCAAAGCCGGCTGAATCGTTGTAAGCTCGTCTCCGTAGACAAGAATACCTCTGCCGATCCTCATCTCCGGCATTTCGGCGCTCATGATCCATCCACGTGGTGTCTGCAGGCGAGCACTTCGTCGGTAAATGTGTATCTGGTACGTCCCATCGTTACAGGTTATTGTTCTTCTAAACGGACTGTTGTGTGAGCGAGCGTTCTGACCTCTGCTCATCTTTTAGCAGAGACTCCGGACACCGCGCTATGATCGACTCAGCGCCGGCGTGTTCCTTGCCGTTCGTAGCCATGTCGGCGATACTTGGTGTCGCGCCAATAACCCCGCTCCACTTGATCATAAACTCTCCACACAGGGTTGCTCAGCAACGACTCGACACATGTCGAGCGTGTTCGACATTGTGGCCAACACCACCCCATTATACGCGTTGACGTTCACCCAGCCCGGCTGCTTGCAGACCCCGAACCTCATGTAAACTCAGTCCGCCACACCCGGGTTCCACAGGCTATCCCCGAGCCGTCAGTGCTCCAAGTATCCCGAACTCGGACCATCGCTTTGCTGCCGAGAAATCGACTAGGATCCGCTCGCCGTCGCTGGTGCATGTCCTTTTTTTTCTGGTTCGCGCTCCGCCGGCCATGATCTTCATTCCTCACCTCACGAGGCCTCCCGCAGGCTCTATCGTCATCAAATCTACCTTCAGAACATCGATCGCCTCATACACTGTGCCCCAGCACTCTATCCTGGTCGGCCTCGCGGCCTCACGCCAGTGACCAGGTGTGGCCCCATGAAGCCCTGTACGGCGTCCCTCAACTTGCAGCAGCGCAGGTAAGTCCCTCGACCATCGCCGTCCGATCCGATCCCTTCATTAGGATTAAACTACTCCCCACGTGTACGTCCCGGACCTCGCCGGCCACCTCGCGATGGAAGGAGTGGAGCGGGAGATCTTCGAGGGACGACTCACACTGAAGTACTGATGCCGTCGTCACCGACCACCAAGCCGCCAACGGACCACGACATGTACACTTATCGCAGCAGACATCGCATTGGTCCGTCGTCGGCTTGTGAAGATTTGGCCCAAGTCACTGGTTGCTGTTCGGCCACCGCGTATTACATAGTGCATTCGCACGTGGCGTGGGATGCCGTACGTTGCTGTACACAACCGGGTCGACGTACTTCCGACGTTCAACCAATTCCTTTGCAGCTGGCGAAACAGGCATGTGGAAATACGAGGCCAGCGCCGCATCCGCTAGGAGATACTACGTACGTCCGCACTCCGGAGACTTTTTCCAGAATCCGACGCCCTCCTGCGGGACAAACTTTTGACTACGTCATACTTCCCCCCGGCGTCTCAGATCTCAGCAAGAGCAAATCCGAGTACTCGAGTAGTACTTACTCTCTGAGCCCCAACTCTCCGACAAATTCCACACATCCAAGTCGCAGGCACTGCCCGGGGTCCTCTCTGCGACTGCCCTGGTGCGGTCACGCGGACATGAGAGAACGGCCGCGGAGAGACGCTCAGGCGTCCCTCCGGTCGCGTCCCCGTCGGGCGCTCGGGAGTCGGGGCGGCCGGGTGTGTCAAGCGGCGACGGGCGGAAGGGGCGGAACGAGACGGGTCTGGGGCGCCGTGCGCGCGGTACTTACCATATTTCGCGCGCGCGCGGGCCAATGGCAGAGAAGGCGAGCAGAGGCGAGGCCGCGAACGTTTAGTAGAACGCGGTCTTCGGGCGCGGGCTCCCACACGCGCGCGGTCCAGTGACCTCGCGCGTCGCTCGATATGGCGGCGGAGTGCGGTCCAAGAGAGGCCAGGTAGGTCCGGCCGTGCACGAGGAAGAAAGAGTCCGAGACATGCTCTGCCTGGGGCTCCTTGGTAGCCTGGTATGGGCCGGCGGAGTTGGAGGACGGTGTTCAGTTCGCCGCCCTCATAGGGCACTCCGAAGATAACGACAGGCATGCGGGGAGCCCTTCCCACCACGCAGCTGCGATAATCAGATTGTCGAAGACAAGCATGCGCGGCAGAGAACGCGGCTCAGACGGTGCGCGGAAAGGGCCGGGGAGATGTACAAGTACGCATGTTCTAAGGGCATAGCTTCCAAGTATCGATGACTCTTGGAGCGTTCTGAGAGCGTAAGCAGCTTTTGGGAATGCCCAAAGAGATTTACATATACTTGCAGGAGATGTCGAACATCCGGCTCTAGGACCTTGACCGCGATTTCCTCGCATCCCGGGGCGCCACCCTATAGGGTCAGGTCCTCAAGGCCTCACAGCTACTTGATCAGAATGATATAGAACTTGCGCGACTCGGTAGCGTTTGGGAGCCCAGCGGAGGCTGATTGTTGTTATATCAGCCTCCTCGGTCATGCGCGTTGACTTCGAGTACGTTCTCCACCGTTTGATTGATTTGAACGCGAATCATATCGTCCACAGGATTTACCAGAGCATAACGCACGTCGACTGAAAGATCAATGCTCGCACATACTGAACTTCTGCGCGAACCTTTCTTCGTTCTCTCTGTCGACGAACGCAGACCTCTCCTCCATCAGGCTCTCCCGATGCTCCTCCGCCTCTTCCCGCGACATCAGCCCATCCTCCGTCGCGAAGCCAGCGACCATGTCGAGCAGCTCCCGCGGCAGGCTCTGCACCCCCGGCGCCTTCTCCGCCTCCTTCATCGCCCACTCGAGCTGCTGCGGCGGCACGTCCGTCGTCGACAGGATCCGGACGTCCGGGTTGACGAGGAAGAGCGCGAGGATCTTCCGGTGGCCCGCCCGCGTCTTGTCCTCGAGCTCGAACGGATCGACGTGGTGCTGGTACACGTTCGGGAACGCGACGCACTTGTCCGCCGTGGCGACGATGTGGCCCAGCACCTGGTTCAGGGGCTCTTCGCGCCCGAGCCCGTACGCGACGCGGTATCCCTTGTGGTCGTCCTGCTCGTACGGGAGGTCCGTGCCCCAGTCGCCGCCGCCGACGCGCTGGCGGAATGAGAGCTGGCTCTCGGTGACGTTCTCCATCGCGTAGTAGTAGATCCCCGTCGCGACGATGCGCTCGTTCAGCATGCCCTCGACGTGCCACGACCCGCCGGGGTAAGAGGGCTTGTCGGGCGTGAGGTGGATGTTGGCGAGCTTGACGATCACCTGGACCGTGCGCCCTTTGAGCGAGAACTCGACGCGCCCGTCGGTCGCGGCAGGGGCGGCGAACGGCGCCGGGATCGGGATGCGCGGCCACTTGTGCTTGCGCTCCCACTCCTCGTACCGCTCGTCGAAGGTGTCGTTGTCGGGGGCGTTCGACTCCCACTTTGGCGACTCGACCTCGAGGCCGTCGTACCATTCGTACGGAAACCGGCCTGGCACCTCCATCACAGCCGCAGCGGAGATGACGTCGGAGAGGACGCGTTCGAACATGGGTATGAAGCGCGCGATGATAGACGTGACCGCGGGGTACAAAGCGCGGTGCCACGACGGGTGCGCGTTGTTGATGTACCCGAGTGCGGCGACTTCGCCGGTGGTGGAGACGGTGAAGTCCGTCGGCAGCCATTGATACCACTTCGATACGGTCTTTCCGCCCTCGCCATTGAGGTCGGGACGTGCTTGAAGGTACTTGTCGGTGTCGAGAATGGTAAGCACGGGGTCCCCTCCTTGGGGATCAGTTGAACGAAAGTACGTTTGGCCGATGCTGATGGGACAGAGAGACGGATGAACGAGGTCGAGGACCTGGTTGTCGGAGCCAGGATGCCAATCCTTCTCATCGTCGGGGACGTTCTCGAAGGCAGAAGCCACCTCCACGAGCTGGGCTTTGAGAGCGCCGTCGATGAGCGACTGCGACTCGTACGCCTTCTTGATAGCACTCGCCTGTGATGCGCCGTCATCAGCGAGAGCCTCGTAAGCTCGGGGTGCACGTCACTCACGAATATCCCGGTGGCGGGGTCGCGCATGGAAGCTTCGTAGACAAGCTCGTCAAAGATGTACTCGATCTCGTCGTCCGTAAGGGGGTCGCGTGGCCATTTCTTCGCGCTTCCTGTTTCGTCATCCAAGTCGAAGCGGCGCTCGCCTCCCCACAACCCGTCGTGCGTGACGCGATCGTGCTCGACCATCTCCGCCTGCCACTTGGCGGCGATGGTGGAATCGTTGATCTTCTCCCACCACAAGGGTTTGGCGCGGATCTTGCCCGAGTAGAACCTCATCCGGAGCACGATGAGAGTGATGGGTTCAATGTAGTAATGGCCGAAGGGGGTGGGGAAAGGTCTCGATGGTTGAGCCATATCGATGAGCGCTTGAGCGGTGGGTGAGCTGAGAGCGTATTGTCGGCGAGATGGGTGGCTTTATAGCGGTGCCCAGCAGCCCAGACCCAGGCGGTGCGGAATGTCCCAAAATGGAAGAGCCGTGCGTGACTCCGGGGGTATGCGAAGTGAGTGTTGCATACATTGGTCGATATTAACGCTGACTTACCATGCGCACACGCGCTGTGTGCCGCACCTCAGACAAACTATCGATATGAAGTGATCCACTGATCTCCGGGGGTAGTGAGTTACCAACAGCTTCGTCGCTTGAAGGGAGTGACTCGTCACGTGCATGTGACCGGGCCGAGCCTCAAGGCCATCAAGCTCTTCGAAATGGCGGCCCGATCTCCCAGTTGGGGATACGGGAGGGGAGCGCGAACACCATGCCCACTGAGAAAACATTCAGTATCTATATGACCATTAGACATGTTGAATATACAACTTTGAGGGCCCCGAACGCGAAACGTGCTGCTCGTCTACAAGATGCACGTCGCCGGATCGACGAGGAATCACAAGATGATTGCCCCGAGCACGTTCTGTCCGCGAGCACACACAGACGGACCCCATGAAGATGCTTCCCAAAGTCGCCGGCGTGCCGCTAAATGAGTACCGCGATTTGGTAAGGTTCTCGGGTGCGATGATGCGCTCCTTCGCCGTGTCCTCGATGTGCCACACGCCAAAGGCGTGCATGGGCTTCTCGACGATCCCGTGCAGCGTCCGGTACTCAAGCGAGAGGGGGGATGTGCGTGGCACGCAGGGTGAGGTAGGCGGGATCGGCTACTTGCGCTCTTTAGGTTGAATCGCTCGTAGTGGTCTGCGTCTATGTCAGAGACGTCCGCGTCCGGCGCCTTGACGTCGAGGCCGTGATCCCCCAAATGCGGATCCGGGCATGTGGGTTGGATAAAGCGACGAATCCTGGAAGGCTGTCGCTGGTATCAGTGAATGCGAAGTGGGTAGGGGGCTACTGGAACCTGTCAGAGACGTACCCGTCGAGCGACGATTACTTGGCCGTCTTCGCCCAGGTCATAGGCTGTGATAAGGCGCATACGAGCTCCGCTCAAGCGCAGGGCAACAAGTCGAGGTACATCGACAATGACAGTCCGCGTGAGCAGGGGGTGGGGCTGCGCATTATAAAAGTCCGAGATGAAGCTGTGCCGACTCGTCGCGTCGGAACGAAGTCGGTCTCACGGGCTGGTCTTGCCGGCCGCGCGGTGGACGCCTGGACGACGAACAGCCAGGAAACACAAGGTCGCTTGAAGATGGACTTTAAGGCGGTGGCGAGATAGAGAGATGTTTCTGACCATCGTCAACTCTCTTCTTTCGACGCCACCCCCGAGCACCAGCGATGCAACTGCCGTCATACTTGGACGTCGTGCGTAGGTTGTTGACTCGGCGAAAAAGTGAGCGCTTCAGCTTGTAACAAGCAAAACAACGCGATGCTCACCTCGAAACAAAAGAACGCACACCTCGGGCAGGCGGCAGACTCCCGGAAAAGGGACCGCTCGACGACCCCAAACGCGCCCTAGCGGCTACGCTCGCTGAGAACGGCGACCTCAAGGCGCGCATCGACGAGCTCCAAGACCTCTCTGCGCAGATCCAGCTGCTTCAGCACAACCTCGACTCCACCACCACCACCACCACCACCAAGGCGTCCGCAGCCGCGGCTGACGCGCAGCGGGCACGACTCCAGCGCGCGGATGCCGAGGGGGCGCAGCAGCACGCGAAGATCGCGAACCTCGAGCGTGCCGCGGAGCGCGCCGCGCGGGAGCATCGCGACGTGTTCGCGCTCGCAGACGTGCGGGAACGGGCTGCGGCAGAGGCGGAGGCGAGGCTGATGAAGACGCAGGAGGTGGAGGAGAGGGACGTCGTCGAGCTCGTCAAAGGCTTGAACGCTCATATCGAAGCGGCGGCAGCAGCTATGGCTGGCTCGCGGAAGCCTGGTGCCGCCACGACCGCCCCCACTGGATCCGCGGAGAGCGTGCGGCGGCTGGAGCGCGGAGGTTGGGTCGGCGAGCAGCTTCTTGCGATGCTGCGCAAGCAGGGGAGGGCTCGTGCAGACGTTGTGAAGGTGGTGCTCCAGGTGGGTATGGCCTCGTTTGTGCGATGGGTGGTCATGAGCTGGGACCTCGACGCCTGCGGAGAGACGAGCGTGTTGGAGGACATATATGCGCAGGTGGAATGTAGGGGTACGCACCTCCAATCCTCCCTCTGGAATCCTCCCGCTCTGACCTTCCGGCCCAGAATCCACGTCAGTCGCCCGAAGGTGGAAAGCCCTCACCCGATCGCACATGGACCGCGCCGTTGCCCCTCCATCACAGCCCGACCGCCTGTACCAGACCCTCTTCGACTTCGCCAACGGCGTGCTTCTCGTTGGAGGTGGAGCAGACGCAACGAGGCCGGCAGGTGCGACCGAGCGCGTCTTGAGCGAAATTGTCGGGCTGGCCTTAGACGTCCGGCTGGCCGCAGGCGTGTCGTCCATGTCTCGCGAGTTTGTCGTCCACGAGGCCGAGATGGGGTCGGTTCTTGATGCGCCTGACATCGAGGTGGTGAGCAAAGGCCTCTTTGTCGGAGATGGGGCGGGTGACAGGGTGGTGGTGGGTACGCTACGCCTTGGGCTGAGAATGCGCGAAGAAAAGCGGTCGACGGATGTAGCTGGCACTTCGATAGTCGAGACGGTGTTGTTGCGGCCCGTTGTAATCTGACGTATTTTTTGGCATGGATGCCAAGACAAGCGGTCTCATGACGATCGATGAAGAGAGATGTAGATGCAGCAAAGACTGACTGAAAGAGAGGTTCGGGGAGTCGGTGTTGGCGGGGATGGGCGCTTCAAGCGGCCCGATCGGATGAAGTACTGAGCGCTGAGTTACATACATACGGCTGGTACGGTCACTATGTAGTCACCCCTAGGCCAACCTTCTGACGAAGGTGCTGAGGCGTCGGAAGCTCAGCGCCCAGCTTTCCACTCTTTCTTGAGGGTTGTAACGCATTTTCGCATTTGAAACCCTTTCATATGAGCGCTCGCCTACAACAAAATCGTACATCGCATACAAAGCACAAACAACGGTACCTAACATGATGATGCATACAGCTAATTACCCTCACCGAGTACGGCATGCCAGAAGAGACAACTTCACCTCCTGGCATCCGAGCCCTCTCAACTGCGTCTCATACTCGCGCACCGATTGCTCGGCCCTTTGTATGCCGACCGCCCCGTCCACCACACACGGTATCGACACCACCAACGACGCCAGCGGGGGAAGCTCCGCCAAATCCCGAAGGCGCAAATTGTACAGCACCTTCTCCAACAGCCTCTTCGCCTGCGCCGGAGACTGGCCGGCGCCACCAGCGATCGAGACGGACCGCAGCCGGGTCGCGCATTCGTCCGGCTCCTCGGCCTCGTCGTTCGCAGCCATGGCGTCCGCGCCAAGGCTCGACGGATGGAGGGCTTCGAAGAGCGGGAGCATGTCAAAGCACCCCTTTACCTCGATTTTTTCGAGCTCGGGGAACGCGCGGAAGACGCCGCGCCAGCTGTGCGACGTCGTCTTGTCCGCGCTGTAGTTGGCGATCCAGAGGGACTTGAGCGGGCGGTCGTTGCAGAGGAGAACGAGGTCTTCGAGCGCCTCCGCCAAGGCGTAGGGGTTTACGTAAAATTGGTGGACGACTCCAACCACGGAGAGGCGGAGGGGGTCGTCATCCTTGGAGAGGGAGCGATGGCCGGAGAAATCCAGCTGGTTGGCCTGGACCGTGACGTCTGCGCAGTGTAGGGCGAGGGGCAGAGGGGACGTGACGCGGTTCGGGAAGAGTGCGTCGACGAAACTGAGGCGCGTCTGGGACGCTTGGGTGGCGAAGAAGTCGCAGAGGGACAGGTTGATCGTCATCGGTACCGGTGGTAGGAGGGCGTGCGTGACGATAGGAGTGATCTCTTGAGGACAAGCAACGTTGATGGTGACTGAGCGCAGGCGCGGGAGCGCGGAAGCATCGAAAGCATAGCCTGAGTCGCGCTTCGAAAGCCAATGTTCCGTGTGGTGCAACCGCCGTGGATAGCAGCCCCTTCGGCCGATTGTAAGGGCTTCCAGCTGGACGGCTTGAGAAAGGTCGGTCAAGAACTGTTGAAAGGATGGCCATTCAACAGGGCAATGCGAGTAAACTTTGAGTGACTTGAGTTGGCGCAGCAGCTGCACATCAATTGCGGGGATGGGTCCGCTGGAGAGAGCAAGGGATTGGAGGTTCGGGAATCGAAGAGCCGAGAGCTTGAGGATGGGCTCTAGATCGATTTGGGTGATGTGCTGTTCCGAAGAGCGAAACGAAAATTTTATGTCGAGGTGTGTGAGAAGGGGCCAGGACTTGTCGCAGAACAACGCATGGAACGTGGGGAGCGGCAGGTCCCTGGCCGAGGGTATCGACAGCGACCGAATCCTTTCGGACTCCGGAGCAAGAATTCGTGCAGCTTCCAACGAATTGTCGGGCTTCATGTCCAGGCGAACTTCCAATGCCGCTTTCGCAGAGCGTAATTTGTGAAGGGAGAGGATCGCGAGCGGAGTGGAAGGCGTGACGTACATCAAGGACCACAGTGTCCCTTCCGACGCGATGAGCTCGCGCCACGCGGAACACACTAGCATCAACACCGCCCGTTTCCCTCCCGTGGCTGCCGTGGTTGTCTCGGTCTCCGATTCACCCAAGCTGGTCCATGACGAGCGGAGAGCAGTGGCAAAGATGTCGACGAGAAGTTCGCGCGGGAGGTGATGAATGGGGAGAGTAGCGTTCCACGATGAATGGAGTTGACGCTCCTCGGCTGCGAGAACTCTCCTGCGATCCTCAATTTTCGACAGGCTTTGCAGAATTGATTCGCGCTGTGCGCACGGGGGAAGTGCCCGGTGGTCAGGGAGAGGCATCAGTGGATTCAGTGCGATGGTTGCGTCTGAGGATTGCGGTTGTGAGGTTCGAAGAAGCTTCGCTAATACGAGTCGAGATGGAAGAACGTAGTCCAAGTACCTGAGAAAATCTCGATGTCGACTTTGAGAACGAGTGGGAGGAAGATCCAAGCTCTTGGGCGATGCGGAGGAGCCTGGAAGAGGTCAAGAGCATGTTCGTGTTCCAACTTTCCAGCGCCGCCGGGCCCACCACATGACCGGGCCTTCGGTCCGGTACCCATTTGGAAATTAGCCCTCCGCTTTCATCGTGGGAATATATCAACACGTCCAAACAACGCGCCTACGCTGACTCGGACCCCGCCATGACCAAGACTGCCATTTGAACCCGACCATCGGGCATGCCTGAGCGCTGAGCATGCTCACCCATCGTAGATGCGTGTAGGTGAGTGATGGCTTTAAACGCGTCTCATGGAATCTCACCATACGGCGCCTGTGAATAGAATCGCTCTGGAGTCTGTATCACCAATTTTATATAGGCTCAGCTGCTGAGTCGCCGGCTGCACGCTGGAAGCACGCTGGCGAAAGATACGATCGGTCGAACTCGTGGCCGTTATACTTCCGGCAGTATAGCGTCTGATTGAGCATGACGGGCGGCACTGTCACGTAGCGAATATGCTGCGGTAGCGGGCCGTTTGCGTCCAAATCGCTTCGAATATAGCTGGTGCGTACACTCCTCCTTTAGACGTTGACTCAAATTATTCTGCTTCTAATAGAAGCCGATTTGCAGGGAAGCGCAGGCACTGGTTCAAAATATACGTTGAGTGCGCGGTGATGGGGTGCAAGTTGCTTGCGCCCCCGACCTGCCCACTCACCCCATTCATCACTCCGTGATGATTTCACTATTGCACGTACTCGCTGCATGTTTTCGCTCATATTCTTCCACGGTCCACATAGGTCACCACAAACTGGATGGTCTAGACGGTGCGTGATTGATATTCCGGCTGAGAGTCGAGACTGACTTGCGCTATAGTCAGTGTCCAAGCCCTCAATAGTGTCGACACCTCGGCGAGCCTTCGAGCCTCCCTATGCCACTCTCGTATGCGCCCGCTCTACGTAGTCAAAGAGCCAACTCCACTCAAGAGGTTCGTGCCCGGTTTTAACCTTCGGTCTTGTTGTCGAGCTCACAGTGTTTCACGAAGCCTCGTCTTGTCAGAGATAGAAGACGCCGGCTTCAAAACACACGTTGATCGCAGAAGTAGCACTACATCAATCTCTATTCCAGTCGCCGCCCTCCTTGACAGGCTTCCGAAGTCAGCCGCGAAGGCCTGGGACCGTCGACTGCTTGTTGAACATCGTTCTCTTGTACTGTTTATTCACGAGCTGCCGCCTCAACTTCGACCGGGGCCTCGCGCTTCCCTTCGCGCATGCGACCTCAAGTTCTCAGTCGGTTTGTCAAGTGCATGCGAACTCTCAATGTCGCGTGGCCCAGCTCTTGCACATCGTGGTCTCATCGATCTCGACTTCGGCGCCATTACAGAGCACACGATGGACGACATCTTCCAGGAGGTGCTCGCTCTCCGGCGACGATACGGGCTTAGTTGGGCCGGCGCCGAAGCGCTTCACTTCAAGCTTGCAGATATGTTAACTGATAAAGATGCCGTGGGCTTGAACAACGTACGTCACTCTGTTTCTCGCCCATCACCTTGCTAAATACTCTTCGCACTCCAAAGCTCATTTGCCAGGAGGAGGACGCGGAGACCATGTTACTCAAGGACTACGATGTTGGAAACCTCATCGATGGTCCCGAAGATATGAATGTTCCGCTCATGGCTTTCCGGTACTTTTTGCGTCGCTTCCTGGTGGGTATTTCTCGTGTTCGTTATTCAACATGCTTTAACCATCGTGCGTGAAGATGTGCGCTCGGTGCTGTTCGGTCTGCCACCGGCTTCAAACCGGCTCCACGTATCAGGCCACTCGTGCGTTTGTTTGTAAATCTCCTTCATGTTCCACACGTTTCTATCGCGAGGGAGTCGGGCGCTGTCTTGAAGTAGGCAATTTCTTCGCTGTTTAATTTCCTGTTCGCTGATCCCGGGGCAGTACGCGATTTGCACTCAGCCGACCTCGGTGGACACCTTGGTGTCGTTGGCTTACACTGCGTCATTTTACGAGAAGTTATCCCCTCTCCCCGTCGGGTTGGATCTTCGAACCGGTCCTCGAAACACTCTGGTGGACGCACTGCCGGAAAAACAGGTCAGCTACATGACCTATGACGAGGTACCAGCGACTGAGACGTCCGTGCAGATATGCGAAGCCACGTTGAATCTGCTCAAGCAAATACCTCCAGTAAGTAGACAACCCCCGTCACTGACACAGTGAAATCTCACGCTATGTGTTCTAGATCGCGACTCTCAAAGCACTGATTGATGCATCTCGCCTCGCACCAGAGACAGCGAGCTCTCGGTTACGTGTCCAAGATCTCGGGCTTCCCGTCCCTGAAGCCGCTTGGGTCCTCATGCGATGGGTTGTATTTTCGTCCCCCATGCGCATCGAGGAGATGCGCACACCGATGGAACGAGTAAGGTCGATCGGTACGCCATTTGACTATTCTTGGCACTTACACTTCTGACCGTACCATAGGACCTCAGTGGAGACAGTTCCGTCTTACATGTGCATCGCAACAGGCAGAGGACGGTTTTACGGAAGCAATTCGTGATGCGCGAACAAGATCTACGAATTCGAAGGTGTATCCGTCTGCCTACGTACGTCTCGTCCTTAAGCATTGCACAGCATGTGGAACTGAGGATCGATTGCAGGGATTTCACGGTTCTCCCGTATTCAATTGGTACTCTGTACGTAGACGCACCTGCCCTGCTGTCTACCGTTGCTGAAGACGTCTTTAAGATCTTACATCACGGACTGTGGCTCAAGGATATCGCCAACGGCCGCAAATTCGGAGACGGTAGGCCGTGGTTATCCGTTCGACTATGTCGCAGCGCTGACCACCGAAACGCCGTAGGCGTATACTTCTCGAAAATGTGGCGCATCGCGGAAGGCTTCGCCAAAACCGCCGCCCGTGCGGCGCAATGGCCGAACAGGGCTTTCGATATAGACCAATGCCTCGCGCTCGCTGAGGTAGTCAATGAGCGCTCCGCGTTCGTGTATGATTTCTCGACGCACCGTTGGCCCCGGAAGAAGAAGCCTACCGATGTGGCGAAGCACGTGTTCGTCGTCGACAAGACTGACTGGATCATATGGTGCGTGTGCTCGAGGAAATGTGGGATAGTGAACGCTCACGTACTCTCCAGTCGGTTTCTCATGGTCAAGGGCGCTGTTGCAGACCCGGAGAGAGGGCTTGATGACTGCACTGCGGCGTATGGAGCAATGGGGTGTTCCGGAACCTCGCATTTTGTCAAGCAGGATCCAAAACACGTGCTCACAGCTGACGGTGGTGCGGCCGTGCTTATACCCGAGTTCCACTAGCTTTCATACGGTGCGGATATTGTCGAGGTCACCTACGACGCTAACTTGATCGCTCTTCTTGTGTACCTACGCATGACAGCCTTACAGCGAACTGGTGCCTCCTGTGCTTTACCCTGCACCACCGAGACACTGCGATGTGCGCTTCCTCTGCCTCTGCAGGCTCGTTTTCAACTTTGCACCGGAACGCGAGCACCAACGCCGAGAGCGGAGCCGCTGCTTGTTGGTATCGGATGCAGACACGGACGCACCCCAGCGTCCGGTCGAGGACCGCCTTCGCGCCATCCACGCCGTCCACTTCGCACTAGGGTTGACGCCGTCGATCCCGATGAAGAGGAACTCCAGCCACGCGCCAAGGAGTTGATCCCCCGAGGACGCGCTGCTGGATTTCCGGAAGCGGCGGCGGCGGCGGCGGCGGCGGCGGGGGAGCGCAAATAGAATGGCTCTCCCGTCCGCGTAGCCATCGAGCACTTCGAGGTCCGGGAGCGTGCGCGAGACGGCGCGCCGGCTCTGGACGCTCGTGTGGTCGAAGGGGGTGCTGATGAACCGTAGATCGACAAGCGCGAGTCCGCGAAGTTGAAGAGAGCCTGCATTCTCTTGACACTGATAGAACAAGCGATGTCTGCAGTATCCAGCAGTCTCCTGCGCGGACACCGAGTGTGCTCTCACATCTCAGGAAGTTGTCGAATTTGTGGATGGGCAAACCACCAGACGTCCTCGACGTTCCTTTGCATGACATTCAGGAGGACCCAAACGTAAATCATACCGACGCGGAGCTCAGACACGACCACATGGGAGCGCGCGCAACTCGAGACGTGTACCACCCAGCTCCGCGCCATTCAAGTATTCGTCACCATCGCCGACGACGTCGACGATAGCGAGGTTCGCAGAATCCCTCGACTGGCATACACTCCAGATCTCCGCCATCATCGCTGACGCCCTTCAAGATAGTTGCACTACTCACCAAGATGTCATAGATGTTGCGTGGACCAAGGTCACAGCTTGACTCTCAGATGGCGTGGTAGTAGCCCTCCGACTCGACGCGAGCAAGCACGGTGGGGATGTCTCTGCCTCCATTCAGGTCGTTCTGTAGGCCATCTGGCCGCATATATCCACCATTTCTACACGACGTGGGATCTGAGGGATAGAGGAAAGGAGCAAGAAGTGTTCGTGGACGTGTACATAGGCATGAAGTACGTTACTCAGACCATTCACCCCAAAAACTGCCCCAGTCCTCTCCGCATGATGGTGCGCCCTCTGTTGGAAGCACATCAACCCTCTCATTGCTTCTGATGAGCGGCCCTACTCGAAGCTGGCCGTGGCGCTAACAGCATCGGTGTTCCTGATATGTGAGCGGGTGGTACTTTGCACGAGTAACATAGGGTTGGTGCTTGACGGTATATTGGGCGAGGGCAACAGCAGCACCGGAGGACGTTAGACAGTACCGCTGGTGACTATGAGGTGGGCATGAATACGACGCATGTGTTCCGTTGTGGAAGCCAATTTTGCCGACATGCAGGAGGGAGGCGACAAGAGAATCCGGGAACGCGAGATCACAGGAGAGAGAAAGAGGCTGAAAGCGCGCTACCGTATGGTAAATACCGGATGCTGACAAATATTTACTCCTAACGCGCGACCGGGCCGCCCACTCCTTTTCACCGAGTAGGATTCTACTACGCACAAGAAGATCAATGCTCGCACATATTGAACGTCTGCTCAAACGTCTCCTCGTTGTGGTTCTTGACGAACACGGACCGCTCCTTCATCAGCTTCTCCCGATGCCCCTCCGCCTCCTCCCGCGACATCAACCCGTCCTCCGCGAAGCCAACGACCATGTCGAACAGCTCCCGCGGCAAGCTTTGCAGGCCCGGTGCCTTCTCCGCCTCGTTCATCGCCCAATCGCGCTGCTGGGGCGGCACGTCCGACGTCGACAAAATGTGGACGTTCGGGTCGACGAGGAACAACGCGAGTATCTTGCGGTGCCCAGCCCGCGCCTTGTCCGCGAGCTCGAATGGCTCGACGTGGTGCTGGTAGACGTTCGGGAACGCGACGCACTTGTCCTCCGCGGCGACGACGTGCCCGAGCAGCTGGTTCAGCCCGTCGTTGTTCCCGAACCCGAAGACGACGCTCCATCCCCGGTGGTCGTTCTCCTCGTACCCGTACCCGCTGCCGTTGTCGCCGTCGCTCATGCAGTGCCGGAACGCGAGCCGGCTCTCCTTGATGTTCTCCATCGCGTAGTAGTAGAGCCCGGTCGCGACGATGCGCTCGTTCGCCATGCCCTCGACGTGCCACGACCCACCGGGGTACCTCGGGTTCTCGGGCGTGAGGTGGATGTTGGCGAGCTTGACGATCACCTGGACCGTGCGCCCTGTGAGCGGGTAGTCGACGCGCAGGTGGGTTGACGGGGGCTCGAACGGAAGCGGTTCAGGAACGCGCGGCCACTTGTGCAGGTGCTCCCACTCGCCGAGGCGCTCCTCGTAGGTGTCGTTGTCCGACGCGTCCGAGTCGTACTCCGGCTCGGAGACCTCGAGGTCGGCGTACCAGTCATCGTAATTCGTTATCGCGTTCTGTATTATAGAGGGCGACGCAAGGTCGGAGAGCACGCGCTCGAACATAGGGATGAAGCGCGCGATGATCGACGTGATGGCGGGGTAGAGCGTACGGTGCCGCGAGGGGTGCACGTTGTTGATGTAGCCGAGAGCGGTGACGGACTCGCCGTCATCCGTAACGGCGAAGTCTGTCGGCAGCCATTGGTAGGCATTCGACACCGCGTAGCTTTCCTCGTCTTCGAGGTCGGGTCGTCCTTTGAGGTAGTGGTGATTCTCGAGCAGTGCGAACACGGGATCGCCCCCGCTGGGATTGGGCTTGAGAACGTGTGTGCGGCCAATGCAGACAGGGTAGAGAGAGGGGTGGACGAGGTCAAGCACCTGGCCGTTAGAGCCAGGGTGCCAGTCCTTCTGATCGTCTGGAACGTGCTCGAAGGCAGCCACAGACTCCACAAGTTGCGCTTTGAGCGCATCGTCGATGAGCGAATGCGACTCGCACGCCCTCCGAACGCCACTCGTCTGCAGAGGGAACATACGAGAGTCAGCGAAAGCATCGAGAAGAATCCGCATGCCACGTACGAAGATCCCAGTGTCTGGGTCGCGCTCCCCCGCCTCATACTCGAGCTCGTCGAAGATGTATTCAATCTGGGCTTCGGTCAACGGGTCTCGCGGCCACCTTTTGACGTGTCCTTTGCGGTCCTGGTCCCGGAATCGGCGACTTCCTCCCCAAAAATTATCGTGGGTGACACGGTCGTGCTCGACCATCTCCACCTGCCACTTCGCAACGATATCTGGGTCGTGAATCTTCTCCCACCACGACGGCTTGGCGCGGATTGTGCAGGAGTAATAGAGCATGCGCAGCTCGACGAGGGTGAGCGGTTCGAGGTAGCCGAACGCAAATGGAGTAGGGAATAGCTGTGGAGCCATCCTGAACGAGAGCTGTGAGAAGGAGGAACAGGAGACAACGAGCTCGTAACGAGACGGCCGGGCCTTATATCAGACGGCATTCTTCAGGTGTCGACCTCATGTTGAGACACGAGCAGCCAGCAAGGTTTTGATATGGCAGTCCTAATTTGGGGAGTATGACTCTCTGTGGGCGCATTGTGACGGGAAGCGCTGGATGAGAGCCGGGTGTTAGTGTTGAGGACGTAAAACGGTAATGCGGTACTGACGATGGTTCACGCGATATGATCACCTGAGGAGAATCAGCGGAGGTGGGCTATCCTTCTTGATCAACGCGCAAGTTCTGAAACAGACCGGTGTGATCAGCAAACGAGCTTTATGCGCACCTTTTCTTTCCCCACACCTGTGCGAACACTGTCACACGGCCGACCATCCTATGATTCTCTCAGGGACCTGGGGTTATTGTGACGCGCGGGTTGTAACAAGCTGCAGTGCGACGAGCCACTCCTACACGTCAACGTCGACCAATTCCAGAATCTGTCCCAAAAATTTCGCGCGCATCGGCTGTCGTGAGTCATTGATGTTTGTATGGGGTGCGGGTAACGAGAGTACATACAGTGATGGGAGATCATCGATCAAGCTCAAGAGTAAGTGGAGGTAACCCAAGACACCAGAATGTGCCTGAAGGTGCTCCCATTAGAACATTGAGACTCCGCCAGTTGCTGATTAGTATGTGGGTAAACATTCGGCAAATACCGGACTGATACACATTAGGCGCGCGCTTCCCGCTCACCTGGCCGGCAAGTTGCTCATGCTCGACGCTCGTCAACGCTCAGCGCTTTCAAACCGCAAAGTATACGTTCAGCTTGAAATATCGAAGGGCTAATGCTCGCACATGTTAAACTGCTGCTCGAATATCTCCTCGTTTTGCTGAACATCGAACGCAGACCGTTCCTTCATCAACCGCTCTCGATGCTCCCCCGCCTGCTCCCGCGACATCAACCCATCCTCTGTGAAGCCAACGACCATGTCAAACAGCTCCTGTGGCAGGTTCTGCAGCCCAGGGGCCTTCTCCACCTCGTTCATCGCCCAATCGCGCTGCTGAGGCGGCACGTCCCTCGTGGACAAAACCCGCACGTGAGGATCGACCAAGAACAGCGCGAGGATCTTCCGGTGCCCCGCGCGCGTCTTGTCCGCGAGCTCGAACGGATCGACGTGATGCTGGTAGACGTTCGGAAACGCGACGCACTTGTCCTCCGCAGCGACGATGTGGCCCAGCACCTGGTTCAGGGGATCCTCGATACCAAACCCGTACGCGACCCGGTACCCCCTGTGGTCGCCCTGCTCGTACGGGAGGTCCGCGTCCCAGTCGCCGACACCGACGCCCTGGCGGAACGAGAGCCGGCTCTCGGTGACGTTCTCCATCGCGTAGTAGTAGATCCCCGTCGCGACGATGCGCTCGTTCAGCATGCCCTCAACGTGCCACGACCCGCCGGGGTAAGAGGGTTTGTCGGGCGTGAGGTGTATGTTGGCGAGCTTGACGATCACCTGGACCGTGCGTCCTTTGAGCGAGAGCTCGACGCGCCCATCGGTCGTGGCAGGGGCGGCGAACGGCTCCGGGTCCGGGATGCGCGGCCACCTGTGCTCGCGCTCCCACTCCTCGCGTTGTGCGTCGAGGTCGGGGGCCTTGGGGTCCCACTTTGGCGGCTCGACCTCGAGGTCTTCGTACCACCGGAACGGCAAACTGCTGGGTTCCTCCTTAGGAGCGGAGAGGACGTCGGAGAGGACGCGTTCGAACATGGGTACGAAGCGCGCGATGACGGACGTGACCGCGCGGTGGAGCGCGCGGTGCCGCGACGGGTGCGCGTTGTTGATATACTCAAGTGCGACGACTTCGCCGGCAGCGGAGACGGCGAAGTCCGTCGGCAACCACTGGTAGGAGTCTGAGAGGGTGTACCATCGCTCTGTGCGAAGATCAGGGCGTGCTTGAAGGTACTTGTCTATGTCGAGCAGAGTAAGCACGGAGTCCCCTCCCTGAGGACCGGACGAACGGAAGAGAGTGCGGCCGATGCAGATGGGATAGAGAGACGGATGGACGAGGTCGAGGACTTGGCCATCGGAGCCAGGATGCCAGTCCTTCTCATCGTCGTGGACGTTCTCGAAGGCGGAAGCCCCCTCCAAGAGCTGAGCTTTGAGAGCGCCATCGATGAGCGACTGCGACTCGTACGCCTTCTTGATAGCACTGGCCTGTGATGCGCCGTCATCAGCGAGTGCCTCGTACTAAGCTCGGTTTGCATGTCACTCACGAATATCCCGGTGGCGGGGTCGCGCATAGAAGATTCATAGACGAGTTCGTCGAAGATGTAGTCGAGCTGCGCGTCAGTAAGGGGGTCGCGTGGCCACCTTTTCGCCTTTCCTTCTTCGTCATTTTCGTCGAAGCGACGTTCGCCTCCCCAAAACCCGTCGTGCGTGATGCGATCGTGCTCGGCCATCTCCGCCCGCCACTTGGCGGCGATAGTGGAATCGTGGACCTTCTCCCACCATAAGGGCTTGGCGCGGATCTTGCCTGAGTAGTACCTCATCCGGAGCTCGATGAGAGTGATTGGGGGGATGTAGCCAGAGTAGAAGGGGGTGGGGAAAGGCTCTGATTGTTGAGACATGTCTATGAGAGAGGGATCAAGTTGCCCAGAGAGCAGAGGTGTAGTGTTGACGAAACCGATGGCTTTATAGACAGTGACAGCGTGCACGCCGGGAATATCAAAGTTTCTGCTCGTCCGATATGTATGAGTAAACCTTACGAGAAACGTAGCGTTTTTGGTAGCGTTCTGAGCCCTTTAGAATGATACATTTCGCGTGCATTGAAACTTTATGTACCTCGACCTATTCCCGAGTCCTCAAAATGAAACATTTCTGCGCCTGCGGAATGATTTCTCACACATAGAGTTCTGGCGGCCCGGGAACTCAAAGTTTCACGATGTGCGAAATCATCTGCCAAATTTGACGTTTTTCTCATCATTTTGTCGGCCTCGCAACGATATATTTGGGTTCCGGCGGTCCTGAAATGTTATGTTTTGGACCTGCGCGCCCGCTCATCGCCCGCTCATCGCCCACTGGTCGCCCACAGGCTGTCCACCTCCCTTATTTCCTTGCGCCCTGCTTATTGCGCGCAACGATGAGCGGGCGATGCGCGGGCGACGCGCGGGCGACGCACGGGCGACCAGTGGGCGATGAGCGGGCGATGAGCGGGCGCGCAGGTCCAAAACATAACATTTCAGGACCGCCGGAACCCAAATATATCGTTGCGAGGCCGACAAAATGATGAGAAAAACGTCAAATTTGGCAGATGATTTCGCACATCGTGAAACTTTGAGTTCCCGGGCCGCCAGAACTCTATGTGTGAGAAATCATTCCGCAGGCGCAGAAATGTTTCATTTTGAGGACTCGGGAATAGGTCGAGGTACATAAAGTTTCAATGCACGCGAAATGTATCATTCTAAAGGGCTCAGAACGCTACCAAAAACGCTACGTTTCTCGTAAGGTTTACTCATACATATCGGACGAGCAGAAACTTTGATATTCCCGGCGTGGTGCCTCACGACGGCGATCAAGTGGCTATCACGTCAAGAGACGATACGGCGCCATGCGTGCGCCAAGAGGTTAGGAAGCTCTGAAGGAGCACCGTGAGTCATGAGTGCGAAACGTAAACAGCGTACTGCACCTCTGCGCCAGACGATATCGCTAGGCTGTGATCTGCTGGAAGCAGCAGTCTGTTGGTTCCTAGTGTTCCGGTGTACGCCCTCATCCGAGGCACTACCAGTATGCTTAGTCATGTATACTACGTTCCCACGCATTGTACAGTACTATGCCGCCGTATCGTCCTAGATCGATATCCAATCTATCATCCTATCCACCATCGTCGTCCTATCCGACACCCTGTCCGTCATCCGGCGTCCTTTCGCCTCTACGGCTCTCTTCGTCCACTGCTCGATTCTTCACACAGTCACCTTGGTGTCGTTCCCTAGACCCTCCAGCGCTCCCAGTTCCTCTGAACGCACCCCTAACTCGCCTGTGAGGCCCTGTTCAGTCCGAATACGGTAGCCGTCGAGTCCGCCCGTCATATCAAGCACGCACAGGAGTAGGCCACGCGCAGAGGGGCAGTAGAGTGTCTGAGACAAGACGATGCAAGTCACGTTCACTAGCGTTCACTGGAGTTCACGCGGTGCGGAACTCGCAAATATCCCACGCCGCAAGGCAATCGGCCAAGCCCGACGGATTCAATCACCGATTGCCTGCAGCCCCGCGAGTCGCATGTTCGACTCTTCCTCCTCCAGTAAGTCGTGTTTTTCGCATTCGAATTGTACAAAGTCACTGTCGATACTGACCGATTTAGTTAGTACCTAGTCGATGGGCGGCGGTGGCTTTTATGATCACCAATCTCTGCTCCGCGACTCCAGGCTCACGCTCCGCGCCACGGGCGGGACCGTCGTCAGTCACTGGACGTCTTGGACGATCGGTTGTTTGTGTGGCTCAACTGCAGCCACTCACTTGCGCATTGCGACCGTACGCCGGTAAAAACGCAAGTGGGCATAACAAGTGAGCGCAGTAAGTACCCGGGCCCCCATCTATATCGCTAGCCTCTTGCAATCCGATCGAATTTCGTTCTGAGCCTCAGGAAACGCGGGAGTCTCCAGGCGGAGACAAGACCTCCCTCGCTCCATCAGTATCGGGCCGGAGATGGGGGTCTCCATACGGCCCGGTGCGTCCTGATCTGAGAACGACGCGCCACTCGTGCTCCCAAGAATGGCTTTCGAAGGCGAGCACCATAGACAAAGCGCGTCCTTTTTTGTGACACCCTGAGTGGCCACCCATGCGCGTATAAAACCCCGTCGCGTTGTCCGTCGCTGCTCATTCCAGAATCCCCCACCCTGAGGTGAGCCATTGGTTGTCAATCTCGAGTGCACAGACTGACCTGAAGTTGGGCAGACGCACTTTGCATCATGTCATCCTCCTCGGAGTCTAGTACCCGCTTGATTATTCTGACTTACGGCGAATCTCATGATGACAATGTGCCCGATGGTTCAGTTGAGCACGATGCAACTTTCGAGGAACGCCAACAAAAAAAACTGATCAAAGCGAAAAGCCTCAAGGTCCGAGGTAACTTCAACCGGAAGACATGGATGACGCCCCATATACAAAACCTCTTAGATAGGCGCATGCCCCGTCTAGAAACCCTTGTAATCCACCATGTGGATGACCAAGGCAAGCCCACTGTCGCGAAATTCCCCTCGGACCTGGACGGCAGCCTCTGCTGGTGGCAATCCCATGACTTCAAACATCTCTCTCTCTTGAACGTTGCAGACTTTCCTTCCACTGATAGTGACTTCTGGACGAGGCTTCAATACCTCACCCTTGGTCCGTGCAACGCGACGCGCCCGTCCATTACCACCGCCCAGCTGGTCAAGGCACTCAGCAGCGCCACTAGCCTCGTCTGCCTGAAGATGGATAAGTTCCTGAGCGCTGTCGTGCTTCCTACCGATTCACGTGAATTACGGAACAGGACGTCCTGGGGCCTAGAGTCTCTCTACATCGAGGACGCTCCCGGGAATATCCGCTCCTTCCTCCAGTCTTTCCAACGTCTCCTTTCCAACTGCAAGACGTTCTTTATCACCGAAACAGAAGCCACCGACGACCCCCCTTTCATACGTACAATCCCGTACAAATGGAATCCCCAGTCATTGAACATCGTGCGCCTCACCGTCGCCCCCGAGGGCCCCTACGTCGTCGTCTCCGGCACCGGCGCAACCAATGCGTCCTCGTTCACACTCCGCACGCCCTCCTTCAACTTCGACACGGGCGTCTGCTACCTCCCCTGTCTTTTCCGGCCTTTCGCCACGCGCAGGCTGCAGGAGCTCGACGTCACCTTCCCGGACTCGACCGTTCCCCAGGCCGACCTCGACTCCTGGACGCAGATCTTCACGCAACTCCGCACCGTGACCACGCTCACGCTCCGCGCCGCTGGCGGGACCACCCGCCCGCTCGCGAACGCCCTGGCCGCGGTCGCGCGGACTCTGCCGGGGCTCGCGTCGCTGGACGTCGTGGGACTGCGGTTCGAGGCTGCGGAGCTGAAGGAGATTGTTGGGAGCGCGCACTCGCACTGGGCGGAAGGGCGCCCGCGACCGCCGATCGCGCACCTGGGAGTGGGTTATGTGAGGCGAAGGGACAGGGACCGCGCGAGGGAGTACAGCGCTAGCAGTCGTTCCCTGGCCTCCTGGCTGGAGAAGTGCGTGGCGCCGGGCGGGTTCGAGGTGTGGTGCCAGCATCAGGAGCGACGGCAGCTAGTTGGAAGGTAAAGCACCGCCGAGGGTGCACGAACTGTTCCCCGCTAGAACCTGGTATCGTAACAGGGTTCGAACAATGTTGCTCTCGACGGCTCTCTAGAAAGAGCACCTCGTGATTGCCTCTCCATGGAACCGGGCCAGGCCGCTCTGAACGGGAGCGCTTCTGTCCACACGACGCGTGCAAACAACCGCGGTGAGACGATGGACGTACGACAACGGGCTCAGGCCCGTCGCAGTCCATTAGTCGGACCACATCCCTGCGCCTATGCATCCTCGCGTGTTTCCACTCCGGTGAGCTGCGGCATCGTCCGTGACCGGACTTCCCGTTGGAAGGGAGGGACGGAAGGAGCATAGGCGTTACCCGCAATAACGTCGTCGACGACATTAGAGTGTGCTCTGTGGGCGCGACGATCACGCCTGCCTGCAACCGCGGTAGTGAGCGGGATGATGAGAGAGACGGGCTCAGATCGGTAGACGCACCAGAACAGAGACGATCCGGACGTGAAGGACATCGTGCGGGGCGTTGAATTCGTTGGCGACAGGTGCATATGAGCTTAACGTCGACAGGTCCTCCAGCCCTGGAAGTGGACGGGGGCGAAGCGGGAGAAGGCCGAAGGTTGAGTGATTGCGGTCGCGCTTGCCCGTCGAGGCCCGCGGAGCTTGTCGAAGGACCAAGATCCATCCCCGGCGTCTTGAGGAAAGCTGGAATGTGTGGCCATTCCACCCCACTCCAGCCGCACAGAAAGGGGGGAAAAGTGGCAAGAAATTCATACCCGAAAACACATACACATTCACTTCCTCCGCGACACCACCCACGCGACCAGCCCGACGACGCCAGCGCTCGCGCCCCACGTCCGCGCCGTCCGTACCACCGCGCCGCCGTCTCCCCCGCCCGTCCGCAGCGCCGCCTTGAACACCTCCGCGTCGAGCGTCCCCGCGGGCGCGCGCACGTCCGTCGCGTTCTCCCCATCGACGACGTCCACGGAGTCCTCGACTTCGCCCACCGGAGTGTCGAGCGCGACTTGTGCCGGGAACGGGAAGAGCGGGGGGAGGACCTCGGCCTGTGCGACGCCGCCGAAGAAGTCCGTGACGAGCGCGTCCTTGAGCGGCCGCCGGAAGAGGTCCGAGCGGACGCCCGGGTGCGACTTCATCCGCGCGGGGTCGTACGAGTCGAACTGGAGGGGGGATGCTCGCTTGAGCGGGTGGGGGAGAACGTGCGACAGGACGAGAGGGGATTACGCACCAAGTCGCCCAACGTCGCGTGGCTCGTCTTGTTGATGCCCTCCATGAAGTCGAGGACGCAGTGCGTGTAGCTGTCGATGACCGACACCCCGATGTCGTAGTCGTTCTCGTACTGCCCACCCCTTATGCATCAGCGCGACATGAACGACAAACAGAAATGGTACGCACCGAGTAAGAGTTCTCCCCGACGACGGACGAGCCCGTCGCGAGCACGTTCGGGGAGTATATCTTAGAGTACATCGAGTTGGCCTGGCACGTGTCGATCATGAAGAACAGCTCGTTGTACCTGCGCACCCCTTCAGCCGACAGCCGCGCACACGTCTAGCACAGACCGACCGCACGCACCGCTTCTTCTCCCACATCTGCGCGATCGCGTCCGCGACGTCGAACGCGCTCAGCTCCTCCTGGTCCTGGAACTTGAGGAACTCGTTCCCCCCGTGCCCGGTCATGAACACGAACACGTTCGACCGGTCGTCCGTCAGCAGCCGCTTCGACCGCGGCACCGACTCCTCCACCCGCCCTGCCCGCGGTTCTTCAGCCACCCTCCGCACGGACGAGCGGGGAAGGACGGACGGACGCACCGGTGAGCACGCGGAGGAAGTTCTCGACCGTGACCTCGTTCCCGCCGTAGTCGACCTCGATGTTGTCCCCGTAGAGGTCGAGCGTGCGCCCGGCGCTGTGGTAGACGCACCCGGGGAACTTGTTCCGCGCGTTGCACGCGACGTCGTCCGCGAGCATGAGGATCACGTTCGAATCCGGGATCCCGAGCCGCTTCACCGTCCGGTACCTGCCGCGCCCGGCGTGAGCGTGGGTTCGACGGCACGGTGGGTACGGAGGATGGGAGGAGGAGGAGGAGGAGAACGAAGGAGAGGAGGAAGAGAACGAAGAGGAGGGGGGGGAGGAGGGGCACTCACATCCCGAGCGCATTCGACATGTGCTGCGCGACGGTTCAGCATCCGTCCTAGATCGCAGACGGCGGGGCGCGGGGACGCACCCGGTAGTTGAACCAGTACCGCGACGCGGACACGAGCACGGCCCAGTTGTTCGTATGGCCTGAGTGCTGCCGCTCAGGTGCCAGCTCCGCGGAGGTGGTGGTGCTGACGAGGAGGCATAGCAACGCGAGAGACCGGGCGAGAGAGAGAAAGGAGAGCATGGGCGACAGATGGAAGCAACTTATGCTGGTGGGTGGGTCATGGAACGGCTCAAGTAGTGGTATATAGAAAGCGAGAACGAGCAACGGAGACGCGGAAGTCGAGAAAGTGATCAAGCACTGAGGCGCGTTTGCAAGCGCCCGCGGCACGCTGCGGCCCGGGCAAAGCCATGCGCACTTTTCATGGCAGGTTTTGGCCGTTCAGACATTCACCGATACCAACGCAGGCCGCAGACCTCCCACAGATCACACAGGGCATCAAGGAGTCCTAACAAAACAATATCATGAATGGGACGGCGACGCGCCTCAGCGCGCGCCAACCAAAACGACAAAAACAATCCAGACCGAGAACGTATGATACAGTTCCAATGCGCGAACGAGACGTCTATGTGGGGTGATCAATTCTAAAGGGGTAACGAGTAGCCAGTGTGGTAGCGAGCGGTATATACAACGGGCGAGTGCTGAGAACGAGGTGGGTCTATACTGGTAGTAATGTACGAGGACGAGGACCGGGATCTGGTAACATCTATTGACATGGGATGGAGATGCCGTGCGGGGTCGTGCGGGTCGTAAAGGTCCGAGATGCCGTGCATCAAAGTATGGCGAAACACGAGGAAGGGGTCGGATGAGACGGCGAGGTACGCGCGAGAGGGGTCGCGCGAATAACGTCCGTGACACAAGCCGAAACCAATGACGAGTAGGGGAGCGGAGAGATCTGGGAGAAGCGACTGGAACGGGAAGGAACGCCGAGGGTGGCGCACCTTCAACCTGGAGATTCGAGTCCAAGACACGGAAACAAGGAAGAAAGACGGACGCAGTCGGGGTCCGTCGTGAAGCAGTCCATGGCATCCAGCGCGCAGGCGTGGGCGCACTGCAATCAGAGCGTAAACATGCCCGCCGCGCGGCGCCGGGAGGGGATGGGGTGTACGAGCAAGAGCGAGATGCCGAGCCCGACGGTGAGCCCGATCGAGACCGAGATCAGTTGCAGGGCGGTCTGGAAGCCGGAAACGTACGACTCGGACGTCGACGAGCCCGACTCCTGTTGAGAGACGAAGGTGAAGAGACCGCCGTTCGCGAGCCCGGAGGGGAGCTGGAACAGGATGCCGGTGATCTTCAGACGCGGAGATTGGGATGTCAGAAACCGGTTGGGAACAAATGAGACTCGAGAGAACGTACCATGACGACGAACGAGCTGCCGTGGAAGAGGCGGCCGTAGACGTTGGAGACGAAGCCGACCGCGAGCGCGCCGACCGCGGCGGAGATGTCGCTCTGGTTCTTGAAGCGCGTGCCGGTGAAATGGTTCGTCACCCAACCGATGCATGAAATGGCGACGAGCAGGTAGAGCTCGCGGCGATTCCACGGCGCATGGTTACGCAGCGAGAGGGACAGCGAATACATTGGAACGGTGAGGAAGGCTGAGAAACTTGGTCAGCATGTACAAATATCATCAGAGGCAGCACTTACCCCACCACAGCGGAGCAGTCCGCTGCCACCATGGACCATCAGGATCGTGGCTGGATCCGCAGGTGAGATCGTCTGAGCCAGCGAGCCGATGATTTGTGAGCTTTGAGTAGGCGGTGGCGCCAATGGCGAGTCCAAATCCAAGGAAGAGCGAATATATGCACGCGAAGCACACTCGCACTGCCCCAGAGACGATGTTTCGGGATGTCAGTTCAAGACTGCCACAGAGAACGATGAAACCCTGGGTGATTGGGTTCAGTCAGGTGCCACCGTCGATCTCAGAGACTGCACATACGGGGAGAATAAGGACGACAGAACCAGACGCTATGGCGGAGTAACAGAAGAATGGGACCGAAGAGAGAGCAGCGCAAATGAAGCTGAACATTGTCGCTACTGTGATCCTATATGATTGTCAGTCCGGGCGGCACCGCAGCAGGATACTAGAGATACGCACTCGAAGACATTCGAATACAGCTCGTTCCGCGCCGCGAACATTTGGATGACAATAAGGAGACATCCAAGGGGGAACGCCACCAGCGAGTCGACGAAGGAACCATTGAAACTAACGCTGCAGATCGCTGCTGAACACATCCCCCCGAAGACGATGGTCTGCCACGTCTTGTACATCGGCTTGCGGCGCATGAGGGTGTCGAGCTCGATGGACGCGTCCTTAACGGAGATCTCGTCGTGAATGACCTTCCAATACAGCTCGTTGGCCTCCTGCAGCTTGCCGATGTCGAGGGAAGAACCCTGGCGGATGAACTTGATGTTGGACGTGCTTGTCGACGCGTCCTCGAAAGAAATGAGCATCACGTCGGGGAGGTACATGCACGAAAGCTGAATGTCAAGGACCTTGCCCGTCGCCATGATGAGTGCTTGCATGCGGTGGGTAGGGCCACCAAACATCATCATCGCGCGCGCGAACTTCATGATAAATTCTTGGCGGCACACGATTTCCGCAACGTGACGAGTAATCTGCGCCACGGTCTCAGCACTCCGTCCACATATTCGCGTGAAAGCAACGGAGAGAAAAGACGTACCCAAATCTCGGCCTTCCTCCGCCTGTGACGCCGCTTATCCGGCCTCTTCTCCTCCATCCCGCTCTCAAATTCATCTGAACCCAAATCGGTCGCGGGCGTGCTGGGTATGGTGCTCGCTGGCGTTCCGGTCCAGGTGAACTTCGGAAGGTCTTTCAGTGTGCCGCTGAAGCGCTTCCTCTCATGCGCGGGCACCATCGGCGTTGCGGGAGTCGGTGACTGCGATGAATGAGGCGAGATGGTGTCCACGCTTGGGCTGGGGGGCATGACGGATGTTGATTGAGCGCGAGTGGAATCGAAGTGCAGACTGTTGGAACGCGACAGCGCACGTTTTGGCTCCTTTGGTACGCTTTCCAGCGAGTACCTACGCAAGCGATTAGCGAACCAGCCCCATGCCCCAGAATCACCACGACAAACCTCGACAAATGGTAGCCGGGCCGCTTCAGGTCTGGCGCGACAGTGGCGGACATGGGCGCAGCGACTCCGGTGATGTTCCCGGCGCTCGCGATCAGCGGACCGAAGACACCCGCTCCACTGCTCGACTTCGGCGGGCGCGCGTCACCAAGCGAGAAGCCGCGCAACTTGGGCGAGCGGATGGACGACGTCGACCCCGTGTTCGCTGTCATCCAGGGAGGATATGGTCCGTCGCTTTGGCGGAGTGGTGTGGGTTCGTAGGGGTGGGAGGGGCGCGCGTCGTCCCAGGATGAACGAGCCGTCGAGGGACCAGACTGCATCGCGTGTGCTGGCTCGTAGATAGAAAGGAGGGTGGAAAGCACGCCGCGCGGCGCCGGAACGGACGGCTCGGCGCGCACGTCTGCGAACTTCTCCACGTCGCGGCTGCCGCGCTCCCCAGGGCGGTCCTGAAAAAAGCTGCGACGCTTGCCTTTGCCGTCGCCCATGAGTGGGTCCGCAGTTTGCAAACGGTTGCGCGTGCGCGCGTGCTTGCCGCGGAGTTTGAGGAAGTTGAGCCTGTGCGTGCGGACCGCCTTTTCTGCCTGCCGCTGAGAGTACGCTTCGGGGTCGCGGCCAGGGAGACCAGCGGTCTCGTGTTGATCGATAAAAACTTCGCCCGGGAGGTTGTGAATGGGTGTCATCTCGGGAGACGAAGGGACGGATGTGCCGGGGGACAAAGCCGTGGGGGCGGTTACCGCGGAGAAAGGGCCGACGCCATTTGAGTTGGGGGCGACGCGGGAGGGAAGGGCGGGTCGGTCAATGTCCATGGAGCTCGAGCGGTGGGCCTCGAGCGCGTGAGTGAGCGTTTTGAAGGGCTCGGGCTGTGTGTATGCGCGAGGCTGAGAGGAGAGAGCAACGAGGGGAGAGGCACAAAACGCACGTTCAAGCCGTGCTCATCGAGGGCGTGGGTGGAGGACACGCCCTCTGTGTCGGACATCCATTGCACTCTACGGGGGGTCTTGACGCCAGAGCGGCGGGTGCCGCCGGGAGGGCGCGAGTCGGGGACGCTGGGAGGACGAGAGTCCGGGGTGGGGGGGTCGGCGGTGCTTGGATTCACGGGCGGGGAGTCCATGGGCGGGTCATGCGGGGTGGAGAGTGGGGAGGGTAAGAGGATGCTCGCTATAGAGGGGACATGGGAGGGCGGTGGCATCAGCGTGCGATCGCGGCGAAGGAAGGAGGGGGAGGAGAAGGGGGAGGAGAAGGAGACCAAGCGGGAAGAAAGTGGAATCAGGTCGAGACTGGGCAGGACGGACCGACCTTGTATGGGGTGAAAACAGTTTGGTGATCGGAATCACCACGTCGATAAAGATTTTTGCCGCGCGGAAGGTGAGAGCTTGTAGCCGAACGCAGGGCCAGGGGCGAGGCAGGGAGGACGGGAGGCAGGGCAACAAGGGAGAAACAAAGAGGACGATAAACAGTACACGTCTGAGCCGATCATATATACATACCGAGCAGCTCGCCGCAGTGGCAGGCGCTGCACCGTCCATGACGTCATGCCGATCGCCCGCCGTCGCACAAACTCTTCCTCTCGAGGACGTCGCCTCTTGGCTCTTCCGAGATTAGCCGTCACTGAACGAGCTCAGCGGCTCGCTCATTACTGCACTAAATCACCACCGAATCACATCGATCCAGGGTGCTCTCCGGCCGGGCTTCTCACCCCCCAGTTGGCTCCACATTGCCAGGTGCCGAGATACGCAGCCGTATGTCATGCATGAACTCTTCTGCGAGACAAAGAACCCGACTTCTCTTCACGCCTTTCTCCAATCCACCAAACGCCCGCCGAAAATGACACCGTCCAGGGCGGTCGGGATCGTCTTCTCCGAAACTCCGAAGCTGGCCATGGGCCGTTCAAGCCCAGTACTAGATTCGAGACGTACTACGTACGTATGTACTCATTGAGCGATCTTTGTCAAACGCGGCAATCCCGGGCCGGTTGCATCACCTGTCGGGCCGCGGCCAGAGGAGGACACTCTCAAGATCTCACTTTCGTTCCATGACTTTTCGCCAGCGTACAGTCAATGCTCTCTTTGACTTCACCGTTTCTCGTTTCTGGGCTCACCTCCTCGACAACGGCAAGTAAGCGGCAGCATTTGTGCCGCTCAAGCAACTCGGCCTTACTCCTGTTCGCGTTCCAGCCTTCCGCATACTCTGCACCTAGCATTGCGTTAGTCCCCGGGGAACTGAGGTTCGGTGCCCGGCCTGCAGCACTTGTTCGTGAACGTGTTAGGTCTGTCAGTTTCGGTGCCTCTTCCCCTCCCCGTTAATCCTTACCCATTCACCCCACGCGACGCAGGCACAAATCATTGAGGACTCGAACCTCATTCTCATCCTCATGGACGACGTCGCGCGCAAAACGCGGAGCAGGTTCCCCGGATGTCTATTGGACAACGTCGAGGTCGACTATGGAGGTACATTGACACGAAATCACGGTGCGGAGTTTCGTGCGGAAGCGTACTGGTGTGTCTTTTTTTCTTGTCCTCCGTGCAGAGTGGAGAATGGTCGCTGAAGGGTCATAGGCAGGGCGGGTGGACGAGTCTATGCCACAGTCGAAGCGGTTGCTGGCGGGCGGCCGGTCGAACATGCCCGTGCACATGACGGGTCACAAAGGAATGAGCTCCTTAAGATCGAGGACCGGGAGGAGCCGAGCGTGTTCGACATTGTGGACAGATGCGAGGCCTTGAAGGATCAAGTGGTGCGTACGGTCGGTCTTTGCTGGGTGTATGCGCGGCTGAAGGGACGCACAGGTACGACGCGTTGTTCGCGATCGATACCTGCGTAATTCAAGGATCAATCACCTAAAGTCTTCGCGATGGGCTCATCCGTCGTCGAGGAAACCTTGCACTCGGTGCGTGCCATCTCTATTTGTCATTCATGCCCGCGCTGACACATAACAGGTGGGCAGTACGAGAGCAACTACGACCTCGAAGTCTCACATGGTGGCAGCTGCCCACACTGTACCCTTGAGTTCCTTGAGGGCATCGACAAGACAGCCGAGGCGACGCCGGGCGACCTGGTGCGCTTTCCTGTTTACTCGCTTGCGCCCGCCCTCTCCTCAATGCAGGTCTTGCTCCCCCAGTTCGACTCATGTCACCCCACGCGAATCAGGTCGCACCTGGCAGTCCTCAGGCCTCATGGACCCCTTCCGGCAGCCGCTGTCATCGCTTCGCCGTTCGTGCATCCGCTCTTTTTGGGATGTTGAGCAGCTGGACGTATTATCGCCCCCACTTTTTGATGTGACGGCCCACACCACGGCTTCGCCGCCCGGCTCGCCTCCTTCTCGGTGCGTGTGCGTTCCCGGACTCTCCTTGAAGCTGCCACGCTCACTGGGACGGCTGACAGGACTCCACCTGCGCTCCCTAAAGGCGTTGACGAGCAGACTTTCGCGGCTCAAGCGATGCAATTCCCCGGCTGGGGGCTCACGTCCTTTCCCTCTGTCGAACTTTCCTTCGACCCCATTTTCGACGGTGTGGGCCCCGGTGACGCCGCCGGTGCGTCGTACCGCGGCGACCGCCGGACGTGGCGGCGCGGGCGGTATTCGCTCCAAGCCGTGATGATGGGAGAAGATCCATGACCGCCGAGAAGTGGAAAGCGGATACAGTCGAGCACGACCGTGTCACGCACGATGGGCTCTGGGGCGCGGGGTGGCGCTCCTGTAAAGATGACGAGGAAGGAAACGTGAAGAGATGCCCACGCGACCTCTGACCGAAGCTCAGATCGAGTGCATCATCGACGACCTCGTGTACGAGGGTGCGAGGCGCGACCTGGATACTGGGGCATTTGTGACTCGTGAGTGGCATATCTCAGAGTCGGAGGATCTCGCTGATCATCGAATACACCAGAGGGGCAGTATTTCCAAGACGTGCGAGTCGCTCCGTCATCGACGCTGCGCTCAAACCGCAGCTCATCAAGGTCAACTTCGAGAACGCCCCCAACGATCAGAATGACTAACACCAGGCTCTGGCGGCCAGGTTCTCGACCTCATCGACCCTTCCTTGTACCCTATTTTGACCTCAAACCGTTCATGCATGTAAGCGTAGTTGTCGAGGAGTGTGAGCACGGGAGGTTCTCCATCGGGATTTCGGACGACCCGACCTCCATACATCTCGGAAGGTGACACGCCCAACGCGCTCGGCTACATCATATCCCTCGCAGCACCAAGCACTCTCGTCACGTCCAGCGTCGTGCGCTTCGTGCCAATGCGCGTGCTTTCCCTCCCGCAGAGGGCTCCAAGCGCCGGTCCGCACCACCTATGACGAGCGGCACTGGAGCCGTGCCCCAAGACGAGCGCGCGGCGGGGGCGATGGTGAGGTGGGTGAGGGTGAAGCCGGGGATCGCGAGGCGGGTGGTGGGGTCGTCGCGGAGGATGCGGAGGAACGGGGACTCGATGCGGTCGGAGGGCCCGAGCTCGGTGGGGAGGAGGCAGGCGCAGGAGGAGGAGGAGGAACGCCTGGAGAGGGGGTCGTCTTCGATGTTCCAGAGCGTCTGCAGTGCTGGAAGAGCCTTTTTGCACTTTCCCCGGGCGGAGAAACGGCGTTGGCGCAAAAGAGGAATGGGGATCCTTGTAGACTGAGTTGTGTGGGTTTCCAGATCCGCGTCTATACGCGCGCGAGGTCCTCAGGTTCTCGTAGTCCACCCACAGAACGAGGCTGGCGCTGTTGAGAGTGGGCATGGATATCTGGGGAGACCTGCTCGATGTCAGAAATGGTCTTCACATATCAGATAATAACACTTGGTTTTGTACCACAGAGCTACTGTACCATGGGGCCAATCCCGAGCGTGTGCACACACTCGAGCTGATCCGCGATCTGGTGGTAGGAGTTACATAAAACAGAAAGTCCCATCTGGCTCAGGGTGTTTCTCATGATCAAGCCTGATCATTCCGAAGTCGCACATGTACGTAAATGTATTTGTGGACGGGAAAGAAACGCTCACTGCGGCTGTCGGTACCGATGAGTGACTCTCCCTTATACCCCCACCCTTCCCTGCTGAGCGCTGAGGTCTCCCATTGCTTGACTCGAAGCTCCCATGTCTTTGGGATGGCTTTCCTCGAGCGGCGGTGATCACGCTCAGTTCGTTCTCCAGCAGGCTGCGCTGCTCACCAAATTGGAGTCCAATGGCATCCGTGTCCTTCAGTACGACACCGACGAGTTTCGGTACGTCCGTGGTAGCCCTTCACCGCAGCATATGCTCACTTGTTTCTACAGACCTTGGAAGAATGACCTTTCAATACCGCCATATGTCGCAGTTGCCTCTTGTGCCGTCCTCCTCCTACAACTTCTTTTCCGCTCCAGCCGGGCCGTACGACTACTGCTCGCAAAGGTCTCGCGGTCCAACACAGCGTCGGAAACGGTAGAGGATATGGAGTCCACAAGATATGATGGGCAGAGCGCGTCGAATATAGCGCGGTTGGGAGGACCGGTCATGTTCACGTTCAAACTCGTACGCTTCTTCTGCGTTCTCTCCCTTCTCTCCCTCTCCATCATGACTCTTCTGGTGTATGACGAAGACGGAAACCCTCGTGCTCCACTGAAGCCACGTTTGACCGCGTTGGCTCTTGCTGGGGTATATGTGCGTGCAGTTTTCACCTATCCCCTTCCGCGTCCGACTCAATAGGCGGTCCCAGGTGTACGCATCATTATTAGCATTCGTTTCCGTCGTTGCCCGCAGAACCATAAGCAATGTTGTCATCAAGCATCTCAACACCATCCTCGTCGTTCTGTGGCTGGTATATTCGTACCGAGACCTATGGCCTCTTGCGACGTACACCCTTACCCCGGGGGACGCTTCGGAAGGTGCCCTGCTGTGGGCGAAGATTGGCGTGCTCACTTTCACGGCCGTGTTCATCCCTCTTTTCATGCCGCGGCAGTACATTCCAGTCGATTCAAAGGTTCCTTTGCACACTATGTTTGAGATGAATATATCCTCAATGTCCCCTTCTTCCTTCCAGGATCCTGCTCCTGAACCCAACCCAGAGCAAACAGCGTCAATCGCGTCCGTGTTGACCTACTGTTTCCTGGACAGCATCGTCTTCAAGGCGTACAAACTGCCACATCTCGGTTGGGATCAACTGCCTCCTCAAGCGGACTACGACTACGCGAAGAATTTGGTGAAGCGGGCGTTTCCGGTAAGTATTCGTATGCCCTGAACTTTTTTGGTTCTCAACTTCCCCCAGCACATGGACCCCTTCCAAGTACACAAGAAGCGACACCTCTTAATTGGATTTATTACCGTATTTAGGAATGAGTTCGTTATTCTCTTCCTGATGCTGACATTGCGGGTGCGTATGACTTGCTTCAGCGCCGTTTCATTTTGTCTCATGAATATCAGGTTGCCGGCATGTTTGCGAGCCCTGTCGGCATCTTCCAACTTCTCAAGTGAGTGTGCTTGGTCGAAGACGCCGCATTCTCTCATTCTTTATCAGGTACATCGAAGAAGGAGGCGAAGGCGCTACGGTCCGCCCGTGGTTCTGGGTTTCTTGGCTCTTCATCGGCCCCGTGCTCGGTTCCGTGGCCATCCAGTTCTATATATTCACTGCGGTGAGTAGCTTCCTTCCTTGTCGTTCCGTGTCATGCACTGACTACGGTGCTAGACTCGCATGCTCGTTCGCACAGACGCTATCATCACTCAACTCATCTTCGATCACTCCCTTCGCATCCGCGTCAAGTCTGAGGCCTCCCCCGAGTCTCCAGCTGCAAGTCGTCCCCCGACTGCGGTGCATACGCCCGACAACTCTTCCGTCACGGAACCTGCCGACGCCGAGGAGAGCACCGGGAGCGACGAGAACAGACTAAGCGCCGTTAGCGAGTCTGAGACTGTGCGGGCGAGCATCTACAGCGACGCGTCCACCACCGTCCCTTCGAGCTCCGGTGCGAGCCCGAAGAAGGGCAAAGACAAGAAGAAGATCGCCGTCAAGGTCGACAACGTCCTGAAGCCGGATGCAGACGCGGATGGTGGCAGCAACCTTGTCGGGAAGATCAACAACCTCGTCACCACCGACTTGCAGAACTTGGGCGAGGGACGAGAAATCCTTTTCCTCGTTTACTACGGGCCGCTTTCGGTGGTCGTGTCCATGGTTTTCTTGTATGCGATCTTGGACTGGGCGTACGTTTTGCGTTTAGTCTGTCCTGTCTGGTCCGCTGATATCCTGTGGCGCAGTGCCGTGGTTGGTTTCATAGCTACCATCGCACTCTTCCCGCTCCCAGGAGTCGTCGCGTCGAAGATGCAAGCTGTGCAGAAGGAGAGGATGAAAAAGGTTGGATACGATCAGTATATGCAAGCCAATCGTCTTACTCACCGCGTGCTCTACTTTAGACCGATGCCCGGGTGCAAAATGTCACTGAGAGTAAGTCATCCAGACCTCCTGCATTCGATGTGTTTGTTCATATATGCACGCTGCTTAGCTATGAACGTCATCCGGATGATCAAGCTCTTTGGATGGGAGCCACGTGTCGCAGACCGCATCGGCAACAAGCGCGAAGACGAATTGTCGTACATCCGCTGGTACAGGTTCCTTGAGCTCACCAACGGGAACATCAAGTAGGTGCTTGACCAATTGCAGTGCTCCCGGTTCTCTGATCCGTGTATGATAGCTATCTCATCCCAATCGTTACCATGATAGTGACTTACTCGACATATGTGAGCTACACCATACAGCCCTGCCTCCGACGTGTATTGACCAGTGCTGTAGACTCTCATCATGGGCAGGGAACTCACAGGTATGCACCTAATAATCATATGCGATTTGTTAGCAAATTGACTGATTATAACATAGCCTCACGAGTGTTTTCTTCCATGTCCGGTAAGTTGCATGTGATCTTCATGCGTAAATTGGCTGACAACAACTTCGACAGTGTTCGACATCATTCGCAACCAACTGCACACGACTTTTGATATGATTCCCCAGATGATCACGGGTAAGTTGGTATTCGTCAGAACCAATCATTCGCTAATAGTAACACGGTAACGCAGCCAAGGTCTCGCTCGACAGAGTTTCGGCCTTCCTCGATGACACAGAGCTCCTTGACGAGTTCTCCGAAAGGACTGCTGCCTCCTCGGAAGCCGTTGTCCCGCCTCACACGACCAAGAACCCCACGATCGGCATCTGCAGCGCGTCCTTCACGTGGTCGAACGAGAACGACGGCACGCTCACCCCAGGCCCTAACCGTCGCAACTTCACCCTTCGGATCGACGAAGAGGTCGTTTTTCGTCGAGGGAGGATCAACCTCATCGTCGGACCAACCGGCTCTGGCAAGACGTCCCTCCTCATGGCGCTCTTGGGCGAGCTGCACTACATCCCCAACGGCCCGGAGTCGTACGTCAGCTTACCGAGGGCCGGGGGCGTGGCATATGCGGCGCAAGAGTCGTGGGTCCAGAACGAGACAATCAGGGACAACATCCTCTTTGGCTCGCCTTTCGACGAGGAGCGGTACAACAAGGGTACGTTATATTCGCTCATGCATGCCCGCAAGACGCTGACGAAGCCTCGCCAGTCATCGCGCAATGTGCACTGAAGCGCGACCTCACGCTCTTCGAGGCGGGAGACCAAACGGAAGTCGGCGAGAAAGGCCTCACCTTGTCAGGTGGCCAGAAGGCCCGTATCACGCTCGCCCGCGCGGTCTATTCGAAGGCGGATGTCATCCTCCTCGACGACGTTCTCGCGGCGCTGGACGTGCACACGGCACGCTGGATCGTCGACAACTGCATGAAGGGCGATCTGCTCAAGGGGCGCACGGTCCTACTCGTGGTCGGTAACCTCCGTTCTCGACATAGGCGTGTTGCTGAGATGCGGGACACAGACTCACAATGTGGCCATGGCGAGCCCCATAGCCGATTTCGTTGTCTCGCTTGGTACCGACGGCCGCGTCGCCAGTCAGGGATCATTCTCGAAGGTCATCGCAAGAGACGACAAGCTCCTGAAGGAGTTCACCCAGGAGCAGGCCGAGCTAGCGAAGGCGGACGTCGACGCAGAAGATCTAGGCGCCGAGGGCGCCCCTAAAAAGAGTGACGGCAAGCTTATCCTCAAGGAGGAGGTCTCTGAGGGTCACGTTGGTTGGGATGCTTGTAAGTGATGACCGAGTCCTGTCGTGAAATTTATTAATGCTTACCCGACGAACAGTGTCGCTCTACTTGGGTAGCATGGGAGGCCGCCATAATGTGCTCTTTTGGATCGCGATCGTGGGCTTCTTCGTCCTGTGCGAGACCTTCAATACCTTCGATACCTTCTGGCTTGGGCATTGGGCCACTCAATACGAGGAGAACAGCCCTGGGGAGGTCAATGTGCTATAGTAAGTCAACCACGTTTTCGTGTTCGGACACAAGACCTGATCTTGTCTTATGACAGCTACATCGTGGTGTACACCATACTCATGCTGTTGTCTGTCACTTCCTACTGCATCGGCTACGTGGTGCACGTGTTCGGTGCCTTGCGGGCGTCGCGCACCATCCACAAGTCTCTGATCAACTCAATCTTGAGCTCTACTCTTCGGTAAAAGCGGTACATATGACGCTCCAAACCAATCTGACACGAGTTGTACAGATGGCTGGACCAGACACCGGCATCGCGCATCATCACTCGCTGCACCCAAGACATCCAGAGCGTCGACGGCATCATGCCCCGCAACCTGGAGTGGGTCATCGAGCTCACCATAGTCCTCGTCATCAAGTTCCTCGCCGTCGTCTACTTCTCCCCAATCTTCCTCCTCCCTGGGCTTGTCGTCACCCTCCTCGGCGGCTGGTGCGGCCAGATCTACATGAAGGCGCAGCTGTCGGTCAAGCGCGAGATGAGCAACCACAAGGCGCCCGTCCTCGGTCACTTTGGCGCCGCGATCTCCGGCCTGGCGAGCATCCGTGCGTACGGCGCGCAGGAGCGGTTCCGGATGGAGAGCTACGCCCGCCTCAACAAGTACGTGCGCGCCGGCCGGACGTACTACAACCTCAACCGATGGGTGTCGCTGCGCGTCGAAGCGCTGGGCGCGTTGTTCGCGGCCGGCCTCGCGTTGTACCTCGTGTACGGAACGAGAGTTCGCGCGGCCAACACCGGGTTCTCCCTCAACATGGCCGGTGGGTGCCCGTTGGTGTTGACTTGTCGGAGCCACGGCGCTAACGAGCGCATACAGTCGCCTTCAGCAACATGATCCTGTGGTGGATCCGTCTCCTGAACGAGTTCGAGGTCAACGGGAACAGCGTCGAGCGTATCCAGCAGTATCTCGACATCGAGCACGAAAGCGTCCCCGTCAAGGACGCCATCCCCCCGGCTTACTGGCCTGCGTCCGGAAGCTTGCGGGTTGAGAAGCTCTGCGCGCGGTACTCGACCGATGGTCCTCGCGTCCTGCACGAGATCTCGTTCGAGGTCAAGGCCGGGGAGCGCGTCGGTATCGTCGGCCGCACGGGAAGCGGGAAGAGCTCGTTGACGCTCGCGCTCCTCCGTCTCATCCTCACGGAGGGCAAGGTGTACTACGACGGGATCGCCACGGACTCAATCAACCTGGATGCGCTCCGGTCGAACATCACCATCATCCCCCAAGTCCCGGAGCTGCTCAGCGGAACGTTGCGGCAGAACCTGGATCCGTTCTCGCAGTACGACGACGTCGTCCTCAACGACGCTTTGCGGGCGGCCGGGCTGTTCTCGCTGCAAGACGAGACAGACGAGGGGAGGATCACGCTGGATTCACCGATCTCGAGCGGGGGGAGCAACTTGTCGGTCGGCCAGAGGCAGATCCTTGCGCTCGCGCGAGCGATCGTGCGCCAGAGCAAGCTGCTGATCTTGGACGAGGCGACGTCGGCGATCGGTGAGTCTTTCCTTCATTTCGATCGGCAGCGTTGGTTGACCGGTAAGGCAGATTACGAGACGGACGAGATCATCCAGCAGTCGCTCCGGCAGGAGCTGGGGTCGGACGTGACGCTGCTGACGATCGCGCACCGTCTGCAGACGATCATGGACGCCGACAAGATCCTTGTGCTAGATGGGGGGAACATCGTGCGTCTCGTTTTCTTCCGGAGGGCGTTCGGTATTCTGATCGTCCGCACCCTCCCACAGGTGGAGTTTGGCGCACCAGCGGAGTTGTTGAAGAACGAACAAGGCACTCTTCGCGCTCTGGTAGACGAGAGTGGGGACAAGGAGAAGCTTTACGAGATGGCGAAGGCGTCGTCAAGATCATAGGTCAACTTGTTGCATCTCGTGATGGTCGCATGGAGTATTGTCGTCGAGGTTTTGGTTTTATATGCAGTGTTTCCAGCTTTGACAGCCTCACACCTCGGCACGATGGTGAAGGATATCGCCGACCATACTTGCGCATCGCGTCATTGGATCTTGGACCACGCATGTCTCGAGGACATTGAGGACGTCAAGACATCGACGGGTTCAACAGGCGGTCCTTCACACCTCCCCAAACCATGGCGGCTGCGATGAAGTTGCCTTTCATCACCACCTTGGAGACACACCCTTCACGGGAAACCAGCTTGCCGTGGTGAGCGCACCCGCTGGACCGTTTTCTCGCTCCACCAGCGCGCCTCCATCGCACACGAGTTCGTTTTCGTCGAACTCGTGTCCGTCGAGGCTCTCGGGCGCGTGCGGTCCTGGTGCTCCGAGTCCCGTCCGTGGCTGTCGACCCGCTTCTCCATCTCGGAAGGTACGACACGCCCACCGCGCCCCGCTACGTCAACGGCGTACGTCCCTTGCGGCACCACGCGCTCTAGGCACGTCCATGCATCGTTGCGCGCGTCGTGCTCAGGTGTGAGCGTGCTCTCCGACTCAGCGCCCTAGTCCCGCAGGAGGCGCGCGCGCGCACGGGGCATCAGATGATCCTCGCGCGGTTCCTCGTCGTCCGCGACGGACGCGCTCTTCGTTGACGTGCCTAACGAGGAGCGTTTCGGCCAGCTGGTCAACGTGCGTGAGCATCGATAGCGCCCGGCTTCATCAAATAGGACGCATGCCTAGCATATAAAATAAAATTACACAGAAGCGATTACAAGCGTGGGGCATTCGAGGTGCTGGGTGAGAGAGGCAGCGGCGTCCGCACCATCCTCCACATCGAGCTCCAATCTCCCCCCGCCATCCTCCGGAGGGACGACCCAGAGCTGCAAGCATCCAGAACACCCCTCAAGCCGCGGGCCCAACACCTCCAACGCCCCCATCTCCACGTTCCCGAGCTCCCACCCCTCCCCGCCCGTGAGCCCCACCCCGATCCGCACGAGCTGCGGCCGGGCCCGCCCGAGGCGCACCAGCCGCGCCAGCAGCCCCTTCCTGTACGCCATCCCGACGACGTCCAACGACGCGAGGCGCGGGAGCGCACGCGCGTCCGCGAGCGCGTCGAGCACCCCCTCCGGCATTGGCACTGGCACCGCCGCCGCCGCGGCGCGGACAGTGAGCGCCGTGAGCGCCGTGACGGAGGCGGGGGCGCGGCTGAGGACCGCCGCCCAGTCGACGTGGCAGTTCCCGTGCGGCGGCGCGGGGACGGCGACGTCGAGCGCGCGCAGGTACGCGGTGTCCAGCGGCGGGAGGCGGGCGGCGAGCGCGACGGCGTGGGCGAAGACGAAGGGCGCGGTGCGGGTGCGGAGCGCGAGGGTGTGGCCGGGGGCGGCGGCGGCGGTGCCGGAGACGACGACGAAGGGGCCGGCGGGGGCGATGGCGAGGTGGGTGAGGGTGAAGCCGAGGAAGGCGAAGCGCGTGGTGGGGTCGTCGGGGAGCATGCGGAGGAACGGGGGCTCGATGCGGTCGGGGGGCGCGAGCTCGGTGAGGGAGACGGAGGCGCAGGACGGGAGACGGAACGCGTCGAGGAGGTGGCCGATCATCAGGGGGTCGTCTTCGATGTGGAGCGTCTGCAGTGCTGGGAGAGCCTTCTTGCTAATTTTCTGGGCGGAGAACTCGGCGATGCTGAGGAAGTCGTGGATGCGCAGGTGGCGGAGACGGGTCGCTCGCCTCAAGGCGAGGATGAGGTCCATTAGAGGAAGGCGATGGTGTGCGACCTTGCACGGGCCAAGAGTGAGCTCCTCGAGGCCTGCCATGACCTCTTTGGTGCAAAAAGGGAACCGAAATCCTTGCAGACTGAGTCGCGTGAGTTTCGGGATCCGCGGCTGGGTGAGAACGACGCGGGCGAGGTCTTCAGGGTGGCGAAAGGGGTCCTCGTAGTCCACCCGCAGAATGAGGCTGTTGAGATTGACCATGGGTGTCCGCATTACTCCCCCGATATCAGACGACATCCATTGCTGGAAGGTGATGGGGCCAATATCAAGCGTGTGGATACGATCGAGCTGTTCCGCGATCTGGTGGTAGGAGCAAAAACACAGTGTCCCGCCCGGCTCAGTGTACAGCTCATCCCAGAGTCGTGCATGCATGTGGATGGGAAAAAGAGCCATCTGTAAAGCGCGACTTCGATTTAGAGCACGTATCTCATAACTGGGGCCGGCTCACCTCGCAAAGGACCCAGAGCCCAATGATGGAATCTAACAAGAGCAGTGTGTGGCCCGCGGTGAGAGGAAATGGTATATATATATATATCTGGTCTGCCAGTTCGGGAGTGTGAATGGCTCGAGGAGACAATGATCAGCATGCCGTGACAAAGAGCGAGCTTTAGTATCTCAAGCCATACATAAAGCCGGTTTGTGAATAGAATACTAGCCATGCAGACATTCGACTTTAGTAAGCAAAGAATGAAAAAGCTTGATAGCGTTCTGGAGCTCCCTGCATGTGGCTTCGTACGCGCCGTTGAGCAACTTGCATGATGTCCAATGGACTTGGTGATAGTAGATCGAGTCAGAGGACTCCACTGGCAGGCAAGCGCGGACTCATGGGCTGCGGCATCGATCACGTGGACCATTGTGGCCCGGCGGCACTGCGGAGCGGCATTTCTCCGGGCTCCCCGTCCCCGCGACTCCCGTTCGAGTTTTATTCTCTGCCTCACCACTCTGCCTTCCTCTTACCCTCTTCTAGTGCTGCTCTTTTTCACACGTGGTTTCACAGCAAGCAGCCGCGCGACGGGGATGGAGCGGGATGCTGCGGCAACATTAGTTGGGGGTACGTCTTTCGTTCACCGCGGCTGTTTCACGCGGATGTTCATTTTGTTCTCTCATTCTGGTGGCAGGACGCACGGCGTTTTGTATCACCTGGGAGAAGGCGTGTCCCAGCGATCTCGCGACATCTTCCCAATTGGTTCATCCCTGGGGGTCGCTCCAGTCGATGTCAGTCGGCGCCACCAGGTGTCGCGCCAACCGTACCGCCGGTCCCACTTGTTGAGGAAGGGCCAGGAGGAGTTCTAGATGTCCACTTGGATGGGCGCGAGTGCCTTGGGTACGTCTCTTGTCTCGCAACTCGCCTCGAGCCCAGTACCGTCCGGGAGGGGCTCAGCGAGCGCGGCGGTATAAGCGGCCCCAAGGAGGGCCTTCCCAGAGACCCAGAAATGGATGGGGTGCGGGCCCCGGGGCCGAGGTCGAAGGGTATGCAATATACCCTTCGCTCTTGGTCGGATTCCTAGGTTGCAGACACGCGTACACGCAGAATCTGCAGCGTTACGTGTTTGACGAGACGAGAGTAAGTGTGCCAGTCCTTTCTCATGCAACGCGTTATGAACAGTCATCTCTAGCCTTTCAGCTTTGAACGTTTGCATCATCCTCGGCGACCGCCTCCACCTGGTCTCACTCGCCGATAACAAGCACAGCAACGGCGAGCGCGTCGCCCGCACACAGAGTGGACGCGAAGCACAGGCCGAGCTGGTGGTGAGTGCCCCCGCCGGTACGTGGCTCCTCCGCGACACCTTCCATCAATCTGCCGTCGTCGATGGCCCCGACAGGGGCCTCGCACGCGTCCGGCGCACGCCCCAGCTCGCGGAGCCCGTCCCCGAGTCCGAACTCTCGACCGCCCTCTCCACGCTCTCCGACGGCCTCCACCTCTGCCGGACCCTCGTCGACAGAGGTCTCCCCCGCCTCACCCAACACGTCTAAGCTCGCGACCGCCGACGACGCCTCCGGGACCTCGTCACAGGCGGAGGAGGCGCTGCTCTTGAACGCGGGGCACGATTCCTTCTTGCAGGGCGAGGTCGCGGCACGGAACGTCACCCGGCTGATCAAGCAGGCCGAGTGCGAGAACAGGGCCGGGGCGGATGTTGTGTCGAGGGAGGGTGTTGAGTTGGTCGTGCAGGACGGGGAGACGGAGGAGGAGGACCTTGAGCTGGAGGGGCACACCTCGAGCGCGCCGTCATCGGTCGATCAAGGTGTCCCTCGATCGGTGAGTCTCTTCTCCTCTCCACTGGCACCTTCGTTCCGTACACGATCCCTCATCTTCGAATGCCAACCTCTCCTACAACCCTTCCCGTGCTCTTCATTCGCGCGCGTTGTGCTGACTGTGCGCCCCCCCCTTAGAGGAAGTCAGTCTACTAGTACTAGGGCGTTATTGGCACGCGCGATCAGGAACAGGCCGACCTCGACGCGGACCACCCGGACGAGAAGATCCCGGGCGCAGCGCCGCGACCGGTGTATACGACGAAGGAAGTTGGTTTGTGAGTTTTCAGTTGCGCTTTCCGGATCGGTGGGACCGGAGACAGACGTATACTTGTTCGGTTGGTACGTTGGTCCTTTTGTAGCTCTGAAGCTGTAGAAACGAATGTGTGCGTTTTTCTCTGCTTGATGATCTTGGCACTGCGTTAGGTTCTAATGTTCTGAGGTGGGTCCATCCCTTCGCGTAGTGTACGACAACCATTCGCTGTTTTTTTAGGAAATGTCGGAAGTGGTGAGTCGGCATGGTCCGTTACTACTGTGCTGAAACTGACTGTTCACCCTCGATACAGATGAACTTTTGAACTCTGGCATTTTTATGAGGCGGTATCGAGTCTGGATAAGCTACACATATATAGATAATACATCCCGGGTTCCGGTCACCGTCGGTGCGTTGGCAAGTTCTCTTCCACAAGTACCCATCCGTCTCCGTATACTCGCGCGTGGCGCAATGCCGCCGCCGCCGCCGCCGCCGTGTCGGCCATCGCGCGCGATGTCACGCTCGCTCCCCGGACACTAAGTCGTGTCGTAGAATCCCGACGTGATGTAGTAAGTCTCCCGTCGCTGGTAATGCTCCCGTACGTTAGCTTATCAGCCCGTATGATACGTGCTAGACACCCAAGAGACGACTCACCTGGCCGTCATGCCCGATATCTCTAAAGAAACTCGGACGCCCCCACGTTTCCGTGAGCAGCCTCTGTCGTCTTGGCAGGTTCTGCTGGTGCAACTCCCTTCCATACCAATTTCCCTTGGCCACTACGGATAATAATCTCCACGTTCACCTTTCTACTGCCGGGAGGCCACGCGCTGGCCACGATCTCCGTCACGCGCGCCCCCAGGGCAGCCGCGGCCTCGGGTTCCAAGACGGCGTTTTCCCCCGACGCAGGGTTCTCCATTTCGAAAGAGAAATGCGCCCACTTGACGCGTGCAAACGCAGCGCAGGACGTGAGCCCTGCGAGGGTGGCGATGTCTGCCGCCGATGTGTTCGTGAGGGCGACGAGGGGCAAGTACAAAAGGATGGCGCGCAGATGGGTGCTGTTCGCCCGCACCAGTCCGTCCGCGATCGCAAGGAGAGTGGCGGTCGTGGCCTCTGGAAAGGAGAGCTCCACGTATTCCGCGTTCCGCAAGCTCGACAGGAAAGACAGGTCTGTATCGGCGCCGTCCGCATGAGTGAGGGCGTGCGAGGGTGCAGATGGACGTACCGGTGTGGGAGTGACGTTCACTGAAGGAGAAGTCGTGGACGAATGGCAGCAGTGTTGAGAGGGCATCCGTGCGCATCACTGAGAACAGGCTCGAAGTCGGTGGCCCATAACGTGTGAAACTGAGGCTGCTGAGGGAAGTGCACGAAGGAGTGCTTGTGAGGTAGCGCAACAGGATGTCGCCACAATCGCTCTCCTGTCTACTAATTTTGAGGACATGCAGAACTGGTCGTGAGGATGGGCGCAATGGTACTGTGGTGTCGACAGGATATATGGGGAAGGAAAGGTTCTTCGTGGTGAGACTGCTCAAACTGGGGAGTGCAGCCAACGTGCGCCGGAAGAGCGTAAATGACGGAAATTTGCTGTCCACTAGCTTCAACGTCGTGAGATGGGTGAAGGCTGAGAAACACGTAGTTGCGTGCTGTGCTTGAATCCTAGAGTCGAAGGTGAGACCCTGGATGCGGAAGGTCCGAAGGGTGGGGACGCGGTCAGCTATGCAGGCGAGCAGCGTGTTCCAAGATGGCGAGTGATCCTTCCCCGTTGTGCCTGCGGATACCGAGAAAATCAATGGCTCTAGAAATGCGGCGGGCGATGAGGTAGGTGCGGCATGGCTTAACAATGAATAGGCTTCCTTGACTGTGGAGTAATAATGCGAGCTATAGGGTTGGTTGAGGGCGCTTTTACTTGCAGGAAACCAACTGCGGGAGACGAGCGCGCAGTGAAAAAGCGTCGTTCTGTCGAAGAATGGGCTGAGGAAGTGTATTATTGTGTCCGAGATCTCCGGAGGGACACGGGGAGAGAACCGCCTGGGGGCATTGGCGTAGTGCACGTCTTCAAATGGCACGTCCCTGATCTGGCAGAGCGGGACGAAAGGGTCGATATGGTTCGCGAGGGATACCGTCACTGTCGCGCGAATGATGAAGGCCGCCCGCACTCTCGCCAGCGCATCGAAGACGTGTTGCGCCGCCGCGATCGCGACCGGGGTGGATCCCTCGCTCTCCGAGTCGCAGTCCTCGACAATCAGAGTGAACGTCATGGTGTCCAAGCCGGCGAAACGACTGCGCCCTGGCCAGTTCCGTGAGCGTCGCGGGGGACTGGACCGCACGAGAGAGCGCGACTTGAGGAAGGGCGAGTGTGAGCTTGCGCAGCTCTGGGATGTACCCGTCCCCGAGAGTGTGTAGAAGCGACAGGAGGTCTTTCACATTGCCGTTTATTAGACAGAGTGTAAGATCTTGCAAGTGCTCGAGGCCTGGACGGAAGAATGGAAAATCTGTGGATTGAGTCGCGAAGGTAAGCTGGAAGCGTCGCGAAGCCTGAGCTGTGTACTGACGGGAGTCCAAGACCCCGAAATAAAAGTCGAGGAGTTCGCTAGATACGCGTAGAAGTTCATCAATGGCGGTCGAAGGCTTCTGCGCAGGGCTGTGAGTCAGCCACGTGAGCTGCTTAACGAGGACACGGATGGTGATGGAGGTCCGTGTTGGCGTGCCGGCCAGCCAATTCAACATCCGTCTTGCACCGCTCAACTCCTCCGACGCTGAATCGATGCGTATTTCAAAGTGTTGCAGTGCGGTAGGTGCTGCAAGATATCGATCCACACTTTCCGTCGAAGTCACAGAAAATCGGAGGCCTCCGACGCGGAAGGTGTGCAGGGTCGGAATGGAGGTGATGGTGCGACGAAGGGACGAGAAAGAGGGCAGCGTGCAGAATATCAGGTGGAATGCAGTGACAGAGGTCGAGGTCGAGACGGCGAGGATGCATTCGCGGGGACTTGTAATCCAGATAATCTTCTCCCGGACCTGGGAATGAACGTGTGAGCAATGCGAGTGAGGAATGGCAGTGTTTGTGGGGTGGAGGGAGTCTAGCACAGGTTTTGTGGCGAGCTGGGACACTTATGGAATAAGAAGACTCACGAATACATCCGCCCGTTCCACTATGAGCCGCGTGTCTCTGGACCATAGAACGTGTCTGATTGCAGGGAGCCATGTGCGGGAAACGGTGGTACAGGCGCTAAGCGTCTGTCTGTCGTGACGGGGGGAAAGGTATCGTATAATTTTCTCAGAGATATCCAGAGGGACGCGGGGACAGGGGCAGCTGGAGTCGATGGTGGACATGGTGGGGAGCGGTCGAGCGGATAGTAGGCGGGTTATGCGGATTACGATTATCGTGACTGTGTATTGATTGACCAGTGCGCATTGTCTTTCACACGCTGGATCGCCTCATCGCGAAACGCGCGCGAAATAGGACACATGCGATCCTGAAGGAAGCTTACTTATGGGGATGGCGATGCCGGCGACCGCGGGCGAAGCGTCGACGAGCGCTAGTACGGCGGGCAGATGGCACACACGGGTCCTAGTGGACGGACATCCATAAGAATTTACGGACACTCAGAGCCCGTAAACGTCCGTAAACCTTGATTCAAATTTAAACTCCGCTGATACAGGCGGAGGGCTCCTCCCATAAGCTCGTTTGTGCGTTGAACCATGCACTGATCCGTAAATTCTCCCATGTCCCTTAATTGACGCCCGAGCGCTGTGCCTGTTGGCACGTGCCCGCACACGAGCGGCCCGCCGACTCCGCGCGCGGACACTGGCCGTCGCGCGCAATCTCGCCGTCGCAAGCACATCGCGCGCAATCCCGACGTCGCACGCACGCACATCGCGCGCACGCTTTCCTGCTATCTCTCTCTCTCTCTCTCTCTCTCTCTCTCTCTCTCTCTCTCTCCGTCGCGCGCAATCCCGCCATCACGCGCAATCTCACCATCTCACACACATCGCTTGCAATCTTGCCGTCTCGCGCACATCGCGCGCAATCCCGCCGTCGCTTTTCTGCTGTCCACTGCACTCCCTCTCTTGCGCATCCAACGAGCACCCCCCGCCCCCTACGAGATGCCCTTTATCAGACCCTGGGGCCCACTAGGAGATGAAGATGACTCGGAGGTGGATGATGGAGGGGATTATGGCGAGGAGGAGGAGGTTCTTGGTGGAAGTTGGGCCGATCTGATGGATTTGGAGGAGGAGGAAGATGAGGAGGACTTCGTGGCTGCACTCGTGGGCGGTATCCTCCTTCAGGCACTTGGTTCCAACCTTCGCCGTCTTGAACGTCGTCTTGCCATACGTCGCTACCTTGTACGTGCCGAGCTTCTTCCCAACCCCCGCGCGGACACACCCTGGCAACACCTCTACAACTCCCAGAGCGACCGTGCTTTTATCACCACGATGGGGATTGATGTCGCCACCTTTCACTACGTTCTTGATGCAGGCTTTGCTCAAGCCTGGAACGAGAATGCCATTCCCCGTCCTGATTCCGGTCAGGCGTTCCCTCGACTCGGTCGACGTTCGTTGACTGCTGAGGGTGCACTTGGTCTGGTCTACCATTACCTCACCTCTGCCTCTTCCGACATCACACTACAAGAGATATTTGCCCTCACCCCTGCCACTATCGACCGATACCGCTCATTCTCCATGCGCATCCTCCTCGGTGTCCTACGTTCAATCCCTGAAGCCCGTATCCAGTGGTGGGAGGATGCCGAACACTGTGAGGGGGACACTCAGCTCATTGTTGATCAGCATCCCCTCTTGTATGGTGCTATCGGTAGCCTTGATGGCCTCAAGCTTGTCACTGCGACTCCAGCTGATCCGGACATGGAAAACGCGACATACAATGGTTGGCTTCACGACCATTTCACAAACTGTGTATTAGCATTCTCACCAAAGGGTGAGCCTCATTTCTTATGACTCGGATTATGACTACAGATCATGTAATAACACTCAATTCAGGTGAAGTCATGAATGCTGTTACAAACGCTCCAGGGAGTTGGCACGACTCTCGGGTGGCACGCCGGATCTACTACAAGCTTCTCAAGGAGACACCAGATCCTTACTTCATTATAGCGGACACCGCGTTTCCGCGAGGCCCTGCCGTTATCGCCAACAAGATCCAAGCACCACTAAAGGCAAGCCAGCAAACACCAGGCACCACTCCTCAGGAACGCAATGCTAACATTGCACGAGATCGGCAACTCGTTCAGTTTCGCCAGACTGTAGAATGGGGGATGCGGCAGCTCCGTTCAGGCTTTGGGCGGTTGCGTGTTCCTCTTGATGCGAATGACCATCAAGGGCGTCAAGTGCTGCTTGAGGTCTGCCTGCGAGCAATGAACCTACGGACACGCCGTGTTGGGATCTCTGAGATCCGCACGGTTTACTTTGGGAACTGGCAGGAGTGGGAGGAAGGTCTACCGAAGGAGTGGGGTGACATGCTGTTTAAGGAAATTAGGCAGAATGATCGGGTCACCCGTTTCTACAGGCAGTTTGAGGCAGAATAACTAGGATGGACACATTAATGTAGTTATTGCATCATAGCTACTATGTATAGTAAGGTAGATTGACATTCAAACATGCTATGTTGCACGGGACATATTAGAGCTCGGAACGACGTGAGTAAGAGCCGCTCAATGCACCGTCATTCAACTCAGTCTCCGCTGCAGCAACAAGGGCGTCCAGGCCATGTGCGCGCGAGGCCGGAGAACGCGCACGCGCATGCACTGTACCTACAGACGAGCCCGAAGGCACCCCTGCAAAGACGCCTGTGATGCCCAGTGTGCTCGAACCTGTTGAGGTGCCACCATAGGCACGATAAGAGATCATCTCGTGGCCCAGGCGGGCACGAGGGGCTACACCAGCAAAGCCAGGTGCAGGCGTGATGTCTGCAAGTGGAGGACGTGAAGTCGGAGGTGCCCCCATGGGACGGAGATGTTCGCCCCATGGGATGCGCGCATCAGCGCCATACCAGTGCATGTCCTCGTCGTACGTGGACCTCGTAGTTGCGCGTGGCCCAACCGTACCGGGAGGTGCGGGTACGGCAGGTGCAGGTGCGTGCGCTGCATGCACCGGTGCAACAGTCGCGTGCGCAGGAGGCGGGTGCACAGGAGGCGAGTGCACAGGAGGCTGATGTGCAGGCACCACACGAACGGTGGGCGCGTGCGGCGTGCGACCAGCGAGAGGTGCAGCAGGTGGTGCAGTGGCAGCGTGCATGGCGGGCGCGTGCACGGGAGACGTGGTGGGTGCAGGTGCAGATGTGGGAGGCTCAGGAAGCACAGCAGACGTGGAGGGAATGTCGAGCGCATGTGCGGGAGGAGCGGAGGGCATGGCGGGGGCGGGAGTGGGAGAAGTGGAGGGTGCGTTGGGTGCGTGCGCCGGTGCGTGCCTGGAAGGAGCGGAGGGCGTGGTGAGTGCGGGTGCGGGAGGCTCGGCGGGCACGGTGGGTGTATGCACGGAACTCAACTCGGCAGACGTGGGTGCGGGTGCGGTGGGCGTGGCGGGTGCTTGCGCGGCAGGAGCGGAGGGCGCAGTGGGTGCGTGTGCGGGAGGCTCGACGGGCGCGGGTGCGGGTGCGGCGAGCGTGACAGGTGCGGGCAGGTGACGAACTGGTGTGGACGATGATGGCCTAGATGAACTTGCGACTGGCGGGATGTCGTGGAGGGGAGAGGTCCCCCACCAGTTGTCAAAACGGGAGGTGGGTGTGCGCAAAGGGGCGGTAGTCGGAGGTGGGGAGGAGTCAGGAGGCAGGTCGCGGAGACTGTAGAGGTCGAAGTTGTGGTCGTCAGGAAAGGGAGGCCGGGTTGAACGACGGGGTGGTGGGCCAGCATCCCGCATCAGTTGGGCAAATGTGAGACGAGCCCGAAGATCCGCATTCTCCTGTGTCATGGTAAGAACCTGTTGCCGGAGTTGGGAGTTCTCAGCACGGATGTCGCGAAGATCCGCGTGCACGCGACGCATCTCGCCCATGCGCTCCAGGCTACCAATGCGCGCCTCGTTGAGCTCACGGCGCGCTACTGGGTCCACGCTTCGGGCAAGCGAGGAGATAAGTGCGGCCTGCTCCTCGCGGCGTCCCTGGGTGGTCAACCGGGATCTGCTAGGACCCGGTTCAGTGTTCGCCTCGACCTTGATTGTCGGTGCCTTGCTCGCCTTCTTGCCAGCTGTGGGGTTTGACTTCGGCGCCGGGGTCATGGAAATGAACTCAATATCGGAGTCCGAGTCTTCCTGTTTGATGGTGGGGTGTGGTCGAGAGCGAAATAATGGGTCGTCGTCGAGGTGCGTGCACGAGACAGAGTTCTCCATCTCTTGTTGGAGACTGTGTGCTTCCTCGACGTCCGAGTCCTTCTCCGCGTTGCCAGTCCGCATGTGCGTATGCTGGAGCTGCAGGCGTCATGTCAGCATGAATGCAGAACAGAGGTGGATGGCTATCTTACCGATTCCCACCTCCCACGTATAGCCCTGAAAGAACGAGTGGAATACCCATTCTTCTGCGCCCACTCGTTGTACTTCGGCTCAATTTGCTTCCACTGATTCATGCCGAAAGTCTTGTGCACACCGCAGAGCGAAAGGAGATGCTTGGTTTCAGGCCTGCTCCAGTTCTTCGCACCCGGTTGGCGGCCGGCACTACCCTTGGCAGCAGGGGTGTTGTCGGAGTTGTCGTCCTCAGGAACGGCCTTCGCCTTGCCTTTCCCCTTCGAGCTCCCGCTCTTCGATCCGCTAGCCGACGCCTTTGCGACCTTCTTGGTGGGGGGTTTCTCCGTCTCCGCAGCGGAGGCCTTGCGCTTGTTCCTGTTCGTGCCAACCGTGAGGAGGCGCCTCATCTCTTCATCGGACATCTCGTAGTCAGAGCTGTCACTGACGTCGAAGGAGTGGGGATCCGCGGGGCCGGGCGCAGGCTGCGTAACTTGCGTGCGGAGAGGGGCTGGCGCAGGTGGCAGATGTTGTGGGGGGAGCAGGGCTGTCGTGGGCGCGACTTGCCCAGGTTGCATGAAGGGCGGTGGACTGGGGGCACGCATGCGTGGGCCCGTAGCGACAGCAGCTGCATACGACGCATGCGCCCGTGGGAGAGGGACCGCGTACGGAGGAGGGAAGGGCATCGCATACTGAACACGGCCGTCCGGGCCCATGAACGGGACCATATGCGGTGTCGGGAGTTGCTGAGTGTCCGACGGCGGCACGATCGGAGTGGTGCCACGAGGACGGGGTTGTACACGGAAACCGAGGGCACGGCCACCGCGGGGGGGCTTGGAGGGATCGTTCTCGTTGGGCTTGGTGGTGGGAACACGGAAGATTCGAAGTGCGCGAGAGGGGAGGGGAAAGACGCATAAGACGGAGTCTGGGAGACGAAAAAAAACCGAACACAGTGCAGGTGTACTCACCGTTCCTGGCATTGTGTAGTGCTTTGACAAGTTTTTGAGAGCTTTGGATAGCGAGCAGATTTGAGGATGTGATGGAAGAATTAGCTGCTTCAGACCGAGGCTCAGGATGAGTCTAAATACATCTGAGTCGTGCGTCACGGGCATGTACATACCAGGACTCAAGACCGATCAGCATTTGCGGTTATCTTGCAGAGTATGAGATGGAGGAGGTCATCTTGCGGTGAATGTCAAGTAAGGACCCAGGGTATGAGGTCGTTGCGAGGAGCGACAACAGGGCGGAGGATGGTGTCCAGTAGGCATGAACCGCGCAGGCGCAAAGTACTGCTAGTTTGACGTCGGGCGGGCTGCGCGCGGTGTGTGCCGTGCGCGAGATGGTGCAGCGGGTGCGCGCGATGGTGCAGCGGGTGCGCGAGATGATGCAGCAACGGGATAGATGCGGGCGCCGTGCCAAGGAGGAGTCTGTTGGGCGCGACGAGCGAGGCGCGCAAGCGCGGAAAAGGCAAGTCGGAGTTTAAAAAAGTTCCTTTTCGAGACGAATTGGGCGGTTCGAGGATCTAGGGAGGGGGGGCCCCCCCTCCCTAGATTCTCCGAGCTGCTAAGGATTTACGGACCCCCAGCCACGTCGGAGTTCAAATTTGACAGCTCGGCCATCCCGGATCTGTCAGGTACACGTTGGTTTAGGGCTTCCCGCGCCCTAAATCGTCCGTAAATTCTTATGGATGTCTTTCCAGTACATCACCGACTTCCATGACAGGACGCCCCGGAACATCAAATCCAAGTCCGTACACGGTGCAGCGCACCACCGCTCTCGCAGAGATCACGAGGGACGTCCCGTCTCACTCTGGTACACGGTGCCTTCACTGCGCGGCGACTCTCACCTCCCCGGCCGAGAGGATCCATGCATCACCTCCGTAGACGTGCCCTCCCGTTCCGACCCGCACGGGGCGGCGAACCTCGAGATCTCTATGCACAAAAGCACTGCCCCTGGATTTCTAGCGGTCCCGCGCGCCCTCGCGGACGGGACCGGCGGCGGCGCGCTGCACGACCTCGTTGGCGTCGCCGGGCTACTACCTTCACCGCGGGGATCGCGCTCGCGACGCCCGCCCTCCGCCCTCCGTCCGTCGGGCTTCCGAGCGCGGGCTTCCGCAGGCTTTTCGTGGTAGACGACGACGCGGAGAACGGGATTGCGACGCGACCGGGGCCGCGCCGGACGAATGCGAGAGCTCTGTCGGGGGGCAGATTGACTCAGGGAAGGCGTTGCAAAAGAGCGGGTCTGGCCGGTGCAGAGCAGCTGCAATCGCACGAGGGTGAGAACGGGGATGGAGTCGACCATATCGGCAAGGGCACTTACGACAAGATCGGCCTGTACTTCGTGTCCGCTGTGTGCGGACGACGCGCTTGCCTTTGCTGTGTTTGTTGTCGGCGAGCGAAGCGACGTCGAGACGGTCGTTGAGGATGGTGCACACATCCAGAGTGGAGGCTAGAGATGACTGCTCACTCCTTAGTATAACGTGATGCATGATAAATGACCGCACCTACTCTTGTTGTGCATCGCCTCGTCAAACCTTGGCGGGAAGTGACATTGATAACTGGATAGATATCCGCACTAGCTGAGACGGATTCTAGAGAAGACCAGGCGTGGTTAGCACACCAGGAAATGCGGGATAGAGATCCCAGATCGCAGACATGGAATGAGCCAGGTAAATATGCCACCCATGATGACGTTCAACGTGTGCCCACAAAAATGTGCGACGGCCCAGGACTCCAGCCAGCCTCCAGGATAGCCACTGCGGCACGCGCAGCGTCGTCGCGGCAGCCTCAACCGTGTGTCGAGCGCCGTGGTACGCATACATGCGCGCGTGCGCAGCCAACGCCCGTGATCGGCCCCGGGGCGTGCTGGGTACCAGCCGCGGGCGCCGGGACACGGAGACTGCGCGCGATCGAGCCAACAAACGGGGGTGCGTTTTTGACGGTTCACCAGCGCGGAGACCACAGCGGAGGGAAGGGGGGAATGCGGGGACAGTGCGCGGGATGACAGGAAAAGTACTCACGGATATCAAGGGCACCTCCACCAACGACCAGGACGGAAGCCGCGCGTGAGACGCGGCGTTGGAACTGCTGGAGGAAGGCGACCCCGCCCTCCTTCGTGCCGCGGGCGACATCGAGCACCTCCGCCTTCACCACTTCCTCTGTGGCAATGTTTCAAAAATTGATGGGCGAGGAGTGGTAGCAGCCGAAGGCGTAGATGAGGTAGTTGGAGTGGAGGATGCGGTCGGCCTCGGAAACGCCGTGCTCCGGGAACGTACGACCAAGAGTGAGGCGTTGCGAGCGATGTCACGGATGCGTGCGCCGTGTAGCCAAACCGAGCGTGCGGGGTCAGTATATGGGGGAGGAACGAGAGAGCCGCGGGTGTCGCCGGCGCGCATGGGGAGGACGTTGTTGTAGGGTTGTGCTCGTGGTTGGGGAGGGTGACGGCGTACCGGGGGAGGACGTAAAGGTGGGATTTGCGGTCGACGAAAACGACGCGCCAGCCGTGCAGGAGGCCCGGGGCGAGGAGAATTGCGGCGCGGGCCCCGCCGTAGCTTCCACCGAGGATGGCGACTCACGGCCGCCGCTCTTCATGGTATTCGTGCGAGAAGGTGTGCCGAGTATCACAGGGGTCACGGTAGAGGGGGCGTTATAGGGAGCGCTGCCCACTGCCTAGCACACGGCAGCTGGTCCGGGCGGGGGAGAGAAACAGCTTGAGTGAGGTTCGAACGAGGCGCTCGTTCCTCGCGCCTCGGCCGAACGGGTGCTTTCTAGGCGTGGGTTGCCGGTGGTTGCCGGATGAGGGAGACGCGCGCTAGCGCGCTAAAGGCTATCGCCTCTCGTCTCCTCCCGCATCGCACCCACGCAGCTCAAAGCGCATATAGTCACTAGAAATACGAGAAAACGCTCAAAAATGGTCAACCAACCCAACACAAGCGGTTCTTACCACCCGCAAGGCGTGAAAAAGCCCGAAGCTCAAGCTTACGGCACCGGCAAAGCCTGGAAGGCTCCCCCTGGCGCCGGGCAATCGCTTAGCTTCTTCGGTGATCACACGCACGCATCGTCTATCACCACAGGCACGGTACCACGGGTCAGCATGGATCCCGCAACCGCGGAGGGCGAAGGTTCTGGCCGGCCGCGCGGCAGCGCAGGCGGCCCCGCACGTGGTGAGCGGATCAACGCCGAGAAAGGGGTAGACCGCGGAGATGGCGGAGCGCACATCGAGGAGATGGCCGACGAGGAGATGATCGACGAGGACGCTGGCCAAGAGGATGTCGATGACCAGGGAGACGCCGATGGTCAGACGGACATGGCAGTGGACGAGTACGGCGAGGACGAGTTGGACGATGACATGGCCGAGCCCATAGGCCCTCTCAAGGAGGGCGCGAATGAGGTGGAGGTGCAGGAGTGGAGCATCGCGCTCCTAATGGAGCAAGGCTATTCTCGGCCCCAGGCCGTGTCGATGTACATTGACCAGAAGGCCGAGGCCGAACAAGAGTACCTCGACAGGGAGCGAGCAAGGCTCATCGCAGAAAGGGAGCAGGCGGTGATGGACGAGCAAGAGCGGAAGAAGAGGAAGGCCGCGAGGGCGGAAGAGCGGGAGCGCCAGGCGCGCAAGGAGGCCGCGCGCGAGGAGGCCGCACGTGAAGATGCCGCGCGCGAAGAGGCCGCGCGCGAGGCCGCACGCGAAGAGGCCGCACGCGAAGTTGCCGCGCGCGAGAGGTCCGCTCGTCAAAAGCGCGCCGGGGCGGCAAAGTCGAACACGAACAAGAAGGCCGTGGCGAAGGCTGCGGAAGTCATCCTGAAGACTTTACAGCGGCGCCTGCAGAAGGCTGCGTTGGCGAGCCCGACCAGCCCGCCCGGGGGGAGCCCCCCCCCTTCAAGCAGCGGCTCGGAAGGGGGCGCCGATGCGGCTTTCGATGCCGATGAAGACGCGGAGTCCCTGGTCGGGGATGGAGACGAAGAAGACGACATCTTCTCGAAGAACCGCGCACCCGTGGACCCGCGCCTGAAGACCATGCTGCGGCACGGCTACTACATCCCGCTGTCGGCTATGACGAATGACGCGTTGCGCGGCCTGCGGACCGGAGCGTCGGCACGCAAGCTGATCAAGTCGGAAGCCCTACACGGCGAGAAGAAACACCACATCCTCGACATCTCGACCTTCCCGGACGAGCGTCTGATGCTGAGCGCCGACTGGGAGGAAGCCTGGCGCAACATGCTCGACGGCTGTATGGAGGGAGTCGTGAAGCCAGCGGTCATCGCGCGTTGGCGCGAGCACGTGGAGTACATCAAAAACGAGGCCGACTTCAAGGTCTCGTTCCCCGCGCTTCGGGCATTCGACATGGAACTGCGCTACACCTGGTTCACAGAGGCCCCCGGGAAGAAATCAGCCTTCTTCGTCGGCAGCCAGACGTACGTGAAGGCAATGATGCTCGCGCGTCACCAGTACACGAGCTTCGGCGTCGGCACACACCCAACCGGAGGACGCACAGCCCCTTCGGACTCGCGCGGACAGCGGAACGGGGGCAGGTACTCGGGCGGCGGGAGCGGCTACAATGGCGGAGGCTACCCGGGCGGCCAAGCCGGCAGCGGTTACACTGGCGGCAACTCTGGCGGCAATCAGGCTGGCGGCAGCTCCGGTGGGAACGCCAACGGGAGCGGCTCGGGGGGCGGACACCCTGGGGGCTCAGGCGGGAAGGACAAGCAGCGGCCCTTTCAGCAAGGCAGGCAGCCTTTCGGCCGCGGGATGTTCTGCCTCAACTGCAACAGGGACGGCCACCGAGCGAGCAAGTGCAACTCGCAATTCAGCGCTGCCGGCAAACCCGCCTTCATCTACGGAAAGGGCATCAAACTGTTCACACGCGACGGGAACCACGAGATCTGTTCCGCCTGGAACGTGGGCGGAATTCTCCCTTGCAAGTCGACTTGGTGCCCGAACACGCACGACTGCCACCGGTGCACCTTCTGTGGTAGTCCCGACC